CTGGGATTGGGATTGGGGTTGGGGTTGGGGTTGGGGTTGGGATTAGATACTCTGTGAGAAATGTTTATAGTAGTTGAAGATGTTGAGAATGGGCGGGGATTCGATGTACAAGTGAGGATAAGATTTTGATGGGGAATATATCCTTGTGGAGGTATCTGTTCAGAGCGTGGAGGTAAGTGGTGAGAACTGAGAGGCAGGAGAAAGATTGTGAAATAGTTTCGTAGGTGAATAGAGTGAGTGAGTTTGCTTGCTGGGTGTATTTATGGGTGTTAAAATAAGAGGATATTTCAATGGCTAGAACGCGCATTAATCTCTATTCTAAAATTTCTATTCTATCAATAACACCTGTCCTTATTCATTTCACCCGCATCCAATTCTCTACAACCCGGCCAACCCTCTAATAATCTCTACCACCGGCGGCACAGAAGTCAATGCCAGCGTCACAATACCAAAGAGACTCATGCTCAAACTACTCAGTGCTGCTGCTCTGGGGTCACTAGCTAGTAGTAATGCAGTAGCTATTGCACTAGCATTTCCGCCCATGGCAACACCGATGGTTATGTAATCATCAGGGCGAATTTTGAGGAAGGAAAGGAGACGATGACCGATTAGGACGCCGAAGATACCTGACATTATGGCAAGGGCAGCGGCAGCGTTAGTGTTTCCACCGCTAAAGAAAGCAGAGTATGGTTAGTTTGTTACGGATATGTTGGAAGGTTGGGAAAAGTGGCTAGTGATACTTACAGGTTACTGGCGGCGGGGTAGCGAGCGCAAGCGTTAGAGAACGCACGGAGAAGGAAAGAGAAATTGAGGGATATGCCGATAGAATAACAGAGAGGTGGGTAGCCAAAAAGTGAACCGATGGCTAGAACAACACTTGGAATTGTAATGGGGATGAAGTGAGTTTTTAGTTCATGGCGGTATTGAAACATGGGGAGAGCGAGGGAGACAATAGAGGCGTCAAGTACGCTATTACTATTGTAGACAAGGAACTTAGTAAGTTGAAGGCTAATAGATGGGTATATAAACTTGAAGAACTTACAACATATCACCAGCTCCAGGTAGAGGAAGGTTCCTTTCTCCATCCCAGTAGGCAATATATTTAGTGTTGGTTCTGTAAGCACCCAAAACTTCATCCAGGTTATTGCCTCTGATAAGTCCTAAAATCCATATACCAATTATAGTAATGCCAGATGACAATAGTACAGGATGTAAGAATTGCTTCCATCGAACTGAGAGAGATTGTGCTGCGAAATAGGCTAGTATATTGAATGTAAGTTGTACTGGCATTGCATAGCCGGTAGCATAGTAGACTGGGATCCCTATGAAAAGAAATATGACACCGTAAGTGAGTATATCCAAATTTCTATTAATAAACGCTGCCCAAATCTGAGCTCGTGTGAGGGGTAACGGCTCTTGTTCGACCGCAACGGTATCAGAAACAGGTTCTGGGGGTGGACTTTCTGTCTCCGGAGAATCTCTTGGGTCTCTAGATACTCTGACCACAGCCGGTTCCTGCTCTTGTATAGGACTGACAGTATCGGTCGATGTGAAATTTGTATTACTTGATACTGCTAGAGGAATGGCATCATTCTCGGCACCCATTTCTTCGGCCCTCTCTATGATAGCACGCTTGCTTGAACCTAGTAGGATTTGAAGGCCGCGTACTAGCCAGGCAGTGACAGCGAACATGACCAAAAACCCAATCACTTTAAGACATTAGTGATTAAAAGATGGATATGGCGACAATATACTGACGGAATACCCCAATGATTTTGCCTACTTCCGCAGCAGTAATACTATCACCAATGGCAACAGGACGAAACTATAAACATTCAGAGTCTCATCCAGCTATCTCAATTGATCCCATCCATGTGAAGGTGGGGACTCACGAGGGTGAAGAAGACATTGATATAACGGAGAGCCCATCCTGATGGAATATCAATAACTGATACCAATGCTCTCGTCCTTTGGTGTCCAATGAGAAGATCGATAATATTTAGGATAAAAAATAGTAAAATTAAGCATGCCACCGATGCAGGAAATGAGACAGAACTGAGTCCTATGAGAGCATTGACACCGAAGCATGCTAATAGAATCAAAACAATGCCAAAAGGAACTTGAATCCAAGCTTTCAGGTTACGTCTCCATGATAGACGAGCTACCTATGATATATTAGTAAATTAATATCTTCTAAAAAAGCCAGCAGTTATGATAATCCTCACCAACTTGAGAGCTCAAATCCATCCGAGATAAACTCGGATATTTGGGGCCATTGTGAATTCTTTTAGATCGCTATTCGATCTGTGTAAATGGAAAAGAAACTTTTCATTCCCGGCCAAAAAATGTATCCAAGGACCAACAGCTAAACAATCACAGAGAGGAAGAAAAGTCTCAAAGAGAATGGGATTCTCTCATCACGAAAGATATCCAAGTGGGGGATTCGGAGAGCTCTATCAAACGCTGATCCCCCACAATCATATACCTACTATCGGAGAAAAATGTAGCTCCATGCTTAGTGATGGTGGAAAATAGAATTGCATCTCCATTTCTTACTCATTTGCAAAAATGATTTGAAAATATTATAGGATGTCAGAATCATCTCAGATGTTAGGATTGAATGTAATGTACAGTAGCCTTACATACATAAGGTGGGGGTTTTATACTCGAGGATAGGTACATAAATCTCCAACATTCACTGGAGACGCAATGTGAGGTTAAACAAACAGATACCACATACCCACTACAAAAGTGACAAAACGCCCCGAGCCTGGATCCAACAACAGCCCTTTCAATTCCCGCGAGACAATTTTCCTAAGATACTGGAATACTGGAATCTTCCTCTTTTCAAATCTGCAATAGAATCTTTCCGTTCCCAAAAGCCCCGGAGCTGATTTGGCTTCAGACGTGCAACAAAACTTCTGGAAAGCTTGTCGTATCACGGACTTCACCAGTATGGAAGGCGGCAATTTCGAATTTCTTCTGCAGATCCTAGAAGATTATGGCATACCTTTCGATCGAAATACAATTAAGTCTGATTATTCTCGCAATCCAGCTGCAGTTGAAGCTTGGATTTCGAAATATCTTGGTCCAGAAACACTTTTGACCAAAGATGAAGTCGCATTGTGAGCTGGCGTCTGTTCTTTCTGCGAATCATACTAACAAGGAATAGATACGAGGTACTTTCACAATCAGAAGATGCAGACAAGATAGCGAATTCCCAAGACTTATCGAGCATATGTGATTTGACCGACGAACAATTGTATACTGCCATCGAAGAATTACAAAGATCTACTACCGCGATTGAACAGCAGAGCGAAGCACTACGATTACAACAAAATGCTCTAGCTTTACTTGTCAAAAGCAATAAGAAAGTGGGAGCAGCACGAACGGAAGCAGATGCAAAACAGCTTCAAAAATGGGAAGCGGAAACTAGTCAGGCAAATTCGGCGGTGGAGGAACTTTCACAAAACCTGATGTATCAGTTATCAGACTTGGAACAACAAAACAAAATATCACAATCCAGTGCCAGACAGACCGTGGATGGGATATTGAAGGCAGATGATAAATTATTGACAAGCTTGCAAAAGCTTGGGGAAGAGCTGGATCCTGGCTCTTCTGAAGATCATGATACTATTGCTAGGATAAGAGACCTTTGTGCGAGATATATCAAACATACTGTCGATGGAGTTAGGACAAAGCTTGACCGAATATATCTCGAAGCTCTTAATAATCCAGTTGGTACAGATTCGCAAAACACAAACAAACAGGAAGTCGCCGATTTACAAGAAGAGCTTGAGTCCTTATATTCCGAGGTATTACCTGTGGCTCAAATGTCTGCTGAGCAGCAATATTTGGAACCAGCTTTACGAGAGATTGCCCTGAAAGGGAATTCAGGTCAAGATCGAGCTTATCAAGCTTTGAAATATGTGAGTTTTGATACATCAAAAGATGATATATTTCTAATGATGAACTAGATGCAAGAATGCCTTAATTTCCTCATCAAGCGTACAGAGATATATGCAGCGCATATGGAAGAATATCAATGTCATCAGATGGCCACTAAATTTGCAATAGATACCGGAAAGAAAGAGCTCCAATATCAAGAAGCTCCACAGCCTAGCAAATCTGTTACGCGCCAACGACAGAATTCTCAAGCACAAGTACAGTTCCGCAACAATCGCCGACGTTCTTCAATGTTTGAAGAAATGGATGCCGAATCACAGTTACTTCGCAATTTGGGCATCACACTTCCAAATGACAGTGACGCAGATGACGCGCAAACTGAGTTTCTCGATAGCTGCCTTCGTGAAAGGATTGAGAAACTTAAGAGTCACGCGGCTAATTTGGAGTCAACCACTGAAACCACCATATCCTCACATGTGCACAATGCCGATTATACAATGAAACTACTTTACAATGCCCTTCAAGCTGATTCAGTATACGGCGAGGTCCAACTACTTGATCCAGATATTGTATCATCATTTAACACATTTGAGGAGGAAATCAAGAATTTACAGGAAAATCTTGAAGCTGTGAATCTACAAAGGTTGCAACTGAAGAACGTTCATAAGGAGCAGCTGATAAAACGTTGGTCAAGATGACCATTTGTCTGAGCGGAAAAGAGGGCGAGAAAGATTGTAGCCTTGCAAAGCGGGTCGAAAGTTGGTAATTAGGGGGATCTTCTTCATTATATCAGTCAATGTTAGAGATGTCTTGGAGACATTTCTCTTAGGTTTCACATGATAGTGGCAGATGTCACCATCATCACGTGTCTCGAAAGTTGAAGGAGGGCATATGTACACTCCGAAGCTTGTGGCAATGCAAAAATTCATCCCGAAATGCAAGGGCAAGCACTACACGTGGCTTACTAGAGGCTGATTACATCCATGTATGATGGAGGCTCATTCAAAAAAATCTTCCTCAGAAAGAAATTCCATCTTGGCCCACTCGGGTCTAATATGTAAGACAGAAATCGAGTCATATCCGCAGTCATGCACGAGATCTAGCATGATACTGTGTCCAGAAAGTCCCCAAAAATATTCACCAAAAAATCCTCAAATCATCAAGGGTACCTGCGTAACACAACCACTAAGGAAACAAACAATATGCATGTAATCCTTCATCCTTAACCATCTTGTTGGAATTTCTTTCCTGGCGGCTGCAGTGTTCGACGTAGATTGTGCGACAACCAAGCTTTAGACCTTTATCGCTAGGATTGTGCGACAAAGAGGTCAACAGTTAGAATCAGTTGGAGATATCAAATCTTAATATTTGATTTTGGGTTTAGTTTTAAATTTTAGCTGTAGCTGGTGATTTATTTAGACACACCAACAGAACATCATAAGGCTTAACGCTCATGGTGGACTTTACTCCGACCAAGTTCTCCATATCTCCACTGGTTGGTGACCCAAAGCAGAAAAATTGGGAGCGCTAAAATGACGTTCGTATGGGACTATGGTCCCGACGGACTTGCAGTAGTGAGTGACCATGAACTTGATGGGACATGACAGCGGTAGGTTGATGATGCAAGCGAGGAGCAAGTGGGCCGTAGCACGTGTCGGTAGGTATTCGGGATGTGTGCCACAATAGCAAAATCCATGAACACAATTCTCCGCCGCACAAATAAAACAATGACTCCTATCACCATACTCGCATAAAACCAAGACAATACTTCCTTCCTGTGCGTCGTAGTCCAAAATCCCAACTAGCTCACACAAAGCAAGCCACACCCACCCCGCCGGTGCATCAACACAGCCTCAACAAATTATCGATTTTCCAAAGCCAAGTTAAGATAAGATTCAAGATTTGAGTCAAATGACGATACAGTGCGTACACATACACCACACACAGTACGTATCCGAGTATTTCCGTCAGTTGATCTTTGACGAAGATTTTTGATGTGGTTCTTGGTGCTAGGAGGTAAATTCCTTGGTTGACCTTAGCACTGCCAGCGTTGGATTTTAGAGCGCTTATGGGCACAGTTCACTGGTGGTCCGACGGGTATGCACCCCAAGTTCCTAATATCCCTAATAGCTAGAGTTACTCTTCTCCTCCATGGCACGTTAAATACACTTTTCTGGGGAAATATGCGGCTCACATTTATTTCTCGCCAACTTACATTGTTCTTCCCACTTTAATAAATCCTCTCATCCATAATAGACAGAGAAATGGGATATTCTTGATGTGTTGTAAGCGTGACCCAAATGAGACCTTAAATCCCCATAAAAATTATCGCCGAATTAAGAAGCTGCTAGGGTTTTTAGAAACAATTGGACATCAGACCTTGAGGAAACATCATCTCATCATCTCAAGCTTTTCCCATTATCATCTCATTTCATCTCATTTCATCTCATTTCATCTCTAATCCCTTGATTGGATTTTATAACCATTTTGTCAATTTCTTCTTTTTGGTCTATATATGGGCCATCTCTTCATGAAACGTCTCCTCTTTGATATTCATTCTTATAGGATAGAATAAGTACTTCCATCACGCGCGTCTGTGGTCTTGAGATTTGAGGGCCCTTCCCGCAACACATTCACACACTTAACAAACATCTACTCTGCTTATTTTGACCTCCTTTCGATGGGATTCGACTCCATCGTGTCGGGATTCTATTTTCGGACTATCTTCTCTCTTCCCTTTCCTCTTTCCGTTTCTTTCGCATTGAAGAGGATTCTTCGTAGCTTTTGGCCAAAATAGCAACTGTTACATTCCAATCATTTTGATATCATTTCATTTATCACAAACGAAGCTGACAACATAAAGAACTTTTTTACAACTTTTGCTCTTTACTCCTGCATTTTCATCACCCATCATCATTAATGCAAGTGGTTTCATTTTCAAGCCTCAATTCCTTACTTGGTACAACTTGGTCGAACTTTGGATTCTTTTGCGTCTTACTCAGCCCTTCAAGTGGCTGAGGCGCTTTTGGTTCGCCGCTTTCTTGCTAAAAATCTTGACAACCCTACCCACACTTTCTCTACCACACTAAAAACTTCCTTAGCCATCCTATAATAAAGACAGAGTCATCGGCCACTGTATGACCTAATAGTCACTATAAGACCTTTCTTACTAGACGGTCACGCTCCTAGTACAGTCGACTACTCAAGTGTTAGCAGAAGATACTTAATTCCTCTATACCCTTCGTCCATCCACACATTTCTTTCCACATTCTCCCTCTTGTTAACATATTATTACTTGAGTTTGAATTAATAGAACATCCTTCACATTCCTGTCGCTTCGTCATACTCACCTCGCTTACCTTTCATATATATCTTCTATTCCACAAGCTTCCTTAACGAATAACGAACATATAAGTACACCTATTGTAACTCACAACACATACCTCCACATCTAGTTACACTTCTGTCCCGTCTGCCTCACTTGATATAAAACAAATCACTTTTATACATACACATACACGTACTACCTTTCACGAACATATATCTTACGGATCAATTCAAGGAAGTCCTAGAACAAGTGAGAAACTTCTCTTCGTTTTGATATCAACTCGATAACACTAAGTCAATCGGGTCTTGGAGGACAGGTCCTACCTCAGCACATCCGACCCGAAGTTCAAAGTTCATCGTCACAATGTGCGTGACACATATCTATACCGATTGTTACCCCAACCGAACAGTCGAATTTCACCAAACAATAGTCTGTTCAGATTCGAAAGATGGGATCTCCTGCCCTGCTCATATCACCAATGAACATCCTCCTCGGACTCTCAAATCCAATGATGAACGCTCTAGCAAAGAATATATCGACCAAGGACTACAAGTACCTTCTACATCCAAACCTTCACCTCATAAATCCGCAACTGCAACTACATATCGTTACTCTCAAGGTGACAAGAAAGATAAACCTTCCGGTCGAGAACCTCGTCTTCGTCTTGTGAGAAAGAAGAGTGCTTTAGTCTCAGCTTTTACACCACGTCGCAAACATCCCAAAGAACGTATCGTTATCGTCGATGCACCGGATAGTCCACAAGGCTCCAAGGCTCTTCAAAAATATGCTCCAGATTCTCCCGCAACTGAAGAGTTTCAATCTAAGACTCTCTTAGCAGCTGAGCATGCTCATCGTCAAGAATCAGCTAGTCCAAGACGTGGTCCTAATCACAGTCTCAATCCTGTTCGTACTGTTGTTATAGATCAACATCGCGATAAGAGAGAACGTAGCAGAGAAAGACCTTTGCAAGTCCTTCCAATATTATTAAAACCTGAACCACCTTCGCGCTCAGCAAGTCATGACAGGGGATTGATTGATATGCGCATTCGTCGTGAAGAAGAGGAGAGGGAAAGAGAGCGACAAAGAGATTATGAGAGAGAAAGGGAGAAGAGCTTTGAGTTGGTTCATGAAGCAAGAAGGGAACAAGAAAGGGAGAAGGATGAAATGAGAAAGATAACGGAGGAACTAGAGAGGGAAAGAATAAGGAAAGGGAAGAATGAAGACGAGAAGAGGAGGGAGATGGAGTATAAGAAATTCTTGGCGGATAGAGAACGGGAAAGGGAACGAGAAAGAGAAAGAGAGAAAGAAGTCGAGAGGCAAAAAGCTAGAGACAGAGAAGAGGAATCAGCAAGGGAGAGAAAGACGAAGAGAAGAAGAAACCCGAAGAGCGGACGACCACGAACGGAAGAGACGAGAAGAAAAGCATAGGCATGAAAGAGAAAGAGAACGTGAGATAGAAGGAAGAGAGCGTGAAAAGGATGCTGAGATATCAGAACGAAAAGCAGCGGATGATGAGAAGGTTGGCAGAACAGGAGGCTTTGAGGGAAGATGAAGAGATTAGAGACGGCCAGGTTCCTAGTAAAGGAAGGAGAGAAAGAGGTAGAGGAGAGCTGGAAGAAAGGGATGAATATGTATGTAGGTTGAGGGAGAGACAGGGAAGGAATGGATGGGAAGGGAGGAAGGGAGGAGGAAGAGGTTTGGATTGGAGAAGGAGGATAATGGAGGGAGGGAATGGAGGAGAGGTGATATGGATATTGCTATGGAATTATTGGATGGGGTAGGCCTGGATGACATTGGATTGGATGATACCTGGATGTTTTATGGTTATGGTTATGAATATGTATGGATATGGATGGATATGCACATGGGCGCAATGTATTATGAATGTTTCATCATATATATATATATATATATATATATATATATATATGTATGTTATTTTATGTTATGTCATGATAGTTAATTAATTACCTTCAGATTGTTGAGTTAAGATACGGCGTAATGTGATATAATACGATATGCCTACTTCCTTTATTCGAATGTCTTCTTTTCAATAAAATGGTAACATTACTTTTGTAGGGTTAGCTGTTCAAGAATATAACAAAATTGAAACCTGATTTTATGTTGATCTATATACATCTGGTAAGTACAAACACAAGACATTCTACCCTGCCCCTCATTTTCCATGCATTCATTTAGATATCCAAATTACCCCGCAAAACACGATATCGTGCCACATGGTATGAGCGAGACAAGATCAAATCGTGTAACAAAGGAAAACTATGGAATGGAAGGTTGTATCGATTGATCTAGAGGCTTTCTATCGCTTCTATGCCGTAGGCTTTTCAATAGACTGGACCATGTTCTTGGTTTAATCTATTTAAATTTCTTAGATTGTATTGAATTAGATAATACTACTGTCTTTACCTTCTCCTTACTCAATAATCTACAAGGACACTATTTACAAATCAGGAAGGTCCGTAAGGAGGAACTTCCCCACGTCTATACTATTTTAGTAAGCCGCGATACTTAAGCCGAGTTACCCCTCTATAAACTAGCTTAACATCCCGCATATCTGCAACTCACTCCTGTTACTTTCAAGAACAACAACTACTTTCTTTTCAGATTTACAACTTTAGAATACTAAGACATTAAACATGGTTACTGCTTCGTACGCCTTTTTTGAGGCTCTTGTTGAGGTATTTATCTGGAAACCCCAGATATATATAGCTGTTCTAACAATATATCAGGCCGGGGTAACCCATTGCTTCGTAAATCTAGGGTCCGATCATCCTTCTATTCTAGAAGCTTTGATTACACTTAAGAGAGAGAATAAGGGTCCAGAAGTTATAGTGAGTCTTTAAATATATCAGTGCACCAATATATTTACTGTCATAACTAATAACTCTTTCCAGACATGTCCAAACGAAGTATGCAAATAGATTCTCTCCCACCTTCAATATATACTCATATCAACATAGATGGTTGCTCTATCCATGGCGGATGGCTATGCTCGTTTAACCGGTAAACCTCAATGTGTAATCGTACACGTCGACGTAGGAACTCAAGGTCTCGGAGCTGCAGTTCACAATGCCTCATGCGGACGAGCACCTGTTCTTATATTCGCCGGTCTATCACCCTATACAATTGAAGGAGAAGCTCGAGGCTCACGAACAGAATACATTCATTGGATACAAGATGTACCGAATCAAGCGGAGATTGTCAGACAATATTGCCGATATTCAATGGAGATTAAGACGGGGAAGAATATTAAACAAATGGTTAATAGGGCACTTCAATGGGCTACTAGTGCTCCTACTGGTCCAGTATATTTGTACTCAGCCAGAGAGGTCATGGAGGAGGAAATAGATGATTATGATTTGGTTCAGGAACATTGGAATGCAGTGGAACCAGCTGCACTTTCTGAAAGTTCAGTTGCTACCATATCAGAAGCTTTAGTCAATGCAAAGGAGCCATTGATCATTACTGGCTATAGTGGTCGGAATCATAAGTCAGTAGGAGCTTTAGTCGAGTTGGCGGATACAGTAAAAGGCCTTCGCGTGTTGGATACTGGTGGTAGTGATATGTGTTTTCCAGCTGATCATCGTGCTTGGTTGGGTTTGAGATATGGGAGTGATAAAGCTATTGAAACTGCTGATGTTATTCTCGTCATTGATTGTGGTAAGTACTCAATCTTTCGATGTCGATATATGAAAACTAACATAATTTCGGGCAGATGTACCATGGGTCAATACTTTATGTCATCCTTCAAAATCAGCGAAGATATTCCACATTGATGTTGATCCACTTAAACAACAAATGCCGGTACGTCCTTCCCACATTCAATAACACTGGAATCTTCCCTCAGAGTTCTCGCTAACAATTTTAGGTATTCTACCTGGCAGCACTTTCACGCTATAGAGCAGATAGTCACACATCTTTAACTCAATTAATAAAATACATAAAAAATACTGGTAATTTCACCAATACACTCTCCTCTCAACCATACACCGAACGATGGGAAGCACTGGCAAAAGATCACACCAAACGCATCGAAGCTATCACCGCGGCCTCAAAGGTTCAAGAAGATGATTCATTCGGTACTGGCTACCTTTGTCAACAGCTCCGCAAGATTGTCCCAACCGATACAATCTTCGCCATCGAGGCGGTAACCAACACCGTTTTCGTAGCCGACAATATTCAAGCTACTCTCCCCGGTTCTTGGATTAATTGTGGAGGTGGAGGATTGGGATGGTCAGGTGGGGGAGCTTTAGGTATTAAATTAGCTACTGAGCTTGAGAATGGGAAAGGCAAGGGAAAATTCGTCGTGCAGATTGTAGGAGATGGAACATTTTTATTTTCAGTTCCTGGAAGTGTTTATTGGATTTGTCAGAGATATGGTATTCCTGTTCTTACTATCGTGCTGAATAACAAGGGTATGTGTCTATTAATCTTGGAATTAACATTGACTCAAGTTACTAACTCGGAAGCAGGTTGGCACGCACCAAAACGATCTCTCCTTTTAGTTCATCCAGATGGTACGGTTTTCCTCCTTCCTTTCTCTCCCTCTTCATCTTTTTCTAACATCTCCCTTTCAATAGGAATCGGATCCAAAGCTACAAACGAAGATCTAAACATTTCCTTTGCACCACAAGTTCCAGATTACGCGGGAATAGCTAGAGCTGCATCTGGAAATAGTGTCATGGCCGAGAAAGTTTCCAAAGCTAGTGAATTGGAGAGTGTTCTTTTGAAGGCGATAGAGTGTGTTAAGGGAGGAACGACAGCGGTCGTAGATGCAGTTGTTGTGCCTGGGTGTTAGGAATAGTAATGGGGGAAAGAAACGGCTGGGAGGATGGAATTTGATTTGATTCGGTTTCGATGATTATTACATACGGCATTTAGCCAGCAGGGAGTAAGAGTAGATATGCATTGTAACAAGGAAAGAAAAGACAATTTATACATGAATAATGGTTTTTGTTGAAGAATATCATGAATAGCAATATAATTCAATGATCTAGAAGAAATATCATCAGCGAGCGTCATCATGGCGTTCAAACGCCTGGACGATATTCCGACTAGTAGATAGCTGTGGCGCCATCTAGACACCAGTGTACGAATTAAAATGGCATGATTTACACCGTATGATGACACTGTTATGGGTATAAGGAGATACTCCTCTCCCACTACCTAGAAACATCGACTAGTATAATTATCTGATAATGGTCCAAAAGAGAAATGGTCTAAAGATGAGGTAAATCTTAACTACTAGATTTATTGTAAAGTCTTAATTAAAGAATCGGTATACTAATGAGTGGGTGGGTGTTGCAGAGGAAATCTTTTGATAGGAGAGTGTGTGTGTGTGGGATGGGATATTTAGTATATGAGTATATATATATTCTTTAGGATATGAAAAGATAGAATGCGGATATTAGATTCAGAGTTAGATTCAGAGTTAGATTCAGAGTTAGATTCAGATTCAGGGTGAATTCTTAGTTATTTATTCATTTAATCAAAATAGCTGAACTGGTGAACTTATATATTTATGCGTCCCACTTTATATATTCTCGAGTATCAATATCTAGTGACAACCACATATCAACCATCTTGTTTTAAATCACCCACTACCTACACACTACTAATAATTTTTTCCATCTCATCAACATCCTTAATCGCCGTTGTTAAATTATCATATCCATCTTTGGTGATTAGAATATTATCTTCGATTCTCACACCTATTCCTTGTTAGTACTTCCAATACCAGCATGTGAACAGGAAGAAGAAAGAGGAATTAAGACAATAGGAGGAATCCTACCTCCGACTTCCCAGTATTTCTCCAAGATATCCGCGTTAATGTATTGAGCATGAGCTGGATCTTTAAGATAAGGTTCAATGATGAAACGACAGAAGTAAATCTAAATCATATTTATCAGCCACAAAATCCAGGAGGGAAGAAAAAGAGAAAATCTTACTCCTGGCTCTACTGTAACAACACTTCCCTCAGGTAATGTCCCTCTCACTCTCAAATACCTAAATAATCTATCCTCATCCTCATAATTTGGATGTCCACCAGTATCATGGGTATCCATTCCAAGATAATGACCCAATCCATGCGGGAAGAAAGCAACACTAGTTCTTGCCTTCAAAATCTCGTCTTTATTTCCTTTGAGAATATTTAGGGAGAGAAGTCCTTCAATTGCGATTTTGTGAGCTAGGAGATGTACTTCATCCCAGGAGACACCTGCTTTAAGCATAGAGGTGCATTGGGTTTGCATGGAAAGTACTATATCATAGATAGAGCGGGATTCGGGTGTGAATTGTCCATTAATGGGGAAAGTTCTAGTCTGAAGGATATTAGCATATCTACGCAAGAGCCTACAGGGAGACCTCAAGTTTAGAAAATATAATCTTACAATATCCGAAGCATAACACTTATACTCTCCTCCAGCATCCAAAAGCAAGTTCAATTTCCCCTCAAGTCCCTCCGAATTCTTCATATAATGCAAAGTAGCAGCCGCTGTTCCACTCGCTACAATACTATGATATGCCTGTTCCCTCGCTCCATTGGCAATACACTCTTTAATAAAAAGCGCTTCCAATTCTCTTTCATTCTTTACATGCTTGACAGCCTTCAAAACAGCCGTATGACCAACAGTCGAAATTTCATTCGCCTTTCTAATCAACGCAACTTCATATTCAGATTTTCTAACTCGGGCTTCCTCAATAGCTTCTTTGAGAAGAGTAAAATCCTTCTGTGGAAATTCGAGGAAAGTGATGTGAGTAGAAATCTGAGGGGCAATAGCCCAGACTTTAGATTGATTCGGTAGCGCGAGATGCGCATTTATTATGTCAGTGGTGAGGACTTCGTCGACATCGTAAAGGGCGAGGGCTTCTTCAGGGGAAACGGGAAGGCCAGTCCAAATGACTGATTCTGGATCAATTGGAGGAATAAAGAGGGTACTTTTTCCTGTGGAGATATTGTAAGTGAAGTAAGAGTCCGGTAGATCGCAACCGGTTAAGTAGTAGAAGTAACGACGTTGTCTAGGATAGTCATATTAGCATAAGTGGTGCAACGGGCCAAACCGAACGAATGACACGAAAGAACGAATTGAACGAGCTCCAATCAATCCTCTCAATACCTGCCAACCCAGCCTATTCACACATACCTAAAAGGAGCCGCCTCATCATTATCCTCAATCATCACCGTCTTCTGCGCCTCCAAATACAGCACTCCCTCCGCCCCAGGCTCCTTACTCCTAATATACTCCCCCACCTTCCTAGCATGTTCTTTCGCCGGATACTTCCCCTCCAAAACCTTATCCATAGCAACCTTATCGAAACCCATACTGCAATGATGTATCTGACGTCGAGGTATGCAATAGTCTAAGCCTAGCTGAGGTCTACCGAAACGCGGAAGTCGAGCTCCGCACAATCTCAAGCTTCTAGAAGCCGATTTTGGTAATATCGACAATGATTGAGGAGTACTGCAAGAATAGGGTACGAACTGCACGGGTGTTATTTGTGCTATGCTTATTCTTTGTCGTCCTTGGAAACAACGTGCGAATCGCGGGGTAGTTAACGAGCGGAACATAATCTTACCTAGCTTTGGCTTTGCCCGTTGCTAAGCGTGCTGTGAAAATCAATTCGGTCGCTCCCGACCAAAAAAACAAACCTCGGTGATCGTTTGACTTGTGAACTTTATTATTTTAAACGTTCACTAGCCTTTGGTTTTCTGCTTGGCAACATTGCATTGAACCTCATTAATTACTATCGAGATTAAATTTACACGTGTACGATTTTGGACACATTGCATGCAAATAGAAGTGAAGTTGAATTAAACTATGTGTTCAGGATATCATTAAAATCTGAATCTCCCTTCATTGGGTACCAGTACCAATATATCACACACATTGATAGTGCTCATGATGCTACAAACGAAACTACACCCTCAAATTATCCCTCTCGCCGACTTGGAGCAAAGTATACCATCCAATAATCGTGATCCAAGCTTGTATCCATCATAAAACGCCTCCAATGATGCCTCCCGTATCTGTGTTGTATGTAGCCTTCACCATCTCAATTGTGTTCTCTCTAGTGATCAGGCCATTTCATATGCAATCTGTCCCGGGAACTTTATCTCCGACCTGTCCATGTCTGGCTCATCATCCATCTCCCATCAGGAGCCGTAACCATCTTGACTCGGCCACTTTCGAACTTTCCAATAGCCTATTTAGGCCATACACAACGCACATCTAGGCGTCTGCAGTTACTTCTACCACAGTTTCTTGTGCAGTCATATTCGTTCTACCCCTATTTAAGAGCGACATATTCGGAACGAAGTTAACCCCTCCCTGCAAAGAAGACAGTTCTTTCAGACTTATCGCGTGCTGTAGAAGAGCCTCTTTATTCGCCTTCAATTCAAAATTTGTGAGAAAACAAAAATTGATTTCCAATTTCGAGAGCTCTTGCTCACTGACACCTCCAACCTGCGCAAAACGAGCATGAGAATAGCTTTGATCTTCGAGTGCTTTCATAGCTACACGTAGACCGGCCAATATGAGTCGATGCGAGTTTCGCCGTGTCACAGGTATTACACGTTCATCGACCGCTACTCTGTATATGTAGGAACTCGTTGCAAGATAAACAGCTGTTGACATTGGACAAAATTTGTGTATACGCATCAAATAATCTTCTAGAGAAATTGGAGGAATCTGCCTAGAGTAGAATCTTCGTGTAATAGCACTATGCTGAACATTCAGAGGCTCGGCATTCTCTCCAACAATGATATATGGTTCTGCGGGCACAATTTCTTGTCTTTCGAGAGGCTTTTGTCGAAGGTTTACTCCGTCTATAGCATCTGGTCCAGAAGCTCGTTGTCGAAAACCTGCCAAGTTTGTCCACGATCCGGAGCGTCGTATGTTTTCTTTCTCTGCCTGCATTCCTCTCATATTCGGCATCGTCGTTTCGGTTTCGGTCGAAGCTGGCATTGGAGGAATATCTCCTGTAAACTGAACTAGAGCCTCAATACCAGCACATAACAATTTGAGTGCCGTTATTGGCGAAAGTGTAAAAATATCAATGCTACTGGGAGACGGTGGGGACACTCCACGATCATTTGAAAATTGATGGACGGTGAGAGCAGCATCGCTTGAAGGATTTGGTGGTGGTGGTAGTTCGCGGTCAGAATGATCGTCTGAATCGTGGTGTGAATTTCCGAAAGTCATCGAACCGGAGCCGTCTGTAAGTGATTGAGACATAATTCAATTTATGGCCTGCGAAGTGAATCTCTCTGTTCGACTTTTTGAAAGATTAATGGGTTGGTTATTGTTATCTCCTCTCCACACGATATCCAAATGAACGTGGGTGATGAGATTGAGATCAGGAGTTGAGAAGACGCCGGGGCCAGGGAGGCTTAATGGATGCTTGGAAGAGCTCCAAGAAGGGCATGTTCTCGGTGACAGATGATATGCAAAATTTGTTGTTGAAAGGCGAGACTGGGTGCGTGTGTGGAGGGATTGATGGTCTTATATTGAGTGGAGTGGAAGTGGATTCATTTTATAGTAAGATCATGTTTATAGGGTTTGGAACTTCCTTGAGCACTAATAAAAGAAAGGACAGAGATGGGAAAAGAGCGGAAAAGAGTGACGGGGTGTGGAAAATGACAAGGGGCTACATAAGTAAGTAGGTAGCATACATACAGGCACATTGCACACATTTAAATTACCCCTTGTCCTCCCATGTGTTCCAATATAATTAAATGAGTGAATTCGGCAGTATCATGCGTGAGTAGCATTCGTACCTAGCATTCACAGCATTCAGCCTGATTGGAAGCACAAAGCCTAATGGGAGTAGAGGCCCAAAGAAAATAGCATGCTCGACTCACTCGAGATATGCCTCCACCACCAATCCTTAAGCTAAGGACGGAGTAGCACGGTACCTAGTGGCTCGATGACTAGATGGCTAGATGACTAGATGTCTAGAACTAAATTGAAACCAGCCGAAGCTTAAAAATGTTAGCAAGATGCAGTCACTCCACTGCTCACCGATAAGAACCAAGACGTCGGACAGAACAGAAAAAACTCTAGAAGGAGCACGTGGATCACCAGCAGGGTAGAAAAGCACCTCGGGGAAGACCAAATGAGGTTAACGAGCTTACCTCTGACTCCGTGTGTATGTGCCCGCCACACCACAAAGATGGTAATGATAATCCATCCGCAGAATCAGATGGAGCACGCATCGTATCTATAAATCCTCAAAGTTCATTACCGAGTGGATTTCAACCAATAATTGCATCAAATAGACACTTCAGGGTCTTTATTAATTCTACTAAATCATGGGGAAGCTAATATTTCCAAGGGGTTTACCGTTTGCGAGACGAGCGTCGCGATAATAGATAATAAATAGTACTCTCGATACGACTATCTATTATCGGTGTCTACCCGTAAACGTCCTTACTGAATTCGGATGAGCAAAATTGACCACGAGACTCTCTGAGTTTGATGTTGCGAGATTATTCAATTGTTGACCGACAAATAGAGTAAAGTAAAGTAGGATGTTACATCTAGTGCCCTTTGACCTTTGAGGAGAATATCCTCTAAGCGCGCCCCTCACGTAAAAGGAAGAGGCTTGGATCGGAATATTTCATATGAGCTGGATCGATAAACGTTTTAATTTATTTGATCTCTCTCTTCCCGTATCGTATCTTCGATGTATCGTATTCCTAATGGTTGTATCGATCAAGTAGTCATAGACAAGCATTTCCCCACATCTAGGCATTCCTATCGGAACCCTCCACACTGGGATGATTATCGGAATCACCTCTCCGCTATCCCCTGATATCATACAATGCAGGATCTTGCAGAAAGTGTTGGTAGTAAACACTACTAAAGGATAAGCGTGACTGGGTAAATTCTTGATTCGTTGGGTATACACGGTATTCAATTAAACTAAACCTCGAACTTCAATTCGAGGAGACGCCAAACTCCATTTCAAATATTTCTTGATACTTTTATGTCCATCTTCCATCGTCTTCAGGTATTTTAATCCTTCCATCTAGCCAAGAACTTTGCCATATCATCAGTAGGCATCGATGCAGCAGCAACCTTTCATTCATTAGTTGCGCGACTCAGAATTATTGGGGTTTGAAACTTACCGTATTAGAGTGGCTTTCAAAGGACGCTGTTTGAGCTTGTGTCAAAGTCGTGTGAATTGTTGCAGAGCTCAAATACGTGGTGGCTAGAGGAACGGACGATGTTGGGTATTGAGGTGCCGTATTAGTGGCCGTTATAGTGCTACCAGGCATTAAACCCATTGGAGCATATCTGGTAAGACCAGTTTGTGATTGGAATGGGATACCATAAGCCCCCTCCGCCAATGTCGATGAAGACGCTGCAGTGGTATCTGCCACGGTATCCGCCACGGTATTGACAGTGGCAGGACCAGCAGTACCAGTAATTGTGAATGTGGCTCCAAATGTCCCTGTCATGCCATTAATTGAAAATCTATCCGAATAAACAGTAACTGTTCCTCCAGCTTTGGCGGTCGCTATCATTCTCATGAAACTGCATCATAATCAGCACCCAGTTTTCTTGAAACTTTGGCATCAGAAAACTCACTATGCATTGGTCACGGACTCTCCGCTGGTCGCTAGTACAGTGACGGTAGTTGTAAGAGTTGAGCCCATGCTAACGGTAGAAGATACTGGAGTTATCACTTTGATATCTGTACCAGAAGTAGATCCCGCGCAGACGGCTAATGAATAAGTCGAAATATCAGCTATCGATGGAGCATCTCCACTATCTGCCCAAGTAACAGTAAATGCGGTTCCAGCCGTTTCTACCGCTCCAGCTGCTGGTGCTGCAAATTTTGGGTATGCAATTGCAAACGGAGCAGATGCCGCAAGGACCAAAGCCTGGGAAAGGCGCATAATGGATAGCTTTCGCGCTCGCAGATTGGATATCGATATTGATCTTTGATCTTTGATCTTCGTATGATTCTCTATTTTGCAGGGTGAATTGTATAATTTTTTATGAAGTCGTGGTTGAATTGATTGAAAGATAACTCCAAGGACTATCTATCCTTGGGAGGAAGGCTGAAATGTAACTTTGGCCTTAGGCGTGAAGGGGGTAAATTTCAACGCAGCCGATCTTCACGTTCACGGGTTTGAAGTTCTCTCTAGGTTCTATATTTAGAATTAATGAGCATGTGAAAGCTTCTTATGATTGGATGACTTCTTTTTGATATGCAAGAAGACCTTTTTTTCTTATTACCATCATACATACTACAATGCTCGGGTATGATTTATTCAATGGCTTCAAAGTTCTGCAAAGCATTTAAAACCATAGCAAATAATCCATAACTTCAGCGACACAGGAAAAGGGTCCAAAGGAAGACATATGAGGCCAGGCTACATACAGTAGGTACGGGTATATTGCGGTACGGCTACCTGCGGGAGATCTTGCCACGGTTTTTGTCTTATCGATCTGGATAAGTGAAAACCCCTCTACAAGGGTAACTCAATGAAGAATAATTTCATTCATTGTCAAGTTTTTGATCTGACTTTTTATAACAAATTCTCGTGCCACATTGCGACATTACATATCCATCTTGGAAAAGGGAGTTCATAATTATTCTCTTTTATCTTGATTTTCTACCTTTCCCGTACAATCCGGCAACTGTCCAAATCAGCAATATTCAACCCAAATATCTAAAATATCATCAATATGGCATCTATTACTAGTCCTGTGCGGGCTCCTGTCCTCGCCATGAGTGCTTCTGAGCTGATTGGAAATACTCCCTTGGTGCGATTAAATAAGATTCCGCAAAGCTTGGGTATCGAAGCAGAAGTCTACGCAAAGGTCGAACTCTTCAATGCTGGTGGAAGTATTAAGGATCGTATTGCGCTTCGCATGATTGAGGAGGCGGAAAAGTCTGGTAGAATAAAGCCTGGGGATACTCTTATTGAACCAACCAGTGGAAATACGTAAGTTACTTCTTACCTCTTCGGCATGCATTCCTAACTCCTCCCCAGTGGTATTGGGCTTGCTCTTGTTGGTGCCATTAAAGGTTACAAGACAATCATTACTCTCCCCGAAAAGATGTCACCAGAAAAGGTCGCTGTTTTACGAGCACTTGGAGCCACCATCATTCGTACCCCAACTCAAGCAGCATGGGATGCACCAGAGTCTCATATTGGGGTTGCAAGACGCTTGTTGAAAGAAATTCCAAACTCCCACATCCTGGATCAATATGCAAACGAGAACAACCCTCTTGCACACGAATTTGGAACCGCCGAAGAAATTTGGAAGCAAACAAATGGAAAGATTACTGCCGTTGTTGCAGGAGCTGGTACAGGTGGAACTATTACTGGATTATCTAAGGGTCTAAAGAAGCATAACAAAGATGTCAAAATCATTGCAGCAGATCCCCATGGATCTATACTTGCAGTACCAGAAAGCCTGAACCAAGAACACGCCAATGAATCTTACAAGGTTGAGGGAATTGGTTATGATTTCATTCCTGATGTCTTGGATCGAGAGTCCGTTGATGTGTGGTACAAAACTGATGATCGTGAATCATTCGCCTACGCACGTAGACTGATTGCCGAAGAAGGTCTATTGGTCGGAGGTAGCAGTGGCAGTGCTATTGCAGCTATGGTAAAGGGAGTTCGTGATTTGGGACTTGGTAAAGGTGATACCGTGGTGGTCATCCTACCAGATAGCATCAGAAGTTACCTCAGCAAATTTGCCGACGATGACTGGCTAGCCGCCAACGATCTCCTTCCTCCTACTCCTGAGTCATCCACTCCAGCATCTCCCGTCGTCGAGGCTCAATCTAAGAAAGATCCATATTCAGGAGCAACTCTTCGATCTCTTCGCCTCAAACCAGTCACATCCGTACTAGCCAACTCCTCCTGTTCCGAAGCCATCGAAACCATGCGCGAAAAGGGATTCGATCAACTCCCCGTTCTCGCCCCCAAAGGAGATAAACTCGTCGGTCTCGTCACTCTCGGAAACCTCCTCAGTTGGATTAGTCGCGGCCGCGCCACCGGCAAAAGCCCCGTCTCAGATGTCATGTTTGACTTCTCCCACATTCCCGAAGTCATCACCGATCCTAAGGATATCAGTCACCTTTCTTCACCACCCAAGAGCAACGGTATTGAAACCACTCAAGAAGGCAAGAAACAAACCACCCCCAAACGCAAATTCGTAGAAATCACTCTCGATACTCCTATCTCTGCCTTGAGCAAATTCTTCGAATGGAACAGCGCGGCCATTGTCACCGAAAAGGGAACCGAGAAGAATGGATTATCAAAACCAGTAGCGGTAGTTACAAAGGTCGATTTATTGAGTTGGATGGTAAAGCAAACGAAAGTTTAAACCAAGTCTCTGCATCGTGTCGGGCTGAATGGGAATGGCGTTTTGGAGTGATATATATGTAAGCACTGTAAGCACTATATGTGTGGTACGTGATAGTGCTTTTGGTCTCAACACCTATTGGGAGGATATAGATAGATTGTCCCTGCATTTGGTTTAGGGGGTGTTATTGAAAGAATGGAAGAATGAATATAAATAAACAAATACATCGATCAATAAACGTTCACACGAGGCAGACATGGTAGTAAAGTAGATGATGCAAACCTGCATATCTCATGAAGAGGTACCTACTTCATCGATAGCTATATAGATATCCATGTATGTATGTTTATGTATCCCTCACATTATGTATAAAAATACCAAAACGAATTAGAAGAAAAACAACACAAGTGGAGAAAGTTGGAGAGTTAAGTGAGGAGGTAATACAAGCAAGCAAGCGTATTGGATTATTGGACTGGACTAATCGTACAATGTACAGTTCATTCATATATGTATTTATTTCTCTGACAGCTTTGAGCCTAAGTCAAAGTACACACGAACGAGCGAACGAACTTTCTAAAAACTAGATAGCAAGCAAACGACTTTTTACCAAACCATTCTTTGTTCAAGTGTTAGTTTTGAACTGTACTGGTTTAATCTGAATATATGCCATATTAATTCAAATTATTCTCCGCCCCGCCCCGCCCCGCCCCGCCTCACCCTGCTCCATTTTCAAGAAATGAGAAGGCAATGATTTCCAAACGCCATGCACCCAAATCTACCGTATTAGATTGGATTTGTGATTCGGAATGGTCTAGACACCCCACCCTAGAATACCTATTCTCGGTCCACCATCCAATCATGCAGGCGATATAATGCAAGAACTCCTTCCCATCCCCCTTCCCATCCCCCTTCCCATTTCCATCACCACTTTTCCAGAATCTAAACAGTTAAACGTCCTCAAACTCCATATCCTCTTCACTCTCTTCTTCATCTTTTATAATCGTTGCTGCTGCAGCTGGTTCCTCAATTCTAACCTTCTTTGCTGGTCTATCCTCATTCGGTGTATTCGGTCCTGTTACCGGACTTGCTGCACCTGTACTCGTTCCACTTGCAGAAACACTTTCATTTCGTGAATGCTTCAAAACGCCACTGAGACCACTACCACTTGTTACACTAGGCTTTGAGTCTGTACCTCCAACTGAGCTAGCTGGAGTGGCAGCGCCAGATGTGGTACCATTGGGAATGACGTCCTCAAAACCTTCCTCTTCATCATCGTCAGTTTCGTATTCTTCATCTTGCTCTTGCTCGGCCTCTTTGGCTTGCGCTGCCTTCAGTTGCGCAAAGTAATCATCAATTTCAGCCCCCTCATCCGTGCCTTCAGGTTTGATATCCTTTTTATTGATATCAACTGCCGGTCCAACGGAGACAGTAGGCTGGTTACCAAACTTGACCTGTTCTCCAGTGATTGTACTGTGAGTAAAATGTTGAGGCAAGGCATTCTGAAGCGCCGTCTTTTCTTTGCGAGCCTGTTCAGCGGCGATATCTGCAGCTGTAGGTCCTTCTCCATTCGTCAAAGTAACTGAAATAGACGTTGGTCCAGTGTTATCCAGACCACGAACAGCAGTCGGTCTCTCCGAGGAGAGAGTAACAGGTGCGGTTTCGCTCCCAGGATTGGCTTCATCTCTAACCACTTTGCGAGCTGAGGCAAGAGCTTGCTCGAAGGTATTTGCAGGGATTACTACCTGATCGATTTTTGGGAGGAGATCGGTGATGAACCTGAATTGGGCATTAAGTTTCGAGGACTGCTCATGTCCACCACGGTTGTTATCAGGATCGTGTACTAGAAGAAAATCGCATTTGTGACATAAAAAGCCTTCATAATTTCTCTTGTCCAAAACCTCGAACATGGTCCATTCCGATTTGCATCGAGGGCAAAAATATTCCTTTCTCTCATCATCCGGCACAGTATTTCCTTGAACCGCCTTGTCTATCAGGTAGACTCTCCATTTGATCGCATCGATTGTTGCACGATAGTCAATATAGTAGTAGGTTCGATTAATTGGGCGTTGTTGACCTTCTCTGATCTCTGGGCGCGAATGCCTAAACAATGATCTTAGCAAAAGCTAGAATACAGAATGGGCTATCAGCCATACACTGCAAGAAATCGATCCTCCTTTAATTTTCCACAAAGCTTGTGAAGCTCTTTCGTATTTATGCTCATCAGGTATGCCAAATCATCATCGCGCAAGCTGTAGGATGTCAACGTCTTTTTCTCGAGGTGCAAAACGCTCATAGAAAGACATACGCAGAATGAATGACGAGGGCATCAATCACAAGGATATGTTTTGTGTCGTAAAACGAGCGCATACAAGAGCGCACCAGCATTTGAGCGAGATCCATATTTGCAACTGGAAAGTCGAAATATTGAGTGTATAAAAGAATAGATAGCGAGAAAATACCAGTCCTTGAAATCCCGAGAAGCGGTAGAAATGTGTAATCAAGAGGAGACTTTTAAAAGGTCGGTAGTAAGAGTATGGGGAGAGACAAAGAGATGGATATTTAATATAAGGCGTCAAGGATGCCCATGATCATTCCGTATCCTCAAGACAACAAAGTCGAAGATGTGAAGAAGATGGATGGTTTCTTTTTGCGTCTATTATCGAGAGGATGGAGGCTGTGTTGCTCACAACAGGAACGGAGGAGACAATTGAATAAAAATCTGATATGGTTGTTAATTTAGTAAGGGAGATGAAGTGAGTGAAGATAATGATTGGCAAGGCCGAGGTGCACCGTGCAGATTGCAGTAGAAAGATTTGTGAGACTGGTACCAAGTTTTAATTATATGCATATTTATTATTGTTGGTTGAGAATAACTTACTTTGGTTTGGAGCTTGGACCAAAGCACTAAAAATTATCGGGAGAAATATTCGCGCTTCATGTCAGATTTCCAGTTTTATTATCGAGCTCTTTATTTTTTAGAATTTCTCGTCGGAGATCTATGAGTATTTTTCAATTGGTGAAAAATGCATTGAAATATATCTCGGAAGTTCGAATAATCACATCAATCATGGAGTCAAGTGCCAAATCTGGGGGTCAACACGGTGGAGGACGAGGGCGGGGGCGGGGAGGTTCTAGTAGAGGCGGCAGAGGAAACTCCAGAGGTGGTTCCAGAGGAGGTAGAAAACCAGAAATGGGTCGCAAAGAATACAAGTCAGTCGTGCCTTTGATTTTCAGAATCTAATTTCTCTAACGTTTCCAGTCGTCAAGCACCAAAGAGAGATCGAAATGACGACGACCAAGCATTGAAGCGAAGAAAGACGATGCACAATGGAGAATCAGAACCAACAGCATTTAGTACGGAATTCTCCAAGGAGGAAATCGAGAGTGAAGTACGGAAACCCAAACACAAAGTAGCCGTGATGATTGGCTATGCAGGAACTGGATACAAAGGCTTGCAAATCAATACCAAGGAGAAGACGATTGAAGGTGATATGTTCAAGGCCTTTGTGGCAGCCGGTGCAATTTCGAAAGCGAATGCAAATGATCCGAAAAAGTCTGCCTTGGTACGATGCGCGCGAACCGACAAAGGAGTTCATGCAGCTGGCAATGTTCTCTCCTTAAAACTCATTACCGAAGACCCCAATGTCGTTGAGAATATCAATTCACATTTACCGGATCAAATTCGAGTCTGGGGTATTGAAAGAACTACGGGGTCGTTCAATTGCTATCAAATGTGTGACTCGCGGTGGTATGAATATTTAATTCCAACTTACTCATTTATCCCACCTCATCCTAAGAGTTTCCTTGGAAAAGAATTGCTACAGGCAGCTGAGAAAGAAGGTGTCTTGGAAAAGTTCAATCAACTGCAAGAAGATGCTGCATCATTCTGGACAGATGCTGAGAAGGAATTCGTACAACCTATACTTGATAATTTGGATCCACAATTGGCGGCGGATGTTATGGAAGCTATTCATGCTGCAGAGGAATCCAATGAACCAATTGGAAAAAATATTAAGAAGAATAAGGCAGAAGGCAAAGATGGGGCCGAAATCAAGGAAGATACCGAGGAGGAACCTACCAAAAACCATGAAGCGGAAACCGAAGGCGAATTGGCACCCAAGGAGGAACCTGTAGCGGTCGAGGTTAACGGAGACGGAGATGTCAAGCAAAATTTTGAACCCGCAGCGGAAGTGGGAAAGGAGGATCCGGAAGCTATGCAAGGCATAGAAACTACTGGAGAACCAGAAGTAGAGGGTGAGACTACTCAGAAGCCAAAAGCGGAGGGTGTCCAAGAAATCTCGAAATCCATTCTCACGCCTCTCGAAAAGGCCGTCAAGGAGGTAAAAGCAGCCTATATCAAAGCCAAGAAAGCATACCGCATACACGAGTCTCGCAGACAAAGAGTACAAGAGGCGCTCAATCAATATGTTGGTACTTACAACTACCACAACTATACAATTCTCAAGAACTATAGTGATCCCTCTTCAAGACGACACATCAAATCCTTCAAGATTGGACTCAAACCTATCATTATCCACGATACAGAATGGCTCTCATTGAAGGTCCATGGTCAATCCTTTATGATGCATCAAATCCGAAAGATGGTAGCAATGGCAGCATTAGTAGTACGATGTGCTTCGCCAATGGAGCTTATCAAAGAAACTTATACTGCTGCCAAGATTAGTATACCAAAAGCCCCTAGTCTGGGATTACTATTAGAAGCACCAGTTTTCCATAACTACAATGAGAAGGTTGCAAAGGATTTCGATAGAGAAAAACTAGACTTCGAGAAGTATAGAGAAAAAATGGATGAATTTAAGCAAAGGGAGATCTATGATAGGATCTTCAGAGTAGAGAATACTGATAATCAGTAAGTTTATCATTTTTACGACTAGAAACCAAGCTAACAGCATGACAGATTTCACACATTCTTCCATCATCTAGATCATCATCGAAGCGATTACTTCTTGTGGCTGACAGCTTCAGGAATCTCTGCTGGGAGACAGCGCGGGGCAGGCAAGGATGCTTTGGATGCTAGTGATGATGAGGCTGACGTGAATGGTGAGGAGGGTTGATTGTTATATAGTTTCGTAGAAGAAATGAGTAAAGTTGGAAATGCGAGTGCTGAATGTTGCGAGGCTATGGGTATTGAGTGCAGAGCTCAAAACAGATGACGTGGCGAGGATATTTACACATAAGGAATGGTAGCGGAAAACGATTCTAGCCGGCTAGCAGAATCGAGAATCATCAATAGACCACAAAACAATGACAAGAAAACCTGACTTTCTTTATACACAAACAACTATCTGTTTCATGTCATTCCATTTCTTGCTTTCTATCCAACAATCATCCACTCGTTCGCTCATCTACTCATATTTCGTTCTTGTTCATGTGCCACCGTTGAGAGCATACCATGAACATGGATTTATCAAACATCACACCCTCCATAATCCTTCCCCAGCATTTGCTTAGGCGACTCAACCATATTTCCTCATACAATCTCAAACGAACCACTCCATATCCATATCCATATCCATATCCATCCTCCTATAACACCCAAGCCCAAACCGCTTGAAATCAACCTCTTGAGATCAAACCAACCAACCAACCATCTATCTATCCATCTATGTATATCAAAACCTGAACAACAAACCCTTCTACCAATAACCACGCGAAGATATCCGCGGCAAAAACTAGTATTCGAACTTCATCCTTTTTCCTCTCCATTTGTCTCCTCTAGCATCTCTGCATTCATAGCATAAAATCGCGTCGCATCATGTCCTTCTGATGAAAAGTTGCTCGAATTTATCTTTACACTTGATTTTTGGGGGATGTGTTAGTATTTTTTTTGGAGGGGTTGTTGGTTTATTCATTTGCGATTGGTATATTTTACATGCCCATATCCATATGATTTGAATATGAATATGAAAGGGAAAGCAAAAGGCGAGGAGAAAGGAAAGAAGCAGAAAGAAAAGTAGAAAAGTGAAAAAGTGAAAGAAAAAAAAAAGAAAAGAAAACTCACATTCCTCCCACACCAAACCCTCCTCGGTAACCTAACCACCCGCTTCATAACCACATATTCCCCTAGCTCATCCTCCTCCCTCTGTTCGCTATCCCTGATTGTCGTTGTATCTTTGCGCAAAACTTCTATTTCCATCTCATCGATATTTGGATTTGGATTCAAATTTGAATTCGAATCCAAATCTCTATTGCTACTCTGATTCCCATTCATACTCAACCGTACATTCGGCTGCGCACTCATATTCAACAATCTACTCTTCGATCTCTGATTTGTGATTTGATCTCGCGATTTAGAAGAATTTGTATGTAAATTCGTGCTTATTTTCCTGCGGAGTTTATTGGTTGATATTTGTTTTTCTTTTTGTTTTCGTATTTCTGTTTCTGTTTGAGCCTGCTCATTCACAATCCCAGCATCAAAATTAAAATCACAAGAATCACCAGAAGTAGAAGAAAAATTAGAATTTTTTCCATGTCCCTCAGTTGGAGAGACCTCTCGTTCGTGTTTTTGCTTTTTCTCTTCCACCCGAATAGGATCGTAGACTAGGAAATGGATAACGATTTTTCGTACGCCGTGCGGTATCACCATTATTTGCATTTGCTGGCCTGAGAGGAAGGGAGGGTCGTTTTCGCGGGTTTCGGTGAAACCTTGCTGGACTACCTTTGGGGGGAGGAGAGTGCTGCGCGGAAGGTAGTAGAAGGCGGGTGGGGAGAGGGTGTAGAGGACTTCGAGGGGGTCGTGGGGATTGGTGGTTGGGGATAGGGAGCGGGAGGTGAGATGTTGGGATAGCCGGTTAGTGGTGGCGGTCGGTGGCCTGGGGGTTGAGAGGTGTAGGCTGAAAGAGAGTTTGAGGAGGAGGTTGTGCAGGTGCGTGTGTAGTGTTACGAGGTTGGAATGCGCGGAGGCGTTGGCTGCCATTTTGGGGCTGGTGTATTGCTGTGTGTTTGTAGTGCAGATGTGATATTATTGAACGGAGAGGTAGATCGTCAGACTTTGGTATTGTGGGGAGCCTGTAATTGTTCCAAATTGCTTTGTGAAATCGATGCTGAAAATAAAGTAAATGTGTGGATGTGTATGCGTTGTCCGTTGTTTGCTCCGTCCAGCAAGGAGAATAGTAAAAGATAAATCGACTCCCTCGAGAATACTCGAAAAGATTGTGTATGTGTGTGTATGGAGTGGTAGTTACCAAGATGGAGTTGCAACGAATTTGTATTGTCAAAGACAAAATTCTGAAACTTATCTACAGGTAGGTAGAAAGTTCCCGGAAAGTGAATAGGGTCATAGATTGAAGCCTTCAAAGAAATTTACCATATTATCTTGGAAATATCAAGACAATCCTTCCATGTGAAATTTGATTCTCGACCGTATTGGATTCTTTGCGCTGCTAACCTAGAATTCATTTGAATTTGAGTCATAGACTCATAGTGGATAATTTTACATCTATAAGTAGTACATACCAATCTATTCACTCCACCTCATTTCCCCTTCGTACATTAAAATATCCAAGCACGTTATCTGCCGTTCACACCTCCTCAACATCATCTCATAGTCCTCCCATAACTCCAAATATTCAACCCCACTTTCGACCCTCTCTTCACCGGTAACCCAGCATGCCATGTCTCTTCGTATCCCCTCCCATCTCTATCCATATTCTCCCAGAAGACTGCATTTCCTTTGATCGGTTTAAGTGTTACTCCTTCTACCGTTACATTCTTCCCACTTCTTGGATCTAATGCTTCGGTAGTATCAAGGAATTCCTCCCATCCACCTCCTTCTGGTCCTATTACACGAGGGAATTCTGTTCCTCCACCTTCGATATCGGAGGATACATCGACGTAGACCAGAAATGTACTTATTCGGTCTACGCCACGTTTTCCTCCACTCCAATCGCTATATCCAATTATTAGCCCTTATACTCATGATATCTCCCCGTAATGATCATATGAACAGCAAAAAATGAAACATCACAAGGGATCCTCGTAAACTTACAAATGCATCGCATAATGCCCTCCAACCCCATACCTCTGCGTCCTCAACTTCTCAATCCCCATCTCACCCCTCCACCCCTGAAACGCTCTCGCTCTATGCTCAATACATCTAACCACCTCATCTCTCTCTAGCAACGCTACTTCCGAATGACGAACCGAAGTATCAATTGTCGTTTCCTGCCCATGAGAAATAGTAGAAGGTGCATAAAGTGGTTCGCTATCCCGTCAGTTTTCTCCTCTTCATCAAAGTCGATACAACACACCTAACATCAACTAAATGTTTACTTTCATTCGCTTTCAAAAATCCCTCAATATATATCATAAGCGGTTCTCGACTAATAATATACGTCTTGTAACTATCTTCCGGACAATATAAAGGTTCATCACTAGCAATAAATGTGGAGTTTAAATCGAGAGGTTCATAGCGAGTAGATGGACGTTTGAAAATCATCTGTGAGAGAGGCGCCACTACGAGAACGTAGAACGGTATCAATGCAAACACGTAAAACAGCATTTTGCTGGATTATTTGTGATGTTTAGGTTGTGCTAGGCTTGGCGGGGAGGAAGAAAAGGAGGTGAGAGGTTAGAAGAAAGTTGTGGAGCATCACGTGTTGGGTACGTAATATCGATGTTGATGATATATATGCATATGCGCAATAACAGAGTTTATTTACAATTACCTGTATTTCTTTCCACTTGGATATCCTCATTATTCGGATTTTCGGATGTGATTCATTGGCCGTGAAGAATACTGGATAGGAAACTATGGGAGGCTGTTTATGCTCAGATGTCCGCACGGAAAGTTCTTAAATCCTTTCTGTTTTCCTTACCAAACAAAGTGTCCAATAGTTTGGATCCGGACTTCAATCCAACAACTTGGGAATTTTGGTCAATATTTCCATTCAACAGTCGAAACATTCCGAGTATGAATTAGCCCCAACAGCCAATCACCTATGGTAGTTAATATCGAGCTTTGATTTGGCCTGCTATTCCGAATGTTAGATGTTGTATCCCCGATCCATTCTATCTGATGTCCTAATTCAGAGCTTCAGACTGGTATTATCCTACTACCAGGTATTTTCTGACTGAAAATTGGATTCAGAAGTGGAACTATACTATACCTTAACATTTTTAGTTCTGCGATGTATGTATTGTTCCTATGCACATCCAGTGCACCGTTGGAAGCAAAGACTCCTTCAACATCATTCTTGAAGGTAATATATATATGGTTTGAATAAGCTTTGGACTGGAATCTGAAATAAGTTTATATATGGAATGCGGAGTTAATTGTAAGGTTATAAAGTGGGAAAATATAAATAAGTGAATGAATAAAACAAGATTAATTGATATAAATAGATCACTATTCCAATCCTCCGACTGATAGACGATATCAGTTCGTGAATATGAAAGAATGAATGTTTAAAAGGATAGAAGTCTTGGTACTGTTATTACTATTACTATAGATAATGAATTATAGATTATAGAAAGAGCGCAGTCGAAGCAATAGTAGGACTTCTATGGTTGAGGATTCGAAGTGATGATTTATGTATTAATGGTTTGAATCGGTGCTTTTCCGGTTGTTGTGTTGAAAGCTATACTTAGTAGTTTTCAAAGGTGGAGAGAAGAAAGAAAGAGGAGAAATGTGCCCAGGTAGATGCTAGGGTACAACTCAGTGATGGGACCCATCTCAAGTTCCCAAGAGGTGAGAATAGAGGAGGTGGTGGGGTGATATGCTCAATATTTACGAGACATCTGAAATCAGTCTTTCAACTATTGACTTAGATCCCATGATTCAAAGAATCAAAGAAGTTCAATTGTGGGAAGGACATTGAATTGATTAGAGTTATATGCTAGATTCCTTGTGCTCACTCATTTTTGCTATACTCACTGCTCGCACATACATCCTCTCAACCATCAATTCTCCTCCAAAAACCCCAAAACAAGTTCATCAAACCTAGAAGGATCCTCCCAATAGCACCAATGGCCACCCCAATCAACTACCACCCCTCTTGCTTTCCCTCGCCCGGACTTTTCATCACTCTTCTCCTCTTCTCCATTAATAAACTCCACAATCTTCATGACTCCTTCGGCAGGAAAACATCCACTCATAGTACTTCCCACCACTAAAACCTCTGTCTGACTCCCGCTTTCAGGCCCAAAAGTAGCACGAATACTATCTCTCCAATCCTTAGAAGTATGATCTTCCATCAATTTTCCCAACCATCTTCCATCCCCCTTAAGTGCTTCTCCTAAGAAGAATGCCTCATCTTCTTCCATTTCCTTCTGCGTCCTACTCCCTTTCTCAATTTCATACCGATAACCCAAACAAGCGGCAATAGTCCCACGATGTGCAACATCTGGTGCCAGTTCAAGAGTCTTCTGAAGAGAAGCAATCGCCCATGGATTATTCATCCCGCGATTACAAAACCGACTATCCCAACCATCCAACGTAGAATTTTGCAAAGGACTTTGATCTACGAAGATCATTTTCTTGAATAAACTCGGAGTAAAAAGTTCCGCATAACTCCATAAAATTGCACATCCAAGACTACCACCGATAGCAAGGAATTTCTTTTCTGATCGCGTGACGTTATGACCTATAGGAGACGAATTGATGATTTGTTGCGTAAGTTCATGCAAATCCATTGCGAGTCGACTCACATGATACCCATGCTTCGGTTTTCCACTGTTCCCGTGGCCTCTGAGATCTGGTACAAGAACTCGGTATTTTTGTGACAAAGCAGGGATATTGCGTTGCCAGACGGCAGATGAGCCTGTAAAACCATGCAGCTATGTGCTCTATTAGTCCAACTCTTCCCCCTCAACCACTTCAATCATGATTCTGTGAAGCAAAATTCCTGATGTCTCAATACATCATACACCGAGACAGAAATTCTAAAGCAGAAGAAAAAAATCACTCACAAGAATCAAGCATTCCTTTCCACCCTCATTCTTAGGATCCGTATCAATATATTTGATCGTAATCCCATCATTCGTTTTGAAGTTCTCCATTACGTGTATCTGTATCCTAGCAAAATTTTCCCTTCTTCCAAATCCCTCCAGCGATCTTGACGTTCAAAGTCAAGTGAGAACCTCTTATACACGTCTTTAAAATATTCGACTTTAACCTTAATATGCTTCACCTAAGAGACCTTCAACTCGTTCTCGAAGATACCAGCACAAGATCTACACAACACAAGCCGACACAAGAGATATAAGGAAAAGAGGTTGAAGTGTAAAGTTGTTTCATGCTTAAAATTCGAGATAAAGCTTGTCTATATAAATTTACCCCACTATTTCAATCACGCGCTTACCGGCTCAAGACGCGAACTGCACGTGTTTGTGTTGAGGACAAGAACGTAAAGTAAGTGAGATGAATCTATTTACCTAGTACTCTATATTTGCAATTCATCAACTTATAAAATACAGACAATAGATCTAAACAATTCATGTAGCCTCCCTTCAATATCTAAATCATAACTACGAGTATTATAATACAATAATTATAAATTGTATATCTTTAATTTTTTTAATAAGTAAAAAGATTAAAAAATAATAAAGTAATAAAATATAACGATAATAATATAATTAAAGTTATTATAATTTTCATTAAAAATATTCATTTCAATCAAATCAAAATTTTATATTTTCAATGTATAATGATTAATTACAAGAATCTCTCAATATCATTTCTATATACAAGCTCTCCTTACAAATCTACTTAATACTTAAACTTAAACTTAAATTTAAACTTAAACTACAAACAAAATTCTCTTTTAATACCCATCTTCACCTTCACCCTCAAAACAAAATTAAATAGAACATCACTCATTATATATAATCTTCCTAAACAAGAAATAAATATCATTATTCATACTCAATACGCATATACCGAATAGAAATAGACTGTAAATTAACTATGTATTTATTACTATCACAACATATATATATTCTATACAACTAATAATATGAACATGAAGCTCTTCTAAACCTGGTATTGGTAGATGTCGATGTGGTTACGAAGATAGCGAAGTCATTCTGGTCGTTAAGGCGGGAGGGGATGAATAAAATCATTGCGCATGCGAAACATACACGCGCGGACGGGCCGGGGTGGTTAGAGCTAACTGTGTCGTCGGAATAGTTGCAATATATAGTAAGCTTTATTCTTATTATCTTATGATCAATTTTTCTTTGTGTACGCAATGAGGGGGTGGGTTAATAAATAATGGAGTAATTATATAGGGGTTGGTTGGGGGACGTTAATATCATCATTTGCAGGATTACTTGGTTCATCTACTAACTAGGCTACTGAAAAATCTATTTACGTTTCGGATTCATTGTTACCACACAGTATCTTTATGTATGTATTAGATATCTGGTTCAGAATTCCAATTGGTTGAGTAACCTGGTCTTGGTTGAGGTACAGCACAGTACAGTACAATATTTCTCAAGACCGGACTTGCGTCCAAAAGATAAAAGGGAAGTTCTACACCCTCTCAAACTTTTCCTCTTCATCATCAATCTTCCAAACCATCTATTCATAAACATTCAACAAACCGAGCTATCAATAATGCCTCGTCCGACTTCCAAAACAATCTTCGCTCTAATTCCGAGCGCCTCTCAAAGCTCCGTTCACTATAGCTACCTTTTCAACCTCCTGCTCAAACGCGGCCATCCTTTCTACCCTGTCATGCTTCCAAGTAAAGGAAGTAGCAAGAACGTCACTATAGAAGATGATGCAAAATATGTGCGCGAACAGATACTTCTTCCCGTTCTGGATATTGAAGAGGGTGATGTGATTTTGATAATGCATTCCTACAGGCAAGAGATTTCTCCCTCACTCTGTTTCTTTGTATTGTTTGATGGAGCTCGAGACTAGTACTAACTTTCCGAATCATGTAGTGGTATTCCAGGCAGTGCAGCAGCTTTGGGTTTGGGCAAGGCAGAACGTGCTGCTGCTGGTAAGAAGACTTCTGTCTTGGGACAGATTTACATCGCTTCGCTCTTGATCAAAGGCGGGGATGGAGGTGATATTATTGCCGCTCTTGGTGGAAAACTCCCACCTCACATTGTTCCAAAAGTAAGTCTAGTGATCTTGATATTATGCTACCTTCTTTTTCTCCATTTCATTTCATTTCATTTCATTTCATTTCATTTCGTTTGATTCTAATCAGCTACTTAGAAAGCAGCCAGAATCCTCACACGTGAAGATCCCGCTGCACCTTTACATGGCGACGTGACGCCAAAGAACTTCCAAGATGACATTGTGATGTCTACTTTGTGTCCCAGCTATGCTTCATGGCATAGTCCATGTCCACGTGCTTCTTGGGGCTCGGAGGATTTCAAAGGTAGAGTTGCTTTTGTCCGCACTCTCATGGATAAAGTTATTCCTCTTGAGATTCAAGATATGATGATCAAGGGAACAGGAGAGGAATGGATCGTTAAAGATATAGATACTGGAAACAACCCAAATCTGTCAGCACCCGGGAAAATCTGTGATATTTTGGAAGAGCTCGGGAGGCAGTTTGAGAGTTTGTAGTTTGCGGAAATTTAAACACTAGATTATGTGCTAGAAGATGTAAGATCTTAGGTCAGAAAAAATAAGAAACTCGCTTAAGTCATCTCAGAAAATGCCCACATCCTATCAACACCATCTCACAAAATCCAACATAAGAATACGGTGATACAATTCAAATATTTATATAGTATATAATATATTTGATTGATACCTATTAACTAACTAAAACAACAAAGATCCATGCATGACATAGTCTCTAAATCCACATATCATGCATCCCATCCATCCTATCCCGTCCCATCCATTCCATCCTATACTCATAACCATAATGCATTAAGCATCTCCTCCAATCTTTTAAAAAAGCCCAAAAAAAAAGTCGCAAGTCCTTCCTTCCTTCCTTCACATATTGCCTGGATACCTAACGTATCTGTAATGCACGCATACAAGCATAGAAAACAAATCCCAACCCAAAATCAATGTTCCCCTCCCATTTTACTTCACTTCATGCTGTAATCTATATACCACAATGACGCAGTAACGCAATACTCGCCATGCGTTCCATTATCTATAATCAAAAAAATCAAAAAAATATGTTTGATATGTGCTCGTTAGAGCTTCTTTTCTCTCGATTTATACACCAGTGTATGGTGTAACGAGATCGATACTCCTAGGTCGATGTCCGTATCCACCTGGACCACTTCGTGGTGGTAATGGTCGATCCATACCCATACCCCCCGTGCTGGTAAATGTTTGACCATTTCCAAAAGCATATAAATCTTCTCGGCTGCGACGGGCCGGGTAGCTGGTTCCGCTGTTGGAGTATGAGTTTCCCGGCGTGGCGAGAGGAGTGGGTGTGGTGGTTCTGCTCGTAAAAGGCATGTAGTTCCAAACTTGAGAGGAAGTCCTCGAGAGTGTGGTGGTTGGTGGAGATTCTGGTTCTTGGGGTTGTAGTCGAGGGAGCGCGGTGGCTAATTCTCTTAAGCTTTCTAATGCGCTTGAGGAGTGTGTATCGGCTTGTGATGGGTTGTAAAACTGAGATGCGGGGAGGGATGCGGATGGTGCGTGGTAGGCGGATGAGAAATCGGTGGGGTATGGTGAGGAGTTGAAGTATGATCGAGGTCGAGATTGTGTGGGGGAAAGTCGAGGTACGATATCTCGAGGTTCTTCTGGGAAGTGTAAAGCTGCGCTTGACATGAAAGGGGTCAATGGTGGAGAGTTTGGAGCTGTTGCATATGGGTTCGATCGAGAAGTATATGTAGGGGCTTGATCATGAAGACGACAACTATTAATTTTGTTAGAGATTTCTGCAATACAATCCGGAAATAATGGGGATCCTCACTCTTCAGAGCAATAGAGAAAGGTATTATTTGCTGGGGTAAATTGCTTTTCGCAGGTCATACTATAGTAATTCGTCAGTTTTAAGCCACCAATATGCACCCCGCGTTTTCCAATCCAAGGAGTTGTCATGCCCATCGTTTGACAAATGAAACTTACCAGAATTGTGGAAAACTCTCTCCATTATCTTTTTCCAAGTATTGATTTTCTCTTTCCTTACTTCTGCCAGCCTTTGTAATAACTTGTGGTGTTACTCTTCTATGTAAAGTTGTCGGTCGACTAGGTTTCTTCTCCGCCACTACCGCATAATCCTTTCCTGACTTTCTGCGTTGATGATGCGCCTTCTTCTCTGTGTTCTTTTCTGAACTTGTTTTAGGAGATAGGGCAAGTGCCGGTGCAGTGTGCGTTCGAGAAGCGGACGGTCTTGTTGAGTGTGCCATTATGGCGTTTAGGAAGTTGAGTTCTTCCTTTGGTTGTATTGAGACAATCCTTGAAATTTATAGGAAATCGAAAAGGACGAAACTCGTCGAATAAGTTCTCAGGTATGTTGTGAATGTAATATGTCTTGGTATCCTTTAACTCGTGAATAGTTCTTAGAATAGATTGTCTATTGTCTCCCCCGGTCGATCTCGGTCTTGTGAATGTTTCTCGTGATGGTGAATTAAATCGGTCCAGGTGAGTAAGGATTGGAGAGGATGATGTATGAGATCGATGATGATGATGATGGTATGAGGAGTGATCAGAAGAAGTAAAATCAAGGATTAAATTTCTTTTTCTTTTATTTCGATTGGCGGTTTGAGAAGATATTTATTATTTTGTTGTAACGGGAGGGTGCACTACCAATATGTGTGTAATCCGTCCTGATAAGGGGATAATATCGGTACAGGCCTATGACTCCCCCGTGTGAAATTAAGGGCGCAATCGGAAGAGTGGGATGTGAGAAATGTTGGTAGGGAAGCACAATCAATCTAGGCTCGGTACTCCATATAAAGAAGCATGCAACTAGTTGTAGCGGTGATCGAATAGTCTTTTGAGTTGCTATGCTTGCAAACAGGAATTATTGGCCAATATCTGAGAATATATCGTGTGGGATTGTTCCGGTGGGAATGGGAAAGGGAAATGGGGGATTGATATGATTAATCAACTTTCACTTCCGACGGCGGAGTTCAATGGGTAATGGAGATAATCGAGAGCGGAAATGATTCAAAGTAGAATGGGATCCAGGAGAGAGAGATTGAATAGATCGTATAAAGAATTCGAGGGAAGAAAAAGAAAAAGAAAAAGATGATTATTGTGGAAAGATATTGCGTGCTTCTTTTCTAATTGTATATTTTGGGTATGCCCTCGTAAACGCTGACCACCCAATGGGATTGTTGGTTTGACTAGCCAAAGTAGCTTGAATACTTTTGGAGACCCTTGAAGGATTATTGGTTGGATTGTTGGGAAGGGAAGGGAAGGGAAGGGAAGGGAGGATCTTATCGATCAACTGAACCGGAAACTATAAACTATCAATTGATTGTGGGTGACCTATATGCGGAGGTCTGGTAACAAGGGGGAAAGATTCCGTATGGTTCTGGTAAGTCTTGGATGATCTTTTGGATCTCTTTGTTGAACCTTGTGGAATAGTCTCGGTAGTCAAAAAGGGAAAAAAAGGAGGTTTGTCTAGAGTTTTGAATCAGGAGAAAAAGAATACAGTATGACTCTTTCTATCTATAGCAGATAAGAGATAAAAGAATTCAATCCGATTCTTTCTTTCTTTAAAAGAGAAACGAATTCAAAGAACAAGCCGTCCGTCAATCAAGCTTTTCCGAACAGATGGACACTATTCAGACATTCCTTGTTGTGTAACAATGCTATGATATGATATGATGATATGGTCTAGTCAGGTATGATGTGCGTCAAGATTGTATAATAATCGGTGATGATGGCTCGACGTGTTGAACTAACTGTGTACTATAATAGTCTATACTCTATAGCCTATTATTTGCTGGCCGGCTTGATGCTCGCTGGCTTGCACTGCTCTAGCTTTCCATCTATTCTCAATCCCAATCCACTATGCAGTACGCACAAACGTTTTATCTTGATTGCACTGCTGATTAAGGTTCTGTGAGGATACGATACGTTTCTTCAGACAAGTCTGGCTTTCCTGACCGCTAAAGTGCAATTGATGGCGTGTGCGTGGTGGTTACTCTAAGTTCCGTTCCGGAGGAACCGTCTAAGCTTGACAACTGGAACTGTAGGATTCCGTGATTCAGGCTTTGCGAAGTGTATATCTGGGGGCTTGATGTTAGGTCGATGGTAGGTTGGCGTTAAGTTGATGTTGTAACTTTCGCAGCGAATTGTCTTTTTTGATGTTGAGATGATATCATTTCAACGTTAGATGGTGCACTTCAGAAACACAATGCTTAAGACTACACTTCGCACTGGTAATCATGGAGAATATCAAAGGACCCGTCTTCTTCCTTGTATATTATATCAATTCTACTTCAAATTGCAACATCAAGGTTGTTCTTCAATATCGACTTAGTTTCATAGCCTCGATCTAACCCTAACCCGCATAATTCATCATCTTGCCATCATCGGGGTAATTGACAAGTTTATATTTCGATCAGTTCTATCAGTTTGGACCCTTTTGACTTTTAGCTTTTATCTTTTTTTGACTTTTGCCCTCTGTTACAACACATTAAAAGCACAAGCATAATGCCGTATACCATTGCGTATGCCAGATGCTTGCTCTGCCATGAATGGCGACGTTGTGCATTGCACGAGTCTTTCACTATTCTACTGGAATAGTACTCCGCAAGTAGCTGGTACTAAGTTGGTTCCTGCTCTACAGAGTAATAAGTACAACTAACGATAGACTTGCGAGTAGTTTTTGAAATGTTCCACAAGTTGTGCCTGTTTGTTAAGATCTGATTGGATCGTCTTCAACACTCGGTAGATTCTGGGTCGGATTCTAGAATATCTCGTACCCGCTGGACTGTAAGCCCATACTATACTCCGTACGAGGTAAGACAGTTACCCCCACTCCAAAAACGAAATCTCTCCACTTTAAGGGTTCTTCGGCTTTCCTCAAATGCTTTCGCGGCTTACCCAAGTGATGAAAGCTTCATTCATTATTGGAAACTTGGAAAGGGAGAGAGGTGCTAATAAGGTTACGGAGTACAGTACAATATCTGATTCTGTCGAGATCCTTTCCCCACTCCTTAAAGTCCGTCCATCTCACCTCCTACTCTTCGATTCGACCCTTTCTTTCCACATCTTTCCAGCCTTTTGCCTTTTGATACCAATACAGTCGAAGGATTTGATCTTTGCAGCTTGAAACGTCTCAACAGAATATTGTTAGTAGGTAGGGTATCACCAAATAAACCTCCCGGTCCTGGCCAACTACTCTCCGTCTCCACTTCTCAATGCACCTCGAGAGCTCCAATTCTTTTACCGTTACTGCATATGCAGTCCTCTTCTTGATTGCATTATTCAAGATCAACATCCTCGTCCTCTGAGTGAGTCAGTCCTCTATTCATCTCCACTCTCATACTTTGATATCGCTGTTCCGGTGACTTTATCCATAGTTTCGGACTGGGGTGTGACCCTCAAGGTTCCCCTCAATCTGTGCCCTCACACTGATCACAGCCATTCGGAATCAGTGAAAGACCAAGATGTCCAATAAATAATGCAGGCACGATGATATGGAAAGCTGCAGCCACTTCCGTCATCCTTAGTCGATGCTCATGCTTACTCCGTGCAGAACCGTTGTACTCTTACTCCGTACGTGTTGTCGTCGAATGATTGTCACGTCTTTTTGGTCCTTCCTCTTTTGGTACTAAGATTGACCTAGACGACTCATGATATTTGGATCCCCATCAAAAATTGCACATTTTCATTGGAAATCAACAATCTCACTGCTTGCACTTGCAGCTACGAGTAACCTTTTCCTAACGAAAGATTACCTAACTCCGTTTCATATCACCGCATGGCACAACCTTATCTCCGTATCGCTGTCTAGTTTAGATATAAATGGTCCACGTTCCACGATATGGTCAAGGCATCGAAGTTTGCTTTCTCCAACAACGTTTTCCTGGTCTCCATATTCCGAAGCTTGGGCATAATTCTGGCACAATTTTTATTTGATCGATCCACAGATATTTTCGTGGGGGTACTCGCGTTACTTAATCATACAAAGTCCCTCATTGGTTTGCTACCAAAAATGACCGCGATTTATCCGGATTACCAGATTCGTACTCAACTCCACAGTTTCTTCCTGGCCGATCAGAAAAAAATCAAACCAAAGGATTGTTGATCATCATACATGTGTTTGGAGTGTGTCACTCCAATTGGTTGTTATATCCTTGTTTCAGAATTTTATAGTCGCTTCAATTGATCAAAGTTCCCACTTTTAGATCACTTTATTGAATTACAAATCTATACAGGCGATAATTATGCCGATGCTATACGATTCATCATTCTAGACCTTTTAGATCTTCATATCTGACTATTTCTCGTTAGTTCGGGCAAAAGTCATTCCTTTCACTCTCAATCCCAAAAGGTTCCGCCTGAGCCGACGATGACGACGACTGGTATCTGGGAATCATTTCTGATGATCTTCAGCCTTCAGGTTTTTAAGAAATGCTAAACCTCAATTCTCTTTCGATCTTCCAAGTTAAAGTGCTTAAATGTTGCAAAATAGTTCCTGTGAAACCCACTCACCTGCATAAATGCACTCACTCATTGTCAAAATTAAAATATGCACTCAAAATTGTGCTTCAACAAATGGGCCTGGCGTGAGCAAGTGATTTCTCCAGGATCTAATACGTTCGTGCACAATATGATAGTTTCCAATATTGTGGGGAAAGCGGTATGAAGAAGATACTTTTGATGTGCACAACGCAAGATTGAGGTTCGCTGTTTTGGCTTTTGGATTGCGGGGATTAATTGATTCATCCATAGGGCTGGGTAAACAACTCAGTCCGTGAGTTTGTCATACGTTACGCATATTGTTGTACGGGCTTGGCCAATATTCAGATTGAATTGCCAAGGGGAAGAATAGATGAAGATAAAGGATATTCCAAGGTAAGTGGGTAAGGCGTTTGTTATACGGGTGAAAATGTTCTCAAATATGACAAGTGGCATCTGAGAAGTGACGGTGAGTTGGTAGTTCGGGTACATGGGGAGCATATGCAGATGATTTGGTACCCCAATACTACAATGCACGACATTTAGCGATGACTCGTATATGATTGTGTAATTTGAACTCAAATGAAAGGGCCGTCGTTTTGTAGCTTTGGTTAAGTCTATTACTACTAATTTATATCACATCACATCGTTTATGAACTTTTCGATCTTTAAGTCTTGAAATTCGAGGGTTTGATTGTTAGGATTTATCTGCACATATGTATTTCTGTCCTGACCATTATCCATCATAAAAGGTGTTCTATATTCCTAACATCAAAGTCATCCGAGGTTATGGATCCAGTATGATTGAAGCTAAACTTAATATCACATGCATCCATCTCGGAATACGGAATAGTAAATACGCAATACAAAATTATCCGAGATGGCGAAACTTTACAAACCCGCATTAAAGCCATCGATGATTCATCTCAGCATTGACGAATCGAAACATTACAAGCTTCAGCCTTCGAGATACGATACTCCACAAGGCTGAGCACAATCCGTCTAGATCCCAGGATCTACCTACCATTCATGGTAATTGAAAATAGATTATCACGTGGTTTAATTTAAAGACTACGTAGATAGCTGGCGCTTGCTCTGTGGCAGTGCAGATCTAGATTCTAGATTCTAGATATATTAGAGGGAATATCCTGGAAGAATGGAAGAATAGGAGAATCGAATGAACCTCGTATCCGGATGGGAAACTGGGAAACTGGGATATGGTGATGGTGATGGTGGCGAGTGCTGTCTGTGTATGATGAGGAGATACTAGACAGTGATAGATGGAGGTTTTTGATGATTGATGATTGATGATTGATAGAGGGGATTAGTATGTCCTATGAATAGAGAGAGCCTGGATTTTTAGATTTGAGCTTGAGCTTGAGCTTGAGCTTGATTTTTCTTAGTCTTTATTGCTTGCTTACTATATTATATTGAATGTCTGGTTTTACTTCCCTTAATAAATTTGTAATCTAATAATCTCAAAATTGAAAATTATTTCGGTCGCCACAAGGAAGATCTGAAGTTTTTTTTAAAGAGAGGGGATATAAAAATATAAAATATAAAATATAAAATATAAAATATAAAATATAAAATATAAAATATAAAATATAAAATATAAAATATAAAATATAAAATATAAAATATAAAATATAAAATGATTTTTATAAATGTAAATTGAAATATAAAAGATTAAATATAATAAGTTTTCATAAATTAGTATTTTAAAACTGATATTTGAAATATTAAAAATATATAATAATATATCAAAATTTAATTTTTATTGATATTTTTAATTCTTTTAATTCTTTTTAATATTTTTTTTAACATTCTTTTTTAATATTCTTTTTTATATTTCAACTTTTATTTTTATTTATACTCCTACTTATAATATACTATACTCTACTATAGTATATATTTTCCTCCCTCCCCGCCTTCCTCCCTCTACATTTATATCACAATACAATATACCGCCTTATATCCATCCATATATTCATATATTCATAAACTCATGACCTTATCAAGAAACAAGCAAGAAGAAGAAACACCAGGTTTCTACTTCTTCTAATCCTATCTTTTTCCTCCTGTTGCTTCCGTTGCATTCCGTCCCGTTCTGCTAACGAATCTGCATGTAAATTTCCAAGTTTCCAAGTTTCCAAAATCCCAAAATTTGTAAACTATCCACCTAAGAAGAAAAAGAGAAAGAGGAAACACAAAGACAAAAGCACCCCACAGAAAACAAAACCAAAGGGTGAAGATATCAAAAATTTAAACTCAGACTCCAATTCCTATTCCCCTTTTCCCTTCCCTCCCAAAACCCCTCCCAAAAAACTAACCCTAACACTAAACTAATCCACAACCCCCCAATCAAGAACTCCTCAAACCCCTCTTCAAAACATGTAAATGAGCATGTTTCAAACCCCTCTTCCCAGCATCAACATGTCTCTTATGTTTACTTTCACTATCATCAGTAGCGAAAATATCAATTAATTTTCCTTTTCCGACTTTGCATGCTGTTCCTGCAGCGAGTCCTCCTACGCTTGACCAAGTTCCTGATGAACATTGTTGGAAAGATGTTCCGTCGATGCAGTTCCATTGACCCGGGGTGGTGCAGGTGCTTCCCGGGGTGTAGGTTGTGTTTTGTGAGGAGGGGGAGGAGGCGGAGGGGTAGGTGATGCTGGTGGTGGGGGATGAGGTGGCGGTTGTGACGGTTGTGGGGAGGGTGGGGGTGGGGATTATAGAGGCGATTGAGGTGGAGGAAGGGGTTGCTTTTGCGATGGGTGTAGATGATGTTACGGAGGTTGATTCAGCGATAGATGAGGAAGCAGCTGTTGGGATAGATATAGCTGATGAAGCGGAGGTTGATTCAACGATAGATGAGGAAGCAGCTGTAGGGACAGACACAGCTGATGATACGGAGGTTGGTGCTGCGGATGAACTAGAGGAAGAAGCACCGACTTGTGCGAATATGCCACCAGTGTTGGATGCAGCAGCTGAAGCAGCTGAAACAACTGATGTGAAGAAAGGTCTGACCGAGATAGAAGTTGGTACCGAATAAGCTGAAGTTGGTACCGAATAAGCTGAAGTTGGTACCGAATAAGCTGAAGTAACTTCAGAAGCCACCGAAGAGACAATAGAGCTAATAACTGAACTGGCACTAGCTATTTCAGAACTAATAGCACTAGAACCAGCAGATGCAGCTGAACCTGTAAGTGAACCAATAGTAGCTGAGTTGCAAGAACTAGTTCCTGTATACCATCCTGTGAGACGATTTGCAACATCAGTGGCATAACAATGGGTAGCAACTCCATTCCCGAGATTTCCACCCGAGGCAATAGAGCCGGAATTGTAGATTCTGGCCGCCTTGTAATACATGCTGACATCTGTAACTCCAGTTTCGGCAAGACATTGTTTGAGTCCATCACCTGATGATGTACCAGCTGTACCATCAGTAACCATTTGAACCATTTCGCTCTTGGGACAAGGATTTTGAACAGAGCTTCCTGAATTACAGGATCCAGATCCCTCGTGAGATTGCATGAGACCTGGGTTGGAGATGGAATAAACAGTAGTTGGAGCGCGGACACAACCGTTAGACTCTTGCATTACTATGGCAAGGATAAAACGACTATCAATGCCGGTAGTACTAGCAACTTCTGAGATGGCAGATTTAAGATCTGAGATCTCGTCATCGGAATTGTTAGCTTCACCGAATTGAGTGCATGAAGCTTTCAATACACTATTTTGCATGTCGAACCTGGAAGATTGTTAGTAATTTGAGAGATGAGGGGTGATTAGTAGGTACATACATATCATCATAGCTTGAAATCCATTCACTTTGTGTAGGCCATCCTACATTGGCATCTCCATTACCGGAATATACCGTGTATGAATTTGCTGCACGCTCTTGAATAGAATGAACGAATGAGTCTCTTTCTGTATTTCCAGGAAGAGGAGCTCCGAAAGAGAGAGTGAATAAGCCGCCGGCGACTATAATCAAAGGAAGGGTAAACATATTGATGTAGATTTGAAGGTAAATATGAATGTGAGGATGAATATGAAAATGAATTTGATAATTTGATATGAATAATGAATGAGAGAACTCGTCAAGAGCGTGCTGCGTCTAGCAAATGAACCTTGAAGGAATGAAAGGTTGATGAGATGGATGTGATAGTGAAAGCACGTTGGAGGCCATCATGAACTTATATACAGATACCTTCCCGTCCCGTGAAGCAGCAAAGTCTAGGTACAAGATCCATGGCACCTTAGCTCGAACATGGATTTAGACCAATGGGGAATGTGGAACTCCTGGGTACGAAGCTTTTTCATCGCAAGCCACTTTTGATGAACCAGTAAGGCAGATCACATTCCTTACTTCCAGGATAGGATATGTGTTCCACTCGATAAAGTACATGGTCTTCCAGAGCGGGCCAACTTCCCTAAGGCGCTAAGACATTCTACGGATAATTCTCCGGTATAGGGTATAGCACTTAACATGAAAAGACTTACTGATTCGAGGAGAGAGAGAATATTGCAGGCGATACCCATAGATTCAAAACTAGAAAAAGGCCATGATTCGTATAGATTCGGCAATCAACTCAAAGATGGTAAGTAGATTTAAAAAGTTGAGTCAGAAAAGGGGAACAAATCAAGAATAAGAAAAACATCAGCTGAAGCCGCCCTGATGGGTTCCTTCCTATTTTGTGGTTCCACACTGAGCCACAAACGTGCATTTTCATGCAACACGAAAATAGATGGAAGTCACCGCCCAGATCCCGCCAAGTTTTCTTTTTCTGCCCCTCCCTCTCCTTGTTCAGCAATGGGAGGGACTATTTTTTATGTTGATATTTTTTGATCATCAGCACACAAAAGAAAAAGGAAAAACCATCACAGAGAAAACAAAAGGCGGGGCATGGTAGGAATCTCGCAATTAAAATTACTGACCACTAAATCATCCTCATGGTATCTTACTTCTCCTTGCTCGTTCGTATAGCTAGCTAAGCAGAGTAAAAGATACCATGTACCCGCAATGTACAAAGTACAAATAGCATCAGTAGGATGGAACCTCCAAGAAGCCACCAAAGACTCCTCCGGACAGAAAATACGGAGGGACGGTATTACCGAAAGAGACACTCCGCATCGTATCTTGATTCGTCGCTTCACCCTGCGAATCACCGAAGGATTTTGGACAGGCCGTTGAGTTTATTCGCTGCAGAGACAAGTGCCCCGGTTGAATCGTCCGAACTTGTTGTTTCAGGTTCCAAAGCCATTTCTGCCATTGCCATCATCATCCCATTGATTGGTCAGCTCAATTGGTTGTCGTTTTATGACCATTCATATTCATTATGTCTTTGGGTAGGCAGGTTACTGTGAACCTTGACACTTTTTGGGAAAACCACGTATGTATTCTCGCCCATCTACTTTTACATCTGTCTACTAGTAAGCGCCAAGGTTTAGCGGTTGGATATATCGATCGGCAGATGTGTAAGAATAAAACATGAAAAATGCAAGAAGATGGAGAGGAGAGACCTACGGATGTTCAAGATCTCCTGTTTGTTCAAAAAGCAGGTACCATTAAGGTACTGGTAGGTAGTGGTAGCGTGTCGATACTAGTCAATTTCTTCGCTAGTGGGCCAAGGATACAATGCTATGCATTATTCATGTACAAGGTATTTCTCTTCATGGGTTGGTTTGGACTTGACGATCCATAAACCAATAGTAACGACATTCCTGTGCCATATTCATCACAGCACAGGCGAGATAGTCACAGCACAGCACAGCACAGCACAGGTCCGTTTTCCCAACATCGTATCGTGTCTGAGCACGCACCAATGAAGAGTGGCAAAGCTGCTGAGCATTTTAGCATCGTGGGTTTGTCTAGACCAATCTGATTCTTTCCTTTTTACTCCCGACGTCTTTTCGTATTACTATTGGAAGGGAAATATACTACGTAGCGTAAGTGGGTTTGTAAATTCCAAAAGTGTGGCAAAGCATTGTGGCGGCCATTCAGAACTCAGCCCCCCTAATTCCGGAATAACTACCATTTTTATGCCTCTGCAGCTATGGCATCAAAAGCATTCCATATTATGTTCACAAATCCATTTTCACATGAAAGATCTTTTACTTTCAAATTTTCAAGGAATTCAATATTTCTAATCCTGTTGTCGCGGGCTGATTCATTATTGAAAAGCAGACGACCCACCTTACTTATGATCCCAATTCTGCAAGAGTCTGCAGTTTTCCGTCAGGCGAGCATGCATCGGATGAAGTAAGTACACATCCCCTTGCGGGGAGTCACACAAGGGATTTTGACTGCATCTTCTTTCTTTTCCTTATTTTTCGTTGCTCTGATCCGTTTGCTTGAAATGTTGAGCCATTCATTTTTCATCGAAAATTATTCCTTGATGCATTGTGCAACATTAATCGCGATGTGTACATACATACATCCATACACACATTCGAATATTGAAATGGAATCGATACTTGCGGTATGTGTTGTAGGATTTGATTAAATCTAATCTAGAGGCCGATACTTACTTGAAGCGATTTACATTACAGTGTGATGCTGCTTCAGGTATGATGATTTCGTTGGGAAATCCTTTTCAGCATTGACTGCTACACGATCACAACTACCGTTGAATTCGGTAGTCCAGATGATTTCACATGTTTGCCCTGGACTTACACTCACAGTGAGCGGATAGGATAGCCTATGTACTATTCGCTCATTTCTTCCTAGTCACTCGGATACCGTGTGGTCGATTAATCATATCTGGAGATCCGAATTTCCAATTGAAGCACGGCTATTAGCTTTGACTTTTTCTCGATTATCTTATCCGACCGTATCTTTCCATAGTCAATCTCCCATGCTGACTAAAATGGGCAACGGAAAGCAATCACTCATCTCCATCAAGAAGGAAGACATGAACCCCGCATTAGGATATCATGATAGCGGGGTAGTATCCGTTCCTTCCTCCCGTCTTGGTAAAGTTTCAAGCTAAATCCTGGAATATATCATCTACCGTGTTGTGTCGGAGATGCTCTGGATATGTAATCCATGACTCTTCATCACACATCATATCATCTAGTTATGTTCGATAATTCCAAATTACGAAAATGCAAGCCTCACATGCAGACTTAAAGACTGTACCTCTGATAGCAACAAGCAAAGTCTTAATAACCCTTTCTCACTTTCGGGACACGGATGTCATATAGGAAATTACTCACAGCTTTGAAATCTAGTGATAATGATGCATAGGTACTTGCAATCTTTCATCAAGCCACTCCCTGCGAGACGGGAGGAATATCGATATTCCTTCTCGGTAAAAATTAAATTTGCAGCAGCTTATAAATTTAACAACAGGGAAGCAATCCTCATGGAGACCTTTCATCCATATTTGATATTGTGGCTTTTGATATAGGAATTATATCCCGCTTGAAGGAATATCAGATGATATCAAGCATCCTATCGCTGTATTGCAGGTAGTGACCTTGAAGTATGTCACAGTTAAAGGAGTATCAAAAGCATCTCAAACCATTCCATCTGTTCTCATTCCCCGTCATTTCACTACTAAAGATGTATATGTATCCATTTTCCTGTAGAAATAAACATCTCTGACTTTATATGAATTGACACCTAGGTCCTTTTCTCTCTGATTAATATTCCACTATATCAATCCTCGTATATCTAATTCTTCATCTTCATCTCATAAAATTTCGTGTCTTCGATTATTCAAAAAAATTAAAGTCAATGAAATATCACCCGTCGTTTATCATCTAAGATCTTACCTGAAATCTTTATAACCACCCGCAGATTAACCTACCGAAACACTTTCCTCTCCTTTTCCTGATATCTGCATATCCTCTTGTTCTTCACTTCAATATTGACTGGAAAAAAGGTCATGTTTCAAAGAATTACTCTACTGCTCTTTTCCTTGATAAGCAAATCCCTGCTTTTATTCTTCTATTCCTAGACTATAAATTCTAGGCTCTCTGTTACGCTGACAAAATTGAATCCTCGTACATTATCAAACCCAGAGACGCTTTTTCGCTTGCTAACCTGTGAGGAAAAGAGAATACACTAGATGGGAGAGAACCAACAGGGACCAACCAGATTAAACATTAAGCATCTCTCATCCCATCACCAATCACCACACCAAACCCGCTCCTCTCTCATACTCCCCTTCCCTACTCCCCACAACTCCAAACCCTCCCTCCCTCGCCCCTCCCCAATCCCCACCCCACTAGCCCAAAGCCCCATCCCACAAATAACCGCCCCAACACCCACCAACCCAACATTACACAAAACAGCCCCTCATCCACCACCCCTCATTCCACCTCCCCTTATAAACAAACAACCACATCAACCCCGGAAGTCCATACGTAAACCAACTCGCAAACAAACTACTAACCAGTCCCAACAACTCATTAAAAACCGGAATACTCTCCGCAATCACCCACGCCACAACCCAAAGCCCCAACGTAATCGCCATCCAAGCCAGCGTACTCACCCTCGTTCGAGTATGAACATGCACACTCCCCTTAAATATCTTATTAAACACATACTTCGAAGCGACATGACCGAAAATAACCCCCGCAATCACAATCGTCGGAACAGCAATCCCAAACGCTATTTTCGACACGACGGGTCCCGCGGACCCAAGAGCAGGAGATGCAACCCCCGATCCCGCATACACGTATATCACAATTGCAGAAATGAGATACAGACTTATCTCGACGATTTGTAGTGTGGCGAGCGACTTTGGAAAGTCGTTCGGCTCGCGTAATTCCGACATGAAGGTGAAGAAGGCGACGTGGCCCGCGTACGCGAAGACGATGTTGGTTATGCTTAGGAAGGCTTCGCGGAGGGAGAGATGTGCGCGGGGCCAGAGGGTGTATGGTTCTTGTGGGGGTGAGCGGATTCCCACGCTTATCATTGTTGTTAGGACGGCGGTGCCGATGCTTGCGAATGCTGGAGGAGGAGTGGGGGTTGTTAATTTGTTTTCTTTATTTGACTTTACTTTGAGATTTGATTTCTTCATATAAGAATCAAGATAATTCATTCATCCAGGGAGGAATACTCACAAACAACACTCATCCAACTCATCCCCTTACACGTCCTCGGTAAATCCAATATCCAAAAAATCCCCATCCCCACCACTCCCCACACAATATTACAAACTCTCCCTCCAGTCAACGTACGCAAACAAATAATCCACGTCAATATATGACTTCCCATTAAAAACAACAAAAACAATATCTGCGCCGCTCCAGCAATCTCATGACCGATTCGTCCCCATCCTAGCGGTTTCATTAATATCTCGCAGCAATCGGCCCAGCTGTGGATACTTGGGTATTTTTGCCGAAATTGATGCATCACGTATCCGGAATACCAGGCGAGGATTCCCATGATGAGGATGAGGAGGATACCGGGGATGAGGCCGATGGTTGCGAGGACAGAGGGGAGTGCGAGGATTCCCAGAGAGATGGTTTCGGCAATCATGAGGGCGGAACATTGAAGCCAGTTCATGGAGCGGAAGTGGATTTCGGAGGTGGATTGTGTGGGGTCTTGGGAAGTTGTGTTTGTGTTGGTGGTGTATGTTGATCTTTCAAGTTTTTCATGCTGCGCTTCGATGTCCTCGGTGCCATTGCTGTTATTCGTGGCTGTTTGTTCTGAAGATGTGGAGTCTTCATTGGATGATTGGAGGGCTGGTTCATCTGTGAAGTTTTCTGAGAAATAGGATACGAATCTTGGGGCGGGGGGAGGACGCAGTGAGTTTCTAGGAGTTTTGTCTTCGCCATGATTGGGCATTTCCTTCTGTTCCTGTGCAGGAACAGAAATGGAATTGAGAATTGAAGCTCTGCTGGGAGTGGAAGATTTATCTAGTGTTGGATTTTCTGCTACTGGATTATCTGGTGTTGGATTTTCTCGTGCAGTGATGAAGGATGAATGTGATGTTCTAGCTTGCACTGGCTGTGAGCTCCCGAGTAATTGACTCATTTTTACACTGGGTAGTTATGGATTTGCTGGTGCGTTAGTTTGCCGATTGGTTGATTTATGGGGATATGATATATATGGAATGAAATGAAATGGTAATGATGTAATGAGCTTGAAAAATTGAATCCGATTTAAACGAGCATCTTGACACTGGATAAGAATGTGGGATTGCTAGGAAAGGTGGGAAAGGTGTGTAATACTTATAAAGTGAAGAAGAGGATTGTCCAGCTGGCTTTTACTATGTACTATGTGTCCAGCGAGGAAAGAACTATGTACTGGAACGGTTAGAAAGCATGAAATACTTCTTTCCCTGTAGAAGTTTAAACAATGCGGGGAGGAATTTTTCAGGTTCTGAATAAGTACTGAATTTGACAATTCTTATTCGATATAGCAAAGTATGCAAGATGTAGCGAACATAAGCGAAGATTTTAATGGATTTCCAATGATGTTCTGTGTAGATCTTTTGTCTAAAGTTTAACAAGTAGAAAATAATTGATTTTCCTTGTTATTTTATTTTACATTACTTCTCTTTTCGTTTCGAAACCAAGGAAATTGGAGCAGAAGATACTTTCGTCATATCTGGAGAAGATAGCTAAGGAAAGAACTTAACTACATGACTTATTTAGGCACTTGCTTGAACTACTAACGTTCGTTAGTGGTGTTTAGTGCAAGACTATTCTCCTTGGCGTCAACCAAGATCATGATTGTCCTATTGGGACGAACGCATTGTTTACAGACTAAATTTGGATGTTTTGATGGACGGAAATATACTTTGATTCTGGGCAAAGAGATCTTGATTTTTAAGTCATGATGCATTTTGGTAGGAGGAGGTGTTTTTTGACTGAACGTCTGAGGGATTTGCATTAGCTAGAAACCAACAAATCGACACTCTAAGAACTTAGTGTAGACACAAAATCTAAAACTTTTAAACCACCTTCAACCTCAACCTCAACCTCATTCTCAACATCATCCTCAATATGCCTTTCCGTATACCCCCATCCTTCACCCGCAAAGTCTACAAACTCGGTCTCCATTTCAATAAATTCATGCTCCCACGCCCACCTCCTCAAAGCTACATCACTAATCTTGATTCGCGGCCTTAGAACATCACAAATAAAGTACGGATATGGTGGTGGATTAAAACACTAAAAGAGAGAAATGATTTTATTTTTGATACTCCCCTTACTTATACAGGGTGTTTACTTTTGGTGATTGAAGCGGTGGATTTGAAAAGAGCGTTTTGGGATGAAAAGAATGTGGAATAAACAATAGTGTGTAATTACTTGTATGATTATGTGGTATATTTGATGTTTATATTGTTATAGGGAATACTTGATATTATATATTAAAATTCGAGGTTAGAGGGTTGAGCGGTGTCTAAGTTTCTTTATATCCCGAGAAAGATGGGTTGGATTTTCTATTCATTCCGATGGGATAGCATGTGAAAGAATGGGATGAAATGAAGTGCGACAGAATTCAGGATTGGGTCTCAAATACTATTAAAGATACAATTTCAAAAGATGATTTGAGATATTGTAAAAGAGGTAGGTCGAGATATATATATCTTGATAACAACATTATAAAGAGAATTTGAAACAGAAAGTTGATTAGATTATATTATAATATATTATTTATAAAAAGGATCATTTATAATAGATTTAAAAGTATATATATATAAGATTAATTATTTAAAAAAAAGTTTTTTTATATTTAATTATAAAATATTATATAATTTAATAATTGAAAACTATTATATAAATAATTTATACTATTTAAATTTTATTAATTTGAGTTTATTTTTCTTTGAAAAAGATCAATAATTTTTTGAAGAATTAATGATTCTTTTAAAATTTATTTAAATAATTAATTGAAATCAAATATGCTATCATTATGTTTTAATATAAATCTATGAATAAATAAATATTATATTATCTCAGTACTACGGTTTGCCTCCCCGAGTTTAGCGGCCGCCGCATTCAATACCTATAAAAGTCGCGCTCCCCTTCTTCTCAATCATCATCCTCTCTATTCCTTTCCCAACACACGCGTTCGCTCGCTAACTCATCAATCTCGCCATATGTTGTAATATTATCCACCTATCGGTCTTGCCGCAGCTGAAAATTTCGAAAATACAAACCACTTCAACCAGAATTCTTGATTAACTGCTCTATTCTCGATATTTTCACCTATCTTGATTGCAAATCTCCATTTCAAGTAAAGTTTCATTGGTTGAATTACGAGTATGAGTTCAGTCAGCTTCGTTTCACGGATATCGCATCATCTCGAGTATGACGGCGACACATCAATGTTGCTGGTCCTCGGTGCCTTTGCCTTAGCTTTGCTCTTACGCATTGCATTCTGGCTAATTGCAAAAATACCTCACGAGAACATGGTCTGCTACTGTTTGCTGCGCGCTAATCAGATACGCGGCAAGCAAAGGATGCCTTGTGTGATGAAAACAATGATATGCGCAGTATGCCTTGACCTAGGCTGATTTGTGATGAGATGGACAGATTCCAACTAACCTGGCTATGATTGCAGATCATAGGAGCAGAATACGAAACACCGATGGTTCGAGATTTGAGTTAAAAGTAGACAGATATGGGCGATTACAGCAGCTAGGTTGTGCAACTCTGGAAGGGTACACGGGACGTTGCTAGTTTACGCTGCGACTATGGGCATTTAAGTCTTTTCCTCGCATTGGTGGACGGATGGTTGAGATCTTGCGATGAGTATGCACGAAGGCACCAGAGTAGACGATTTGAGGACTACATATTAGGACTTGAGGATGTCTATAGATAGCTCCTAGTGGTCGCAACCCCTAAAATTACAAGCCATTGCTGTTTGATCATCTCCTCTATTTATTCGACAGTTAGGGCTGACCAAATACGTTGAACCAGCTAACAAAAAGGGTCTTGTCAACGAACGTGATGCGACTCCCATCTTCATGACGACACTCTCACGCCTGCTAGTACAGCCGAGTCGATCTAAGAGTCGCTCTCTGACACAGATACCAATGAGAGACGATAGCTGTTTGTGCTAGACTATTTAGGTATCTAGAAATAGGTTTGGATCACAAAAACTTGGGGACAGGAAGCATCGATTCAGTTGCCTCTCTACCCCAAGGAATACCGGTCGAATACATACAGCCTCCCTGAGGTCCCTGAGGTCCCTCAGGATTGACTGAAGCAGTTAGTCTAGCTTAATCTATACTTGCAGTAGACCCACATACTCATCACTCCCGTTTACCCCGAGATTCTTTCTACTTGGCCGAAAAATATAATCTTTTCCTGGCGTCCCTCAGATTTGATGGAAGCAGTTATTCCAGCTTAATCGGCAACATTGGGAATGTAATGATGATCTCCCGAGTCTCTTCCTTTCACCCTGTCCTTTCTAATTCAACACTTCATGTCAATTGTATAAAAAATGGCTGCAGGACGAGGCAACCTGAGTCCCTTGTCATGGTTACATTCAGCTTGCTTTGTTTCTCTCATCCTATATCTCTTTTTAGCTAAAGCTTGCTTAGACGGTCTATATACATGATGAATCAGTGCACTCGTATTACCACCATAACCACACCTGGTAGCCCAAATCCTTCCGAGTCCTCTTGGTCTATAAAGACCACTGTGAGTTTCAGTACTGCTAAAACTGTTGTCATTATAAGTATGCCAAAAACCTTTTCTGTGTCATATTACCGACTCTACAGAATTTGGAACAAATCACGGGAAAATCTATCTTGGGAGGGAAGGGAATAAAAGTCATTTGCTGGAAAACAAATTCACCATTCTAATCGTATTGATATTGCATAAGCAATACCCATAAAGGGATTAAGATTGAAAGAAATACTCTTTCCCTCTCCACCATCTTCAACAAACAATACGGGTAAAATGTACAATATTGATACCATTAGCACATACCACTCCGCTTCACAATTATCACTTTCTCGGATATCCTATTATCTTTCTTCATTGAAGAGATTGGACGAAATGGGAAAGGAAGTAGCTTGAATATTAGGAATCACTAATTCGTTATTTGTAGGAATGAGCGACTTGTCTGTTTGAAAGACTACCTGCTTGCAATCAGAATCCAGACACTTGGGTCCCTTTTACACTAAATGGTTTCCAGAAGTCCATGAATCTATGTTCGCATATAGCCAGAATAGACTTCGACAGGTCGTGATGCAGGCAAACAATCATTCAATCAAGTTACCCGTCATTCCATTCATCAACCTAGCATTCTGCACATCTCTTCAAGGCTACGACCTCTCTACACGATACTTTCATCTGAAACTGGCGTATCCTTCTCTACTACTTTCTTCAGAAGCAGCCAATGATACCGTAGAAGGTACCTGGGTTTCTAGTATTGAAGGTTTATGCTTCTTTAATCGATTCAACTCAGTTATGCCACTCTATATTTTAAGATAAAATATATTAATATCGCTATTGATTAAAGATAATAATCAGTAACGCTGGTAGTTGGAGAGGAAGAAAAATAAGAGTGAGAGAAATCGGGATTATATACCTCTCAGGTTTCCATCGCTCTTTCCTCCCCCATCTGAAATTTTCCTAAATTAACGCCGTGCTTTACTCTTTCCAAGGGAAGGGAAAGAAATATACTCGCGACTTCCCCTAATTTTTATTTATTCTTCGTCCATTATACTACGGGGAGATTGATAGCCTAGGCACAATAAAATATTCATTATCAATAAGATTCGTCGAATTAAAACATCAATAAAAAAGGGGTACAGGAATTGTGGTGTCTCTTCTTCACTTCTCGTCAATCATTAGGATACTCGCTGCAAAATCGTTTTCGTCGGCGGGAAAGTGAGACCCCCTCCCTCCATGCGCTTTCCTAAAATATGCCGCCTCCTATTATACGCAGGAACGAAAGAAATAGATAAAAAGAATATATTGATATCAAAAATCAAAACACTAGGAAAACCAAGAATTATGAGGACTTTGACTCTTTCGTCCACCCGAAGTCGTAGCATAGAAAATTCCGGGATGGAATTTTCGGTACTACTTCACCATTCCAAACCACCTCGCCGGATTTCGAAAATGTACACATGAACATCGAAGGGGGTCATCCAAGTGTTGCGATTTTTCATCGAGCGAGGCATTTCCGCGGATTCTTCCGAGATATCTGAGTTGTTCGAGTTACCTGTGACTGATCTCCTTAATGGATTATACCGCTCAATAGGCGGTTCGAGATTTGATAAGAAGAATTGTCTCCTATCGCTGGGACTTGAGCTGCCAATGGTGAAAGATTGTCGTGAGAACGTCGAGGGGAGATATTCTTCATTGTTCAGAGGAGACTTGAGGACTGGGTGATCGTGCTGATATGGCTGGGGATACTGCGGGGAACATATTTTGGCACGAGGAATGTTGTGGTAGCAATGAGTCATCCTGAAAGAAGAAATTTCGTGAGCCCAAAAATTTCGATAATTGTGGTGATAATGTATGTCTACTCCTTTCGTCATCCATTTCCACTGATGTGTTATCGGCAGGAAGCTCAAGTGTTGTGTGACTTGCATCCACCTCAGATGCCATTGCGAATTTACTTTGAGTATCCGGCAGACGTTGTATAGTCCTCGGGAGAATCTCCAGGTGTCGTTCTATACATTTCTGCTGGCTTATTTGTGAATTGGATAGAATGTTACTGCTTGTGAAATCCTGGGATTGCAGCTCGACAGGCTGGCGACTTTCATGACCTGGCGTTTCGACCATTGGTGCCTTTACATCTAGCAAGGACTTATAGTTTGAGGATGAATATGTAAAATAAGTGTCTGGAGGAAATGCTGAAGGGTTGGGTGATGGTGTCATGCGAGGAAAATCATTAGAGAAATCTCCAATTATTCTGCGAAGCGCAATCTCTGCTGTGGATGAAGGACGCTTGCGACAGCGATAAGGATAGAAGCCACTAAGAACTCCCATGGCAAGAAAAGCCACTAATGCGGCCAAGATTCCGCATATAATTCCAAGTGATAAATGCTTAGTCGAATTGGTAGGATCGGCGTTGTATGAAGCTTGTGTGTTCGACGAGGTATTGCTCGCCAAATTGGGAGATGTTATTGTACCGAGTTTAGAATTAGCCCGTCAACGAGAGAGAACTGACTAACAGTGAAATTTCCACGTTCATAATCGACCGCAAGATAACTAGGAATCTCTTGGGGAAGTACTGTATTTTTCTCGGACAACTACTCACGCTTCCTGTAGAAAAGCTCGTCCTAGAGTATTCTGAGTGTCATTGGCCGACCTCCTGATAGGAAAGTAATACGTATTATTGGGTACAAAAGGATGAAGCTGATGAGGGCAAAGGCGTTGAAAGTTAAAAAAAAGAGACGCTGTAGCGCTAATTGACAGAGAAATCCCAAACACCTTTTCAAAGTCTTGACAAGTTGATTCAGGGAGCCAGAAGTTTGGATCTATGGATTCAGTGAAACTATAAGTTGGACTTTTTAGGAGATTGGCTTGTGTCTTTCCACTATATGTTATCACTTGGATTGCTATAACAATATCCCTATCGACGTCTGAAGCAAGAGTAAAGGTCGCAGAATTTGGCGTAAATCGAGAAGCGTCATATGTCCCGAAATTAATTGAGCATATTTTCCAGCTTTAAGCCCTGAGATACGGTCAATGAGAAGCTTACATATGGAATGAAGGGGGGATTCTATACGATATTTCGCTCCAGCTGTATAACTCCGAGTTAAACTTGGAATAAGTTTTTGAGACCATAAAGATGAAAAGTAAGATGGGGCTGAAGAGTTCCCTATGTTAAGTTCACTGGCTGAGTGCCAAGTCCGAATATTCCTCTTCCACGAATCAGTCGAAAGTCGAAAAATCTGCACAAATACATACGTATAGAATGGAGATGGAGTAGCGATAGCACTAATTATTTGATTGTGGAGAGTAGGATTATTCGTCTCCGAAACATATCCCAGCCGATTGAATCTAAGCCAAAGTCTGCCGACAGAAAATATCCTAAATCCGCTGGAACCCAAATCCATACTCGTTGATTCCAAACAGCCCTATATCTTCCCAAGTATTGGACAAGGTGTTGCTGATCAAGCCCCATCTAGCATTAGCACAGCCATTTGGTACCGGGGAGATTACTGCAGAAGTACATCCGAGTGGCAAGACTACCAAAGTCTGAGGTGAATTTTTTGAAACCACAACTTGAATATCCTGGGCAGGAGTTCCGACTTTCAATGCCAAAGATGACCATTCACCATCATCGTCATCCTAGAGATATTAGACTTCTCTTTGGAATTGGGAATGTATTCAAAGCTCACAAAGTATCGACTTGCTGGTATGACCAATGGAGATGGAAAAAACTTATCTGATCTGAAGTCATCTCAAGTACACCATTCAATGGATTGCCTATGACTTTTAGTGCGACAACCGAAGCCAACAATAGCCCATTAGGGAGCCGTACTTTCATGATGACTTTTTAACAGACAGGAGTTCCACAACGGCCGAACTTGCATAGACACAAGATAAGAAGATTGAACAAAAGATATTACAGGGATATTCCGAGTGTTTTGGACAATGGAGATCAAAGTCCTGCCCATGGGCAGGGGTAAATTGCACCTTATCGGGACCTCAATCCCGCATTTCAACGGGCGGAGTCTTTTGGAAAGGGGACGGCCAGAAATTTGGTCGGGTATTCACAGATTGAAACACACCCTGGCATTGATAAGTAGAAGTTATCGAAATGCAGGAAAAATAACCAGGATTGCAAATGATAATCTTGGAGATATTTGCAAGGCTGCGGCACAGCTCACGGATTCGATTTCTCCCTCCTGCCTAGAAGCATATTACCTTTCCAATTTTGTCTATGGCTAGGCACTGGCCAAGTGGATTTGATAAATCGGATGCACTTTGAGTTAGGAATGAAGTATCACAGTTCTGCAATTAGACAGAAATAGACGGGACAGTGAAATCGTTACAGAAGGTGGTGGGAAGGTGCATAATGAACCGATTGGCTCTCAAGCCGAGCTCCATAGTCTTCTCATGTCTAGATCTATGATATATCGAGAGTGGGAGGGGTAGCAATAGAGTTTTAGGAAATGAAATTACCAAAAATGCGGAACGTTGTGATATATACAATTTAGGTATCTGAGAACAAGCGTCTTATCCGCACTAACCACGTGACCTTATAGCTTAGTTAAAAAATAATTGTACGAATAAGAACAAGATCACGTGAAGTCATGCTACTGCAGACATTAAAAGAACCAACTTTTAAAGACAACAAATTCCCAATCCTTTCCAATTTTAGCCCAATGTAACCATTCCTAATGCGTGAGCCAAAGGTATACAGAATACTCTCCGGGCTACATTTGTGGACAATGTATCTAACATTATACACCTTTAAGCGTTAATGAACCAATATTATTGTTACTCTACTTTGACGAATTCTCCGATCCCACCAGACTGTTTACGCGTTAATCTATCACTTGTCAGTAGGCGCCGAATGTTTTCAATGTCCCTTGGTCATGGCTTGCTTTAGCAGGTCGTCACAGCCGGCCAGTTGATTATCGGAGTTGGTAACCTCGCGCGCTCGTTGTTCGTAAAGCGGCTGGCTTATGGAGAACATCCTATCCAACCATCCAGAAGGTATCTAGATTGACTTTCGTCTCACTCGACCGATCGCTAGTTGGCCTGATTTTGGCATTATTATTATCGGGCTCTCTTTACATCAATGCTTCCTCCCCTGATCATGAAATGACACCGTGAACGTGGAAGGATCACTCCGCCAAGGATATATATTCCCTGACAACCACGAGGATTTGTACCAATGGTTGGTGGTATCATTTATCATCAACTGTGGGATCAATCATCGAAGTCCGTTATCTTGTCACATTCGACCCAAATGAATAAATTGTTCTCAATTTCGCAATTGGGTTAAAATTTAGGCAAAACGCATACCACAAATTTGCCATTCTCCTCGAATATCAAGTGTAAATGGCATATTCTCATATCTTTATTCGCTCAGTGTAATGCCGTTTTTGAATCCTGTTGCTTCGTTCTTTGACCAACCCCCCACACTCTTTTAGTTTGTCCTTTGAAGTTTTTCCATAATGTCACTGCGACTTTTATCAATATGGCCAGTTTTACTGAAGCTTCGACTAATGGAGCTATTCAAAATCTCGGTGCTTTGGATAATGGTTACAATAGACGTTTCCCAGCTTTGGCTATCCCCATACCTCAAATTGAATCTCTCGGTCTGTGAGTTGTTCCACTACCTAAACATGAAAAACTTACTGATTTAACCAAGACCCATATTATAGACATTGTGGTCAAGACGATGCACGACTTGGTCTTTTCGATCGGCCAGGAGCTGTACCCTCGGTTAATGCTCTTTTACCCATTACATCGGCGACTCCAGCAAAATAAACCTCAATCCCTGCAGGTACAGCTCAATCCCCTTCCCCAAATCATTGAAAATAGCAAGCACGAATGTCATTTTTCCTAATACTTCAACCTCTGCTGCTCAAGTCCAAGCATTCGATCCTACACCTTCAGACCATATCATTCCGAGCACCCGCGCATCATCATCCGGCGTACTCTCAACTTCTGCCTTAGACGTTCAAGACCCAACCACTACTGTTAACTCACCTCAGTCGGCATCATCGCCAGCTATTATTTTCGACTAATACACCTGTTCCAATCGTAGCAATTGCTTCTTCGGTCATATACGCAGTCCCCGGTGACTTGAAGGCAGTCGTAGAAAAGCCAAACTGCCTCACTTGAAGGAGTTCCTATAACAATCTCTCCTCCACTAGTACAGCTCGCACCGTCTGGTCTTGATGTTGCAACCTTGGATGGCTATTCTTTCCAATCAATTAGTGACACCACTACCCCAGCAGCAGCGGCTACTCTAACAGTTGCCCCAGTTGCCCCAGTCGCCCATAGTCGCATTGTCACTCTTGGTGGGGGGAGGGGCGGGCGGTATCATATCAGCAGTCCCGGGGGCCTCGGCTATTATTGTTGCCGGACAAACCTTTACCTCAGGTAGTCCAACCATTACAATTTTAAGATTTCGATTCACTCCTTACCTTCGGTTCTCAAGGCATCGTGGTTCAGGCATTTGATGGTTTAATATCAACGTGTAGCCCTTGAAATCGTCTCACGTGCAATCACTCTACCTACAGGAGGGAAATTGGTTTCTGCAATAGCTGGCGCATTAATCCTCATTGTTGGTTCGCAAACACTCTCTGATTCCGCGATCGCCACCCTTGGCACAGCAGGTTTGACCGTGCAGTATCCTAGAGGCATCACATCTACCAATGATGCACCATTCATCCTCCTACCCACACTCCTCTTGCAACTCCAGCCGAACCCTCCATCACAGAAATCCGAACCAGCGAAATTATAATCTACAGTTCTGACAGACTATTATCGACGTACTAGCACCTTGACCGACACAGTTTCTTCTATTACTAAAGTAAGAACTAGTGAATTCATAGTATACATTTCCGGTAAAGCAATTACCACATTCTACAGCGTCTTGAAAATTATAAAATGTGTAGAATTTATTAGTACAAGCACAAGAGATGCAAACGAACCCAATGTTCTGACCGTAGAAACGGGAAATTGGAATCTGACTTCGACTTCTATGCCGAGTGCGGGTGCGTATGCTATTATGAACATTGTGCTTGGTGGTGGAGTCGAGAAATTAATAAGCACCCTGGTGAATAGAATGAGGTTTGCAGGATTGTTGGGGATATAGGGTTTGCTACTGACATTATCAATGTTGTGATGGATGGGGTGGATATATGAAATGGTTACCACGGGATGTGGTTATATTTGGGGATATGTATATTAATTACTACTTACCTATACCTACAGGAATAAATTCAATTCTTCGAAGTCACTACGTTTAAAGCATAATTACCTTCATTCCATCCTGTGATATCGGAAGCTCGGGTACGCAAGGGGTAGCCGGCTTGATTGGCTCTCCCTTGTGTAGTATATATGCATATCCTCCCCCCTTACTTCCATACATTCCATTCCCAATGCTCGGTACCTAGCCACAGACAAAATCCGGTCTACAGAGGTTACAGGGACTATGAGAATCTGTTATAGGCTTCAAGCACTACAACAGATATGCAACAAAAGACTTTAAAAGGCTTGGCATAAGGGATAGTGAATTCATTGCAGGTAATTGGAGTATTTGATTGGATAGTTTTTCTTTTTATGCTTGGTTGGATTTGAGAGGGCCGCTTATCTCGTCTCATATCATACCGATTGTCATGATATAAGGGGCAAATATAGTGTTTATCGATGATGTGTTATTGGTGCTCTTGAAACTGCATCGGAGCTTTGAAGTACTATTTCATGCATACATTACTCCCATTGATGATTCCGGACTCCACATCCAGGATTTTCATCCCCTCCAAAAATTCACAGGCGCAGACATCACCATGAGAATAAAAAACAATGAACAATCTATAATTCTTCGGACACGTATTATCCTGCCTCAAAGTATTTTTCTGCTATTATTTACAACTCATTCACATCATAACATAGATATTTTCCAGCCCATTATACAAACAGCCTCCCCAATCGTAACCTAGTCCTTCGTAAAATGTCCCCAGTACAAATGATATTGGTATATTCCACCACCGCTAACTTGCCCATCCATAAAACGCCAGGTGATTTCGAATATTCACGAAATTCCCTTTCAAAACCATCAAAGTGCCACGCTGGAACCCATTTTTTAAACCTCCTCCTATTAATTTCCCAGGCTGGTTGACCATAGATCATAGACACTAATCAATCCACCCCCCATAATCTCCCGATTATGGCTCATTCCTACTAATTTCGACCTTATGACTATAGTCCCCCCCATGCCAGTCACTACCTTTATCCAACCCCTTCTCCACCGAATCCCCTCTATTCCTCTTCCTCGAAAAACTCCTCTTAATCTTCCCCACCGAACACCCTTCTCTATTCCCTTCTTCCTTCCCCGCATTCTCTTCTTCTTCTTCTTCTTCATCTTTCTGTTCCACATCAACTTTACTCCGATAACTCAACTCAATAACATCCGTCCTCACAATATTTTCCTCGCTTTCTCCAAAGGTACCACTGGGTGTACTTTTAATTCCTTTGTTTCTTCCATTGCGACCACCCATTATATCTCTTCCGTTTTTCCCTGTAAATTTCGAGCGCGGGTAATTTTCTGCATGGGATAGGGGATGCGATCGGTGATTTGTGGGAAACTTGTAGGAGGAGGATGTATGCACCGATTTCCATTTTGCTGGGATGATGGCCGAGAGGACGGGAAGCGAGGCGGCGATCACGCCCAGAGTTAGATCGACTAGTGTCCAATCTGCTAGAGATTTAAAGGACCCTAGAGCATGTTAGTTTATAGAAATGCAACAGCAAAATGAAAACCCAGCCCCAGCCCCGCCCCCAAACCTATGGCATGAAGATATACAAAACAACAAACTTACACAATACATCCGATTCCAATTCCGCCTGCTTAATCTGTCTGAAAATACTCCCAATCATACTAGCTCCACCCACAGCAAAAACAATATACAACCTCCCCCTTGTCCTCCACCCCATCTTCACTTTCCACAATACGATGAGCGGAACAGCCAGAAGTCCAAAATCCGTAACTACATGAACGGTACTGAGAACCGGTCCCAGAGTACTCACCGGAAAACACTTAGCCGTTACGCCTTCTCTCCCCAGTCTTATAGCATCCCAACCGCCCCAAACAGGGTCACACGAAAAGATAGTCCAGAAGAGGGATACCAAGATATAGACAACCAGAAACACCAAAAAGGCATGATTAAACCACAACCAACGTCTCGTCGTCATAGCAGTAAGTCTGCGATTAAAAAGACAAATCGAAATTTTCACAACTCCTACTGACACAAAAAAGAACATCTTGGATAAATTCGTATATCTTTTAAAATATCCATATTCCTCATACGTCACATCCCAAATGTGTTTTCCGGCGCCTCCATATACGACTGCTAGGATCTGTAGTACGGGCCAAGTCATAGCGAGGATCACGCCGGGAACTATAAAAAGATCGTCGAGACCTAGTACTAAACCGCGGTTCAGGAGCCGGATAAGTAGACGGAGGAGTGTGAAGCTGAACATGAAGAAAATGGATATGGACATGGCGATAAGGAGTGAGGTGGAGCGGGACTCGAAGACATAGTCTGGTGGTGCTAAAGGGGGAATTATGATTCCCTTCATAGGAGAAGTTTCTCGGCCGAAGGCACTGTTGAGGTATGCGACTATGTAGTAGTCATTGGTGGTATTGGGAGGGTGGCCGATGAGCGCGGATATCGTACCTGTGGGGAGAGCTGTTGGGAAGGCTGCGGTCGCTGAGGAAATGATGCTTGATGATGATAATATCGAAGACATGATGAGGTAAATGGAAGCCTGAAGATCATTCGTACTTGAGATAACGTGTCCAATTCCTCCAGTCGATCAGTCTACCGTCAAGCAGCAGCAACAATGAAGGCCCCTGAGATCGAGACTCCTGGGGAAAACGGGTGGAATATCGCGGGGAAACGTGGCTTTAAGGGTTGCATTGAATAGTTCAGCAATTCTTACATGCAAAGCTTTGGGATAGAGTAACGATCACGACCAGGTTGAAAAGTGGAAAGGAACCTTGAGGAGACATAAAGAAATTGAAAATTTTCGTATCCTCTTGATAGAGTTCAGATAAGCAAACTATAATAAAGGATGTGAAACATCTTAGGGAATGATCCATTAGGGAAATCGCAGTAAAATCCAATCTTCCATAACCACATGGCGGTGTGAAAATAGGTAATATCCGTCCAAGGCTTCGGAGGACCATCCATGAAATTGAAGGCATTTCGAGCATGGTTCCTTTGGTACAGATAATTTTTAATGAAGGTTGGCCGTTAGCCCAGCCTGCCCCTTTAAGTGCCGAATCACTCGATCCCTACCACTCTCCCGCTATTGCATTTTCACATTACCAAGTCTTCAGAGAAATTTCAACGTTTCTGATTTGTCTGCGGGATGTCAATTAGAGGAAGGTAAAGGTGCAGAGCATAAAGCATTCGCAAGGAAAATGACGGAGGGATGCTATTGGAGTCTTTTATAAGTCTGGATACCCTGTGTAACATATATCCGTCCAATTCACATCACTACTTCCACGACATTTTGCCGACAACTTCCTAATTCACAGGCGTCTCCATACACATATAAGCGACCATACTGTGCAATTTAAAGTTTCATGCTCCGTTGGACACAGGACACAGACTAAGTAGGCCGTGCAACTATGGTACGAGTATCCTGAGTACCGATCCGTTTTTACTTGGCCTTCTTACCAATATCCAAGTAGTACCAGGAAAACAAATTGTGCGCCATCTTACTGTTCCCACTGGACCGTTCGTCGTTCCAAGCAACGCGCAACAAATATTTTTCTGGAACAATAACAAAATATGCCGAACGCTCCGTCTTCTGAAACTCTTTTGCCAGTATCTCCTGCGATGTAACGTGGGAGATCCATTATTTCCCTCTCAGCCTTACTGCCATATGAAATTTCCTGTGAATTTTCCCGGATTTTCCATCCTGCGTGTTGATCATTCAAGTAACGGAGCCCAATTTGTTAAATATTCAAGGTTGAAAGCTGCCTGTGAGTCTTTAGATAACAATAGTTTGAGGGAAGTTTCGGGGTTGGACAAGCTCGAGATAAAATGATACATTAAACTTTAATAGGGAAGCGACCCAGAACCTCGTGGGATTTATGGATACGCAAATCCATGATTCACGACTAAAGTAGAATTTAACCAACAATTACCTCCTAACCTTGAAGCAATTTCTCGATCCGAGAAATCCGGGTGGGTACATGCTGCGAACAATGAATGTATCACGGGTGGTTCCATCAACGGTTCAGCACCCCAAGGTTGAAGCTTTCATCAAATTCTTCATAACAAATATTCGTACTCGTTATTAGAAGCAATAACTAGCTATATGCAACGACTAAGCCTCTGTACGGGCCTTTGAATAATTGAAATGACATCTTTTGACCTGGTGCAATTATGCATTTTTGTCGAAGCGGAAGCGAGCTTAAGTCATTTCAGACACCTACACTAAAAACTTGCTCACAAATGGGCGCAAGAAATACAATTCCTTCTTTATTAATCCCATTTTTTGAAAGCCGGGGATAGCTATCTCCTCTCACTTGGCTTTTGCTCCAACGGAAGACCTTTCAAATGGGGAAGGAGACAACTGGTTTATTGCTTTTCTAAATAATTCCCGTAAGAATTATTTCACGTCCCCTTGAGGCTCGAACAATGAATATCCTTGAAAAAACGTGAAGACTTCTTTACCACCATGGGTATCCTTGAGAAAACGTCGTGGATGATGTATTGCCTCGGGATTACGACTAGCAAGTCCCGGCATGATTCACAAATCCGTCCAGAACTTCCATACTACTATTTTACTCCTGTTGTAGGATTCTTTTCATACAGAGTCTGTTTCGTCTGCCCAAGTGTCGAGGTACTGGAGTTGACAGTTATTTATATGTTGGTGGTGCCTCATCTGAACTACGACCACTCGATATATATAACAGGACCTTGCCCTCGATATAAAAATACCACAGCCCTTGCTTGTTCCGTTATCTCAACGGCTTCGAACGAATTTTCAGAAAAGCTTCCAGAAATGAGCTTGGGCATACAACGGTCAAAGTGGCAGATTCTGGAAGCATTATCCTTACACACAAATTTCTAGCATCTGGCTAGCATTCGCCGGTTACTTTTGCACGTGACATTATGATTTCTCCTTTAATCGCACATGTAGGTAACAGTTTTCTCCGCCTCTCAAAGGTGGGTTAATCTGTGGGTTTTTCGAAATGGGACAAGATCAACTAGATCCACAATATCTGATAACAATGGGGTGTAACGATGCAGCAAATTTGATAGGATTACATAGGATTACATAGACACAAGTGCAGGGCGGAATTAGACTTCTGTCGGTTCATTTAATTTACCATGCAGTGGCGTGAACCTTTCTTGAAAATTTGTCTTTCCTTCTAGGTTTACACTTGATTTTCATCTCACCCCTCTTTCGTTCTCGAGATGTTTTTCCTCTGGTCTGTGATTATTGGCCTTGCAACGGTTTCTTCAGCTCGTTCTTCAAATGATCTGGATTGCACCGGGATAAATGGAATCAAGCCTCAATGTAAATCGAAGGAGTCATCCTACCAACGCGATGTCTTCTGGGTTGGGGGACGTTATGTAAATGCTGCGATTGGGTTGTTGACATATGATCAAATGTATGTTGAGAAATTGACGCCTCAAAAGGGTATCGAAAAGCTTCATCCTGTGGTCTTATTTCATGGTGGAGGAGTGTCTGGCGCGGTAAGTCGCATTTCCCAGCCTTAAACAAACTAGAATCGGCTAATAAGGTCTAGACATGGCTCAATACACCTGATAACCGTAAAGGATTTGCATCAATGTTCTTAGATTATGGATATCAAGTATACGTCGTCGATCAGACAAGTGTAGGACGCGGAACTCAAGAAGATCTAGTGGGGTATCCTTTGAGAATCGGATCAACCGCAAATATTAGTGAGGTACTGTTCTTATTCTGTCTTTATTGGTGCTGCCATGAATGAGGCTTACGATTTCCACAGGCTGGTTTCACTGCTCCACAAATCGCGAACGCCTACCCACAAAGCCAACTGCATACTCAATGGCCCGGGACTGGACTTCGAGGAGATCCTATATTCGATGCTTTTGAAAGTGGATTTATGCCTTTAACCAACAACAATACTCGGCAAGAGATATCCATGCGCGCAGCTGGTTGTGAACTTCTTCAGCTAATTGGTCCTTCATTCCTGGTCTCCCATTCTATCGGCGCAATTCACCCAATTGTGATTTCAGATGAATGTCCAGATTTGGTGCTTGGTAATGTGAATCTCGAACCAGGAAATATTCCCTTCGAATCGTATACCGGGAACCAAACATCATCTGTTGGGAGAACAGCTGCTCGTCCATTTGGTTTGACCGTCGCCAATCTCAATTATGATCCTCCTATTTCCAGTTCCACCGAGCTCATTACTGAGACGGTTGGTGAAGACACGCCGGAAAAAAGATCGTGCATACAACAAAGTAGTACCGCCCAAAACCATATCATCCATACTCTCCCCAATATAGCCAAGGTCCCATACGTCGCATTCACCGGTGAGGCCTCTCCTCACATTACGTATGAGCATTGTGTAATCAATTATCTCAATCAAGTTGGAGTAAAAGCCGATTGGATCAAGATGGCTGATGTCGGTGTTCATGGCAATGCTCATTTTGGATTTCTGGAGAAGAATAATGTCGAATACTTCGAGGTCGTTGAAAACTGGATCAAGCTGGCATCGAAGGGGAATTGATTCATAAATTCCGGAGGATATCCACAATGAAAGGTGGAAAAAGGAAGTTTTGAGAGTGAGATGGATCCTGTAAACTTATAATTAGCTCCCCTAGAGGCTTGTATATATTCACCATAGTAATTGCCCCATTAGGAGATGGTTTTGGCGAGATAATAATGTAATTCCATTGACCCCCTAGGTTATTGCTCTGCATCTTTCGCCCGCGGTAAAGCAAATTTATGATGTTGTGAGAACATATGTCGTAGTACGACAATGAAGTCCTCAAACCAAGAGGCTTGATAAGAAAGCGCTAGTCTCTAATAAATGAAGCCACAAGCCACTTTCACTGGAAAGATTGTGGAAAGATTGTACCAAAGAATTTCTGCATCAAAACCTAGTAGCAAGCTTGATCTGACTCAAATGGAGAACTTCCAGTTCCTTTCAAAAACTTCAAAAGGAATCTTACAACTTCCCAAAACAAACGGAATAAAAAATCAACCACAAATTCTTTCCTCCTAACCTTCTGGATAATATCACACTTCTGCATCTTTGCTACTAAATTCCAAAGTTTCAAGATGCATGCATTACTTTGTGTATTGGTTTTTTATTGCTGAAATGATGCACTGGTAGATGTTAGATGTGCAACAAAACTTGGAATGCAAAATTTAAGTTTTGGATGATGAGATGTGATTGAATCCAAAACTTCGTATTTGGAAATAGATGGAAGTTTGGGTACCCAGTCTTTCGATCTCTTTTCTAATATTATATATTTATGTTATTCTGCTTCGTTATTAGGATGTTACTGAGGATTGAGTTATCCTGTACATTGAAAAGAATACATAAGGTTATTGCAGAATTGAAAAGGGAGATCCCTAGAGATCAGACATACAACAAAACTTTGAATTCACTGAATACGAAATCTCAATTCTGTATTGCAATGCTATTAAGCGGCCATGTATGCGGTGTGATGTCACTTCATCGATTACGTCGGTTTATAATACTATACAATAATTAGCACGACGCACACGTCTACTTGCATGAATCTTCACTTAACATTCCATACCACAGCCATCTCAGATTTTATCCCATCCCTTGTTTCCTTCCATCCTCACCTATTCCCACGCACATCCAATCCCTCACCTCCTTATTAAATTTCACATTCCACATTTCCGAAACCCGCCCACCCTCACATCCCATCACTTCTTCCCCTCATCTTCTAACCACCACCTCCTCACTCCCACTCTCTCACAGCCCCTCATTAATCGCCCGATCAGCCTTCAACAAAATCCCAATACAACTAACATTTACCCCACCACCAAAAAGCCGACCTCAATACACTCAAATTTCTCGTCTCCAAAAACGTATATGCGAATCCATATCCTACCCTCGCTAAATTATAATAAAATCCAAATTTATTAATTGTTTCAACCGGTAGACCAATTTGTTGGGCTAGGAGCTAGATACGTATTTCTACTAGTTACATTCCTCGTTATATAATTAACACCTTTCTTCTTTCCCCTCCCCCATGGCCAAGAAAAAGAAAATCGACAAATAAACAAATAAACCAAAAAAAAGTACAGAAATAAAAAAATAAACTCAAGATCTTACAATACACCCCCAAAAAAAACCAAAATGCTCAATACTATTACTCTGCGCACTCTGCACCCTCTTCACTCGATCTAATTGCCTCCTCGTAAGTTTCCCCTCTTGAACCATTCGTTTTCCATATTCCTCGATATCATAACGTGGTGACTCATTATGATCAAAACCGTAATATTGCTTCCAATGCCGAGAGGCGAGGAGGTATGAAAGTGTCCGGTTTGCGAGGATGTAGGGAACAGTGTGGTTGATGGTTGGGGAGAGGGGAGAAGAGAGGAAACCGATGAATGTTGCCATTTCTTTTTTCTTTCCAGGAAGAATGTGGGAGGTTGGTGAGAATGTTTTTGGTGAGTATGGCTATGGCTTGAGGAGAGATAGATGAATAAGTAGTAAGATATGATGTGCTGTGCTGTGCCGTGCCACGATATTTGTATCTTGATTTCCGCCCCCAAATTCGGGAACTTTTCGGATACTTAAGTTGAGTAAGCACTGGTGTCAGCTACTATTTTGGTAATGTGCTTCGCGGCATGGCAGGCCGTTCATCAATATTTACAGGATATTGACGTACGTAGGACGTGGTATGTTGAGACTAGAATGACTCATATGTTATCATTCTGGCGGTGATAACATTGTCTTCATTTAGAAACTCGAGGATTATATTTCCTTATATGCGTGCAAACAAATCTATTCTGTATTTGCTGATACTATAAATTGAAGAAATCTGGCAAAAGAAGAAAATAAACGACGCATTGATATATGTGATGTACCTGAAGGGAAACTGATAGATCAAACAACCTGAGATTTCCACATAAATTCGACATAAAGAGATCCATGTTCCATAAACACTTCCACCGTATCCAACCTATACCATTTTCGATATCATAACAACCCACACAATCCAAACGATCTCATCTTAGTACCACTGTTTTCCTTTGAAGAAGCTCGTAGGTTGAGGGTTTTCGGGAAGATAAGTACCTAATATTTTGCTCTTAAATGAGCCGGAAATCTTCCCCGAGTTGAACATGTTTCCCGAGTTCAACACCTTCCCAGAGTTCAAAAACTTCCCTTTCAATTGGTTCAGCTTCTCAAAAATTGCAGCCATATTACTAAGGTCTTTCTTCACGAGTTTACGAGAAGGAGCCCATGTGGTGACAAATTGGACAGATGGATTATAACACGTACTGCCGCAGCAGACGTCTCTCAAACAAATCCCACTGGCACAATCCGAATTATTAACGCAGTTGTCACCACAAACGCCTGCAGCGACACAGAATCCAGCACCATCGTCTCCACCGCCAGGAATACAGATACCAGCACCATTTCCACAAGCAGCATTACTGTATCCTTGTGCACATGTGGCTGGGTTTGCACAGAGGGGTAGTTTATCGTAGAGATAGATAGTTGGAGTTGGAGCGACTACTGTAGATGCTGTGATGGATGCACAAGTACAGGCAGATGAGTAGGCGGCGGCATCGCTACATGCTGACGCGTAAGTGGGAACTGGGCCGGGCTCAGTCGTCTTTGCGGCAGGAGGATATGGATAATTTTCCATATTGGCACTTGTAGTGATCAAAGCGATCCTACCTCAATTAGCAAGGAAGATGAATGGGGTTAGGGTTTGACGAACGAAGCATCAGGCGTGACAGTCGTCGCTAGAAATTTGGCGCAATCCAGTGAACGACTTTGGAGACCGACGTTGATTTCGCCAATTGCTGTAATAGCATTGGCACATTGGTCATTGGTACAATCTCCCCAAATACCTCTGGCGAAGGCCAGAAGAATCAACAAGCTTGCAGTCGTCATATTGAAAATAGTGCCGTTAGTTGTAAAGCAGACGAGACGCGTTTATGGAGAAGAAAAGAACGAGAGCATGAGAAAGATTTATACCTGCAAATTTTGTTGTACATATCAATGGACGTGAAGAATGTTGGGGCTTGGAATATGAGACTTTACCTTATGCCAAGCCATTTGATGTCTGCTCGTCCAGACGAATGTTGGCCATTGGTATTTACCTTGAGCAGATGTAATCTGCTGTGGACTATGGTGGGAACATTTATTGAGTTTTAAAAATCCATCGTGTATTTTTGTACACACGGTGCTCTCAATTTGACGTCTCAGAGGGCAATATCTCCTCACACAATACCTTAAGAGCGTATGACATGAACGAGAATGAATCTCCCTGCTGTTACGTCGCGCGGACCCAACGGAATGTTAGCTGCAAAAACACATTCCGACCCAGCAATTTTCACGTGTAGTCCCCGTGTCTTTTATGTAAAAAAACAGGTTTGGCGTCTCATCTTTTAATAATGGTTCTCTAATATCTCCGAAGGTTGAGGAACCATAGACGAGGCTCCAAATCTTCCAACCATTGACGGCGTGACGCGACATCAAAGACGAGCGATACTACCATGCAAACACTTGCTTTTCAGCGACCAATTGTGAGTTTTGTTTATTGAAAGGGCGAATGTTGTATTGAGAGTATTCGCAATAGGGGCTCATGGTCGAGCTGTAGCTGCCATGTTTGCGCTTTTGTTCTTTCCTCACATAAGGGATTGATTCCGTTTTGCGTAATCCATAGGTTAGCATGGACGACCGCGTACTTTCAAAACGAGTTGGAATACACAGAAGTAATTACATGAGCATACGTGCCCGAGAGATCTTTTGTTTGTTTGTCAGATCTGAATTCAGTTATTGAATGAGACGGATGTTGATGACATATTTTGTGCTGGACTCGCGCAGCAATTTTGCTCTAATCCTAATCAAGAATGGTGCGTGACACCACACTAATGCAACTTCAACTTCAAGCAAACCTTCAATGCTACCTCAATGCAGAGGAACGAATCATTCTGCTTACCCCATTTCATTGATAAGATCTTTATCATACAGGTATTACAAGGCTTTCCCGTTGTTTCGTATCGGAGATAAAGGTTGGTGATGGGCATTCATGCAGCCCAGTCACTTCTTGCTAGTGACCAATCTAAAAGCATTTCGGTCATGACGGGAAGCCACTTCTCCCCAATGTTGTAAACGAGGCTCTTTTGAGAGCCTCTTGTATGCCAGGGCTGGTGATGCGAAGGTTGGACTTTGAATTTAACCACTTAGAAGTCTTCAAAAGACCCTTGTCTAGACTTTCTACCTGGCGCGTAAGAGAGTCTCGAAAAAGACCCTGAACAAACGGCAACATGCGGTTGTTTTAGATGAAAAAAGTATCTTGTCAATTAATCTTCCAATGGCAGAATATAAAGGTGGTCAGGGTATATATTTTTTTTTTTTAATCCTTAGTTGCCTATTTATGTGCGTTTGCTTTCCTCCTCTACAAACAAACAACTTCGAAACCTCTTTTCCCTAGCTATCTATAGTATCCCGTAACCTTACGGGAGCTATCTACCTGATTTATCACTCAAGTGAGGTGCTTTGTACCTGATAGTGAATTAAAAACTAAAATTCATAATTCACAAGCACCATTCTCGATCAGAACAAGCCAACAACAACGGAAAGGCGCAGCATCCGGCTAACAAGATTCTCCAGGCTACTTCGGATGACAAGTTACACGTTTTATCGTGCTTGCTTCTTTAAAAGGTCGTGGCTTGGAATCTCTCATCGATTCTGGAAGACCGTGATTTCATCAAAGGAAAATCGTAGTGCATGTTTCTGAACCAGAGCAATTAATAAAGCAATTTCCTCTCTAACATCTCCCAAGAGGTTTCCTCAAACTCTTCATTCAAATCATCTCCGGAAGACTCGATTGCAATATGGCTTCCAAATCTTCCTTGACATATATCTTCCATCATGTTTTTCTCCCTCCAAAGTTGCCCCATCAGGAAGATGGCCGAACAGAGCATGATGCAGTATTAACTCAAATTCTTCGAGCGGAGCTTCAGAACTTCCACGATTACTCGCTATCTCACCAAACCCCACAATTCAAGCGGGTTATTGAGATGATAAATGGCATAGTAGTTGAAGAGGATGACACTACTGCGCCGACTTCGAAGGTGATCAAAAACCTCGAAACAATGAAAGCTCAAGGTGAAAAGCTCCCCCCATTGGATCTAATTTACTAACGAATTATAGATATTTGTGCTATGCACATTGAAAAGCAGAATGCTGGCATAATTATTCGGCGATTTCCAGCCGAATACTCCTTTGAGACTTTTGAGTTATCACCAAAGAATGAGGACCTAATGACAACGACTGGGCGACTACGAAGATACTTTCCAGGTCCAGCAGTGGCCGTTCCTCAAAATCGTGTTAACGAACGAGCATTCCAGGAAGCACTCCTTCATTGTATCGAAAGTTTAGTGCGAGAGACACCCATCATCGTTCACCCGCAAACAACTAAACAAGGCACCACAGAACCTGAAATCCGAGACACTGTTGACCCGACACTCGTTACAAGTATGTTGGCTGAATGTTTGCACGCTGTTGGGCGCCGTGTTGTTGTTCCACGCATTCAAAAATGTACCCGTGACGTCGTTCAATGGAAAGATTGTCTGGAACCATGGCGTCGCTCACCTCACTACCTTTTTCTCCGAGTCTGTCTCCAAATTGGCCTCATGGAAGGAGAGGGCAATGAGAAATCTCATCTTCAATATAAATCTTTCATGATTTTTTTTATGTGTCAGATTTTGAAACGCTCACTGCAGGTTCCTAAGCCCAGAGAAATTGTGTTTATCATGTCGATGAAGATTCAGCGGCGTTTACTCAAACTTGACTCAGTTATTGACTCCGAGCTACGATCCCAAGTCCGTCAAGTGTTATTATATTCGTCATCCTACTTGAAAAAGAGTATTCCGGTGCTGTCAACACCATTGCATCCCAGAATTTCTATCCTTAGACCAGAACAAGACACAGAGCTCAGCATAAACTTCCTGAGACCTTATATTACCAATTTGTCAAGGCGGTACCAATCTACACTGAGATACAAATCCCTTCCACCTCAATGCCCTATCCGGATGGTTCAAACGAGCATGGAAATCTCAATTGTTGATACCCCAACTGCTGATAGTTTGCCTGCCAGTTTAAGCTCAAACCATAAAGATATTCGTTTGTTCCTGGCGGACATAGAAATTTGGGTGACGGACCATCTTCCCAGTTGGCTGATGCGGTACCAAACATCTGGACTCAATTGCACTGCTTTGGCAAATCTCATGTCCATATACCAGGAGACATCTGACAAAGTCTATAAGGATATTCCTGAAGATCAATCCATAAAGTTGTTGACGTTGTTAGATTTGTGGATCGCATTAGACAAATTTGCATCATCCCAGGAACCGCTGCTTAAGAACTACCGATGCGGATTCAGTTCGGATTTGTTCGCACCTCTTCTATTGCCGACAAAGCCGCAAATGAAGAGATTAGCATCCATAGAAAAATATATTACTGATAGGAATGCTGCGTCTCTCGCGAATATGCCGTGTATTTTTTCAAAGATCAATACCTCGAATAGTTTTTCCGTCCGTTACTTTGATCAGTCAATCCAGCACCAGCGCCTACGAGATAAAATTATAGCTGACGCCGTTGCTGAACGTAACGAAAAAAGGGCAGAGGTGGAAACCAAACTCCGGGCTTTCGAGGCTTGGAAAGAAGCGGATCTATCGTCTGTCTGCAAGATGAGGGAGATCACTCGCGGTAAAGGGGCAAACAGTCGTAGAGAACTGGGTCATAAGGCTAAAAAATGCCCAAAGTGCATTGCCAAAGCTTCTGCCCTAAGAGTCACAGTCGCCGTACATGAGTGGCCCCTCCCGACATCTGAATCAGAGATAAAATCGATAGTATTCGAACTTGACGTGCCGAAGGTCATTTCAACTTGGCGTGATAGAACTTACAGTCTTTTGGTCGATACATTTTCGCCAACTTCGAAAAAAGAACGGAACGTCGCCTATTATTATTTTGAAAAAAGTTCCTTGAAACGTTATGTTCAAAATAGCTACGGAAGGATTCGACTGGGCTCTCAGACCAAGCCATTCATTGTTTCTCATTATAAAGAAAAAAATATCACCTTAGCTACAACGGAAAATATCTTGAAGCCCAGTGGGCTGAATTTCCTGGTTATAGATTATCGTGAACTTTGGCAAGCCGAAATCAAAGCCAGTTTTTTATCACATCTTAATGTTCGAAAATTATGCACCATGAAGTTCACTCCAGCGCTCGCATCGTTACAAGGCTTTTTAGAAAGTACAGAGCATACTACCAACGATGTTCTTGCTAAGCAAATGAATTGTCCCAATACATTGACCTTACACGAATATTACCAGATAGGATCCCTCAGATCTGGATGTCATCTTCAATGGATGAACATTTTGCGTGAAGTTGAATCTCGAGTATTGGACTTCAACCGCGAGGAAATGTTTCAACTACTTGCGCAGTCTGCTTGGCAGGCGGGTTCTGCGGTTTGTTTGCAGCAAGTTCGAGATTCACACCAAGACCTTGATGATGAAGATTTCGGAACACATCTCTTAATGGCTGTTGATAAAATAGTTTCGAGCGTGGAGTCTAATTGGCAAGGTGGTGGAGCCCTTCGAATTATCACAATGCTTACTACTCGACTGCTTAGCGTCTCTTCTCATGGGATTGTCCAAGGAGGCTGTCTCCGACTACTTCAACGTATTCAGCTTATTGCCATTGAGTGGGCCAGGGATGCTATCAATACCCTCCACAACTGCCAAGAAGAAAATGAGCTTGAATCAATCGAAATTCGTGCCCTTGAGTTAGCATTGACGTGTAACGGCACTTTTGACGTTGACATGCATCACCTGAAAATTATGCTGAAGTCCGTCGAAACCCAGGCAATTTTCGTCGAAAGTTTGATTACAGTTCACGATAGGAGCCCTACATCTGCCGATAGTCTTAGCATTGTTACTCAGATGTGCTTGAGGCGTTTTGATAGGATAGCTCATCGAGCCGAGCGAATTTTGCGCGATACTATTGTCTGTGAGGCGAAAGGGATCAACACAGCCATTCAATTTCTTTGGTCGAGTTATGAAGCAGGAAGTCGATGGATACCGCTTGAAACTCCAAAAGAACGATGGCTTAAGACAAAAACGGCAGAGGCTAATGGTCAAGTGTCTGTCTCTGTCGAATTCAACATTTTGACTGGGGAGCTACTCATCAATGGATTCCCTCTAGCTCGTCTACCTCGTCATTACGAGGCTCACGAAACGTATAAGCGGCTCTTTGGACAGGTTAGTATTGATTTCATGAATCCCACTTGATCAGCGAGTCATTTGTTGGACTAACCTTTCTATATAGAAAATGTTGGATGTCATTCCATCGACTATGGACGGTATGACTTTTGAGACTAGGAAAGCCGTGTGCAACCAAGAGGTATGGTTGCCCAGATACATAATACCACTGAATACATCTCAAACAAATGCTCACTACTTTAGGTTCACTTCAACATGATAGATAATGAACTAATTGTTCGAACTCGCAGAAAGGATGAATGTTTTGAGGTTATTCCTAAATCTGCCTTAACAAAAGATTTCACGAATCCTTTCATAGAGAACTACATTTTCATGCGAAATGACATCTCTGGAGTGGTGCAATTGAGACCAATCAAAGAGCCATGGATTTCTCCAGAGAATGGGTGGCAGATTACAGTTTCTCCGAAGCAACGTTTCTATCTATCCAATGGATCGATGACGGCTGTCGATATCCGGAGTCCATCAGCTGTTGCAATATCCGATATCTTACAACCATTGGAGGATTCAAAACATTTTACGATGATGCACAATCGATGCGATGGGCGATTGGAGATACGCCTTCCACGGTTTAACCTTGACTTCTACCAAATCTTGGGGAGCTCAAGATTGGCGTCGAAACAATTTCGTGGAATGTTCGTGGACGAAAATCAAAATATCGGCACTTTCACTGGCTTGGTCAATAAACTTGTGCTATGCAACGATGACAAATCAAAGCGAATCATCATCATCCCCGATGGAGAAATTTTCTTTACACCACATAACGGCCACGTTAGAGTGAACATCAGCATAGAATCTAATAGTTACTATGCTTATCATGACTACAAAATTGATGCTCAACTTGGTCGGTTGATTGATAATGGGAACGTCAGAACTCGTCTATTCAAATTGTACCTCCATGCCTTGACCTCTGACGTTCTTCCCGATACTCTTACCGGAAGGACTGGTACAGAAGAAGCCCTAGAAGGGTTGTCTTCCGCGGCTGTGTTGTCATTCTATACTCTTTCCTCTAGCGAGATAGAATTGCTTCTCAAATTGAGGGAGTTATCTCCAAAAATGGTTTACTATCCAAAACATAAACAGTCTATGCAAAATGCTTCATGGACAGCATTGCCGACACTTTCTCAACATGAAGCATTTAACAAAAAAGTCGAAAGCATTTTTACATATGCAAAATCTTTGATACCGTTTCAGGATGAGCTGGTTAGGCAACCAGAGATTCCAGAACCAGATGTCCGCAGTGACTTTGGCTTGATTGATATGGCCGCAATCAGAAATGCTGTCTATCGTGTGGATGGTTTTGGAGCAGAGAGGTTTACTGCCAACCAGGATAAAGAATACAACTCTCGTGATGGAAACCGTGAAGCAAAACGTCGAGCTGATATCCATAATATTGCAGCACTGGTTGATTCTTGGCCGCTAAATCTTAATGTTTCTAAGGATTTACAACGAATCATGAAATCGCTACCCAGTCGCATCCTCGGGCCTGGTACAGATACGGCGGATATTCTTGGCTACAACGAGAAATGGTTAGATGCACCCTCAAAATTTCTGCCTGATCATTGGTTCGCGATTTATCAAAAGCTGTCAGCCTGCACCGAAAAGCAGGACAAATACAAGGTCATGATTTTCTTGTCAACAATGGTTTTCTCACAGAAAGCAGATCAAGAGCTTGTTCACACACTTCTTGCATTTGCCACCAACCCCGCTTTTCGCCGAATTCAAATTCCTAAATATCAGTACTTCTTCCTTTCACAGGGTTTCGAGCCAAATGAGGACAGTCTGGCCGATGTCTTTGCTTCCAAGATTAGGAGTTACACTGACACTCCGGCAAGCGAACTTCTTAGATGCGAGTCTGAGACTGAATATAAAGCCAATATTCGCCGGAGACAGATGTACGATGAGTGTCAAAAACGCGCCATTCGAACGGGAGTTACCTCTCTTATTACACAATGGCCAAACGAGAAGCTTATTACTTCGACAGATTCTAACCTCTGTGCATATATAGATGTTCTCAAGGCGACTGCAGTTGCTCAGAATCTTTTTTCGGCTTGGTTTCGAAATTATGAGTTCAGAAAGTTAATTCAGCAAGTACAAATAGTACTTGATACGGTATCTCCAATTGAGCACGCAAGTAAACCATGGAATGACTATGCAAAGCTCAAAAGCAGCTATAGCCCAAAATTGACATATGTTGCACTCAAGGACCTTTTAAAAAACCAGGCGCCATTATTCTTTGACAGCACACAACTCTCCCATTTTAAATCACTTCTTATCCCGACATCCAAATCTTCTGTGAATGAGAATGATCATAGAAAGGTATCGGAACTCTTATTCGAGCTTTCTCATTCCACTTCTGGTAATTTCGAGGCTGAATACTGCAATCATTTACGACAAAGTCTAGGTGCTTTAAGCCAAATGCCATGTCTTCAATTAGCTCCTTCATCAACCTACACTCTAGAAACTTCTTTACATCATTGTCGGCTACAGGTACAAAGAATGTACCATAGAATTTTAGAGCAACTACTGTCTTCAGTCAGTGCTTTTGGGGCAAGAGAGAGTACGACAATGCTTCCTCGCCTATCTAAAATTATCATTCTTTCTCTGATCGCAGATTCTCACTCAATCGAGCTTTCATTGCAATGGAAGCGTGCAATCGTGTGTTTTGGTCTCGCTATGACCGCCTTACAACGTGCGGAGCGTATGTTAGCTTGTTCTAATAATCAAGCAGAAATCAACACAGAGCTCTGCAATCCAGGACACGAAGGGTGGGATCCAATAGTACACCCAGATTGGCTGCTCCTTGAATTGGAAAATGATATTTTGATACGCCAGGAACAGGCCAGTATCAGCAAAGAAATGATTGAACCGTCATCAGGTGCAAATTCAGTAATGCAATTGAACATGGGACTTGGTAAATCTTCTGTCATTGTTCCAATCGTGGCATGTGCACTGGCAGACAAGAAAAAACTGTGTCGTGTCGTAGTTCTTCGCGCATTATCCAAACAGATGATGGAACTGCTAGTAAGAAAGCTTGGCGGTATGGTTAATAGGCGCATATTCTTCCTCCCTATCTCACGCGCACTTCAAATAAATGTTGAGGAGGCAAAGCAGCTGCGAGAAATATACAAAAGTTGCATGGACTGTGGTGGCGTACTTCTTGTGCAACCGGAGCATCTACTCTCATTCGAATTGATGGGCCTCGACATGGCGCTTTCCGGAGATAAAGATGCTGAAGCTGGTAAGATTATCAATGATACCCAAGCATGGCTGCTTCAAAATTCACGGGATATCCTAGATGAGAGTGATGAGATATTGAACGTGCGGTTTGAATTGATTTATACTGTTGGTCGGCAAATGCCTATCGACTTTGCTCCCGACCGTTGGGTCTTGATTCAACGAGTATTGGAGATATTAGGTTCCAAAGTTCAAGACCTTGATCAACAATACCAATGTGATCTAGAGTTAGAGAAGTCACCCGGCAATGGTTCCTTTGCGCGGTTCCGAGTTTTGCGGCCCACAGTTAGCGATATCCTTCTCAAGAGGACAGCAAAATGTATTTGTGATCAAGGGCTTCCTGGCTTGTCTTTTTTCCGCTTCACTAAGAGGGATAGAGATCTTCTTTATAGGTTTATCACAGATCCGAAAATAAATGAAAAAGAATTATCGGGCCTGCATAATTCGGTATTTGCTACTGAATCGATCAAGAAGGGTCTGTTACTTCTCAGGGGTCTCTTCGCACATGGGATTCTACACTTTGCTTTTTCACAAAAGAGATGGCGGGTGAATTTTGGGTTGGACTTGAAGCGATCGTCTCTGGCAGTTCCATACGACGGGAAAGATGTTCCTGCAGCACGCTCCGAGTTCAGCCACCCGGAAACGTCCATAATTATGACTTGCCTTGCTTATTATAATGAAGGCCTATCGGAAAGTCAAGCAATGGAATGCTTCCGAGAGCTTTTGAAATCAGACAACAGCCAAGGAGAATACGAGAGGTGGATGAGAAATTGCCCCGATGTGAAAGAGAGATTCAAGCATTTAAACGGCGTCAACCTCAGCGACTTCCATCAATGGTGTGAAAATGTGTATTTGCATTTGCGTCGTTCCAAAGAAATGATCGATTTTTATCTTAATCATCTCGTTTTTCCAAAGCAGATGAAGGAATTTCCCAAGAAGCTTTCTTCATCTGGTTGGGATATTGCCCGGACTAAGAACCATCCAGTTACTGGTTTCAGCGGAACCAATGACAGCAAGTATATTCTGCCACTATCTATACAGCAGCGAGATCTGGTGGAACAACTTTCTACAAATGCAGAGGTACTAGCATGCTTGTTGCGTCCTGAAAATAAATTTGATTCCACCATCACGGGCGAAGAATTCAGCGCGGAAGTCCTTATAAACCTGGCAATTACGTCGAAGCCTGCAGTCAGAGTCATCCTAGATGTGGGTGCACAGGTGTTGGAACTACGAAATGAGGAAGTTGCAAGTCGATGGTTGTCACAACTTCCAGCAGTTGAAGTACAAGCAGCCGTATTTTTCGATTCTTCAGACGAACTCTGTGTCCTGAATCGTGATGGTGCAATGGAGCCACTCTCCGTCTCACCGTTTGCCAAGCAGATGGACAGATGTGTGATCTATCTTGACGAAGCTCACACGAGAGGAACAGATCTAAAACTACCAGCTGATTATCGTGCCATCGTTACACTTGGGCCGGATTTAAATAAGGATAGACTTTCACAAGGTAAGTTCTTCTTTAAAGCTATAGCTGAGAATCTCACTGACGACTTTATAGCATGTATGAGAATGAGAAAGTTGGGAAAAGGCCAATCTGTAGTATTCTGTGCGCCGAAAGATATACAACGGAAAATTTTAGAATGTGGACAAAGGACTGTATCTCATGAAATCGAAGTCAAGGATGTACTTTTGTGGTGTATCAAAAACACATTAGATCACGTTCGAAAATGTGTTGTCCCTTGGGCCATTCAAGGAAAGCGTCATTATGAACGACTTACAATATTAGGGGAAAACCCCGGCATTATTCCCGAGTCTATACAAGAAGCCGAATCACAAAGTTTAGAAGAGAGATATGGACTTGGTAAAGAGGAAGCGGACGAGCATTGGCTGGGCAGAAGAACATCCAACACAGGAAAGCGATATATTAAGAAGCTTGAAAATATTCGGCAGAAATGTATCGACTTCAATGCGAATTCTTTTGCCGGTGCTAGCTTTCACGAGGAACAAGAGCGTGAATTGCAGCCAGAGAGGGAAAATGAGGTACAGCCAGAGCATGCTCCTCGTGTTCACGCTATTGCACATAGTTTACACCCTGATGTCAAAGAGTTGGTTATGACAGGTATCATGAAGCTTAATAATACCGCTGCCGGTGGCTTCATTCCTGCTTTTGATCTGTTCAGAGTTACTTCTGCAAAGAAACTTTTCGATAATTGCAAGTGGCCCGAAAGTCTCTGGATCACATTAGACTACGCAAAAACTGTTGAAATGGCCAAATCCGATGAAAAGGACTTTTTCTTACGTCCTGTTCACTGGATTGTGACATTCAAGCAGAAGTACGAAACTTGTTGCGTGATTTTTAGTCCTTTCGAAGTTCAAGAACTACGTCCCTTCATTGAAGAATATAAAAAGGTCACCCTCAGCATTTACTCTCCACGTCTGAATCTCTCTTTACGATCATTCGAAAACCTAGATGTCCACACTGTCCCACCATTATCATCATCGTGGACCATTCCGCCATCTATCATGCAGCTCAATCTTTTCGCTGGACAGCTATATCTTCGAAGCTACGACGAATATATTCGTCTCTGTCAATTCCTTGGACTTTGTCATTATCTAATTTTAGATGATGTTGAGATTGCCTGTGATAATTTCGTTCCAGTTTCTAGTCGTGCGACTTTTGATCCCGTTATGGAGAAGGTGTGTCCTTTTGTGGAAAGTCCGGTGGGCTTTTTACAAAAGGTTTTTGCGTTGAGACGGAAGGGGCAGAGTTTTGAGGATACGCATATGGGTAGGATTTTGAATGGAGAATTGTTGATGAGGAAGGATTTTGATGGTGAGGACTAATTGAGTGGAAAGGATTGGAAAGGATTGGTAGGGTAAGGGTGGTGAGAAAATTGAGGGAGGTGATGGGAATGGTGGTAGTGATGGATGGAAGCGAGGGAGTTTCGATGGTCACGAGTAAACTAGACTCCCAAATTCATACTCTGGAAGGAGATTATTACTTCAAATTTCACATGTAAAACATACAAAAATTCGTAGAATACAATATTCGATGCCACGACTAGCTTTCTTTCTTCGTCTTGATTATAACTTCTTTCGATATCATTATCTAGATGATGATGTAAGAGTTCTGGAATCTACTCACCGCACACTAAGCGAAATCACACCAAAATCAATGATTTTTCAACTTTTTAAACCCCTGTTATCTTTATAAAATAATAAAACAAATATATGAAAATTGATATTTATATAGATAATTGATTCAAATATAATAAAAATTTAACGAAATATTTATTATTATTTTTGTTTCAAAGTTATATATATTTAAGATTGAAAAACCAAAAGTTTAAAAAATCGCTTATTTTATATAAGGAAAAGTTCAAAAAAGTGTTACAGGAATGAAATTTTAATATTTTTTAAATTTAAATAGATATAATTTTAGAACAAAAATAATTAAAAATAAATTATAAATTTTTTCAATATCCTTTTGTAGTTAACTATAATATTTGAAAATTTGATTTGATTTAATTCAACATTGAAAAAGTTATTCGATATTTTATTTTATATAGGAAAATTTGATTTTTGCAGGGATTTTGTCACGAATTTGAATGGTGTGCGGTGAGTAGATTCCAGAATTCTTATATCTATTCCATTATAACACCATTACAACCAAGTGTTCAAAAACCACCAACTCATCGTCCATCCTCGAACCCCCTAGTTTCCTAATAGAATTGTAGAATTCCAAATCATTAATCACCTACACTCTAATAATCTTAATCTCACAATTCCCATCCCGGAGTCAAGCACCGACAAACTCATACGTCATACAGAAGCACAAGCATAAGCCATAAGTCATCTGACATAACCACAACCATACGTAGGTATCATGAGTTCTGTTTAAGTTTATGTTTATGTTTAAGTTTGTTTGACTCAGTATGATACCTATCAAATGATTCATTTTTTTATTTATTCACTCATTGATAATGAATCGTTGTTTTATTTTATTTTATTTTATTTTATTTCACTTGTGCTGTTTACTAAGGTTAATCCTTATCGTTATCCCTATCCTCACGTTTCATTCTCATAGTACCCCACGACTTCACGCTTCACAAGAGGAAAAATAAATGGTTGAGTTGGTGTGACAAGGTATGTAGACGCAACGTTCGGTGACATGTATGAAGGAAAAATTTGCAACGCAATGCAATGCAATGTCGTGTTTGAAAAATTGTGTGCCATTCATTAATTACTAATAAATTATATACATCTGAATTAACCTTCTACCTCTGCATTACATTCCTTTCGCCGAGGCTGACGGGGCAGAAATGAACAGAATCAAAGATGAGTGGAGTTTAAACTCTTTCACAAAGAGGTAGAGTACGGTAGGTATCAAAAAATCCAACGAAACACCAAAAGAAAATAAAAGTAATAACGTTACCAAGCCCCAAAATTAAGCACTATACCGCCGTAACCCATGCATCTGCATCATAGTGGGTTCCCTGTCATCTATGCCCTGAATTTGATTGCCACGCTTCCACCTTCCGTGTCACATTTTGCGTCACAGGTAAGACTACATTTGGCTTCGCAATCAATTTCTCTCTTTGGGAGGGTAGCTGGCGAGCCATCAATAGCAAGAAGAGCGAAATGACCACCAACGACTGGACGAGCGATGAAGGGGCCAGACCACCAGCTGTGATTGTGTCAATATGTTGTGCTTTAGGGAAGTAGTGAATATTGGTGAGAACTTACTCTGCAGTTTGAGTATTGTAAAGATCGGTGAAGGCGCGGTCAGTTGGCGTTACGCCAATCCATGTTGCAAGCTTGGAGATAAACATGGATTTTGTAGACGGAGACGCAATAGCTGCTGCCCACATTTCCCAGTCGGCTGTACGAAAATATCGTTATTAGCTGCAGTGTTCAATGAGAAGATACTTAAATGGAAACTTACATTTGGTGCAAACATTTCTGGAGTCGAGTTGAACACCATACGCATTGGCAATGGTTGGATAATATTCGCTCTGCATGTCATAGATGCGTTTCGGGACAAAGTCGAGTTTCAAAAGCGTATCTGCGTAAAGATTGTACAGAAGACCATGTCCAGTTGAATCTTGATACGCCAGTTTGGTATGTGCTGGAACGGATGCAGTTGCTGGCACAATCGCGAGCGTCTCCCACTGCGTGAGGTAGTCGTGTGCAATATTTGTATAGTTTAATGCATCAGCGGAGTTTCCAGTGAGATTTGCAATCCGTGACATGGCTTCAATGGCAATGATGCCCTTGAGAGCAAGATTAGTTTGATTTGCCAGTGTACCTTGGAAATCATCGGTGGAGAGTTGATTTGCTGGAATAAGAGCTTCTGCGACGAGGAAACTAGTCCATTGCTTGAGCAATGGGTAATGTTGAGTCAAGTATGCTGTGTCGGAAGTATGTTGAGAGTAGGCGAGAGTCATGATAATCATATTTCCACATTCTTCCAGAGGCATGGGTTCTGGCTATGGTTAGCATGTATAATATAAGCATCCTAAAAGAAACATACCTCCATCGCCAGTTGGATGTCCAACGGCACGGGGATAATTAGCACCTAAATCATGAATAGAATATTGTTGAGGAAAGTGACCGGCCTCTTGGTTCTCAAACAGAGGATCGAGCATATACTTGAGAAGAACAGGATTTGAGTATAAAAAGATAGGCATGGCCGGGAAGATGACATCAACGGTTTGAGTGTTACCATCAGAGCTGATTTCTTTAAGAAAGTAGTATGGTTTATCTGGAGTCCCGCAAAGTTGAACGGCTCCGAAAGCTTGACGAGCCGAAAGTGATGTAATAGTCAAGTAGTCTTGACCACCGGCAGCAAGAGAATCAACGGCGAATTTATGATCCCAGACACCCCATTTGTTGACCCAGTCATTATAGAAATCGGAGACCTAAAAAAAATCAGCATGGTTAAGGAGGAAATGAATTATTTAAATACCAAAGATAGATCCGAGTTCCAATAGCTCGTCCATAAAGATGGAACAGGTCTCAATCCACCGTCTCCAAGGAATAAGATCGCATTTTCCTGAGCATGAACAATTGTGTAAAGGGTTTCAACTGGAGTACTTCCAACGTTTCCAAGATTATTGGCAAATGCGAATACTGGCCAGGCATCTTGAATGGTCCTGTAGGCAGTATCTTGGGTGTTTGGAAGAGAACCATTACTAAGGAAATTCCCACGAACGACGACATCCTGTCCTGATTGGAATGACATTCCGTTGACAGCTTTGGTGGACCAAAGCCAATATCCCCAATGAGCTTGATCATCTGCATAATCGGCGTTGAATTCACTCTGATTTTGTCTCCAACTTCTGTGGGTACCGATGCCGTTGTTGACGGTGTAACTGTATAGGAGTCAACATGAAGAACTCCAAAAGTGAATCGGAGATGTAAAAAACTCACTTCCATTGCACGGCATCAGTATTGTGGATAGATGTCCATTCTGTCCTACTATGAGCAATTTTCTTTATCCCAGATGAGAATAAACTTACCAGCAGATGTGTCACAATACAACTCAACAGCATGAGAAGCACCATCCAATGCTTTTACGGAAACATAAAGATATGTACCAATAACTGATTGTCGTCGAATATCATCTGGTGTGAGTGGAGATAGAAAAGTCACATTCATTGAAACTTTTCCGGCCACAGTCATTAAAAATGTGGATCTGGATGAAGTATACTCCATATGATCTTGAGTAACACTTGGTGGCACAACTCCATTGACGCCCGCAGCTCCCATCCAAGTGTAAGTTGTGCCGTCCCTACGGAAGTTTTAATAAAATCCTTTTTGTTCAACAACAGGACGAAATTCTATCATGAATAGATCACAAGAAGTCTGGAAGCACTTACACTTTGATAAGGCCAGCCCAAGCTGTTACGGAGCCAGCACTTCCAGCAACCGAGCCATCAGGTTGAGGTCCGCTATTCTATTCATTAAAAAATAAATTCTTTTGGGTTTGCCAAGAATTTTAACTTACGCCCAGAAACGACTGCATAGATGTTAGTTTGGGTTTCTATACTGTTCGAAAGAAACAACCTACGGCCAATAACCTGGTAGAATACCTCCACTGGCACCAACACTTCCGGACTCCAACCACGTATTCATGTATGGTGATTTGACTGTTTTGAATTTAGAACATTACCAGGATAAAGAAAACAGTAATACATACCAGCTAGAGGTATTGCCGGAGGTCTAACTGGACTAAAGGTAGATCCAGAGACAAAATTAACAGCAGTGCCTAACACTGCTGCCAAAAGAGAAGTCTTCATGATGGTGCTCCTCAAAGAATAATTACTATTTGGAAGTATTTCAATGCAGAGGGAGGCTTAAGAGAAAAACTAAGTGTATGGATGAAGGAAGATTGAAAAGAATTGTAAAGGATGTTGTTGTAAAGGAGATGGGTAAGAGGGGAAGAGGGGGGTTGAGGAGCTCTTTTGTATAAGAGAGCAGGAGGCTAGTAGGGTCTCAAAGGAGGGGTATTAACATGGAAATGAATGATACTTTTACATGAAGGTTGCAAGAATCTGTGAATGATGCTTTTAAATGAGGGGAGTTGCAAGAACATGTGAATGATATGCTCCGATGAGGGGTTGAATGTTGTGCGGACGACAGTCTCAAAGGAGCGGTGTCAAATTGAAATAGACAACATGAGATGAATGTGTATTCACAACGCTAAGAAGGAACATGCGTGCCATATTTAATTTAGGTAGATTCACTCGGGCGTCTAGCTCACGTTATAGCATGGATGTCCTTGAGCATTGTCAAAAAGGCCCGAACTTTATGAAGAAGCTCTATGAGGAAAAACTCCCTTGGCTTCTCATCACAAGGCGAAAGAGATTGAACTCAAATTCATATTGGTGCAAAATGTTTTAATATCCGTGATCATATTGCGCCCAAGCCCTAGTGAGGATCATGATCGCATCCCAGCGGGTATGCGGGATGCAAAACATATTCCTTGACCCTAGTATTGCGCTAAATCTTAACTAGCGAAGGCCTGTGGCAAGGATTGATTCGTGAATCACGCAAGATGATGAGCCAAAACAACGTCAAAAACATTTAAAAGGATGCATGCATATTATTAATCAATCTCAAATAATAAACAACCTAGATCAACCATGAACACAATTACGTGAAGTTAAACAGATATAGGGCTTTGCATACCACTAACATGCGTTGCAATGCAGTCACCCTCTATCTAAGAAGATCGCGGGATCATAAGAACGTGGCTTTCATGAGCTGCACAGGTTTGCTTGGGAGGCTAAAATATGCGCCAACTGATGTGGAGCAATCGAATTCATGATTCAAGAAGTTTATCATTTATATAGGAAATGATCCGCAATGTTGCTGGGATGTATATCAACTGCCTCTGCTTACCGAGTCTTCTTAGTGGTTAGCACAGATATGGCGAAAATAATCAAACCATAAAGCTGAAACTCGGGATTCGGGACATCTGCCGAGCCTTAAATTCACTACCCGCTACTTGTGGGGTATGGGGCAATGGCTGGGGTTGAGAGTTGTTGAAGAAATGACAATCTCCGCGTGAGGTAACTTGTGTATTGATGTACTCGGAGATAAACTACAATATGGTCGCTTGACCGAAGCATGCGTAAATTAATTGATCAAGATGATTGATTGTCGTACATGATGTGTAATTAAACATCATTAACTTCATCCAACGACATCTCGACGAAGGAGAACTGTAGAGTTGAAAAGCTGCGAGTACTTCTTCACACTGCTTTCATTGGGAAGTACAAATTCCTAGTAATTTGCGTATCCCGAAGTTAAAGCAGATCGGCCCCGCAAGAGAGGATGAAGAGATGAACGGGAGATCAAGTCATTTCCGCGTAGCCAACCACTGGTGAATGTAAAGCCCAGTGCAGTGGTCACTCACACACCACACCAGGTACGAAAGAAATTTAATATTCAGCCTGAAATGAATGTAATGCTGTGAGTGCGTCTGCGCGTGCTGCACAGGTACTGCTGGCAAACACTGTGTTTGCGAAAGTAAGTCTCTTGGGTGATTCAGAAAACGCGATCAGAATGACACGTAAAACGATGACTGATGAGAAAAATAAATTGAACATCGCATTGTGCAATGCATCAAAATACCCAAAATTTGAAGTCCAAGTTCAACTGCTGAACAAATGTTTGTCGAACTTGGACATTGTGTGTAAGAGCAAGCTGAAGAATAGAAAAGTTCGCAGAACATTAACCTAATGTATCATGATTATGTAATACAGCACAAGAAATCCACGCACACAATTCAATACCTACCTAGGTAGGTAGCGCAAGCAAGGGGTTCACCAACAAACGTTCCAACATTCATTATGAACAAACTTATCCATTTCTTGGCCTTTGAGAGCTTCACATCTTTCCAACCAACGATCCTACTTGATCCGCCATATCGGAACGCATCGCAAGGTCAGGGTTAGACTGCGCAACGGGGCCCTGCAAGGCGGATTATTGCTCTTGGAGGGTAATCCATAGATGATTTATTTGTAGAACAAGTAATTGAAGAATCTAAATAGGTAAACTATAAATAATTTGCAGATTATTTATAGATATCTATAAATTATTTACAGATTATTTATAAATGATATTCATTTAAATTTGTAAACTTACTCTTACATTTTTTATACTAGTTTTTATATTAATTTTTATAAATTATATCTAATTATGAATTAATAGATTATCTACAGATTATCTACAAATAATCTATACAATATAGATTATTTTAAAATCCTAATAAGTAATCCGCAAAGCGGATTATAGGTTTATTAGGTAATTTGCAAGGCGGATCATTTGCGGATATCTGCAATCCCCGGGTTATTTTTGCGTAGCCTAATCAAGGTCATCATCCCTAGACTCACGGACTTACCCTCTTCTACCAGTTGAATTATTAAAATAATTTGGTCGCTCCCGTGCTCTTGTGTTGGTAGCTTCCCCTCACCTGCCAAGCTTGGGCTGTAGCTGGCATCGCGATCGTTTCAGACTAGAGTTATAAAGCCTCTTCGCAAACACACCGATTTTCTGCAGTCTTTACCGAAGTAAACATTCATGATCCACTTCCCGCATCTACAGGTCAAATCCATGTGCATGGTGTGGACATATAGAGAAGAGAAGTTTGAAATTCGATCCGCGGAAGATGACGTCAATATCGGTAGTAAATGTTTAAATAATGATAATCTCCATGGCGCATTTTAAGCTATGGATCGAGTCCATGAATCTGCTGTCAGGAATTTTTGGACGGTGAATTTCCTGGCGAAACAGCTCCAATAATCCACAAGCATTGCAAAATTAAGACTCTCCTCTCAGCGTTTCTTCAACTACATTGTTTGTTGACAAGAACCATTACTTCCCGCCACATTCCATTCGAAAAAGATGTTGCATATCTTGAAGGCTGTTGAATCTGGGTGTCCTAAACTGCGAAAGGACATAACAGAAGCACCTACCAAGGTGTCTACTTTGCGCTCGCTGCCACACATTTATACATGAGTGATATATGCGTCAGGCTTTACTTCTTTCTCGATTTGAGAAGCATACTGGATGAAATCCCCTTGAAGTATTTCTTCAGTCTGAACGTTTCGATGCCAGAGCACTTGTACTGGTTGGCCGGGTTTCGTTCACTCGAGATTGACTCATGGGTCACTACGAGGACCTTGCCTTGGACAAATGCTTTCAGGCTCTCTAGTTAGTGCAACACAACTTCGGAGTTCATATTTAAATTGGCAACTAGGAAAATATATGTCGTTCTCTTTCTAGATCATTTTAGTCAAGCCTATAAATTCAAAACTATTGCTTCACTTATCTAGCATGCGCATTCACAATGTTGAGGTAATTCAGGGGCTTCTACTCTTTCTTCTACCACACTTTCATGGATGCGATATTGGAGAGTTGCATTTAGATGCTGGTTATGGTTCCGGACATGAGTGTTGAAACTTTGTCGACATGATCCACGAGTTACTTGAAAGCTTCAAGAATTTGAGTTATTGTTAGAGGAGGATAGGTGTCGGGAAATACTCGTATTTGTGAAGATCGTTGGAAAGAAGTAAACCTTACCGGATTTGGTTATCCTCCAAATAACACCATATCCGGTGAGACTATCAAAATGATTTGTCTTGGAGAATTGCCTGTGGTTGCCCGAGGAAATTTTTCATATGAAGATTGAGGCGATAGCAGTGTGTGGAAGCTTTAAGCCTTGGAACTATAATCATAGTCTAATAGCAGTCCACCACATTCATAAAGCTATAGGATCAAACCAAAATGTTTACAGCCTCAAAACACTATTCCATCCTCCAACTTGAATTTGCGATTGATCAGTTAGTTGTGAATCTGGCAGAAAAATAATGCCCACACCGAGGATTCTCGAGGCACCAGCAACCTCTTTCACTCACCTCATCATTTATCTCCATGCCTGTTTCTTATCTCTCAGTCAAACTTCATTCCTTCACTCCACCCGCGCCTCACACTCTCGTCGCATCCTCATCTTCCATTGACCTCATTTTCCTCCACTCGGAGACAACGGATTTTGCACAAGTTGTATATCTATGGTTTTTAGGTGTCAAGATACTTGGGATTTTTAGTTTCTAAGGTAAGAGGAGAAGCTTCATTTTAGTCTACTGGATATTTTTGTCACGATTCACTATCATTCGGGTTATTGTAGTTTTTTTTTGAAATAGTTTATATTAGAGGTGGCCCAGAAGTGGGGTATTAGACTTATATCTTGAGATACTCCCTCAAATTCTAACTTTGCTCCCAAATTTAAAGTCTTCATTTATATTTCCCTATTGTCATTTATCCTATTGATGGAAAGAATAACTTTAGATTTTTAAAAGGTTTAAGTAAAAGGTTATTTCGAATGTTGACTTCATATTTTACCTACTAGTTAGACTTCAGTTCAAATTCTTCCTAGTATATCTTCACGTCTGTCCCTATATATTTATATATTTCTACCAAATGATCTTCTTGTATATCTACAAAATATAGACCTCAAGATAGGTGTTTGCCCAAATCCAGTTTCCTACTAAGATGAAAAGCTTCACATTTTGACGTTGAGATGATGAAAATGATGTTCCCTTTCACGAAGAGATCAAGACGATATAGATCCGATCCTTGATCCTTGGGAGGTTTCATACTTCCATTATTTACTCTATTCAATCCTCTATCTAAAGATATATATACATTTCATAGTTTCAATTACGTTTCTGATATTAGGAACCAGAAGGTCTTGTTGCACGTCGTACTTGTTGTCATCTCATGATACTTCACAAAATCAGGACTCTAATACTTTACACTTTAAAACATCGTTTTGAAGGCTTCAATTTTTTACTTCGAAATCAGGACAATTTCCCTCCATAAAGAAGATCATATGAAATAGTTGGGATTGCAAACCATATATATAAAGGTTTTCAAAGGCTCAATCACATAACCTTCTGTAATTAGATATAAAAACAAATTTTCGTTCTCTTCTTTTTATATACAATCAAGTTTTATATATTTATTACTTTTAAACTCAAATCGTTCCAATCCCAAATCTATTATGAAATCCATATTCTCTATAAATAATTTATTACAATATAATCTAATTAGCTTTCTTCTTTCGTTTCCCCTCACAACATGCTATCGGGACATATGTATCTCGACCACCCTCTTTTACAATAATATCCATCCATCCTTATCACTGTCATCCTCCCCACCGTCATCCTCCCTGCATACTAAGGAAGACATAAAAAAAGAATCTTCACTCCAACAAACTCTGCTTCTATAACAGCTTATCAAAAACTTCAAAATCCCTCAAGCTTAGTAACTTTTGTTGCACATCCGTAAATTTATAATCCAGCAACACTTTCACAAAAGCTTCATTCATAGTCAAAATTCTGCAGAGTAAAGGCTTCATTTTTTGAAGTCATGAAGAGGAGAATATCCTGATGGATGAAGAAGATGAGATTTAAGCCGAAATTTATTATTGTCGCTTTCATTTTGGCTGAGATGAGGAAGATGAGGAAACCTTCACCTCTTCTGAACTTCGGAATTTATAGCTGGAGTTATATTCTCGTCTAGTATAGGGGGTAGGTAACGGGTTGAGATGGTAATGCCATTCTATTTCCCACAGAGAGAGATGTCCTCGGACCACTTTTGTTAATCTTAAAATCTGAGGTGTGGATACTTGTTTAACTTTATGTTTCGATGAAGGGTGCGATGTATTATGTGTAGAGTCTTATAAGTGGAATAGAACAATTCTTAGACGAAGAGGCCTTTGAAAGATAGTAGAAGAACAATATAATATTTACAACAGCTGTTATATTTTTGTTAATCTTAATTACAATTTGGATAAAAAAGTAGACTAGACTAACTAACAGACATAAACAGCTAGGATTAAAAAAAAAAGAAAGAAGCTCTCAATTGTACTACTCTAGAATACAAGCAGTAAGTAAAAGTCTATCTATCTATCCATCTATCTATTAAATCTCATTTATATTTACAAAAGCACCAATTAGCAATAATAAAATTCTGAAATGTATATAAAACCTCCGTAAAAGTCCTCTTCTTACAATCATTCCCCGGATTTATCCTCGCTCCAGATCACATATCCCAACTACTATAATACCAGAACCACCAAAATATACCTTATGCTCCCACACTCTTCCACCCCATCTCCATTCCATCCACCTAGTCCTCCTCCTCACCTTCCCTCCCTCAAAACACGTTTTACTCCCCCAATTTACAAATTCCGACCAACCATTACTTGAACCATCTCTACCCTTCATCTAGATCCAATCCAATCTAATCCCAATCCCAATCTAACCCTATAAAAACACACTCACAAAATCTGAGTCTAAATCTAAATCTCTAAACAAAAATATATCATTAAGCCTCGAATATATATATTCCAGTATCAGTACCAATTTATCAAGTCTAGATAAGAAGAAAGAGATGAATAAAAAGTAAAATATTTAATAATGGAAGGGGTCATATATAGGAAAGGAGTTTGTTGAAATTAGATTAGTTATTATGACATTTATTCCGTGTGATTATATAGACGACGTGGAATTCTACGAGTAATCCTATTGTATATCAGAATTTAAGACCCTAAAATTCTATATAGTTTATCAGGCATACATTGAGAAGATATTCTTAGAAATCTATACCCATCTAACCTATCTTAAGTTTCCATAGCAAATTATCGCCCCAAAAGCCATCTTCTAGCCGTTGCTATAAAAAAGTCGAGACCTCTGATCTAATGATTGTTTTGGGTTGATTCTGATTCTTTGGGTTGAAAAATGTATAAGAAACTCTTTGATGTTGGATACCTTCACCCCTCTTGAGGTTCGCTATAGAAGTGTAATGCGATCGGAGATGTGGGAGGATTGAATCCCCATGCCAGCAATAAGCCTACAAATCGACAAGCAAGTGATTTTAGCGGTAGTGAAGATCGAATGTGTGGCATCGAGCATGTCGACGTCGATGCGAGGCTGCTCTGAGGACAACCTAAATAGCCAGCATCCAAATGACACAAGATGCCAATATCGAGTAACTCCATTATGGAGGATTTCAAGACCAATCATGGGCATAATCCTAACTTTTATGTCGATCGGTGCTGACCAGACTGCGGCGCAGGATATTGGTATTGACGAGTTCGGATAAAAGGGAAGAATGCCCCGCGAGCCTCGATGCAATCTCAATAAATCATTCCCTTTCAATCCACCAGCTCGAAGTAAAGTATGTTATATGACTACCACGAAGTCATGAAGAGTGAAAATCCTAGAGAAAGTATCAAAGCTCCTAATTCCGTTCTTCTCTGCGACTAGTAGAAGGAATAACTATCGGTTGCTCCATAACCTCGATTCTGATCGTTAGGCGTTTCCGGCGAAAACGAAAGATCTGGGACCTCAAAACTCGACAACCCATTATTTCCAGTATCCAGATGAAATTTTGGAGATCCTTGGATACCAAATGATTGACAATTTTCGGTTTGGATGGAAATGGGGACAAAATGTGATTGATTGAAATCCTGGAAGTTGTTCATTCCTGTGTTTGAATCTAGATTGGAAGTTTGATTCCAGCTTTCTCCTTCTAGATGGGGTTCGCCCATACAATTGTAGTCTGATATTTCGTTCGGCGCATTCATCGGGACATGTGGTGATTGTTGAAAATCCAATTCATTTGTGTCCAGTTCCAGTCTGGTGTATGATGCGGTACCAGAGGATGGTGCTACAGAGCTCGAGATTACCTGGTATGGATATTTTGTTGTGAAATATTCGGGGCTTGTAGAGGCAAAAGTTTTCATACAGCTCATATTCCCTTGCTCTAAGTTCTGCTCCGGGTCTTGATGATATGCATAACTTTGTGCTGTGCCCGAAAACCCTTGACGGAAAGGCGCGGAAGGCAGTTGATTGATCGAGGGTTTTACCTCTGTGTAGATATATTCTGGGGTCTCATCGGGTACAGATAATCTATTCGGGGAAACAGGTGGTACCATTTTGTGCCTTCTTCAAGCAGTGCCATATTAGTAGATTTTCACATAAAAATGATAAAAATCTTACCCTTCACAAGTATAGATACAATCCACTGGCGGATATCTCCTCGAACAATGCCTACACGGTTGCTCCCTACTACATTTTTGCTTTCTTTTTTGACACTGCAAACATGCCGTCGGCGTCCTCGACCTCGCGGTTTTTCTCAATGCTTCATCCGTTTTCTGCATGTCTTCGCTTAAGCTTCCTTGTTACATAGTTTGGCTTGAATTTTCATTTCCTCGTGGGGATTCGACTTTTTTATGTCTTACGGAATGTACAATCGGCTAATAGCGCTGAAGGTACATTCAGTACATGAAAGTGCTCAGCGTCGGTTGATGTGACGAAAATGGTTAGTGTTGGCGTGAGAAAGATTGGCGATGCTGGTAAGCCACGTGAGATGTAGTTGAAATAGGGTGAAGGATCTGGAGCTTCGTTGAATGAACCAATGAAAATAGTGTGGCTTAATTTCTCGTTTGGTAATGATATAATAAGCCTATAGAAAAGATTGGAATTTCTTTTTGATGTTTTTAATAAGTTTCAGCATCTTGGCTTAAACACCACAAAGATATTTTTATCTTCATAATCTCATGCTTGGCATGAAATTCAGCCATTGAACAAATGTTTCAGCTATAGCGATTGGCTCAAACTTACCAAATATTCTGTTACTGCATCATTTGGCAAATCGTCATCCATGTAAACTAATTCTTTCGCTGGAAATGGGCAATGTATCATATCCCAACAACGGATAAAACCCAAAATTAAGATATGCCACGACATACTTTCCTAAGTCACAATAACAAAAATGATAAAATATAACCAATAACAATTGAAATTTCAATGTCTTGCTTCTCACCCATTCTCGCTAATGTTTTCGCATCATTAGGGCGCAAGGCACTTGCCGTTCAAGCCATCTCCAGCTTCTTAATCATTAGTACTCACCGCATTCCTCTTCTTTCTATCAACTAGGAGCACATTGCCAACACTATCAGCAAATTTTGAGGCTTCTATTCCATGTGAGAACAATTTGTAAAATCGACATCTTTCTTAATTTCCTTTGCTAATAACCCCGCAAGCATGTAGAATCCACAACGGCCAGCCAATCATCAAGTAAGGTACGGAGTAAGACCTCGAGTACTTGGCTATAACATTATCTGATATAGTCAAGGCTATGCGAGTAAAACATTTGCCATGAAATGACCAAGGGACCCGAATTATTGATGATCTCAGATCAGGCACCAGTAAATCTCAATAGGTCTAAATGCCCCTGTTTAAAAAATAAATGGGAGTGAAGGGAATCCTCCCGTTCATGATAGCTTCGAAATCTTAGGCATCATGTGGAGCAAAAGCTATGTTTTGACACAGTCTGATTGATTCATCTTACGACTGCGTCGATATCGCTCTGGTCAAAAGTGGGACCATATTATGCTTTCTGACAGCTGAAATTATGCGTCTCGTTGATATTTCGGAAACCGGAAAGTGACTTATTCTTTGGCACTGGCGGGATGATTCGGATCCCCGACACTTGCAACTTTCTCCAGCTTTGTTGTTGGGAAAAATCATCTGTAGGGAATTCTCTTTAAGAATCAATCCACAAGTGCCTGTGCCTTGAAATGATGTAAAGGTTTGATCGCGAATGTTCGGTACCATCGCCAATGTCCCAAATTGGCATACGCATTGAGCTGGATAGTAGGAATATTGAAAGGATTATTGATTTGCTGGTAGCAAAATGTCTAAATTTAGAAGCGAAAAACGAAGTTTATCTGCCTTGGGAGAGTAAGTGGTATTAATGATGTCTTGATAATAAAACTTAAATACTAGAACTTCAATACAAGAATGAAACAAAATGAAGGATGAGGAATGCAAAAGCCGTGACGTGACGATAATCGGAGGTGCCGAACCAAATGGGTAAGTGCTAACCTTACACGTGATCTCGCGATAAAGACGTGCTAGTGTACACGCTCCGCTCAGGCTGGAACGATTAAAAACTTTCCCAGCATCGCCCTTCCTCAAGTCTAAAGCACTTCCGAGGGGCATCCATCGTCTGAGATATGGTGCATGTGAATTATTCCCTGGGTAGGTTCATTCAATATTAAGGAAGAAATGATAAGATGGACCGAAATTAAAACCTACCAAATGTGGGAATTGCCGAAAGATTGTCAGTACAGCTACTGTAGATGCACGGTAAGTAAAGTCCTACATATGAGTAGTCCGACAGTGATATCAGGTCACATGGGCGGACGCGCGATACTCTTCGATGCATGACGTGCATTGCAACATGAGGAAGGACGTTACCACCACGTTGCGCTTCACAATGCGCATTAAATCTCTTCCGCATGGGAACTGAATTTTGGTAGACACCTTGTACGTGAGTCATTTAGGTATTGTGGAAAGCACACATTTAAATATGTCTGCGCCATTACGCAGAGAGAGTATGACCCATTATCTCCGTACTTTTTGCATTGAATGAGAAACATACCAATGGAACCCAGCCCTGAAAATTGCACCACCATGCCTCTGAAGCGTCCTTTCTAAGTGTCCCAAAACTCCTTATTCTTGGCGCCGTGTGCCTTGCGCCTCGAACTCCGCTGAACCTCAAGTCTCAGGTATATCCTATAACAAGTATAACATAAGTAATACATCCAGCAATTTACTTCAATGAACTAACCTACTTATCAAATCCCATCCACATGTTATTCAAGATCAATGACCACCTCCTTGCTGTTCCAAGAAAACATCAATACGGCCTTCCTCATCCATCTCCAAACTGTCTGCTGTATCATTCGTCTTAACCCTATCCCCATCAAAAGTAAACCTCACCATCTTTTGGTCCCTGATTTCCTTATGGCTACAATAGGCATCGATAATCTTCTGTAAAGGTTTGTTGCGCCTGATCTTGAAGGTAATTTCGGTGCCCTGCTGATCGACGACTTTGATGGGGATTGTCTTTGGCTTATCGGTATTGGCGCCAGTGTCATTACCAGTGCCAGGCTCAGGTTTGCCCTGTCTGGAGGCGGGAGATGGGGTGTCGGGATCGGTGGACGATAAGGGCATCTTGCTTTTGTTTATGTGGTTTTATTTGCGATTGGGAAATTGCAACAAAGGTCTTGACTTTTGGTTTGTTTAGCTGAGACGTGTTTGTGACTGCGAAACTGTAATGAGGATGGACAGTCAGAAGTCATCTCTTGCTCGAAAAGTTACCTGAAGTTAAACCAGAAATTCCACCCTTACTTACCTAAATCTAGATATATCCCTTCGGAGTGCGCGTGCTACTTAAAATGTGTTGAGGATTGGATGTTGCAGTGCAGGTGTTGAAAGAAGATGGATGAACTTGGAAACGAGGGAGTAAAGCAAGACAATAGCTTTGTTTTGATAATGAAAGTGAATAGGATATGGGCTAGGGTGGCTAAAGAATTTTCGATAAGAATGCAATAGTAAATATCACGGAAAAGATATGAGACAAATAGAGAAGCGCATTCTTTTTTTTGTGTAGACAAGAAACAGAAGGAGGGTCGAAGGCAAGCTCGCGAACGCGTAAACCCGTGATTTTTACCCATTTTGGTTGCGAGCGCGACCGCAAACCAATTACCTTCAAGTACCTAGCTAAGTATTGTTCTGCTGAAATCATCTCTGAATTTCTCGTATGCATCCAATCATACATAGAGCATGTATTACGACTTGTCTGTTGAAGCTTTCAAACCTTTTATTTTTTTCTCCAAAAGTTTTATGCGTTGAGCGATGTTTTGGTCTGACTTGGGTAAAATTTACAAGCTCACCAGGACTTCACTTCCGACCCTCTAGCCAGATGGAGTAAATCACACATCAGCCAGGGGAAAAAGCAATCAGACACGAAATAGGTCGCGAATATCATATGAAAATATCTCGGAATGAAGCAGACTCGAGGAAAGCTTTTTTTAAACAAACTCTGCGATTTTTCGATGCTATACACATTCCGTCATTCACCACTTGAGTCTTCTCTTTCTCATATTCCAAGTCCTTCTTCATCTTATTTCTAATACCCATACCCATAAATACACCACATGCCCTCTGCAAGGACTTCTACCAAAAGCGCAACAACAACTCATGTTGAAATATATGACTGATTTGTAACGCTAAAGGATTGAGCGGGTTATGAAGACCAGAGAGTTCTAAAGAAGAATGTTGGTTCTTGACTCGAATTGCTTCATGGTTCATTCAAGATTTTGCCTAGTGTTGGATGAATAGCCTGGGAAGCTTTCATGTGAAACTTGGTTTATGGGTCGGTTGGAAAGACAATGGCTTAATTCTGCTTTATGGTATGATTCGACTTGAGTGTAGATGAGAGTCTGCTGATTAAGGGGTAATTATGAAGGCAAATCAAGGGGGTAGGACTAAAGAGAGAGAAGTGAGGAGAGAGGAAAAGATGGGCGAGCTTTTGAAGGATTAAAAAAGTCAAAACTGGCCAGAGTTTGAACATATCAAACCGTCATAAGGGTCGCATGCAGCAGCGTATATGATAGTCATTGCGTTTGTAACCATTCAAGCTCGCTGAAACAGTCAGATCCGATGCCCTGGCACGGGAAAAATACTGTCAGCACGAAAGTTACCAATTACATAATTGGACAACACTTCCAGGACCTGAATATTATTCGGTGTTTTGAGCTTCGAAGGCTTGTGATCTGAACTTATGTCATCTCATCCACAAGAGATTGCATGGACCAGTTCACAATGGTGGGAGGTCACTTGGACTCAATGCTATCCAATGCTTCGCACATCGACAATAGAATGTCGACGAACAAGCTTATGAGGTTCGTGGTTGGCATGTGCAGACTAACTTCGGCCTACATCCAAATCCACAAATAGTCGAACCTACCCATCGTCATAACACAATCCTAGTCGAATCATCCATAGCTTCAAAAAAAAAAGCTTTTTTCCATATCTTTGATGTGGGGCCTGGCTTCAAAGAGTGATGAATGAAGATGGTACCCGTTCTCGCACGCAATGGAAACTTATGAACACCAGGAATGCCGTTCATGGTTCAGAATATAGGCCGGTTCTTGTGGGGAACCTCCGTTTTTAAAGGCCTTCATTCCATAACGTTCGATTTCGTTGTACTTTTGGACTTGAAAGAAGAATTGCTATGGAGAAGAATTTTCGAGCACATGTGACTTTCATAGCACTCAGGCCGGGATATCGCATGGAACTCTTTAGTATTGGAATGGAGATTCAATATTGAAACACAAGCTGCAGCTTAAATCCAATAGCGGGTTCTCAACTACTTTACCGCACGTTCATCAGGAGACAAAGATCTTCTGGGTCCCTGCATGTGAGTAGACGGGAACAGACATTGGTTATAGAGCGATGAATCTTATCACGTCGCCAAAATTTGTGAGTGTTTGCACTAGAGCATTTGCTGGTTTGGTTATATTTAAGTAAACTCTGGTCGGTGGAAGCAGATTTGGAAGGGAGATATCATTGACGAAGAAGGATTGGTGGTGAAAATATCGGTAGAGGCAGAGATGATTTTTGTCGAAGTGCTTAGCGTTATCTTTTTACGCGTTCTGATATCTCCGAGTATTCAGCCCGGCAAAATTTTCTTTGACTAATATGAAACTATTGGTGCCTCCCTTATCTTCCCTAACTTTTATTCACTCTCTTGCATGGCTAGAAGATTGATAGGATCACTCCACAGTGATGATCTCTTCCGGGTCCCACGATCAGCTCCAGTGACTGCTCGCCATTGTTTCGAAATGCATTGTATCAATAATCAAAGGATAGATTAGGTATCTAATCCCAATTATTTTTGTATTTCTATATTTTATTTCAAAGAAGATCCTTCCAGGAAGTTCCGTCGGCTAGCTAGTGATTCCAGGTCCGTACCCAGCATGGTATCGACCTCTGATTGCAGTTCTGACGATAAGTTATTGGGCCGTTAGAATGGACCAGAATTACTAAATTGCGGTTATTCTCTCACGGCTCAAGTGAGCGTATTGTTTCAGGCGCATGGGTCATCCAATAGCCCTTGCAAAGTTGGTGTAGCCGGATATTCGACCTTCTTGCCAAGCAGTGCATGCTGTAAACAATGGTTCTCCGCCGGACATATAATACGTCAATTATAGTCTAACTTCGGTACGACTTCCGGATTTCGCGGTTGAAGATTCGTTTAGTACTCGTGGTGACGTTATTTTTAATAAGAATTTTGAAGAATTCTAGATGGAGAGTGATTCACTTGCCCAGACCGCACTGGTAAGCGCTTACGGTGCTCCTCTGGGTGTCTATTGTCACAGTATCTCGACCTCATTGGCCATTTCGACCACATATCGGTTATTTTGTTGGCATGCATCTAGACAATCTATTATAATAATACCAACTACTCAAATACTGCGAAGATGTGTGCATGGAATGCTGCTCGCACAATACCTTTCAAGCTTCTCTTGCTGATAATTCCCTCTTTCCGGTCATCAAGGCTATCAATAATGACGGCGCTAACACATTCATCTATCAATATTCTAAATTCCAAGGCCTTGAACGGTTTCTCAGAACTACCCATTGAACTGAAAGCCCGGGTCATTGGTTTTCTTGCCGCAAAAGATGTCATTAACCTCCGTCTTACATCAAGAGCGTGGAGCGGCGTGTCTGTTACTGGTCTTTTCAATGTTTGTACTGGACATTCCGTCGAGCAAGGCGTCTTTTCCATTCGACCGCACCTTGATGATATGACTCGACTACGATACATTGCCGGTTTACCATGGTTAGTGAAAGTTATCAAACATATCAAGATATATGTTGGAGATCTGGATATGCTGGAATTTGATCATGAAGTTCAGAATGTGAACAAATATACCAAGATCGAGAGCATGTTCAAGAATAAGGAGAGAGTGAATACTCTATTTGAACAAACTGTTCAGAATAGAATGAAGCATTGTGATCCCGTTATGCTATCTCATTCTCTTTCACGACTTCCTGCCGTCAAATTCGTTACAGCCACTGCAACTGAATGTCCATTCTTGGAATCTGAAATCAATTTTACTGTAGCATGGAAGCGACTGATACGACGATGGAATTATGAACCGGATGCACTTTACGACTCTTACGATACTACGTTTCCTACACGATCTAGTATCCGCCATCTCAGCATCTTACTCGCAACACGACAAATTCAACAGCCTATTCAGCAATTAGTATTAGATTCTTTTCCGGTCGATCTTTTCGTTAGTCAAGTCTTGCATGATGATGAGGATACAACTGAGTCTTCCTTTGGGATTCATACTAATTTCCTTCATGATATGCAAATATTTACATCAAAAGTTCAGAATCTTCGCATTGGTATTAATCCTCTAAGCAATAATACAACCCACGAAAATACGACTATGCTTGCCAAATCTATGAGTACATTCATAGGATCCATGAAATTTCTCCGCTCTTTGGATATTAGTTGGAACATTTCCTTTCGATTTCCTAATGATACAATGGAACTGATAAATCAAGATGCATTTTATTCAAATTCATTTCCACATCTCGAAAACTTACGTCTTTCAAAGATAAAAAGTTTCGATACATCATTCTATTCATTCATATTCCACCACAAAGACACACTAAAGTCCTTATCACTAGGACATGATTTTTTCCTCATCCCTCACAATAGACCTAAAGGTTGTATATCGTTCAAAACTGTTCTTTTCCGATTACGAGATTTGTTGAAGCTACAGAGATTTCAATTACTGGTAAGTACTACTGATCAACAGATCTATAATCCGGATTGGGAATCTGTTCCATCCAATGAGGTTAAGATATCGGATGCGAAGTTGTTTGAAATGTTTGTTTTGGGTAAATGGGCTTGGCCGATGATTAATTTGGATTATCCTCATTGGAGACGATTGGATGAGTGGAGAGGGTGGGTGAGGAGAGATGGATGGGATGGATTGGTTTCGAGGTCGAAGAGGGATGTTAGGTATTTGGAATGGAGGGATTTGGATACGTAGTTGGAGATTGGATTATTGGATTTCTTTTTTGTTTCTCCTGATTTCATGTCTGAACAAATTTTCATCTAGGCACAGGTGATAGGTGTCGTGTCGAACCTTTCTCTCCATTTTTAGACATTCTGCGAACATAGTGTCAACAAACCCGGACCAACCTACAAAATTTAGCTCTTTTATTTCTGCAGAGTATTTCTCCTCATCTTCCTCTTCTTTTATATCCATTTCTTCTGATCCATACTCAATACCTAACTATAAGCAACTCGCGCACAACTCATTCCATCTAAACTACCCTCACACTTCCACGGACTAGATCACCATTACCAAACTTCTACTTCAACCTAATACCAACTCTCCACATACAACACTCCAACCAACAACTACATAAAAACCAAACCAAACCCTAGACTCATTCCCCATCTTCATCAGTATCCCCATAACCATAACCATACCCGTACAATCTACCCCCATTCACTTGAAGTACTTTTAAATCCCCTACCAACCCAAATAATCTAATTCCAAAAATTCCCTTCCACACATAAAATTCCATTTACCCGGATTTAATAAAGGGGTCCGAGTTCGAGTTCGGGTTCAAAGTTCGCGACACCCTTTCGTTTCCTGCCATTTTGGTATGTTTGACACTTGACACTTGACACTTAGAGTATAGTTGCGCGGAGTACTTCTGGAGAATCACTTACAAGTTAAGGTTACTGGAGTCCTTTGTTTGGGGGTATGTGTGTATGTGATGGATGATGGTGTTGTAATCTTAAGATGAACAAACGAAGCTATGGTTTTGATTTTTGGTTTTGGTTTTCTGTGCTTTTGGGGGTGGGGGTGGGGAGATTGTCATGGATGGGTCTAATTTTGATGGGAGGTGGTGCGTGATGTATATTGTGTTATTTGTGCGTTTGTCCTTAGATGCTGGGATTTGTTGTTTGTTGTTGGGGGTGTGGTGGTGTTAGGTTTTGGGTGTTTGTGTTTGGGGTGACGAGTTGATTTGGATGGGTGAGGGTAAGGGAAGGGTTTGAGTAGATTGAACGTTACACTTTAACATTTCGATGATCTTCAATGTCATGATGGATTGAATGACGCTCCGCTAGCCCTCCGGGGGCCACTACCGTGGAGGCGGACTATTTGGATTGAGAATATACGTCTCTTCAATCTTCAACTAGCATGCTAAGCGATTTCTGGGGCTTGCATCCATTCAATATATGAATTTATAAAATTTGAATCTATTTCTATCGAGTAGGATTATCTTTTTGATATATCACAATGTCGTTACCCTATAATGGTAATCTTGATGATGATTTTAACTCGCGTCTTTTAACAACATCCTCAATGACTTGCTCTAACCACCATGCATGAATCCTCGCATCACCTGTTAACTCTGGATGAAAAGAAGTTCCAAATACATTTGCTTGACGGACAGCTACTATATCACCAGATTCACTGTTAAGCTTTTCTTGGACTTGGGGATCGGGAATCGATGCAGTGCGGCCGGGGAGAGTAGCGAGGATTTCTACTGGGGCGGAGAGGATAGAGTCGGGATTGGGGATGTTGTTTGTGTCGATAGGTCGAGAGGGCGCAATGACTGTGGATTCCAGTTTAGATTCAGAGATTTGAGGTCCAGGGAGGTGGGGGAGGAGTTTTTCCACGACCGGGGCTCGGATAAATATTGCCTGGAAGGGGGCGGTTTTCTCCTTTCTTTCCTTTTCTGATGAAGGGGAAGAAGGGCTTGGAGTGACAGACGAAAGAAATGGTAAATCCAAATCAGCCGAGAAAGATTCTACCTGTCGACCAAAATGATTACGATTGACTCGAACATCGAGACCACCGATTAATTCTTGGCCTCCTGCTTTGGTACGATTGGCGGATTCAGAGAGGAGGATTAGACCAGCACAAGTTCCCCAAGTAGGATATCGATGAAGTCTGGGTGTATTATTAGGATGAGATTCTGAACAAGTAGGTGAAAGAGGAATGCTCTCCTAAGAAAAGGGGAAGAGGATAAAAAATCATGTGGATGGCTCACTTAACGAAATCTCTCAAAGGTTCAAGAAGACCTGATCTTTGAGCTACAAGTGAAATAGCAGTACTTTCTCCACCAGGTATAATAAGTGCATCGCATGAATTAAGCTCGATTGCGTTTCGTACTTCTATGAAGTTATATTTTATATCAAGATCATGTGTTGTTTTGGTTTTGGTGGCGAGAATTTGACGGGCGGAGCGAAGGAGTTGAATATGTTCATTGAAAGCACCTTGAAGAGCTAAAACTCCTACGGTTACTGTGAATGGTGGATGATTTGCCATATTGGGATGGGACTATGAAGAGAATGAAGTTTTTCGGAATGGAAGAATATATCTTTCACATGTTTTTTGATATTAAATTTCATTTGAGTCACTGATCAGATCCCAACATTCCAAGGATTACATAATAACCTCCGTCCGATGACCGATACAAACCCTTGTAATTCCATTTTACCCAGGAAACTTTTGAGTGAGGTCACCCGAACAACCTTATTTATAGTTCGACCAATCAAATTCAATGCATACAAACCCATAAAAATTAATCCTCAACCGATTTCTTGCGCCAAAACCTCCCACGGTTAGAGTGAAGCTTCAACTTATTATTTATCCTCCCTTTTCCCCTCCAATCTCAGGATTGATTGTTGTACGAGAAATATATTGGTTGATTATCTTATGTCACTCTACTTCCCTCCTTGAGAGGGTGATTTGAATAATCCATCAATCAATCAATCAATCAATCAATCAATCAATCAATCAATCAATCCAACCAATCATCAAGGGATCCAATTTATTAGACTGTGAAGCTGCCACAGTCAAACAAGTTAAAGCTCTCAACTACAACCACTTCAATATATCCTCAAGATGTTCGCCCTCCTCTCTTACGCTACAAACCTTTCAATAATCTATATCGTTCTCACTTTATCTCTCTACATGCTCTCTCCTATTCTTCCCCTCGCCGGTTTCTTCGCTCGCCTTCTCGCTGGTTATATTTCACTCGTCCTCTGTGCTTGTTATGGTGTCTTCATATCCATCCTCCTACGTCTTGTAGGAAATTATCGCATATCACAATGGGCCGTCGCTCGCGCTTACAAATGGGCAATGTGGTTTACGACCGGTGTAACATTTGTCGTCGAAGATCCCAACGATTATCTCGGTACAACACGCCCCGCAGTCCTTATAGGAAACCATCAAACCGAACTTGATGTGCTCATGTTAGGGTGTGTATTTCCTCGATATTGCTCTGTCACCGCGAAGAAGAGTTTGAAGAATGTGCCATTTCTAGGATGGTTTATGAGTTTGAGTGGCACCGTATTTATTGATCGGGGTAATGCGAAAGATGCACGACAGGCGATGGCGGGGGCAGCGAAGGAGATTCAAGAGGAGAAACAAATCGTTTATATGTTTCCCGAGGGAACGAGAAGTTATGCAAAGGATCCGACGCTTTTACCTTTCAAGAAGGGAGCATTTCATTTGGCGGTTCAAGCTGGGGTTCCGATTGTACCGGTTGTAGTCGCTTGTTACAGCGATGTTTTGCATGTGCAGAGTTGGAGATTTAAATCGGGGAGGATACCAGTTCGAGGTATGTTCTTTTTTCATTCGATATTGTTTGTTAGGGGTAAAGAGAAGCAAAGGCAATGCAGGGAAGCTAATTTTGGAATAATGTAGTACTGAAACCTATCGAGACGAAACACCTTACCTCGGCAGATGTTGAAGATTTAGCAAGAGACACGAGAGATTTGATGTTAAGGGAATTGGTAGCTTTAACTTCGAGGAAAGAAGGAAAACCAATAGCTATGCCGGCACAAAATGCAGATGGAGTTGTGAAAGCTAGTGGTACCGAAGCTCACGTGGAACATCACATACTATAGAGGTTTGATTGTGGAAGGAAATGACACATTGGAGATACACGGATGGGAACGATATTGGGATGCTCTGCATGGAAAGGGGAACATACAAGGGAAAGAAATGATTTGCATGGAAAATGGATAGCAAGAGATGAAGAAGGACAGGACCTATTGCATATGAGATACGACTATCAGTTAGGGGTAAAAGATCGCCCACGAAGAACATGATATGATCTCGCACGACTTTGGAGTATATTGGCATGCATGGCATAAGAATGCGAAATTTCAGAAGCTGGTAGATACCCGGTAAAGTTGGAATTTTAACATGAAGTTTGAAATGAAATTATTAAGGTTTTTCATGATTTTATTCATGGTTGAGACGTTGTGATTTATGTTGAATGGTATGGATGGACCTTGAGTGTTGGATTAGCGATATGTGGATCTGAGCTTGGATTCGATGTCTGGTATTCGATGTTATTTGGTTATTTAGTTCTTCATTTATTTTATCTCTCTCCATTTTATTTTTATTTATTTTTGGCTATCCCTCCATCCTGTAATATCTCACTTCTTGTTTCCTTCTCTGTCCTGTCCTTTTGTTTCCCTCTCCATAAGTCTCCAGCTCCTCAAATCTCAAATCTCAAATCCCACACCTCATATAAAATCATCCAAATTCCTCCAAGAATCGTAGCTTCAAGAGGCATCTATCTCCTTAAATTTATCCACCTCCTACATTTCTCATATCGGTGAGAGGCTAGTCTTACTTAAGATCTTACATCCATTAATTAGATCTAATCTGTTATTCTTTTATATAGATACTAGAGCACATTTATTACTTTCACTTTGGCTTTCTTATAATTCTAGTAGAAAGCGAAAACATTCGATTTTATTTTGTATATTTTTTCGGCTTCACATGAAGTCGGTGGTTTGCATATATATATATAATGTTTGATTTTCGGTATGTTTTTGAGCGGGAGGTGGAATACTAGGTTGATATGTGGATCTTTTGGTAGTGTGTGCTGTGGGTTGGATGGGATGTTGCGAGGATTTTGGAGGGGGGAGGATGGGTTTGTTTATTTTTCTGTTTATTTCTATATGTGTCTAGGGAAGCTAGGATGGGTGGGATGTTCTTGTTAATGGCTGGCCTGGGTTTGCTGGGGATAGTTGTTAGATTGAAGGGATTGGGAGACTGGAAGATTTGAGTGGTGGGATGTTGTTTCTGGAGCTTGGAAGAGTGAGACTAGATAGATCATAGAGTAGATGTGAGTGGTTTATTTATTTTGTGGCCAGGTTGGATGGTTGGTTGGCTGGTTGAAGGTATGGTATGATACCTGTGGTAGGTTGTGTTAGATGTATGATTATTTGTAACAGGGATCAAGTTGATGTTGACGTTTCTGGGAGAGCTGGGTTAGGTTTAGTAGGGGCTGATGGGTTGGCTGTCGAATACTTCGTATATCTTTTCCATTTTGTGGTTGTACTGGAAGAGGTTCCGACTTGAACTCGGAGAATGATTTGATGTTGAAAGACTAGAGGTTAATAGAAAGTAATAGATCAGATTTAAAATCTAAACGAGTAGGGATTTAGAAATTGAGCTTTCAAATAAAGAAAAGTGCTAATAAACGGGCAAATCCTGATAGCTCCCTGTGCTTGAACAGTATGTCTTTCCAGAAGTTTAGGGTTCTTGGTCTTCGTGTTGTGTATGGTGAGTGGAGATGTAGAGATGCTGGTGTGCCTGTTCGCTGCTAGATGGTGATCTGGTCTTTTAATTCTGTATAGTTTAGGCGGATACATGTACAGGAGGGACACGGAGTAAGGAATTGAGGGGATGGATGGGATTTTAAGGGGAGCATTTGAAGCTCGCGTAATGAGATTTTAAGGAAGGCTAAATTAAACAATTTCTGGCACTGTGTGATTGAGATGTAGCATAGGGAGTACTGTTTGCAGGTAGCTAGATGAAGTTTAGACAGTCATACTCGGATGCATCCTATGCAGCAATAATGACTACCGGATCTGTGCTTATTTGGCCTGATATCAAAGCATTGTGGTGTATTATGTTGGGTTGGGTCATCTCCTGATTCGGACCATCCCGGGTGTTCTTCGGGGGTCGGGATTTCATTCCACCGATACAATGATCTGGGTAGTTTCCCAATCTCTCATACATTAAAACATACATGTGCAGGATTAAGACTTAACTTTTACAACCTTAGACACTTTGGGATAAATTGCTTGCCATTTTGGTGTCGCATGGACATGTAATATCGAAAAACAAGACTTGCACATGGAATTTTATTTTCTTTCAGGTTAAAAAATGTTTGTTTGTTGGCTTGCTTGAAGAGCTTTCTTCTTGTGGATTTTTAAGGATTGGAGGCTTTAAGGCAGTGACTGCTGATCATGTTCAATTTTTAGAGGGCTGCGATGCTATCTCATCTCATATATCGAAAGAGATACCGAAAAGCTTTGAGAGCGACTTCGCAAAGGGGATATAAAAGCGAATGCAGACAAAGGTTTGGGCATGTGTATCAGGACGAGGACTTCCTCTATGGGGCATCAAGATGTGGTTTAGGATATGAGGAAGAGGAGGAAGAGGAGAAGAGAAAATTCTGATCCAAGCGTATGGCGGCAGTTCCCCTCGCAGTTTCTATACTTGGCTTGTTTTATAAACATTTCTGGTATATTTACTGAGGAGATGAAATAAGAACGTGCTAGTGCATATCCATATATATGGTGTTTCTGCATTATTGGAAGTATGGGCTGCAAAGCTGATATGTGAGTTGATAATATGGCACATCACACCAGATTGCTTTCACCAAGTGTTGTCTGGCTCAAGTTTAGCAAGACATAAGGCATTGTGATCATATAACTTCCTATCAGTACCTTGGTGTGGTATGTATACCCATCGAATTAAAGCTTGAGCACACACAGGATCAAATGATTTCTTATCGGCAACAAAGTCATCTAAATCTTTTACGCCATTGTGCTGCGTAAGTACAAGAACAAAAATTTTCGGCCTTGGCCATATCCATAACCCTTGAGTTCTTGGGCTCCATGGCTTTGGTAAGGCACTCAGAAGCGTAGCCTAGATCGAGAGGTCGAGGATGTCCTTTTGCAACTGACGAATGTCTTCGAACGCTGTCACATTTCCTTGACTTGGTTGCAAAGTTGCAATGGAGTGTCGGCTTGTCGCGCTAGAGTTTGGGAAGCTCTAATATGGCTATAATTCGTATTATAGTAAGCGCTGAGTTAGAAGTTTGCGCTGAACGGGGATAGGCAAACATTCTAAACAGGTTTGACGTGTTGACTGGATAAATATTAGGATATATTGCAAGTGCTAAGGGAGTAGTTGACTGAGGTCATTGGGTGGAAGGTCTAATATTCGGGAGGTTTATGTGCTCAATTGGCCCAAGCTACACCTTGAGTTAATACGTTGAAACGAACATTAATGGCTTCTTGGATGGCATTCAAGTATTACATAAACTCGAAAATCCACTGGTACGTGGTGGTTTTTTTGGATAGCACTCCTGCAGGGCTTGTTGTGGTAAAATGTCTATATATTGTATAGTCACAAAGTTCTCCCTGGCGTTAAACACAAGAGGGCACCAACATGCAATGTTTTACGGGGATTTTATTTCTTAAAGAAGTGCCTAAAATACTTGTATCGAGTGCTTTCTCGCTGGATTCATATCTATTACTTCCATATATCCTTTCCTTTAATCCATAGATGCGGGTCTGAGATATCACTATCTATCTTAGAAATTAAACACAGGGAGATGCTTAATCAAATAACTGGCAAATAGTAGAAATAGATCATCTATTTACCCATGCCCAATTTCTTGCCTAGTACTCTTTCATACTTCTTAATCTCAATGTTTTCTGTTTCCACGAACCTTTTCCCACCGAGCCCTGTCGTCTTATCAAGATGATCCGCAATCATATACCACAAGAATACCATTTCCTCTTCATTAAGAGCGTGTCTGTTTTTGCCATCTTTTGCAACATTCGTCAACGTCAGCTTTTCAAGGCCGCTAAATTTGTCCAAAATGCCGTTGGTAAAGATTGATGGCAGTAATGGGGAAAAGTCTAATAGACCGACAACGTTTGAGAGCGCAACAGCATCGTCGAGGAAATTAGTACTCGTAGTATGGTTATCTCGTAATTCCAAATGTTTGATGCTCTTCAAACCTCCTGGAATCTTCAAGTCAAGATATTCCAACCACTCAAAAGTTTGTTCCAACGCCCATTTAGGTATATCTGCAGAGATAGCAAGAGTGTCATGTGGACCAATGCATAGAGGTCTTGGTTGAGTGATACCCTTGGTTCCAGATATCTTGGTGACATGGAAACCATAGATCTTTCTGGCATTTTGGATTTGCTTTGGCCTCTCAATGATGATGTACCTCAGAAAGGTGATGTATCGACTTCTCTGACAAATGAACAAGGTTATCGGTAACTCAACTCTGTATTCTCGACATCTTCCATAGCTTTGGTGTACAAGTAGTCCTAGATGCTCTGTTCGAGGACCAGGAAACATACATTCAAATATTGTGTCCTGGATTTCTTGGGGGAAGAGGTGGAATAGGCAGAAGACCCCAAACTCTCCGAGTAAGACAGGGCCCAACTTCCTGCCCGCGTCGAAAGTCCGAACATCTACCCTTAATTGACGAACATTGTTAGCAAAGGTGTTTCTTAAATCTGGCTGAAAAGTCCTATCGTATTGAGGATTGGTTGCGCCAAAGTCGAAAGGAACTCCATGGTATGCACCGGTTGTGGGTGGCACCACGTTGCCATTAAACGGGAATGAAGGCATCAGGGTGGGGCTGGGTATCATATTGGATTGGTAGTGACCAGTATCTGCGATAATTTTAAATCACTCCGTTAGTGCGGGGATAGTCCTAACTTACTGGTTTGGTTGGGATATGGGATACCCTTCTGGCCGTAATATGTAGCAGGCATATGGCCTTGGTCTTTGCGAACTACCTGTTCTGATACCATGATATCAGAGGCAATGGCGTCATGTATGTCTATCTCAACTGGACCTAGAACTGGTCGATCACCCATCTGGCCATAAATTGTAGCAGGTATATGACCTTGATCATGGCGCATGTCATATTGAGTTGCTGCTATGTTCAAAGGTACATCGGAAAGTCTACCTCGATTGGCACCACTCGGATGCTGGGATATTGCGTTGTGATGATAATTGACCGGCATATGATGTCCATAATTCCTGACAACATGTTGAGTTGGTGCCATACTATTATGGAAATTGACATTCAGGTGGCCTTCGTAGTTTTGGACTGCGTGTTGTGTTGTGAATGTGGATGCGTCTTGATGTCCATTGATACCTTGCATGTGCGGGATCTTTGCCATCGTACCATTGCTCCCGTAGTCATGTCCATAGCCATCTACGTTATTTACTTGGCGGTGCCTGAAATGGAGAGCCATGCTACTCGTATCTTGATTATAACCTGTGAAGGTATTAGTACAACTTTTGCAAGTGCGAATAGTAGTTCTCTCACTGATCAGACATGCAGCTGAACCTGAAATCAGGCCTGCTTGGACATTGCTATTATAGAGTGCATGGTTTTGTTGATCCGAAGCAAAAGATGCATGTCGAGTTGATTGCAATGTGGAAGGAATTGTGCTATTGTTACCTGCCAGTCCTCCTTTGTTTATACCTGCCGAATTATTGCCCATAGTACTCATCATACCTGTAGTCATTTCATTCTGAAATGTTGAATGACCACAAGCTTGCGTATTGTTATTATGGGATTCAAATGAAGTATGTTCCATAAGCATCATGGTGTTGGGATATTGGTTGTTACCTATTATGTCAATGTTAGAGAGTTCTAAAAGTTCAAGAGTAGTACCTATCTCACCATGTTGAAATGCGACCGGATTAAAAGGATATGCTGCACGGCCATTTACATCATAAATGGTCCGATACGCATTATCTCGCAAGTTAGCATCAATTCCTGAGTTTTGGCATCGGCGAGCTGTAGGAATATTCGTGTCGTTCCATGCTTTACGTGATATGCTGTAGTTAATAGCTGGCTCTTGAGTTGCGAGGACGTTAGAAGTCATTCCGTTTGCCTGTTGATTATTTCCTGGCGCGTTAGCATGTTCTGTATATACTTTATGGGCGTATTATCTTACTATCTACACCCGGTCCAGCCTGCATACCTTGCTGGCCAAAACCATTAATAGGCATATCACTTCCACTTCCCAAGGCTGAGTGAGAATACTTCATTGATGGGACTTTGCTATCCACTGTCCCGTAAATGTCGCTTTGATACTCAGGAGTTGGAGAATTTTTCAGCCAAACGTTGGAAGCTCTAGTAAAAGAATCACGGAACCCGTCGGCATCATTGATCCAGCGGTAAACATGATCAGAGGATGTTATACCAGAAGGGAGAGTAGCTGTTAAGTACTGTCCGCCTGGTGGAGGAGGTGGTGATGGATTCATGTTAGTCATCAATATACCTTGGTGCTGGTGCTGATGTTGACTATATTGTAGAAGTATTCCTGTTTATTATTAAAGATTACTCACAGCTGGGAAGATCTCAAGCAAATTTATTTATGCGAATATCACATGTTGAAAAGTTCAAAATGTAGATTAGCTTTAATTTGTACAGTGGTTTCATTCTAATATACTCAAATTGGCTGTAGGGGAATGAATAGAATTGGGGTGAAGCAGTACTTAAAGGTGATGTGATTCGTGATAGGCCTAGATATATTATGGGATGGAGGTCACTGCTGAATTTGATATGTTTTGTGATGTTGAAATTACCGTTTGATTGGATGATGAAGATTTCAAGAGTAGATAGTAGTATATCTCTGTAATAATAGATGGATCCTGATTATAGAGGTAGAATCTAGAATTTGTTTACTTTTTATATTAAATCTTTTTCCCAAATTAAAGAGTTTCTTGAACTAATTTGTTCTCTATCATTCGATTTATATATTTACTTTTAGCTTGACATTCTTTTTCTACAACTAATTAATTTTATATGAAAGGCAATAACCGAGAAAATCAATATTTGGTAGTAGTATCAAGCTATAGTACTGTTATAAGTTCAAGTCAACAAAGATAATCCGTACAAAGAAATATGTTTACTTATATTTAAAAGTCATAACTTTAACAATCCTGACAACGAGAGAAAATAAGCCTTTGTGTCTTTTAGCTACTACTACAAGTCATATTGATGACATTTACACTTTGACCTTCTATATTCATTTAGATCTCGAGGTTCGTGGTAACTTCAATGAAGAGTAATATTTACTTCATCCTACTTCCTCCCCCGAGTTACTTCTACCATGACCATATCTACACAACACCTGTCTAGTATTCACCAAAGAAACAACATATACAGCACAACGCGCCACAGCGCTAATCGCATTGTATATCTACACCAACCATACATCGAGTAATAAACAATAAACATAACAGATAAGAGATAGAAGAACGCACCAAACATTAATATCATCAACATCATCACAAAAAGCCTACGATTGTTCTATTAGGGCTTTTTAAAGAATTGATAGCCCTCTACACTACAGAGTACATAGTGTTTTCTCCGTTCGTGTACCCATGTATTCGAATCTGATGGATGATAAGATTACTAGTTGTAGAACTAAGAGTTAAAGATGGAGTGTGGAGGGTGGGGGCGGGGTGTTAGATACTTATATATATAAATATATAAAATAATTATATTATTAATCAAACCTACCTTTATAAAGATAACATTTTCCCATCTCTCCTTCATAGCTAAAGAATCCAAGACTCTTCCTTACCAGGAGATATTCAATCACTACAACACTTTAACACTATTCAAATCTACACAATTGACAACTTATAATTGCGCATTTCACACACAGCGAAAACAGAATTATCCAACTCATCACATCCATTTAAAAATCTCGCGGGTATCTATCTACTAGACCAAAAGACCCGAAGACCAAAGCCAAAGACTAGACCAGACCAGACCAATCCATTCTATCTACCATCTCCACCTATCCCCATAATGATTTTTCAATTCAACTCCCAGCCATGCAATCCCAGTCCGGTCCAATCCAGTATTTAAGCCCAACTAAGCACATCTATTGTACTCCTAAGTACATCCGCCAAAATGCGGTTTGATATTCTATACCCATTTCCTCTCTTTTTTGATTTATAATTTTGAATCCAAATCCTCAAACTCACTAATATGCTTGACCGGTTGTGGTCCTGCGGTAACTTGCAACAGACTCTTGAATTGTCGAACATCCGTAATGACATATGGCTTAGTACCATTACCTTCAACCTTAACCACAATAGCTTCTCCATCTTCAGCATCCTTACGATCTTTATTAATGGCAAGAACAGTTTGATCTTCTGGTTTCTCTTCTGGTAAAGAGGTTCCTTGAGCAATGAGGTGAATGGCGAGTTTAGATCGAAGTGGAGAAGATGGTAAGATGAATTGATCATAGAATTGTATCATGTCCTCTTTAGTGAGTGCTTTGACATTTGCAGCATCGTGATGGACTTTCAACATGTTAGTTTATCAAATCAATTCCAAGCAGAATATAACTTACCAAGTTCAAAGTCAAAGTACTCATAATCAATATGAGACCAGATACGATTTGATTCTTGATCCAAATTCTTCAACTTCTCCAATCGTTTCGTGATTAAACTTCTCTTGTGTCCCTCAAATTCAGAATCTGACATATTCTTAAGGGTTTCTGAATATCCAACCAAGAAAGAATCAATTCGTTCTTCAAGATATTGTGGAGTCTTTTCACTTTGGATGATGAATCTATAAGCGATGGTGGTAGTTGTAGTTGAACATCCACTAAATACAACATATCCTAGCTGTTCCTTGGTTCGTAATTGATCAAATGCAGGTTCATGAGTCATTTGATCGAGAAGAAGGGCCTTGGCTCGTTGAGGACGAACTGCCTTATCTCCAATAGATAGAACGTATTCTATACAGTGATTGACATTGGCCGGATCTTTCAGCGTCTTGTGGTAGACAAAGTTAGCTCCAGGTGGAAAGACTAAAGATCTACCTATCGGCCATTGAGTTTGAGGCAATACCCTTGGTTTCAAAATGCTTTCTGTCAAATCGGCCAATTTCAAAGCATCCTCCTTGTACAAGTTTCCATGTACAAAAGTTTCAATATGCATCTGTCTTAATAGATGTGGATAGAACTGCTGGATATCGGCCGCAGTAAGATGTGGTAATTCGGCTAGGTATTGCTCATTTATGTAACCTTTCTCACTACTAAGCCATCTCATGTAATCACCGACTTGATTGTAAGGTTGTTGAAAGTCCCAGTTCTTTAGACCTCTTGTCAACCTCTCCTTAATAATCTCAAATCGGTCCTGTTTGACCTCAAGATCTCTCATGGTAGTCAATACCTTCTCCAAAAGAACTGAGAGCTTGTCATTATATCCGGAAACACTAATTTCCAAACCCATTGAATGACTAGACACAGAGTATTCGAGTCCGGCAAGCTCAGCATCATAAGCGTAATCTTCCAATGCGTCGTAAACCAAATCGGTGTACATTCTTGCTTTGAGGGAGTTTTCTGCCGTCGCCATTGGCAAAGGATTTCTGCATTGAATGAACAGATTTGCTTTTGGAACCCAGAAAGTATCATCTAGTAACGAATTAGTAATTATTTCCACCACAGCAAGAATATTTCACTGACCTTTCTTAAACCATGTCCTTACCGCGTCATCATTTCTGATTAACTTGGGGGAAATGGCAGGCGTTTGAACTTCCTTCTTTTCAACCTCGAGCTTAGTTGGGATAAATTGATTTACGTGAGGTAAATGTAATTCTGGGAAGCGTTCTCCTTCCTTGCTAGAAGCAGCCTTCTTTATCTCTTCCAAGAAATCCGCCGGAATCTTCTCGTATTTATACTCTGTGCCATACCATTTTTCCTTTGAATCCCAACCACCCGGGAAAGTTTGTGAAGAAATTTGCATACGGAAATTATCAGCTCTTAAGCAATCAAGTCCAGCTGATATTTTTCCTGCATCGAACTTTCGAAGTCGGCTATGTCCACTGAGTAACCATTCTCTGGGTAATGGTGTCTGCATGACGGCGCTGATTTTGCTGGTGAATCTACTTGCTGGAGTTTTTTGCTTGAATTTGAAATCAACATCGGCTAAGCCCTTTTGCTCATTGAAAATCCATTCTTGAGGTGGTGCATCTTTGAGCAGTGCGATATATTGGAAGAAGACTTTCACGACTTCCTTGTAATTTTTGAGACCATCTTCTGTCAAACGAATTTGGCAACTGAACAAACCAGGTGTTCCAGGACATATTGGATAAACACCTAAAAAAAAAATTAGTATAAACTTGGAATTTGTGGGAGGAGCTAGAGTTCGCATGATGAGCTCCTCTACATTGAATTCAACTGACCTGCACTTAAAGCATTTGCCCATCCTTTTGACTTTATGTAAGCCATGATGCTACCTGGTCCTTCATGTCCAATAAGATGCGTCAAATATCGGCTAGGTTGGGATTCGAATAATAATTCTTCATCAATGAAGGGGATGGAAATGTCCAAAGTTCGAGAATCCATAACAGGTTTCGCGAAACATTGAGTGGAAAGTTGTTCTGGACCATAAGGACGCTCATCCTCCCATCGATTCTGTAGCAAATCTTTATTTCGTACACCGGCGAAAAGATCAGCCGCCCATGATTCCAATTTATCCAATGGTTCTCTTCCCAATATGACAAGCTTCATGCGATTCGCAGAATAATGTTTTTCATGAAACTCCATAAACTTTTCTCGAACATTTATTCCCCGCGATTCTGGTTGTATCTTCAAAACCTCTAGATTTCCCGTTGAAAAGTGGCAATAAGGATGCTTTGGGTTCGATAATGATTTATCCAATTGATGCAATCTCCATTGATCACTCTGTAAATTCTTCTTGTTCTCTGAATCCACCGCTTTCAATTCTCTGTCCAAAGTCGAATCGAGAAATAGAGGATCTATGAAGAATTGAGCAAATCGATCCAGAGCACCATACAAAGGCGAGAGATCCGAATCTCCTGAAGCTCCATCCTCCCCTGATTTCGCAGCAACTTCAAAGTAATAATTTGTAGATGTGGCACCGGTATACGCATTGGAACTTCCCGAATGTGAAGAAAGGTATTGTGAATATGCATTCTCTACAGGATACTGCTCAAATTGTTAGTATTTGTGATTAAGCCGGGAGATGTGCGAAAGTGCGCCAGATTTCTATACAAAGGGTATACCATACCTTTTTAGTTCCCATGAAAAGTAGATGCTAAAAAGAAAGTATATGTCAGCATAATTTCTGTAAGCATGGGGAATAAATCCATTTTTACCTCTACAGCATGCGCCATACCAGGGAAATCTTCAGGATCACTGAAATTCCCCACATTAACATCCATAGCTGCAGAGGCTTTGTCTGTTTCAGCATCATGAACAAGCAAAACCTCTAATTGATTGGGAAGCTTGATAACTCGATAAGAACGATCATCTAGACTTGGGGTTTCGAGTCGATCGGTGAGTCTCTCGACGAGTCTATGATGCACTCTCTGTTCTCTCAAAGGACTGCCGGGAGCTATTGAGCTCTTTGGTTGAGGTAAATTGGACATATTTTGAGTGGGTGTCAAAGAGGACGTTGACGGGAATGAAGGAGAGTTTAAGGATTGTGAAGAAAAAGAGGCGATATTTCGAAGTCTCAACTTCTTGTGATGATCCGTGAAGAGTGAATGACCGTAATGGTGTGGTTTAACCCCGCCTAGTCGGATCTTATTAGAATTCGGTCCAATGAATAATGAAAATGGGTCCAAGGTCTGTGCGAAAGTTGATAGGAAGACAGGTTTCCGTGCTTGACCGTCTATCGGGGAATTCAAGTAAAAGGAGTGAAGATATCGATTCTGAGACGGTGTAGACTTGGATTGTTGTGGTCGCAGACGTTTTATAGAGGAAAGGATGGTTGGTCTATGTGAGGATGAAGGAAGAAGGATTTGTTGTTGTCTATGTAATAGATTTGGATTTGTTGGTCTTGGTAAACGTTGTCGAATTGAGCATTGGGCGGTTCCAGAACAGATCATCCAGCCAGTCAAGTAAGACGCGTGGTTGGAAGGTAGGAAGGTAGGAAGGTAGAAAGGTAGGAAAGGTAGGAAAGGTTATCCTGACTGTATGGAGAAAGAAGTATGACAGCTTGTGAAGGAAGTCAAACTCCGAGTTGATGAAGCTTATCAGAGATAGAAAAGTAGAGGGGATAAAAGGAAGTTATTTAGTTCTGGAAACCTTATGATCAGACCTATGTAATCGATGACAAAGTAAGGGAGTAAATGACTAGAATGGAACGATCGATCTGGTTAAAGTTAAATCATAAAGAAGAGAAAGACTTCAATACTATCGAGTTCTTGATGTTACAACCTATCGGAAGATTATTATGTAAATGAAAAAACATACAAAAATGACGATGTTTTCCCCCAACAAACGGTTTAATGGACGTACTTGTGCCGGGTATCAATGAAAAGGTGGTAGGTACTAGGTAATATTACTAGGTATGTAGATACTTTTAGAATTCAACAAATAAATCAACAATAATTTGATAATGGATAATTGACAATTGATAATTAATAATTAATAATTAATAATTGGATGATTTGTGTTCAAATTTCAAGAAATAATACCTCCATCGGAAAGAAGAAAAAAAAGAATTCAATGTTGTACAGAAAATCGGTTTGTGTGTGCCGTTTCATTTGACTCAATTTCGTGATTCCAAGCACCATCACCAATCACCAGTATCATGGCACCATGGCACCATGGCACAACAACGTCAGCAATTCCTTGTTAGTTAAACTTCATCATTCTATCAATCATTGGTGCACCCACCGCCATCAGCCATCAGCCATCAGCCATCAGCCATCAGTCGTCAGTCGTCAGTCATCAAGTCATTAGCCGTCAAGTCATCAGCCATCAATTACCCATGGAAATTGAATAAATCAATAGTATCGGCGGCACCAGCTACACAAGCAACACTATGACTATCACAGAAATATGATATGGCGGTGGACGGCGGTGTATATAAATGGATATTGGATATGGTTGACTTATCCTCATTATGATGGTGTCAATAGTCTGTAAGGTTATGGGGTCGAGATACTTACTTCTTTTAACCTTACTGGTTGGACCCTTGATTCTTTAAATCCTTGTCATGATTCGTCTTCTCTTCCGTTTTGCCTTCTCTCTCGCCTTATTCGCCTTCTTCGCCTTCTTCGCCTTCTTTCCCCTCCATGCATCAGATCCCATGAACCTTCTCTCCATTGGTATCTATCCCCTGCGATATAAGATGTACCATTTCACGCCTCGGTACCTACGTATTGATTGATATATGAAAAGCGTGGGACATTACATATGATGTGAAGAAAAGTCTCCGCAGCTCCGTACAACCATGAGTATAGCAACGATTACAGTATTGCTCCGCCGTACAGAGACAGAAACTTCTGCACTCATCCAAGTATGATTATGTCGTACGAGCCGGGAATACTTACTGTACGACATATCAAACAGGAATGCTGCCGCCAACCCGGTTGATGGATTTACAATCACCTACCTATATCTACCTAACCTGCTCAAGTACATGCAACAACATCTTCATACATGTATAGCTTCATGTATAGCTCCTAGACCTACTTCCCCAACTAAACCCTTTTCTTTTTCCTCTCTCTCTCAGTCTACCGTCGTCGATACCATTTCCACTCCGATGCATACCACTAACCCCTACCACCAAGCTATACATGACATCGAAGTCCATCATGTTGTGTAATAAAAATGGAGATGGAATCACGCACGAACAACACTAAAAAGGTAAATCAGCCCCGGTGCATGTATCCTACCGAAACGACCCATGGTTCAACAAATCCCTTGGGACCTATCAAACAACCAGGCCAATCTGCCGGTAAAATAGAGTACATATCGCAAATGAAGTTAATATATTTTGGCTAAATAGAACTCTTACGGATCAACGAATCGAGCATTGCGGTTATCCATTTTCTTCATTTCCTTTTACTGTAAGATTGATTATCTTTTCAATAAATCCAATCTGGGCAGCAAACGCATACATTATATTATATTATTATTGGTCACACAACGATAACATTAAGGGAATTAACAGTTATGTCCAGTTGCAGAAGAATTAATGGTTGGTTACAATATCTGTCTAATTTCTAAGCCTGCAGTTCAACGTGCACCCGTGGTCCCCCAGACTACTTTTTATACGGAGTACATCGACCATCAGGTAGGTAGGTATACCGCCTCAAGATTCCGTCTGACTCGTCCTCTCATAGCCCCTTCAACCTTCTAAAAATCAGACCACTTACACGAATTCCCATGGTACAAGATCCACAAGATGACGAAACCGCATCGCTGAACCTTTGCGGGAGATGGCATCGTCTGCGTTATTCTTAGTAAGATCTTACCCCCATTGATATAACAGTCAGTCGAGACCGTCTAGAATCAAAAACTGGAGTACAAAGAATCACTTCTTACCAGATAGAGTACGAAGAGATAATAAGCTAGCGGGAGTAACCTTATCATTACATATTATATACGTACGTACCTGGTTTCAGATCTTCATGTACGTAGGAAAGATCGATCTTGGTCCGTTTATTGCTTACAATCACATAAGTGGATATTCTCCGAGTCAAGATACGATACAATGGTATGGTATGCACTTTGAATATGCGGAGAAATTACACGAGCGTAAGCTTTGGCACCATTTATGTGCATAATTATTACATTTACTCCGTATGTATGTCTGAGAAGAATCGCACAGTCTGGTTCCCATCACGGTGTCCCTGAAAAGAAGACACATCTTTCTCATTCATGATTCTTCCACTCTTACAATTCCTTAACCATGACCTCGGGGTCTAGATTCGAGACAATGGAGAGTTGACTGGTCACAATGTTACTACACTGTTAGTTGCAGTAGTAGATGAGGCAGGTCTTGGGTTGGATCGAAAAGTTGATTTTTGTCGGATGCGGACTTTATTCTAAAGTTAATTACCAATTACCACTATCACGAGTCAGATGAGGGTTTGACTTGTTGCTAAACTTGGGAAAAGTTGTCACGGATATCTCTTTAAGTCCCGAGGTTATGAACACTCAATATTTAATCTACCTCATCTTATGTTTCAATCCACTAGTCAGCTTCTATTGGACATTCCTTGTTCGTAGGATATTTATAAGAATGATCTGGATTACTGTCTGAAAGCTCTTGGAAAAATAGAATTAACACGGCAATTCCATATGCTCTGTCTGATATATTTCCCTTGCTAAGATATTCCAATTTGTATATCTACAACAATCTTCCAAAAACATCAAAAGATAACTCCGCGATGTTAGATTCGAAGATGGGGATTTAACTTCCTTCATGTTGCCTTCTTGTATACCTATAAAATATTTCTTCGATCTATATAAAGACTCGAAAAAACTTGGTCTTAGCATCGGGTCACTCATATATACATGGAATGTTACATTTTTCACAACGAAGCAATACTCGAGAATGTTCAATTCGAAGATATGGACTTGATCAAGCTGAGTATATTTATTATCTATCTTCAATATCTTTTTTTGAAAGCCTCCGAAACCCTATCATCAGTTCTTCAAACCTTTTTATTTCTACTTATATATTCACCAGCATATTCCCTATTTGACATCCCAATAATCATCTCCAAAAGTTTCATACACAATTTAATTCCCGTCTTCGAATTCCCATTATACCATCTACTAGTACAGAATCCATCTATCTCTACCCCATTTATAAAACTTATCAACCTACTACACCATCATCATCCTTCCAGTTTCTGGCTTCTAGTTTCTACCTCCTGCACTCAAAAAACACATAAATCTAAATCCATATCTCGAATCTCACACCCCAACTCACAAATACCATAACACGAACTCGAAAAGCGCCTGAGAGTCTGAGAAAAGATATGTGAGATGTTAGATGTTAGGTGATAAATAATAAATAATAAATAATAAATAATAAATAATAAATAATAAATAATAAATAATAAATAATAAATAATAAATAATAAATAATAAATAATAAATAATAAATAATAAATAATAAATAATAAATAATAAATAATAAATAATAAATAATAAATAATAAATAATAAATAATAAATAATAAATAATAAAACAGTCAAAAATTATATTATATTAATGTATTATATTCGGATTATAGATTTATATTTAAAATTTAATAAAATTATAATTTTATATTATCTTTGAAATTTAATAAAATAATTATATAATAAATATATACTCTTTTTAATTTTTAGATCTTCAATGTATATTAAATGGTGTCCCATTTCAAGGTTTAATATTTTCCCCTTGAATAATAATTGTACTGAATCGAAATTGTAAAGGTATCGAGTTTTGATTGATAAATAATTAACTCAATACAGCTTTACTATCTAACGGGTGAATTTCGGTAATAGCAAAGCTCATGATGACGTTCACAACACTCTAATTCGATAATTTTCCAAAGCTCAAAGCTTCATCTCAACCCATCCATCCACAACCGCACAATCAAAAAAAGACCACATCCCACGAACATAACATCAACACTAATAACCAAGCCATTATACCTAATCCGCCGAAACGCACCACCTACAAAAACAGGAAAATAAAAACTCACCATGTCTCATCTCCGCCATACCTCACTCCTCCGTCCCCGCCCCTCAATCCACGAAATCGCAAATTCGATTCTTTCCCCGCGGTCATCTTTCTCAACACATTGTATAAACACTAGTAAACGATATACATCGCAAAAGAACAAGAATCTACACTCTACAAATCCAAATAAAGCACATCCCTCAACACAATTCCCCCAAATCAACATCTCCCACTCACGCCGCTATTCCGAAAAAGTCCCCTCCTCCCACAAAACACCCATCTCCATCTCCAACACTCCAACACCGCAATCTCCCTACTCTACGCCACACAAATATTCCCACGCCCCTACGACCCATGACCGCGGACCTCCCTCTTCAGAAACAACACAGACGGATTTCAGCATGCTAGATGTCCTAGGTAATACGCCCTCACCGAGCACGAGTATCGACGCGTGTTTAAGCGATGGGTTTCATTTGAATAGCGGGGTGAAAGTTGGTGGGGATGGGAAACTTGTAGAGGGGAGATGGAGGGGTGGGAGTGGTGTTTTGCTTGTAGGGGGTGAGGCGTTTGGGTGGAGACCTTGGGTTTATGAGGAAGGGGAGAGGGAGGGGCAGAAGGAGGAGGAGAGGGAATTGGTTAATACGAAGGGACAATTTGATTGTGTGGATGAGGCCTGGGGGGTTTTGGGGTGTGTTTGGCCTAGACCTGGTGGGTTTATTCCTTTATTCATTTCTTTCTTTTTTTTATTTCCTTATCTTCTCTTCTCTTCCCTTCTCTGGAAAATGAAAACAGTAGTTCCCTCTCAAATCCCTCGAGACAATTACTAACCTACCCATCTCCCTCCAATAGATCTTCTCATCCTCGGCCTAGGCAAAGAAATGCGACCCATTTCCCCTAAAACCCGCGCTTTTATAAATGGATTGGGTATAAGAATTGAAGTGGCCGATACGAGGAACGCGGCTGCACAGTTTAATTTGTTGGCGACGGAGAGAGGGGTGGGAAGTGTTGCTGCGGCTTTAATACCTATTGGACGATAGATGAGTGATGAATGTGGGGGTGGGTTTGTGGAGATGGGAATTTTGGGCTGGGATATTGTGAGGGGAGAGAGGATGGGATAAGGATGGAGTAGGGGTGGAATAGTAGAGAAGGGCTAATTGCTCATAGAAATCTCTACATCACAGGGACTCTCCTAATAGAAACAGAGATCTTTCACAACTTCTCAAAATGTATAATCCTAAAAAAATAGAAAAAAACATGAAATCTAAATCCCCCTCCTCAACCACAAATAGACCCCTCATCTACCTAATACCTAAATCCTCAGCCCTGACCCCTCTAGCCACCCACTCTACCTCCAAACTGACCAATCACCCCCCAACCCTAAAACAAATCCGTCATAGCCCCATGCGAAGCATCCCCCACCAAACGAGCATACTTAGCCAAAACCCCCCTATTAACCGCACTCTTCGGTGCCTTCCACGCCTTGAGTCTTTCTGCGATTTCCTCATCCGATACATCCATACTCAGCGTGTTGGTTTCGGCGGATATAGTTACTATGTCGCCGTTTCTGACGACGGCGATGGGGCCGCCGACTGCGGCCTCTGGGACGACGCTGCGGGGGGGGTTAGTTGAGTTGAAATAGGAGGGGATTTGGGTTGATGGGGCTTGTGGGGTGGTGATGTGGGGATGGCGAGGGGGTGGTGGGATATTGACGTGTTTTACGGGGATGGGGTGGTAGATGGAAGATGGAAGATGGAAGATGATGAGAGGGAGAGGGAATACGTACTGTCCTACGATAAATCCGTGACTAGCGCCTGAATATCGTCCATCGGTTACAAGAGCCACATTCTTGAGACCGGCGCCCATGATTGCTGCGCTGGCTTTTAATTGTTCGGGCATACCACTGTAGGAAGTTAGATTTTTGAAGCTTTGCAAGACAAGATAAGATGTAACTCGTCTAGGATTTTGACATGTTTGGGGTAAACTTACGGGCCTCCTTTAGGTCCCTCATATCTCACGATCAAGACTAGATTGTCTCCGTGTGGAATCTCACCCTTGTTTAATGCATTATCAAGTTCATGTTCCTTGTCGAAAACCATGGCTTTTCCAGTGAACACTAAACCTTCTTTTCCTGTAATCTTCGCCACTGCACCCCCAGGCGAAATATTTCCCCGGAGAATTTGTAAATGTCCGGTTTGTTTGATAGGGTTACTTAAAGGTCTGATGAGAGTCTGTTCTTGTGGTAAAGATGGCCAACTTTCAACGTTTTCCCTCAAGGTCTTTCCTGTAACGGTGGGAATATCACCATTCATTAATCCGGCTGCGATGAGAAGCTTGATGACGGCGGGGGTTCCTCCAATATCGTAGAGATCTTCCATGCAGAATCTTCCTGAAGGTTGTAGATCTGCTAAAAATGGAATTTTATCGCTTACTCGCTGGATATCGTCGATGGTAAGGGGTACTTCGGCTGTACCGGCCATGGCGAGGAAATGGAGTGTAGCGTTGGTACTTCCACCAAGTGCCATGGTGATTACCAAAGCATTCTCAAATGATTCCTTTGTTAGCAAGTCTCGTGGTCGAATATTCTTCTCCATGCAGATTTTGATTGTTTCTGCTGCTTTTACACATTCCCTCATCTTAGCTGGTGAATCGGCTGGATTGGATGATGATCCTGGAAGACATAATCCCATAGATTCGATTGCGGTAGACATTGTATTTGCTGTGTACATTCCACCGCAAGCACCGGCACCGGGGCAAGCGTTTTGTTCGTAATCTTCCTATAGCTTTATTAATAATAGATCAAACCTTCTAATTCGTCGTGATCTTACCATGACATCACTTGGTGTTGCACCTTCAACTGCAGCGTGAAGTTTGTTGTACGTAAATGCACCACTGAATACCAACACCATGTTAAAATTCTATTAAAGCATACGAATAGATAAATATCTGCTTACCTTGCTTCGTAGCAGCTGCTGATATTAATTTCCTTTTTCATCAATTTGGAATAACCCTTTTTGATTGAACCTAAAGAGGATTAGACTTCCGAAAGGTCTAGTAACTTATAAACTGACCTCCATAAATCATGAGAAATGGTCTATTGTGACGTGCTGCAGCCATGATAACCTATTGAACTGTCAAAAAAAAAAGCATCATATATAACGGAAATGGACATGGAACGTATGTCTACCACACGTTAAGCATCAATCTTACTTACACCTGGCATATTTTTATCACAACCTGGAATTGAGATATTTGCATCATGATGTTGAGCACATGTAACAGTCTCAATAGAATCCGCTATAATCTCTCGAGTTTGTAAAGAAAATCTCATGCCTATACTTGTTAATAATAATCCCATTTGAAGATAGGAACGTGTTACAGACCTTCTCCACCCATAGTAATTGCATCACTAACTCCTACGGTATTAAATTGCCATCCAAGCATACCCTGTTTTTGCACAGATTCCTTGACAAGCTTTCCGAGGTCGTGTACTACATACATTGGTTAAATGGTAGGACCAAAAAGATCTCCTTATCTTGTGTTACTTACGATGCATGCTACATTCCTATGTCAGATCATTTCATTATCGTCTTCGTGGTAGATAGTAGATAGAGAACATACTTGCATGGATTTCCTTCCCACCATACAGAGGATATACCAACGTGAGGTGCGGACTTCATCATTTCTCGATTTGGTACTCCTGCTGCGTAGAGCATGGCCTAGTAACAAACTCGGTATGTGTAATCTTCCATTGATGTTTATACACTCTTACCTGGGCTCCTGGAAAATCATGTCCTTTTGTGATTGTATGAGACCATCGATTCAAGGCCAACTTTCCATCCATAACCGTGCCATATTCTAAACAAGGGAAGTCAATATACCTTGGCTTGTCTGGTACATGATGACCATTTGTTGGCTCCATGGTGAACGAAAGAATAATTTGTGATATTCTTTGAGAAATGTATTGATTGTTGAAAGCAAGAGAAGTACTAATGTTGCAATTGTCACATCAACAAACAAGTATCTAGAAAGAAAAGAGAACAATGAATGAACCAAGTAAAGGTTTTGAGGAATGAAGTTATTATAGGTAGGAAGAATACAAGCAGAAAGTATTGCGGAGTAACTTTTTGAATTGTGGGGACATATGAGAAGACCTGATTCTTTGATTCATCAAGTTCGACTACTAATTCCCGCAGTCACAGGTTGCTTGCAGGACTTGAAAGCATGTACGATGCAAGAATCCAGCAATTCTTGCATTTTTGCATTTCCTGCATTCTTGCCCTAGCGTGGCGGACGAATCGAATGGATGGTTGAGCCAGTAACATGACAATTCATTGATAATCAAATCAACGAGAGCTTCTCGTCATAACAACTTGCCAACTGTACCCCGCGGTGGATTCACCATACTAAGATAATTATGGATAGAACAAGTCCGGGATCGGGCATTTCAAGCACGGAACGAAGGGACGGACGGATAGGAAGTGGGATGAGGTAGCATGATGCCAAGTGAGTAATGCCCATGTACAAATACTTTGACCCATTTTACTGTGTTTGAAGGGAGAACGATTAGTAAAATATGAAGTCATGATAAGAGAGTCAAGAAGACAATGCGAGTCCGTAGCTGTGTTTATGTGAAGCTTGTAAACATTTTGAGGGGTTCAACAAATAATGCTTGTCCTCCCCACCATGGTGACCTTATATGCCTCTATATTGAACCGAAATACCGATTTTGGGGTTCCAATGTTTGGGCGAGAGGTTGCTTCCCGTTCGCTACTGTGCTTTGTTTTCGAAGTCTTTCTAATTGGTGAGGTATCATCATCTTATTGTTATTGACTCTTTGCATGGCAGGTCGAGCGGGTACTGCATGATAACCGTTAACTGGTGCTAGGCAATTTGTTGTGCATTATCCTATTTTAAACACAACGCTTGCATGAATAGTTGGCTATTGCGTAGCTATTGGACAATAGGGGACGCGAGGTATAGGTATGATATTCTCAGGTCGGTTTGGATGCAGATCCATACACATGAAGAGGACTGGGTATATGGATATGAAAAGATGGAGATCGATTTCTTGTGAGACTGCACCAAGAACATAATGGCATCAACATATCAACATATCAAAATATCAAAATATCAAAATATCAAAATATCAAAATATCAAAATATCAGCCTTACGAGCACTCACCGCTATCCATCCTCGTCTTGATATCACCTTCCACAAAAGCAATATATATATGCACACAATCTATGAGGCCGAATCGGGATGATTTGCATTTGATATAGCATTTAAAGATAACATAGAGGCCAGCCAATTGGGAATGATAATGAGTTTTGGACTTGCCGAAGGCCATTACTTCCATCATCACTTCTCTATCTAGCTAGCACCTTTGAAGCTGCTCGCAGTGTGCTTAGAATTGATACAAGGTTATATAATTAAGAGTAAAGAGATGCCACAGACGGAAAAGACATTACACGAAGTCAGGCTCGGTGGGATGATTATGTTGATATTCCATGCCACTTCCCCTTCCAATAAGACCATGTACTCTCTTCGTAGCCTCATTTTCCACTAATACTACTCACAAATGCATGAAGTGGTCACAGTAAAATAGATAGATCAATCAATCAATGGCCAAGGTTAGGAGTAAAGCACCCCCAAGCCCGACATTCTAGTGTGAGGTTTTAGTGTAAGGTAACCTTAAGGTCTGTGCACACCAACACCCCAACACCCCAACACCCCAGAACCCCAGAACCCCAGAACCCCAGAACCCCTTCGAGTTCAAATCTTATACAACCTTCAAATATTACAACCCATCATCAAATCTGAACCACCACGGTGCTCGCTCTACATATGCATAACACATCCTTGATCGTGTATCATCCTATCGCGGGGCAATTTATATCGGAATCAAAAAACAATTGAATATCCTTTCCACTCCCAAGTCTTGCGGCTGAAAGCCTACCCAGGGCCAAAAATAAGCAAGCAATGAAATGCTCAATGAGAGTCTTGTGCGACCTTATCGGCTGCAGACTTATGCATGTCTTTTCTTCCGAACAAATGGTTCGATAGGAGCCTTTCTTAGGTGGAGGCGACAGTAAGAGTTCTTTCGGGGACAGTGTCTGCCTACTCTTTGTGGTAAGCTTCTTGAAAATGAGACAGCAAGGCTGCAAAGTTATAGTGATTCACATCATTCAAAGCCCATTGTCAAAAGGGATTTGATTGTTTCTGACGATTATTGATTTATCTACTTCCTTTCCTATCTACCTTCACAGACAGGCTTCAGTCATAGCATCATGTCTTTTTCAGCTTCTTCAAGCGATTCCGATAATAGTAGAAGACGGCGCCGACCAGGACCACCTCCTCCTCCACCACCTTTCCAGGGGAACAAGAACAATTCAAAGAAGAAAAAGAAATATGTAGCCCCTCAAGATACTATCGATAAACTTTGGTCTCGATTCTCTGTGTCGAAATTTAGTAAAGCTACAAAAGTTTTACCAAATCCAGCACCTTTTTCAAGAGGCACATCTGCGAAGACTGTTATTGTTCCTCCACCAGGTCCGCAGAATCAACTTGTTTCCGAAGACTTCGAACGAGCTGTTCAAGAATGTAGGGCAAAGGTTAGGAAACTCGTCAAGGAATGTAGGAGAGTTAATATGCGATATCGTGACCCAAGCTTCGATATTGATTGGGATTTGAAATGGGAAAAGGGAAATTGTTTGAATACCCTTGCGGAAACCAGATTTGAAGTTTGCAAACATGCTCTTTCAAATCCTTCGTCTTCCGGGCCTAGGGCTGTGAAAAGAGTCCACGAAATATTTGATAAGCCTACATTTTTGGAGGACAAAATTTCCCCTTCGGATGTTAGACAAGGAAATCTTGGTGATTGTTGGTTGATGGCAAGTTTAACAGCATTAGCAAATACCAAGGATGGGATCCGAAGAATATGTGTAGAATGGGACACTAGTCGGTACCAAAACTCTAATTCTTGTGATGGGATCTAACAATGTATAGAAATCGGAATATATGGTTTTGTGTTTCATCGTGGTAAGTTGTCATGTCAGTCATCAAGCAATCATTCGCTGATTCAAAGTAGATGGTGAATGGATCATATCAATTATCGATGATAAGCTTTACCTTAAATCACCAGATTGGGATTCACCCTCAGTTCATAGACATCTTCTCGAACAAACGGATCGCGAGGATGTTGAAAAAGAATATCGAAAAACATATCAAACAGGATCTCAATCATTATTCTTCGCCCATTGTAAGGATCCAAATCAAACATGGCTTCCACTTCTCGAAAAAGCATATGCTAAAGCACATGGGGATTATCATTCTTTGAGTGGAGGATGGATAGGGTAAGTCTACCCTCTTCATCTTATGTATCAACTAACATTTGAAAGGGAGGGTGTTGAGGATATAACTGGAGGTGTAACTACGGAACTTCTCACTTCGGATATTCTTGATACTGATGAGTTTTGGCATAATGAAATTCTTAATGTCAACAAAGAATTTCTATTTGGTTGTTCTACAGGTCTTCTCGATTATGGTTATGGTAGCAGAGATGGGATATCTGAAGGTCATGCATATGTCATTATGGAGGCTAGAGAGTTATCTACAGGAGAGCGTCTTCTGAAATTACGGTTGGTTTCTTTACATAACCTCGAAAGGCATCACTGACAACATGTAAAGGAATCCTTGGGGAAAAATAAAGAAAGGTAATTGGGAAGGTCCATGGTCAGATGGAAGTAAGGAATTCACTCCTGAAGCTCAGATAGAGCTTAATCATAAATTTGGAAATGATAGTGTATTCTGGATTTCGTATCAGGATTTATTACGAAAATATCAACACTTCGATCGGACACGATTATTCATGGATAGTCCTGACTGGCGATTGACTCAGGAGTGGATCAGCGTAGAAGTTCCTTGGAGATCCGAATTCGAACAAAAGTTCATGATAGTACTCAAAAAGGAATCCCCGATAGTACTAGTTATGAGTCAACTCGATGATAGGTACTTTATAGGTCTACGTGGTCAATACACCTTCAGGTTACAGTTTCGTCTCCATGACATCAATTCTCCTGATGAAGAAGATTATATTGTACGAAGCCATGGGAATTATCTTATGAACAGAAGTGTGGTTACTGAATTGAAAAGTCTTCCCGCTGGAACTTATACAGTATTCATGATGGTTATAGCAGAAAGGGATAAAAGTCGTCCGAGTGTTGAAGATGTCGTGAGAGAAGAATTACGTCGGAGGGAAGATAATGAAAAATTGGCTCAAGTCGGGACTGCTTATGATTTAGCTCATCGCAAAGGATTAGCTCATATGGAAGCAAAAAGTAAACTCAAAAGAGCTCGAGATAAGGCCAAAGCTAAAGAGTCAAGGATTACTCAAAGGAAAGTTCTCTGGGAGAAAAGACACAACACTCGAGAGATAGTAAGAAAACAAGAGAAAAAGAACAGAGAGAAGCGTGAAAGTAAGGAAGTAAAGGATGCTGAAGAGGTAAAGAAGAAAAGCGAACGAGAACCAAAGGATCAAGCTGTTCAAACGGAGGATATTCCAGAGGTTCAAGTCGAGAAACATGATAAGTCAATACAAACTGAAGATCACCTGGAGGAATCAACGAAAAATGTAATGGACACGGAAATCACAAACGAAAGGGACAAAGCAGTACAAACCGAAGATTTAACACCATCTAGTAACGAATCTCAAGCAACTCCTATAACTCCAAAAAGTAATGGTTCATCTCCTCAATCACCATATACAATGAATCCAGGACAGGGATCTCATCACCATGGATCACCACCTCCACCCCCAGGTCCTAATAGCCACCGCAGAAATTCCAATAATCCACCAAACCATAATCGAGGACCTCCACCTCCACCTCCACCAAGACCAGGACCATATATCACATCAGAAGGCGAGTCAAGCGCAAGTCCTATTTCCGATTACGATATGTACAGCGATGATGATCCAACGCTCAAACCACGAAATCCACCAAATGAACCGAAAATATCGAAGGAAAAAGATGATGATGAGGATGATGAGGCGGAACCCTGGAATGCGGTTTGTATTGTTGGGTTTAGGGTTTATAGTAAGGATGAAGGGTTGGTTTTGAAGGTTTGTGAGGAGGGTGTGGAAGGTGTGGGGGATGTTGGTCGGTTGAAGGAGGAGAATGAGAATGAGAATGAGATGGCGATTGATGGTGATGTGGAAGATGTTGGGGAGGATGATAATGCTGAGGGGAAGGAAAAGGATGAGGAAGATGAGAAAAAGGATAAGGATTTTAAAGATGAGAAAGCGAAAGATACTAGTGTAAATGACTTAGTATCAGCTGTTACGGCGAAAGTTGATCCCGATCCTGGGGAAGATCTGAAGGTTGTTAGTTCTTCAGATTCATCTGAGACTATTACTGGGATATCTTAAGATAAATAAATAGAAACATAAATATATTAATATTGATTATATAATAAAATCTTTAAAAAGAATAAATATAAATCTATTTAATTATTGTCGCCTTGTCGACATCAAAACCTTGTTATATATATAGTGTACTGTAATTTACCCGATGTAGATTATAGAAAATAAGAAATTCACTTAAGTGAATCGCGATCTTGATAATCTGATTGGTCTAAAATACCCCGGTAAATAATATAACAAAAAGCTAAACTTGGCATAAGCCTTATAACCTTAGACAAATCTGATTTAAGACTTTTTTCAACTCTATTGAAATCATTCAACTTTATTAAAATCATTCAACTCTACCAGGGCCTGTGCCCCGGACCCCTATTTTCGAGAAAGTTTAATGAAAATTTAAATATTAAATATATATCAAGGTATAAATAAAATATTGATTTGTTTTTGATAATTGAAAATTAAATTTTTTTATTTAAAAGTAATAATTATAATATTTATAATAATAATAATTATTATTATTATTATTATTATTATTATTATTATTATTATTATTATTATTATTATTATTATTATTATTATTATTATTATTATTATTATTATTATTATTATTATTATTATTATTATTATTATTATTATTATTATTATTATTTTGAGTTAAATAAAATAAATTAAATAAGATAAATTGAATGATTTTAATAGAATTGAAAAAAGTTTCAAGTCAGATTTGTCTGAGGTTATAAGGTTTATGTCAAGCTTTTTGTTAGATTATTTATCGGGGTATTTTAGACCAATTAGATTGTCGGGATCGCGATTCACTTAAGCGAGTTTCTCATTTTCTATCACCTACACTAGGTAAACCTCGCGTATAGCAAGGTTTGGTGTCGGCAAGCCGACAACAATCTAAGAACAAATGGAATTTTCTTTCACCTATCATTTTTCAAATCCGGATGAAGTACTTTAGTATCCAGGTTGGGCCTGGTATTCATATTTGATGGTAAGTTCTTTCTAATTGTCATAATTACTTGTTCTACTCTGATACGCAGATAGTGTATGTAATCTTAATTTACTATCAGCTGCGAAGCGTTTCTTAACCCGCGTGCGCAGTAACCATCATTCCAGCATCAATCAACAAGCCAGTCCCATTGACATAGGTAGCCGAAGGGCTGCAAAGGAAGACGGCAACATTAGCTACTTCTTCTGGCGTAGCGGCTCTCTTTGCTGGCGAGACAGCCTGGATAACTTTTTCAAGTCCCGCCCAACGACCCAAACTTCGTTCCAACATGGGAGTCTTTACCCATGAGGGGCAAAGTGCGTTTACACGGATTTCGTGCTTTGCGTTGTCCAGCGCTGTCGAAGATATCAGTCACTATATATACTCAAGAAGCTCAATATGAGAACTCACCAGCCACTTTAGTAATACCCATCACTGCGTGTTTCGACGCGACATAAGCCATCATTCCTGGGCCTGCAGCATATGACAATCCAGAGCCAAGGTTCACGATGCATCCGCGACCCAACGAGCGCTCATCGCCATGGCGACCCTTGACCTTTCTTGGTTCCTGTGCGATCATAGCTTTCGTCACAGCTTTAAGACATAACATTGTTCCACGAGCATTCACAGCAAGTGTTTTGTCGAAGTTATCAATATCGATATCGGACGTTGGTGCGAGAGATGTCGCTCCAACCTTCAAGATGCAAATATGGGTCAGTATACTCAGGAGAAGAAAGTTTTCGATGCACTTACTCCAGCACTATTGACGAAGTAATCAATTCGACCAAACTCCTTGATGGTGAAATCGACCATCGCTTGAACACTCTCTGGCTCGGTGGTGTTCACTCCTACGGCCAAGGCTCGGTATTGAGGGTTGGTAGCGAATTCTTTACTCTTCTCTGCACTCGCTTTGGCCCCTTCAAGGTTGAGGTCGGCAAATATAACGCCTAATGCACCTGCTTGGGCGAATGCAAAGCCAGTCTCTTCGCCGATGCCTGCTGCTCCCTATAAGTAAGTGTGTCAGTAATCAATCAGTTGTTACAGATTTGACAGATCCTACCCCTGTAACCAGAGCTACACCGTTGACTGTTACGTTTGCCATGATACGGACAGGTTCAAGCAACTTAGTTGTGGAAATGATTTGTGGTTTTCGATGAACTTCTTGTTGGTGGGTTGCAGAAGTGTTGAGGGAACTTAACAAACTATTTTCAGCAAAAAGTACCTACTAAAAAGAAATCAAACGGTTGGTGGCGTATGTTCTAAGACGTATTTCTGCAGCCTTGAGGCGGGAGCTGCTGCAGCTTACAGTACGAATCACATATTGTATGCAGCAGAGGAATATCCCTGAAGTTCGAATTAATACTGACATGCATGTGGAGGTAGAGTCTGGGCAGGGGCCAGTTTCGAAGTGGCATGTTCCTTTTTCTTTCATAGCTGGATAAATTTATTGTTTTTTGTAGATATTACGCAACCCTCCCAAGCTAATTTTGACATTAATCCCTTAAGGTATATTGCTATGCGTAAAAGCACAACTACCTTGTGGAGAAATTTCAAAGCGGAAAATGTCCCCTTCCGAGTATCCCGAGATATATTAAAGGGCAAGGTGCTACATGCTGCACTGCCCATTACCATCTACATTTCTATGTGTCTCTGAGGCGCAAATAACCAAAAGTCGCACGATGCATTTCTTATGCCTTCACGGAATGGGAACAAATAGCGATGTATGTGCTTCTTCCGCCCCCCTAATCTACTCGACAGCCAATCAAATAAATTGCCGAGTTGCGAAGTTTAGGCAACAAGCTGACAAGTAGTATCATTTATAGACTTGCGCTTCAAATCGGTATGCAGTTACCATCTATAGCAACTCTCCCGTCAGTTTCACATCTTAATGTCACTGTTAGCAACGATACGTTATGAACTGGACGATCACCATACATATGATTTTGTTGAGGGAGCAATCCCACACCCCATAGCTCCAGGTATGAATTCAACACCAAAAAATCTGTGATTATGGGGTGCTAACCGACCGTAGGACTTTCCGATCTTGTACCATTAGGGACGGAAACTTATGCCTATGCCGATGCGACCTCCGCTACAAGTTGTGCCAAAGCATTTACAGATGTTGAAGCTTATGTCACAGAGTGTGGCCCGTTTGATGGGGTTATCGTATTTTCAAATGGAGCGTCGCTGGCTGCTACCCTTATTATCCACAAACGACAGTGACAAGCCCAGAAAGACGAAGGCTCCGTCTTCAAATGTGCAATCTTTTTCTCAGGAGGGATACCAGGGGATCCCCAGGAGCTTTTAACACAACAGAAGATTCGTCTCTTGAACTCTGTGACTGATAGGGAGGTTATTAAAATTCCAACTGCGCACATTTGGGGCTCAAATGACACATTATACCCCGAATTTGAAGTTGTTCTGAGGTCGCTGTGCAAAAAGGATCTCAGAGAAGAATATGTGCATGAAGGAGTTCATGAGATTCCTAGACCAGGGGACAAGGTTGCTGTCGCAAACGCCGTGAGAATAATCAGGAGGACTATAGACAGAGCACTTACTCTACAATAAAACGTGAATTTCATTTCGAGAAACACAGAGGGCTAGTACGTTTGACTCCAATACAGATGCAAAACTCTTCCGTTGCTGTAGATTTTAAAACGGCGATACAAATTGGTCCTGTCTAACTATGCTATACGTACTTCCCGAATGGCCACTGCGTTCAAGAACAATTCAGCCATATTTTTTTGAAGGAGAACTGTTTCCCATTACGATATTACCAATTTCAAACGACAATCTGCTTCTTTTGCCACATGAGCAAGGATGATGGAATCTGAGCTGCTGCAAAAGCAATCAAGACTCGAAACTGCAGATTGTAGCCCCCTGCAAATATCTTTCTGATTTCTGCTTGAAGTGCAGGCGTTAAAGATTGAATTGCCTCCGAGGATTGCAGAATTACTTCCCTTTGCTCCAAAGTCAAGAAAGTATCAGGTCGGGAAATGACGAATCCTTTGTATGTTGCAGTGACTATCGCCAGGCCAAGGGCTCCGCCCATAATTCGAAAGTGAGTAACAGAACCCAGTGCAACAGCTTCGAATATTTGCGTTAGTTGATATAATTTGTGAAAATTAGGTTATCTTACTGACCTTGATCCCTCGAATTGGGGACTGAATATGGTGTCATAAGAATGAGAGTTGAAATGTTGATTCTAACTCCAAAGCCAGCAATCACTTGGTATCCGTACTGAGCCGAGGAAGTTTTAGTGGATGTTGAAAGTGTCGAGAGAAGAGTAAATCCAATCACTTGTAACGCTGATGCGGTGATTACCAGATAAATCGGTGGGATTTTCGCTTTTCCCGCTAATACCGCAGAAACTATCGAGCCAACTGGAGCGAAAACAGTGAAAGGAATCAAACGTACCCCCGCAGTCAGGGCGGATACATTATCAACCACTTGAAAACGCTGAGGAAGTTGGAATATGGTAACAAACCATGGCGCGCCGAGGAATAATGCGTTTCTAGTTATCAAAAAAGACCAAATATTAACATTCACTATTGACGATGAATGGAAACATAGTTACAAAGCGGTTGACTCACAATATCATTCCCATCCAAATTCGACTGTTCATCAGCGTCCAAGGGAATACCGGCTCTATGTGGCTCGACCCCAGCGTTACAGCCCGTTCATAAAAAATGAATATAACCCACATGATGCCGGAAATGCTCAATAGAGTTATAACAAAAGCGGAATTCCAAGCGTATTTTTGCCCAGCCTCTTGTACAGCAGCAACCAAGAACGTAGTTGCAATGATGAGAATCATTGCACCAGGCAAATCAACTCGCTTGAAAGCCTTTTTTGACAAGATAGTTTCCGTACGTTGAGTTTCGACTGGTTGTCCCTGATGTGGAAAATTTGCTTTCAGTGTGGGAGGCAAGGATATCGTACCGGTATGTACTTGGATTTGGCTTTCCTGCGATCTCTACTGACTTTCCCACCAGACAATCTATCAGTACAAGTCGAAATGGAGCTTTTATTCGTCGATGAAATACGTAATTTTGGGTGGTCTAGGTGGATTAGGTCGAAGTGCAGCTCTTTAGATGGCAAGCAAAGGGGCAAAGCATCTCATTTTACTTTCTCGATCAGGGCCCTTAAAACCAGCTGCTCAGAGATTACTTGAGCGCCTTCACAGTATGGAGGTTGTAGTTGAGGCACCTGCTTGCGATGTCTCATCACCTGAGCAACTCGAATACGTTCTTTCAGAATGTCTAACAAGGTTACCACCAATAAAAGGTTGTATACAAGGAACAATGGTGCTACAGGCAAGTCTAAGCTCTTTGCCAAGTCAAAGTGAAGTCATGTACTGACTTTCTATAGGACGCTCTTTTCGAGAAAATGACCTTTCAAGAATGGTCCACAACAATATCATCCAAAGTTCCTAGTACTTTGAATCTGCATAATCTTTTACCAAAGAACTTGGACTTCTTTATTCTCCTGTCTTCCATCGCGGGTATAGGCGGATCCATAGGCCAAGCAAACTATGCCGCAGGAAACACCTTTCAAGATGCCCTTTGTCTGCACAGGCTGGCCACTGGCCAGAGAGCAACATGTATTCGTTTGGGAATCATGGCCGATATAGGGATTGTGAGCGAAAGTGACAAGTACTTCAAAAATCGAGAGCGCATGGTTGACATGGCTTCCATAAAGGAGACTGAATTTTTGGCATTGCTTGATCATTACTGCGATCCAAAATCGACCAACCTTTCTCCTGAGGAAAACCTACCAATCATTGGTCTAGTAACACCTGCACATTTCGAGTCTCAAGGTGTCGAAGTACCACATTGGATCCAGGGCCCGGTCTTTGCTCCACTTGCCCAAATCGGTTTGAGCCCCGCTTCGATAACTGAGCACAAATCCGGAAGTACAGACTTTGCTGCTGAGCTCAGGGGCACGAGTACATTTGTCGATGCTCAGGAGGTTGTATTGAAGGCGCTGGTGAGCAAACTTGCACGAGCTCTTGGAATCTCATCAATCGATGTTGATACCAGCAAGCCTTTACACGCATATGGTGTCGATTCTTTGCTTGCTGTGGAACTGCGCAACTGGTTTCGAAAAGAACTTGGTGCGAATATAGCTGTGTTTGATATCATGGGCGCGGAGAGCATTACGGTTATGAGTGCGACTATCACGACGAACAGCTCCCTCGTGGTTTGCAAAGACGAAGCGTAAAATGTTTCTACATGTTAATTTGAATCCAGTCTTATTATCACTTTCAGTGTCGTCGTTTCCAGAGATACTTATATACTAGCACGCCATAGTGAGACTGGGAGCCACACACCACCAACAGAACTGGAAGCAATTGATTTTAGTTCTTGATTTTTCTGGCTGATCTTTAGAAAGAATAAATGAATTAGTTGATTAATTAATGCCACTGAAAGCCCTGTAATCCCTGCGTTACACAGGGCAACCAAGCTTAGGCTTCCCTAATCAGACTGAACGCTTCTCTAGATCTCATTTATTATCTACATTAAATCAATCAATAACAAAATTAAAATTTTCAACCTTTTTTTTAAATATTGTTTTCGTTCCTTGGTATCCCCAGAAAAAAAGAATAAAATTATTATAAATAAACGAAACTTGAGGAAAATAATGTATATTTCAAACTCATCGTAGTAAAAACCGAGCATCTGTAATCTATCTACAGAGTAAACAAAAAGGGGTATAAAACCATCTACGCCTGAACCAACTCAACCCAACCCAGTCCATCCCATTCCACCTCATCTCATCCCAAACACCTCCTCTCAAAACCCGCCAACTCACACCCGTCCCATAACAGCATTAGTAGCCAAAACCTCAATCCTCCTAGCATAAAGCCTCATCATATGACTAACGGGATCACCCCACACAACCCCCCTCAACAATTCATCCGAGATAATCTGCGCAATAACCCCATCATCCAATCTATCCTGAATCTTCTTACTTCCCTCCGGATTACCATCTCGATCTACACCTCGTAGAAGAATGATACTTCCCGCATTACTCAAAGTAGCTTCTGGAACATGCCAAATTGGTCCTATTAGAGAAATATTCGGATCGGTCTTTGAATGCTTCTTCTTCTTCTTATTCTTCGGGGTAAAAAATGCATTTGTGGATTTTGTGCTCTTAATTCCTAATTTTGAAGGTGGTAAGACTGATTTTCCTGGTGCGGGCGTAGAATATAAATCAAGGAGAGATTTAACGTAAGCGAAATCTGCTCTGGCGACAAGATCACCCTCGTTGACGAAAGACATGAAGATAGATTTGGAAGCAGTCTTAGGTTTTTGTAATGGTAAAAGTGATATTGGTGGAGCTCCAAATGTGACACAATGAATTCGTTTGAAATATCCTGCGAGGACATTGAGCTCTGATTTGGCTTCGCGACTTGTGGAAAGCATGTGTGAGTATAATAGAGCAGCGATAGCTCCACCAGCAGAATGCCCGGTAATAAGTAAAGAACATTGTGTACGTTTGGGATTTTCTTGAAGAAGATTTCGAAGTCGAGCTGCGATTGGTTTAATCCAGTCTTTTGCAGCACCCAAAAATCCAGAATGACATAAATTTCCTGGGTCGTCCTGAAAATTGATTAGTCACTGAGCAGATACATGATAAATGAATGATCTCACCAAGAAGCCTTGTGGTGAAGCGGGTTTCGTCTTAACATTTACAGCCCAATCCGTAAATGAATGTGTTGTTCCTCGAATTGCAAACACAATTACATCCTTATCATCAATTGGCACACTTTTCATAACGGTTCCTGCCCTTCCTCCTGCATTAACTCTCGTTTCTTTTTCTTGTCCAGTTGGTTTTGAATAGACTTGTTCAGAATATTGAGCTGCAAGGCATATGAGAGGGTATGTATTAAAGTACCTTATATATATTAGCTCAAACTCTAAACTATAAAGCTTGGAGAACATACAATCTCATAGGCTTGAGATCCATTGGTAACCTTGAATTTGCATAATCATGAACCTTTGAGAAGTAATTTGTGTATGTCGTTTCAGCTGACTTTCCATCCTTCACATTGACTTTTGACTTTTTACTCCGTAGCATTAAATCTCGATTTGTCGTCTCCAATGACTTCTCCTCTTGCAAGGCCGGATCGTAATGCTGAGGTACGGTAAGTTCTCTATCATCCCCACTGAATCTTTCCTCATCAATTGATGTGACAACCGAGCATAACTTCAAAGATAAAGTATCGTAAAGAGCTGACGTTTGATGATAATGATGCATGGTTTGTTGTGACATAATTGCGACTCCATTATTAATGGCAGTCATGCATGGTAGATCATTCCTTGATGTCTCTGTCAGTAAATTCGTAACCGATCGAAAATTCATCATCGCAACACCATTTCGTTGTGCTCTTGGTGGTAATGGAGGCGGCGCCACTGTAGTATGTGGCTGATATCTCGGTGGTGCTGGTTCTATTTGAGCAACTATCCAACCTTGTGGTGTTGGTTGACCTTGATTGTATCCATTTGATATACGAGGACGTTCTTCAACATAATACAAATTTGGCCTTGTCGTAGAATTTGGCTGTCTTGGTAATTCAATGGAGGATTCATATCCATATTGAGGTGGAGATGGCCGTGATTTCTTCTTGTTTGATCTACCAAAGAGACCCATAATGGATGCTTAGTCCTTACAGTGTGTGTTATGATCCTCGCGTTTCTTGATGTCAACTTGCTCACTTCCGAGGTACCTAGTATATTCGGTCTATGGTGGCACAACAGAGCTGTAAATGTTGAAAAAGTAATTGACCTCTGAAAATGATCTATATCCTTTCCTGACCAAACTCAATGGTATGAAAAGAGCGAACTGGGTTGTTAAGTAGGTGTTCATGTACGTCTTAGTTTTGAGGTGGAGAACCGTTCATGTATGAATGAAGTTGAAGGTTAAAAGCCTCTCCTGGGTAAGTAGGTACTCGTAAGGAGTCATATTAAACAACGGAGTATGATTCGTCAGATACTCCGCCCCGATTCTATTTTGAGGTAAACCACTCAATAAGCTTGCTTCAACTTCTTTTCTATCTGCATCAAGCAAAACCTTGCAGAAAACTGATGCAACCCATATCTAGCTACCTACCTAGTTGGGTACTGGTGTAGTTTGAACCGTCGAATCGTATAAGGCATATCATTGCAGCCAGCCTCCAATCGTCATGCTCGAGGAGAGGATCATAATGATATTCGTTTGTCCGAAAATAAGCTTTTCCAAGGCAATACCTACCTAGGTATTGCTCGATCATAAGTTAGCCTCGAAAAGGAAAACCTCACTGCGCCAAGGTAAAGAACGTGGCGCTACGATATCAGATGGGAGGAGGTATCAGGGCGTTAATGTAATAAGGTAGTAATGCATGAACAAATTATCGACTTCACATGTTTGGTGTTTGATGTTTGGCATTAGCTTCTAAAAGGTCAAGGGTACTGTGCCGGTAGGTGAAGCTTACGGGATATGCAAAGGTCCGTACCGAATTTGAGTCTCACAGCCTCAATTGGACTGGACCATGTATGTATTCTACGAAACCCCTCATAGGAATGTCTCAACACGATGAACCATTCTATTTCTTTATCGTTATCGCGCGAGTGAGTGAACCACTCCTCAGGAAGAATTGTCATCGGCCTTTTCACCGCCTTTGTCAGCAGAAGATATAAGGTTAAGGCTCGAGAAAATCCTCAAACCCGCGTTCCAAGTCAAATCGGCTTACCTACACAACTCTTCCCCAGCTGGATTATTCATGTATCGCTAGGTAATACATTTTCTGCATTAACGGTAGGGCGTCTTCCCCGGGATACACATGATTGATCCCCTAGCCTTGTGATGGTATACAAGATTTTGTTATTTTCATCGCGAGTCCAATAGATAATGCAATCATTCGTCGGTGTCTAAGTTTGGTATCCGTATTTGTGCAGCCCTACCACTGAATTGACTTAGCGTCATGAAGGACACTCAAGAGCTAGTATCTACTCGAGGCTGCCTGAAGAAGAGGTATTCATCAAATGTGTAGTTCACGGGTTCATTGGTACAATGCGTTGGCCATGCATTGTGTGACCGTGACGAAAATCCTCGCATGTTGGCCATGTTTTCCTCGGTTTAAATCACTACGGGGTAGAAGTCAACATGGATATTCGAGGGAGGTCGCGGGATATTATCAAATTGTTTCCTCGCTCAGTGGTAAATGTTCCGACAGAGTCTACTAGAAAATCATCATACAACTCCGAAAGCATCCCGTCTCCGGGTGATACTGGTCATCAGCCGTATTACGATGACGCCCCGAGAATATACATATCATGTATCCAGATATTCTCATCACGAATTCGTTTGTATTCTAAGTATTTTCTAGGTCTTATCTTATAGCCCCACTGAACACATAAGTATGACTACTTCAGAGTAAACGCCAAGTATTAAATGCATCACGTTATCTTTATTTTTTCAAATCAGTCATACACGCCAATACATTATGTAATGGCTAGTTGCCCTTAGATTCAAATATATCTCCGATTATTTTCCAATGTTCACGAAATCTTTGTTTGCAAGTTGCTAAAATCCGTTGCTAAGCTCTGAACAGCCGCCCCGTCCATTCAAGCTTTGATATCTCTCGGCTAGGCTTGACAAGAGATTGGGCCGACTACCACGATATGCCTACATATTCTTATGTTTCTCAGCCAGTGCTGAATAGAATGTTTGTCTCTGAACACCACATTTGCCAAAGGTATTCGCAGTGTTGTTAGAGGAGCGCCTTATGTCTTAAAGGAACCCCATTGATGTTTCCGAAAGTGAAACTCGGACTCGCATAGCATATATAAAATCCACAGCCGTCAAACGTCAGACACAAAATATTGAGACAATCGACGTGAGGCAGAACGATGAGTATGACGCGGACATGCAGAGTCATGCTTGGGCCACTGTATCACAACATCTTGGCATCAAGAAATCGAAGCCTTCTCAAAGCCCTTATTTCAGTGACGTACTCCCGTGATACTTACTCACTAAAGGCTTGGAATTAGAGGCAACTGATCTTTCAATATTGTGCGGCTCTTCTTTTATTGCTGGTGGATCAGACATGGAATATAACGCCTCGACCACAAGGTTGGCATTTCACTTCTGCGACATGGTTTGGTATCATAACACTCAGTCAGTGAATATTTCCGAAACCTTCGATTAGGCGACCAAATACTTTCAAAAAGCACGAGGAGAGGAGTAGGAGTAATACAACGTACGAAACCAAGACGATGGTCCGCACGAATTCGCAAGTGAATCGAAGAATACCAAGACATTAATGACCGTATAGTCTACTACGTCTCGGTCAAGTGATATTCTAACAAATAGAAGCCTCACTTGAGAGAACCAGCCTCAATGGAGAGAAATTTCCTTCGTCATATGACTATATATCTCACGTGCTAGTCGCAGCCTGGAATTTATCCCCTCCGAAAGTTCTCAGAACAAGATATGGTCAAAAGAATGCGTGGGACATCCCACAGGGTCTAATGCTCTGTATCTTATAGTATAGATCACTCAGGAGTCAGGCGACAAGCACGCAGCGTGGCATAACCAAATCCCGCATCCCCAACGTGGTGGAGCAGCGAGCTACGGTATTGACTTCAGCTGACCGATCAATCTAGTCACTTCAATAGCATTTATCAAATTTCTTATTCTCAAGTTTAAGGATAGATCTGAATCTGAATCACATGGAAAATAACCAGACAGATTACTTTTCAATATACCGATGGATGGCGGGCGCCTTGAAACCCTCTTGTTGCTTGCTATCTAAAGTGTTCGTAAGATTACATCAAATTATCATAATATTACAAGTATACTTAAACGGTGAAAAGTAAAATTAATTAACAAAAATAAAATAAATCTTCTAATTTCCAATCAAAACTGATGTATGAAAGAAGGTAAGATTACAATACTCTTGAGAGATTTTGTTTTCTAGTAATATTGAGGGTACGAGTTTGAGTTTAGCGAATTAATATAGTATAATTACTAAGGAGAGGTTATTAGTTTCTCAGAGGAGTTTAAGATTCTTTTTGATTTAAGACATTCAATTATCGTACTGGTATTATACCGGAGTTAGATATAATATAAAAATTTTATTTTTAAAAGAAATTGGATGAGGTTTATAATATAATTCTAATATAATTATTTATTAAAAATATTTTTTCGAGAAAGTGTATTATTATCTATTATTGATCATAGTAATTGCTAGATGGTAATTAATCATTAACTTGTATTTTGACTTTAGATAGTTTGTTGTAGTTAAGATTTTTATAATTATGATATTCTTATTTGTAATGATTCTTGGATTCTCGCGAATTGAAATTCTGAGTACTTTTAGAATATGGGTTTATCTGACAATATATCTACTATAGAGAGTCTAGGCAATAGTTGTGCTGAAGAGATTTGTTTTGATCTCCATTCAGATGTTCTCAAAATTCTCCGTAGTAGTAGAGTCGCCTAGCGATCATTTTATCAACTGTAGAGACTGTATATTCCAAGATCGCTTCTGAGACGATTGATTTATGAGTATCTGTACAAAGGAGCTGACTGCTTGAGATGAAGCATATGATTTTGCACTATAAGGACTTATATTGTGAGAAAGTTGGAATTATAAACCAAATACATAGAGGGTTTTAATTAATTAATCACATAACCTCTTATAATTAGATATAAAAGAAAAGCTTTTGTTTCTTCTTTTGAGAATAATCAATCTTCTATATATATACATTTGAATCTATATAGTATCAACCTCAAAACTATTATAAATTTTGTTTTCTTTATAAGTGATGTATTACAATGTAATCTAATTCAGCTTTCTCTTCCAATTCCCTCCTCACAACATGCTATCGGGACGCACGTATCTCGACCTACCACTTTTACAATATACTCCAAATATATCCTGACAGATAAATAGATCTGCAAAACAGAGATATCAAAAAAGAAGATCTCGCTATTCCGCCAAACTTGTATATAACAACACAACCGCTTCTTTCGGCGTACCACACACATGAAAAAGATCTATAACTCGAACCACATGCGCATTCGTCTCATTAGCCCTATTTCCACACCTTACTAATTCCCTACCCAGCCAGTCAAGAACAGCGATAAAATGCTCTTTCTGACCGAGATGAGCATAGCGTTCCGCAATGTGGTAGGCTGCTCCTCTTGTTTTTAAATCATTGGGTGAATTTAGATAATTGAATCCGAATAACGCTTCGTGGAATTTGACGGAGGCGTTTCGAGTTCCAAGAAATTCAAGAGATGGGTCTGAATTTCGTGTTTGGTGCCAGATGTCTATTCCTTGGTAGATCTCTAGGATTTCTTGTGATGATTTGTTATTCCATGTTTGGGGTTCAAGACTTGGGATTGGAGTGGTATTATATCGCTCTGGTGTGTTCCAAATAATCTGACCCTGGGTTTCTTCGGAAGATAAATCATCATCAAGAGGACAGATACTATCATCTGAATGAACACTTGCGTTGGACGACGAAGAGTTAACAGCAGTAATGCCATCTTGTGAAGAATCCTCACTTTCAGCTTCCGTAGTGATATACTCGAGATTAAGAGGAGATAAGGAATCTACAACCACTGTAAGTATTTCCAAATCAAGAGTAAAAATTGCAACAGGATATATCAAAACATACCGAACCCCTCACTCTTCCCAATCTTAATCTTAATCTTAGCTCTCCTAATCTTCCTCCGTATCTCAGCCATACTAACCTTTACACCCACTAAACATATACACGACACCTTTCCCCTTATCCCGCATACATTTTTCATGTTTCAATACCATATTGCGGTAGATATCAGCATGTATTTACATAAACCCCACTCACTAAGACCTTCCTTGTATAGTTTTTCTGTTTGTCGAATCGATATCAGTAAGAGGGTAACTTGAATAAAAGACACTGGTGGACATTGGAGCGGAAACAAAACTCATGAGTGGGAGAATCCATATTTTTTACTCATTATATTGCGTGTTTCTTGAAGTGTGTTATGACGATAGAGATCGCAGATTATAGAGCGCTTTTCTTCCCATTCTGAGAGGTTTACGGCGGAGGTGCGGGGACCCGTTCTAGGTTTTGAGGGAGGAGTTTGGGGAGGTGGTATATTTGGTGTGCGGTTTTTCTTGCTTCATTGCTGGTCTTCCGAAGAAATATGCAACTGTTTAATTTAGAGTAAAGGATACTAAGTTTTTGAGAAGTTAAATTCTATTAATCAAATCAAGAAATATATATTTGGGATATTGTCCGTACTTAAGATTCTTGATATTCAAAGCTGCTGCAATCAGCAATTAGACTGTGGCTTTGTATCGCATGCAGATCAGGGGTTCCACAATCAATATCCAGTACAAAAGTTCCTCAAAGTTTCTTAAAACTTTGTGAAGTTTTAACTGATCATACTGGTACTAATGACTTCGTGTGAATGTCACGCGTCGCATTTTTTCCAGTCAGGGCTGGGTATCGGTAGGTAACCAACACATCTATCCAGGGTACTTAATCTTTTGAAGAGTTATTTTCTTAGATAAAGATTTTATAAAGTAAATATAATATAATGATTTTGTATTAAGATTCAAAGACTAAAATCAAATAATTGTAAAAAGAATCTCAGAATTATATTATAAATCAGCATAATGTTCATCAAATATAACTGTTATTAATTTTAAATCTGCGGGTAATACTTAGAGTATTTCATAAAATAATCACTCTATTTTAAGAAACAAAACAAAACAATAATCTATACGAGCAAATTTTCCTCCGGGTGGCCCTGGATATATACTCTACCCTTTTCCCAACCCTATTTCCAACCTCCTAGTTCTCCTCGTTATGTGAGATTATCTTCTTTTTAAATTTCCAAATCAAGATCTAGTCTGATAGTAATAATACGAAGTATATACAATTTCCAGTCAATATAGTTAGTCATATGATTGAACACGTCTAGTACACAGCTCAAAGTGAGGAAATTAGCTCTAATAAAGCCGCATTGCACATAAGCGAGCTCACGTAAAGATTTGTGCGGCTATTGATAGGCTCGTGAATAGATACAGAGCAGAAGAACATGGAGATGACGGCATGGAAGAAGATAGGAGTCACGGCGGGAAATGGCGAGGTATTTGATAGTGGAGCGATAGCGAGGAGTAGTTAGCAGAATGGTAGCTGTGGAGCTACAGCTTTTAGCTTGTGTAGCTTTGTTAGTCATATCTCCAGTCCCTTTGCGGCTGGTAGTGGTGAAAATCGTCATGAGTATGATCGAAATTTAAGATCTTAATTGTAGGTTCAGACTAGTTCCATTCTCCACTCACTTCCCACCACCACGACACACTCGAGCCCCTTTACTCCTCATAGGTTGAAGGCGTGTGGTGGCTAATGACAAGGCTAAGCGGGAGCCTAGTCTCGGCATACCATTAACCTTATTTCCCATTCTAGCTCTACACTACCTAGTTGCACAAAATTGGTCCTTAAAGTCTCAGCAAAGCAAAAGATGAGTTTTGCGGGGGTGGCGGGGAAGGTAATTGACAAAATCCCTGCAGCGGACTCACTAAATACAGTCTATGGTGACTTCACCACTATCACTTCCCCATTTATCCTTCCCTCATATTTCACATGTCCTTATGATTCAGTATAATTTGGACTGTAATTAGCAGTGGAAATTTGGAGTGAGGCCCCATGAGGTGATTAAAAACTCATTTGTAAAGAGTGGCCTCTCCGATAGCGCAATTCAAAACGCTGTTACTTGAAGGATGATTGTCTTCCCAACATCAATGCATAAGTGCCGGTCCGATCCATAAAAATGTTGTCTGGTGCAGATGCATGCGCACATCCTCAGCTAAAGCGGGTCAGCCATAATCACATGCATATCGATGAAGAAACCCCTTGGGGCCAGAAGTATCGGATACATGTTATTCAAAGCGATAGCGAATCATCGAGTAAAACCCGTCACACTGTAACTCATCTTGCCAATTGAAACTTGGAAACTATTTCGCTCAAATTTGAATAACCCATTCCTTTCAATTTTTTATACACCTATCCTGTACACATCTTTTGAAGTATTGCCATTATCACCAATATGCTGCCTTTTATTTTTGCGCCCCCAACCTTTTTTAGATCTTTTATCCCGAGAACAAAAAGGAAAGCCATTGTTAATACGCCGACAATGCAGAATCTAAAAATATCATCACAAAAGAAAATGAAACCAAAAACTCCATCCCATACTACTGTCAAACTCAATTGCTGCGCCAGCGCATATCTTAAGTCCTCACAAGTCAACTGAACACAATTTTGAATGCTAACAATGTCGCCAATATGAAGCAAATACTCGATCCAAAAATTACTCAAGCTCCTTTATAATAAAAGACCGAAGTGAGTGGTGGTAGTGAGTATGAGAAGCTGGAGACTCTGACGTCGTCATGCCTTCGGGCGTGTCGGACCACCACTGTACAGTCGGCGAGGGAATCTGATATTGTATATTCGGAGCCCCAGAAGAGAAATTAGGCGAAGATTGTAAATTTGACGTGGCAATTTGATGCTGTGTATGCGAGGCCTCAGAGGATATATCATAGTAATCCGCGTTCGAGAGGCTGTCTGGTTGTTGGTAACTTGCAGTCGATTTGATCGTCTGGTCTGATTCAACTGGGAATGATAGCACATTTGTGTATAAAGGAATAGAAGCTGTGCCAGGGTCGGGTATGATTGATTTGACCTCAAAGTCTGTGCCGTGCTCAACATCAGGCTCTATAATTGATTAGTCAGACAGAACCTGAAGAGGCCGCCATGCAAGACACCGCATGTGGTAGGATTTGACCAGACGGCTAGAGTTGTCTTACCTCTAGACGTATGCTGTCTGCACGTCAAGTAAATACTGATCACCGTCAAAATGACGCTTACAACCCCAAATGTAATGTCGATAATATTGTCAGCGCCCACTAAGAAGGTGTCAGTCAAGGAGCGATGTAGCTTAGCAGTGTTCACTTACACATATTGATGCCCGGTAATATGAATGATCGTGAAATTAACTTAAAGATCGCAATTGAACATGTGTAGCTTCGACGAGAGAAAAGCCTTCCAATTGTAGTTTGATATTTACGTTTCAATTATCCCAACGGCCCCCACAGCTTACATCTGCCAGATGAGTTGGCGCGATCCCACGCCTCAATGAGTATAGCATCATAGATAGCTTTGGTGAAACATCACGGATATGTTTCAAATATGCGGTGTGTCTCTGCTCTTTGAAGATCAAACGTAGAAGCAAATTCAGCCTTGTTCAGGGGTAGAGCCCAGCCGGGTAAATTGTGTAGCATGACGACAGACTTAGACGCTACGCATTCATGATTGGAGTAAATCCGAGATGATGTACATTGATGGGGTATTATGCCGCCAGGGGAAATATTTCAGCTCGTGATTTTATGTGGTGGAAATCATGAGACTGGAAATCTTGACCTTTTGGAAACATAAATCAAGAATCTTGTGAGGGGAGGGGTAATTTCCGGGTCGTTATGAGCGGCACCCTACCAATCATTCCAGCCTGATGTGGGGTAAAGTCGCTTCGAATAACAATGGGCTCGCTGACTCGGAGTCATAAATTCAACACCTAGCATCATCAATTCAGATTTGGCGAATGGTGATCTTGCAGGATACTAAAAATAATTAAAGCCGGTGAGGCATGATCAAAAGTTTAACATCATCAGAGCCTCCTTCTCACCGACAGAGACTTGAAATCCGTAGAAACAGATGTAATCGGCAAAAGTGGGATGCTACCCCATAGATGGGACCCGCGATTCTTAGGTGGGTGGTAGTTAACGTGGTTGCACAAACCAACATGCAAAATCATCTCTAGGCGGAGTTTCACGGACTTAGTTCCACAATATGCTGTTCTGAAGGCCATAGTTGGGTGGAGGGACCGGAGTAACCCGTGAACCTGCTTGCCCCAAGCAAGTCGAGCGTAGTCTCATCGGCACGGGCCGAGTGTTTACTACAGCCACAAACGTTTTAACGTTGCCGTGTAGCCGTTGCTGTCTAAAATCTGCTGTTGGAAAACTAGCATTGATGTAAGACTTAACAGAACTAGTCTTTCAGCCTCAACCACGCCTACTTCGCTTGGCATACAATTTCAGATCTGCCATGTATTTTCTGGTGACCGAGTGCCTGCATAGCTCTCAGAAAACAATGACCAATACCAATGTGGACATTGAATATGGAAAATAGGATTTTCGACCCCGGCAATGAACAACGCGCTACACAAACTTTTACTTTGTAAGTTGCCAAGACCTACTAAAGTGAATTATATTTCAATTGTCACATTCGTTGCTATCAAGAGTCGATAGAATTTTACACGTTGATCAGGCGCAAAGCGACTGACTGTCATCGCATTTCTGGGTTGAGCATTGCCGCCAAAAGTAAGAAGAGGATAGCAATTGGAAATTAGATGCGAACAGGTACCCAAAGTCGCCTTTTCCTCTGCTTCACAATCGACCTCAGAGGATTAGGCACTACGGAGGTACGATGTAACTATATGTGCCAAATTTAGTCTTGATGAGCAAAAGACTATCAAGACCCTCAGGGTTTAATCCGACAGAGTCTGCAAGTACTACTTTTTGTGACGAATCAACTTTGTGAAGTAAATCACTGCAGTGGTTTTCATGGGTGATACCACACTGTGGCTATCGTGCTGCCACAGCACAACGTGTACAAACCCGTCATTCATGGAACTATCAATGAATCCGCTTGATTTCTCTATTGACCCAATTCTATCGCGAAGCATGGCATTCAAGACAGTCAGATCATGGAGTTTGTCTTTGCTTGTAAAAGTTGAAAGAAGTTCGATGCAAATTGAGATGAATTGACAGTGATCTACAGTGTAGCGGTATTTAATTTTGGTTTTGGTTTTCGGTTTGGTTTTGCTGTGTGTTGTCATGATATTCAATTTCACCGATTTGAACCACATGGCTCCATTTTGCCGCTAACAAATTAGGTTCATAAACTACGACAGATCAGACATTGACGCGGTCAACTATCAACACAACAATTTATCTTCACAACCAAAATCTCTACAAAATGCGATAAATCACTTCTACAAGCTGCAAAACATACTGAATCAATATTAGTTATTAATCCGTCAATATATATACAAAATGCCACGTCCAAAACGTACAAAAGTTAATCGTTCTGCGCCTGCGCCTGCCCAACGCGTCACATATTCAACGGAACCAGTCGCGACAGAGCCTGTACCAGCAGCAGCACCGGCCGCGCGTCCTTTCAATGATTTATATGATGTTAGCGATGATGATCGCAATAAATCCGCGAGCGCTAAGAAGTCAGTCAAGGGAAAGGCCGTTGCAACACGAACTAGTGGTCGTAAAACCGCGAGCGATATCGACGATACCAAATCTAGAAAAGCTGTGAATACTGCAAACCAGAAGAATGCGCCGAATGTAGAATCGGGTGATGATGCGATGGAAGTATCGAGTAGTCCCGAGGTTGAGGCAGGAAGAAGAGGTAGACTCACATTGGCCATGGACAATTCTGTGCTTGCGATTGGAAACTTTCGAAGAAGGGCACGAGAGCCGAGTATTTTAGGACAGCAAGGCTCACGAGCTCGATCGAGCAGTATTGATTCGGACTTGGCAGAGGAAAACGGTCTTACAAGTGTTGGAAAGAGTAATACATCTGGGCTAGGATTAGGAACATTTAGAGGGCGCCCCGGATCTAGGAGACCAAGTAGTGTAGCCGGGGATAGACCTGAAATTGGATCAGTGTTGCGCCTTGGTAACTTCAAAAGAAGAGCTCGGGAACCTAGTATATTGGGAACGGCGCGAAAGCCAGAGCAAGCAAGACCTACATTTGATTCGGATTCAGATTCGGATGATTTTGCGCCGGAAGATGAATCAACACCTTTAAACTTTACCAAGGGAAGGGCTGTACCTTCATCTTCAAGTTCAAGAAAGCGAAAACTATCCAACGTGCAAGTTCCACGTTCACAACAGGCTTCGCAAGCGCAGCAGAGCCCTTCCAAATTGCCTGTGAACGACTCGGATCCTGAAGATACTGTACTTGCGACTGCGCCGATAGAGAGTGATGAAGAGGAGGAGAATGATTTACCGGAACTAGACAAAGAGTCTTCACCAAATGATTCGCCATTACCATTTATTGAACGCATCACAACACCCGAACCTATGAGTGAAACCATGGCACCTCCACGCGGTAGCAGTTCTTCTCTCTCGCCTGCTCAATCTTTACCATCACCTCCACCCCCTCCTCAACTTACTTTAAATCTACATCAAGCAGTTGGTCGAACTCGACGAAATATACAACCTCGGACTCCACCACGTGTTGCAAATTCGGAAATGCAATCCTCCCCTATATCTTCTCCACCCTCACTCACACATTCTCCGGACATACCCACACGGTCCACGTCCAAACGAGCTACACGTAAAGTCGCGCCTCAGCCTGCAACACTATCTACCGCAGCTTTACAAGCTCTACTCCCAAGACGTCGTCAACGCCATCGATCCGCTTTAGACGTGGAATCTGATGGTGAAGTAAATGTTACTGGCCTTGGTGAACATGATGACGAACTAACCATAACCGTCGCACCAACTACTCGTCGTCAAGCATCTGCTCGATCTAATCCCAGAGCACCTGCCTCGCCTTCAAAACCTTCCCAAAAAGCCAAACCTACCGCAAAAGGCAAAGGAAAAAGAACCTATGGAAGGAAACCCGCGACTACAACATCGGATAAGGAAAATGAAGCTGATCAGGATGATAGTTTGGCACCTATTCAAGACACAACATCACCTGAAGAGCCTCGGAGTGAAAATAGTTCGGAATTAGAAAAGAGGGTAGGAAAGGAATTGAAGAAAGCGGCGAGGAAATTCCAGGAAGTTGATAAATGGGAGTTGGATTTTGAGGAATGTGAAGCAAGCAGTGATCAACTTGCCCGGTAGTACTCATCAATCCATGAAAGAGGTGTAATGTAAACGAATTTTATTTTGCTTACGGAGAGCAAAAGGCATAGCGAGGAGTTGGGGTTATGAAATGAACATGTCTTTACGAGTTTATACACAATATTGTTATGAGTGGTTTGAATAAACTTGGGGATCGGTGGTGAAATAGCAGTTTATCTGGAATGGGGCTTTTACGCCTGGTGTTGCAGGAACGAACACTTACGGTTTGATGGCTGAATACAGATTCGTTTCATGTAGTTGCTCAGTATGATTTATAGCTAGATAACTTCTTCTCGTTTGCGAAAAGTGAAGGTATTATAAAGCTTAAAGCAATGAATATGAGTATCAAGCCTTCACGTATTTCTTTGTGATGACTGTCAGGTTGCGGATTTGAAAGATGGTGGGCTGTGAAAGATGATAAACTGGCAATTGGAAATTCCTTCATACAATGCCAACGAGTTCCCATTGACGGATAATCTCATATTCGGGGCGCTCATATATCTACACACGGGCGAGGCTCCATCCACAGAGGCTTGTATTTATATTGAGACCCATATAAGTGCATCTGCTTTTTGCCAAAAAACTATTACGAAAGATAGAATCTTGCTATATTTTCGCTTGACAAGGAATTTTCTGTATTGATTGTGCTGAAGATGTGTAATTTGATGTATTGGTTTTGAGTATTATATATCCGCGCTGTGTTTTCCATGAGGGATTAGAGATTGCGCATTAGAATTTTAACATGTAGGTGGGTGGGTGTATCTAAGGTTGAAGACTAGATTTCGATATATGGTTGGTTACTGGTTTCTTGGCTTTGCTGAGTGCAGTGTACTTGAGACGGAAAAAGGTGGAGGTCGAATAACATTATCTACAGCGTGAGATGTGAGGGAAGATGGTTGTCATGAACGAGATGTGCTATTTCTGTTGTGGATGATGGAAATATAATTAGAATCAGCTTTGGGGGGGGATGGATGAGATGCGGGTAAATATATTTCATACCGATACTTTGTACAAGAACAGACTATCACAGGCGAAACTGCGATGCAAGGCCGTCGAAATTCAGCTCCTAACATATCCGTACGACAAACCGGAGAAACCCCGCATTTCCATCCATAGCCAACCAGCTACCAACCAGTACTCCTTATCAAAAAACCAAAATAACAAATTTTTAAAATGACCATACGAAAAATCAACAGCTAAGGTTATATGTGATACATCATGAAGGTTGGTGGCACAGCACAATAAAAATCTCACCTGATAACAATTAACCCTACTTGACCCTACCTTGCTTACCTCACCTCACCCCTGATCATATCCTCGGTAACTAGCTATTAGTCTATTTAGTCTATTTAGTCTATCTAACTCCAGGAACCTCTTCCGCTGCTATTCAAAAAGCCCCTGTCATTGCGGAATATAAGTGGGTTGGTTTACGGAGCACTAGAATTGGCGATGTAACGATATCTAGGTACATAAGCGCCAACTGAAAAATATGAGTTCATGTACGGAGTATATACTCTGTATGTATACAGGGTTGATGTGAAAAATAGAAAAATAGGGTTTGGGAAGTGCTGTGTAACATTTTTTTGGATTGGGACGGGGGAGTTTGAGATGCGGGAATGGATTTGGTGATTAATGATTGATGATGGGGTGGGATAGGTATGTTAACGTGACAGGGATATTTTGGAAGACGAGGGAAGAGATATCGATTAAAGTTCTTGAATTTTTGTATCTGAATATAATCTTACGACCAGTGAATGAGTTGATATTGTCAACTCAGCTCAGCTCTTCTCTTCCATTTAAATACACCCAATATTTAATTACTCATACAATTTCCTACATTATCCGCCGAACCCGACCAAACTCCAAAATCCCAAGGTAGCCAGCCTATAACCAACCATAATCATCACGAACTCTGCACATATAACTTCGGAGTCGAAGCTCCCTTCCACGGAAAAGAAGCTAAATCTGGACACGAAATTTCCAGCTGAGGTTGTGGTGGATTAATAGTATAAATTCCACGATCCGTTTTCGTGAATGAAAATTCACTCCTTCCGTTTGAAACTCTGCAAGAGCTGAAATATGGGTAGGTGGATTCTAGTTGGTGGATTTTGGATGGAGAATTTGAGTCTATTCATATTAGAATCTTCACGGTCTAAAAATCAAGGGAATGAATCAAGGACTCACCAAATCTGAATCCAAGCTCCTCACCCCCAACTACTTTTTCCGTGCGGAAAACCTGCGTCCCATCTTTTCCTTTCCCGATGAAATTGACCATGGTATGAGGAGTAGTTTCGCAAATAATGTTTGTGATTTTTTGTTCGGGAATTAATGTCCAGGTAAAGTGACCTGTTTGGACGAATTCGCGGAGGGGGACGCCAGAACTCTGGATATCGCAGTGTGCCGACAGATCGAATGTTGGAATGCCATAGTAGCTGTACCAATCTGATTTGGATGTACTACGGATGTTGATGTGGCTGTATGAGATATCTTGAGCTAGTTAAAGGTTAATACAATAGGGTAGGAAATAGGCGTTGGTGATGAGGACGAACTCAAGACTGTGGTATTTGGATCTGCATGTTTTGTTAATATGTTTCTTTTGAATACGGAGAAGTGGTAAAACTAGCCACATGATGATCCACCAAACGAGAAGAGAGCAATTTGGTGATTGATGGCAAGTTGTCCATCAGAAGCTGTGCCCAGTCCGTTTATTGTGACGTTTGTATTGCAAGCGCCATGAGTCAAGCCAAGGTAAGCTGCAAATTCGAGAAATTTAGAAGGATGCATGTTGTATATGAAGCGTCAAAACCGGTTCAAACCGCATGAAAATCTCAAATGATGAAAATGATGATGATGCTGTAATGGACGAACACTTCTGGCTGAGGAGAGGCGCAATATATAACAGTCCATCAGAAACTTCTCGTTTCATATTTGTATATTTCATCGCCATTGATTTGATGTCCATGATTCTACTAACATTTGGCAACAGTTGGTAGTAATAAACTATCCATGGTCAGAACCGAACTGTCGGGTTTGTACGTCCATATGCGATATTAGCGCGAATGTCAACCATATTTTGTGTGGTTTATTAGCCGCCGATGGTAAGACAAAATTTTGGTCACTCTATAGTTAGTACATATGCATAGTAGATATGTGATAGTGATGTACTTTATACATTTGCGGGTACCAAGATTTTGTGGGTCTGTATTGCCGATTTGTGCTCCACCATCTATTGCCGTTATGAGCTATGAACTCAACGTGGTCTGAGAAAAAAGGAGCGCCCACTGAGATAGATATGGGGAATCGAGTACCTACAGAGTAGTGGCATACCGCACCGTATCTATATCAAAAAACAAAGGGATCTCTCCGAACTGTGTAACCTGGATCCCAGATTTTCCTCCAGAATATTTCTCTGGTCATTACTTTACCCTTACTCCTTTTCTTTAGGCATCTTTCTCGGGGAAAGATATACATGGGACTTCATTCCACCAATCAGGAGAAATTTCCGAAATGCCGTCAAGAAATAAGCGCCGGTAAATACCTCGTAGTAAGGACGGCGTGGAAACTCCAGAGTCCAAACTGATCTAGACTGCATCTCCTTCGTTACGCCATACGATGTCAGCCGCTCGTTGTAACACCTTTCCCTTTGCTATCCGCCACTACCTAAAACGATTAACATTAAGGAAGTGAAAGTAGTTCCACAATGGTAGACTTAAGCTTAGGTCAAAACACACACTACGCATGGTTCGAGGAAGAGCTAGGGAGTAGATCCTGTCATCTACCTTTACCATCGTAGGTGCAAAATCCACGCCTTCGAATGTAAATCTGAGCAACTGGATAAAGAGATTTGATTTTAAAAATACCTATTGTAGTTTTGATGTCCACTTTCATGTCAGCTGAGCTTTTATGCTTCTACTTCTGTCTGAGACACAGAATCACGACGCTAAGCAGGTACATAGTAAAAGCAGAACGCACCTGTCTCATTGAGAGCAAGGATCTCCCTTATGATATTCTTTGCAAAAACTTTAATGTTGTCCGACCAAATCTATCCTTATCAGAGGCAGATCGAAGTGTTTAGAGCAATATTTATCGAGGGAGAAAGATGTCATCGAAAATGAGAGCTCTCTCGGTTTTCACATCTTGGATCTTAATTGAGCTCTTTCCAGACGACAGCAGCGGGATAAGTTTCTATCATAGTTGCCACACACGCAAACTTTAGAGCCCGATATATCTTTGATGGCGGCGATAAGAATAACTCAACAAGGGGACACCAAAGGAAGAGGACATGAGGGATAGTGCAGGCTTGCCGAAGATTGTCGGAAGTCTCACCTAACACTATTCGCAATGTGAGGATCGAGTATTTCTAGACTCAAACACATTTTTGGCATCCAAACTTTGGGCCAACTCAAAGATTGATTTCACATCGTCAATCATTCCATGAATAAATAGCCATGCGCGATGATGTCGGCCCTCTCTATATTACCACACAAAGCCACCTTGAAAACGCAAAATCTTCTTGTGGAATATCAGTTCTGTTCAGTTAAGTCATATGTGGGCGAATTTAAAGCACGTAAGTTAACAATAAATGAGAATCATACAAGTAGTATAAATGTAAATAACCATCGAAGTGATATCGGATCAATTACCCCACATTATAAGAACGTTGCTTAGTCATTAGATTTCCAATTTCTAATCTCATGGATTACTCCCTTCATCTTTCTCATCTTTCTATCCCATCGGCACTCCCTTTGTATCTATACACAACTATGCTCACTCAATATGTTAATTGGCACTTATTATGTTTCGAAACTCTTATCGTACATTCATAAATTGAATCATAGGAAGAAATGTCATCAAGAATAGAACACCTCATTATCGGCCTCCGAGATACACTCGATTTTGTGTGTCAACGAAACGATAATGTCACGATAGTACTTCTCCATGCTATCTCCGCCGTGCGCGGAATACATGTACATGTTCGTGAATGCCGATCACAGATACAGCGCAGACACGACTCCACAATCCCCGAGCTGCCACTCTTGAACACATTCTCCTGATCGTATAACATTGCGAGATAAGACAATGCGACATATGCTTGGCCGTCGGCACTTGTATGAACCTCATCACATAGATACCATTGGCACATACTAAACAAAGCGCCATCTTTACCTTCCTATATAAGCAGAATGTTCTGCCAAATGTTCAAGCAATTCCTTGGCACTTGACCTTGGCGTAACTTTGAAGCTTATCAGATCTCGCCAAGCCCCCTTTCAACATTTTCCACTGCCTAATGTGGTATAATATCCGACATTAACACACTTCGGCAAAATCTACCTCCATTCTTCAAGAAATTTATCAGATCCACCCTTAACTCACTTGGTTATTGAAGATGGGTATAACCAGTTGATTCTAAAGTCATCTAAGACTGGGGAGCTGGACAAAGTATATGATTAGAAAAATTTATAAAGCGGACAATTTTGCAGAATATTTACGGGATTTGAGCAAAAAAGACATAAATCACAGCCGAATGCGGCTAGCGCCATATCCAGTTTAGTGACTTGGGACGGCGTCTGAGACAAACCAACAAAACATAGAAGACGCGGACTGCGCCGCTCGCTGATATCTTGATCGTATGGAGTTGCTATACATGGGAAGGATGGTTGAAGCCAAGAGACGTGAACACAACACCTTACATTGAACCGCCTTGGCTTTCACCTTCTTCGTCGTTATTATCAATTGAGCGAGGCTAGTCAATGTGGATATACGCGACGATGTTGCCAAGTTTAGGGCCACTTTTTATCACGAGAACACGGCAATGGAGAGATAGATAGAGTTGATGAAACAGAGGAGTCTTGTACTTACCTGCCTCTTCTGGGAGATTGTTCTCGATCGGCGGTGGGTGGTAAATCAGTACATATAGTTCTACGTTTTCTCCTGTCGTTGAGTACAATCTTTCAGCCAAGTCTCAAGTCAAGTCAATAATTCAAAGATCTCAATATGGTTTCCAAGATTCTCCCAGTCGCCGCTCTCGCAGGTGCAGCCATAGCTGCTTCCAGTTGCCCACTCTCAGTCCAGATTGCCGGTGCCACCAACCATATTGCTCAAGTCGCCATTACCAACACAGGTGCTGAGGTTGTTACCGTTTTCAAGGGTAACACCGTCTTAAGTGACCATGCGACTTTGGATCTTGTTGCTTCTACAGGTATGCCGAAAATTTAGATACACGTTACTTTTAGAATTATGACTAACAATTTACAGCCGATAAGGATCTTGAATTCAAGGGAACCTACGTTAATTACAAACGTGCCGGACTTGATGCTTCAATGTTCCAGACCATTCAACCTGGAGAAACAGTCACCGCTTCTGTGAATGCCGCCAAGACCTACAACCTTGAAGGTCTTGAGACTGTTGACATCACTGCTGTTCAAGGTTTCAGATATGTCACAGGCGAAGTGGCTCCATCTTTGTTGAGCGAAACCAGTCTTTGTGAGGACGTCACCTCCAACACTGTGGCAATTAAACCTGACCAGAGCAAGGTTTCAGCGTAAGTATTATTACTAGTCAAAGTGAGTGGTACTAGCTAACCTTTTCTCCAAGTGATCTCATCTCCAGAGCTGAATCATCTACCATGTCTCGCATTCAACAACGTGCTATAACCTTCAGCGGTTGCACCACTGCTCAAAGCACCTCTCTCAAAACCACAGTCGCAGATGCCATCACACTCGCCACTAACGCTTACACCGCCGCTGGCACTGGTGCAGATTACTTCACCACCTGGTTCATTTCTACCTCTGAGGAAAGCGCCGTTCGAGCCATCTACACCGATGTCAAGAACGTTCAAACCACAGCCCCCAAGATTTCCTGCACGGATACTTACGGAGATTGTTCTGACGGAAGCGCATTACTATACACAGTTCCCAGTTCCAATGTCATCGTTCCTTGCCCCAACAATGGATATTGGGGTTTCCCTGAATATTCCGCTACTTGCTCTAATTTCGATTATGATCGTGCTGGAAGTCTCTTGCATGAGATGACTCATTTGTACGGTACTGAGGATTGGGCTTATGGCCCAACTGCTGCTAAGGCTTTGTCGGCTGCTAAGGCTGCTAACAATGCTGATACTTATGAGATGTATGCTGGATCTGTCCGACTTGGTGGATGCACTGGTTAAATATTCTCAAACTTTGATTGGAGGTCAAATGTGGAGAACAGTGGCTGGGCTGGAAGCTATCGGAGAGGGAAGCGATGCACGATATGCAAAGAGGTGGTTTGGGTGAAAATCCCGACTCTTTCTCTCGTCTTAGCTGTACTTATTGACAGCATAAGTATAGAGGTTAGAAGTTGTTGGCTTTTTAGAGCCTAGAATAGTATCCTCCTGGGAGTTTTCCAATTTCATGCACTGATAAATTATCATATCTTTTTTTACTGCTCTAATTCAAATGCTACATGGATCATGTGATTTTAATTCAATATCTCGTTGATGTTGGGGGAATTGATGGACTTTTGTTCGCCCCTCCTCATCTCAGTTGAGAGAACAAAAAGAAACAATGGAAAGGGGGAAAATGAGAAGAAGAGGTGTTCGAATTGCAAGGCTCTAAGACGCTGTAATTCAGTACACCTCAATATGACAAATTTCTCGATCTTTTTTTTTTTTGAGTATTTATTCGAAGATTGAATAACATTATGTTGCCTCCGATTGTTTTGGAGTCAGCAGACAAGCGTTGTAACTCCAGTCATGACTCTTAGTGAAATTCGATGAGTATATGGTATTAAGTGGACCTCAACCATAACAGACTGCAAATTTCACGCTCTGCAATAGCTGGATACACATAATACAATCAAGGGGTTCAAATATGGGCGTGGGGCTTTGATGATATCATTTACTACTTGGTATATTTTGACTGATACCACCGCCTACTATAGACCTCTCTATCATCACATTCGAAAGCTCTACACGCAGAAAGCACGACCATCAAGGGTAGTCTTATTTACTCGATCGTCAGACTTTACTAATATGTGCATGACATTCTCTGCCCTGGCTGCCTGGGAATTCATATAAGGATTATGTAGCAGTATTATGCACGGAAATCGTTGCTTCTTGACATCCGACTTGGACATCGAATAAATCTACTTGGTGAGTTAATTCGTAATGTTCCATCTGGGAAGACAATGTTGTCAAGGCGAGTACCAACATTCAAAGAACTACTTGAGGTTGAGTACAATCATCCAATTGGTTGAGAGAGAAGTTGAGAACGATTCAAGGTGCATTTCTTAACCAATTCCAGTTTCATGCTATCTTCTACCAGGAGGTACCCTTCCTCACTCAATTGACAAACATAAGAATCTAGACGAGAATGCTCCATATCAGGTAAGCCATCAACAGTGATATCAGCATCTTACACTCAATGATAATCACCTCAGATATCACATTTTAACACATTAAGATTCTATAAGTAGTTGACCGCAAACCTCGAGAACCCACGTGCCGTCTCCAATGAGGAAGGTCATCACTACACCTCACTAGCGCAGTTTTATCTTCACCTTCACCTGTCATGCGATTTTCCTTTTTCATTCTTTTTCAAACATCCTCAAATTCTCATCCACCATCTCATGGTGAGGGAGTACATCCTCATTCCGTCGATTTCACTCGGGCTCTCCCGTGTTTTCATCTCATTTTCGTTATATCCGCAGCGACATCTAATTGCAGAGACGATATATATTCCCGTCAATTTCTTCCCATTACTTTCGAGAATCAACTTTAAACTTGTCGTCTAATCCTGTCATTCAATCTTGCACAATTTCTCTCAACACTCAAAACTTCAACATTTCTCTTACCAATAAGTTCCATCTGCTTTACCTTCCTGCACAAAGAACTCTTCGTTAGTCCCTTGAAGTTATCACCCAAGTCTTTTCAGGTCCATGTAAGTCTTTAACATTTTTTCATCCTTCGATCAAAATTTTAGGCCTTCTTAAAGGGTCTGGTAGTTCTTATCAGTGCTTTGAGAATTCACAGCTGACCACGTATGATATGCAGATCAAGTAGCCATGGAAAAGCAGCATCCTTCCGGAGCTAAACGAAAGGCTGTCGATGCATTCGCATCTCTCCCAGTCGTACAAAAACTTCGCACAACTTCAGCATCATTAGAAGATCCCTGGGCAGTGTTGAGTAGTGGTGATTCTATTTTTATGACAGATGACGGAGGCAAAAGTTTTTGGCTAGATGATAAAATAAATCATCCTAGACAGGCTGTGGAATTTCCTCGGGCCGTTCGAGGACTTGATTTAATTCACAAACCTTCACCCTCGTCATATCTTCAGTAAGTATTGAGCATGAGATTTATGTTGCGTAAGCTAATAAGCTTCACTGTAGGATGATTATGGGACCGAGGGTGAAGGTGTTTGTTGGTCCAAAAAAAAAGTTATTCGATCTACCAAAAGACCTGCTATCACACTACTCTCCAGTTTTAGATCGGTGCTTCAATGGGAGGTTAATCGAAAGCCAAACGCAAACAGCATATTTACCGGAGGACTCAGTGGATGATTTTGAGGTCCTTGTGGAGCACATACTTCGTCACGATATCAGTTATACGCTCTCTATTTCCAACTGCGGAACGAAAACGGCGGAGCGTTGTATATCTTTCTTGAAATTTGCAGACAAATACAATCTGGGAAATATCAGCAACGCTGTGTATCACGTACTTCGACCAGCGTTGATAAAGTATGGAAAGGACCATTTCAAGGCGAGCTACATCGAAGAAGTATTTGGTTTGACGAAGTCCGGTGATTGTTTGCGAGAATTGATGGCAGATGCCGCTATTTCATTCGGTGGTATTGAGCTTTCACGAGCTTTTGGAAAGCCTGGCCTTTTTCATAAGCAAGAAATTGAGACAGTGGGATTCGCATCCGTCTTGTTCCAACAACTTATAGAGACAACAAGAACGTTGAAAATTATGGATCCTTTCTCGAATGAATCAAAATACTTGTGATCTCTGTTTAGGGCTTGCCCCATAGAACTGAGACTACCTATTTTCTGCAGAAGTTCCTCAGTGGAGGTGGAGGAGAAGCAGGTTTAGCTAATGGAAAGTAGAAAGTGCCTGGAGGTTTCATGATCGACGCGGTCACCTGCGGGTTCAAGAGTTTTAGTGGTCAATCAAACAAGAACAGGTGTATTGCAGAGAGAGAGGAAGGAATCCAAATTAGCTTGTAATGATGGATTGATATTGCAGGTACGGAATTAGTGGAGGATGGAATCTACCATGATTTGCGCAGTTAGCCATAGAAGGTATTGCTCTCTATGAGACACATCAATGGAACATGCGACTACATCTAAACTTACATTTCTATATAATAAGTGAAAAACATTAAAAACGCTCACTGAGATCGACAAATAAGTCTTACTTAAGTCTCAAGAGATTGAACCTCACCTAACAAGATATATCACACTAGGTAGGTACTTAAGGCACATCAATAAGACCTCAAGTCGAAAAATAATAATAAAGTTTAAATATAATCAATTCATTTTTATCTCATTGTACTTATTCTATCTTCTCCTTATCTTTATTCTAAAGTTGAAATCAAAAAACTTCTTTATCTTTTTTATTTATTAATTTATTAAATTTTATTTAAACATATTTCTTTTTATTTATTATTTTTGTTTATTATTTTTATTAATATTTTTTCTTATTTTTCTCTTTATATTATTTCTTTTAATTTAATTCAATTTAATTTAATTTAATTAATTGATTGATTTATATTAATATATATTTAAAATAATCTTATTTAGATAATTAAATAAATAAAAGAAATAAAATGAGTGAATGGGCAAATTATATATTTCTTATCACCACAAACCTAAATGGGCGAAAAAGATAAAAATAAAAATAAGAATAATCCTTAAACTATCTATTTAATTAATTACTCACTCGCTTCATTTCGTTTTCACAAGCTCGTTTCTCCCACTTCCATGTCTAGAATACATTTGTATGCATAGAAATCATATGCACATACGAATTATCATAAATATACTCATATATATCATCAATCAAGGCCCGACAGACTCATCTCTAGACGAAATCAAAAAACTTAAAGAAGTTCTCTTCCCTTCTTCTCACAATCCTTCTTCCATTCCTCCATCCACTTTTTCACAAACTTGACTTCTTGACTGTGTACTTTCTTAATTGGTTTTGGAGGAAAGTCACGAGTGGTATCGTTTAGGAAAACTCCATTTTCATCCCAGTGATGGACTGCTCCTTCGATTAAGATGAATGGTTGGGAAGTGGAAGAGGTACGGTTATGAGCTGTGGTGTTGAAAGGTGATGCGTGAGGGGTTGCTGGACGCCAAACATCTTGTTCACCGTCGATGTATGCGAGACGTGGGTAGCTGAGGTTGAAACCGCCGTGTTTGTTTATATTTTCGACGGCCGGGGGTGTGGTGATGTTGAAAGAGGCTTCGCAGATGATGGAGAGGTACGGGAGATCGATGGTGCGGGATAATAATGGAAGCTGGTTTGCGGGAACCGAAGCTCCGTTTTGAAGATAGCCCCATTCGGTACAGTATTGGTAGGGCCAGAGACGCCAAGATTGAGATGAGTCGTCTTGTGCGTAGTAGGTAAGGTTGTGGGTTGAGTAGCAGGAATCTTGGCTGGGAGAACAATCGCCGAAGTTTGCAGAAGTGTAATCTGTGATACGTTAGCGTTTTGTAGGAAAAATAAGTGAGACATGGGGAGGAATCCTTACCAGTCAACCAACCAATCCAATTAAGATACGGAATTGTCAAGTTACCAAGTTGAGAACCATAACCACCCTTCGTAAGTAATTTCTGAACCTCCGTTGTAGAGCTATTCAAACTTGGCCAGAGAAGCTTGTTACTGGTAACATTACCACAATAATAATCGAAATATGGTGTTCCTTCAACTGCTGGATCCCAATTCTTACTTTGCCATTCCGACATTGCGTACATGACTACTGACATGAAATCATTACTATAAGTAACATTTGGAAGTCCCCAAACAGTCTTGAGTTCTTGGACTAAAGCCGTGTTGTTTTCTTGTCCAATGACAATGTTATCCATAGAATTAGTGATGAGTTGAGTATTTTTGATACATTTTTGATCGGCAAAAACGCGAATAGGCTCAAAGTAAGTCCAGTAATCATAGATGGCTTCTACGACGCCACTGGAAGAAATTGTACCTAGTCATGTTAGTCATATTATCATTTGCAGAATTCAGGAAGAAAGGAAACAACTTACCCCAGAAAGTATCTGGATACAACTTTCGCAAGAAAGCATTGAAAGCACCAGCATAAGAACCTCCATAACCAATATAAGCGACATTTGGTGCTGTAAGATTCTGATCTTCCAATCCCGGAAATACAATATTCCTAGCAAAATAAACCTCATCCATCAATGCTTGTTCTGTAGTCAAGAATCTCAAATTCTTGGTCGAGAAATCCGGGGTTGGGATACTTTCACCATAGTAACGATGTTCGAGCACAACACCAATACCATTTGTCGCGACAGCCAATTGATGTAGGAGACCATTTTGTAAAAATGGTAATCGACCTGTAGCATCGGTTTCTCCTGATTGAAGGACGATCACTGGTCCACCAGATTTATAGTAGGTGGCGTCGAACCAGTAGCGGAGTGGAAATGTTCCATTACTGTGAGGTTCATAACGGGATTCATTGTGGAAATAATCAATCGGAACGCTGAGATTGTAAGTTGGGTAGAGGAGGGAGGGATCGATGTTATCGCGTTTGGATAGTGCTAATTCTCGACGGGGAATGGTGGTTCTCTATTTGCCAGGGGTGAGCTTTGGAGTAATGTAGGTAGGTGTAAGGAAGCAACTAAGTGACCAGTGGGACTTGGCAGATATGGAGAGGAGGTGAGAGGAGGTGAAAGGGAACATACGCTTAGTTTTCCACCAAAACCATCAGGATATAATTGATGAGAGAAAGCACATTGGAAGAATGCGAGAATCGCACAACCAGTATAGATTTTAGAAACCATGTTGTTTGATATGGGCTTTGGTAGATCTGTGATGTTCGAGGATTTGTTTATGAAGAAACCTGATAGACCATCAAATTTCCATCCAGTACGGTTAAAAAACACCTTGATTGGCTGTATATGATGTCAGTCTAATGATACATCCTTCCCTTCCATTTTCATGTAACAGATTCTCCTCTGCTGCAACAGGATGAGGTTCATTGGTGTAACATTTGATCAATCAGAGAGATCACAAGATTGAAAATAAGGGAATTGGTGAATTGGTGAATTGGTGAATAAGTAATTAGAACAGTCAGGATTGGAACCAAGTGAATATTATAAAATACAGACCTAGGTAAAGGTAGGTATATAGAACCTTACTTGACTGATGACAAGAAATCCAATTGACTTCTCACTTCTTCTACTTCAAATCAAATCAATGAATGAGTCCTTCGCTCCGAACCTTTTTCCTCCAAAACCCATTAAAAATTGCGACACCGTCTTATCTTTATATGATCCATCTTTTTTCAGTTACCAAGTCAACTATGCATGTTGATGTAAGCTCATCTTCTCCTCTCTCATACCTCCCCACCATATTCCACATCGAGAAGGTGTTACTTCTCGTATAGTTCTAATGTAAGATCTTACTCCTTTGGCTTGCAGAGTATGTATGAACTTATGAAATGAGGTAATAAGGTATGTGAAGCGAGAAAGTTGGAGATATCTTGTCTTATCGTGAAATGGATGTTGATTGGTTCGGTATTGCATACTGGGTCTGCCGTTTTGTACCTTCTTCTTTGGGTATGGCTTCCGGTGTATTGAGACGAGAAAGATTGTGATTGGTGGGGATCCAGCCATATATATATTTCTGATTAGAATATTTTGATACTTCACAATATCAACATCAACATCAACATCAACATCAACATCAACTTTTCATACCATTAAATCAATATTTATTCGCTTGTCTCATCATTTTCATAAATATCATCTCAGTCATTCAATCAAAAATAATACAGACTCACCAAGAATACCTTTTGAAAGCTTGGAAGGTTCCAAAGAACAATATGAAGAATGTTTCCAAATCAATATGAAGTTTCGTATTGTTCTATCAATTATTCCAGTAAGGATTGAGAGACTTTGGCTATTAGAATTGAAGCCGCTATTCAAGTTATCATTTTTGCTGCATATTCAAATTGATATTCGAGAATTTGATGAATCTGATGTTGGCTGGACATTGTATTTTGAAAGTTTGTAAAGATAATTTGTACTGTTTATCCTCATATATCTTGTAGTTAGTCGAAAGATAAACTTGTTACTGCGGACATATATATATGATATATTACCTTCAGATCTTTTATGTCTGTTTAAACAGCAACATGGTTAGGAACCTTCGAGTGATTAGCACTTGATTCACTGATTGAATTTCAAACCTTGGCATCCATCCTTAATTTCATTACGCGGTCATTTGGCTTGACCAATCTCCTCAATTATGATCGAAAATCATTTATGGAGGGAAAAAGAAACATCAATCATTTGGCATGATAGACTGTTTTGTGATTCCTCTCCCAAGCTCAATGCTAAATCAGAACCAATATTGAGTACGAAAATCGCAATCATCCGACAGCATATTCTTTAATCCCCTATACATCAATCCATCAATGTAAGCTCTACCAATAAGTTTGTACGTCTCGACAGAGATAGTGGCAGGTCTCAATATGAGGGATTTCAATTCCAGGGAAAAACAGCTACAATATCCCCAGGTTGTAAGGCTGAAGCTCTGATGCCTAAACTCCCGTTCGCGGTTATGAAAGCTCGTTGAAAACGGAATGCTATGGTTCTTAAAGCCATCATAAAACCATATATCTCTAGCAGCTCTACATTTATTATCTCTGAAGTATCTGTGGCATAGTCGAGAAGCTTGGTCAGCGAATATTTATCGAGGTTTCATCCAACTCTATAGATCCGAGAGTGATGAATTATTGTCAAACGACTCTTCACGCGTCAACTGTTCAATGTATGGCTCAAAAAGCAAAGTATCAACCATGTCCTGTGAATCGGATTTCATTTGGAATCAGGATTGCCTTGTCATTTTCCTAACATTATTAAAAACAATGCAGAGGCCTGGAATAGGAGCAAGTGGTTGCGGAAATGGCTCCGAGATGTCTTGTATTCAATCAAAGACTAGCCCGTGAAGCACAAGTTGCTCTCGGGTGTCAATTGTGTCAAGTCTAAAGCTAAGCTCCCGAAAAAACTACAGCCACAAAATACCCTGGATATGAGTAGAGCTCGAAGTACCTAAGACGCAAATGCCGAATTTCATTAGAGAAGTCCTGGACCTATGAGGCAATCTCCGTAGAAATTTGGATCTAGATGGAAACCATAACATCATGCTGAGATAGCCCTGATGTATCAAAGCCTTACACGGTCGTATGAAGCAAGTTTGAGGTGTGATGGTATAATTACTTTGGATGTTTAGCATTTCGGCATCATTTGCTAGAGCAGGAAAAGATAGATATTGCCTCTCGGATCCGTTGCCTAGATCTCCTTTGCTTTTACTATGATCAAAGATCCTAAAATGGATAAGTTCTATTGTGATTCTCGTCATTTTCTCGCATATCAATTAATATAATTATCTGTCGACATAAAAATCGCAACATGATTATTGCTACGACTTTCCACCTACAAATCGATTCCCTTTTTGAAATATTCTATAAAGGTATTTATGGATGGAACATTTCCATGATCTGTCTCCCGTCTCCCCAGCCTTCGACTCTTCAACATGCGAAGCTATCATAGGTTATATAGCGGAGAATACAAGCTGAAGACGTTCCAAAGAACATAGTATGCTTGCTACCACACACAAACACAACTCCGCCGGACTCCAAAAAGTTCTTGTAAGTCTTACTATTCAAATCCCTCGAAACCATGATTTCCCTGCTATAACCTTAGATGGGAGCAATTCCTCATCGATGCCATCATCCATCTCTCTAAAATTAAGCAAATCTTCATGTTCTCGAATTATTATAATTATTTAACTTCACTAATTCCAAAGCTTGAATGACCAAAAATCCAGAATAAATGAATGCTGCGCGTGCTGCGCGAAAGAAATTTTTATCTTCTTCCGTTTGAGACACCAAACCTAGCCACAACACAAATAAATGGCTTGTCCAAAAAGAGTTTTTTTTTTCTCCTTGTTATGTGTTAAGACTGTTCAATGTCGTCTTTTTGATTAATACAAATTGCATCAATCCAAAAATGTGTATCAGTACCATAGGCGCTCGCTTGGAGCGATTTCAATGCTTCGCTCAAGTTTGTGGTCATTCTGAGGAAGTAATTATGATACATCCATCCCTTTAATAGTAAATAATCAATACATCTGTTAGGGTTGGATCGTCCCATAAATGAGATAGTGCACAATACTCGACGTTGTCGTTCAATGATAGATTCAATTCAAAGCAGCATTCATTCATTCATTCATTCATTTAATTAACTGTCGAAATTAGACTTGCTATTCATCCTATTATCGTAAGGAAAAATACATCATAGATTGAAGAAACACCGATTTTGTTTCACCGGTTCTATTCCTGTCGCTCCAGACCGGAGTTGAAAATATACAATTTATTTTCATCCTCTGTTGTCATCTGTTCTTCCCTTTACCCATTTGATATCATCTCATCTCTCATGCCTCAACAATATCTCCATCGGTAATACATCCATGACTAGCATCCTGCACCAATCTCGAGTATTTCGCTAATGTACCCTTAGTATATTTCAACGGGGGCGCAACGAACTCTTTTCTTCTCCTTTCTAATTCCTCCTCACCACCTTCAACCTCCAAATCCAACACTTTGGTCTCTGCATCAATGATAATCTTATCACCATCTCTAACCAACGCAATAGGTCCTCCAACTTGTGCTTCGGGTACAATATGTCCAATCAAGAATCCATGAGATCCTCCACTGAAACGTCCATCGGTAATAAGTGCGACATCCTGTCCAAGTCCGGCACCCATAATTGCTGAAGATGGTTTTAACATCTCTGGCATACCTGGTCCACCCTTTGGTCCTTCATAACGAATGACTACAACAGTCTTTTCTCCTTTCTTAATTTCACCACGTTCGAGAGCTTCGATGAAATCATTTTCAGCATCATAAACCTTGGCTTTTCCGACAAATCGTAATCCTTCTTTACCGGTAATCTTACCGACAGATCCACCTGGTGCGAGGGAGCCACGTAGAATTTGGATATGACCGGTTTCTTTAATAGGAGCTGAGAATGGACGAATAATTTCTTGATCGGATGGGAAATCACGAACATCCTTGACGTTCTCGGCAAGAGTTTTACCAGTTACAGTCATTCCTGATCCATCAATAACACCTTCTTTGATGAGGAGTTTAATGAGAGCTGGAGTACCACCGATACTGTAAAGATCATTGAAGACGTATTTACCGGATGGTTTAAGATCTGCAAGGAAAGGTGTTCGGTCAGAAACAGCTTGGAAGTCATCTATCGTGAGCTTAATTCCTACAGCATCTGCCATAGCAATAAGGTGAAGAACAGCATTAGTAGATCCTCCAGTGATAGTAACAAGAATCATAGCATTTTCGAAGGCTTGTCTAGTCATGATATCTCTAGGTCTGATGTCCTCTTTAAGAAGATTTTTGATGGCACCACCAGCTGCGAAACATTCGAGTAATTTAGCCTTGGAATCCGCTGGGTTGGTAGAAGATCCAGGAAGGGTCATTCCCATAATTTCAATTGCTGATGCCATTGTGTTTGCGGTATACATTCCACCACATGCACCTTGACCTGGGCAAGCATGACGAATAACATCGAATCTTTGTTCTTCCGTAATTTCTCCGGTAATGAATTGTCCATAGGCTTGGAATGCGGAAACGATATCAATATCTGCATTGTTTTGAGTTGAGGCACATCCTGGTTTAATCGAACCACCATAAACCATAAGAGAAGGCCTGTTAACTCTTCCAATTGCCATCATAACACCGGGCATATTCTTGTCGCATCCAGGAATCGAGATATTTGCATCATACCATTGACCACCCATAACAGTTTCAATACTATCCGCAATCAAATCTCTTGATTGAAGACTATATCTCATACCCTTTGTGCCCATAGAAATACCATCCGAAACTCCAATGGTGTTGAATTGATATCCTACTAAACCAGCTCTTTCAACTCCTTCCTTTACTTTGTGGTTGAGTTCCAATAGATGCATATTACAAGGATTCCCTGACCACCATACAGAGGAAATACCAACTTGTGCTTTATTTAATCTTTCTTCGGTCATCCCAGTAGCATATAACATTGCCTGCGAAGCACCTTGTGATTTTGGTTGTGTGATAGTAGATGAGACTCTGTTGAGTTTTGGTTCTGAGTCATCCGATGATGTGCGGAGAGATGAGGTAGAAGATAAAGAGCGTCTTGATATAAAGTTAGTCAATTGGAAAGAAGAAGACTTTGGAGATACTTACACATATTGTGAAGCTCTTCTTGAGGTGAGAAGAGAGGCATTTGCCCTCGTTCTCAATTGTGAGAGCATATTTGAGGGATGTTGTAAGTAAAATTAATTACTTCAACTTTTGTCTTTGTCAATGCTGAAATATTAGGATAAAAGGACAGGTATTGAAGTTAACCTGTACTTCTCTTCAAAGCAAAGACAAGAGAAATGGAAGCAATTATGACCTCCCAAGTAGTCAACAAGACAGCTTCAAGTATGAGCCAGATAGAAATTATTTCTTGAGATCGATATCGGAGCACGGAAAATCCACAAAACCCCAGGTTTGCTGATTAAATTATTTTTGATTGGTTGAAGATTGGCTAAACTTAAGTCAGATATTGATAAATCTACGATCACTCTAATATTGGTGTTGGTGACATATTTCTGTATGACAACCAGGAGAGTCTTTTGGATCATGAATTCATCCCTCATCTTCTCTCCAAGCACACTCACCTCATTCATAAGGTGTTGGAGATGATATTGAATGACCATTAAACCCTCGAACCCTCGAACCTTCGAGGCCTTTTTGATACTATTGCTCAACACAACAAGTTCCTATTTCGGAGCAATTCAATTATTACTCCACCATTCAACTCTACAATCGGAACCCCTCTTACCGTGTTAGATAGCAAAACCCTCCCATGAAGCTCTACCAGGGTAACATTCGCACGGTTCATCAACCTACTCCGTACGTCTCAATCGATGCCGAGAACACATGTGAGCCGATTCCTTCATGATTTACATCAGCAAGTACCGAGGTGATGAAACAAGAATGTACACAATGTACAGATTAAGGCGCCATTGAGCTTTGAAAGATATAAGTATTAGAGTTTATTTCCTTTTGTTTTATTCTTCCCTTTTGATTGTCTCTTTCCTACCTGAATTCTTGTTATCTGTCTAAACAGCATATCGTCGAACTTACTTATCCACGTTACATGTACCTCTACACAGCTACCCCGCATTATACCTAGAGATCCCAAACAGCCTTGACATCAACATCAACCAGCACTAAACTTTCAATACAAACTTCATCACAAAATGTCTGCACCACCAGAACTTACCTTGAAGAATCTAACTGGAGATTGGGTTATGGTAAGATATATATTACTCTCATTCTTCATTTTTGTCTCTGTCATCAATACGCCCAACATATCCACACCCTCCAAACCCCCTATCGCACATCAATAATTTTGATCCACCATCTTCATTCCACTAACAGCCCTTAGAACAAAACCCTCTCTGACGACACTGATGCAGTCCTCGCCCTACAAGGAGTAGGTTGGTGGACCCGCAAAGCCATTTCTCTCGCAACCGTAACACTCCACGTCAAACAATACATAGACGAAAACAATATTCCGCACATCGACATTGATCAAACTGCCACGGGCGGCATTCAAGGCACATCTGAATATCGAACATTAGATTGGGTTTCTCGAGCACATGAAGATCATGTGTTCGGTAATATTTCCGCAAAATCTAGATTTTGTACTTTGGAACAAGTAGATGAGGATGCGTTTTTGAAAGAGGATTGGTTAGAGGGTGAAGAGGAAAATAGTGGTCCGAATGGGGAAAGACATGTTCAGAGTTATGGTGTTAATGAGGGGAGAGGTTGGACAGCAATGCAGATTTGGGGGTTTGCTATTATTGATGGGAAGAGATATTATACCAGGAGGGTGGTGGTTAAGAAAGGAAGTGAAGTGTTGAAGGTTAGATTGGTTTACAATTGGCAGGGAAAACAATAGATGAGTGTGGTGTAAGAGATAAAGTTGTCGTCGATACATCAAATAGCAGAAGATGATAGATACCAAGGAGATTTTGGGAGTTATCGATTGTTGCATTACTTACTACCTCCTATCAAATCAAGTTTATGCTTGAAGCACAACGTGCTGAACATAATTTGGATTAAATCCTAGCAGTAAAGCCTTGCACCAACAGGAACTATACCCTCCCCCCATCTACAAATATCCAAAACCCTCGCACATTCAACACCCCATTATACACCCCTACACAATAATCCATCTACAAATCTAACAACAAATCTAGCAAGTCAATAAATCAACCATAATTCTAGCTCTCAATTAATATAAGATCTTGCATACCTACCTAATAATCACACATAATCTGGTGATTCTTCCAATTACAATCTTTCTAATACTGCAATGCATTCGTTGCACATCTCATTTTGTATGGACAGGTTAAATAAATTTCGTTCCTATGATTTATTTAGATATTAGTTATGGGAGAGAGAGCGAGAGAGAGAGAGCGGTTATTAGTATTAGCCATTGCATACTATTGTAAGGTTTACTGTGTACTGTGTAGTTGGTATTTGGTATTTAGTATTATACTTATTAAATCCATAAAAGCAAACGATAAGATTGTTCAAATTTATCAATTTATTCACCCCGTGATATAGCTCCTATCCAAATATAGGATTATATACTCATGTATCCAAAACACCCCCATATATCAAAATTATCAATTTATACACTCGTGAGTGATATAACCCATACCCAAGAAAACATCCCATCCCATATACTCCACAAAATATCCAATTTACCAAATACATCCTCCCACCCAAAAATTCACACCAGATAAAACTCCCTATATAAACCCATTGCACAATTCCCATTAGCGAACTCCACCCTTCCAAAAAAAAGTCATCCCCAATCAATATCCCCCATCCAACTACTTCCGTTCAACAAAATCCACCTCCTCCACCTCATCCAACCACTTCTCAATCACCTCCTCCTTCTCCTCCCTACTATAACCAAAATCCCCATCATTCTCAATGAAATCCCTGAGAAGATTATTAACCTTCCAAGGGGTAGGAAGAAGTTTCGGTTCCGACTTATAAAGAGACTCGCACATCAGGGCGATATTATCCTCGTGGATTTTTATTAACATAATGCAGATTGGCCAGCGAGCGAGCGAATTCAGCAAGTGTGACGTTTATTATACCAGTATATTCTGGGATATAAGGAGTTGATGGGACGGTGGTGCGGGCGCGGGTGGGAGCGGGAGTGGGAGGGGTGCGTGGTTGGTTACTGCGGAGACGACAGGCTGTTTGGTCGCTCTCGAAGGGGTCGAGGAGTGTTGGTGTGCGAGGCGTGGATGGGTGGGAGGTACCGCGTCCTTGGTTGTGGGATGGACGGAGAGATCTTGAGGTTTGGAAGGTTAGGTTTTGTTGCGTCTTAACGCGGACATGGTTGTGTTTGGAAAATCGTGTCCGAGTCATGTTGAAGGTTTTTGTATTAGATTGAATTGGATTCGAGTGTGTTAATGTTTGTGGTTGTATGGATGGGAAGGAGGAAACAGATTTTTGCAGCATGTATACATAAAAATAAAAATATGTGTGAATTCGAATTCTGACTACGAGGATGACTAGGACTAGTTGGCGTTAATGGTTATTAAATCCCCTTAGCGTAACCCAAACCATGCCGGATTATACTAAGTCGAGTAGCTAGTCTTGATCGCCCTATCAGGACTCTCCAACTTGGATGAATTAAGTGTAGGACTTGTTGTCGAAGGTATGCCGAAACATATGGTGTGTGATTCGTCTTTTAGAGAGTCATGTAGTCCATCCAGGAGGGTAAATTTGATCACGGGGTGCGGAGACATCGAGGCTAATGAGATTTTCTTTTTCGGGCTCTGGTATTCTGAGCTAATTCCATGGCGATAGTACATTTTCCTTCCTCGATCTTCATGGTTTCTCAAAAATTAACGCAGAACCCTTCCTCGCCGCCAACCCCTGGCAAAAAATATGTTCTCTCTGATTGTACGACTTAACCATTGGTCGGAAGCCGATATCTATATATCTTCGAATTCATCAATATGATATTGTTAAATTTAAGGAAGGGTCGGTTAAACAACTACGATGTCTGGGAACACCTTATTTTCAAACCACATGCAGCGCTCACTTACAAACATAACCCAGTATGGGCTTGGAAACACACGTTGGTCAGCATGACTACTTGGACCAAATTTCATAATCTCTTATTGCTGATCCCTCCCACCTGAGAACAGCTGTTGTGGTATCAATTAACGTTTACCCTTTAGGTCAGATAATACAGGTTACTACTCACCATTGACCACTACTTCATGGTGGATTTCCTGCCGCCTATCATTTTCAACGACCGAGTCTCCATCATAGATACTTATCATAGAAACAAAGACCGACGGGGTGTTCTGTGAGAGGAAAAGTTTTACTTCAGGATAGAGCGTAGAGCAATTCCACTTTGCTTCCAAGTTGTCACATAGCTTTATAGCGCGCATTTATGATATGAATAAGAACTCATAGCCGAAGAGAACTTTGAAGCAAAATCACATATCTCGATTCCTGAAAGATGGTGCTCATAAGAAGGATTCTCCACGCGAATACTTATGAAAAGGGTTTGATTTTGAGCCGCCATTTGATAGAGAGGGCCAACAAGACTCGTAGCTGCGTCAGTTCCTTGTTAAGTTGCTGTTGGTATATTTGCTTCCGAGCATTTTTGACTTCGTGTAGAGCTCAAAGTAGGCAAATATTCCTCTGATTCCTAAACCACTTCCAGGCTAGCGGTCCGCGTAAAACCGTCGGTTCTGCCAGAGGGTTTGTAGAACATAGACCGCTACCAAACTCATGGTAGGCGATGTTCTGCCATGGTCTGACTTTATGGTGCATTGAAAGGGCAATCTCAGTCCTGAGGTAGGTACTACTACCAACATCAAGACCGCTTCTCGTCTCTCCGCAAAAGCATTCCAGAACGAGACAATCACCAGCATGAAATTTACCGCTATTAAAAGAAAGCATGGTGGAGGAGCTTTCAATTCCTGGCTTGCCACATTAAAGCAGTCAACAATAAGCGATTCTGACAACTTAGTAAATTCAGCTTGGAAAGAGATTTGCTGACGCTCTATCATGGCAAGCATGTGGGACAAAGTTGCCAATGATACAATCGAGAGAAAACCGAAAAGCTTCTTATGACTAGATGCAATTACTGAAATATTTGTCTCCTAATGCTAAAGCCCATATGCCCGAGGCAGACAAGTTAGAGCCAAACTTTAGCAAGCCCTTATAGCGCCATTTGTGGCCGTTTGCATAGATTGGATCTAAAATATGACCCGAGGAAGATTTTTCTACGCGCAGAAGTAAGGACTTAGGAGTGGTATATCACAGCTTATCTTGCGGATGTGTAATGTATAACTGTTCGAAAGGGAAGTCCCATCGATCGTCATGTTGGGGTGGCTTGTTGGTGCAAGCTTTGGCTCGAGCAGGTGAGATAGTCCAGACCCGGCAACGGGAGTCAACATATATGAAAGTTCATATAGTTAAACTTTTCTTAGCCAGAGGATATTAGTTCTCTATGGTATTCCATTTGGAATAACATGCGGTAAGATTGTTACATCATCGGCAATTGATATCTCTTCGAGACGGTGATATCAAATTGAGGGTTGAATGGTAGCTTTCATTCCCAACTTCAGCCATTGACTTTTTCAGAGGGATGACCGACCTTTAGCCATGAACACCTAGACATAAACCATTCAAAAAAGAACATAGGAGCAGCCCGTATTCATTCAAGATGAGGTTGATGTTGTTGTTGGTTCTATGGTGGTCTGAGCTCAACTCAGGAAGCCTCGGCATTTCCCGCAACAAAACAAGACCTCACGTCACTCCTTCCTATTCCAAACCTCAATCAAAACGTCCACCATAAATCATCATGTTGCTAATCGGTCTTACCGGCTCGATCGCGACCGGGAAATCCACTGTCTCATCAATCCTTTCCCAACCTCCGTACTCTCTTCCAGTTATCGATGCTGATTTACTTGCGCGCAAAGTTGTAGAACCAGGGACACCGGGTTATCAGAAGATTGTCGCTCATTTTTCATCCACTACCCCGGATCTCCTTCTCCCTCCTTCTCCCGATCATGACAATAAAAAAGGCGCTCCATTGAATAGACCTGCACTGGGTAGAAGAGTGTTCGGGGATACCGAGGAAAGGAAAAGAGATAGGGCAGTGCTGAATGGAATTGTGCATCCGGCAGTTAGGAGGGAGATGTATAAAGAACTGCTCAGATGCTATTTGAAAGGTTGTTGGGCTGTAGTTCTTGATGTGCCATTATTATTCGAAAGTGGAATCGATGTGATTTGTGGCACAGTCCTCGTGGTGGCCGTAAGGGATCCAAAGATACAAATGCAGAGGTTAAGGGACAGAGATGCACACTTAACAGAGGAAGATGCTGAAAACAGGGTCAAGAGTCAAGGGGACGTGAGAGAAAAAGCAAAAAGATGTCAAGCCAGAGGAGAGTCGTGTGGATTGGTGGTTTGGAACGATGAGGGAAAGGATGAACTGAAGATGGAGCTACAAAAGGTCATGGAAACTATTCAAGGCAAAAGCCCTAGATGGTGGGCCTGGTTACTACTATTGTGTCCACCACTAGCTGGACTTGCAGGCATATGGAATTACTGGAGAAATACTGTCATCAATAAAGAGTGGAAGAGAGGGGAGCTACAAGCCAAGGCTAAATTATGAGGCGCCACCCCGAAAAAACTGGAACAGGCATAGTCCCAAAGTACAGAGGCCATTGCGGAGTCGCCAAGAAGATGTTCGAGACAAGGCTGTCGGATTCAAACCTATTGGCATTGCAGAATATCGTTTCTTGCATCTGCTGGAAATATCTTCACACCTATAGAGGCCGAGAATAATAGGCAAGGTCCTATTCTTTCTTATGACCACGGGCAACATGTGGAATCAAGGCTAAAAGTTGTCTCCTGGTCGGCCGAGGGTTTCTGTTCCTTCATGAAGTTGCAGTAACCCATAGGATATCCTTTATGCCATATTGAAACACTTCGTGTTGATTTTCATCATAATACAGAATCTAGATCTACCATTTTCCAATGATAGGCGAATTTCTTGGTTGAGTTTCAGAACGGATCAACTTCAATTGATTATTTAATAAGAGGTAGCGAATTTTGAAATCATAGACAAAAGAGCACAGGTTGCGACCTCTCATAGACTGAGGTATGGTTGTATTCTATATTCACAGCCGAATTCAAGGTCATGTGAATTCTTGACCTAAATTCAATCATTACCCCAACACTATGTATCTGTTCCGATGCACTAAGCGCAGTGAAAATTCACATATCAAACAATTGTGAATAATCTGGAATGATCGTTTGTTTTGGTTCGTGAATCATCTTTTACTGCCATGAGATATTTTGAGTTGGGAGGGGCTGCCAGGAGTTCAGATGTGGAAGCTGCGCTAAGAGAACACCAACACACCCAAAGTGGAAGAGAAATGAGGATTTTGAACATCGACCTCAAGTAATTGATTTCCTTACCTTGGATTTCCAGTGGGAAAGACAGTATTCCCCCAAGTCAACGTTCAACCCTCTCTAAATTTATACTATTATTTTTATGTTTTCTCCTACACCCTTTGTCACAGTCATTCTACTCCTCAGTGTCAATGGACAATGCAAACTAAAAGGATTCACCCTCAATCTTGATTTCACAAAATCACAAAACTCCTTCATCAAGTACACGGGCTTTTCAAGTATCTCTACGGATAAATTCGGCTCGCCTCACTTCCTGCGGTGCTGAGCAGTTCCTATACCGAATTCTCGGGATTCCCAATGAAGCGTTATGGGCGCCGAACTCCATTGACGCGTTTCCGACCCGTGTAATGATTTACCTACTTTTCATGCGCGATATAATACTTGGTGCTACTGCGCTTTTCTCAACTGAACTGGGCTATTCTTTACTGGTACCCAAAAGCGCGTTATAGCATACCTAGCGTAAGGTCCTTGTTCATAGAAGTGCGTATGAGCACCTTATACTTCCCGGACTAAAATAAGATAGCATTTGAATCCTTCGATATCATTAATCCCAAGTGACCTCTCGGGTGTGCAAGCATCTGCGACCGTTTTCTGATGAAGGGCAGATACACTATTTGAGCACACGAAGCTTGATCCAGTGTGGTTGACGGGCTTCCAATAATGCCGCAACGCCCAGCAAGTGTGATCGAATGGGTCGCTGGCCCAGCTCCAACGAAGGCTGCATATCGATCTATTGCCGCGGCCAAGTCCAATATTATCACAGTGAGCCAACCACGTATTCGCCGGCGCCTCGCCATCGAAGTGGAGGTTTCTGATTTTGACACCTCTTCCGCAGTTGCTTCTGAAGAGGAACCTCCTTCGAAACCAACAACCAAAGAAATTGAGGAGCCGAAAGTCAAAGAACCAGATCCGGAACCAGAACCAGAACCTAAGACACCTCAGCCTGCAAAAGAGGTTGATAAGAGAGTAAAATTTCAAGAGCCAACGCCAAAACTTAAGTCGGCATTGAAGAAGAATACCCTAAAGATCTCAACAGGGCCTCGACCATGCGAATGCTCACAATGCAGAGCGCGGGAGAAAAAGAAAGATAAAAGCAGCGCGGAAGATTCAAGCGATTCCGAGGATGAGACGGAAGTTGAAATTGAACCTACAAATAAACGGCTGAGGAAAAAGCAGCAACCCAACAATAAAAATAACAACATCCCACAACCACGAAATCAAAAGGTCAAACAGAATCAGAATTTTGAAGGGAACCAAAGTCAGCGGGATATGAATGCGAAACAACGTAGCGATTATCAAAAAACCAGAAACAGTAACCGCCAAAACAATCAAGATAGCTCAGACGAGTCAGATCAATTTGAGAGCCAATCCGATCATCAAAATCAAAGCTTATTGGGATACCTAGGTCGAACAATGGAGAGACGTATTCTTCAGGATATGAGGGCTGAAGTTATACTGCGGGAGGATGTAATCGAAAATCCTTCTGATCCACGTCCAAACGCATTTCTTGATACAAAAAGTGGTGTCCTGCGCGTTTACCATGGTCGGGTATATGGCAATCCTTTTGCGACATTGCTCACGCCAGCTCAAGTGCCTATTGGTACTTTTGCTCCAGATTCAGCACACTTTGGTGGCTCACCTTCAATATACAACCCGTCCAGGCCGGTATCTTATGATCAGCAGCAATCTCAACCAAACTTACCCCGCGATTTCTCTAACAATACTGTCAGACACAATCCCAATCAGAATTTATCTGGGCAGCGCAATTTTTCCAGTAATAATTTCAACCAGAATTCTTCCAACAATCGGCGCCAGCAGCAAGGCAATAGCAACAATAATAACATTCCGCAGAATACAGATATGCCGGGTAGTTGGGTGGAAGATGCAAAGAACAAAGAAGATTCCGGCTCTGGTTGGAATAATAACGACCAGACGAATAATAATCAGGGTTCATGTGGTTCGGGCAATGATGACCAAAACAACAAACAAGACTCGAACGATTGGGGCAATACTGGTCAGAACAGTAATCAAAGGGTTGCGTCTGTAGGCAGTAACAAAACACAGACTTCAAACAAGCAAAAGAATAATAAGAAAGGTGGGAAGGGTCAAGGCAAGCAGAATAACCAGTCCAACAACAATTCAGGTGATGCATGGGGTGCAGATAACAATGATCAGTCTGGCAACTCAAACAGCTGGGGTGCGAACAATGAAACAAGTGGGAATTCGGGCTGGGGGAATGATACCAAGGAAGAGGATGCAAATGTCGCGCCGAACAATGACTCTTGGGGAAATGATAATGGCCAGTCAAATGACAATTCCAACAATCAGAGCTGGGGCTGGGGTAATGATAATAATGAGGAGTCAAATGACACTTCGAATAACCAGAACTCGGGTTGGGGCAATGATAACAACCAGGACTCGAACAATAGCTCGAACAATCAAGACTCGAGCTGGGGCAACAACAATAAGCAGAACTCAAATGACAAATCGAGCAATCAGAACACAGGCTGGGGAGGAAATAACCAAGACTCCAACGATACCTCAAACAACCAGAACTCAAGTTGGGGCAATGATAATAACCAGAATTCAGGCTGGGGTGGAGATAACCAGGACACTAACGATGATGCAAATAACCAATCTTCTGGCTGGGGTAACAACGACAATAATGACCAATCAAACTCCAACGCTCAATACAGCAATGACAATTCCGGTGGTTGGGGAGGAGATTCCGGCGGTAACAATAATACTACTCCAGGAGGTTGGGGAGATCCGAATGAGCAACAAAATAACAGCAACTCGGGAGGCTGGGCAAACTCGAACCAGAAACAAACCAAAGGTAATACTAAAGGTTGGGGTGGCTCTGGTAGTCAACAAAACAATGGAAAATCCGGCTTTCGTGTAGGTTCTGGAAATCAAAACAACAAATCCAATAATAACTCGAAGAAGCCACAAAATAACAAGTCGAAGAATACTCAAAAGTCTAAGGGCTACGATGATCCAGAATGGATTGCCTACAACAACGATCAAGAAGATGATGAAGGTAACCAAAAAGACGATGATGGAGGATGGGGGAGGAAATCTAATACAAATTACAACGTAGTTCAAAGTTCCAAGGGTAAAGGATGGAACAACAAGAAAAACAATCAGAACAATGGTGGTCGAAAAGAAAACTCCAGCAACCGAGGGAGTCAATGGGGAGGGGATGGACATAATTCTGGCGAGGGAGGAGACCAAGATGATGATGGAGAAGAAGGCAATCCGCAATTTCGTGATCATACACCCACAAGCAGTGAGATTTTGAGGAACTGGGACAATATAGACCAGGGCAGATGTTCAAACTTTCCCAACATTGGTGGTTATGATGGTGGTCGCAAACCTCGTCATACAAGGACTCCTACTGCTCTCTCTTTGGCTGGAAGCTGGGCCTCATCTGAACCTAGCGAGAATGGTGGCAATGGTGGCTATACTGGCAGAATTCGCAAGGCTAGTAAGGCTAGTAAAGGCGGAAAGAGTGTTAAAGCTGGCAAATCTGTCAATAATGGCTATGATAATAGCTCTGGAAGCAGTGGATGGAACAACACTGGCCCAAATGGTGGCTGGTAAAGGGGCTCACAATTTTAGTACTCCATAACTACGGATGCGGAGCATGTCACGTTTGTATTGTACGATTATGGTGAAGAGATGAGGGGAAAATTTTCTGTTCAGATCGTTTGCGAAATTCTGTACTTTGCGCAATATTTGACCAGTTTAATTCTCTAAATTATGGCAGGGCACTTTGCCCATTTGTACATATATCATACATATTAGCTTTATGGGTTGCAATGATGGGATGAAGAGATATCTTTGCTTCGAGATACTGTGAGGTTTAATACATGGTCATAATAGCATTAGGTAGAAATTATTGAAATGGCAATAGCTTTAACGATATGATTTTATGAAATATTTCTGTGAATGTACTCAAGAAGCACCGACCATGATGATAATTGAGTTGCTCCCGGTGACCTTACTTGACCTGCAGTAAGCTCCTCATAAGGCTGGAGCTTGGGCCTCGGTTCAGGATCAGAGAAGTCAAAGCTCCTGCAAGGCTGACACTGCCCATTCAACATCAACATTTCACATTCCCCTCCATAATTCTCACCTCTCCATTCAAAAAACAATCAAACCAACAAAAACCACCCTCACCCACCACATAAACCAAATCCCACATAAACTAACTCATATCAAACCAAAAAAGCCAACCATGACAACAACCACATCTCCTCCCGCAAATCTCCCAGCAAACTCGGAAATCTACCCCTCCCCCTTTCCCGCTCGCTCGAAAACTGCTTCTGCTACGATTAATGGCGTGCTTACGGATGTTTCGTGCATGTATTTTGCGGATAGGATTTTAGTTACTATTTGTCAGGGAGGAAGATTGGGTCAATGGGTTTGTTGTTCTTTTTTCTTGTCTTATTGCAACATTGTTTCTGTTTCTGTTTATGAGTAATTTTTTTAAGTTTTGTGATTTCCTTATATCCATCCTTATACTAAACTCACTCTGCTCACTCTGCTCACTCTCCTCCCCCTAACTCATCCTCACAGATACAAATTCCCCTCACCAGCGCCTCCCCCACCAGCTTCGACACCGCAATTCCCCTCCCCTCTTCCACATCTACCTTAACCTCTATATCCAATGGCGCAAATATGATTCTGCCACTTGAACATTTAACTCCTCGTACGTTACTAGGTGCGGCGGGGAAAGAGAGAGGATTGCTCATTTGTATGCGAGTCAGATTGGGAGTATGATATTGGGAAGGGATCCGGAGGAGAGGAGAACGGTTTTGTTGGGCTTGGGGTTGGAGGAGGAGAAGGGAAAGGGGAGTGTGGGTGCGGTGGATGGGGAATGGGATGATGGGGAGAGTAGGGGGAGAAGGGGAGAGTGGGATATTTTGATTTGTTGGAGTTGGTTGGGGGGGTCTTGTGAGGAGGGGTAATGCAGTAGGGAAGGGAGTCATGTTCTTCTGAGGGGATTACCGATAATGATGTATGAGGAAGGCAGAGGGGTATCGTGGCATGATTAGGGGTTATATGAGGACGATATATCCAATATCGTATTTTCAACGTGCAGGAACTCAACCAGCAAGAAGAAGCACAAGCCGATATTGAGATATCGACCAAGGCTCAGATACGCAGCGCATGTTCTCAACCACATGAATAAAGCCCACCGCATAACCCCTAAAGCGCCGTCTGCTCTTGCAGGAATATAGCGCTTTCTGAACTAGCATTTCTGTTTCCTTTCAAGCGATTCATCTACCTCTCAACGGCAACCCCTTAACGGCAACCCCTTGAAACAATGATATCACCAGTTGATATTGGAGGAAAGTGACTAAACCCTGGTGATACCGCAACTGTTAAAAGTTTGACCAGTGGAGTTGGAGTCATCTCTAGAACATTGGTGGTGTATATACCCCGGTATTGAATGAGTGGTACGGCGTACATGACATATGGATGGCAATGCAAAGTTATATGATACTACCTAGGTAACGGAAAGCGATTATCTAGAACGTCGCGATATCCATGATCTCTTCAACAGATATCTAGTAGGTACAACGCGAAGTCACGTAGGACATACATAAACTCATTGCTAATTATTCAATGATGTAAATACGCCATCTGTCTATTCTAAAAATGCCAATGGGTACATATTAATATAGATAGAGCAATGTCTCCCACTAGCTTTAAGTGATCTCCAAAACTCCTTTCCAATAATTTATAGAAACAATCACGAAATATCGTTGCTAAGGACTTAACCCAGAAGTGTCCATGCCATCATAAAACCTTACATATACAACTCTAGCTAAGCCTTCACAACAACAGCACTAGGAGCCTGCGCCCGCGCAGCCTTCTCCTTAAACTCATCATTCTCCAGTTTGAAGCGAAGTTGACACCCTGTTTTTCGTCAGTTTGGGAGATTTTCTTGATGGATGGATAAATGGATGAAAATGTGTAATTTGGAGAGAGAAACTTAAGTCTTACAATCGCCACAGGATATGGGTTCGTATTTGGGTGGATTATTTTCATCGGTGCATGTAGAGATTACGCCTTCTACACAGTTGAAATTAAGTCCTGTGTGATGATTTGTGTGGATTAGTGTTGGTATTGTTGTTGTTATTTTAGTTTGTGATATATGATATGATATGATATGGTATGATGGATATATTGATATTCAGGAAGGGAGGAAGGAAGTATGAATGAATGGAAAATAAAGACTTACCGAAAAAGAATGGCATGGATATTCGCTCTACGGTTGCGCGGTTATAGACTCGATGCACAGTGCTCTTGTACATATCATTGCAGAGTCTCATCATGAAATCTCCGATGTTAACTACGATTGTTCCCTCGATCGGTACGGCCATGATCCATTGGCCTTCTTTATTTAATACCTGTAATCCTCCTATCATATCTTGCCATAGTAATGTAAAAAGTTGTAGATCAGTATGGCTACCTAACCCTACACTATTATTTGATTTCTCCTCTTCGGTACTCGGGGGATAGTAATTGTAGAGGCCATCGGCGCCGGGATAAGTCACTCGACTATCGAAATAATCTTCTGGGAGTGAAAGACTTAGTGCGAAGACTCGTACGAGTTTGCGCGCGAGAGTGAGACAGGATTTCCAGTAGGCTAGTGTGTCGGTTTTGAAATTGGGGAGGTGAGATGTTCCTTCCCAGACGAAGGATTCGCCTCGTATAAAGGGTTTTACTTCAGAGGGAATGGAAGAAAGGGGTTGTGGGTGATCGGGGTCGTTTTCGGGTTCGTAGCGCCAGGCAATCTGGGGTTGTTGGTGAGGAGGGAGGGTATGAGGATATGGGGTTTGGAGACGTACGGATTCTTTGACGTCTACACTTTCTCCGGGGCTGATATTGGAACTTTTTAATCCCATGTAGCCATTGAAATAGCGGGAATGGCTTTTATCTATTTTGGCTTTTCCTTCGTATGGTTGTTTGAAGAAACTAGGCCCATGTTAGTTTTCATTTCTATTCATCTATCCAGTTCTCTTTCTCCCGCTCGCATGTCTCAAAGGAAAATCCTAGGCCCTTGAAGATTCCTCATAAAAAGCCTCTCTATACGTTTCATCTCGTTTCCGTGGCCATCCCCTCTCATCCCTTTAAGCAATAACTCACCTCAACGCCTGTTCCTTCGCCCTTGCGATAACCTGCTCCTCGATCCCATGATTCTTCACATAAAAAAACCCCGTCCCTACAGCCGCAGCGCGTACTTCTGCTGCTAATGCCTGTCGATCACTCAGAATAGGAGAGTTTATATTCGAGAGGTCGATTATGGGGATTTCGGTATCGGTACAGGGACGAGGTGGTGTGTTGAGTACATCACGATAGACGGGACCATAGGCGGTCCGGAGCTCGAGTTTGGTTGTTGTGGGAGCGGGGTCAGGAGCGGACATTGTGAGGAAGGGTGGTTTTTGTGGGTTGTATCGAAGAAGAAGCAAAGAGGCTGTTCAAGATGTTTGAGTTTTGAACGGCAAAAGAAGTGGTGAAAAAGATAGATGAAAAGTAACTGTAGCCGTAGATGTAGCGGTAGCTAGAGTAAATGGTGGCTGATTATACCCCGCCAAACGATCATATGCAACTATGAATCGGCGTGTCCCGATCAAAGGATTATTCAATTCAAATATTGACTCTGTGTTGTATGTTTGTATATCCAATAGTAGATTTAACATTTAATAAGAGATCTGGACATCTACTGTAAATTTACATCCTCATGTCCAAGACATTATTGGTAAGGAATAATTAAATATCCCACCATCATATCATTTGATTTCTTATCGCTCATGTTTTAAGCTTATCGTACTTCTCATGCCAAACCAAGACTCTCATCGCACGACGCACAGACTCAACTCGACAAGGAACCCCTGTATATAATGACCCCTGCAACAACAACCACATCACAGCTTCAATCACGTGTGTCGTGTGTTGAGTCGATTGATCAAATACAAACTCCGTGAACACAACTTCAACGTTTCAAATGTATCTATCCATCCGTATCACAACATTCCTTCATTTCAATTCAACGGCTACTCGCATACAGAGATCTCACATGGTACCAAAATGTCAAAACCTCGTTTTCTCGTGCATGATTCCTGGAATGACAAGTTTTTGATAAGTCTGATGACAAGTTTGACATCGGCGTACACAAGCGTGTATTTTAATTGCCGGAATGCTTAACTGAGTTCTTGGTTGCACCAGTCTTGTATGGAGTGTAGAGATAAGGATGTTCTCTTGGTTACATTTAATCTGAGAGAGCGGAAAACTGCGCAATATTCATGCTGCTCATTGCTCGGATTTCTGCGCCTTGCTGCGAGTCACTGCTTTGGGGAGAATATGTGGTTACATTGCATATCTATATCTTTTCCTTATCATTTTATGCAGGTACTTTTTGGACCAAAAACGATGTGAATAGAATTTAGTGTGGGGTTGGATGGGTAGTCCATTTTTCTATCTACTAGATGCGATCTAGAGAAATCTATATTAGTTGATAGATGACATATCTCTACGTTCACCGTTCCTACCCGATCGACTCTTTATTCCTTGTTTTCCCTCTTTTCCTCTCCTTCAGAATCAATATCAACATCAGTATTCCTTTTGTATCAATCAATCGCATTCGTTGCGTACTCGTTCAAAATGATCGGTCATCTATTCGGTCTCCTACGCCAAAAGTTGCGAAATCCGCATTTTGAAGCAAAAGGCGCAGCAAATGTTCGTGGAAAAGATAATTGGTTAGATAATGATGATATCAGACCTTTGAAATTGGCGGATCGTACTTGGAATGTTTGGACTTATCTTACATTTTGGTTTTCTGCAAGTATGTTGGCAATACTATCATGAGCTTCGATATGGATTTTTTGATGATGCTAATGTGAATTGAATAGCTTCGACAGTTTCGACATGGTATGCTGCATCAAGCGCTCAGGCTTTGGGATTGAGTATGTGGGAATCGCTTTTGTGTGCTTTTGGTGGTCAATGTTTGATTGCTATTGTCATTGTATTCAATGGTAGATCAGGAGCTGTATATCATATGTGAGTTTTAATTTCCATCTTATGCATATGGAATGACCCGTCTCGATTAAGTGATTGTTGTATCGAACAAGTCTTATTTCCATTTTCCGCTTCAGAGGGACATCTTCAATTGCCTTTTTCATCATCATCATATCATAAAACTCCATTGCTCCTCATCTGCTGACAATAAACGAAACATTCAGTGGTTATCCTATTCTCAACAGAGCTGCGTTTGGTGTTTTTGGAGCATGGTGGCCTACCTTCAATCGTGCTGTGATGGCCATTGTTTGGAATGGTGTCAATATGGTTCAAGGAGGTGAATGTATCTATGTCATGCTTCATACTTTCAGTCCACGTGTTGCCAATTTTAAAAATGTCATGGGGGAAGGATCTGCTCTTGATTCTGGTGGTATGCTTGGACTTGGAATCTTTTGGATTCTTACCTGTTGTTTTCTTATTATTCCTGTTCCAAAGGTCAGTACGATTCAGCTATTTCTTAAAATGATAATGCTAATGCGAGAACAGATGAAAGGTCTTGTATATGCTAAACTTATTGTCTTTATCATTTCCGCCGTTGCTATGTGTGCCTGGACTTTGACCATGGCTGGTGGTATCGGACCAGTTGCTCGTCAACCAGGGACAGTTAAAGGCACAGAACGAACATGGCTTATCGTACGATTTATACTTCTTGGTGCTGCTAATTGTGCAACTTTTGCCTCCAACGCAGCGGACTTTCAACGTTATGCTGGCAAACCGAATGATGTTATTTGGGGGAACTTAGTCGGATTTCCTATTTCTAATGTTCGTATATTCCCGCAAACACATAAATTGGTTTTTGTACCTCATACTGACACACTCACTAGTTAATTGTAGCAATCATCGGTAATCTAGTTGGTTCCTCAAGCCAAGTTCTCTTTGGGGAAGTTATCTGGTCCCCACTCACCTATCTCGATCGAATTCTTGAACGAACATACGATGCACCTACTCGAGCTGGGTGTTTCTTCATAGCTGCTTGCTTCGCCTATTCTGCAGTTTTCTCTTCAATTTTTGAAAACTCAATTCCAGCAGGAAATGATATTGCCGCTCTTTGTAAGTCAATGTCACTTTCATCATGAAGCAGAGTTCCAGAATTATCATCCTTTGCTAACACAACAACCTCAGTCCCAAAATACATATCCATCCGCACAGGTTTCTTCATCTGTGCCGTCATCTCCATAGTAATCCAACCATGGTACCTCCTCAAATCCGCCGTCATCTTCATTTCTTTCCTCGCCTCGTACCAAATCTTCCTCTCAGCCATCACCGGTGTCCTCCTCTGTCATTACTTCATCATCGCCCGTGGTTTCCTCAACATCCCAGACCTCTACACCTCGGATAAAAATGCAGCATATCACTATACGGGAGGTTGGAACTGGCGTGCCTATGCCGCATATATAATCGGCATAATTCCAAATTTCTACGGCTTTTTAAATAATATGGGTGTTAAAGCTCCGCTGGGTGTTACAAGAGCATACTATTTCGCGTATCCAATTGGTCTTTTTGTTAGTTTTCTGGTTTATTGGGGACTTTGTTATAAATGGCCGGTGAGGATTCAATATCCTTTGGGTGAGTGGATGGAGGTTAAGGATTATGTGAGGGAGGAGGAGAGGGGGGAAGGAGAGGGAAGTGGGAGTGGATGGGGTAGTATGGTTAGTAGGGAGGAGAGAGTGATTGGAGGAGTGGTAGGTGAGAAAGATGGAGCTTCTTTGAATGAGGAGAAGAATGAATTAGATGTTGCGGCGAGGGAAAATGTAGGGGATCGTGTGAGATATCGTGGACTCGGATAAGAGACTTTGGTTGGGGAGAAGTAGAGGTGTGGAGATATTGTGTATATATTTTTAGATATTTATAATATGACTGTTTATGTATAAGATTATAATCTTGATAGTTTATGTAGGTTCTTGTTAATATAATGGTTCATCTTCTTGATATTTTAATATTATTAATAGTATTATAAAACGAGTGAGTGTTTGAGATGTGGGATCATAACCTTAACCTTATTGTAGGAGATCGGATGAGGTGAAATGAAGTGAAGTGGAACGTCTATAGATTGATGACGCTGGCTGGGGATGAGAAATCAAATAAACACTGCAGACGCTATATATATCATACTAAATGATGTGTATTATTCTATATAAAGTAGAGATAATTGAATAGATATATAAATATAAAATTACGAATTCTAAAAGCTTGAAATTGTATTTTATTTATACTTTGTATTTTATAAAGTTATTAATAAAATATTGATATAAATATTTAAAAATTTGATTAATAATAAATAATTAATAAAACAATTATAATATTAATATCAATATCAATATCAATATTAATAATTATAAACCTTTATTGTTCATTCAATAACAAAACACAAAGCATAGGATAGTATATGAAAAACTTTACTTCATATTCATAAATCAGGAATAGGGTTAACCTTAAACCCCAGCTTCACTATTCCAAACCAACGCTAACGTCAACCCTAACAATAGTCCACTCGCATTAGTCGCATACGCCGTACATGCCTACCCAAACAATTCCCCCACACAACTTCACTTCCACACCACCTATTCCTAGCCCTCTCTCACCACAAAACAACACAACACAACACCCTACTTATTATAAAACGACTAGACTACATAGGGTAACTGGGCCTTATCACTGCACGTTTTGTAAGCATTTAGGTACTCTCTAAACTATACTTGTCTTCGTGGATCAATAACCTGCATTAATTAGAAGGGATATGAAACTCCTTGTTGCATGTCTTGATTTTTAGTTTGGTTGGAAGGATACGTAGGGGTTCTAGTTGTGGGTGCTTTGCTTTTGCTTTAGTAGGGGGGTTGATAAAAGGGAGAGGAGAGATATGTATATAGTAATATTATTTATTGTATTGTATTGTGATTATATGAGTTTCACCGGTTCTAGTAACTTTTGTCCGGTATTGGTATATCCTCCGCAACGCCGAAAATATCGAATGTAAGTGATGTACTGTACACCAGGTTTGTATTTGAAACCTATGTTCATCCTATGTAGGACTCACCCCACCATTCATCACCTTACTCTTCCTTCTTTTTGGTTTACCTGAACCAGGGGTTCTGGGACTCTTCTCCCCCTTACTTCCTTTCTTTTGCATTCCCAGATCTGTTTTCAATGGTGTAGGAAGTGAAGGTTTACCACTTAAACCAAAACCTGCTGCTTTTGATGTTGGTGGTACCATGAGCTTTTCTTTTTCCTTTCGACCTGTTGTACTGAAATGGAAATCACCTGGAGTTCCGGTGATAGGATTTTCGTCCATATATTCGTCACCATATTTGAGGGTGATATTGAGGGTTTCTTCTAAAAGATGATTGGCGAGAACATTGTTGGAGAAATTAGCAGAAGGATTTTTGGCTTCAGTCGCGAGAGAATCAGGCATTGGCGTATTTTCTTTAGAAGTTTGAGAGAAAGCGGATGTAATGGCTTTTGTTCGTGGAGGACCTGGTGGCATATATGTATGACCCAGAGAGGGAGAGAAATTAGGTAGTTCGGATACTTTTGAAATAGCATTTGTGAGTGAGTTGAAGGCCGATAACTGTATTGCGATTAGAGAAATTTAATATTAGGTTAAGAATTATAAATACCATTCTACTACCTAGCACATCTGCGGCAGTAGGAGCCATATAAATATTCTCCCCCACGACAAAATACGATGCGTGGACTGTAATTTCATCATCCTCAAGAGTTCTTTTTCTTCTTATTTGTTTCCTAATCACCCATACTCCGGTACCACTACCTGGTGTCTTCTCTGCAGGTTCTTGCGCAACTATAAATTCCAGTCCAGACATAGATTTGAGTCGCCCTTCGAATGCGGCACGGGTTCCAAGTAGGTACATCAAGTTTGGATTCATTTGAGCTTGTGTAGTAAGCATAGCATTTTTTGAGACACGATCGAAAAATGGGGATTGCGCAAAGTAGTGCAGAACGGTATTTTCATGAAGCCCAGAATTCTGCGCGAGCCATTGTGGATCCCTCCATTGTATCTCATCGAGGGGCGGATCTTGTGGTGCCATGATTAGGATGCGAGTGGATATGGAGGGACAACGTTGAATATCGAGATGAAGCAATTCAATTTAAAGCCTCTGTGATTTAAATTAACTCTGGCTGTATAGAGTGAAAAGATTTGTCGTATGTGGTATGTGTGAAGAGCATGTGAAGAGCATTCAAATAAGTTGTTTGTGAGAATCACTCGAGAGGTATCAATGGTAGAATGAAGAGGACAAAAATGGCGGCAGATACCGAGAAGCTGGAGAAACCCTAGCGGCCGCTAGTGTGGATTCCATGACGTCGATCATCTGGCCTAGATTGTCTTTTGAAGGTTGATCATTACGAACGGACATCATTAGATACCGATTATCATTACCTACTATCATTACCTACTAATCATCGACATCATAGAAGTAGCACCAATAAAAATTGGACCTTTCTATAGACAGAGAACTTCTTGTCTTCTTCCCTCATCGTCTACTCTCTTCCTTCCAGTATCTCCCCTCTCAGTATCTCCCCCCTCAGTATCTACCCTCTCAGTATCTCCCCTCTCAGTATCTCCCCCCTCAGTATCTCCCCCCTCAGTATCTCCCCTCTTTAATCATACAAGATCAGTATATCTCAGCCATATCTTTCCAACCTAAAACTACAGCCGTCCCACCATTTACTTTCCACCGAATATCACATAGATTCAGAGCTTTAAATAGGATTAGCCAACATGCCCCCAATTCAAACACCTTATTAGGTCTCTCCGCGAGATTCGAGACCAAATTTTTTCATGTTTTTTGATCTTGCCTACTGGAATGATTGGATACAAAATAGGTTGCAATAGACACAACGCGGAAATTAAATTACACCAGCCTACTCCGCTGAAGGCAGCTTTGTCAATATGTGAAGAGTGGTCTACTGTCGAGACTCTATAACGAATCACATTGTTTCTTCCCTTCTTTTACCATCTAGAATCAAAGCGATATAAATAGTACCTGAGCGAAAAGAGGCACTGAATTTGGAGATCTAGAGGGGAGACGAATGAAATATGAGTTTTTAGGAGACATTATGTCTGGCTTTTGAATCGAGCAGCTAGGAGCTGTTCAATCATTGGCATGTCGATAGCTTTCATAAAGGGCAGAGTCCCATATACCGAATTGCAGTTGAAGAGCCAGAATTATAATCATGTAAACAACTCAACTGATGAACCTTTAAATAGGCCAAGTTTGCTTGCTCGTGTGATGAGCTCTTGAAAGCGCAATTTACAGCAAAATCCCCGATGAATCTATGTGAACTTCCCCGTGCCCCGCAATTCAACGGATCCATTTGTAAAGAAAGTTCAAGGCGGTGAGCAATCCGGCAGAAAAAAGTTCCCGACCAGAATCGCAAAAGCACAAAAAATGCCATATTTCTTTCTCATTATCACCAGATCAAATTTTCTACATCCAACCGAGGATCGAGAATTAAAGATGCCTCCGAAGTTTACACCCCGCCAGCGAAAGCATAAAGTGCTTGCAAGAAATAAGACCAATGAGTCTGAGAACCTAGTCGACTCTAATGCGACAGAGATTCTTCCCTCCTCGAAATCCGCTCACGAAGAAAAGAAGCAGAAATTGAAGGTGGAGTTGGCAGGGGATAATAAAATTAGTGGAAAGAAGGCCAAGCGACTGGAGAAATATATTGAGACAAAGCTTAGGAAGGACGAAAATAGGATATTAATTGAGAAATTATCTAAACGGAAAGAGGAGGGAGGATTGTACGAAAGCAGTAAGAAATTAGGCCAGGGCTCATTAACTAGGAGGGAAAGATTGGCGCGAGCGCTGAAAGAACGGGAGAGAGGAATTGACATTGATGGAGATGGAGAAGAACTACTTTTTGAAAAGAGAACGGTTAGAGAGATGGAGAGTGAAAGCAGTGAAGAAGACGACGATCAAACCGAGCACAAGAAGGAAGGCGGACTATTCCAAGGCGCCGCGACAACACTACCTATCGCTCCAGCTCCAAAGGTACCTGCACAAACATTACAATTTGGCGTGGGCACAGGTTTAAAGAGACCACTTGAGGTGGACGACGACGGAAAACCGGTGATACAAAAGAGGCAAAGGCGAGGAGGTGTTAAGTCGAGGATATTGTTGAAGCCACAAGTCCCAGCTGCGGAACCAGAATGGGAAGGATTTTCTTCGGGATCAGAGGTTGATAGTGATGAAGAGATGAAATCTGATGAGGACTCTGAGGATTCGAATGCGCCAGATGATACAAGCGACCCAAAACGTGCCGAGTTACTGAAACGTCTTGCGGGTATTTTTGCTGAAGACGGTGATGGCGGGGAATCAGAAGATAGTAGTGAGGAAGGATCTTCAGGTGAAGATAGTGATGGAGACAGCGATGAGTCAACCCTTGAGGCAAGCGACCCAGAACATGCCCAGTTACTAAAGAATATTATGGCCATTTTTGGAGAAAGCAAGGAGGGAGCTCTTCAATCGAAGCTCGGAAATGACGTGAAGGAGGATAATAAAGGAGGGTCATCGGACGAAGACAGTAGTGAAGGCGATAGCGAGGAGAGCAGTGAGGAAGACGAAGATGAGGACAGTACCTCGAGAAAACAGGAGCGTTCATCTGCATTTAAAGCCTGGGCAACTCAGCAAGTAAATGAAGCTTATGGTTATGAACCATCATCAAACATTCCAAATGCGACGGAAACACCCAAAATAGAAGGATTCGAACCTCGACCTTTGGAACAAGACCCTTTACCATTGGAACTACAACCTACTACCAATTTATCACGGAAGGCATTTAGTGTTTCTGTTGAAAGACCCTCAAGTATTCAAGACGTCAGACTTAAACTGCCAGTTGTAGCTGAAGAACAGAAGATTATGGAAGCAATTCATAACAATAATCTAGTGGTTGTGTATGGTGCTACTGGCTCTGGAAAAACTACTCAGGTACCTCAGTTCTTATACGAAGCTGGTTATGGTACTAAAGACTCTCCAAATCCTGGAATGATCGGAGTCACGCAACCTCGAAGAGTTGCGGCCGTTAGTATGGCAAAACGAGTAGGCGATGAGCTTGCTGATCATGGTAAGCGAGTTGCCTATCAAATTCGATTCGAGGGAACCGTAAGTTCAGACACTGCTATAAAGTTCATGACGGATGGTGTACTATTGAGAGAAGTAGCACAAGATATTGCTCTACGAAAGTACTCCGCTATCGTTATCGATGAAGCTCACGAGAGGAGCGTAAATACCGATATCTTAATTGGTATGCTTAGTAGAGTGGTAAAGTTAAGAGAGGAAATGGCTTTAGAAGACCCATCTATCAAACCATTGAAACTCATTATTATGTCTGCTACTCTAAGAATTACAGATTTCACGGAGAACAAGACATTGTTTGCTAATCCTCCACCGGTGCTTCAAGCCGAGGGTAGACAATATCCAGTCACTACTCATTTTGCTCGAAAGACACATCATGATTATGCCGAAGAAGCATTCAGAAAGATTAGTAAGGGTCATCGCAAACTTCCACCAGGAGGAATCCTGGTATTCTTAACCGGTCAAAATGAAATCACACATCTCAGTAAGAAATTAAAAGAGGCATTCAAGATAGGCTCTACTACAACAGGACCACAAGTCCGCATATCCGGAAAAGATGCACCGGTCGAAGCCGAAGATATCGATTTTGGTGAAACTATGGACACTACTAATGACGATTATGTCGATGATGACGACGAAGTTACGTTTAATGACGAGGAAGATTTTGATATTGGGGAAGAAGCAGACACTGGGCCTTCAAAGATGCATATATTGCCACTATACTCCTTACTGTCTACGAAAGAACAATTGAGGGTTTTCGAACCACCTCCTGATGGTTCACGATTGATTGTTTTGGCCACTAACGTTGCTGAAACATCTCTCACAATTCCTGGTATTCGTTATGTTTTCGACTGTGGAAGATCAAAGGAACGTAAATACGATAAGACAACTGGCGTACAAAGTTTCGAGGTAGGATGGATCAGTAAAGCCAGTGCAAGCCAACGTGCAGGTCGTGCTGGACGTACTGGACCAGGACATTGTTATCGATTCTATTCATCAGCTGTTTATGAAAGAGATTTTGAGGAGTTTGCGGAGCCAGAAATATTACGCATGCCCATTGAAGGTGTGGTGCTGCAGCTCAAATCAATGAATTTGCAACACGTTGTTAATTTCCCATTCCCAACTCCCCCGGATCGACAAAGTCTTGCGAGCTCTGAGAAACTTCTCACTTACCTCTCTGCAATTTCGCCATCGGGTCAAATAACTCCTACAGGTTCCACCATGTCTATATTCCCACTTTCACCACGATTTTCTCGTATCCTTCTGGTCGGACATCTACACGATTGTCTTCCCTACACCATCGCACTTGTAGCTGGCCTCTCTGCTGCCGATATTTTCATTCCAGAAAACCAAGTCATTCCCGTCGCCGCTCCCCGTGAGGATGAAGACTCGTACCTCACCACTGCCGAGAAGATCGAACAAGATGCTCGTGCAAATCTCCGTCGTCAATTCAACAAAGTTCATCAATCATTTTGTTTCCTTGACGATAGGTCCGATGCCATCAAACTCCTTCAGGCTGTCGGTGAATTCGCCCACGAACCCACAGAGGCATGGTGTGCGTCTCACTATGTTCGCTATAAGACCCTCAAGGAAATTTCTCAATTGCGTCGTCAAATCACAGATCTATTGCGCACTAATATCCCGGCATTCGCGGCATTGAAATATGAAGAGAAATTGGCTCCACCTTCTGCTAAACAGGTCAAAGCGCTTAAACAAATGGTTGCTGCAGGATTTATTGATCATGTAGCCATCCGAGCAGATTTATCCCCAACACAAATTGAAGCCTACAGAAAACCTAAGCGAGCCATCGACGTACCCTATATCACACTCTTCCCTTCCCATCTTCGTACTCCCAACAAACACAATGACGAAGAGCAAGAACAAGATAAGGCAGTCTATATCCACCCCGCCTCCCCCTTGTCCCATTTTTCTCCAAATGAATGTCCTGAATACATCATCTACTCGTATTTGCAGAAACCCGCCGAGGATGTTAATGCAGATGGATCGAGGAAGAGGCAGAAAACTAGAATGCATAGTTTGACGGATGTTACTGGAGGGCAGTTGGCCAGTTTGGCAAAGGGAACGAGTCTTTTGGAGTATGGAAAACCTATTAAGGAGGTGATGGTTAAAGAGAAGAAGGCTGGCAAGGATGCAGGGGCAGAAGGTGAAATGAGAGAGTGTTGGGTGGTGCCTTATTTGAGGGCGGAGGGTTCCGGTGGTTTAGGCTGGCCGTTGCCGGCTAGGAAGGTGGTTCAGAAGAAGGTTAGAGGGAAAGGTTGGGTTGTTGAGTAGATACATAGATATGCAGGCACCTATATTGTGTGTTTAGATGAGGTTGCATGATATCCGATAGTTTTGATTATGCCTTCACAGAGTTCAATAGATAAAAAATTTGGTTACTTGTAGTTTGACACTTCGAAATTATTCATGCTTGAAAGTGATAAGTCCGGGATCACAATAAAAGATTAATGCATGTATGGAGTTTTGTTTTTATGAATCATATATGTTAAAGGTTTATGTAGAAAAGACTTCAAGATCTCAATTGATTTCAGATAGAATAAAAAGCGTGAGCCTACAACCGGTGAGCTGCAGGTGCGGGGGCTCGTCACGGGAAGCTTGTCTTGACCAGAAACTCCACCTGAAGCCCCTTACCAATTATTAAATGATGCCACTTCAAGATATTCTACGGAGTCTGAAACTCAGAGATAATAAGCGAAAACAAAGATTATACTCCTCAGCGCGGTCTTGATAACTTCATATATGTTACAAGCCAAAGCGTGCCTACTTGTGATTGGTCATCACGAAGTCCAAACATCATCTTTAAAACACACTTCGCACAGTCTCCCTGAGCCACCAAGATCAAAGCACAACTTCAGAATCACACAAAATGTCGACCTTGGATATGTTTTCCCTTAATTTTCTTACTCGAATATCGCTATACAAATTGCGAGAAAAATGCAGCTTCCAACTGGTATCAATCGCAAATATGCCGCCCTAGCAGGCTTTTTCCTAGGACTGGCATGGCTTTGGTACGCTTTTGATCGTCCTCGTGTTATACCTACATATATCATCTGGAATGCTAGTCCCGATGGCTCTCAAGCACATAATCCCCCTCCCACCTTGGATCAACACGATGTATTCGATTTCCCGCATGTCAATTCCGAGGTTATGAGAGCAGTTTGCGAGACACAAACATGGAACTCGAGCATCATATTTACATGCGACAGTAACCAAGGAGGAGTTGGGCATGTGCGAAATGCGATACTGAATTGTGTGCGATATGCGATTGGTGCAGGTGGTAGCTTGGTTATGCCAAATATCAAGCTGAGGGAAGATATTGAGGGAATGAACATGATGCCGAGCGAGGATGGGGACGGATCACATATGGGAAAACGACATGGGCTCGGTTGGAAAGGAATGGACTACATGTTTGATGCGGACCATTTCAGGAAATCTTTGAAAATGTCATGTCCTGAATTGAAGGTCATTGATCACATGGAACAAACGGTCAATGGGAGAAGACGCGGGCTTCAGCCTGAAAGCTTATTTATCAACCGGCCAAGCAGTGGATTGGAACATCCAGAGGAATGGCAAGGAAAATTAAATGATTGGATCCAAAAGTGGATGGCGCCAACACCGACTTCGATCCCAATTGTTGTGGATCTCGAACAATCCAATCTTCAATATCCAACCCATGCCGACGGTCATGTATTTGCCCATGAGTTCGGCAGGATTATGAAATTCCGACCTGATGTTCGTCGGCTCGCGACCTCGACTTTGCGCCAAATGTCCAGCTGGTACGATGTGCCACTCAACGTTAGCTCAACAATTGTTACCCCTTCATTCCTGGGCGTACATTTGAAAACCGAGCCGGAAGAAGTTTCAGAAGGAATCGCGAAACGTCATGTCACTGCAGCTCCATTCACGCACTACAATGGTCAAGCTGAGGCATATATTGCATTGGCGAAGTCGATGAAAACGCCACTCATTTATGCTGCATCTGGCGATATTGATTCTACCCACAAGCTCGCAATTGAGGCCAAAGGTCATGGCATCGATGTTACTCACAAAGAAGATCTTTTGAAAGAGCATGAGCGAGAAGAGCTCTCTCATCTAAGATGGGATCAGAGAGCTTTGATCGACTACCTTGTGGTTTTGCGAGGAGAATATTTCGCGGGTGTAGGACATTCAATGTTCTCGTGGAATGTAATGTTGAAAAGACATGAGTCTGCATTGTTGAAGCAAAAATTGCACGAGAATATTTATGCCGATGACCTAAGTAGTCTCTATGGTGTTAGAGAGAGCTATCTGGACTCGGCAAAATGTATGTGGCCTTGATTTTGTTTGGGTAATCTGGGTTGGAGTACAGGATTTTTTGGAGTATATGCTTGGATAAGCAATGGAGTACATACATAGCTTGCTGGGTTAGCTACTGTTGTAGGTCGAGGCAGAATTTAATACTATTACCATAATCTTTTTAACATCATATATTTTCTACATGAAGCCTACGTGCTTCATGCTCTCATTTATTTACGCTTTTTCATATCCTGGGATAAAGCCCACGTCCTGTTCAATGTAAAATGTAAGACATATCACTGTCATACTAGTTGCATCTCTAGGTACGTCGGAAATTAGGAGAATTCTTGATAGTCCCGCCTCCACACGCGGCCCTCCCGAGATTTCCAAATAGGAACTCACTCTCTTGAGACGCGAACGAAACAATCAGCGCAACGATCAAATTAACGTCCGATGAGCTACTTGCTCACCATAATACTCCTGTCAGAAATTGTCTGATTCCGGGGTCCTAATTCTCTCCAATCTTCTAGCATGCTCAATAAATTCAAGCGAATGATATCCGTATAGTGTAGGAAGGAAATCTAGATATCCATTCCATCACTCTAATGATTAATTAATTATCGTTTTAAAATTCCTCGACTGTTCTGGCGGAATTAAACTTCACACTATTTTTCACTGCAGTTACCTATGCATCTTACCGCGTATCACTGCATGATTTATTGCTAGTCAGTACGGAGTAGGTGACACTAGTTTCGCGCGGGATATTTTAGATATGCAGGGTCTTAGAGTTGTGATGCCTCGCTCGCTCTATCGGAGAGTTTCTTTGTGGGTTCTTACTACTTTTTGGTCTGGTTGCCTGGTTCTTTTTTGGTGATATACTCCGTAGTTAGTTTTGGTTTTGGTGGAGTATTTGTGCGTTAGATTGTTTACGGGGTGTTTGTGGATGTAGACTATGTTTTTGGGGAGGGGAGGTGGTGATGTTGGTGCTTTTTGAGTAATCTTTCATACATCTAAGGCTTTGAGGCTTAGGGCTTGTATAGGGTTAACGGCCTTTTCATTCAATACCCGAAAGTCGAATGGATTAGACTCATATTCATTCAAGTCTTTGTGTTCTATGCATGAACTAAAGTGGAAAAACTGCACATCCATCTCTGTAGCTGAATACACTTCCAGAAATCCTCTATGCCAAATCAACCTAACATGGCATACAATTTGGGAAGTTCGCTTTAGGATTATTTTCTTTTCTTTTTAACATTGATGGTAGCGCCATGATACGCTTTGGGTCTCTTGGCCAATAGGTCAGGATGCAAGTACTACGCCATGTGCAGCAGCTGGCCATTGAAACTCGTCGCTAATGATTTGACGGCTTGTGTATGTGGATATTTTGAGTCTAATATTCATTGTGCGGAGTCTTATTTTCAGGATGAGGGTTTGTTTGTGGAGTGATATTGTTAGATTGGGAGGTGGTGTTGGGTTAGCTTATTGGAAGATCGAGGAAAGGAGTGGGATTTAATTTTGAAGTTTAGAACTGAACGTAGTTGGGGATAAGAAGGAGTTGATCTCTCACGTCTCATATGATTTTGAACACATCTTCCCGAGGAGCTAGTAGGCACTAATTGACTTAAGCTCAGACGAATAGATAGATGTTAGCTCCTTCAGCAAATAGCCAATAAATAAGAGAAGGGCCAGACTATGTTCAGACTAAAATTGATTAGGCATTTTATAATGTGATCTCACGATAGGATCTAATCTTAAATTGAATACGCGTATAGAGACGCCTCACATCGGGTTGTTCGTTGAAGCTTCCACCTATTCTTGATTCTTCCTCCAGTATATTTTTTGAGATGCGCAAGCAAACATTATTGAAAACTCCATTCACTCATATCCTAGCGTCTTGTCCCATCCGAACTCTGAACTAGTCATTATCCGTGTCTCACTTTTTAGACTCTGAAAATAAGGGTCCACAACCGACAAATAGATCTGCATCAGGTTAGGGTTGGCTTCTACAGCTATTTTCATATTGAGAAGCAACTCGACGCGAACGCTGAAATACTGTATGGCTTGGCTCATAGCGATTTAAGCGGTGCTTGTTAAAGCCGAAGCTTTAGACTGCTTCTGGTTTAGTGGCACTCAGGGGTAGCTCAAATCTTCAGTTGGACCCCTCACACATATCTCTCTTCGAGGCTTTCTTCTGACAACAACATGTCTCAATGATTCCCTCCGTGACGTGAAGCAAGCGAATGCCTCAATCATAAGCGCGATATTTCTTTCCATTAGTAGAATGATTCCCCCTTCAGACTGCTCATACGACACACGAAAGAAAAGATACCGAGACGGATTAATTTAACCTTTTTCAATAGTTTCGTACTTCGGATAGCTCTGTGGTACAGTTATAGTTATATGGAGGTACTACGAATCGAATCCTCATTAATACAATGTACGAGAGGCCAATATCAGACTTTTGAGTTCCTGGACGCCACAAATCCACCGTGCAGAAGTTGTGGCTGGCTGAGTGGCCCACCTGATAATTTATCCAATAGCGAACGCTACTACCTTTTCGTTCCATGTTTTCAATAGTCGACGTCGATACTTTATCTTAATTCGACTTAGTATTGAAGGATGGATTGATTATACAATGGGCTGGCTCTATTGCTCAGCCTTGTGTCAACATTCCCAGTGGTTTTGATCATTAGTCCAATATGCCCCGACGTTATCTTCGGAAATACCGATATAATGTTTGTGGATTGCTGCTCGTACCATGCTGTCCCTTCTGTTTACCCCGGCATCAACACTCCCCACGGGGGGATAGTCATATTTTAGACGGATTTCCTGCCAATCACTGAAACTCTCCTTGAGCTGAAATCTGTATTAGCTATGGCCCGTGAATTTATGATACCATTGATGGCATAGAGCTTTATAGCCAACAGTATTTTGAGTTCGCCGACGAAAATCCCACCACAGTTTTCTCCTAGGGTCTGACTCTACTCCCACTCATTTCGCGATTTTGAGAATGATGTTGTATCACAAATATCATCGAGACTCGGTGTTTCCGAGATGATAGGGGGTACGCCAGCTCGAAAACATGATGCACCATCACCTAACCAGGTATAAATAGCATTTCCATAACGTCCCGTCGCTTCGACTTTACATTTTCTTATATACAAATATTTGCATGCCATTGTTCTTCATTCGTGAGTGGAATAAAACGCCATAGCTCTTCACTCGAGTGAGACAGTTTCGATTAAAGGCGCCACCTTGCTTCAAATGAGAACCTTAGAATGCTAAAACTTCTATTGCTCTAGAAGTCTCAATTTACGGAATCTTTAAGCATCTTCAACCTCAGTTCATACATATAGCTCTAGCTAGAACCAAGCAGAAGGGGCTTCGGGTCGAAACTCTCTAAAGACCATATTTGCCAACATGGCTCCATCAGCAATACACAACGGGCCCCTATCTCCTCTTAAACAGCGACAGCTTTCTAATGGACATCACTTCACAAAGTTAAATGGCTATCAAGACCATATGCCATCACCAAGCTTTGACCAACGCAGCATGACGGGGAGCGATTATTTTCAAACAACTCTACTTCAGGACGCAATCCAAAAGGTTATCAAAATGTATCGATCTGAGCTCGGACAAAGCTCCGAGAAGTTTCTTCAGAGCTGCAAATCCATAGAAGGCTTCTTTGACTATGTGGCTACTATTCGATTATCACAGATGCCGCATCATGGTAGCCGCTGGGATAAGATATTGAAATGGGCAGAGTTCTTTACGGGTCAGTTTTCTACATACAGTGAAGAGGTCTCCTCGTTCACAGCACAGAGCGAGCAAGCAACGAACATCATATATGCAAGCTGTAAAATATTGTTGGAGGTTTGTCTTAACATTCTTCACATTTAAAAAAGCAAGGTACTGATCATTTGTGTTCAGATGGGCCCAAAATTCGTTCCTGTTCTTGAAAAGATATTTGGCGTGCTTTACAATTGCAGTCTCACACTTAGCTTCCTCGTGCGTCACCATGAGCTTCTACATACAGTTGAAGAGCTACAAACTGTATTGGTGGCTTGTTACGCAGACCTACTGAAACTTGTAACTGGTGTCACGATACATTACACCAGACGACAACATGGTGAGCTCTTCTCTAGTATCCAAAACTATATAGGACTAATTGAGCAAGTAGACTCGAATTTCAGTATTCGTACCTTCGAAGAAATGTTTGGCCAAAGCATCGATGAATTCTTTATGCACAGCGATCGTTTTGTAGATAAGATCTGGTCAACTAGACTCGAACGCTTAGCCGAGCCTGGTGGTAAGCTGGACCTAAAAAATGTTTGAACTCATTACTGAAAATTCCTAATTAGACGATTCTGTGGAAGCTGTGAGGAAGTTTTTGACCCCGCACGATCGAGTTACACGAATCCTTGCAACTAAGCGCCGTACCCATGGAGCAAGAGCTGATTTCACATGTGAATGGTTTGATAGACCCTTGGGAGAATTTCTGCGAAGTGGGAAGAATCTTTTTATGGTAACTGGATCATCTGGCTCAGGGAAGTCCCTGCTTTCCGAGTGGGTTGTTGAAAGACTCCAAGCCTTCAAAGGTCGCCGAGCGACTGAGGTGATTCGTTATACCATTGGTATGTGCTTTCATGTCTTTTGGGCTGAAGATTACTAACGCCTTCTAGATGGAGCCTTGAAGACAGAGTTGTCGACTCTCAGCATCGTCAAAGGGCTCCTGCTACAAATGCTCCAGCTCAGTGCTGGTGACAAAGCTTTGTATAAGGAATTGCTTCACGCATATGAGTTGCATACCCAAGGAGATTCGAACACCAAAGTTGAGGACTCGCTGTGGGCTGCCTTAGGTCAGAGTCTTCGAACGGATCGTGGCCAGACAGTTGTTATTGATGGTTTTGACCAAGTCTATGGCGGCGAAAGTAACGGATTCGTCCTACTGGATAGATTGAGGACTATTGTTTCCAAACATCATAACACTAAATGCATCATATTCTCTCGACCCCTCACCAAACCGATTCCAGGAGACTGTTTTCAACTTTCAATCGGCGCTCAGCATACAACTCAAGATTTGCAATACTTCATTGAGTCGCTTCTATTCTCAACAATGAGCCTGAGTCAGAGGGAATCTTCTTTGCTTACGGCGAAGCTTTTGCAGGCAGCCAATGGTTCATATGTATGGACTCAAAATGCAGTCGAGATTCTCAAGAAAGAACAGACACCAGAGTCCATAATTAAACGTTTGGATACTCTCCCCAAGGATCTAGGGCAGTTGCTCGACATCATTGTGTCCTCCATTGATCTCAGGGACGGAGACACAAAATCCATCCTTGCTTGGCTTCTGGCAAGCGAGCGTCCTTTGCTCATCAGTGAAGTCAAACAACTACTCGAGATTGATACTGGATCTTTTCAACATGTCCAGAGAGCAACCCGCATTGAAGATGATATCACCACTGCCATTGGGCCATTAATTAAAATGGATGATGGCTTTGTCCGATTCTCTCATGATCTTGTGAAGCAAAATATCACTCAAAGATCAATGTCGATTGTAGATTTCAAGAACACTGGCGCCTTTCCCTTTCACATCAAAGAAGCCCATTATGACTTGGCACTGAGATCGTTGGCTTATGTTAAAGCCACTCTAACCAGGCGCTCGGCTCAATTAACGTTTACTAACATGTCCGAAGAGGATTTGGATGAGTTATTTCAAAAATACGAATTCATTCAATATGCTTCCAGATATTGGATAGTGCACTTCGCTACATCCCCAATGAATGAAGGAACCCAGCAAAAGCTTACACCTGCGTTTAAAACCTGCTTTGCCGATTCCGTCCTTATGTCATTGTTCGAAGGATCCTGCTGGGAATACCAATTTCCACTTCAAGACGCTCTAAGTAAATTGCAGTTGGCTTTATCCATACGAAAATTGGTGCTTGGTGAAACTTCAGCGTCTGTACTTCAAACTTTACTCAATATTGCGCGGTTGGGCCACATTGGTACTTCTTCAAACGTGGAACATTACTATGATGCATGGAAGTTAGCGGAAGCTCTTCATGTTTCATCAATTGCCTTCAAGTGTGCCCAACAATACATCGAAAGAACATCTTCAATTACTATTACCAAGATGTCTGAGGTTCTTGTACGGAAAACCGAGCTTCTCGAATACATCATCAAGGTGCAGAGATCCACCGATTCAGTGAGCCAAGAAACCATAACATATGCGGAGTCTCTTATTCAGATTTACGTTTCTACCCATGAGACATCCAAGGTCTCTGAATGGCAAAAGTACGCATACGAGTTGAATGTAACCGTTTATGGAAAATCAGCATCGCAGACTATCAAATCGTGGGAGATCATTTCAAGGAGCTCGACTGAAATTACCAAGATGGAGCAGCATACCAGTACTCTAGAACAAGAATACGAAATCAGTGTTCGAAAAATGAGTGCAGCTGATTCAAAACGGCTCGAATTATCATGGGCCATGATTGAAAAGTACGAGAAGGAGAAAAACACCGTCAAAACGGAGGAGATACTGATCAATCTTTGGCAAAGCTTGACAAGTTTGACACACATTTATGACGTCTCCATTCAAGAGAAGAAGATTGAAGTCGCTCTCCGCTATGTCGAATTCCTAAGACGGGAACAGAGAATAGTTGAAGCAGAGATTATACTTCGAGGTATCCACATTGATCTCGAACATATTGACATTCAATCTACTACTTTGATCAAGCATACGAAATTGGTAGGTGATCAGTTACAAAGTATTGGGTCGGTTGCAGCAGCTCGTCTGGTTTTTAGTAATCTCTGGGAATACTACGTCAGGACCGGCAGGCAGGAATCAACGGAGGCCAAATCTGTCTCTAAAAGCCTAACCCAGATCAGTGAGACAAAGATTGAAGAGACCACATGGGATGTCACCACCGTTCGTGAAGTGTTTGAAAGAACTATTGTCAATAAAACCACTAAGACGATTGATACTACCACGATACGCCAAGCTACGTCCTTATGCTCAACTTACTACTTAGAGCAGCGATGGTCTGAGATAACTCAGGTGACGAATTCGACTTTGCTTCGAATTTGGCCATCATTCTCAGGTACCAACTTCAATGTATCTCTACCAACCAATTTCACTGCGGAGACCCTGGACTTGCTCAATCGGCTAGCCTTCGCACACTTCAAGCTACGCCAGCTCGATTTAGTAGAGGTTACCTATCGCAAGATTTTCTACGCTGTCATAGCCACTACAGAGACCTCGGATGAACTCTTGGAATCGGCATCTAAGAAACTAATCAATTTTTACGAGTCACATTCTATGACTGCCAAACTCATCATTATTTATCGGGATCTACACCATGAAATCGAAAAGAGACATGGTAAGACACATACATGGACGATCAAGACTTTGTATCTGTTGGGTGATTTAAGCATGCAAATCTACAATATCACAGAGGCCGAAACTGCCTATCGCACCATACATGTCAACTTGGGCAATGGTAACACGGAAATCTGTCATAAAGATGCGCTTCGGGCGGCTTTGGCACTCTGCGTTATCTATGAGCAACAACGCCAGTATGTGCTTGCTCAAAAGATCTGCAGTTCTCTTTGGCACGCGCTTGTGCAACATGGGAAAGAATATGATATCAAATCAAATTTTGCCGAAGACCTGTATCACAGATACGTCCGTGTCGTTAGACAAGCTTCAGAGACGCACCATACTGTTTTACGCCAACTGGCTGTTGACTTCCGTGAAGCATGCGTGAACTTCTACGGCGTCCACAACGAGGTCACAATTAAGTCCACACTTCAACTCGCTGAGCTTGATGAGCATAGTGAGCAGTATCGCGAGGAGGCCATATCCATGTATGAGGATGCAGATTCTAAGGCTCGTGAAGCTCCAAAGGGACAGATCACCGAGATGACTCTCCAAGCCGTACTTGCTGCCAAGAAGCGTCTGCCTCATCTCTACTCCATATCTAAACTATCCACGTCAACAGAAGCTATTGCTTTATACAAGCAGGAGTTGAGTAAGTTTCATACGGAGAAAGGATATGCGCATCGTTATACACTTCTTTGGCTTGGACATTTGACCAAGGCATTGGCAGCGCAAGATAAGCCGGAAGCGACCACTGAGGCCCAACAGACTCTTCAGGCTTCGGTTATAGAAATCCTCAAGACGGAGAAGAATCCTCAGATACTTTCAGACTCAGCAGCGACATTTGCAACAATATATAAGAATACGGGATTGGAATCCGATGCAAAGAGATTGATGAAACAACTTCGCTCACAAGCGGTATTTGCTCAATCCAACCTAAAAATTGACCCCAAGATCAAGCTCGAGAACCATACCTGGGTTTTCTTGGTGTCTTTTGAGTCAACCATCACCGGAAGAAAAGAGTTCTACTCGTCGATGATGGCTGACCTATTCATGGAAGTCTTTTTGCACCAAATGTACCAGCGATCGATCGCACAGAAGATGTTCTTCACAACTGTCCTCTCATATGCCTCAAGGCTCCTCGCTTTCTTGAAAGACATAGAAGACGACGCTGGACTTGAGATTGCCGATGAATCAGTTCTGGAATACTTTGCAGCCAACCTAGAAGTCAAGAAAAACTTGGATAGCCACATTCTCCGCGAGTTCCTGCACATTGTGCTTGTCAACCTCAATGATGGCGAAGCCGGAATCTCCATATTACAAGCAGGTCTTGATGCAACAAGTGCTTACATGGGCAAAAGCAAATTTGCAGAGGCACAAGAACTTGCTGAATATGTCGACTTCTTCCAGAAGTTCTATGGGGGCTACGACACTCTGCCCAAGGTAGAAATGGGTCTACGATTAGCCCTAGTCTTGGTTGGTACTAAAAATAAGCTAAAGAACGATCCTCAGCTTCTTGCCTCGTCGGTGGCTTTGTCTAGATCTATCATGAAACAAATCGTTAAGCGATTCCGCAGCGGCAAGCTCCAAATTGTGGATTTACCAATTGAACAGCTCAACACTGCATGTGGCTTGCTTGGAGAAACACAAGATTTAGAATCACTCGAGGTAAGCATCATCTCCTTCTTTCCCTGTCTGTATGCTAACATCAATCACAGTGGCTTCTTACCCAACTATGGAACTCCCGCCACTCACAACCGTCCTGGTCCTCTTCGACAATCGTTCACATAGGTCGTCTTCTTGTCGAAACACAATTCTCCAGCAACCACCAAGAACAAGCCATTCATCTCCTCGAAGACATGTGCTACAACGTCCGTCGTGTCTGGGGAGCACTCGATTCCACTACCCTCGAAATGCAAAACCTATTATCGACATTCTATACCTCTTCTACAAACCCTAATCTCACAAAAGCAATGCGTATCCATGAAGACATTCTTCGCAATACCGTCTCTGATGCTGGAGATGAATTGCCCAGTAATGAAGTATGCGTTATAGCTATTGCGCAACTCGAGTTATTGAAGAGGGTTTACTGGAGAAAAGGAACGTGGGATAAAGATGTGAGTGTCTATGTGGATCTTTGGAGACAAATAGAGCAAGAATTTGAGGATGAACATGCCTGGAAAGAGGCATCAAAGGCGCTTAAAGGTGTCGATAAGTGGAGTGTTAAGAAGAGTGAGAAAGGGGAGAAAGATGATGAGCTTGGGATCTGGAAGAGGCCGGAAAGTTTTGAATTCATGACAGCACAAGAGGGAACGAGACAGCATTCGAATAATCTGAGGAAGACTAGTAGTATGTGGGGATTCTCGGGCTATATTCATAATCATGAGAGAGAAAGACAAGATGTTTGACTTGAGCATGGAGGAGATGGGGGTATAATGACGAGAAAGGCGCGGAAGGAAAAGATGAGGGGTTTTAATGATTCGCTCTTTGGTCTCTTTGGGTGTCTCTTTTGTTTTTGTGTATAACTGATTCCTGTTGAGTCTTGTTACTCAGTTTGTTTTAGTATATGATGGTTTGAGATGAGTAACGGCATTAAAATATTTCACCTAGCATTAACTCGACGTTCCATTAAGGCTTGTGATGTGTGATAATCATGCTGATTAGCATAGACATATTTCTATAATATTTGGCTCTTGTAGGTTAGATATTGTTACCACTACCGTATGCACTATAGGCTCGAATTTCTTTCGAAAATCATTTCTCTCACGTAATATTAGCTCGATACCGACTCGGGTTTGGAGCCTTAGACCTGGAATAAAAAAAAGTGCTTCGGCTAACAAAGATCAATATTTCTTTCACAAAGTTTTGTTCGACCTCTATATATGAAACATAAACATCGTGCGTGGTCAAATTTAAGGTTAACCTTAGTCAAGCCACATCTTTATTCAGCGCAACTTCGCTTCTATCCCACTTTTCGTTTGTGTGGACCAACTGTTGAGTCTCTCAACTTGAAAACTCTAAGTTAACATAAGGTTAATATCGTTATCACAATAGAACATGCTTCGTATTTTACAAGCAAGCGCTTTTCCGCAGGCAGATTACAGCTGTTTCGCCACAGACAACTCTTCCGCTCGAACGGAAACATGATCTTGATACATCCAAGAGCAGATTACAACTTAATGAAGGAGCAATGAAGCCTCGGCCTTGACTGCTCGACTGCTCGACTGCTCGACTGCTCGACTGCTTGGCACAATATATATTCGGCGGAGATGCCGCCTGGTCGGAAAGATCCATGTTGAGACTGCGGGGATATGTCTAGAGTTACATATGAGGTGATTTTAAAAATACCGGGGAAAAGGCGGGGACATCTGCTGGCAAGTTATGGAAGATATGCTGGAAGTGTTTTTTCTGTATGGGGTTATCTGCAAAGCTCGAACGACTTTAGGTCGGTCGTTCGATTGGGGACTATCAAAAAACCCGCAAAATATCGTTCCAGGTCATCCTTTTCTGGCTACTGCTGTTCAGAGTAGGCCTCCGCATGATCAGCAAACTTCGTTTCTTCAAGATTACCCGGGGTTCATCGGCAAGACGTTTTACCCAATATCTGAGACTTTTGACAACGGAGCGTCATGTCCCGTGCGGGGTCCCCACAAATTGGCTATATGGACTATATATCCGGCCCGAGCCTCCGATTATCCCCTGTCTACAAATTGTCATGAAGGATTCTACGTTGACCTGTCTCATCAAGAATGTTCCTGACCATTTGGAAACCTCACCGCGATATATGAAGGGCGACGGGGGTACAAGGATGTATCAGAGTCTGTACCTGTACGTCAATCTACCGAGATGTTACCTTGATTATGGATGAATCGGCAACATGGGAGTTGTTTCCCTTAGTCTATTTATGTATTTGTATATATAGGCACACGGGTTGAAGCTTATTTCTTTCCAGAGGCTCATTCTGCTTTTCTTTTCTGTTTACTGCGACAAATTGATAGCCATGCTTCTGAAAAGTCTCATCTCTACGGTTGGAGTCTTCGCGACTTCAGCAAGCGCTACCATATACTATGCAGGAGTTTCTGAAAGTGGTGGAGAGTTTGGAGTGTATAGTATGTGCTCCTTCAATCATGTCAAATTTCAGATTCGAGCATAGCAAATTGGCGTTAGAATGTTTAGGTGGTCGAGATTCAAAGATACTAACATGGAAACAGGTGGAACAGGTACTGTAGGAACAGGATTGCCGGGAGTATTTGGTCGGGATTATGATTTCATCAACAAATCCGCTGTTGACGTCTATGTTGATCAGAACAAGGTGCGTTCATAGTCTAGCTCTATCTGTGATAGCTCAAGAGAAGAATAGTTTAGTTGTGAACTCAAAGCGATAACTAACGGCGCTGTAGGCAAACTTGTTCCGTGTAACATTCCTACTGGAGCGAATGTGTCCTCCTGCTACAGGCTTAGGCTCTAAATTCAACGAAACCGTGAGTTTCTCAATCATCTCCTCTCTTCTTCATCAGCCAAGCTAACATGTAGAACAGCATTACTCCTACTACGCAGATGCAATCAACTACATCACGCAAACCAAATCATCCTATGCTATCTTGGATCCTCATAATTACATGCGCTATAATGATCCATCTTCACAACCATACTCTGGATCTATAATAGGTGACACTACGGATGCAAAGGCTGCAACCACTGCACAATTTGGTGCGTTCTGGGGAGAATTGGCGAAGAGATTCAAGAATAACCAGAATGTTATCTTTGCACTAATGAACGAGGTCAGTTCCCTTATACTATGCATGCTCTGCCTCCGTGGCTTCTCCTTATACTTCCTATCACACGAAAGAAAATGATCGAGACTAATGAAAGTGCTAGCCCCACGATATGGCTACAAGCTTAGTAGTAAAAAACAATCAAGCTGCCATTACCGCCATTCGCAAAGCCGGCGCCAAGAACTTGTCAGTAGCACCATCATCAACCCACTAGTTGGTATTAATACTTACAAAACACAGGATCCTAGCACCAGGTAACTCATGGACAGGAGGACACGCCTGGACCCAAGGCAGCGACCCCTCAAGCGCCCTGCTGCAAACCCTCCAAGACCCCCTCAACAACACCGCCATTGACATCCACGAATACCTCGATTCCGACTTTTCCGGCAGCCATTCCGTCTGCTCCTCACCTGCTTCAACAAATCTCGCCGCTTTAACCTCCTGGCTCCAAACCTACAAGCTCAAGGCCATGATCACCGAATTTGGCAGCGCAAACGGCACAGAATGTGAACCATATATTTCAGGCATGATCAACTACATGGCGGCAAACGATGTGTATATTGGATGGACGGCCTGGGCCGCAGGACCATTTTGGGGAGCGAATTCTCCGTGCTGTGCGGATTCGGCACAGTGGGGAAGTTTGGAACCGGGAAGTTTGGCTGGTGATGGAAGTCCTGGGTGAGTTACCTTGAAAGTTGGTTGAGGATTCATGTGCTAATTGAATATAGATTGTATGAGACGGTTTGGTTGAAGACTATTCAGCCTTTGTTGCCGAAGACGTTGCAGAGGTCGGGTCCGGCTACTGTGCATCATTAGATGGTGATTGGGATCAATGGGAAATCACTTTTGTGTCCACCAATCTTTCAGAATGTTACAATTAAGGGCACTAAGATAGTTAGTTCGATGCATGTAAATATAAATTCTTACTCTGTCCCTCAGATGATCTACTCCGCGAACTTTCATCTCATCTAACATTACCTTGCCACGTGCGGAGATACATATAACTTTCTATTGCAACACAGAGTTCTTATGCAAAACTATGAGACTATGATCCGGCCCAGTACACTATGCCACCAACTAACAGAACCAACATCGAGATGAACGAAACAATTACATATCAAAGCCATATATATACTTAGACAGATCTTCATAGCATCCCCGTTCAGAATTGGCATTCAAATAACCCTTCGGTTTCTCTAAACTTATCCAGATACTATTCAAAAAATTATTAGAACATTAGCTGTGGACTTTAATCTATTCCTCCACAGCATGCATGGCTCATCAAGCTCGCTGGAGTTTAAAAAAAAATCGAACGTTTTCGGGGGCGAAAGGTAGCATAACCAAAGCCCCACAACGTTGACCTCACCTGTGCGTAAATATAAACCACCACCACCAACACCAAATTTTATAATACTAAAGATATTTAGTTCTCGTAGCTCATGCGGAGGGCATGTATATGCGGACGTCAAAAGTCTAGAATGAAATCACTCGACCAGCGCTCAAATAGTATTCTACCTAGGAAATATTGTTAGATTTTGAGCTCTGGTGAGTGTTAAAAGATGTTTGGTAAGTAAGGCTAGAAATCTACGCCGCCGGGTAGAAGAAAAAATTTCTCGCCTGTTGGATATGACCTCTGTTTCATAACAAGATCTATACCAACATTCCATTGATAAGAACAACACCATCACATATCCATTCGATCAAATAAATCTCTCTTGCCTGTAACGGCTAGTCCATCTTATGATTATTTCGTAGTAAGATTATAATGTTATTATGCCTTCCTTGGGGAAAATTAACAAGGTCCATGCCGCAATATATAATCCATCTCCATTTATGGAATTCACTTCTTCCGCATGTCGTTGCATCGATTTCTGATAGTCTTCTTAGATACTTTCTTACTTGCCTGTTAGACCAGAATCCGTACAACCGAAAAAGATTCTAGCGCGCCAAATATTATGGCCGGGAAAACCATAGCGAAGACTTGGTGGCGTTTCGCTGAACGTTGAGGGGTAGATCTGAGTGAACCCGAATCGTCCTCAGTTTCAGTTCCATTTTTTGCGACATATTGAAGTCTGGGTAGATGTACTGCGGATGCTATGACCGAAGATGAACGATTAGGAGGCAGGTTTGTAACGTTGTTATCCTTGTTTCAGATCAGGCTCTAGAGTATTATTATTTAATTTTCTTTGACTTTGAGGTAATCTAAGGGCTTTCTAGTGTACCTGAGGCTAAATTTTGTTGTCTGCGCATATAAATATGGAAAGTATTGCGAGGAAGATGCTACTAAAGCCGAAGCAGACGGCGATAACGTCGTCGGTGGACACTGAAAATGGTCAGTTTAAGATAGATGAGAACTTTGATATTGATATATGGAAGGTAGAAGGGTGTACTAACGCATGATAGCAATGGTATAATTTGGTGCGGGACGTAGTGTTCTGAGTGAGACTAGAATTTATTATCCTGTACTGGAACGTTGAATTTGTGTGAGGCGTTTGACCGAAGCATTGGAAGGGAAATGTCTTTATGTATTTGAATATGAGACTTTCCTTGTGAAGATGCTGAGTTCTAAAAATTCGCAGGTACGCTCATCATGTACACGTAAATTTTATTTACTTGCAACCCTAGTAATGAAATTGCATCCACGATATGTGTGGTGCCAAGATGAGTTCGAATACCTTTTACAATGGAAAAAGCTTTTACAGAAACGTTTTTGGGACGGAAAACACGTCCGTCGAGCGTAGAAATCCATGATTTCAGGGCACTCAAGACTTTGATACGCAAACCCATGTTATTTAGCGCCAATAGGATGACTCCCGACAGAGGCTGGCTGGACGAAGCTTCAGTCTTCCCCGGCCTCAGAGATTTTCATGTGGCTGTGTATTGAAAATGCATCTGAGGAATAGGGATAGATTGTACAGTAAACAAATGAGCAAGGTTGATATCCCTTTAACTTGCATTAATGGTAGTGGATGTAGCTTGATACATGGGATTCATTGTGTTGATGCTTAGGGACATAGAACGATAGTCATTTAGAGTATGTAGGGTGGTAAATTGCGTGCAATAATGGTGACATAGCTGTCAAGAAGAAACGATTGGATCTGCGAAAGGTATTGCTTGAGTCTTGTTCGGTGAAGTTGCCCTTGCGGGCAAAGGATGCTTGTCCTGCAGGAGCTAACGGGGAATTGTCAAATTGATACTACTGCAGCCCGCAAACAAGATGGTCATTGTACCTAGTAAGTGTCTCAGAAGAACCTGTCAGCCTATTTCTGAGCAAATATTAATGCCAAAATGTATTTAGTACCAAGTACTTGGGACATCATTTTGCAAAAGATAACACAACCTCTGAATTCAGCGCTTCCAAGCATAGATAATAAGGGGGTAAATACGACGCTAAGCCTTCACGACTCTGGGCTCTTGCTCCCAAACGACCTTCAGAGTCATTGTTCTCTGAATTTGGGTACATCCGCAGCTACAGAGGTCCATAGAAATAGCAAACTCAGCCTTCCATAGTGCTTTCCCCTGCAGTAATCCTTTCCCACAAGCACACAAGCATGCGCACATAGAATTTTTGGGGGTAACTAAGAAACGCCCAAAAAAAAGTAGGTGCAACAATATCGAACTTCCCCTTCAAGAATTTCAACGGGAAAAGCTAAAATTCATCCAAATGTTATGGTCAACATTGCCGGAAGCTTATAGCCTTGTAGCTGTAAATTTTCATGCATGTTTGGTGCATGAGAGTTGGAGATAAAGAGAAACATTGCTTCTATACCGCTGAAATCGGATTGAACAACTCCTATTAATTTAAATGCTTCGCATTCTTAGCGAAGGGCAAAGCCGAATAAAAGGGGGAAATCATTTTGTTTTCTCTGAAAAGCTACTAGGTATTTGGGAGAATGCTATTTTTGTCCTGCTCGAATGTGGGTGAATGTTTTTGATTCGCAAAGAAACAAGTGTGAAAGGAAAAGTGGATACTAGTTGGAGCTTGCGCACGATTAGTAAGCCAATAAACTTTAGTCTATATGTCTGCCTTTAGACCTTTGATTCAATTTTCTCTCCGCGTTTAAAATAGTATATAAGGTTATGAATCCTTTGGAGTATTTGATATATATTACTTGCTTTAATATATATAATATATCAATTGTTATACTCGTACGAGTATATATCTATGAATATAATTATTTATCTAGATGCTTTTCAATTGTTTGTTAATAGATTTCACTTTTTTTCTCATTAATCTTATATTTTGACTCTGGAAACCTGCTTTTTGCTTCCCCATTTTGGTGGATTTCCGCCAATCAGAGCTAAGTAGCCATGCCATCTACGAATCCTGTTCCAAGTTTTCCTTTTAGCGTCGCCAACAGATCGTCCCAAGGATGTTGTTGTCGCACCGCAAAATTCACTGCAGATTTATCTGCAAAATGACATCGGCGACCCAAAACAGGGACGCACCCCTGCGCAATACACTTCATGTACACTGGACCCTGATATTTTTGATCCCTTATAATCATCTTGATAATCAATTGCATATCTCTCTTGACTGGAATAAGTGACCGTTTCTCTACGCTTGGAGTAGATACTGTGCTTATAGATCTTGGACTTTCCAAGCCCTTGCATCTTTAGCAATTCTACCAATTCTTCATTCCTGGAACAAAAATTAACGGTTGACAAAATGGCTCAGCAAGGCTCATCACAATCCCCTCCCTCTTCGTCGACAACGGAGAATCCAATAGTAGCGGTGGGTAGGAAAGTCAAGTCGGTTTTGGGCACACATCAACGTCCAACCATTAGAATTCATCGTGACGCTTCATCGAATGCAGAGTCACGAAAGGCGCCCTCAACAGGGGACTTTTCAGAGAAATACAATACTGGCTCATCACCTCCTCGAAATACACAGCATAGCCGTGCAGAACTGCCTGAACATTCTGCCACTGGGGCAGCAACTCAGCCTCTTCCATCTCAAGGAAATGCATTTACCAATCGCTTTCGGTCACTGTTTAGTCGTGGGGAATACTCTACACAGCACGAGTCTTACGAGCATGAATATGATCCTGATATGGTGGATTTGTTGGACGTTGTAGGCATGTGCGATTAGACTGGTTGCTTAGCAAGTAGACTAACCGATTACAGACCCAGAAATATCTACGCTTTCTACCCTTACCAATGTTCAAAACTCTCTCTTCGTACCTCAAATGGGAGGTATTGTCAATCGTCAGCCTACATATAGACTTTCAAACAGCTCTGGAGAAGTACGCACTATTGATAGGATCAAGGCAAAGTTGAAGAACCTAAGGAGTCCAGAAAGAAGAGTGGATGATGATACATGGAAGCCGCCGAAACTAGAATACGCAGTTTTACCTGATGGAGAAAGGCTTCTTGGTTGGACATCAGCCGAGATTAACGAGCTGGATGATGGTGTTAGACATCAGCTTCATTCCCGACGAGCGAAATTTAAGCGTTCATTGAAAGGTTTTAAGCAATATGTTCGCAGACGTAAGTCAACTCTTTGATGTGGTATCTAAGTTTTCTGACTAACGATAATTCCCCAGCTTTGGGACTGTTTATCACAGTCTATGCAACCTTGATTACGCTATTCGGTGCAGCCTGGGTACTCTTTCTCATCGGTTGGATTTCTCTAGGTTCACGGAAAGCCTACATAGTCAACGTTGTCGACAACATCCTAGTCGCTCTTTTCGCAATCATCGGTGATGGCTTGGCCCCATTCCGTGCAGTCGATACATATCATATGGCCTACATAGCACATTACCACCGTAAAACTTGGAAACGCCGTGAAAAGCTAGGTCTTCCGGAGTTATGGGATCATAATGACCTCCCGGAACAACGCAAAGAAGATATCGCTCCACCTCCTCAAGTTGATATTGAGAGTCTGTGTGCCCGCCGAATGCCCAAAAGTTTCGCACGTAGAATCGCGCCACGCATACCAAAGAAATATGCCGACATGATGATAGCTCGCAACCAAACAGAAGTACCGCCAAATTACGAGTATACGGTTTTATCTCCGGAAGAACAAAGCATCCTGGAATTCCACGAGCGAAAATTCTCCAAGAGTCACACCTTCTACAAACCCCACGAAACAGAAACTCATTATGCATTTCCCCTCAAACTGCTCTTCGCTGTTGTCATCTTACTCGATTTACATTCTTGCCTTCAAATCACGTTAGGAGCATGTACATGGGGAATCCCTTACCAGCATCGACCATTCGCTCTCACGACCGTTATTCTCTGCTTTAGTATAACTTGCAACATCATGGGCGGAGTACTAATATCCATTGGTGACAAACGTACACGCAAACACGAAGTGATAGAAAGAATGATGAAACAAGAACTTACATCCGAAGTCATCGAAACTATCAGTACGCGGAAACTCAAAGAAGCGGAAGAAAGAGGGGAGGTTGATCCGGAAATACGAAAGAGGAGAGAAGAAGAAAAAGAAAGGGAGGAAAATGAGGAGATTAAGAAAAGTTGGAAGAGTGTACCGAGTTTACCAAAGAAGTTGTTGGGCAAAGGAGAGGATCATAGACAGCCTAGTTTACCGGTAGAGGAGAGAAGTTCGAGTTCGAGTACACATGTGGACTCACCGAATAGAGCAGGCTCTACCTCTTCGAAAGACAGAAAGCCGATTAAGAAAGGTAGTGCAGCGCTACAACCTGTACAAGAAAATTCAACTGTAGCTCAGCCGACATATCCGCAGCCTGTGGCGAGGAAAGGAGATGGGGTGTCATCGCAGAAGAAAGGGACGGGGCAGAAGGTTTTGGCGGGTTTCCGAAAGGCGGATTTGGATCGGAGTTAGATGGGTGGTATTTTCGTTCTCAGCTAAAAGCGTTTTTATGAAAGGGAAGACTAGAATGAGTTACATCTAGCGAAGGCAAAGGAAGTTGTACAATATTTTCATACTCTATTATTATTTCAGCGGGGCGTTTTATGAGGGTCGGATGAGTGGGATGAGTGGATACCCTGCGTATGACATTAGATGGAAGGTTGCCGGATGATAATGATTGTAATATGATGAATTTCAATATTTTTTATTATGGCCATACATGAGAAAAGGTTTTTATATGTGAGAATACGCTTCGCTATCTCAATCACTATTCAAGATTTGACGAGGAAAGAAGGGTTTTGGGATAAAGTGGCGGAGCTTTGATTTGACGAAAATGAGACGACCCCTTTTGTCAAGATGAGAGCTAGGTCATTGGCGGATACGCATCAATACATCAATCTCTCCTTACCTACAACAAAAGCTATCAGACCGACTGAATATGCGTTTAATAATAGATTTTACATATAAGAAACGGGGTCAAGTTTCATGCTATGCACCTCATCTCAGTGTTGAGAATTCTTGCCAAGTTCGATCTACGTACCTAGTATATCTACTCCCAACTAGTTACAGTAGGACTTGCCAGAGTGGAATTGTGATCGTAGCTAGGTAATACCCCGTGTCGTATAATCGCATCATCCTCCAGACCAAAATACTCTTTCGTTTGATGTCGTTAACCTTATCTAGAAACTTCAACAAAGTCCTATATCAATCTAGGTAAGATCTTACTACTCGAAATAGTTTTTCACGTGCACACGCCTCCTGGTGTCATTGCTAAGGGAGTATGGAAAAAGTTCAAGATATTGTGCCAATCGTTCTTTTATTGATATTTTGTTGTTCTTTTTAAAGAATTCCATTACTGCTTTTTCTAGATGTGCGGTGGAATATATGCCTTGCCAATGAATATATTCCGCAAGCACAATATCCGTCATTTTTCGTCCAAAATCGCAATTATCGCGACACTATAACTCATTCCTCCAACACACATTCATGTCTGCCACAAAAAGCCTCCACCACAACATCCAATCCCAGAAATCTACCATAAATTCACACCAAAGCTGGGAAAGCGACCTGTCGCCAAGCTCTCACATAGGAGGATGTATCTTCGAAGTCGGCGGAGGCTGAGTCCAAACCACCGTCTCATCACCACGTTTCTTTTGCTCTATTATAGGTGTTGGGAAGATAATTCCCATTCCCATTCCCAGAGGTTTAACAATGCTTTTGCGATTGAGTGATGATTCGATTATCGTATTGATGGCTTGGACTGTGTTCTTATTGGTGATTTTTGAACTTGTTTGTTCTGTGTGCGTGGAGTGGGCTTGGATTGTAGGGCTGGGTTCATGGCGCTCGATGGTGTTGGGGGGGTCTTCTGTTTGTTTGTGAGCTTTCTTTTTTTTTTAGGTTTTAAGCGGTTTTTTTTGGGGATTTTGATAAGCTGTTTCGCTGATAGAAGGGATAGGAGGGTTTTTCTCGTACCTTGTGATACTACTGGAGTTGAAAGTCCAACGACGGTAAGGGAAGAGAGAACAGCGAGGAGCTTTTGGAGATGCATTTTTGAAGTCGATTTGATCACGGTGGTACGTACTGATGATTTTATTTTTGAACGATCACTATCTTCAAGTGAAGATTTCACTTTATTTATATAACATCACATCTCATTTTTCACATGTAAAAAGTTTTAGCTGAAGGGCACTTGTGTTCAAAGTGTCAAAATATTCGAGGTGACTATCGAATCGTGGAAGTTCCACAAAGAGGACACAAGCAGTCAATCTCTCGGATAGCTGCGCAGAATGGATTTTAGTACTTATTTGATGTTCCCTACGGTACGCAAATGGATCTTTTTTGCAGGATTTACAAGTTAGAGACACACAAGTATTGCTATTTTACCTCACCGCCGTCACATACCACATGTTAATGGCATCCAAGCTACGCACATACATGGACTTGTATTAGGCGATGATGATTGTGTATCAAAGTTACATCTTACCAGCGTGAGACGCGAGCATAGGGATACAAAGATTGTACAACACAAGAATCAAGATCGACTTATCAGCTTAGCTCCCTACTAATAGCAACTACCTCTTTTCCCACCTCATGATAGCAGAAACAGCACTGATATCTGAACAGCTCTCCAGCTTCGTCATATTGGCCCCCACTTTACATCGCGAAAGATATCCTCACCTGGGATATCGATTGATCTTCTGCTGCGGGAATATATATATAAATGGTATACAAGCTGCAGTCATCCGAGCCTTGTGTCTCATGCCGAGGAAGGGGACGATGTGTTTCTTATGATTTCGCTACAATGTGATAAGTCTAATACATTATTTTTGGGCCATCTTTAATTTAGATCATCTTTTTATATTAAAAATCGAGATTTTTAATTATTAATATTTCAATAATGAATAAATAATATCAATTAAAATTTTAATTATAAATTTATTATATAATTACTAATAAATTCTAAAAATTTTAGATTTTTTATAATTTTGTTAATTGAGAAATTGAAAATTGAAATTGCGATTTTTAATTATTTTTGTTGAAAAGTTATTCAAAATTTTAAAGATTTTGTAAATTTGTATATAAATCTTACACAAATCAAAAATTATAAAATTTAAAATTATAGATCTCAATGAAATTAATTCCAAAAAATCTAAAATTTTCAAAATTGAGTTATATTTATATAATAAATCTACGATTCAAATTTCATTAAATTTTATTTATTGATTATAAAATTATTAATAGATGAAAATCACGATTTTTGATGTAAAAGGGTGGCCCAAATTAGGGGTGGCTCGAAAGTAGGGTACTAGACTTAGAAGAATAGGGATTCTTTTGCCGTTTTGGTATCATGATCATTGTGCTTGGATTCGACGTGTCCTTTTTTGAGGATGCAGTAACGGCGAGATCCGAAAACCACCGGCGGTATGAACATGAGATCTGTTTGTTTTGTGGTTCTTTGCGATATGGAACGATGTCAATCTACGCGTATGCAAATCAGCACGTCATAATATACATCAGGCATCCAAATGTGTTCTGATCAGATATTATTAGCTTCGATCTGTTCGCTCTCACATTCCCCTCGCTCATCTCATCTGTTGATAAGGTGGTCATCTGTGTCTTTTCATCACCATACACAATTATCTATGTGTATCAAGGAGATAGATAGCCATGAGTATGTAATCAAGAGCGTTCACGATCATGCCCCGGTATCCGTTATCAGTATTACACCTTATATTTTCTATCTCACCAACATTTACTATTGTGCTACTCTCTTATCATTAGGTAAGATGAGATACCTCGGCCAAAAGTCCTCGATAGGGCGAGGGTGCACACTTTGCGCATGCATACAGATTTCACCACGCAAATGAGTTTTGTCTCTGGCAACTCATGAGGGATTCATGAGGATTTGCTTTATACCTAGATGGTTGCAACGAGAGATGATTTATGACTGAATCAAAATCCTTGGAGCAGGACGAGGATGAATATGAGTCAAAACACGTGCGGTTGCTAGGAAAATTTGCAAAATAATATGATATGATACCGACTTGTATAATTTTTGTAGATTATGCTCTTTCCAAAGCTCGTCTCAATTGGATAATTGATTAACGCCCTCCCAAATTTTCCAAATCCAACACCACATCCGACAGTAACTCCTTGAATTCAGCTGCTTCTCCCTTATCTTCCATCTCTCCCACTATAACCTCTAATTGCTGCACTATTCTGGCTAGAGATTTTTGATCATTCGCAAAACGCTTCTGCATGCCATCTCCTGCTTTTGATAATAATGCTGTGGATAACTGAAGCATGGCGATGTGTAGCTCAATGACCACAGAGGGTGATGTGGAGGACGGAAGCTGCATGGAAGATGTTGTTGAGACTGTAGTTAACCATTCCTGTTTGATATATGATGTGAACTCTTCATCGATAACTGCGAGTAGAACCCGTACAATTTGGAGACCTCTTGCTGCTTCCGAAATAATGATGGAATGGTTATTGGTGCTTGAGATATCGGTACTTTTGCTGACAATACTCGCGAGGTCCTCAGAGACGGCTTGCCATCCATCTTGGTTCAAGAAAGCCTCCACGCCATCCTCGGTAGTCATTATACCCTCAAGCGCCAGTAATACGGGATATCGGAAACCAGGTTCGTCTTTGTTACTTAGTTTGTATAATTCAATGAACATATCCATCATACCAGCACTTTCTTTTCGTAAATTTTCATTTTCATCCTCCCGGATCCATATGGCCAACGCTCTGATACTAGCGAGAATCAGAGGGTCAGCAGTAACGTTATCTTTCATAGAATCCCAGGTTAAAGTAAGTCTTGTCCCTTCAGATGTGGCAGCCGTTCCAGATCGTGCAGATGGATGCAATCCGGAAGCTCCAGCAATAGATGCATCCCACCTATCTCGGAGATACTCGATCGCCAAAGACATTGTCTCGGCGATATCTTTGCGCAACTTCAACATTAAATCTGGGGTCAAGTTGAAGGTATTGGAGTCTTCATCGAGACTCCGTACAAGATATCCGATGAAACTTGATATAACATCGAATGCAGCCGCCAACCGCTGTGAGATAGCTGAATAATCACTATTATTCAATTTGGCCAAGAGAGATGGAAAAGAGGATCGCAAGTCAATCAATAAAAGATTTATAAATAGATAAGAAAATGGCTTGTTATTATTCTCAGTCTTATCCGAAGTTTGCAGAGATTCATTGTTAAATAACATTGAGGGACAGGCCGCAGGATATGCTTGGAGTAATGCCGCCGCTGCTTGAGTATATGCAGTTCTACCAATAAGCGTGGGTTTCCTGTTGACCAAGGCTCGTAGCAAGATTGTTATAGATTTAAGCCATTTTGGATTACGTGGAAGTGCCTAAAATGTGTTAAACTCAGGATCCAGAGAAGAATACTCATACATACTTCCGAAGACAGTTTCGGTATAAAACTTGCAATAAATGTTAAAAATGTGACCGCGTCAGTTCCTTTGAATACTACAAGCAGATTTGGAATCACTCTATTGATACTTTCATGAACCGCTTGCACTTCCGTATTTATTGTAGAACCATTTGCCCAAGTATAATTGAAGATGTCGAGGACAAGAGGGTATTGCGGCGCTATTTCTGTCAACGGAGACAGATCTTCGACCTTTAAAAGTTCTAAAGAGCCCTCTGCTTGACTGACTATAGTCAACAGCGTTTGAAGAATGAGCTGTGTAGTTTCAGGGGAACTGGTTGGGGTTAGCACGTGATTTAGAGCCGGAAAGCTGGAGGCTTACCTTTGGACCAGTGCCTTGACCAACGGTCCTGTTCTTCGGGTAAGCTGTGGTTCTCTTCGTATATTTTCTGATAATAGTATTGAGAATGTATGTAGTACAGCTACTGCGAGATCTACCATATCTTTCGCTTGGGACTTATCAACATTTCCACCAAGTTGAGCTCGCAGTAGCCTATCCAAGAATTTTGAAGATATTGATTCCCAAAGTATTTGTAGGCGTTCTGTATTGTTGACGAGCTGCTGTTCGTTGTCAAGAACGGATTTAAGGAGAGCAAGTCCTACGAACCTGGAAGTATCGTCTTTCGCCTTCAGCAGGTCCTTCATTTTTTCAAAAGTTGCGCGAGGGCTGGTGAGACCTGTTGGCTCGGAATTTGAGCCACCAGCGACTTTTGGTTCTGTCATGATAGTGCCAGAGTATCAGTTTAGAAAAATGTGTTAAAAAAATATCTCTAACTTCGATATCGTTGGTAATTTGTGATGAGCGAACGAACCGGGATTAGTACAAGTCAATACTTAGGTAGGTTTAGTCAGAAAATTCGGCGAAACATTGATCCGGAGGATCTCTCGAAGCCTAGATTCCATAACCAAGCTATCGTAAGTTGTATCACTATCGCAGAAGATGCACAGTGGCTTATCGAATGTATAAAGATGGCGAGCTCATCTGCGGGTTATTTTCCAACTCCGCAAAAGTCCAATTCGTTGTCGAGTCACAGTTTATCAAATCATCCCTCAGCCGAAGACAGCGATAACGGTGACCCCCAGGCTGTTCTTGCAGACGATCCACTCGATGAAGACGACGCGCATAAATTGTCATTTAAGCGCAAACAGAAGCAGCCTGCGACCTCGAAGTTCCTATCTGCATTTGCCAAATTGGGGACTGAATCCCACTCGCGGCACAATACACCATCACCTAGAGGAAGCACACCAAGCCAAGGAAACGGTCGAGCATACCCAATAGGGAGTAGTCCACAACATAGTCCTAAGGATGGAGCGCCATTAGACTGGTATGCTGAAGGACCAGGTCGGCGCGTTGGGTACGAAGATATGACGGCTATTGATTGGATCTTTGAATACACGAAAGAACGACAAAGGTTACGGATATTATACTCTAGAGCAACAGGATTGATTGGATATGTACAACAGCTTTTGGATGCAAGTCAGATATGGATAGTCCTTGTTTTGACAGGACTGGCGGCAGGGGCATTTGCAGCCGGAATAGATATTGCCACGGATTTTCTGGCAGATTTAAAGACAGGATATTGTCGGGCTGGAGACGATGGAGGTCATTTCTACCTAAACAAATTCTTCTGCTGCTATGGATATGATAGTATTGCGCAGTGTCGTGATTGGGTACCGTGGAGTGTTGCGTCGCACGTTCGTTCGGCGGGGGGAAAATGGTTCATAGAGTATTTCTTTTTTATATTGTTTTCAGTAGGTTCGACTCATAAATCATCCCAGATACGATTACTGACGTCTAGCAGTTATCTTTTGCTTTTATTTCAAGTGTGTTGGTGAAGGAATATGCCTTATATGCGAAGCATAGTGGTATCCCTGAGATCAAAACTATATTAGGAGGCTTTGTAATTCGGCGTTTTATGGGGATCTGGACATTAATTATTAAGTCTCTTGGACTGGTGAGGCCCGTCTGACCTACATCTCGATTTAATACTGATTTTTATAGTGCCTATCAGTCGCATCTGGAATGTGGCTCGGCAAAGAAGGTCCACTTGTACATGTAGCATGTTGTTGTGCCAATGTATTTATGAAGCTATTCATCAATATCAACGGTAACGAAGGTATGTGTAATTTTTTTGATATTCAAAGTTTGATCGCTGTCTAATTTTATTTTCAGCTCGAAAACGTGAGGTACTCTCAGCTGCCGCAGCTGCTGGTATATCGGTTGCCTTTGGCTCACCCATTGGGGGTGTACTCTTTAGTCTAGAGGTACGCGCTTTCGATGATCATAACGTTCAATTACTAAAGGAGCATAGCAACTCTCGTACTATTTCCCCGACAAAACCATGTGGCAAAGTTTTGTTTGTGCCATGACAGCTGCCGTGACTTTACAGGCATTCGATCCTTTCAGGAGTGGAAAGCTTGTGTTGTATCAGGTTACTTACAGTACCGGCTGGCATGGATTTGAGATGATACCTTATGCTTTTCTAGGTATTTTAGGGGTAAGCATCCGTAGCGAAAGTGCTCCGCATATTCTAACGTGGAGTAGGGAATTTACGGCGGTCTCTTTATCAAAGTCAATACAAGCATTTTTCAATGGAAAAAGACTGCTAAATGGCTTCCGGGTCCAATAACACAGGTTATGATTGTTGCCACTTTGACCGCCTTAATCAACTACCCAAATCTTTACATGCGAACTCAATCGTCGGAGCTAGTTTTCTCCTTATTTGCCGAGTGTTCAAAGCTTACCGACGACCAATTCGGATTATGCAAAACTGGAGCTGCTACTATTGGAACAATATTTCTATTACTATTTGCAGCTATACTTGGTTTCTTCTTAGCATCGATGACATTCGGGCTGCAAGTTCCCGCAGGGATCATTTTACCTTCAATGGCAGTTGGAGCGCTCTTTGGTCGCGCCATAGGCATTCTCGTAGAAATATGGGTTCACAATTTTCCCAAATTTTTTGCATTCTCATCTTGCGAGCCAGACATGCCATGCGTTACTCCTGGTACATATGCGATAATTGGAGCCGCTGCAGCATTAGGTGGTGTAACCAGGATGACAGTTTCAATCGTTGTTATTATGTTTGAGCTTACCGGAGCTTTGACTTATGTTTTACCAATCATGATTGCTGTCATGATCAGCAAATGGGTTGGAGATGCTTTCGGGAAGCGTGGCATTTACGAAAGTTGGATTCATTTGAATGAATATCCATTCTTGGATAATAGTGATGAGACGCCAATACCCGATATATCAGTTCGGCAAATCATGACTCGAATTGAAGATCTTGTCGTGCTCACCGCTACCGGTCATACAATTGAATCTCTAACAAATGTTTTGGCAAGTCATCCATATCGCGGCTTTCCTGTGATCTCGGATCCCAGGGAAGCTATATTGTTAGGATATATATCCCGAGCAGAACTTCAGTATAACCTCAAGATATCTACCCAAGCACCTCGATCACTCCGGCCTGAAACAGAAGCATTCTTTTCACATCAGCCATTTGCGGATCCACGAACAACACTTGATCTCCGACCATGGATGGACCAAACCCCTATTACTTTACCTTCACGATCAAACCTTCTCATCACGGCAAATTATTTCCAGAAATTGGGTGTTCGATATATTCTTTACTGCGATCGAGGGGTATTACAGGGACTCTTAACCAAAAAAGACATCTGGTACATATTGAATGGTGCGGAAGAGACTAGGAGAACAAATGGACAGGATGATATGAGTCTGGAGACGGGATTTGCAAGAGAAGAAGGTAGAGGAGAGCGTAGAGGGTTATTGCATGGTGATGAAGATGATTTGGTCCCACTTACACCTTCTCGTGATGATTCATCGATCTTATAATGGATTGATTGGTACTTTATATTAATTAAATATTATTTATTTCCGACCATGTAATTACTTTGACTGTCGAGTGTGCTATTCTCTCAGTAGAATTCGTGATTGGCCTGATCACATTTTTTGATATGATAGGCTTCCCGCAAGGTGTAATAAAGGGCTATGCTGCATAAATTGTTACATTGCTTCACCTGTGCTTATGGAGGGGTAGCTTCCACACAAATAAATAATGTGTAGCTACTCCGTATACTTTGTTGATTTCGAAGAATGATAACCACCAGAAATGTTTCTAGACACATATGAGGCTATGAGCAAATTCGTACGACTCTCTTTTTATGAATTTCAATCAAAATAGACAGCGAAGCAGATCCTCATTATTATGATTAGGCCAATCTATTATACTGGAGTCTTTCGCAATGGTCCGACGGAGAAATGAAGGCTAAACCCCACGAATAGCTCGGCAAGTTCAGTGTATTGATCCCTCTTGCTATTAGCCCCTGGACCATATCTTTGATGCGGTGATCGTCCTGACAGTGATGCGCGGGAAAGCTCAAATGGTTACAATCGAAGTCTTTTGCACACAATGAGATGCATCGAATCGCTCGTATACTGGACTCCCTGCGCCCATATACTCACATTGCATCACCTATTTAGGTTTACACCAATATAAGTAAGACACAGCCCACTTCTCCCAAGCATGTAACAAGCCATGGTACGCACGCAGCATGACAAAGACAACTCAAACGGCCTTGAAAGGTAAATCAATGCCAAGCCCAAAGACTTCTGTCATACGTTGGACAAGTAAAAGAAAATAATGGCCCAATTAATTCACTTGGAGTGACTGACAAGGCTGTGTGCATCCCTGCGTGCGTCATCAACAACAACAACAACAGTAATAATTATTATATCATCACCCCACCATCCCTTAAGCTATGCCCCAGCAAGCACCATTTACATCTTACTTTTCATTACCTTACATATCCAATTCATTATCCAAAACATAACATACACGACAACACCTGGTGCACCTTAATTTAGCACCTTTCATAACTTATTTAAACATCCCTCGAATCCTCTCTTCTACGAACCTTTCCCCAAATCAACTCAAAAGGCTCTTAAAATCTTCCTTCGAAATAATGGGGGTAAGCTTTTAAAGTCTTTAGTTTATATAAAATCAAGATGTACGGAAGACCAAATACTAATATGTATCCGGGGGGACAGCTAGCTTCAAAGATGGCAGCTGCCCAGCAGGCGCAAATGGGAGGTGCTCCTGGTCAGCCACCATATGTATGTTTTCTTCTCTTTGCAGATTCTCGGTTTATTTGCTTCAAAATGAGTGTTTGCTGATATTAATCTAGCCAACTGGCGGTCAACCTCAATATGGTCAAGGTCAAGGTCAGACTTCCTCACCTGTGCATCCATCCCCATCCCCCAATCCGCAATATCCTTCATATGGACAATCATCACCGTCTCCTTATGGGCAACCTCCGCCATCACCGTACGGTGGGCAGCCTTCGCCATCTCCTTATGGGCAACCTCCAACCTCTCCACATCCTCAGTCATATGGGCATCCCACACCCCCGCCGCCGCAACAGCAATACAGTCAGTATAATCAACCATATGGACAGCCTCCACCTCCACCACCTCCACAACAATACCAACAATATGGGCAGTACGGGCAGTCTCAACCACCCCCTCAGCAATATCAACAGAATCAACCATATCAGCAGCCATATCAACAATACCCACCGAATTCACAATACCAGCCTCTTTCGCCGGCGCAACCATTTTCTCCTCCTTCGCAGTATGGACAAGATGCTGGAAATCCACTAACACAATCTCAAACAGGTCAGCCATATCAAGCCTACCCAGGCGGCCCACCACCACAACAAGGAGGAGCTCCACCCCGTTCCGGACCTTTGGGTTACGTTCCTGGTGGAAGCTCGATTCCTCCTCAAGCAGTCAAACAATCCCTTATGCAGACTATACAGGAGAAGAACTTGGGTAATTTTTTCAGAAACCCTCAAATAATTGATCAGATCTGTGCCGTTGCTCCTCAAAAAATCGATCAACTATGTCAAGCCTGGAATGTACCCAAGGAATTGGGTGCTGATATCGTAAAGCTTGCCTTGTTCGATATTATTATCTTCGTTGGTATGTTCGCAGAATCCTTCAGGTATCATAAATACTAACGCTATGAAGATGACAGTGGTTCTATGATTTTCCAGGAGAATGGTAGCCGCATTGATGACATGAAGCTTGTATTGGGAAGAGCTGCTTATGCCGGATCCTTGTTCGATGCCGATGGAATCGAAGTTCGCTTCATCAACAGTGACGTACAAGGCAATCACATCCGATCCGAGCCAGAAGTCGAGCAACTTGTCCAACGCGTCAATTTCAAGGGATTGACTCCATTGGGTGCACAACTCAGGAATAAAGTTGTCGAGCCATTGATCATGAGCAAGGCGAGATCCAATGCACTTCAAAAACCAGTTTTGGTTATCGTTATTACCGATGGACAACCAGATAACCAAGATGAAGTTTTCCAAGTTGTTAAGAACTCCTCAGCCGAGCTCGCACGTACTCAATATGGAAAACAAGCCATTTCTTATCAATTCGCACAAGTCGGCAACGACAAGCAGGCTACCGAATTCTTGAAGAAACTCGATGATGACAGAAGTATCGGAGATTTGATTGATTGTACATCCAACTTCGAAGCCGAGCAAGATGAAATGGCCCGAACCAACCCAGGAACCGAGTTAACTCCTGATTTGTGGTTGTTGAAGCTTTTGGTTGGTGCCATTGATTCTTCTTACGATACCAAGGATGAATCTGGAAGCCGTCCTCAACCACCTCCAGGTCAATATGGACAGCCACCACAAGCTCAGTATGGTGCTCCTCCTCAAGGTTATGGACAACAACAACCTGGTGGATACCCTCCACAACAAGGTCAATATCCTCCTCCTCAACAGGGCCAATATCCTCCTCAACAAGGCCAATATGGTGCTCCTCCTCCAGGTGGTGCTTATCCCGGTCAACAACAATACAGACCAGGTGGAGGTCCACCCGTTCCTCCTGTAAGACGTACTTCCCTTTCTTTGAATCCAAACATACTAATACATTTCTAGCGTTACTAATTGCATGGGCATAATGCTGAAATATTTACTTTTTTACGGGAAGTTTTCAGGGTCATTTGAAAGGGAAAATTATCGAAATGTTTATTATGTTGATGAGTGATAAGGTGAAAAGGTGATGGGAATGGAATTATGACCTTTAAGACCTCAGTGGTTTCTTTAAATGACACAACGGTTTTATTAGCAAATTTATCTTTGGGTTTACCTATTTTGTCTAGATGCTTTTGATTGTGATGATTTGATGATGAATTTTGGATGTCGTTCCCTGTTATAGTTGTAACCTTGGTATTTGACTTCAATATCGACAAGGAGCTAGCTATGAGTTTAGTTATTATCTGATGAGTCTTGAAACGATAAAGTTCGTTCTTCTGTCTCTATGCAATTTACATTACATAGAATACTCGAATTCACCAGTATGAAGTGATAAGAAGTCCTCTACATTTCCTCAACTCCATTTTGACTTTCCTGGATAGATGGCATGTATGTAAATGACTGTTCCAGATATGCACCCGGTGAGCTTTGATTCGAATAACAGTTCACCGGGAGCTTACCGGTAGAAGGGAAAATAGGACAGCTTCGGTTTGAAATTATTTAATTATCTAGATAGGTTCTTGAACTTAGTATCGAATGCGATTTCGTTTTGTAGTGGTGAATAATAAAATAGTGTCTGCAGGTTTGTGAGATATAATTTGATTTTTTTTTATTGAATTTATTGGTGTTAGGTTAATCATTTTCAATTTGCGATTTAGTTGGATGGAGGCCTTAAAAAATATATGTCCCGCCTCTGCTCGTGCCACCACGTCACAGCTTAACACTTCCGAGCTTGGAACTTCTCTTCTCATCCCACTTCATCTCAAGCTAGGTACTCTTAGACAACTATCATATTGCACAACATTCGCAGTGCGCAATACTTCTACCAGATATCGAAAAGTTTGCCCATTAATTGTAGCTACTAAGGTACTTTGAAAGCTACACATACAAAATGTCCTCAAAAATCGATAAGATCATTGCGCGTCTGCAAGAAAAGTTCGTCGTCCCCTCATCCCCCTCAAAAACCTTCCTCCCCAATAGAAATAAACCTAACCCATACCCCCCCAGAACAACAGAAGGCAACTACTACGAAGCCCACCAACAAACCCGCGTCGTCGCCTCCCGCTACATAAAATCTCAAAACTACCCCGCCGCAACAGACATCCTCTATAATGTATCACTCTCCCTCCTCCAAGCCTCCCAAGGCGGCTCCGGCGGCGACCTCGCCCTCTTCTTACTCGAAGTCTACAATCTCTCCTCCTTATCCTGCGATCCTTCATCCAAAGGCCGTCTCTTCACACTCTTGCGTGCATTTTCCCCTGAGGAACCCTCGCGCAAACGATTTATTACCGAGATGGTAGCGTGGAGTTCAAAGAACTCTTTATATCCTGCTGGAGATCCGGAGTTACATCATGTGGTGGGGGGATTGTTGGCTGAGGAGGGGGAGGTCTATGATGCGGAGCGACATTTGGTGTTGGGGACGAAGGATTCCGCAGATGTACTGGCCAAGATGGAGTATGAGTGGTACCGGGAGGATGAAAGTCATACTGCGGCGTTGTATGCTAGTCGAGCTGTGTTGCCTTATTTATTGGTAGGGAATGTGCGGGATGCGCGGAAGAGTTTGGGGATATTTGGGGAGAGGTTGAGGGGGGATAATGTGGGGTTGACGGTGCAGGAATTGGGGGAGGGGGTGAATCAGGATATTAAGATCTATCCGTCTATTCCGCTGTTGAACTTTTTGGGCTTATTGTTGGTGGCGGTGCAGAAGGGGAATTCGTTGGATTTCAAACAGCTGACGAAGAAATATGCGGGACATATGAAGGATACGGGCGAGTTGTGGGATGAGGCTCTCTTGGGGATTGCGGAGATGTATTTTGGGATTCAGAGGCCGAGACAGGGAAATCCGTTGTTGGATATGATGGGGAGTATGTTTGGGGGTGGGATGGGCGGTGGTCAGCAGCAACAGGGGACTAGGAGGATTGGACAGACGGGAGCAGCACCGGTGGCGGAGGGCTTGGATTAGAGGGTTTTGTATTGCGTGAGGGGTTAATGGGGATGGGAAGATGAATTCACACTGCTGTACAGTCGTACAAATTTGGAGAAAGATCCAATAGATACCAATACCAGGACTCCTAAAACTAGCCGCAATTTGTAGGGCTAACCCTGGGTATACCAATTTTCTTTCCATGCCTTTATCCATCTTATACGCCGTGTCAAACAAATTTGTCTAGTACTCCAAATATCCCAAGAATGCCCGCCGAGCAATTTTTCGTCTGTATAAAATATCCAATACAAGCTCCATCCATTTCCTCATTTGCAGATGTCTGCATTGCATATCATTAGACGTTTCGGTTCAGCTGAAGTAACTTGGTTATCGAGTTACCCCTTCATTTTCTGCTTCAAACATCCAATTATCTTCTGAGAGGGCGGCGGTTTTGGCACGTAGACTATTGCGTACTGCTTCTAGTAATTCTATATATTGAATTGTTTGTTAGTATTATGTTTGCGCAACTTTTGATTTGTTTCGAATGTGATTGTTGAAATAAGGGAGTCGGTGCGTATGACGTATAACACGGATAGGGTATTGAACTAACCAGCAGGTTCACTCGGTGCACGATTGCGATCGCGTTGATGATGTTTTATTGATTCGTTTAGACGTTGTCTTTCTTCTATTTTCATATGTATTAGCATTTTTCTTCATAGATCATGGAAACTTTTTTTTTTCACTAATCTCTCCCGCACCCTCCAATACTGAAACCTCAAAAGAAATCCAAAAACTTACTCTCCTCCTCCCCTTCAATCCCAATCATATCCTCATCCCCACCCCCAAACAATCCCCCTCCATTATCCATCCCCCCTCCTAACATCATATTCGCAATATCAAAATTCCCATTTTTATCGCGCATGACTATATCCGTCGTCCCATCAAAAGAAAGACTACTATGATTCCTACTACCATTTCTACTAGCATGACCATTTTGAGGAAAGGGATTGGTATTTAAATCGCGATCGTGGGAGTTAGAGTGAGAATGGTAGGTATGTCCGTGATCTAATCGTAGTGTTTCGGCGGATGTACTAGTTGAGGAGGTAGTGGGACGTCGCGGGAGAGGAGCAATAGGATGTGAGGGGTGAGAGAGGTGCGTCGGGGTTGTGGTTGAGGATGCGGTGTGGGTGGTTCGGAGGTGTGAGGGGAAGAGGTTGCGTCGGACTGAGGGGCGGGCGGGCGCATTGGAGCTGGAGGGGTTGCGGCGTTCGGGCATGCTGGGTGGTGATGTGGTAGATAGGATGGTCGATAGGTGTCTGTTTAGGTGTTGGAGGACGTTCTGATTTGTATCGAGGTATGCGGATGTGCTTGTTTATTTATAGGTCGTAAGGAGACGGTTTGTTTAAAAGAATGATAAATGGTATAGAGTGTATGTATGTATATTCAAGAGAAGAGTGGCATGGATGCTAACACCGTAATAACCAAATTTCGAAATAGTATTGATACAGCCCATGTCAGAAAGTAGACATTAAATGGTTGTCCCGTCATAAGGCTGAAGATATTGTTACATTGAAAATATTAGCGGGGAACATGGGCGGGGATCATTGGAACGAATCGGAGGAGTCCATTTATGCATAAGTTAGGCTGGTATTGTCCCAAGCGAATGTCACGTCTAGACTTCTGACTTCTGTCTCCTTACAACATCTGATACATCAATACCGACATCACGATTTTTTGAACAATTTCATTTGTGGATTATTCGATATTAATCGATTTGCCAAATTTTATATTTGGTTTATCTTTAGGTAGATCATATTATTTCCATGAATATCATTTCATCATGAATGTCCATAAGCACACACATCATCACATACACGAATTCAACACTCTTCCTCTTGCTCAATTTGAACGAACTCGTGATGCGGGCAATACTGCGATTACGAGACCACAGGTACATATTCCGCTTATCTAATCACTATTTGTCTTTTAAATTAAAGTTGTGGGATAGGAAATCGCGCATTTCTCTTATGATGACAATCATGAATTTCGTTTAGATGATTCCTCAATCCGGTGGTATTATCCACCTGATTTAGGAACGGATTTGAATAGGGGATTTGAAACATTTCGCAAACATGATGATTCGAAGGATGAACATCTAGATTCGTTGTTGAGGGCGTTGATGGAAAAGGAGAAAGTGACGAATGTTAAGACGGAGGCGGATGTTATTACTTGGAGGGGGATGATGACAAAGGTTCGTCCTTGGGAAGTATGGAATTGAGGAAGTGCTGATAAGCGGTGCTATAGATTATAGCTAGTTTATTTGATTCTAGAGATGGCTTTCAAATGAATGCTACGTGTTTTGAGGTGAGTGAGTAATGAGTGTGGGCTTTTTGGAGTTTTGGGACTAATAATTGAGGTGAAGGGGACTGTGTATGCTTGACGATAAATTATTTTTTTATGAGCATAAGGCTGATTTTTCCAGCTTTATTGAGGAGGATCACCAGTATAAAGTAAAGACTAGAGCTAGACAAGATGCACGACAGCGACCTCAACCAGGAAGGCCTTCAGGTGATGCAATGAGTTTTTGGGGTAGGTCTACGGTATCCTGAATGCGTTTCTATCACTTTCATTGACCGAAGATAGGATATAAATTTGAAACTTTATGCCTTATGCCCAGGCCTTGGCCAGAAACTTCTCGAGATTATATCGAAAATCGAGATAATGAGATTGTCAATAACCATGCCCAGTACTGCTCAATTGTAAAAACGAAAATCGGAGGGAACTGTTTAGTTATTGGTGGAGAAGTCGATGGAAGTATGTTCAAAGCTTGTCTTTCAATTATTCTTGTCTAACAGTTTTCGGCAGTATACAAAGGCTCAAAATCTCAAGATGGAAAATCCACCGAATGGGTTGAGCTGAAAACTACTATGACTCCTAGACATCGGGGAGATGAACAGAACTTTGAGAAGAAGCTTCTGAAATTCTGGCTTCAATCATTTTTACTTGGAGTTCCTCATATTATAGTTGGAAAACGAAGCCCTGATGGAATTCTTCAAAGCATTGAACGGATCAACACGGCACAGATACCTGGGATGGTAAAGAAAAGGGGCAATAATTCATGGGATGGGGATATGTGTATCAACTTTGCAAATCGATTTCTCGAATGTGAGTGCATAAGTTTATTCCCTTTCTACCCGACTAACAACTATAGTTCTGAAAGCTACAGTCATTGGCGATGGCGTATGGAAGATCCGAAGAAGGGAAAAGTCTATGGCCATCGAAGTGTTCAAAACTGAAGAAGTGAAGGGACATGGGGGCATCCTTTCTGATCAATTCGTTGAATGGCGCAATACATTTAATCGACAAACGGCACATGATTCTCATGTCACAAATAACACAGTGCAGATGAACGGTATGAAGATCGCTGCAGGAGATGCACCTGAATCCGTTTTGGACGATGTGCTGTGAATTCTGAGTTGATTGATACGGGCTTGATGCAGCAGTGAATAATCACATAGCATCAATAGCTCCGACTTCGGACACGCCTTGGACGCAAGAAAAGCTCGGACACGTCAAATTGAACGGGAAAGAACAGTAAGAATCGAGTTCTCGGGGAAGGAGAAGAGATCTTTTGTTCGGAGCCTGAGACACGGCTTGCTTCTTTTATCTGACACGGCCATGCGCCTCCCTTAAACATTCGGGACCCATTCTGTTGAGATCACCTGATGATCTTCCCCGGACTTCCCCTCCAAAAAATCAAAGCTGGGGAATCCGGTGAGAAATGTAGATGCATCACCAAGTTTTAATTGGCCAATTGAGGAGATATATATAACATTTGGTAATAAAGCAGAAAGATTGAGAGAACAATTTGATATTGGAAAGATTTTATATCGTGCCTTCCTTCCTCAACCTTCCGACATGGCTTGGTTTTGAGTTTATAAAAAGAGGAAGTGATATTAAATTACTTTCCACCCGTATATACACGGCCTTGACCCACTCAATCCATCCGAGTCAAATTCAACTCCCTATGATATATATATATTTTTTTCCTGCAAGCCAAATTGAAATTTTCATCAAATCGACTTTCCTTCATATCAAATCCCTTTCCAATTTCCCTATCCTATCAAAAAACCTCAACGAAAAAGCCCCAATTATTTCCCTGAAATTGAAGACCCATTTGACCTCTTACCTACATATCCAGGTAAAATACTAAACCGCGTGTAATCAAGCAGCAAAATGTACCGAGGCATACGACTTTCCAGGGTTTGTCTTCAGAACCGAACCCGTGGCGCTGGAGCTGGGCTATGCTCTTTCCCCACCAACAGATATCATCTATCCACGGCTTCGGGAGCTGCTGCAAAATCACAAGAACTGGAGGAGAATCTTGATTCGGATATTCCTCTTTCTTTAAATTCACATATTGATTCTTCTATTATTACGAATTTACCTAGGACATATTCTTCACGACGAATTGTTAATCAGGTCAATATGAATAAATTTGGGCAACCGTGAGTCATGATCTTTTTTCTCTTTTGGGTTTCTTGGGAGGGGTTTGTTGGAGATTGGAAAATTATGAGGATTAATTAATTAATGAATGAATGTGAAGATGACTATTTACTAATAGGAATATAGTATACATCCCGATACCTCACATTCGTTGGAAGTGAGAAGACAAAATAAAACATTGGGGCTTGTTCCTCCTAATGTTGAAAGTTACGCGCTGCAGACTCAGAGATGTGAGTTTTGATATTTGAGGATATTTTTATTCTGTTTTGCTTTGGGGAAATGTACTGATGGGGATAAAAGGTCTTAAGCAATTGGAGGCAAAGACTAGTCCTATTGAGAAATATATGTACCTCAGTAATTTGAGGAATAATAATGTGCATTTGTTTTATCGATTGGTGCAGGAGCATTTGACGGTAGGTTTCTTGTTTCTTTGATTTTGGAGGGGGTAGAGAAGAGAAATGATTGCAATGGTTGGAATCGTGGATGGATATTGACAATCGTGCTTGTAGGATATCACGCCTTTGATATATACACCGACAGTTGGAGAGGCTTGTTTGAGATGGTCAGAGATTTACCAACAGCCCGAAGGTATTTCGATTTTTCTCCTAAAACTCCAACACAAAAATCTGACAGAATAGGTTTATATCTTTCCTACCATGACCGAGGCAACCTAGCAGAGATTCTCAGTAATTGGCGTCATCCTGAAGTTGAGATGACGGTTGTTACTGACGGTTCTCGCATCCTTGGTTTGGGTGATTTGGGTGTTAATGGTATGGGTATTCCAGTTGGAAAATTGTCATTATATACTGGTTGTGCTGGTATTCATCCTTCCAAGACTTTACCAATTACTCTGGATCTTGGGACTAATAATGAGACGTTCCTTAATGATCCGTTATATATGGGAAATTGTATGAAGAGGGTTTCTTCCGAAGAGGAAGCTGAGTTTATGGAGGAGTTAATGGTAGCCTTGAATAAGATTTGGCCTGGGTATGTTGTTCATAATTTTGGTAAGAGCACGTTTACTAATTTGTGGGTAGGATCATCGTTCAATATGAGGATTTCAAAAATCCATTCCAATCTCTGGCAAAATATCAAAACCAGTATCCTTGCTTCAATGATGATATTCAGGGTACTGGTGCGGTTATTCTGGCAGGTATCATTAATGCTTTACGCCGAACAGGTATTCCTGTCAAAGATCAAAGAGCTGTTTTCATGGGTGCAGGTAGTGCTGGTGTAGGCGTTGCTCAACAAATTGTAGAATTCTTCCGAAAGGAAGGATTGACAGAAGATGAGGCTCGTCGTTGCTTTTGGTTTGTGGATACCAAGGTATTTATTCTCCTCTTTCCTTATGGAACCCCAAAGCTGACTTCCTTAGGGCCTGATCACAAGTGATAGAGGTGATAAATTGGCCGAGCATAAGGTCTACTTTTCTCGTGATGACAACGAGGGAAAACAATTCAAAACTCTACCGGAAGTGGTCGAATATGTTAAGCCTACAATCTTAATGGGTTTATCCACCATCCGAGGAATTTTTGATGAATCCATTGTTAAGGAAATGGCAAAGTTAAACAAAAACCCGATAATATTCCCATTGTCAAATCCCTCTAGTCAAGCTGAATGTACATTCGAGGAAGCTATGGAATGGACGGATTGTCGAGCTTTGTTTGCTAGTGGAAGTCCATTCCCGGATTATGTTCAGGATGGTAAGACATATTCTGCTGGGCAAGGAAAGTAAGTATTGACATTACCGCACCGTGAAGTATGGATACTAATGAATTCTTAGCAATATGTATGTTTTTCCAGGTATCGGACTTGGATCAATTCTTTGCAAAACCTCCTGCATCAATCAAGAAATGGTAAGTTGTCACATCGGCTCATCTCTCCACAAACCTTACAACATCCAACTAACAAACCCACAGATCTATGCCTCAGCCGAAGCCCTTAGCACCTCCCTCACCCCCTCCGAAATATCTTCCGGTCGTCTCTACCCTGAACTCAACCGTATCCGCGAAGTAAGCGTTATCGTTGCTCGCCAAGTGATACGCGCAGCTCAAAAATTCAATTTCGATCGTGAACCTGCTATTCGCGGCATGAACGATGAGCAACTAGACGAGTGGATTAAGGGAAGAATGTACGATCCAACATTAGCTATCCAAACCTCGGGCTTGAAATCTACTGTAGGACAGAAGAAGTCGACGCCTAAATCATTACTTTAGTTTCTTTTCTGCTAAAGGGAATGCTAGAGAGAGAAATGAGGGCTCTGTCGTAACTAATTCTGTCGCGGCGGCTACGAGTCAGGGGACTTGGTTTTGGTGGGATTGGTGGAGATGGTTTCCTAGGTGGGGTATGCTGGAACAGGGAGTTTTTACAGATGTGGAGAGAGGTGATGGGAGGGGAGGGGAAGAGGAGTGTCAAAGCGAAGGCGGTGATAGATAGATCGATTGATTGGTTGCTTGATGGTATGGCATGGCATGGTTGAGCAATGGTTTTGCATTTCTTTCTTTGGCTAGGACTTATGATTGAAAACCGGTTCGTGGGGTGGTGGTTTATTAATAATGAAGAATTGATTCTGATGGATGGAAGTGGCAGGGCAGTCTACGTATTGGTAGATGAGTGCATAGAACAGATAGATTGGATGGAGAAAAGTTGACCTCACGCGTCCCGGACGGAAATAAAATGAATTTGCCTATTAAGTACTACTCAATAGAGATTGTTGGGTACTTTGATTATTGGTATCTTATACTCTTTAATGAAGCAATCGAGATATCAAATACAAAAACACGAAAATATTCAAATAACCATCCACCCCAAACCTCCCCGTCATTTGCCAAATTGCCATCTCTTCCCTACAATGAGACAATGAGGGGCACACACACATATCAGGGTATGGTAGTGGGGTAGGAAAACTCCCCCAAAAACGTTAGCCTGCCACTCCCCACCGCCTTTTATCACCCAAACGAGTACAAGTACCTCAAAAAATCACAAGTAAGTTTGGATTTACATCTGAGCACGCTTCGTTATTTTTATCGCTTTACTTCATAACGTACATACCTAGGTACCTAGTGGTAGCTTTTGTGGTGTTTGAACGGTTAGGTTGAGATTAGCTGGTTGACGCAGTTGAGTTGATATAGTTGAGATAGTTGAGATACCTGGTCAAGATGGTTAATATTACGGAGAAGATTAAGGAGTGAGTTTTTTTTTAGTTTTTTAGTTTTTTAGTTTTTTTGTTTTTGTTTGTTTGTTTGTTGGGGGGATGGGTGGATGGATAGATGGATAGATGGATGGATGATGGACGGATGGGAGTTGCTTGGTGGGAAATGGATAGAAAGATAATATGGATGGATGGATGGAATGCTAATGCTATACTTCTAAAGGATCGAGGATGAGATGAGGAAGACGCAGAGTAAGTTTTGCGAACCCTGGAGATTTTGCTGGTTGTTATGTTATGTTATTAAGGCGATTATGAACATATGCATGAGAGGAGAATTATACGAATACTCACTAATTTATTGTTGATAGAAAATAAGGCGACGGGTATGTAAGATCTTGCAATTTTGAAAAATTGTCAAACACGTGATCGAGCATAACTGAAACTGAAACTGATTTTTGATATATCTCAGAATATCATCTTGGGCTTCTTAAAGGGTTTGTTTGTTCTATTTTCTTTTCAAAATACTACTTCTATTCGGGGATGAGATTTCCCCGGTGATTCGCTCTACTTACTTACCATCTCCATCAGAAAACTCGCTCGTTACCGCGCTCAACTTCTCGAGCCGGGTCCTGGTGCTGGAGGTGCAGGTGGTACGGGATTCGACGTTTCGAAATCAGGAGATGCACGAATTGCCCTAGTGGGGTTTCCTTCGGTGGGAAAATCTACTTTCTTGTCCAAGATTACAAAGACGAAATCTGTGGTTGCAGCGTATTCGTTTACGACGCTTACGGCTATTCCTGGTGTGTTGGAGTATGGAGGGGCGGAGATTCAGATTTTGGATTTGCCGGGTATTATTGAGGGAGCGGCTGAAGGGAAGGGTAGAGGAAGACAGGTTATTAGTGCGGCGAAGACGAGCGATTTGATTTTGATGGTGTTGGATGCTACGAAGAAGGCGGAGCAGAGGGCGTTGTTGGAGGCGGAATTGGAGGCTGTGGGGATTAGATTGAATAGGGAACCACCGTATGTCTATGTTCCGTCTTTTCACCCAAATCAGAGACTGCCTTCATGTTGGAAGTTAATCACAAGCTAACATCACAGAAATATCTACCTCAAGCCCAAAGCCGCAGGCGGCATGAAAATCACCTTCCAAACACCGCCCAAATACATCGATCAAAAAATGATCTACAACATCCTCCGGGACTACAAAATCCTCAACTGCGAAGTCCTCATCCGAGACGAATACTGCACCGTCGACGACTTCATCGACGTAATCATGAAAGACCACCGCAAATACATAAAATGTCTCTATGTATACAACAAAATCGACAGCGTGTCACTCGATTTCCTAGACAAACTCGCCCGTGAACCCCACACGGTCGTCATGTCCTGCGAAATGGACCTCGGCATCCGCGACGTAGTCGATCGCTGCTGGGAAGAACTAAAACTCATTCGTATCTATACGAAGAGGAAGGGAATTGATCCGGATTTCTCAGAGGCACTCATTGTGAGGAGTGGGTCCCGTGTTGAGGATGTCTGTGATCAGATTCATAGGACGCTGAAGGATACGTTTAAATATGCGTTGGTTTGGGGCGCGAGTGCGAGACATGTGCCTCAGAGGGTTGGGTTGGGTCATTTGGTTGCGGATGAGGATGTTATTAGTATTGTTAGTGCCTTTAAGGCTTAGATTTTGTCGTTTTTGGGAGGGAATGGATTTGTTGATTTATTGATTTATGATAAGTTATCAGATATGAGATATAAGATGTGATATAATTTTTTTATCATGAATTATATTGATGCAGATAATGAAATGAATTGAGTAAGTTAAAAATTTCTGCTCTTCAAAATCTCAGACTCTTATATCTCAACTCATTTCACGGGTTTGAATACTTGTTATTTGCTCCTTGCTCCTTACTATTTGTTACTTGATAATATATATATTATAAAATAATCTTAATAATCATCTCTTTCTTTCTCTCAATAATTATGTGCTTAATATTACTTGGATGAGATGAGATAATATAAATATAACACAATACAATGAAATATTTAACCTGTTAAATATTTAACATAAATTATAGATAAGATGACATTATATTCATTCCAAGTTCACAGATACAGACAGAACTCTCTCACTTTATCTTCCTCTTACTCTTACTCTTACTCTTACTCTTCCCTTTGTACCTATAAAACAAAAACCTTACACATGATAATACTCACTACACATATCATAATCACCACATCAAACATACACACAATAACTTAAACAAAACTATCAATTTAACTTTTTCAATTTTCCTATTTAATGAACTTCCTTTTGATTACCCTGCCTGCAAAAACCCCCTGCAAGTATGATACAAAAAGCCATGCTGCATTCGTTGCACACATAGAAACAGAATACATTCATTTGTCAACGCCAATTCTCATTCCGACCGTTAAAAATGTAAAGGAAACAAAGAAGGAAAAAGAGGAAACTCTATACCACCAAGATTCAATCATGATAGTGAGCGAAAGTATAACGTTTTGACTTTACTCGCTATCAGAACTACCAGCGGCGGATTTCTTTGATTCCCTCTTAATTTTCTTCTCCTTCTTCTTGCGCTTCCTTTCTGCTTTCTCTTCCGCTGTTTCTCCATCATGCCTCTTTCTCTTCTTGTCACTCTTCTCTTCATCATCATTGGTAGCGTTTCCATCGGCGGGTGAAAGTGCTGAAGGAGCAGCAGCTGTAACAGCTTCAGGCTTTGGGTGGGATGCAATAGCAACAGCTCCATCTTCAGGAGGAGCGTTAAAGTCCTTGTAGTCATTGTTCCACTTGGCAGGAGTAGCCTCGTTTGGTCTTCCGTATTTATCAAGCTTGCCTTCAGTCTTCATCTTCTTCTTTTCGATTGCTACTGGTCCCATTCCCCATCTGCGTGGGTAGAGATCACGTTCCATGATACAACGCTTGACCTTAGCAACGACACCGTGATCGCAAGATGATAGTTCAACGGTGGACATCTGGGCAATACCAAGGGCAATGGCTTCTCCCTTGGTAGTCATGAGGACGACCTCTTCGTGGACCTCGATATCGGCCTCTGTGAAATTGATTAGCGCAAGCAATCATAAATCGTAATCTCAGAAAAATTGTAGTGTATCTCGTGCTCATTCTCAAAAGTGGTTTGTTCCTCATCAACGACCCGAAGGCTATATGAGTGGTGCATGAAACTCGTGTCTAATCATCGCGGGATTTTTTTATTTGGGACCGTAGGGGAAACACGTACCATATCTTAACAATCCAGGAATCATCAACTTGGCACCATAACAGACAGCGTTGACTGCACTGTCCTTGACGACAATTCTCTTGTAGGTGGTGAGAAGGGTCTCCAATGGCTGAATAACCTTTCTCAGGTATGCCTCGTCGCGTGCATTGTCTTGCATCCATTGAGCATCCAAAACATCATGGAGAGTGACCATATCTTTTGTCTCATCCATAGCACCACTTCGTACTCTCCTCAACTCTTGCATGTGTGCGCCGACGCCCAACAATAATCCGAGATGGACACAGAGAGTACGGATGTATGTACCAGCTTCACAGCTAACCCAGAATACACCCAAATGTCTATCATTATCAAATTCGTATAGCTTGCTCTCGTGGATTGTTCGAATACGGAGTTGACGCTTGACGGCGGAAATGAGAGGAGGACGTTGGAAAAGAGCACCAGTTAAGGTCTCTAAGGCTCGCGCAAATTGTGCCTCTCCACCTGGAAGTTTGTCGTGTAATCTAATAACACAAACATACTCCTTTCCTGCTCCTTGTTGGGATTTTACGAGTCTGGTTGCGCGATCAATGCAAACAATTAAACATCCGGTAACCTTGGGATCCAGGGTACCACTGTGACCAGTCTTCTCAACTCTATAATTTTTAACGGTTAGTTCTTCTCGCGGAATGATCGCATAAGAGTGAGCATTTACCTCAACATGCGCTTAACCCATGCTACAACTTCGTGACTGGAAGGGTTGGAAGGTTTGTCGAGATTAATAACACCCGAGCTGATGTAGGACTTGAGGTCTCTCTTCAGCGGAGTGCAGCCATTGGGAATTGGGGTGAAGTGTCCAGTGCGAACAAGTACTAAAACATGTCAGTCGACTTTCAATTGCCCGAATAACTTCACACATACAATTGTTGTAGTTTTTCAACAGTAATGGCCAACTGCTGGTGTCAATTGCTGGAGTTAAAGCTTCAGGCTTGATGGTATAATCAACCTCCTGCTCTTTCTTTGTCGATACAAGCGCCATCTTGGATAAAGGTAATTGACGAATCTACAATATCCAGTGTTTTGTGGTCGCTGTCGAGGTGGTTGATTAATTTTTACTTTTCCTCGAAGATTTCAAGCTCTAGAAAATTTACCGATGAGAAATTTTGGTGGAGGGAGCTAAATCGAACAAGGTAAAGCTCTTCTTGTCACGTGCACGCTCACTCGACCAATAAAGTTTCAACTGAATTGAGAACACAAGATTTTATTGACCGATAATAGATGAATGATGTTTCTGATATGAGAATCATCAGCCTACATCTATGTACGTATACCTATCTACCATTAGGCATAAATTCATAAAATGAAATAAAATAGAAACAGCTGGAGATCTATAGATTAATCACATTGAAAAATTGATATTTACTTTAATTTTCCCCTTTCATCTCATCCAACCTCTTTTCGCCTGACATTCTATAATGCCAAAAAGGTACCAAGGTATCATCAATCACATGGTATACAATCCTTAAAACGCCCCCTATAAATATCAGGTTTAGCATCCAAACTCCTTTCCTTCTCATATCACCGCGACAACCCTTGTTAGGAAACGACCCTAAAATGCTATCAATACATCTATGACCACGACCCGCTTCTGCTCTCAGAGTATCTATTAACTTCTCGCCTTAACCACTCTGAATCTTCGTCCATTTTTTCTCTAATTCTCCTTGCTCTCTCAAATAAATCATCATCATCATCCAATCCACTATTTTGTGATCTCCTTCCAGAACCAGCTGCCATAACTACCCTAGCTCGCTCTTTCAAACGATTTATTTCTTCGTCGCCAGTCGGGGCTGGCGGAAGTAATTGTTGAGCAGGTACTCTAGCCGGGCTGCTTCTTGGGATCGGTTGCTCTTTCGGCATCATCAGAGTTCGGGATCTAATAGGTTTGCTAACACCATCGAAAGACTTCTTTTGGCGTAAAGGATCCTTTGCCACAGAAGTAGCAAGAGGTGTTCCATTAGGAAGGGTGGTAATGCCCCTGGCTTTCAATCGAAAGTAGTCAGTCTGTACGCCACTAAGCTGTGGCCGAGTCTCATATGCAGCTTGATAGCTAGAAAAGAAATGGATTCTCGAGCCCCCATTCAAGAAAGAAGGATCCGACAGTATTGAACGTTGCAAAGGATTATCCGACTGATTGCGTCTCTGTGACTTTGAAGTTGAATCTGACGCGATAGAAGATACGGAAGACTTCAATCGTTTGTTGCTACGTTCGGTTTCTCCATTGTACACAATCTCTCTTATCTTTTCTTGTGGGTTGTGTACACCCACGAGAACCCCAGTTCCTTCTAAGAGACTCCCCAAGCTTGACCGTCGATCTTTAGAAGGGCTGCTCTTCACTCTCTTTTTACCCTTTGAAGTTGAGAGCCTAAAATCCTCAACAACACTGGCCGAAAGTGCTGTCTTAGAGGCTCTCATGCTTTCGGCGTGTTCTATGCGAGCTCTTCTAGCTTTGCTCCCCTGCCGACGTACCCAAAGATTGTGAGCGTTCGTCCGCCACATGCTAATATACTTTACAGCTAAAGCTTTACTTCGAAAATCATCCGCTTCCTGCCGTGCCAATTCCTCCTCTTCCTCGGCGATACGCTTGGCTTCTTTTCTTGCTTTCTTAGCCTCATCTCTCATAAACTTGTCCATCGTCTCTCCCACCAAATTTTGGACTGTGTATGTCATGAATTGCTCAATGATTCCATCCTCTCCAAGTGCAATCCATTTTGCAAAGTTGTCTAATGGAGAGACCTGAAGTGTCGGTACTTGGATATCCGGCTGCGGAGTTTCTTTGGCGACAGGCCTAAACAAATTGCTGAGATCTGGCTTTGGCGTTGGGGTAAATGTAGTGACCTTGGCAGACTTAGCCACAGATGGTGGCGCTACCGGCTCAGAAGACACGGACTGGAGCACAGGCTTGGAACTAGAATTCCAATCATTAAGCTTAGGGCGTGTGAATTGTGGCTCTGGTGCTGGAGGCTTAAAAGCCGTGGTCTCTGTTGGTTGGAAAGGTTTCGTGCTTTCCGCAGAAGTTGTTGGAGGAACACTTGGAAAGGTTGCTTTGTCCGATGGCCAACTGAATTTTGGTGGTTCTATAGGGGTTGGTTGAAACGGCTTGGGAAATGTTGCATTATCTGACGGCCAAATAAACTTTGGTGGCTCTGTAGTCTTAGGTTCTGATGGGTTATTCGTTGAGGTGGGTGCAAAGAGAGCAAGTGGCGCGAATGGTGTAGGTGCAGTAACAGGAGATGGAGCAGATAGAGTAGAGGGAGCAATCGTATCCTTCGGCTTCTTTGTCGAGAAAAGTGTAGTTTCGGGTTGAGCGCTGTTTGTCTGGCCTGTAAACGGAAAGCCAAATAATGGTGCAGCAGGGGAGGTTGGCAAGGCTTGCTGAGGTGGTATTTGTGCCACTTGAAAGCCGGCTGCTTCGGATGGCTCGGCGAAAGTTGCTGCTTGGGGTAACGGCTTCACTCCTCCAATGTTGTCCTTCACAAACAAACCATCGTCAGAACTTGATTCCTCACCTTGCTTCGTATCTGCTGATACCCCTTCGTATACAGTCGTATCGATTACCTCTGTCAAGGTGTGGCCATTACGTTTCCGCTCCACGACTTCACCAGAATGAGGTTGCTTGATTGGGGGGAAGGGATCAACAACTTGATTATCCACCGCCAATGATAAGCAGTAATCGCCATCCACCTCATCAAACCGAAGGCCATAAGCTTCACCAAAGTCAACGATATCCCATGGGTCATCAAAGTGTAGATATTGGTTCAGTTTGCCAATATTCCAATCCTTTGGTTGGTCGCGCTGTCGCTGATATGCTGACAATATCGTCTTCAAAGCATTCTTCCGAACTTCGTTGAAGTGCATCTCAGCAAAGCAAGCCATGGTATATGACACATTTCGGCCTTTCAAAATTGTGAAGAAGCGAGAAAAGGCATTTTCCGCGACGTTCAGCACCGAGAATGGTTGCAGGGGACCACGTGGGCTCCAGATGTTCTGTAAACATTCAACTAGGCTGACAGCAATCTTAATCTGCTCTGACTCTCCCCAAAACCTCCATCCCCAGTTTTGTACCGTCTCTAGGATTCCAGGATTGCTACTATTGAGAAGTACATAGTATGCCCTAAATTCAGCTTCGTTCTCGCAAGATATATTCTGAAGATTGCAATCCTCATAAGCATGTATAAGCGAGAGGAGAGACTTGCTAAGTTGTTCAACTTCTTGCTGTTCCACAAAATTTTCCGGCGCGACGTCAGGTTTCGACATCTGATGTAACGCTGTAACATGGAATCGAGTGATCTTTTCGAGGCAGTAAACTTGATCAGTCAACTCTGGTGGACTCATTGACGATTGAAATACGAAATCTCGCCGTATTGCTCGCGTTCGGTCCCACAAAAATTCATGCTGAGCTGCTAGATTATCATCCTCCCCCAAGACTGTGTCGATGAGATAATCCAGTGTTCGTCTGAGTGCAGCAGGTGACCGAACATCTTGCGGAAGTGGGGCATCTTCTCCAGCGGCAGATCTAGCCAACTTCTTGATCATCATTTGAGGCGAAGGACGCATGGATCCGTCTGGTGCTACCTCCTTTTCGGCACGTTGGACGTCATCTTCAATAATTCTTCTTATAATTTCTTCTTCCGGGCACATTTGGTCGCATGTTCCTTTGAAGTCGATAGCTTCACTGAGTTTCTTTGGTTTGAGAGGATCATCAATGAAGCCACCTTGAATTAGGGATGCGCGGACGCGTGTTCGATACTTCTTCAGTTCATCTAAATAGCTCTTCACAGCCGCCCTTTCGCGTGGATCACCTGGATTTTTTGCGGTACATCGTGGTGGCGTGATATTTTCTTTCTGTAAAAGAGTGCTGATCTTGCTGGCTAACTCACTGCTCGACGCAAACGACGCCATTTCCGAGGATACTGGCGTAGTATTTCCAAAGCCCGACTTCGACTGATTGGATGCTTTGTTCTTCTTGTCAGAAAAACCATTGGTTGCCTGTGATGGCTTTGACGAAGCATTTTTCTGGGAATTCCTATCAGGCTTCTTCTCGATTGAGGCTTGTTTCGAAGGGGCGCTTTTGCCTCCTTTCACGATGCCGGCTTTCTGAGAATTGATCAGGGCAGACAAAGGAGCCGCCGAGGCACTTGATGGGCTACCAAAACTCGACGAAGATGAGGCGCCTCCAAAAGCGTTTGTAGAGGCGAATGGGTTTACAGCTGTTGACTGACGTGTACTTACTGAGCCAAAGACGCTTGTATCGGGAGTTGTGGAATTGGATGAAGGAGCGAAAGGCGAAGGCGAAGGGCTTGTGCTGTTAGGTCCAGTGGGTGCTACAAAAATGTTTGATGACGTCCCTGGATTTTTATTTGCAGTAAATGCGAAGGGGTTGGAGATCGTAGACGTTGCACTCCCCGAGCCAAAGGAAGTCTTCATATCTGATGATGTTGCACTGGCAGGCGAGCCAGTTTGTTCCTCAGTTGATGGAGTCGCAAATCGAACCTGCTTATTGCTTTGTAACCCTCCACGCGATGATCCTCTTCCTCTGTTATTGGTCGCAGATCCGTTTTGGCCTCTCTGTTCGCGCTTTGCAGCATTCTCGAGTCGTTCTTTTTCGAATGGATCCACCGATGTCGTCGCGCTTGAAGATAGACTAGCTAAATGATCAAACTTGTATGAGTTTCTTTCATGATGACATTAATTGTGAAATTTTTTGGATAATATTTTTTACCATTAACACGGGAACTGCCGTGATATATATTGGTATTGTCGGTCAATGCTGGAGGTCTTCATGGTGTCATGAGATTGTGATTGGGGCTTACCAGAAGCGTTGCTTGAAGCTCCTCGACCCGCCTGTCCGCGACCTCTTGACCCTCGTGAACTTTTTGAATTTCCTCGCGCGCCCCTGGCGTTACTGCTACTGAGCAGCATCGTTCGTAATATAGATCATGGAGAGGTGGGAGGGATGAGGAGAGTGGTAGTTAGATTAATACTATGTGTAGGTTTCTAGTGAATTTGATTTACTCAATTTTCAATTGCTTCCATGCGGTATTCATTGTGAGGCGGAACAAGGTTGTCTTCACCCTAAGCTCCATCTGATGATGACTAGATTCTGCCGATAAATTGCACACCGCCAAACGAAAATGGCCAGCAACTTTTCGGGTCATCACCCACTTGCACATTTGTCATAATCAGAAGTCTTGAAAGTAAAATTAAATTTATATCTTCACATTTTACGGTTCAAACAAAAGACTCTGTATTATTGGTATTGTTGTGATTCATCGGTATTCACAGAAAGAAGATTCAAAATATATATTTTCATTCTTTGATAGCCCAAGAAAACGTTCGTAATGAAGCCTCTAATACATACGCCGTGATACACTTTTATTCTTAGATGTCATAACCTTGGGGAATTCCATACTTTTCAAAGTATTTGCCTGAACTCCAAGCGCCAAGTGAACCAAATATAGAACCAAATGCCAACCCGCAACTCCTTGCTAAAGGCCTTTACTACCGTTCACGCCCTTTGGGTACGAGTGGAGCGATTACCGAAGCTGCTGAAGCGTGCTGGACCGAGACCCTTTCGAACCTCGTCTAACTGTTCCATACCAGTCTGGTATTTCATCTTTTTGACATTCTTCTTACCGCTCATAGAATGACTGCCTAGGAAATCATCCATAATACTATCGAAGTCTTGGCGAAGGTCGCCTTCTACCGTAGATACAGAAGACGAGGCCATCGAAACGGAGGCCATATCGTCAAAATCCTCGTTGTATTGTTCCTCGATTTTCTCGAATCGTTGATCGAGTGTAGTAAGGCCTTCTGTTCTGAATATTGAGGACGATGTCATGGAGTAAGCGGAAGGGTTTGTCAAGGCACCCTTTCTCTTCTTCCGTCTTCCGCCATTTGTGGTGGTAGTAAACAGGGATGATTGTAAGTCAGATTGCGAAGGCGCAACTTGAGCCTTGCTGGAAGTCTTATCCTTTTTGAATTTGCTGAAGTTTGCCATCCAATCCCCGTCGCCATGATCTTCCCGCTCATCATCATCTATATCCTGGGTCGTAGCAGGTGCGTCCTTGTATTCTTGAGTAGGCTTTGCTGTGGCATCGGATTCCCATCCGTCTTCATCATCCCAAGTTTCATCGAATTCTTCTTCATTTAATTCCTCTCCATCCTTGGCCAATTTCTCAAAGATTTCGTCGTCATCGTCTACATAAGCCTCGTCTTCCAAAGCTTCCAAGACTTCCCTCAACCTCGGATCCATATCAGGCTGAAAACCAGCTAAAGCATCAGGGACATCTTGTTGTGCTTGGTATGTAACCTTTCGAAGGTTTTTGGATGGTAGAATTTCGTCATCAAGAACGGCTCCGGCCTTGTCTTCCAAACTTGCGTTCTTCAGCGCGTCCTCCAAAGATTGTTTCCCTTTCCCCTTGTTTTTGTTTTTTGGTCCAGTAGCTTCCACAAAAGTTGATTCACCACCTCCACGACCCAAATCGCGCATGTGTTGCATATAATCATATTCAGTGTCATCATAGTAAACTCCATAGTTTGCGGCCTCCCCTTCGTTATCTCTGACATGTGCGATGCCTGAACCAAGCTCAGCTGTCAAATCATCGAGTTTCTTGATTTTGTTCGAATTGGGTGCATTGGTGGGATTTAAGACCATGGAAGATGCAGATTCATCGTGAATTAACGGATCGTTCTGAGGACGATGAACGAGTTGAAAATGTGTCGCATTCTTCTTATCAATCCACTTTCCTCGAGCCATGTTGACGATGTTTGGTAATTGTAAATCTCTACAGTGGAAAAGTGGAAAAATATTTATTATCTGGATCCGAGGAGGGTTTGGAATTGCAGATGCCAAAATCCAGATTGATCAATTATTTGTGGAAAGATTTAATTTTCCTAGTGCCGGCAGGATTTTTGGCGCAAATTTCATCACAGGGTCGAGAAATTTGCCCCTCATTTTGCTCGATAATCAGAACTCCATCCAAAAAGTGTAAAATTCATTTATTTATTCTCAATTTCGCGAATTACTGCCAATTCATAGCAGGATCTTTATTTACTTTTAACCAAGAAGACTCACAAAGGGCAACGGAGAAGACGTACATACGATGGTTCTCGCAAAATCCAAAAATGCTGTTGGACTGGGGAACAGTTTGATGAATGATAGATTTGGGAAGGGCAAAGGAGCAGATCGCAAGAAAACCACAGCAACTGGAATTCAAAGAACACACAAAGATACCGGAGAAACCGTATGTAAAAATCTATGATTTTACTCTTTGATACTGAAAGAAAATAGTATGTCACGAACGAAAAACAGGAGGCCAGTTGGGTCAAGATGCGATCGGTCACAGAGCAGGCAGCACTCGATGAATTCTTGTCCACTGCAGAGTTAGCCGGCACAGATTTTACGGCAGAGAAGATGAACAATGTTAAGATTATTCATACTGATCAAAAGAATCCATACCTTTTATCGGCCGCCGAAGAACGAGCTGCAGTTGGCAAACAAAAGGTACACAAGGAAAGACTCACGGTTCCGAGAAGACCGAAATGGGATTCTACTACCACGCCGCAGGAACTGGATAGAATGGAGAGAGATGGTCTTTTGGAATGGAGAAGAGGACTGGCTGAGCTTCAAGAAAATAACGATTTATTGATGACACCATTCGAGCGCAACTTGGAGGTTTGGAGGCAGTTGTGGAGAGTTATTGAGAGGTCTGATCTTATTGTACAAATCGTTGATGCTAGGAATCCACTTCTGTTTCGATCTGAGGATTTGGAAAGATACGTCAAAGATGTTGATAGCCGCAAAGAGAATCTTTTATTGGTCAACAAGGCTGATATGTTAACTTTGGAGCAAAGACAACATTGGGCTGATTATTTTGAGGCGGCCGGTATCAAATACAAGTTCTTCTCGGCAGCTTTAGCAAAAGAGTTAAATGAAGCAATGCTGGAGGAAACCGAAGAAGAAACCAGGGCTTCGACTTCAGCGTCGAAACTAGCAGAAAAGGCCAGAGCACTCGGTCTTGATGACGATGAAGATGACGAGGATAGTGATGCGGACAGTGACGAACAAGATGAAGGGGCCGACGAGAAAGAAGAGGATGAAGAAAGTGATGATGGAATAATGGAGACCGAAAGCACCAGAATCTTGACAGTGGACGAGTTGGAGGCTCTTTTCTTGTTGCATGCACCTGAGGTTCAAGGTAAGGGTCATCACATATAAGCAACTAATTCTATAGCTAACAAAATCAGATTCCGAGTCAGAACATCCTAGAAAGACTCAAATTGGTCTCGTTGGATATCCTAACGTTGGTAAATCTTCTACCATCAACGCCTTAATTGGCGCTAAGAAAGTGTCTGTATCATCGACACCAGGAAAAACGAAGCATTTCCAAACTATTCATCTCAGTGACAAAGTTTTACTTTGCGATTGTCCTGGATTGGTTTTCCCAAATTTTGCAACTACGAAAGCGGAACTTGTGTGCAACGGTATTTTACCTATTGATCAGCTTCGAGAATTCGTGGGGCCAGCTGGTTTAGTAGCACACCGTATACCTCAAGGTTTCTTAGAAGCACTGTACGGAATGAAGATTGTGACCCGACCTTTGGAAGAAGGAGGAACCGGTATTCCAACCGCCGAGGAAATGTTAACAGCGTACGCTAGAGCGAGAGGTTTCAGGAGGACAGGGCAAGGTCAGCCGGATGAGTCGAGAGCCGCTAGACATATTCTCAAGGATTATGTCAATGGGAAGCTATTGTTCTGTCAGCCTCCGCCATTGGATATTGACCCTTTTGAATTCAACAGAGAGTTGTACAACGAAGGCCATCTACCGGAGAAGAGACGACAAGCTTTAGCGTCTATGACCTCCGACGCTGATGACCACACTTCTGTCGCGGATAGCGATATCATCGACATGCCGCAAGGACCAAAATCAAAGAAATTGGACAGTACTTTCTTCGCTCAAGGACAAGGCAACTCGGCACACTTACGAATGCCTTTCAGTCACAAGTACTCTGAGCAAGGAACTGCAAGCGGAAAACAACTGTCGGGAAGGAAACAGGCAACCTTAATAGCTTTAGAGAAAGACATGGATCCAAATGATGTTAAGAAATTGACTAGTAAAAAGCATTTCAAGGGTAACAAACCAGGTGGAAAAGGCAAGCGAAGAGCGGATTATCTTGCCGATTAAAGGTCACATATCGGATTTGGGTCATAAAAAGGATACCTCAACAGCGGTGGCGGTTTGCATGTTTGATTGGAGTTTGCGGTATTGATTAAGTAGAAAAATGAACATCACCTCGGCCAACAAGTGCTGGGTTCTTAGCAATATGAACTGATTTCTCGTACCATTGATTTCATATCATGATGTACGGAGTAGTGGCCTTGAAGGATTGATTGATTGACTGATTTGATTGATAATGACGTTCATAGCCCCTCTCGACATAAATTGCCTCGGTCTAAGGACAATTGGCCGAGCCGAACGTGGAGAAGTTTGGGGTAACAGCAGCAACTAAAGGTAGAACAACAGGAACCTCGATGCTTATATTATTAATCATCCCCTTAAACATACTTACTATAATTAAGAAACTTCTCTGAGTTGAATACACTATTGTTCTTATCGCTTTCATTGTCTCAATTAATTACTGATAAGACTTCGCATACGAATCCACCCAGTTCTCCTATAATCTCATCCATCATGTCTGACAAAATCCCTATTCTCGTAAGAGCTCATTATTCGATTCCGCCTCCGTATACTAACTGCCCTGCTAGGCCGCCAATCGAGTGAGTGATCATGCAAAAAAGACTCTTGATCTCGTTACAAAATTCGTCGAGGAGAAATGTATACCGTATGTCCTTTTGCCATGACATCCCATATCCTGACCGCACAAGACCACTACTAACAATCGACAGCGCCGATCCCATATTCCACGCTCAACTCGGCGAGGGTGCTCAGAGATGGGATGCCTACCCTTCGGTCATCGAAGACCTCAAGAAAGAGGCCCAAAGCCTCGGATTATGGAACATGTTCCTTGCGAAAGCACACTATAAAGAAGGAGCCGGTTTCTCCAACCTCGAATATGGATTGATGGCAGAACAATTGGGTAAATCACACTTAGCATCTGAAGCTACCAATTGCGCGGCTCCAGATACGGGGAATATGGAGGTGTTGGCGAAATATGGAAACGAGGAACAGAAGAGAGAATGGCTGGTTCCGTTGTTGGCTGGAAAGATTCGCTCAGCTTTCTTGATGACGGAACCGGATATTGCCAGTTCTGATGCTACAAATATTCAAATGGATATGAAAAGAGATGGGGATGATTGGATTTTGAATGGCTCTGTAAGTTGTGATGGTTCTATTTTTGGTCAGGGGTAATTGGGCTGACAACATGTTGTAGAAATGGTGGTCAAGTGGCGCTGGTGACCCGCGATGCAAGATTTATATTGTTATGGCTAAGAGTGATCCTAACAACCCGGATCAATACAGGCAACAATCTGTCATTTTGGTTCCAGCTGATTCTCCTGGTATCACAATAAATAGAATGTTGTCAGTCTACGGCTTTGATGATGCTCCTCATGGACATGGACATTTGACATTCAAGAATGTTAGAGTACCAGCAAAAAATATCGTACTAGGCCCTGGACGAGGATTTGAGATTATTCAAGGCCGTCTTGGTCCTGGACGTATCCATCACTGCATGAGATCTATTGGTGCTGTAAGTTTATCAAGATCTACACAAACATTCAAAGCTAATTAGTCCCAGGCCGAGAAAGCTCTCGATTGGATGCTTATGCGCATCAATGACCCCAAAAAGACACCCTTTAAGAAGCAATTGAAAGAGCATGGTGTAATTCTTGAGTGGGTGGCAAGGTCCCGAATTGAAATCGATGCCGCTCGTCTAGTTGTACTCAATGCTGCTATTAAGATAGATGAGGGAGGTGCAAAGAATGCACTAAAGGAAATTGGCGAGGCAAAAGTTCTTGTACCAACCATGGCATTAACGGTCATTGATCGTGCTGTCCAATCATTCGGAGGGGCCGGTGTGTGTCAAGATACCCCTCTCGCATCCATGTGGGCAAATATCAGAACCTTGAGGTTGGCCGATGGACCAGATGAGGTGCATCTACAACAGTTGGGTAGAAACGAAAACAAGAGAGGAGCGGAGGTGACTCAGAAGATCCATAAGCAGATGGAGCTCACTGAGGCCCTGTTTGCAAAGTACAGAGTTAAACATGTAGAACCTGGACCAACTGTACGGGAGAAATCCAAGTTATAAGTTAGGTGGCAGTTAGGGATATATTTCGTATATGCGTACAAGGGAAATAATACGAATTTCGCATGGTCTACTAAATTGAGGATTAGAAAAATTCATATGGTTCATAAAATTCGTATCATAACAAAAGTATTACATGAATAATATGAAGAAATGAAAAAAAAAACAATCAAAACAATGCAAGCAAAATAGCAGAATATCAAAAATGCTACAAGCTTTTTCAGTTCCATTTCTACGTCAGTGAGTTGTTTATTGATTTGCATGAAGGGGAAAGTGGAGATCCCGAAGAAATGTATGTGCCTTCCGTTGCTAGGACAACAAGCGTAAATAATCAAATAGCAGAAGCTCTTCCTCATAAATTTTCCATCCTCCACCATCCTCAAATACATAAACCACATAAAATCCTCACGAAAGAAGAGCCTTTTTTCTGCAATTATCCAGTTCAATCAATCCTATTCTCATCCAGATTCAATACTCAATACATAATTGTTAAGTCAAAGCTACTTTACTACCACAAAACAACTCCATCACTCGATACGAAGATTCCTCTCCCCGTACGCATCGCAACGAACAATCAATTACAATGTCTTCACCAAGCGTTCTCTCAAACAAAGACGTTAATATCTCGGCGATGAATCAACATACTGTTGTTGTTGTTGATGAGAAGAAAATAACTATGGTTGCTGATCCTCATAATATGGAGTATCATCGTCAGGTTTTGCAGAATAAGATGCAACAAAACGCGTATGTTTGCTTCGATTGTTTATCTATTTCCACCCACCGTCACTTATACTACTTTTTGCTTCGCTGTTTAACAATTGCTTCATTTGAACTTTATCCAAAGACAAGAATGCAATATATGAATATTCACTAATTGTTTACTTCAATCATAGGGGACAAGAGGAAAAATATATCTCCCCATCTGATACCATCCAATCCCCAACTACTGCCAAATTGTCGGCTTATCGCAACAAACAAGTCGGAAAGTGAGTGAATTCTTTTTACCTCATCGTACCCTTTACACCTTTACAACCTTCACACGGATACTTTCTCATTCAACATCATCGAACCTCAAAACCCGCCAATATGAATGAAAGAAATGCTAACAATCTCTATTCAGGAACACCAAACCCCGTTCCCTCTTTGCCAAAACCTCCGCCAAAAAATTCTCAGCTGCAAACAACGGCCAGCTCTTCGGTAAAGATATTTCGAGCCCAAAAGAAACCACGGACGAAAACATTGCCGGCGATGCTATGCAAGAATAGATCTACCATTCTCTGATCATGAGATGAGATGAGTTTTTTGTCTTTTGCATTGCTAGCAATTCTTCAATAAAGAGGCGTATAAGTATCACGCACTCTCGGTTTGTTTTTGGGTTTTGGTTTAGTTCTGGTTATTTTCGGTCAGCGGGTCAATGGACAATGACACGCATACTATCAAGTGAAGGATATTGTGTCAGATTGGTTTATTATTAGGCAGGGTTTTGGGAGGTGAAACAAGGAAAGGAAAGAAAGGGGTATTTTATGATTGTATTTCTTCTTCTTCACGTCCGCGAACGTTTGAGGTGTAGGGTGGTTTTTGGTACTAGTATGATGGACCTGGATATCACATTGGGGGATGGATGAGCGTGGTCGCTTCTTGGCTAGATTCTTATGCACTGGCTGGTTGGGGTAGATCATGACTTAACTGTCGTCGTGCGTTTAGGTATCACCATGAGGCGTTTTTGGGTTAACTTTCTGTTCTTGATTGGTTGTATCCATTCAGTAGGGTTGAGATATCATAATTCTTTGATAATCTAATCAGGGTTAGATGAGTTTAACTTTCATGAAAAGTCTCTCTTTCTCATACTTATACGAACCTCATGTTATGCAATCATTGCACCGTTACAACAATTCCGTAATAAAGCCATATCTGGTGTGAAGCTCACTTACTGTGCACGTAGACAACCTAGAATGTGTAAAACCTCATACACGGCAATATATTTATACTAAATATATAATAAGTAATAAGTATCTCCAAAGAATACTCATTCAGCCTCTATTGAGTATTCTCGTGCCCGACCCTTCCCCGTAAATTACATACCAATTTAATACCTGATAGATTTTGAAATACTAATATTTGTTTAGCGGGAAGCATCTCATGTATAACACAAATAATTAGGATAATGTTAAGGTTAGGTTGGTTAGTGAAAAATCTGGTAGAATTTACAAAATTTAAAATAATTTTATAGGTTAGAATTTAATATATTATGATTTTGTTGTAAGATTAAGTTGAGATTTTAAGATTTTAAGATGCGGAATAAGTATGCGGAAGTGGGTATGTGAAGTAGGTAGGTAGGTAGGTAGATGGTTGTTGGGTTTGGAATGGGGATTGGGATTGGGATTGGGAGGGATATGGGATGGGGATGGGGATGGGGTTTTAATGGGGTTTTTGTTTATTTGACACACCAGTTGAGTTGAGTTAATTGGAGTTGGGTTGGGTTGAAGGGTTGAGGAGTTGAGTTATTTATTTATTTAGATTTTGATGTTTATCTATTTAATCTTATTATCTAGATACGAATAACCATTGAGTTGTGTTAATACTTTTTTAGACTTCCTTATTGTGTTTGATCGATTCTCAATTCTGGATCTATGGAGTTTTTTTAGTTTTTTTTTCTTCCTAATTGAGATACTTGTATATATATACTCTGCTCTAGTCATATACTTCTGGTGTTTTACAGCAGTACATCCTGTCACAGTATCACGTATTACGCATCACGCATCACACATCATATATTGTATGTAAATAGGTATGATACAATAGCTATAGCAACTGCAGCAAATTCAATAACTAACACTCATATACAAAATGTAAAGCATCATATCATTAACCTCATTAAAGATAAACTCACTCCAAGGTTTTACTTTCCCAGCAATCAGATCCTCCCACAGCTCAAAAGTACTCCAAGACACAATATCCCAAATAGCTGCATGCTGGTGACAATTTGTTCGTAAATGACATCCCTCAAACTTGGCGACCAACTCCAAACTTTTTATACTATAGATAGACACTTATCATGGTCTTCCTCGTTGTCATTATGAAATATTAGGCTGTGGCAGCCAGTCAAGATTGATGCCTTCTTAAAAGGGTGGTGCTTGCGGATAAAATGGCGCTCCTGCATAATCGAAACCTGTTTCTAGACCATTTTGAGGATATGGTTCTGTGTTGGGCATTAGTAAGACTTGCTTTAATTGAAAGAGCGGGATGGTGATGAGCGTGGCGATAGTAGAGAGGTATCAATCAATTAGGGTCAAACAAGAAGTGGCAGAGGAAAAGTGATTATCGATTACTTACCCCAGAAAATTGAATCAAACAAATCCATCGGTGACATATTTAGTGTCTGCTCTACAGACTGCATATCGCCACCCATGTTACCCATAGGAATCTGCTGCGTATAGTCCAAACTATGCCAGGTTAGTAAAGATTGCCTACAAATCCATCAATAAGTGTGAAAACATACGGTGGTACAATTCCATTCTGCAGAGAGGCCATAGCAAGAGCAGCATTTTGCTGATCATATTCACTTGTAGACTTGAAATCTTGGTCCTGCATCATCTGAGCTTCTGGGGCCATAACTGCTCGTTGTTGAATTTGTTGTTGTTCAACCACCCATCCATGATCATAGATATTTTTCAGTGCAGCTAAAGCTCTCGATAAGGGTCCACTGAGTTCAATATCCTTATCTGACTTAGGAATCGTGGATGGCTGTTCTTTTGCTGCAGTTACAGACAAAGCATTTATTAAATCTCCTTGAAGTTGTCGAACTTCTGGATCTGTTTTGGTTTCACCTAAGATTCCAAGAAGAACGGCGGATGAAAGACCATGGTAAGTGAATGCCCATGAACGTGTGGGTATGACGCTTAGAGAATGCATCTTTAGGTACATTCTAACCGTCTCAGTAAGATTTTGTTTACATTTTTCGGCGATAATTGCCTTTTGGTCGGAAGACATTCCATTTTCCCCACGACGAAGAGCGGGCCGGCATAATACCGAGACGACGAAGGATGTGTGAAGGCGAAGGGCAAAATACTGTAATCTATCTTGAACTGTTTTGCATGCTTCTTTAATGCGGAGTGCTGGAAGAACTCTTTGACGAATATTTTCTACGTCAATTGAATTGGCGATGATTTGATTATAATCCGGCTCAGTAGCCGAATCATTTTTGACAAAATCTAATATTCTCTGACAAAGATGGTACATAGCTTCTGTGTAAGTAAAGCCTTCCGTTAAAGCGATTGGGCTTAGAGGGACTTTACATCTTGTGATTACGGCGATGGGAGATCTGTCGAATGAAAGTGAGAGTAAACTATCTTGCCAAACGATAGTCCACCTATAATTTGTTAGACGGGGGGACAACAACAGACGATGATGGGTGAATATACCATAATTTACGGCGTGGCAAATCGTTATCCTCCGAAGATGAGAATCTGCCACTTTCGTTCGGACCTCTGTGAAGGCCTAAAGCTTGAGCAAGTCTACAAGTGAGACCAATTAATGCCCACGAGGCCTCAGCTTTCATATCGTTGGCTAGAACAAACCCAAGAATCAAAAGTGCCTGCAATGAATCCAACGACGGACGAATCAAAAAGTTGGATAGTCTCAGACAATGGAACGATGTCTGAACTGTACTTAAGATTAGATTGCTTCACTATTCAAGAAAATTAGTTTGACCTACCAAAAGTTTGCGAGGCCGCTACACGTTTGTGATATGTAGTCTCCGCGTAGTTTGATGATACAGCAAGTACTGCGAATAGCATTCCCAGCCAGGCTGACGATACCCCTTTTTGATTTGGATTCCTGCTTTTTGCCGAACTGGCCCGATCTTCCAGGTAGATACACAGCCTTGTCTCAAAATCATCAATATCAATCAACAGGCCCCAGAATGGCTGAACTATTTGTTTGTAAATTTGAAATGACCTATGCATAGGTTAGCAGGGACTGCCAACTTTCTTATACTTATACCTCGTGCTACTTACTTTAGGACATCCTTATCCGATGGCAATGCCGCTGCAATGTCGTGTCTTATTTTATCCATATGATCTTTGGACATGAACGGGAACGGAGCCGCTGATATCTGTAAACCCAGTATAGGCATAATGTCTTTCCGTATGACATCGTGTTCTCCTTCGCCAGGCGATGATCCAATCTGAGCTTCTTCACTCAAAAAAGCGGCGATTGAATTTTGTCCCAGATATCGTGATTCATTTGGATCATCTTCTTCTGTAGTGATATTAACTTCGGAGTTCAATCGGACTCACAGATATTTGATACTACCACGGGAACACTTGGTCCAGCAATAGGAACAATGGATGAGAGCATTTTATACACTAGAATTGAAGGCATCTTCATTTCTTGGTAGCTTGTCACAAATTGGTATTTACCTGTTGTTCTTGGCCAGCCGTCTTCTTTTCTACCAGAGTGGTCGCTGGCACTGTCCGGGGTTCGGCCCCTTTTAACTCCAGCTACTGAAGCTGTCGGTATCGTCTTTCCGAGATCCCGATTCTTTGGATTGTACGAACATAAGACGGCGTGATCCCTCTTCACACAGTTCTCACACGGATGTCTGTTATCACATTTGACCTTGCGTTGTCTGCAAGGCCAGCAAGCGGTTCCTAAGAATTTTTCAGCCAGTGCCAAACGAAAGATTCTTGACTTGGGGTTCATCCAGTCAAGATTGGGGAAATGATCCATCATACCATATCGAACTTTACGATGTGAGTGTATAATTCTATTGGCCTCATCAGGAGTAATGGAGGCTTCAATTGGTTCTGACGGTCCTTCACTCATGGTCGTCGTGGAACAATTCCATTCAATTCATGAAACTAAGGTTGGGTGGGAATGCCGAGGGAAATCCGGAAGGTTGCTTATCTTACCCTCAATTTGACTCCACACCTAGGTTATATTGGGTTTAGGCCTGTCACGTGATATCTTGCCTAATATTATGCTTGGCGATGTAACAAGATGCAGGGTAAATGTGAAATGTGAAAAGTGAAAAGAGGTCGTTGATGGCCTCTAAAAATATCGAGAAAATAATATTGAAACGAGCAAAAAGAGAAAGAGACACGATGCGGCTGAATGATTATATAATCGAAATCAATAAAAATCTTCTTCACACCATCATGCATTATTAAGAATAATTTAACATAGCCGGCATAACCGGCATAACCGGGATCTTCACACAAATTAACCTCCGAAGGACGGAATCTTGTCGGGATATGAGCTACTGATTCTGATTCCTTTTGGTGATTGGATACTGCTAGTCGTTGATCAGCCCTATAATGTTAGTCGCAGCGTAGCAGTTGAAATCTTCCAGAAAGATGAGAATATTGCGGAAATACTTCCATGGCTCTACTCGAATCGTCAAGAATACAACTTCATAGCCCATGCATGCATGCATGTACACGAGTTCTTCAATTTGGTGAAATATCCTCACCTCCACTGATATGAATGTTCTGGCCAAAGTGCAGAAAAGAGCTCAAAGACCGGCTTCAAAAATCGTCCGAAATTCATATTAGTATTTCAAAACTTCGAAAGTTAATACATTCTAGAAATTGACAAATAATTTCCCTTTTTTCTTGGAAGAATCAATCCAAAATTTAATGGGTTATTTTGTTACGAATTTTTTGGTTGGGTGCGGACACTGCGAATTCTTCATTTTTCTGGAAGCAAAATCGAATGCAGTTCGACCAACCCACTAACTAATTAATAAATAATATATATATTATTTCTTTCCTGACTTTTTTGTCTTCTCGAATGCCAATTTAAGTCTTTGCAAAATTCAGATATGCAACAAAACTCTTTTGCAGCTCTTTTGAACATGTGATGTCAATCTTTTGATTGGTATGTCGGACCTGGGTAAACCTCGAGCCGATTGGGTAAAATGGCAAGCTTAGCTGATCACAAGTGCAAGACGAGGGCCTTCCACAGGAAGAAACTCATTGTTAATAACAATGATATTGCCTCATAATGCACACAGCATTTACTGATAGGAACTGGAATCAAATGAATCACAATCTGTATCTCAAGTGGGATGCAATTATGAATCCAATATACACAATGTTGATACCATTCAGAGATAATTCACGCCCAATACCACCTTCTCCACAAAGATTCAGATTTTGAATCAATTATCCTACCTATTGTTTTCTCTCCCTAGTCTATATATTATGCTTTCTACTTCTCAACTGCCTCCTCCCTCCCATCCAACAGATAACCCACATTATAAACCACACACACAGATTCCCGCACAGAGAAGAACTGATAAATACAATTAGCATATTCATTGTCATGTCTTCCAAAGACATCTACAATAGGGCAACAGTCTACAATCCTGTAGCTGCTCGCACCCAAGCTCCTCAACATAATCATACCTCTCGGCCCGCCGCCCCTTTGTCATCCAGTCGGCAATCTTCTTCGATTGCTCCCGGGCCACACACAAACCTCGAGAGAGACAATAAGTCGTCCGATGGAGCATATTCCTTGGCTGCTCCTAAACCGTACACAACCCTCGAAAGAGATAATAACTCTACACCTAGGGCATCACTTTCGAGACTCCTTGAACAACACACAGCACTCCGAAAAGATGGCCAAAACCCAGCCTCTCATAATCATACCCTGCTAAACAGAGACCAACGTTCATCCTCTAGCTCGAGACAACCAACCATCATGGGAGCAGCCGCAACAACTGCTCCTTCTGATGCAAAGAGCAGGTTCAAAACTCAGCATGATATTAACATGGCCTCCAGACAAGTCAAATATCAAGAAATGAATCACGAAGAGAAGAAGAAACAGGACGAGTGGGTACGTGACTTCATTCAGTATGCCGGGCCATGTCCAGCCGGATTCAGTTGGGAGCGAGTAAAGTATGGATACGTCTGCAATGGTGGAAATCATTTATGCACGGATGATCTCCTCGCTGAAGGTAAAGGCGGATTTTATATGGGAACTCTCGATGCTGGATGGTGGGGCCCAACTTATGACGCGAACATTCTTGCACAAATTAAATATACAGAAACTAAGGTCTGGGAGTATGCTAAAAAACACGGATTAGATCCAACGATTGCTCCGGTAATCCCAGAACCAGATTTACCAGCAAGTGGTGAAATTCACCCAGGCATTGCAAAAGCAATGGCAGGACTGGGACCCATGCCGCAGGCCCGCTCAATTGAGGAGACACATGGTTCATTTACGATAGTAGGATATCCTGAGAGGTTGGGACTCCCGACCAGCCCCAGAAGTTATCATACACCTGCTGGACTATCTCATCATTCGTCTGGTGTACCGCATCAGTTAAGCACTCTATATGGACCAGGAGGCCTGCCAAATAGACTTGCAATGAACATGGGTAATGGTTCTCTATCCCAAGCAGGTCAGATTCCACATGGACTCGGCTTGCCATCTTATATGGGTGGCCCAAGTGGAGGTGGACTTTGTGGAAATGGATTTTGTGGGCATCACAGACATTGAGCCCAGTTGAGCGAAGGATGGACTTTTTACAATACGTTCTAGATAATCTAGAGATCATGATCATGCGTGAAGTTAACTTAGGGGATATTTAGATAGCAGATAGCCCTATGCAAGCAAGGTATTAACGAAATAAAAGACCAGATATATGAATGTAAATGTGAATGTGAATCAGAATATGAATATCTAAGCAGAAAAATAACAGCTACTTCCACCCTCCTCCCTACTCTCTTTCAACTCAAGCATCAAGCACCGCTTTACTCCCCAAATCACACACAAACTTCCCCCTTCCCCAAAAACCCAGTACACATACCTATATTCCTACATTTCCATCTCAAGCTTAAAAGTTAAAAATCATCACAAATATCATCTCCGCTATCCACATTCACATCCATCTATCCATCCATCCATCTATCTATGACAAAATTCACCATGTAAGATCTTCTATCCATATCTATCTATCTGGTATCTATATATTTATAGATAGATATACGATACATGATTCATAGAAAAATACTAAAGGAAAATCAAAATTTATGGTGGGAAAGGTGGGAAATGTAGGAAATGTGATTTCTGTTAAGCTTTTAGATTCTTTGTGTGGAAATGACAGAAATTACAAATAGTTTATGTGAATTGGATGGATTGGATTGAATTCGATTGGAAAATGTAGATGTTGATGTTGATGTGGATGTAGATAAAAATAAAGATAGAGATGGAAATTTACATGTAGGTGTAGATGAGAGGTGGGAGGAACTTGTGGGATAGGGAAGGAATTGGAGGGATGAAGGAAGGGTGGGATGGAAGGAAGGTGGACGAGGGTGGGTGAAGGGAGGATGGATGATAGGGAATGGATGATATGGAGAAAGAATGGAATGGTGGGGGAAGGGAATAGGGGTTGGAATAGGAGATGGAAGGGATGGGTGAGGAGAATATTACACTGGAAGAGAGAGTGGGTAGCCGAGGCTCATGCAGGACATAATAATGGTTAGACCAGTGAGGGTAGGGCAGTAAGAACCATTCGGGACCTTCAGGTTTAGATTGAACTATTATACCCTACGAAGACGTGGTTTCGTCATTAATTGGGAGTAGAAATCCAGACACGATTCTATGCTAGATTAAAAGGATTAAAAGGTTATCAAACGCTGGTAAAGTATTCTTGTTTTTATTCCAACTAGCAGTAGACATTTGAACACTTGAGTACAATTAAACATGCTATTGTTTTCGGGGTTCAACATTAAAGTAAGATCCTTGCGTATTGAAGGGACAGAAAGAAGTAACACGCTTTGATTTGTAGATCCTAGCCGAGGCTCTGACTGGCACAAGACTCCTCATCTAGAGCGGGTTAGAATACCTTGTATACGCCCAGCATTTCAAATCTGGATGCAAGGATAATTGATAGCTTCCTCGAACCAAATGTGACATATTTGGAATATCGAGCCAATCAAACGAGGCCCTTCAAATTATAAGAAAGCAACGTTTCATACCTATTTTGGAACCTGAACTTTGTCCCATCTGAAGAAGAGGCTGAAACTTTGTAGCTATCACCATACTTCGTGAATGGCAATCGTGAATGGCAATACCTCAGCATACCAGCAAACTATCTCTCAAACAAGGCCGAAAAGCTGAAATCTGACGACTTACGGCTTGTTGGCGTGTAATTAGAGAAGATTCGTTGCCCTTGAGGACGAGTTGACTTCTTGCCTTAGCTTACCGACTAGCAACACATTCCGCTTGACACAAACGCTTGTTTAATAAATATGTAGCATGCGTTGACGCGTACGCAAGGCCACCTGACCACTGGCTTCAGACAAATCTGATCTAGCAGAATCCGGGAAGTCCCAGAAAAGATAATATCAAATGTGCATTTATCAATAGTTGAGCTTGATAACCCGTTCATTCATCTTATCCTCTCCTGCCATATGCGTTTTATGGATATCCACGAGGCGACAAACATGTATGTACAGCCCAAAGAGGCAAATCGCCTAATCCCAAATGAGAAGCTTTACCACACCCGCGATTCGATTGGTGCCTATGCACCTCCTCAATTTGTTCGCAATTTGAACGTGATGCTACCACTGGTAGATCCAGGAACCCAGTTTCCGGAGTATGCTACACACATGTGGAGACATACATAACATTTTCGAGATAACAAAGGAACTAGTACAAGTGTGAAAGCAGGGGGCTAACGTTCTTTTCCCCTGTCATTGGCCGCAGTGGAGACAGTTAAGGAATACCAATAATTAAGTTAGTGGAAAGCATAGAATTATAATTACTTGCTAGGTTGGAAGGCGGGGGTAGTAAAGAAGAAATGGCATCCCCTCCCATCTTCTCATATGTGTTGATATATATTCAAACGCATTGGCGTGTCTGAACTGATGAGTTTGTCAAGCATGATTAGATCATGCTGGCTTTACTAAGACTTCCTGATGATCCTAATCTTCCATAAAATGTCTAAAATTGTAAGATCTTACATTGTTTGTTGTTTATCATGCAGAAAATCGTAAAACGGACGGTCGGTTCAATGATTCATTTTGAGATGCCATTTTGATAGGTCAAGAAATTGTCGGAAAATCTTCAATCCGTGTTGCTCTTAGTCACGTGATAAACAGAGTCCTCGTCCGTTCGTCCGTCCCTCATCGGTCTTCCATTTTGCATTCCATGGGTTCCCTGAATAAGTTGTATGACATGCTAATACTGGTTAAACAACATTGCTGATTTTGTAGGCCAAACTGCGTTGAATGTGTCCGGCACGGCGTCTCAATCCACTGCAACCAAAGATAACATAGACAGCAATTCAGGGGAGAAAAGACTTCCGCCCAAGGGAAGCCGACCAAGGTTCAAGCCACAATTATCCTGCACTTTTTGCAGGGCACGGAAGTATGCGAGCCAGATCACTTGATTAAATTTACACTAACGCACCCAGACTAAAACGTGACTGTTTCTCGCCATGCAACAATTGCTCCAAAAGAGACTTATCGTCGTCGTGCACATACGTCCACAATTCACGTGAGAAGGCATCTCAAATCCAAAGGGTCAGAGAGAGCAAAGGATGTTCAAGAACGGATCAAAAGTTTTAGAGGACCTGGTTGTTGCTTTGATGAACTGAACGAAAGATACAAAAGCAACATCGGCTGTCTTATCAGGATTTCACCGCTCTGCAATCAGGCCTCGAGAACTTTCATGGCCAGATGATACTACTATTTCTGAAAGTGTGGATTCTATTGGACGTATATCTGTTGACGATGAGATGCAGAACTACGTTGGTGGTGCCCATTGGACGGCGATTCTCGAGAACGTATGCCTCTTTCTTGGGATGAGTCTTCAGTATGGATCTGACATTACCTTAGATAGCTGGCTTGAAGGACCCATTGAAATCCGAGGAGTGGCCGCAGGGCATAGCGAGCGGGAAGAATAAATATGAAGGACCCGAGCTGCTTTTTGGAGATAGAACGAAGGCTTCGAGGGAATCTATTCTCGCTTGTCTCCCATCCAAGCCTCTGGCTGATAATTTGGTTGAACGCTACTTCACTGCGATCGATGCTTCCTGTAAGGTAGCACTACGTGGAAATGGAAATGATTACTAAAACGTAGTAGTTATCACTCATGCTCCGACTTTCAAGAAGGAGGTAAGAATACTGCTAAAATCAAACTTGGTTCTGTCCAGTTAACTCTTCTGTAGTATGCCGAGTTTTGGGACAATCCCAGTTCAAAATCAATTTCCTGAATTGGATTACTATTTGGATAATTTGCCTGTCTGCAAACTTTGAGTTAATGATAAGAGATGCCCACTGCTTGCACTGTCAGACATGGCTGTACGCGAAACGGAACAGCGGATCAAAGTATATGGCGAGAAAACGGTGCAGTGCCTCGTGACCAGTAATTACACTGAACCCTGACTGTATACTGTCGACACCCTTTTACTCTATTGCATCAGTGAGTATCTCCAAAACAAAGACGCACACATTGGAACTTGGATGGTTTTTGGAATGGTTATCCGTGCAGCAATGCGATTGGGCATGCATCGAGATGCGTCCCACTATCCTAATGTATCAGTTTTCCGTGGTGAAATGCAACGCCGACTCTAGGATGCGATATTAATTACTGATATTCAGTCTTCGTGTCAAGTTGGGCTTCCTCGAATGATAAGCCAAGGGATGTATGATACAAAGCCCCCTAGCCACATCCTAGATCAAGACCTCGATGAAAATATGGTAGTATTGCCACCTATAACGACAGACTACGAACGATCCGCGATTGGCCATGCAACTTTTAAGTATCGTCTTGTTCTAATATTTAGAAAGATATTTGATGCGTCAAATCTTGTTACTCCTATTTCCTATGATGAAGTCATGGGCCTGGAAAAATTGCTTCTTGATGCTCTCGAGGAAATTCCAGAGTATTTTCAAGCCAGATCCATTCACGTCCTCAATAGCGGGTCTATATCACAGAAGGTTAGGGGGTTCTCAATTGAAATGACCTATCTTAAATCTCGATGTTTTCTCCATCGCAAATTTCTCTCAGAAGCCGAATCATTACAGAAACACTCTTATTCTGTCAAAGCGTGCGTTGATTCTTCAATACTAATTCTACAATATCAAAATTATATGACCAATGAGACAGCCCCGGATCGTCCGTTGCACGGCATGAAATGGATTGCATCTTCTTTGATGACTTACGATTTCCTCTTGGCTGCAACTCTTCTTTGCCTCTATCTAGGGCAGTTGATGGCAACCGAGGGAAAACCTATGCTAGGCCTCTAGAGTTTCCAATTGACTGGACCAAGGAAGATATTTTGCACGCCTTGCTCAAATCTTACCATATTTGGAATAATCCCAAGCTTTCCTCGGAAGATACTAAGAAGTTTTCGAAGGTACTAAAAGCCATGCTGAACAAGGTTGGTCATTAGTCTACGGCAGATAAGGCCCAGGCCCAGGCCGAGGCCTCAGAGGAGGTAACAGACAAGGCTAACTCTAGTATATCACCACCTTAACACCGGGAGGTTCTTTCTGCTAACCCTACCGCACAAAGTCTACCTTCCAAATCATGGTCTTTTGAACATGTATTCCTTATCACCAAGTAATTTTGCAGACAGTCCAAGTGACTCCTCTACCAATATTGGTATGATAGGAGACATTTTGAATGACCCGACAGGCCTCGATTGGGTAAGTGAAAAGAAATTCCAAATTTGATAGATACTAATTAGGATGTACAGAGCCTCTGGGATAGCAATTTCCAAGGGAGCAACACATATATTAATGCAGGATCATCACTTTGAGCTACTGACCCGTACTTTCCGTTTCAGGCAGCTGGATTTGAACCAACAGGGAAGGCAATCAATGATCACTAATTAAGTGGCCAAGATTAGCTGATTACCAATGCATGGCTTGTCCAAAGCTTAATTATAGGGTGCATTCAGTAAACCAGTTTCCAAGAAAGCTTAAGGTTCCCAATGCAACATAAGCGGGGCATTTTATCATTGGTTGGTGATAGTAGGTTCGCGTGTAGCACACGCTTCTTGCATGATCTGGGGTACGACAACTATCAATTGAAAATCTGGTAATTTGAATTTTACCGGTTTCCACACCACCACCACCACCGCCGCCACCATTATCCCAATGGAATTTCCTCTCCAAAAACCAAGTCTCGACGTGTGATGCTGGATGACGAGTTCATTGCGTTGTCACACGAACTGAAAAGTACTGAAGCGGCAGGTAGATGGCCGGATGATTGTCGAACACTATCTGAATCCGTCAGGTGGTGTGTCGCAATAGCCAGTGAAGAATTGAGAAGGGAAGGTCTATTCTGGTGATAGCGAGCTCAGCGCCGTTACACCAGAGTTCATCCTCGCCTCTGTCAAATAGCATATTGTGTAACGTTGATGCAATGGATTATACGCAGAGCTTAACAAACTTTCACATGTCATAGCTCTATCATTAGGCATTTCTGCGCCTTCTATATGGAGTATCCGGACCTATTCCGATCCACTATATTATTGGGAAACTGGCAAATCTACTCACATCATCATGTCTGCCCCGCACGAGACGCACGGCAGTTTTGATATGAAGGAATCGAATCCATTGCTTCCAAACATATCGAATCTCGGCAACATATCACCGATTTATGGCCGATGAGGAAGCCAAACTTCACTATGCGATGCTATCATTGTGCTGAGAACATTGCCAGACATTGCAACCATTGGTAGAATATGCAGGTTGACCTAGAACGGACGTATTGCTCCGCGTCGTCAGTCGGATATGTGAAGTGACAAGAAGGGAAGAAGTTGAGAATGTGGAGAAGAAAGTGGTGTGGTTGAAGTGAAGATATAAAGAGATGTGAACCCGGAACACTTTGTACGATTTGAATTCAAGTGTGTACGGTTTTCTTTCGTCAATCACCCATCAGTTTCAATAGCCAAGACCTTCAAGGATGGCTTTCACCAAAGGCTACGCGATCTTGCTGATCACTTTGTTTCTCAAAGAGAACGTCCTGGCAGCACCAACTGGAGATCCCCTCCTTGGTTACCAACCTTCAAACGTCGTCATCAACCAAAATACCGACAGCACCGATTATGAACTTGCACCAGGCCAAACCGATTCGGCAGCCGTAGGCGCCTTTCTTGACTTCAACGGTGTTGAGGATCCTCAACCGATCCGCGGCAGCAAAGGTGGTACTGACCCGGGTCCACGAACCGAAATATATGATATCCTCAACCCCGATAAATTTGCACCTCCAGGCACCGATCACGGAAGTGTGAGTAACGCGCAATGGCCCATGGGACTCAGTCACGCGAAGCTAGGAATCGGTTCTGCAGGCTGGTCGAGACAACAAAATGTGGATAATATACCCGTTGCTACTGAGATGGCGGGTGTGGATATGCGCCTGGAGGAGGGCGCTTACCGCGAACTGCATTGGCATAAAGCAGCGGAATGGGCTTACATATTTAATGGGAGTGTTAGACTTCAGGCTGTTAATGAAGACGGTGAGACATTTGTTGATGATTTAAGTGCGGGCGATGTTTGGTTCTTCCCACCGTAAGTTGGCCCTTATCATACACTTGATACCTGGGCTCATTCTCGCTTGGGATATATGGTCTTTTACATACTAGTTCCTATGTATCGCGTTGCTAACAAACATTATTTAGAGGTGTACCACACTCTTTACAAGGATTAAAAGGCGGAACTGAATTTCTCTTGGTCTTTGATGACGGAAGTTTCTCCGAAGACAATACCTTCTTGGCTTCAGAGGTCTTTGCGCATAACCCAGTATGATAAAATCCTAGCGTCACAAAGCCAAGCGCTAATCGCATTTAGATTGAAATCCTCTCCAAGAACTTCCAACTTCCCGAATCCGCCTGGTCCGACATCCCCTCAGGAGAACTCTTCATTTTCCCCGGCACGAAAGCCCCTATCGATATAGCCGAACAAAATGTTACCGGCTCAGCTGGTCTCGTTCCTCAAGAATTCTCCTACTCTTACCACCTTTCCAAAGCCCCTCCTACCCATGATACCGTTGGTGGAAGCATCAAAATTCTCGATCCGAAATCCTTTCCCCTCGCTGCCCAATTTTCCGCCGCAGTTGTAACTGTGCATCCTGGCGCTATGCGCGAAATTCATTGGCATACTACTAGTGACGAATGGAACTTCTTCATAGCTGGAAGTGCGAGAATCAGTATATATGCGGCACAGGGGATGGCGAGGACGTTCGATTATCATGCAGGAGATTGTGGGTATATACCCAAGGGGATGACGCATTACGTTGAAAATGTTGGGAAGAGCGATTTAGTTTTCATTGAGGTTCTAAAGGCTGATCATTTTTCGGGTAAGTTTTGTTTATTGTCAGAGTTTAGAAGAATGCTAATGTGTCATAGATATTTCGGTTGGTCAATGGGTCGGCTTGACGCCCAAGCAGATTGTAGCTGATACCCTCAATCTGACCAATGAGACTGTCTCAGCTTTCAAGAAGGAGAAGCAGTACATTGTGCAAGGTGATGTGGTTGCTTGATTGGGCACGTGGTATCCTAGGACCAAAACTTTCCTCTCGTTTTACAGCGTCTAGCTCTCAGTCTTCTCAATTTGGTTGCTATCAAATATATACGCCTTTTATCTCTCGTCGCGACGAAAGGGATGTTCGGTTCTCCTATCATTAAAGGCACACGAAATCATAGAGTTAGCTCCTTGATAATTTTATAACTTTTTCTCAATCATCGTGTCATTTTCAATCAAAGGGAGTGACTTCTGTGTGAAAGTGATCTGTCGTGCGTACAAACAGATGCGTAGAAATCTTTCAATGCAAATTGAGTCCTCGACTGCGTTCATCTACAACATCCTTACATTATCCTCGAAATCCTATTTGCTAGCCCATCCTTCTCCCCATATGCGGCTCAACGTAAGCTTTCCTTGGCAACCTATTTCCCCTAGTGCTTACCGACTGACTGCCGTATGCACGCCACTCCTCGTATCGAGAAGAGGGGTACAACGATCTTCCATAGCCACATATATATTTGATGAAATCCATGTTCCGCATGGTTGCAGGCTTAGCTATACGATGTACATGCATATTGATATATATATGCCGCTATGATCATTGTAGATTATTTTAGATCCTGGATCTAGAACGTAACCTTAACCTTAATCTTATACATTTCTGTTTTTGATATTTAGGACGTTAACCACCACCTCCATCAGAGCCTTGATAAAAAAAAACACGAACCATGTGTTTTGCGTTTGTATGTATATATGTAACCTTATGCGCGTATTGAAAATCGCGTATAAAATTTGTCATAAATGGAAAATAGAAGTATGAAGAGCATTCTATTACGAGAAGAAAACCCGTTAATTACCTAACAACTAGATGACAACAACAACAACAAAATCCTCGAGTACCTAGGTAACCTTACAGCACATCAAAGCATTTCCCCGGAACTCTAGTTCCATCGTCCATAATCACGACGAATCTTTCTGGATATGTATGATAACTGCATCTGCGGTGTATTCTTCGAGTTGATCGTAAATCAAGCACATATTATGTGTGCAGTGTGCATGTCAGTTAGTTAGGTATAGTCATGACGCCATCTAAGATCCTAAGATTAAATTACAGCTACGTATACCAAGTAGTTGGTTACCTCATGACATCATATCATCTAGGAAGTTTGATTGTGCATGTAGACTTGAGATGCGGGAATGTGATGTAGTATACGTAATATAATGTAATATGAGCGAGTCCTGCGGAGAGCTTCCATAAAAGTCAAATTATTTGTAAGTAATTCCCTGAAACCGGGCCATTCATTCATGTCGATCATCAGCTTCTCCTCACCTGCTATCACATTTCTTTTCCGTACACACTTTATTCCAACAACCCCCTTTTTTTGGTTTTACTTTTCGTCAGCCCTCTTTTCCCTCCCCTACAATTACTTTCCCAGCGTTCCCATCAGCTCTTCATGCTCTTTCCATCTTTCATCATCTCCGGGAAGGAATATTCAACATCCATCTACTCAGTATTCTTCCCAAGCCCAAATATTCCCACCGACTCACTCTTTACTCTTCACCCCGTACTTATTCCTCGATATAAATCCATAAATACCCACTACACTTGAAGATTTATGATCTTTCCCTTCCTCAAACTGTAAAACTCTAGAAGCGATCAGCCTTCTAATTCTTACTTCTTTTGAAGACTTCATCAGCATATATAAACATACATATATACATATTAGCAACCCACCAACCTGCCGAACAAGAGTTCAATTCCCATCCTACCTCTCCCTCTCTCTCCCAATCACTCATCCAAACAAGCAAAAACTCCTCAACTCCACATTTCCCCTTTCGTTTAACCTCACATCAATCAATACCTAGGTAAACACCAATAGATATTTCTAATCTTACTTACACCACAAGGATTTTCCACCGAAACTCCCTACGATTTTTTCCCTCTGAAATATTTCGTTTATTTGTAAATTGAAAATTGGTTCGGAAGTAAATATTAAGAATACTTAATTACTACACTCCCTGAGGTCATCACACTTTACATCAAATCAATGCATACAGAATAAGAACAACCAGTTAATACTAGGTAGGTATAATGCAAAAAAAGTATACATCACAAATATTCGAGGCAAAAAAAGATAATAATATACATATGCTCCTCCTATGAGTCAAGTAAAGCCAGAAGTGAAAAAAAGCAAAAAAGAAAAAGAAAAGTAGCATCGCATTCATTCATGAAGAAATAGCCACACCAGCCCTAGCCCAAAAAAGATTTTGCCTCCAATTATCATCATACATAGAACGTAGCTTCCGAGTCATTTTTTATTCCAGCCTATCCCCAGCCTGAATACCTATCATACTCGTCAAGCCAGACCAATGTCTACCTGCCTTTGTGCTCGTCTGCTTTACTTCCAACCCAATTCTTGAAACAACAGAAAAGCTTCAACGATTCCTTTTTGAACTTGCCATCTCTCCGTACCTTCCTCTCTCCATCGTCGTATCATACGCTTGCAGAACTCTAGTCTGTGACTCGTCCGCTTGAGAAAAGGCATAACCACGCTGTTTGCGCATACGTTGAACTTGTCGAACTTTGCGGATGGCTTTCTGGAACTGCTCCATTCTGTGGTTGTGGTAGTTAGAAAAATGCCAAACAAAACGGGTAAAAAAGAAAGATAGATGAAATGTACCTTGGTCTATAATCTTGAATGTTGTATTTTTGAATCTCTTGGATATGGTGATAGGATTGTGGATAATACATGCGTTTAGCACTTGAGTTGTTGATTAGTATTTCCTAATGAAAGAAAGATACTTAAGAAAGACTTACTATTTCCATGAAAAGTCTCTTAATAAGCAAAGTATAGGCAATGCCAAACCTTGAATCCAAAAGACGGGACTTCCAAATAATCGAGGAACAACACCTTCATATTCCATGGAAAAGCCGAGCTTAGGTGCCACGGTAGCATATACAGCGATGAAAATGATCCAGATGATCATACTACCAGGTATGGCTATAACGTGATATTTTGTCCAGACATTTACCACTAAAGCTGCCTTTCCGAGAACGGTTGCCAAGACGGCGGTATAGAGTGCTGTGCCCCATACCCAATGACCAGCTGTTTTGCCATCGCCCTGTGGTAGATCACGCCACCAAATAAGTTCCGATGCGATATAAAGAATCAAGGAGTGGTAGAAACCATTACCAACCCAAGCCCAGAATGAATGTTGCCTGAAGAATGTGTTCTTTTGACCTAGTTGATAAAGTTGCGGATATCTATCTAGAAGTCGGGCAGATATGAACTGATCAAATATACCCATCGCAAGTGGAGGAAGTACTGTAAAGAAAACATTGTAAAACGATAGCGTCCAAGATTCGTAGATGACCTCTCCAGAGAAAACATTTTGGAACGAATACTAGATATCGTTAATGAGGGATCAAGCCAGATAACTGATAAACTTACCCAGAATTGTGTCATGTAAAGCGTTATATTTTTGTAGAAAGAATAGAGAATGACTTTGCTGACACGTTGGTAACTCCATGCGCCATGAACCAGGAGAAGTTTGCGCAGATATCTGAATTGTCCAATTGCAACATCGGCACTTCTAGCGGCTTGTAGACCTTCCATACCACTGATACCCACACCAATATGGGCTGCTTGAATCATCGAGACATCGTTCGCTCCGTCACCAATAGCCAAGAGGATAGCTTTTTTATTGCGCTTAACGAGCTTGACGACCAAAGCCTTTTGAAGTGGAGACACACGACAGCATATGACAGCTTTACACATAACAGCAAGGTCAAGGAAATCTTTCTCCAAATCCTTTTCAAGAGCATAAGTCAAGGACTTCCCATCAATGACCAAAGCAAGAGTTTCCATAGCAATAGTACCATCGCCCTGAGTTCTTATGGCATCGAGTTTCTTTTGTATGTTGTTTTTAGTATCCATGGCTGTTTCCTCGTTGACGATGAGAAGGGTCATATCCTCACTGATCAATTTACAGCTCATTCCGATATTGATAGCAGTTTCTTGACGATCACCAGTTAAGACCCAGACCTTGATGCCGGCCTCTTGAAGGGTATGGATTGTCTCAGGGACACCATCTTGTAGACGATCTTCAATCGCCGTTGCTCCAAGTAGCGTAAAGTCCCGCTCGAGAATTTCAGCAGCTTTGTCCAATTCATCGGCACGGTTACCACTGACGGTAGTCTGCGCTTTGTCAAAGACTGCCCACCACTCTTGAAACTCCTGTTCGGGAATTTCTCGCATAGCCAGACAAAGTGTTCTTAAACCCTCCGATGCATATTCTTCCAAATGTTGAAGTGTGACTTCGACATGTGGATTGTCTGGACCGAGCCGTTCCAAGATAACAGTATCGGCTCCTTTACAGTAGCATCTGAGTTGCCCATCTGGGCATCGGAAAATTGCCGACATACGCTTCCTCGTTGAGTTAAATTCGCAAACTGCAAGAAGCTCATATTCGTAGACTTCGCCAGCTACCGTTATCTGTACAGATCTTGGCCTACGTGCCGTGAATTGATAACCCATCAAAACAGCGCCTTCAACCAGAGCACCCTCGTCAGGAGAGGCTGCCTGATATTTAATAGCACCGCCCTTCTCGTCAGATCGTTCTGGAATAACCGTATGACAAGTAGCTAAAAGGGCAAGAAAGTGATGAATGGCCAAAGCAGTCTCATGTGTTTTAAGGTTCTCTTTAAGTCGATGAAAATCATGAATCCCGACCTCCTGTCCGTCGATATTTGTGGCTCGGCGATCTTCTGGAACATCCTCTGCATATTGAATCCCGCCAATAGAGCATTGCTTGAATTCCATTTGATTGCATGTTAATGTTCCTGTCTTGTCTGAGAAAATGTATTCCACCATACCCAGCTCCTCAACTAAACTCGATGTGCGACAGACAGCCGGAGTATCCGTCTTATCATGGTACATGTCGAGATCATCATTGATAAGAATCGCATGCCAGTATTTGACCATTTCGACAGTGACGAAAAGAGAAATGGGAACCAGTGCAGAATAAAGAACCCAATATGTGGCTATATCAGAGAAGAATTGCGAGACCTTTTTCGACGCAGTGATCGAAGCAGAATACCCTAGGTAGCTTAATTCAACTCCCTTGATTGATCTAACAACAACATCACCCATTGAACTTATGACACTCAACGCGATCAAGATAGCTACAAGCATGAGAACCAGTATATTGAGTTGACGCTCCACAGCAGTTCTCTTAATTGGTGTTGCCGTCGCGTTCCGCATGAGCTTGGTTTCATGACCAGTAAATACAACAACTCCATGAATCCAGGGTGTGTTACGTAAAGTCGCACCTCTGAGCAGAAGCTGATCTGGTTGCAAAGAAAGCTCTTTCTCTCCACCGCCGGCCGCCATGGTAAGGGTACCTTCATAGGTATAAAGACTGCTATTCGGCTGTTCTGATCGTAGCTTTCCGCCTAATCTACTGAGTTCACTGGAACTGACCATAACACATGTTTCCGGAATCGCCTGCTTAATTTTGAGGTTAGTCTCACCATCTAGATTGGCAGTTTCGATGTAGCATAGTCCTTCAGGTTCCGAACTAGCCAGTAAGATGATATCAGCAGGAAATGACTCTTCAGATTCCACCCGAATGATGTCGCCGACAGCAATATTGATCCATTTAGTGTCCGTGAATGAAGACCCACGTAATACACGAGCTTTTGAATTGTTCAGAGAAGTGTCAGATGTTTTTCTCCTATAGTCCTCAACTAATTCTTTACCAGCAGAAACTAGGAGGACCAGGATTAAAGGTCCAATTGTGGTATATTGGTTGGTTGGTGAAATATCGGGGATCTGCTGCAGTGCTGCAGTAAACAAGAAGAATAGATTGGCAAATTTAGAAAACTGCTCGAACAAAAACTTCGGTAAGAAGGTGGCAACGTTGTACTTTGCTGTAGATATGTGATTATCAACATATTTGTTTGCGCTGTTAGCAGGAGGATTGTTGAGATATATTATCCGGGGACCAAGTGTTGAAGGATCTGGCTTTCCTCTACCAAATCCAAATTTGAAATTTCCCAGCTTGTTTCCAGGTTGTGCAGGCGTTTCAGGTTCATGTGTGTCATCCGCTCGATTCCTCGCCCCTGCTTCAGTCAAGGGTAGATCCATTTCTGAATAGTCCGCTGCCATTCCAAACATACTCTTTGCCTTTCCCATAATACCACCCCCCAGACTCATTATGCTGTTGCGATTCCGTCCATGACCCCTCATTTCCGCCCCGTCACCAGGAACTGCTGTGCCATGGTTATAGTACTGAGAGGAACGTCCATCGTCCGGAAAATCGTCCAAATCATCCGCATAACGTTGGTAGTTATTCAGGCCTGAAGTCTGACTATATGATGCTGAGGTATTGTGATTATATGGCGGCTGTGATCCAGGCGCGGCATAGCCGGGCCCTCCTGGAAGATGGCTTGTGGAAGAAGGTGTTGCAGGTGATGGAGCGCCAACGAAATTATCGTAAGAAATCGAAGGGCGGGGATTCGAATCATCATGATCTGCATTGTAGGCGCGCAAAAGGTCATCATCGTTCATAGGGGCGCGCTGCCCAGTATGGTAAATTGGTTGTTCATCATGCAAATCGAGAAGTAAGTCATCCCGATCGTTTAAAGGCTGTCCAGCCATGCTGGATTACAGCTCGAGGTCGTCGCACTCAAGGCGGAGATCAGATTGTAATCATGCGATTCCTAATTGTCCAGAACTTGTTGTGATATTTCGCGGAGTTGAAATTCGTTGTTCTCTTGGCTTACAGTAGCATAGCCTCTTTGTAACGTTTAGGGATGGGCGATGTAACGTGAGTGCCGGTCGATTTCTTCAATGTTTAGCCAATTCCTTGGGTAAATCGTGGACAGAAAATTGAGACTTTGGAATTTATCATGCGGCCTTCGTGTTCGTGAAATGTGCATTAACCTCAGGGTCAATGAGAGGGATTTTTCAATTCGTATTTGAGTCTTGGAGGGTTGTTTTGGTTGCTAAATTGGGATTAATACCCACAATAATAATAGAAGTGGTTATAATAATAAGTTAACCTTAATGTTACAGGGAGAGCTTTAGCTTCGCTTCAGCCTTCCTCCTTACGCAAGGCCACTCACTATGGGCCCGCCTCGCCCGCATTCTGACTTCGCGCAATTGACATTGACATCACTCACATCCACATAACAATCATCATAACAACGATTACTACTATTACACTTATTACTCCTTTTCGAAATGGTTTGCGCAAAGTGTCAAAAGAAATCGTCGAGCACCACTTCTTTGGCGACCCCGGAGGTCAAGAAGAAGAATGATATGTATTTTGGTTCGCCCGCTGGATCATCATCATCCAAGGCTGGTACGAAAACCTCCGCCACGTTAGGGAATAATGGCATAGGCAAGGTAAGACTGATCGTCGCATACTATGTCTGAAGATTAACATTGCGTCGTAGAGCAAATTATTGTCGAAAGCTGCGAGAAATCCTTATGCTACATACTCGACAACCTGCACTGGGAAGGAGTGCAGCACCAAAGTTGACCAGGGTAGAAAATATTGTCTGAAGTGTTCATACAAAGCGAATGGTATGTGGCTATGCGCTCAGTCGGGGCTGTGTTACGAAGATTCTAACAGGAAACCAGCCTGCGCAATGTGTGGAAAGTCTAACTCAAAAACGTCATCCACCGCCCCTGTCGTCGCCGGACAAAAGTTCAATCTAAAATGAGGAAATGCAAGCAACTGGGACAGATACATCAATGAAATATATATATGGGGAACGGCGTCTGGAGTATATGCATGGTCTTTATGGCGAGCAGACAATGGCTCATGAATTTGCTTGGTATTTATGAATTAGCAGGAAACATTACAACGTTCATTGCTATAGAAGGGATAATCAAACTGAGGCACTCGAGAACATAGGATTATACCGATCATTGAATCTTCTTTTCCACCTACCGGAGGAATATACTTCATATACTGCCTGCAACGCATCGAATTACGATATCGGATATACACTTGTGAGTGTATATCCGGCATAGCCACAGGTGGAAACCAGAATTTATATGAGATAGCACTGAACGAATAATAAGATTTCAATGTAATTCTGGAGCAAAGATCCACAGTCGCTGTACGGATTCAAGAATAGACACGATAGGTACTGGAGCATAGCAATCTCCTGGAACGATCCTTTGTATGCTTCAGGTTTGATTTAACGTCTCATTTTGAATCAAACAATCAACTCTCAAAATTTGAAAGAGAACAAAAGAAAAGAGAAAAAGAGGAGGGTGATCGGGTTAGTTGCGATTTGGGAAGCTGGCAAGTGTTAATCTTCGTTTAACTCGTAGTCTGACCTTTACCCCCCTGAAATACCTAGCATCTACAAATGTGCCGGTCCTTGTGGAGACCCCATGCATTGCTTCTATACCAAACTGCAAGTGGCAGTTGTATGGCGCAGTTGATTGTAAGCGAATCTTTATGTCTCAACCCAAAATTTGGTGGTCACACTGCCAGAATCCTAATCTTCCTCTTGAATCGTGGGACGGGTATACACTTCATACCGTTTCCTACGATCAACGTTAGCTTCCTGCCCAAAGGCTTTGACTATGAGGAAGAAGTACCAAGGCGTCCGTTGACAATAACCTCTGAGCGCGGTTTGAATGTGAACATTTTGGAGCTCACGTCATAGACGACTTCCATCGCATCGAAAGGTGCATGCGTCGTATCGAGTAGTCTCGCATGTTGATTATTCGTGATATTCAGTGTTTTGTTTTCAATACCGGCTTTATGGTTTTTTGACAGATACCGGAGGAGCTTCTGGTTGTTCAATCCTTTTTCTTTTTATATATCTTTCTTTAGTATAAGACTATAAGTTCAGTTCAGATGATTCAAAGGCTTGAATAATCATAGAGAATATGGTTGATGAAAATGTTATCTATATTTCTAACTAGTCATCCGCAATGCTTGGTCCACTGTCAATAATCAATAATAAAGAGGATTCGTGAGTGAAGATGGAATTGGAATACCATCTGTGATTCACTAGACAACCGTCTTGGAACTCAACACCATTCGAAGCGGCGATAAACCTCTTCTTTTCAACCGTAACAACCAAACCTTAAACCTTCCACATCCACATCCACAAACCAAACTACAAGAACACTTAGCGATCAAGCTTCAACGCATCTCTAATACTTTGAAGTCCCTTAGCATACTAAATACCCACGCCATCAAAATCACCCCAAAACCATCATCTCCAATTGTGCACTTCTCCCCGCCCCTTACAGTGCAACTGGGTACAAACTGCTCCTTTCGTACCGCTTACTGCCACCAAACTTCTCTGGCGAGGCACGGTAGACATCCTCAATGAAGACGACCCCATTTCCTACATCCCAAAATCCGCATGTAATAGACTAGATATGACCCAAGTATCTCGAGTCTCAAGAATTTATGTTGAGTAATGAAAGGTTTCGAGTATGACCCGAATGTGAATCTTTCGTTGATCCTATCGTATGTCAAAATATTTTGATGATACTTTCGAGGTGTATTGTATCTACTTGGCACACCTTGGACACATTTCCAATAAGGTTGGTACCACATCTTGATTTTAACCTCATTTCATCATTTTCATTTCTCCGGGGTATCGTTCGCCACCAAATATTACTCCAAGGACATACCAGATACACGCCTTTAATCATATCAATATCATCTATAGAGTCTGCAGTCATATTAAACCCTTAGTAAAGAAATTTGGATGACTACAAAATGGGTCGAGACGTGAGGTGTCGCACTATGTGACTGTAGGTAATTTGTGATTATCTAGGGTGACTGTGTTGGAGACTGGAGTCACATTCTCCATCGCTTGTGCATTGCCCTCTTACCTTAAGTTGAGCTTGTTCCTAAAAAGTTCTAACACTTCTTTCATTAAATGATAACGTGCAATACATACTACCTATCGCCAGATACCAAAAGCGTCTGCATAACCTCAATAACCTCAATAATCTCAATAATCTCAATATCCTCAATATCCTCAAACATCCAAGCATTCTACATCCTCGAGATAAGCAAGGACAATATTGTATTCAAACTCATCCAGACCTCAACCTCAACCTCAACCTCAACGTCAACCTCAACCTCAACCTCAACCTCAACCTCAACCTCAACCTCAACCTCAACCTCAACCTCAACCTTATCGATCACTACCAATGACCAACATGAACTCACCACCAACCCGTTCCAGTGCATCTGGAGGTGCTTCGGAGAATCAAGCTGCCCCGGAATACACTATCCTCCCGGCAGATGAAAATCCAAGAATGCAGCCATCGCCGCTTCTATACACACCCCTTTTCACTGCAACCGCCAATACTAGTTCCGGCTCAACAGGTTACGAGCTTCGCCTTGCAACTGCAGACGGCAATCGAGTTTGGCAAGGTCCGATTTATATTTGCGAAAGGGCCGCTACTATTGATATGCCGGAAGCATTGTGCAGACAGCTCGCCAATGGTCTTGAAGCTCAATTCTATTATTCTATAATTGATCTCGACGGACAGATCGTGGGCAGTGGAAGCTTCAAAAAAATCATGCCGGTGATGTGAAGGTTTGGGTGAGGGGCGCGTGAAGGTTGTCTATTACATGATATGCCAAGGCGATTAGGGTTTGGGGAATGTAATCTCAATAATGCAACCTCAGTGCTTCAACTGGGAACTTTCAAATCGTAGCTTTATTCGCACCGCAGTTGGAACTCAGCTTGCTGAAATAGAAAATTATTAAACCAAATATATGTCCAACATTCTAAATCATGATTGTATTTTTGATCCTATCGGAAAATACTTATTTTTGCTCAACTTGTAAATTTAATGTTGCCATTCAAATAAACAGAAGTGTAACACGACTGATTTGCCCTTAGCCATTCAAGCAATAATCTGAATCCATCAGTCGTAAGTGCTAATAAGTTAAGGATCGAAGAAGATATGGCTTCAATCGTTTAAAGCGCACTGTACTGATTGAATCGGAGCTGAGTGTTTGTGGTGTCGAATTTTATACCAGCCTACGTATATACTGGGTTGGGGGAATAGGTATAAGATTATAAAAGTGTGTATGTTTAGAAAAGAACATATATCAAGGTTTGTTTGCATTAATTTTAGATAGAGAAAATTAAAAAGATGAGATTGTAAGTATAGTAAGATCTTATTATATTTTATGAACAAGAGGAATTAATATGTTCTAGTGGAATATAGATATTTGAGGTTGTGAGATGGGAAAGACAATTTTAAAAATATAAATTTTGCTTCTCGATAAAGAAGAATTTTAAAAATGGGCTTTTTCAAATAAATAATACATCTTGATTCATGCATTTATTGATCTATCAATTCCTTATTAACCTGTTCACATCAACAACGACTTCGATGTCGTTGATATTTAGAGGTTGCTGCTCGGATTATTGTTAATCCATTTGTGGTCCTACCTGGTCAAGGCCCTTTCCTTACACGTCTAAATTATATTCTGTGATATAATTTCTATAAATTCAATATCAAATCAATTAGTTGATCTTTCAATATTATATATTCGGGAACATATATAGAAATATCAATTCTCTTATGATCAAAGTCAAACAAGATCAAAAGCAATAAATAGTTTTTATATATAATTGTGATCTTTTCACATATTTGGCCGGTTTAAGTATGGGCATTTTCTATCCCCGCGCTTACTAATAATTATCTGCCGATGGCTTTTTTCCAATCAATCCACATTCTTTCTCTAATGATATTCAACACTAATATGTCGAGATAAAAGTGACTTCCCCATTTGCAGTTATCACTTCAATAAATTGATTTGAAGCTTCCAAAAGAACATTTTGTTTATACGTGACCTCCTTCGGTTAAGTTACCAAGTAGATACCTGAGGAATTTGAATTGTTTGAATTTTTTGCGCTTTTCACTTAGTAACCTTACCCCTCGTCAAATTAAAGCTACTCCTACCGTACTCTATGACGATACGATCAATGGTCCATCCCTCTTCTTAGCATCCTTGATGATTGTTACAATCTCCCATTGTCGACCTTATACTACTAAAAATGACTTCAAGAACTTGTAATTCATGTCTGCGGGCGCTGAAGTTTCAATCAAAACGTACTGCTAGGGTAAGGTTAACTTTTACTTCAAAAAGCGAGAATATTAATCACTAACCTCTTTTAGAACAGCATCGCGAAATTCACCTCCAACCCTAATTCCACTCGAGCCTTTGCAACGGCTAACGACAAATATGCAAATCTCGCAGAAGTCAATCAAACTCACGGAACATCGATTCCTCCTGTTACACCTCCTGCTGCCGCAGACAAGGCAGGCCACTCCTCACATACCTCCCAAACCCTTGCGAGGGAATTCCAAAAAGTTTCCGGCAAAGGCTTAACCGGAACGTATACCGCATATGGAGCCACAGAAGAGCTATATAAAACTTGCGGTGCGCAAGCAGACTATTCTATACCACAGGCGTCGGATCCAGAGGCGGAGATGCCAAAGACAGAAGAAGGTGAAGACTTAGGCATTGGTAAAGGCTGGTGGCATGATAGTAAGTCCTTCCCCCACAAGTAGATGATGTCAGTATGACTAATATTTCCCAGAACTAGGATTAAAACCTACCTTCAGCACTTGGTCACAAGTAACCATGCTTCATTTATATTTACTTTCTGTACGCCTTCGATGTCTCCCTAGTACCGAATCGCAGCCTTGGCAACAACATCTTCTCGACCATTTCTTCTATGATGCTGAGAATAAAATGACTATCAATCACAATATGCATGCTCGTGGTACCCGTAACAAATATCTCAAAGATATGTTTGTTCAATGGCGAGGTCTCCTAGCGGCTTACGATGAAGGTTTGGCGAAAGGTGATGCTGTGTTGGCGGCAGCTATCTGGAGAAATGTTTTCAAGGCAAACGAGGATATTGATATCAAAGGACTTGCGATGATCGTCAGCTATATGAGAAGTACTCTGCAAGCTCTGGAGAAACTAACAGATCAGGAGGTCATGAGCGGACAATTGACCTTTAGAGACCCTGCAGATGAAGCAAGTCTCGTTGGAGTTAAAAGCAAAATTATGGATTTGCCACTTGATAAGACTCCAGGGAAGAAATTATAGATGGAAAATGGTAAGGGAAGTATACAATATGAGCGGTGTACTCAACTGTATTTCATATATTTGTATTATTAATGAAAAAAGGATGCCATCAAATAAATGCATCCATAACTTGATTGTTGATGCGGGGAGAGGCGACATGAACAGAGCCTGATAACATGGGGGAAAACATTTACCAGGAAAATATTGTGTTTAAAGGCGTATAGCCCAGAACCACGATATAACTCGGAATAACAAGAAAGCAAAAAGCTCCATGTTTCAGGGTATGGCAAGTACTGTTTCCATAGATGTCGAGTTGTATAGATAGTACTCCCATCATCGTCTTATCTCTCTATTTCTGTATTCTAGTAATTATCTAGTTATATCTTGAATCGTATATACACACTACTCATCTTCAAATCCCAATCCCCTACTGAAGTATCTATCTATATTTTCTTTTTAGTGCTTTGATTATAATACATAGTAAACAGTATGTAGTGAATAGTGTGAAAATAATCTTTAATGGGTGGTTAGGTGGTTAATAACTAGATGGAGGAACTTGAGATGTGGAGGGGAATAAGGGGAATGAGGGGTTTGAAGGGTGTGTGTTGATTTGGAATGATGGAATGGTGTAAGTTTGTTGAGAGGTTGGAGGATTGGGAATAATATGGTTTGTGAACCAGAGAAAATTAAATGGCAAAGTTAGGATAATTGACAAGAAGAGTAAGAGTAGAAAGGAAGCGAGTTTGATGCTAGGTTTTTGGTTGGTGTATAAAAGAAAAAGAAAAAGATGTCGGGATATGTATTGTTCTGATGTTAATTCTTTAATAAATTTACTATTTCTTAAGTTTACGTAAAGTAGAATATAAATAAAAGTGTTCTGGTAAAGTGTTCTATGAATGAAGTTATATAAAGGAATGAGGAGAGAGAATCGTAAACCCAGGTTTTTACAAAAAGATATATAGGTCAATAATTACCTTCAACGAAGACAATAATAGTTCTTGGAAAGTTGTAATAAGAGAAGATAGCTTGTATCCTTCGGAATTAAAAGTTACTGCTGGTGTTTATTATCTATTTTCTTTAATATTTAATCTTAATAATGCGATATTGCTCTTACTTATAAAAAAATCACAAATAGTATGGAAAGTATTAAGGTCAGATCTATCAGTCTCAATTAGGTAAAAAAGAGAATCATATATTATACATAGGGTTTCCACAGAAATGATAGGAAGCATGAAACTAGAATATGAAGACATTTAGATTATCTCCAAACAACTAAAGAAGAAAGGCTCTACAGAAAGAATCCTAGCTCGATATATCAGAGCTCGACTAGTACTAATTAGTTCTAAACTTCCCTACACTGTCATCCATAGGAACCATCCAGTTTAACAGTAGTTTTATTTTACACTTCTATCATTCTAGTGTATCGGCTTATAGCTTCAGGAACCCTTCTATTCTATTTTTTTAGTCGATAATTAAATCATAGGTTATGATGTTGTACTTATTTAGTACTGATGCTAAATGATTTTAGTCTTCCAATCATTATTCGGGGATGCTTTTGTTGCATATCTGAGATTTCTATTTGTAGGGTATATCCTGATAAGTGGTTTGTTTGTTGGTTTCTATAGCTCATATGTAAGTGCAGATCTTCTTTTTGATGTTATAGTACTGATACTTTACGATTTAGCCTTCCAATCATCGCTCGAGGATGATTTTGTTGCATATCTGAGATTCTATTTGCAGGATGCATCCTGGCAAGCGTTTTATTGGTAATTATGCTCACCTCACCCAGAGTGATTATAATAAATCTCAGAATTGGCTTCATAACTTATCGGTATTTTCAGGATTTTGCTTTCGATTGACTAGACTAGATGGGTGGTAGCTTAGGATTTGGTTGAGAGCTCTTTTCATTTGGTGAGGAACAATGTAATGTAGCTTGCTATATTTAGTTCCGTAAACCCCTATTCTCATATATTTTTATGCCAAATGTAATGGCTCGACAGATTAGCAAAATGTGTTGTGCTAGTAGATTCTGAATGGAGAGCTTTTTCTGAATATCTTTTCCCAGGGTGCGTTCTTGGATCTGTGTTTATAGGGTCTAGGAAGTGGGCAGGGCGGTGTTTGAAAAGCTGGGAATCAGGTGTTGGGTGTGGTTTAGTTAAATGCTAGTTTAGTGCAATTTTAGTACGAAATCTCAGCTTGTCACTAAATGTTCAACAATTGAGAGTTCGTTTTGGAATTTGAGGAGTAATAATTTGATTTCATTCAATTGCGGCATAAGTTGTAGTCGATCTATTATATATGCTGAGATCCCGCTTTCCTGCTATACATTATTCATGATGTATTGAGGCAATGGATAAGCGAGTATTTATTACGTAATCATCCTTTCTTATAGTTTGATGGAGTAGGCACGATTACATGGTGTTTGGGTTCATTGCCGTATATGAATAAATACCTTGAACGTCTCAGTAGCCCACCTTATTCAATTCTCACATCCTCTCATATTGAATCGGAGCGCCCATCTCCCAACTATGTTTACTAGCTCTGAGCTTCAAATACCATAGTCGTATTCTCCCTTGTAATCAAATTCTTCACCCGGCACTAGTGCTCAATGTACGCCGCAAATATTCTGCAATATTAAAGATAAAATAGGTACTCAAGGTATTCGAGCTTAGTATCACAAACCACTATTGTCAAATAATATTGATAAGCACATATGCGTAATACTATGATGGTTGCTTGATCAGTTAGTTAACCAACAGAAATAATTGGGGTAGCCTTCCATCCCTTAGAGCCATTTCTGTGACAGCTTCATATTAGCCTCTTTAGGATGAGGCTAGAAATTTATTACACTTTCCATAACCTGTGTAGCTGCATAAACTTGGAATTTTGGAAAGGTAAGAAGCGAGTGGCTCGTCGTCTTGAGCAGAAAAATAAATGAGAATCTAGAATTACCGGTAATGGTAAGATTTACCTACCAAAATGAGAGTTAATGAATAGATAAAACAAAAGATTCCAGAGATCGATTAGATTAGTGTTTGCATGAAAAATTGGCCAGAGCATCTGCTCGTCACCGCTGATTTATGGCTTTACCACAATAATATGACCACCGGAAAAATGCTTCGACCTAGGCCAACGGGAAGACAATCATCGTCACTAGGTGATTACGAGAAAATTGAGTCGTTGAGCGCGGAGCTAATACGGTCAAACGTTTCCCTAACGACACAATTAAGAGCCGGGTGATTCCGAAGCTTCCCAGGAGCTTAAGTTCAAGCAGCACTCTCGCGGGCACCAGTGTGAAGTTTAAATATTGTATGAGCAATATGTTATTTCTTCCACGTGAAGTTTTGACACACATGCTTCTAAGCTCACCGGGCGATGTGACCATGGCTTTCAATCTCATGGATTGGTAGGAGAAATCTAAAGTATTGAGACTTCCTTGATGGTTTGGTAAGTTCCAAGTTCTTAAGATTGGGAATCGCATATGCTAATATCTAGATAGGCTTTTGCCATCACGTTAACTATGACTTCTGCTACTCATATATGAATAAAGGGGGAAGATCAGGATACTTTCCGCGGCACAACTTTTCAAAGGGATTATTATAACGATAGTTTGCATCGAGGCTGTTGAGCTCGTTACGTGGTTTGCTATCTTTCATGTAAAGCGGATGAGTAAGCTTTCATCTAAGGTTTATAAAGTGATATTCCAAAAGAATATATTGATTTAAATTTAACCAATACCTCGAACAATATCAGCTGATGTATTTTATTCCAATATCAAAATAAAATTCACCAACCCCCTTTCCCCAACTTTATCCTACCCCAGTTCCCACGCATAAATTAATTCCACATAACCAAGCAGTGCCAAAAACACCACATAATCCGATTCGCATCTCCTTTTCCATCATACTATATTAGTCGTCGGCACAAACATCTTTGAGAATAAACAGGCCATATTACGAATAAATCACGCCACTTTGACATGTTTGTCGATCGATAATATCTTGAGCTCTTCCGGCTCAATTCTACATTTGATAAGTAGTTTCAAATTGCTATTGAAAAGGATCGTTGTTCCCACATTCAAGTATAATGATTTTTGATTTTTGCTGGTAAGACTTACTTTGTGTTGATAGCTTGGACGACGTCTCAAATCACGAAATCTGAGCACTCTTACATACCCTGTAATTATCACCACCTTGCAATCTTTTCCATATCCCGAGTTTCTATCCAATTCATAGCTAATAAATGCGTTAGAAAAACTTCGTTCATCGATCTCTAATTCTCATACTCTCTCCACAGGCCTCGCATATCTCATCATGCCTAATCGGTAAATCATCCTTCCTCATCTTCGTCTTCATCAAAACAATACAAATCCTGAATTCCTAATTGACATATCCAGAAGTACAAACGGCTCAAGCAAACCCGCCACAAAAAAGATCCCTTCAAAAGTCTGCTCATCGAAATCACGAGGCCGAGTCGTCACATCTCCTGGGACTTCAGAGGACGAGGTTCGCAATGTCAGCAGCGAGAGAAGATCGTCTGATTTAGAAAATTCTAAAGGTTCTACTTGCTCGGGGGATTGTGGAAAGATTGGTGGATGTGGGAGGAAAGAGAAGAGTGTTAGTTTGGAGTTTTAACTTTGAGTACTGGAGAATGAGGGAAGGGGCGAATTTGGAGTGGAATTTTGGTGGGAACCTGATGAATTAGAGATGAATTATATGGCGGAGGAACAAATTTGGGTTTCTGATTGCATTGTGCGTTTTAGGTATTTGGAGTTCTAGCTTTGGAGAGGAAGGTGGGCGGGCGTTTTGAGATTTTGCTTCTTTGGTATTGATAGAAAGAATGGAAGGGTCTGTTGAACCATCAAAGTTGCAAAAAAACTCGATAGTCTCTTAAGTGTTATGTCGAGGTCTCCGGCTGGTAAGAAAAATGCATGAGAACGGTGGATCTAATAAACGCCCCTTTCATCTTAATCGTACTACCTATAAATCATTTTCAACTGTCCTAAGCCAGGCAATGGGTATTATTATCTTATCACAATACCTAAGGCAAGAACTAAAGATTGATGAAGTAGAAATATATTCCTAGTAATAAAAGGCTCTATCATCTCAAAGTGAGTGCACTGTCATTTACAATACTAGCTGAAACATAAAAGTCTTTTCCAATTTAATTTAGAATAAACTATTGTTCCTACCTAGGTAGTTTATGATATATTCCTCAGAACGATGAAGATGATTAAGCTTCTATGAATAAAGAGTGTATCAATATGGCACAGCAGATTCATGGAAAGCACTAAGAATAGCGTTACTTTCACAACTCCACACCCGTATGGTATTGTGAGCTACAGGTGATAGACTGCGCAAAAATAACCCGCGGATTGCGGATATCCGCAAATAATCCGTCTTGCGGGTTACCCAGTAGATCTACAATCCGTTTTGGAAGTTATTCATTGGGATTTTAAAATAACCTATATTGTATAAATTATTTGCAGATTATTTATAGATAATCTATTAATTTATAATTAGGTATAATTTGTATAAAATAGGTATAGAAAATGTTGGAATAGCTTCAAAAATTTAAGCGAATATCATTTGCGAATAATCCGCAAATAATCTACAAATAATCCGCAAATTATTCGTGAATAATCTATCTATCTATAGATTGATGAATTATCTGAAAATTAATAGATATCTGCAAATAAACTGCAAATTATTTGTAGTTTACCTATTCAAATTCTACAATTACCTGTTCCGCAAATAGATCATCCGCGGGTTACCGTCCAAAAGCAATAATCCGCCCTGCGGAGCCCTATTGCGCAGCCTAACAGGTGATCTCCATAATGCTGGAAGTTTAGCACATGATGAATATTATGTCTTTAACCGGATTTAGAGATGAAGAAATTCAAACCTCATCTTTGAGAAACTGTTTGGCCATAGACGGACGTTTAGTTCCTCATGATCAGCGACCAATAGTAAGTTCGCGGATGGCGCTGAAGACAAGACTAAAAGCTGCAACAGATCCTCTAATTTGAATGCAATGATGTTAATACTTTAGACTAGCTACGACGGGATATTTTAGATACTCATAAGACATCAATAATTGTTCTGTCCAAGTAAAAAAAAAATTGGCGTTTGCTCTAGAGGAATTTAGCAGGGCTCGCTTAAGCTTATTTCATAAGGCGATGAGTTTGTGTTCTCACAATCAGTTTCATGCGAGCACAAAACTAAGTGAGTTTGTAGTGCGAAGTTTATCTCGCCCACGTGAATCGAGTAACAAAGCCACCGGACGTCGGGCTGTGAGACTCAAGCATCAGTATTTGATATTATGTGGGTCTATTTCGCTAAGAAGCGTGAATGCTGATGCTAATTAGGGGCGGCTTATGACGGTTAGATTCTAGATTGTATGAATTGAGTTACTGAGGTTGTAACCTTAATTTTCGTGAAGAATGCTATCTGGCTCTTCGATACTTTGTAATCCAACATAACTTCAGACATTCGAATCGCTTTGAAAGTAGTAGAATATATTCGTGTATTTAAGAACGTTTTTCGGCAGTTTCTTTACGCTTCAGTCATGCAGAGTATTCCATCAAACGTACGCGGGAGCATGCGGGCATACGGTCTGGAAAAATATACTCTCCGTGTCTCGTGGACGAAATGATTTATCAATAGTTATTTGAAGTTCATGATCAAACTTTCTTGATTTCTGCAAGGGAAAACAAATACGGACGATTCAATAATCTCGCCTCGGATCTGATTTCCCGCAACTAATGCGATGCTAGTAATCAAGAGTTGCCCTAATTACAGATTTTTAGTCTATACTATCACAACCTAAGAGTAGAGCCATAAAAACGGAAAAAAGTGAGAGATCGTAGTATTTCATTGTGTGATAGCGTGAAAAAACGGAACGGTGTCTGAACCGGCGCGTCGATAGCTCGATTTTCATATAGACTGGGAATTCTATATAATATATGATGTGAATCTTTTCCTCTCCCTTGATTTTTCCTGTCATCCTCAATCTACAACTTCAATTTACGACCATATTCATCGGATCAGCAGAATTCCAACCATAAAACCATTTCAAGCATTGCACAAAACATGTCACCGTGAGTAAATTTTATGTCACTGTCATTTACTCCAATCTCTCTTACCACATTACATACTGAAATGACAAAGCACGGATGAAAATGCAGCGGCGGTAAAGAGGAAGCAATATGGTCAAAAGTTTCCGCACAATCCCAAGGTATCAAGATCAGTCGAGAAAAGAAACAAGCCATTCGAAGTTCATGTTAAAAAAGATGGACAAGTTGAAATCTTCTTGCACGAAAGATTCGCAGCAAACTGTGAATTATTTAAGAATATCTTGGGAGTAAGTTCAATCTGATCGGCATTTGAATCGATTCATGTAGCGGGCAAATGCTGATAATTGACAGTTGGGAGGAGCCACGCAGTGCTTCTGTGACGGTTGTCTAATAGGGGACCTTGAACTTCGGACAAGAGTAAGTCCATCATTTTCTGTGAAAGAAACTTTACAAAATAGATATTAATCAATCAAAGTGGATTCAAGCTTGGGCGAGTCAATTGGAAGTGAGTTTACTATTCGACTGGAAAACTGCTTACACAGAAAGATTCTAATCAGTAACAGAGAAAACTTCAAAGGGCAAATATTGTGCACTCGGCAACAGCCCGCCTTGAGGATTTAATTTCTAAAGAAAATCCCTCTCAAAAACTAAAATGCAGATTTTGCGAGGATTCATCGACTGTGAGTTCATTATGTTGCACTCTTGAATGATAAATTTGAGCCAGAAAATACTAATACTAGATAGTGCCCTCTTCAATCTCACAACATCACATCAGAACAAGCTCCTCCTAAAATGGAAAGTACAGAGAACAGCGAAGAGAAAAGATTTGAGGATGCCAGCCGCGATCAGTTCAACGCTGATAAGTTGTTCGAAGTCGGTTGGCGCAATCCACAAACTCCAACATAGTCCAAGCTTTCCATCTATGTTTCTGAGTCAAGCCAAGTTGGATAGGAATTTCTTCAAGAGATTCTGTTTGAGGACGGTGGGTCGGGGAGCTGGCTTCCAAAAATCTTCAGTCAGCGTCTTGGATGTTAGGTTACATACATCGATCAGCGTTATTTTGTATGAAGATACCAGTAGGGTATTAAACGGGACCCGAAAGTTAGAATTCTAGTTTGGAATATAAAAATTCATTCCAGCAAACAAAATGATGCTATTCAGATTGTATGCCATCTATAACCTTGAATGCTGAAGGTCGTTATATCAAAAGCTTAGTAATACACTAAGACTCCAGTACCGACATCCTAAGGTCCGTGCACATATATATATTTCCCCAGACTTCACGATTTTACCCCTCCGACCCCTCCATTTGCTATTCTCATCCTCAATTCCTCCAATTCAATATGTCAACCAATTCTACCACATCCGATATGTCACCTATCAAAGAATTTACCCTCATTGTCGCCGCGACTAATAAGATGGGAGTTGGGAAAGGTGGTGGACTTCCATGGACGGGATTGAGAAAGGAAATGGCTTATTTTGCGAGGGTTACTAAGAGGGCTGGTCCTGGGGTATGTTTTGTCTGTTTCTATTGATAATTTGTTCTACCTGTTTAGTTTCAATGTTTACCCTTCATGAACTGCCCAGCGCGGACTCTCTGTGTAGTTTACATTGAAACGAGCAGTTGGTCCTGGTTGGGATGACACCTCAATTTAACATTCCGTTTAAGGTTGTTTGAGGATGAAGCAAATGCGGGGTTCAAGTTGTTTTCCTATATGTCTTTATTCAGGAGGACTTTAGAGGTGGGATGGTTCGGGAGATGGTAGGAAAATTACATAAACTGATCAAGAGGAATCTTTGAACAGAAAACCAATGCAGTAGTAATGGGGCGCAAAACCTGGGAATCAATACCTCCTAAATTCCGTCCCCTCACAAACCGAGCAAATTATATGATTAGTCGCACACAACCTTCCAATCCTTCGGAGGTCGACCTCGGTCCCGATGCACATTCAGCAACAAGTTTGACAGATGCACTCAAGAAATTAGGATCGAGGGCACAATCAAATACGAATCATGAGGATGAAAAAGAAATTGATAGAGTTTTCATAATTGGTGGAGGACAAATATATAAAGCATCATTGGAGTTGAAGGAAGCAAAAAGAATATTATTGACGAGGATTTTGGAAGATTTTGAATGTGATACTTATTTTCCTGTTGAGTTGAAGGAGGATGGAACCGGGCAGGGATGGAGAAGAACGGATACTCAAACGCTTCGCGAATGGACTGGAGAAGGAGAAGAAGTTGAGGGTATCAAGGAGGAGGCTGGCGTGAAATATATATTTGAGATGTGGGAAAAGATTGAGGAATCATAAAAGGAAGGCAGTAATGGCAAGGATGAGCCACACATTCAAGATGTGGGAGGCAGAGCAGAAACTGAAAGCACAACACGCTCCTCCGATGAGGATACTTCACATCCGATCAGCTGCACAATGACCATCAAATGTCCATACCAACTCCTCTCAACTCTTTACGCTAATATTTACATCTAAATACTCTACTCTCTCTACTACGGGTTCAATATTTTGGTACAACCGAATCTTTCACGTGGGCCAGCTTCTCTCTCACGCTCGAAATACATGCACCACCGGAAGATACCTACTATTTAGCTCTCCTCGCGTCCTACATATACCCATAACCAACTAATTCCGCTCTTGTTCTCTGGTATGCTTCTTTCACAAATATAGAGGACCACGCAACCTGTTGTAAACGGAAAATCGTGGGTACACGATTCCTAATTTTATTCATCCCAGACAAGCGGGGTATAGTGTAAGTGGATCAATACGGGTCATTCTTTTTAACATTACATAATATTCATATAATATTTTTATAATATCAAAGTCCATTTATGTTGTCAGTAAAATGGAAGATGTTACTTGTGAGGGTTATGAGGCAATATTTTGGGAGATGGGCTCAGATATATCTCTAAATTAAATCCTTACTAAAGGACTAAAGAAAATTAATAGCATGAGGTGAATGAATGTGGGAATCGCTTAAGTAGAGTGAGTGAGTATTCGTACTTCACCAAAGATTAAAAGAAACTTTGACAGAAATCAACTTTATACTATATGCAATATATATGCTTCTCTTATTTTTATTCTTTCCTTTATTTTCATCCTCCTATTATTAATCTATTTTTATTCTATTCTCTGCTTTTTCTACTTTTCATCTTCTCATCCTCTCGGAAAAATTCTCATCCTCTCATCCTATTCCCTCCATTCCCTCCATTCTCTCATTACTTCCATTGCTTCCTTTATCCTTAGCCGAATTAGATATTAAAATAGGTATCTAATCCTCGGCTAATAGAATTTTGAGACAAATAGACGGGTGGATAAACACTAAGGTTTGATGAATGAGGTGATGTGATATGATAGTAAGATTACTTAGTTTCTATTGTATACTTTCCTTGGATTTAGTATTTTGGGATTGTATATGGATAGATTTCTAGCTTAACAGTCTCTTGTTTCAGAATCTTTAATACTTCTCTCAAGTTTTATGACTTGGTCACTATGTTAGTAGGTCAATTTGTTTTTAATACGAATATAAATACAGACTTGTGTTATTCCCAATATCTAAACCATTCATCAATCATTCCTATCTCATACTTTCGTAAATCGTGCTATTGTGCCATCGTTCCAGTGTACTGTATCACGCATTATTCGTTACATCCCATCATATCATCTCGACCACTCCACTTGTAAAACCCATCTCCAAGACTCTCCTCCTCACTCTAAGAAAAACTAAGTACCCTCTCAACCCCACACTTTCTGCACACACACTTAACCTCATACTCCTCCCCTTCCCCCGTGGGTCCACAATCCGCACATAAAATCCATTCCTTCTGCTCCTCCCCCTCCCCTTGCACCACCTTTTCAATCACCCTCTCCACCTCAAGCGGAACACCAACATCCCTAACCACCCCATCCTTCCTACTCAAGCACCCCAACAACCTAAGCACCCCCTCCCAAAACTCCCTATTCTCCCTCATCACACCCCAAAACCTATCTTTCAACCCCTCATCTCCCAAAAACCCGTCTAATTCCCTTACCGCCGCTTCCAATAACACATTTCGCAATCCTGGATTTTTATCCGTCGTTTTATTGAAGATGCGTTTTATGCATGAGAAATAGATGTCGAGGTTTGAGATTTGCGTGTTGAGTGTGTGGCGGAAGGATGCTGCGGATAGGGTTTCTAATGCGGGGATTTGGAGGTGGACGGCTAGGTAGAAGATTTGTTCGTGTAGGGGGAGGGAATAGGAGGGGCCGGATAAATAGGTGCAGCTTGTGGGGGTGGTGTCATCTGCGGGTGTGGGGAGTGAGTAGGCGGATGTGTAGAGGTATTCTATTAGGGCTGTGATGGAGTCGAGGGGGAAGGAGGAGAGGTTTAAAATGCTGGATTTGGAGGGGGTACCGAACTGTAGTGTTAGGATTAGTAATGTAAAGTATGAGAGGAAATTAGGAGTTAGGATGGAAGAGAGAAGTGAATGTGAGGAAAAGAGAACTAACCATATTTCCCACACCATTATTATCAATCATACTCTCCAATACTTCCGATTGTGAACAAACAACCACTTTATGCGCATTCCATACACGTACACCATGAAAGATTGTCAAGTCTGAAAATCGTCCTGTGAGGAGTGACCTAGGAAATTATATTAATTTGAGTTTGGGAAATTTTCTCTGCGTTCAATCTGCGGCTTTTTCATCTCCATTCCTATCTCGAGCAGTGAAAGACAACAGAAGAATGAATAGAACTTACTCTTTCAACGACACGAGGGGTCCCTCCAAAACCACTTCATTAATCTCAAGTTCCTGTTCTCTTTCCCTAAACCCGGGCCTCACACTATGAATTCCACTGCCAACACCAATCCCAGCATTAAACCCATAACCCATCCCTCTATTCACATTCTCCGGATATCCCACAAACCCAGCACCAACACCGACATCACCCTGCAGACTCTGACTCTGACTCTGACCCTGACCCCTCACTCTCCTTGCATCCATACTTCCATCCGCATTCACATTCCCATTCCCATCCACCTCTTCACTCAAATCTCCAGCCCGAACACCAGCCAAATCCACCCCAGCACCTCTTAACCCCCCAACTCCATCTCCAGCACCGACTCCAGCCCCCTCAAACAACGACGACATACCTCTATCCATATTCCCCAGTACCCCAGTACCCCAAAATCCTTCCCCAATAACAGCGATCCTCAAATCTTATAAAAATCGTACAAATCGTTCGAATTAGTCGAGAAGTAGATTAACCTTATCTAATTAATTCCTGATCTTTTTCTTAGTTTTTCTTCCATCAATTTCGATTTTAATTCTAGTCTTAATCTTGATTCTATTCTTTAGAAGAAAACAAAAAAGCAAAAGAAGAATAATAATATTTCTGACATGGAAAATCGAAACTGAAGATGAGTTGAGTATTGAGATGGATGCCTGTTCTGCAGGTGTAGGTAGGTATTTTTTGTAAAGATAACCTATAGGGAGGTAGAGATTGGTTTTTGCTTTGTGGTTTGTTTTGTGGTTTGTTTTGTGGTTTGTTTTGTATTGTGTTGTATGTTGTAGTGCTAGGGAGGGAAGAAGAAGAAAAGAAAGAAGTAAAAGAAGAAATATAAATAATAATAATAATAATATTTCTAATAACTTTCTCTAATCTCTATCTTTATTTATATTTTTATCTTCTAATTATTAATTAATCATCTCTCAAATCTGAATCTGAATTTAAAGAATTCTTATTAATTTATTTTGTTTTTGTTTTTAATTTTGTTTTTATTCTTCTCATCTTTATGATTTTTATAAGTTTTAATTTAAAAAAAAAATACTTTTGTTTATTTACTTCAATAATTTTTATTTTAATCTTAACTCTAACTCTGATTTTAAATTTAATTTTAAATTTAATTTAATAAATATAAATATTTATATTTATATTATAAAAGTGGTAGGTCGAGATACGCGTGTCCTGATAGCAAGCTGTGAGGAGGGAATTAGAAGAGAAAGCTGAATTAGATTATATTGTAATATATCACTTATAGATAAAACAGGGTTTATAATGATTTTGGGGTTGATATTATATGGGTTCAAATGTATATATATAGAAGATTGATTATTGTGAAAAGAAAAAACAAAAAGCTCTTTTTTTATATCTAACTATAAAAGATCATATAATTGACTAGTTAAAACCTTTATGTATTTGATCTATAATTCCAACTTTCTCATAATATAAATTATTTTTTAATCTTCATATTAAATAATTCATTTCCAGTAATTTAATTCAAATAAAATAAAATAAAATATATTTTTATTTATTTATAAAATAATATATATGTACTTACCCAACAACATTTAAATAAAACAATTCCAAAACTCAATCTCAAACTAAAACTCAAATTCAAACTCCCTTTTTAATTTTAATCAAATTTATAAAATAAGATTAAATAAATTAAAATAAATATCTATCTATCTTTCCCTCTCTTTGAAAAGGTAAAGTTTAAAATGAAAAGGTTTTAGATTTATTTACTCATTTATTCATTCATCTAATAGATTCATAATAAAGTAAGTATCAAACAAAGCATTAAAAAAAACATCAAGTTCAAACTTCAATCAAATCTATTTTCCCAGGAAAAGAAAGGAAATATGCATGATGTATGCATGTATGCATATATGCACATAACCGCACGTATGAGCACCAGTAAGTCTTACCAGGTATTCAATACAGACAAAGAGAACTACCTGGCATCCATCAAACTCTGTATAGTTGTAGCCACCTAATCATGAGTGCTTGTATAACATATTTCTTCCCAAGATTTATAGAGGGGAGAAAAGAATATTATAGGATTATATTGTTAAAGCAAGCCCCATCCATTACGCGTCATATCATGATACAAACAAATCAATCGATTTAAAGACCCAATACAAGGATTAATACTCCTCAGACATCTCAACAATTTAAACAACAAACCCACCCGCATACCCTCCATCCCACCTCCCACCTCCCCAACTCTCCTCATACCCTCACACTCCTACCCACCCCTAAAACAGACTTCTAGCCCCCACTCCCCACCACCCCCATCGCACCACAAGCCAGCACACTCCACAACCAAACATTTCCCCATTCCTCCACCCCAGGCCAAACACTATTCTTCCCGCTTTTCAAACCGCTAAAATCCTCCAACTTATTCGCCGAACCAATCTTTTCATATCTCTCCTGTTGATATTTCTCCGTTTGAGCATCTCCACCTACATATCTCAAAAAGGTATAATTGGTGATCGGAGCAAGAAGCATGAGGGGATGAAAGAGTCCTGCTCCGTAGAGGATGAGTGGGAAAGAGGTGTGGATTAGTGTGTCACCTAGGTAGCTGTGGGTGTTTTTTTGGGTTAGTTTGTGTTTTTGTATTGGTGAGGATGATGGCGTCTCATGAGGGAAGAAGAGATCAATACTAACTTGGGATGTCGAACGATACTCCAAATACCATCTTTTAATAATCCCTCATTTTCATTCTTCTTACTCTTATAATTTTCCAACTGTAAATCCGCACCAGCTTCCAAAGCAAAACCAGCAGAGAAAAGAAAAACCCCAACCGCATGAGCGATTTTCCATCCTGGATTCCTCGAAAGTGATTGATTCGCAATAAGCACCTCTGGAGCAGCAAGACACATTGTAAACGGAAGAGCAATAATCGATTGAACGAGTGCTTCTGGAACAAAAGTAGAAAATAGACATTTATTCCAATAATCGGAGTTTTTCGATGATTCAGAAGTATAACGTGCGTCGTCTTTACCGCGAGAAATAGCTCGAGAAGTTATACGATAGAAGAGACGAAGTGACCACGTTGTTAAGCCTGCCATGATTAATTTTTGGGGATATGCCATGTTTGTCCATGTTTTGGAGAGATCGAAGTTATGGCGTTGGAGAGCGATGGTCCAGGAAGAGATGAGAGGGCCGAGTGGCCAGACGACATCTTTCAAGTCGAGACGATTGGTTAATCGAGCGATGGTGTAGGAGATGAGTGATAGAGTTGTATTGGTAGTTAGTGCTGGAAGAAAACCACGTTGTAGTAATCCTACTGCCGTGGCATTAACTTGGGGATTCCACGGTGGAATAATAGATGCATTAGATGCGAAGCGATCTTGGTCATAGACGGTAGTATTAGATGTATCATCTGCTGACGCCTTTCCTATAATCGTAAATCAATCTAAATACATATTCTTTGTTGAAATGAGAAATGAAGCTGAGAGAGAGTCTAGCCTACCTAGACTTACGAACGTCCATCTCGATACCCTTTCCGTTACTTTCTCAGTAGGAATAGGATGACCTCCAAAATGAGAGGCTAGTGTATCTTGTTCGGCCATATTTATTGTACTCCACTTTAATACCGTGATGATTGTGATGAAAATTGTGGAGCTGAAATAATTTACGATGTCAAAGAGCTTCTGTTCTGTATTTTAATGCATGTTGTTTCGATGACGTTATTTCTCCGCCTTCATCTACTTCTCGGAGTTTCATTCCGTCAACGATAGCTGCATCTTACTACATACGTGCATGCAGATTGTTACATGAGTATGATTTTTATATGAAATTTTATATGAAATTTTACATCATCGTTAATGAATAACTTTACATTGTTTTGATGATTGTTCTCGTATTAGTTTTTCAAACGACAATTTGAGATGGGAATAATCGTGACATACCATACGATTGATATGGAGATCTTACAGATGTATTTTTACGGCAAGGCGAAAGATCCAAGATGGTAGAAAACCAGCTTAGTCATCCCCCGCCTCACCCCACATTGTTATTTACTAGATGGTTCTTGCACGACCATTTTTGAATACCTTGTATCCGATTCAACGCATCTCAATATGAAAATTTAATGGCAATCTACTTAGATGCCTTTGAGCCGTAAAATAAAATATTCGCATATGCAAAAGATACTCTCAAGGATATTACCCCTGAATACTTTCCCATTGCGATTATAAGTAGAAAAGAGACCTTATAGATGCATTTTAGTATGTCTTAAAAAGCAAGAGATCTAATCTCTAGTCTAATAACCCTCTAATCAGCATCAATTACCTTATCTCTAACCCTCCCAACATCCTTCTCATCTCTACTCTCGTCTCCCATCTCCTCCTTCTTTCCCATATCCCCCAACTCAACCTCCATATCCGCATCACCATTTCCCATCCCTCTTCTTCCCACTCTCCCCTTTTCGACCCATCTCCTCCAAGGTCCATAAACTAGCACACTTGCACCTCCAAATACAACAAAAGCACCACAGATTCCTCCACCAATAACATCAAAATGATCACCTGTCGCATTAACTCCATCCCAGAAGGGTCCTGTGGAGAAATTCGCAATGAGAGAAAGTAATTGAATGACTCCGATACAAATAGCTACTAGAACTGTTATGCCTGTTAAAACAATTGAGTAGTAGAGAACTGCTATGGTGTCGCGAGCAAGAGACGTGGATGTGTAGAGGGTCATCATTAGTGCGCCATCAGTGGTATCGATTAGACACATGCCAGCTATTACTTCTGTTAGTATTTCTACTTCAAGTATCCCTTATACCACGATCCAGACATGAAAAGAAAAGCAAACCATACCGGTAAACAAAACAGGAAAAATTAATATCAACCAAATATTGGTTCCTTTCGCACCCTGAACAGAAGCAATTCCAAGAACCGCAATTTCACTACTAGTATCAAAACCAAGTCCAAATAATACACCCAGCGGATACATTTTCCAAGGACGATCAATCACTTTAAAGACCTTTCTGAGAACTCTCATCATGATTCCTCCACCCTCGAAACCTAATCCAGTCTCACCACCATCACCGTCGATTTCTTCTCTTAGAACTGCTCTCAACTTAACCACTAATCTCCATAAAATCCATGCATTTCCAATTCCAAGTAAAATCAATACACCAGCTGAAACAGCGGTACCAATGATCCCTCCTATGTTTCGGAAGGAATTGAACCGTGCTTCAAGAGCACCAGATGTAGCAGCAACGACAATGCAAGTTATGATTACAATTGTTGAATGACCTAAAGAGAACCAGGTACCAACAGTTACTGGTTGAGATGTATGAGGAGAACCAGAAGCGATTAGACGTCGGGTCATGAGATCAATGGCGGATATATGATCAGCATCACTGGATTTACATGAGTTTGGATTCTAAACGAGTAAGGTCACATGATCATGAGAGATTGAGAAACAAAGATGAAAACTTACAGAGCATGTCTAAGACCAAATGTATACGAGAGTACAGCAGATGATGATAGAAGAGGATGAGAACGCAGAACAATAGAAACCACGACCCAAATAATGATATTAACCAGGACCAAAAGAGATATGATCCTAATAGCAGGGTAAGGAAGGAAGCGAACTTGAGGGGGTAGACGAGCAATTAAGGGATGAAGACATGTTGGTGGCCTAGGAGACATCTCCAAGAAAGATGAGATGTGACAGGTAGAGAATGAACATCAATTGAAATGATTGAAGTTGTACAAAGTAGAAATGAAATTTTGAAAAACGAAAAAGAAAAATTGTTGTTGCAGTTGAATAATCCTACCCCACCATCCCACCATCGCGGTGAAATTTGGTCAATCAAGGTCAACGTATCAATCCTAATCGGGGACTGCCGAGTGGACATTGATAAGATGATGAAACTTCATTACCTATTTTGATCGAGTATGCCTTTATGTTAAATCTTGGCGTGAAGTGAGATACACAACGACGATGATCTGTGTTTTCCTGTCGACCTTGAAGTCAGACGTTTGTTCTCTGCTACACAACATAACTAGGTCGTCAATACTTGATAGGTGATAGGTGAGCAATGAGCAGAAACGCATCCCTATCGACTTGGTTGAATGAAGCCACCTAAGAACATAAAGGAAAGCCTCAATCCCAATATGTCAAACTCAGCAGACAGAACTTGGCAAACAGAACTTGGCAAATGTGAGAATGAGAAAGAAAGATAAACGTTGTTGGGGGCGGAGATTGATGAGATGCAAATTGCTGAGTAATTGAACAATTGAGACGACAGAGTTTCAACGTGACCTACTCTCGTACCTCGTACTTACAAGTTGGTTGTGCAAAGCGGTAACAACCTTGAGAGGTACAACATATCTGGATTCTGTGGTGCCAAATTGGAAAATAAGCAAATGCAATTAAATTAACCTTTGCTTACCCCAGATCATTCATTTTCTTGTCGTCCCAAGCTTTCAAACCTCTACTGAGTCTACTCTCTGTCTTCCTTGCCTCCAAGATCCAAAAATATGATATCACAAACCGGTAATATTCCAGCTGTATAAATCATTGACCATGACCATGACCATGACCATGACCATGACCATGACCATGACAATGGATGATTCATATAAGAACAATTCGAGTAATTCTTCTCCAATATAAAAACCAGCTTTCAAGACATCTATCTATCTTATCCACCCGGTGGGATACTTGGAAGTGAACTTGGTGAAGTATGGAATTTGTCAACATCATCGACGGTATCGTAGGTCTCTCTTTCCGGACCGAATGGATTCCTGTTATGAATCCCGAGAATAGAAGAGCTGAATGAGTGGATGAGTAAGTGGATACCGTGAATCATGAAGGAGTTGACTAGCTAGCTTGACCCGCTACTATGCATCGAAAACTTTAGTGCGGGGCATGGGAATTTATATTTTGTATGATGTCACTTTTGTTTTTCTTTCTTTATTGTAAACAAGCCGGACGAAAAGCAAATAATAAGGAGTGAGGAGTGAGGAGTGAGGAGTGAGGAGTGAGGAGTGAGGAATGAGGAATGAAGGGGAGAACATGAAGATATTCTCAGCAATGAGAGCCATAAAGAGAAATATCGAGAATGAATAACTATTGTATAATAAATATATACTCAATAAAATACAATAAAATAATTCACGCCACTCTGTCCAACACGGCATCCATCTCGATGAATCTCGATTCCATAATCAAATCGATTGATCTCAAACAAAACACCAAGCGGGGTCGAGAAGAACGTCATCCCTTCATTCGTCCCTCAAGCTTCGCCCCGCAATTTAGATCCCTCTAGCTCCCATCTTAGTAACGAAAGCGGCTTCAGGAATTGTAGGACGCTGAGAATAAATATCAAGTCATCTTCCCATTTTCTTCCTTTCCTTTCCTTTCCCTTCTTCTTTTCTTTTCATTTCATCCCATCAACAACTCAAATCCTCTCACAAACTTCTCTCTACTTCTAATAAATAAATCAACTTCAAAAATAAATCATCTGAAGCCTCAATCAATCAATTCCTCCTCTTCATACACACCACACACAAAATCACTCATCATGCCTATCTCCATCCCAAAAGCCGAATCTCTCAAAGATCTCTTTTCCTTAAAGGGAAAGGTGGTCATCATCACAGGTGCTTCCGGTCCTAAGGGAATGGGTATCGAAGCTGCACGAGGATGCGCTGAGATGGGAGCCGATGTAGCTATCACATATGCGTCCCGTCCCGAAGGAGGCGAGAAGAACGCCAAGGAATTGGCAGAGACATATGGTGTAAAGGCCAAGGCATACAAGTTGGACATTGGTGATTATGCCAGTGTTGAGAAGCTGGTTGCCGATGTGGTGAAGGAGTTTGGAAAGGTGGATGCTTTTATTGCAAATGCTGGTAGAACTGCTGATAGTGGTATTCTTGATGGAACCGTTGAGGCTTGTAAGTCTTTCTGATGGAATTTTATTATCATGAACGTCGCTAATTTGATTCTAGGGAATGAGGTTATTCAAACTGATCTTAATGGAACTTTCCATTGCGCAAAGGCTGTTGGCCATCACTTCAAGGAGCGTGGAACTGGTTCTTTCGTCATCACTGCCTCAATGTCTGGTCACATTGCCAATTTCCCACAAGAACAAACTTCATACAATGTTGCCAAGGCAGGATGTATTCACATGGCTCGTTCTCTTGCCAACGAATGGCGCGATTTCGCCCGTGTCAACTCCATCTCTCCTGGTTACATTGACACCGGTCTCTCCGACTTTGTCGACCAAAAGACTCAAGCTTTGTGGAAATCCATGATCCCAATGGGTCGTGATGGTGAAGCTAAGGAGTTGAAGGGTGCTTATGTCTACTTGGTATCTGATGCTTCAACATATACCACCGGAGCTGACATTGTCATTGATGGTGGTTACTGCTGCAGATAATTGTATTATATATATTTTCATGACATGATTGGATGAAGGAACGGACGGGACTGGAGTTTGCCACAAATAATGGCTGATATTTTAGCGATAATCAATTGAAATGAAAAGTAATTTTTCTTGACAATTTTCTTGTTCTTATACGAATGAGTGAATGTGTGAACAACATTGATGTGTGATCCGATTTACCCCGGATACAATTAAGTATCAGGTTGCATGAATTAGACACAAGTACTCTACATCCTCCCCGCTTCTCTCCCCATCTACCTCAATATATCCCATCCCATTCCATTCCATTCCACTCCAAATCCTCGTCAAAAACACCACCCACCCACCAAACAATTCATCCATGAGGTATCTAGCAATAGGTAGTTTTCATTTTAAACTTGTAATGAATTTTCTAATTTATGAAGAGGATTTAATTTCTGCTGCCTATAATACAAAACGAGAAAAGAGAAGAAAAGAAACGCCTAGTACGCCATGCCATTTTATTGGTACTTTACCTAGCCATCTATCTATCACTTTATCCCCTTTCCTTAAAAATATCTACCTAGTATCAAATTTAATCATCTATCTATTGATTTCGCATATTCTATCGTGAGCGTGGGGTGAGAGAGATATCGTGGCGCGCGTGAGTAAAAGAGAAAGAAAGACATAACGTGAAGTTGGTAGGTATGTGAAGTCTGTGAAATGTAGAGACCACCGAAATTACCATATCTTACGCTGCTCGGCTGATGTTGAATCCACCTCTTCCACCTCGTGCACCACCTCTTCCTCCACTTCTTCCCTCACCACCACCTCTTCCTCCTCTTCCTCCTCTTCCTCCACTTCCTCCACTTCTTCCCTCACCACCACCTCGTGCATCACCTCTTCCTCCACTTTCTAAACTTCTTCCCTCACCATCACCTCGTGCATCACCTCTTCCTCCACTTCCTACACTTCTTCCCTCACCACCACCACCACCTCTTCCACCTCCACCTCCACGTGGTACTCTAGGTGGATCAGGAACAATTGTCAGACCCGGTGCTCCCTTAAGACCCATCTTTCCGACAATACCTCTATAAAGCGCTGGAGTTTCTGGCGCACCCAATCCATCCCTGGCAAAAACATTTGCTTGTCTCACCAATTCCACGTTATCCCACTTCATAAGCTTGAGATGATTTTTGTAGTATCCTAACCAGGCTTGATATGTTTTCGAGTGATTTTCCATACTCGATGCTATTTTCAAGACTTGAGATGCGGAGCTTAGATCTGCTTCTGTTTTTACAAACTCGATTTCTTTTAATGTCCATGTGGAAAATGGACTTTCGGCTTCGGTGAGGATGAATACACCACGTCCTTCTTTACCTGCTCGAGCTGTACGTCCTAGGCGATGAATGTATGATTCTTTATCGGCGGGAAGTCCAACTTGGAAGACGTTAGTGACGGATGGGAAATCCATTCCACGAGCAACCACATCTGTAGCTACGAGGATACCATTCTTGGCTACGCGGTACTGGTCTGTAACCGTTGTTCTCTTGCCTTGAGATACACGTGAGTGTAGTACTGTGATGGGTGGAAGGTCTGGTAATTGAGATAAAATTCGGGCGTAAAAATCTACAAGTGCGGCAGTGGGTGCAAAGAGAATAGCTTTGAAGCTGTCTTTGCCTTCCAATTTAATTTCCGCCCGAATGGAGCCTACCATTGCCGATGCCACATCGGAGAAATTTGGAACGGTGATGAGATGTTGAGGAACACGTTCATGGGTATTGACCTCGCCTTTGGGAATGGTAGAAATGAACTTGTAATCTTTTGAGAGAACCAAGTGAGCGACCTTTTCAACATGAGGAGCAATAGTGGCGGAGAAAAGCATTCCCTGTCTATTGGTTTTCTGCTTGTCTGGAAGACATTTGATGATATCTCTAATGGCATTCATAAATCCCATATCAAGTAATCTATCTGCCTCGTCAAGAACAATAGTATCAAGATTGCGGAAAGCATAGGTAACTCTTTCATCACTGAGATGATCAAATAACCGGCCTGGAGTAGCAATAAGAATATTACAACCATTCAAGATATTCTTCTCCTCCGTAGTTTTATTGGTGCCACCGATGGCGAATCCCACCTTATAATTAGGAAGACGTTTCAACAATTGGCTTGCTTCCTTTGCGATTTGTTGTGCAAGTTCTCGAGTTGGTGTCATGACTAATAAGGAAATTCCATCTTGAGGACGTCTCTGTTTGTTGATAAGAGTTTGAATTGCTGGAATAAGAAATGCAATAGTTTTTCCAGTTCCAGTCTTTGCCTGTGCTAAACAATCGACGCGTTCTGAGAGTAAAGGACGGAGAGTTGCAGCTTGAACTGGCATCATATGATCGAATTTCAAGTCTTCAGTAATAGTCTTGAGAAGGATTGGATTGAGGAGATTTTCAGCACCGAGATCTGCAAATCGTGGAGTATCGAGAGGGACTTCTGTACTAAGCGGAGGAGCGGCGACTGCAGACATCTCCTCTGCAAAAGAAGCAGAAGTAGAGAATGAGGCATTCTGAATTGGTGATTTATTTTGTACCTTTCTGCCGCCTCTTGCGTTTCCTATGCTACTTGCTAATTGAGAAGAATGACGACCTCTGCGAGGCTGCTTTCTGGCGCGTGGATTTGGTGGTGATGACATGGTGATTGAGAGTGGTCGTAAAATACCAAGACGATTAAGGTTGATAGTTCTGTAAAGGGAAAGCATCGAGGTCTAATGTTTGGACTTTTTTAGTTGCTGCATATGTCAAAATTTCTTTGTTTGAAAATTTCCTATTTAGTGAACAAGGCTTGGATCAGCCTTCTTTTAACCTTCTTTCAGCCTTGTTCATCGTTTTGAAATCAACCAATTAATCTCAATATCCACAAAGAGGTTATTTCTCTTGGCCCAGGAACTATGTAAACTTTTCTTGTTGAATCCAAAAAAAAATTATTCTATATTTGGGTAGATACAAAGAAGTTACCTACCAATACTTCATACCATTAATAGATATATCTCGTACTCGCAGATTATTGGCAAGAAGTTTTCAAACGGGATTCTACCAAAACGCCTGGTATCTGCCACCTTTTTCCATGCTCTCCCACATACTCCATGGAAATCGATTGTAAGAAAGCCTGCCCGGTATGCCCCGTATTCCCCATTGAACTCCAAATATCCTATATAGATCTTGATCATGCCTTGTGTTTCTCTTGCTCATGCTTTTTCTCCAATTGTTTCTCGATCAATTCCGCAACCTTCTTCGAATCCTCCTCCATTTCTCCATCACCTTCTCCTTCACCAATTCCTCTCAATGCCCCAAAAATCCATAGTTCCTTCAATTCTCGAGTTAATTTCAATAGGTCCTCTGCTGCACTTGTCTATTCATGTCTTTGTTAGCAATGTTCCCTCAACTCCAAATCGAATTCTATAGAGACTAGGTAGAACAAAATGAAAATAATTCTACCAACGCATTGCTCTCAACCTCCATTCTTAATCCCTCCGCAGCAGCAGTTTCCTTTGCAAAAGCATCTTCAGTAGGTAACGCAGCGAGTACAACCAGATTCTTGAAACGGGTGAGTAAAGCAGCTATCGCACGTTCTTGACGGTCTAGGAGTCTGTTAGCTTTGGACTTGCGTACTTTGACTGTGGCACCAGGTGGATCGATCAATATGACCTGCTTGAACGAGCCGAAGCTTCGTATAATTTCATCACCAGGTTCAAGTTGGAGAGTACCATCCGTAGTAATGGATGTCGCAGATTTAATTGACGACAATCTGGATAGAGAAGGACGCAAAAGATTAGGCTGTGAGGCAGTCGCTGTGACTTCTTCAGGGGGTTTGGAACTTGGTGTCTTCTCATCAACAGATTCGTTGGAGGATAACGTGGAACTTGATGCCATACCATCATCATATGCAACGAGCTGTGAAAGGTCACGGAAATGCTCGCCGTCATCCTGAGGTACGCTGCGGCTGGACAGCGGAGCATCAAGAAAGTCGTCCGTGGTGTGACATACAGCTGATTCGTTGGAGGGACTTTTGAGCCTAGATTCATCACCCGGAGGACCGTAGAAATTGGGATCAGACATGTTGAAGTTGAGTCTTAATAATGTACTTCGCTCTTGTAGCTGTCGTCGCGATGGTGATGGTGATTGTGTCGATTGATTGTGTTGAATTGAAATCATAAGATTTGCAAAGAAATAATTTAAACTTACCAATTAAAGCTGTTGTCGTATGCTGTGTACCTTCCATGGTGAATGAACTATTCAAATAAAGTTTGCAATAATGCGATGCGATACAAAGGTAGAAGTGAATGCGAAGTTCAAGAAAGGAAAGCTCGAATTGATCGACCAATGCAAGGTGCCCCTCTTTTAGCGGGATCCCACTTAAAGTTCACCGTTCCACTGCCCCCCTCGACTCAAACCCCCTTGCCAATCTATTTGATTCGCGCCCCGCAATCCATCATTGTTGTCCTTGTTGTCGTGTCAAAAGTTTTGATTTTTTGGATTCTTAAATACATCGAATCGAGTGCATTCATTATTCTCTACATTTTTACAGTGCAACAAGCAAGTCCTTCAAGATGCAGTCCGGAATAACAGGTATATCAGCAACACAATGTCTACTCAACAGAGGAACTAACAAGCTTCACAAACAGCCTCCCAAGAACTTCACGCGGCATTCAAAACGTTCGTTTCTACAGAATCACAAAGAGGTCTTCTCTGTACAATTACTGGCGAAACTCTCACTCCGGCCGCTATTCTTGAGCCCTCCACTTCATCCTTCGACAATGATCTCAAGCTCCTAGAACCTCATCTACAAGACAAAGCCGCCCTATACATAATACTCCGTCGTTATCCATCTACAGATCCAGCTCCTTTCGTTGTCATAACCTATGTTCCTGATTCGGCGCCGGTGCGTCAAAAGATGCTATTCGCATCTACACGCCTTACCTTGGTTCGAGAACTCGGAATCGAACGATTTCGAGAAACCATATTTGCGACTATGAAGGAAGAGTTGACGCAAGAGGGTTTTGCTAAGCACGATAAGCATGTTAAATTAGCAGCGCCGCTGACAGAAGAGGAGCAAAGTTTGGGCGAGGTGAAGAGGAAGGAAGCAGAAGAGGGTAGAGGTATGAATGAGCGGAAGAGCCATGTCACTAGTGGCATTAGTATGCCAGCTTCGCCAGACGCATTAGAGGCATTAAAAGGACTCGGCCAAGATGGGGCGCATAATCTAGTTCAGCTCGTAAGTTTATTTGTTACCTGAATTTATTAGTATTTAATGGCTAACAAACTTTAGAAAATGAACATCGCGCAAGAAACCATGGAACTTGCTTCCAAGACACAAACGTCTATCTCAGATCTCAGCAGCACTATATCTAACACCGAACCTCGATTCTCTTTCTATCGCTACACTCACGAACACAATGGAACAACCTCTTCTCCAATACTGTTTATTTATACTTGCCCTTCCGGATCGAAGATAAAAGAGAGAATGATATATGCATCATCATCTCGATCGGCTCAACAACTAGCTGAAGCAGAGGCGGGACTCACCATTGAGAAAAGACTTGAGGCTGGATCTCCTGAGGATATTTCTCAAGAAAGTATCGATTCGGATTTACATCCAAAAACAGAGGCAAAGAAAGTATTCGCTAGACCTAAGAGACCTGGAAGAGCATAAATATCTAGGATAGACCTTCAATTCTGACGCATCGTAATGGGATGGAAATTCGCCTTTGATTGAATTTTTAATGGATGCTATGCTGGACTATGCACTCCCTATGTTGAGAACGACATTTATACTAGATAAGAGTTCCTAGGATACCGTATCATACAATGGACATTATGTATCCCCACACGTGGTCTCCATCTCGTATTCTAAATATCTATCCCAAAAAGTCCTTGAACGCCATCTATCTATCCACGTATCCATTCACTCCTCATACTTCCCGCCAAACATCGGCATATCACTATGCTCCAACTTCTCCTTCAAAAACTCATAAACAGTAAACGTAACCGCCTGACCAGGCGCAACCCGCATAATCCGCGGCGTAATCCCCTTGTAAAACGCATGAAATCCTTCCTGTCGGAACATATCCCCCGCAATCGTTTTTATCCTACTCAAAGCTGTTTCTCCGGGCACGCCAGGCGTCTTCTGTAAACGTGTCTTGATGGTGTCGATGGGTGCATTGGAGAGCGGACCCATGGCGCCAGATACTAGACCAATGATGGTGGTTTGGTAGGAGGGAATCGGGGAGTCTGCGTATTGTGGTTGCCATTTTTGGAGGAGTTCTTTGAATTCCGTGTAGGCGGTGAAGTTTACGGCTTGGTTAGAACCTAAACGGGGAGGTTAGTAGGGTGTTTTGATAGGAGGTGGATGATGGAATGGTTGTATGGAGATGCGGGGATTATGAAGAGGTGAGGAGAAAAGTAGCATACCTTGCCGTAAAGCAGTAAGTGATATTCCTCGATATAAAGCGCCGATTCCTTCTTCTTTTACAACGGTGTATAATGCATGTGCCGCATTACGGTATTTGGGAATATCGAGTGGATCGGCCATGCTGTGGTGTTGGGCTTGGAGACGGATCTTTATTACTTCCATAGGTGTTACGACGGCGACGGCTTCCGTTACACCTGCTGCTAGACCGGCTATAGGGAGTGTTATGTTAGCTTTTGTTGTTTTGACATATTATCCTTTACTGTATCCTATGATCTCCCAAATTCTCCAATTCCAGATATTCATAAGAGAATGGAGTTATGTAACGTACCCAAAAATGTAGCTCTTCCAGATACAACTCCCGTCTCCTTGTCGGCTAAAAATCTCTTGTATGCCTCGAAACTTGTAAATCTTATAGCCATCTTTGGTACAATACCAGTTATAACGGCACCAAGTCCTTTGTAGAGACCGAGGGGAGTTTCGCGCTTGATGATTTCGGCACCCGTGGTGATGAAGCCGCGTTTGGGGGCGCCGGGAGCGCGGGCTCGTCGAGAGAGTTGCATGCGGACTTTAATAGTATCTATGAGGTGGAATTAGTTGTTGGTCGAGAGTCGTGTGGTTTGGAAGGTATCAATTGAAGGGGATTTGAGAGGGAATTGACGTACCCAAGGGATGGCATACGAGGGCCTCCATCATTCCCGCTGTTCCTCCAGCTATGTATTGTTAGATATTGTTCATTGGAAACTTTTAGGCCATTGGGTTAGTGACCCACCAACAAGGTTTGTAGCAGCCGAAGCTGGTTTCTTGCCATCTGTGCCTTTAACACTTTTCGCCGACATTTTGGGTATATTTTACCTCTTCTCAGAGGATTAAATGGCTGTGGGAATTGGTCCAATGGATTTCTCTGCTTGAGGCTAAAGCTTCGCAATACTGTTAGGTATATGGATACAACAACTATATGTAGCGGATCTCCTATATCTCTAACATGTGAAGGTACGCTTCTATATCAAGATGTTTGCGGATCCAAGAGATAGATAGAAACAATTCAAAAGCACCTTGCTTTCACGTAAAAAAAGAAAGAGAGTAATATGAAGTAAATAAAATATGAATGTTGATTGCTCGATGGTGAATATATGAGTCTATACCTTTCCGTTTGCGTTCGTTCAACTGGGCCGAGCTATCTTGTCCCGCGGCCCATCCCTCTCCCAAGTCATATTATACTACCACAGTCTTGCATGAATGGAGAAAAGAGAAGGGCGTTCCAATTGAAACGTGCGGAGCCCCGGACTCGGATGGAAGCTTGAGATGCTAAAGCTTGTGCTCGGTCTTGGAGGTGCAAGTTGGTAGCTCGGTTCAACGGATCTGGAATTTAGGGGACGCGGCGCAACGCATAGCTTGGCTTGGCCTGATGTGGAGGGGCAACTGCTCAAGTTTTGTTGTGGAGTGTGATGGATATTTGTGGATTTACTGTGGTTGAACTTACTGTTTGTATGAATGGAGTGGTTGAGGAATTGGTTTCATTGTCGATGTAAGATCTTACCAGATGCAATTGAGACAAAGGATGAATGCGGTTGTGTTATCTGCCATTGTAACAATTCTTTGTTCATCTTGGCTCAAAACTCCAAGCATTGATTTCGAGCATCTGACAGATTTTATTCTCTGCATTGCGTTGTAATGCAGGACCGAGCCTTTTTCTAGATAAAAAAATGATATCTTGAGACGTCTCTGGTTATGTTACCCAAAGCTTGTGATAACGCGGGGTGGGCCAATATCAAATATCGGAGGTGGAATATCTCGGTTCAAGATGTAGTGCCGAGGTACAAATTTTGGCGTGAAGCTACACGTGACTGCTGAGAATCAATCAACATTCAAGTCGGATGGATGAATGGCATTGTAGGATTCTTACGAGCACAATTTGATTGTCTGAGTCATACATTGCTTTCATCGAGCTGAAGGTTCTTTGTTTGTGCCGCCGATAACAAGTCTTACATAGGTGGGTGGTATGTGATCCCAACTCCCACCAAAGTTTCCCCAGCAACACATAACCTTAACAATAGATTCGGGCATTTTCTCTATGGTCAAGGATACTACATATAGATATGCACAGTATCCGCGGGTATTCCATAAAGATCAATCAAACATCACTGATCAACTTTGCCATTGATGTTTGGTATCCAGAAGTTTATATCTTCAATTCGTTCCTTGGCTTGAAATGGTAATCTCACAAAATTACTCCAAACAGATGCACAGACTATCTCCAGACAGGAAGGTAACCCAAAAGATATTGATTACTGGCACTCCTTCCATTGCTCCTACAGGCAAACAGCTTACCACTAGAAATCTCCACAATATGCATGGAGCACAACCAGCGTCAGCGAACCACAAGGTCGCAAATGGATTTTGTATGCATGAGTGTACATGCATGTCACTCATTCCCATGTACTAATGAGGCGAATGTCAGCACAACAGTGTTTCCTTATCCTTTGTGTTTATTTTATTTTATTCTCTTCTATCTTCAATCTTCAGATGTGATTTTGTGTTGAAAAAATATAGCACGGCTTTGGCTGTCTATATTGTCGATATTTGCTTATTTCTTGCTTTCCCTGTACAGTGTACAGTGTGTTTGCGACAAGATGTTAGAAGCGGGTGTGGAGGATGAGGAGTTGCGGTTTGCGGATAGATTGGATGAATTGGATCAACTGGATTATATCGATGAGGAATTTCTCGAAGATAGCGAGGCTTCTTTGCTTCGAGAATCGGATGAGACAGAAAAAGACGTGACGGAAGTTGCGACTTCATATTTAATATGTCTCGCCATCAGTACTGGAGGGTAAAATACCCCGCTTTGGAAACACATCTTATCGTCCATTGCTTATATTCGATAGACTTCAAGTGATTTGGACTGCCATTATGTCCCAAGGCTCTGTAAGGAAAATTTCTGCTTTTTTCATATCAATTATCATGCGCGTAGCTAATTGTCCAAGCCATACTTGGTTTCACTCTCAGTTCCCAGCTACCTCATCTCCTTAGTTTGGCTCGCTGGACCCCTCTCCGGCGCCATTGTTCAACCATACATTGGCATTCAATCTGATCGCTGTCAACATCATCTTGGTCGCCGCCGCCCATTCATTATCATCGGCACTATTGCAACAATTATTTGCATTCTCGCACTTCCTTGGACTACCGATTTGATCACTTACATCTTTACCCTGTTCGGCGATTCCCCCTTCGGTCCTGGTGCAATGATATGTAAAGGTTTCATGGCTGCTGCTTGGATATGGGCTTTGAATATTGCAATCCAACCTGTGCAAGGAGGACTTAGGGCAATCATCGTTGATTGTGTTCCACCGAAACAGCAAGTCCGGGCATGTGCATATGCCAGTTCTGCTGCAGGAATTGGATCAATTTTAGGATACACTGCTGGTTACATCTCTTTACCCAAGTATCTACCTTGGCTTGGAGATACACAATTAAAAGGACTCTGTCTAATTGCTTCCGTGGCATTGGGCTCAACTGTTGCGGTAACTTGTTTTACTGCGAAGGAAAAACGTTTTGTTAATTTGGATGCAGGGTTCAAAAAACAGAGTTTGGCCGGGACATTTCGCCAAATATTTGGAAGTATAAAGACATGTCCAAGGGAAATGAGAAAGATCTGCATGGTTCAGTTTTTTGCTTGGGTTGGCTGGTTTCCATTTTTATTTTATATTACTTCGTGAGTTCCAGATATGCCCACCTCGTGACTTTTGATTACAATACTAATTAAACGAATCAGATATCTAGGTGGTCTTTGTAAGTATTTGCAACACCTAACATTAACCAATAGCTAATTTAGCGTCATTCAGATGAAGTCGAATACACCCCCATATCCAAAAAAGCAACACCTACTCTCACATTCCCAGCCACCTCACCTCTTCCACCGTCACCTCATTCAATCCGGCATGCAACATTCATCATGATTCTCTTCGCCGTCGTCGCACTCATCTCGAACTTAACACTTCCTATGTTTACCTCCGCTCCCTCCAACAAGTCTAAACACCAGAAACCGACTTTTTTGGCCCGTTTCCATGTCAAATCCCTGACGCTACCCCGTGCCTGGACACTCTCTCATCTCCTCACCACCCTTCTAACCATCTCTACCTTACTTACTCCGACCTTCGTCACTACCTCAATCCTCATCATCTTCCTCGGTATCTCCTGGGCTATCACCGCCTGGATTCCTTTAGCTCTCATCTCCACCCAAATCTCCCAATCCCAGACTCAATCTCGATCTCGATCTCGATCTCAGCCCCACTCCACTACCTCCACCTCCTCCATTCCCCTTTCCCCAATATCTCAACCCACCTCACCTTCTCACAAAAAATACAGAGCCCGAGAACCACCACAAGCAGGCACAATAATGGGCATCTACAACATTGCAATAGCTCTCCCACAAATCATCGCCGCCGTACAAGGAAGTATCATCTTTTGGGTGTTGGGAGAAATGGGAATTGTGGGCACGGAAGCAATGGGTTGGGTGATTAGGTTGGGTTGTTTGGGGAGTATGTTTGCGGCTTGGTTGGCGGATGGTTTGTAAGATCTATGGTTTGTGGGGGATATTGAGGGTTTCCGGCGGTGCAGGAGTATATGGGATGTGGTGGTTGATTTAGTGCATGTAATCTTACCATTGGAAATGTTGTAGCAGGCTTGTACGGGGTTGAGATTGGTAGTTTATTATAAATGATAAATATATATTTCCAAAGTTTCCTTGCCTTATCTGTTACCTGGTTTTAGCATTAGTATTAACCCCCTCTCTCATCTATTCCATTCGTATTATTTTCCCGCTACCTTTTCTGCGCCTCTAGCACTCTTATTATCATGATGTATAGGCTAAATTGTGATGGAATATATGAGTAGAGAGGAGTGGAAGAATAATGTTTGGAGTCATAAGTTCTTGGCCGTTATTTCACAACTACAAATCCGTCTGCCTAATAAAGAATCGTTTAATAGATACTATTTGATATAAAATATTAGTCACATAATCATAAATCTCAATCATATCCTTGACCTTGCTGTATATATATATTGTGTGAGTGGTAGAGTGGTCTGGTAGTATGTATATTAACTAATATATAATTATACGGCGGAACCTTATCAGGAGATTTTTCAGAAGTATTCATGGGTTTTGATGACTTGATTGCCTTATCTCTCTTGGGACTCTTTGACGTGGAAATAATAGAAGGACCGGCAGTTTGACGAAGGATGAGAGGAAAACGGAGGATTTCACTCAGTTTCGAAAGCCAAAATTACAGAAATTGATAATGTGTGATAGATAGTGAAATGAAATGAAGCTGGGAGCTTTCATGTAGAAAATTAGATGCTATAAAATGCTTTCAGTCACTTCAAACCCAACCTTCACTTGCATTATATTTTTATTACCATTATGCATATGATGAGTTACCTCTCTATACATTATCTTCTTTTTTGAGCCTTTTTGCACGATCTTCACGGGATAATGCAAAAGGAAAAAGAAGTGGGTGTAAGGTTTTTTGTTAGCCTCTTGAGTGTGGTCTTGGAACCATTTGAATCTTTTTGCCTGATCTTCACAGGATAATACAAAACGGAAGAGAAGTGGGTGTAAGGTTTTTTGTTAGCCGCTTGGGTATGGTCTTCGAGCCTTTTGAGTCAGACTTGCTATCTAGAGAATCGGGCAAATCGAAGTGAAGTGCAAGTTCTGGCTAGGACTTGTTGAGACTCGTTGAAACTTGATTGGCGGACCGGGAAAACTATTACTTGTTCAAATGATTTTGTATTTGTGTTTGAAGAGAACTTATTACGTGATTATATGGCCAGCTCCGGTGGAGCTTAGCTATGACTTCGAGATACTCCTGAATCCGGTTTTCGGAACGATGTTTTGATTGACACCTCGTGTACCTGTTTAAGCAAAGACCAGCTGTGAAACTACAAGCTTGCAGCAATAACCTATTCTATGAAGATCTGAGGTGAGGCGAACTAAGTAACCGGAGACCCTTGATTTTCGCTGTCAAAGTTCACCTTGCGTTCCTAGCGGCTGGTCCAAGAATTTTTTTTCTTGGGATGATCATGACATGCTCCAGCTTTCAAACACGTATCTCTATCTTTTGTACCAAGTCAACAGATCTTCATTGGTACACTCCAGTAAGTTCCGGAAGGTAAAAAATCACTATTTAAAAGTTTTCCCGAGGATAGAAAACTTCTAACTAAGCTGTGCAACAGGGCTCCACGGAGGGGACTATTATCTATAATGGGTAATCCATAAATAATCTATTTGCAAGACAAATAATTAAAGAATCTGAATAAATAATTAAAAAATAATTTATAGATTATTTACAGATATTTATCGATTCGTGAATAATCTATAGATCTATAACTAGATAAATTATCTACAAATTATCTATCGAAATAAATATTCGTTTAAATTTTGAAATTATTTCTATAATTTTTTTATTACTTTTTATACTAATTTCCATAAATTATATATATTATATTTATTTATAAATTAATAAATTATTTATAGATAATCTGTAAATAGTCTATATGATATAGATTATTTTAAAATCCTAATAGGGCTCCACAGAACGGATTGTAAGCCTAATAGATAACCTATGGGGCAGATAATCTATGTATATCTACAATTCGTGGGTAATTTTTGCACAGCCTACTTCTAGCTATGCTGAATTTTCCGGCTTGTAGAATCACCTGGCCAATCTCCAGCTTCATACTACATAATAGCTTCTATACTATCGAAAGTCTAACTTTGTATAGTTCTTCCCATTTTGTCGACTCGTGATTGTCACTTTTTTTTCTCCTGACGCCGTTTTCCGTAGCTCTTTGTCAGAATCGAATCTTGGTCGTCTAAATCTATCTGGCGAGGGGCTTTAGCGAGCGATTAGCTTTTTGACTAATAACAAGCGCGAAAAATTACCCCAAAAGTAGTCGAGCATTATGTGCACAGACGGCTTGTAACAATATTCGAACGACAATCATGATAAGAATCTTGAGATACTATGATACTTGGCGGGATATTTGATAAATGAAACGGTGAGAATATGCAGATTTGGAAAGTTTAATTGGAGGCTAAATTAGTTATGATTTTTAGAATTTGAATTATGTTTTATCGATTTGTGTACAACTGTCGCGAATAGTACATGCTTAGTGTTAATTCATACATGTTCTGCCCTAATCTCCAGACTAATCCCTAGACTAATCCCCAGACTCATTAAAATCAGGGTTTCTAATTGTGGGGTCTATTAGCCCATATTCCTTATGATATGAAAATTTTCATGATGGTAGAAACTAATGGCGCATTTTCAATAGTTATGAGATGCATTCGATGATCTGAGGGGCAAAATACCAAGCGGCTAATACAAGATAAATGTGCGCAGAATCTGATGATCTGATTGCAGGTATTCTCCATCAAAATTGATGGATAGTACGCATCTTACTCTTGGTCTCTCTTCTATAGAACAAGAGCCAAAGAAAATGATTGAGCGTAAAAGCTCCGCAAAGCTCATTTCCCTTGGCTAAGTATAATTGCGGAAATCTCTTCATGACAGATACGTGTGACTCACCCCTGCTTGATTCGTGAATTCCGATAACATTGGCAATGTGGCCAGATAAACGGGGTGTAGAGTACAAAGTTTTCCGTTCAGGTATGGAGGTTAGCTACAAGTATTACGAATGCAGTTACTATTGGACAGCTCTAGAAGACGGCGACAAGATAGTCGTGATAGTAGGGCGCTCTGAGGGGCCCTCGATAGAAGATTTGAGCACTTAATTTCTATCTGGACTGGGCACTTTCTATCTAGGCTGGTCAGTAGTGAAATCTTAGGTCGCCGCGCCAGGGACTCGAAGGGTACAAAAGGACCAGTTTTTCCCTCTTCTTTCTTTTCCAATCTCAGTCTCACTTCAATCAACTTTTACCTTACAATCACGCCTTACAATCACACCACCTAACACCTACTACAAAGCTTTCAAGGTATGCATCCCCCTCTTCTCCGTTTGAACTTAGTTGTTTGATTGTAATTTGTGCTCTACTTTCAGTTTACTGTTTGATTGTAATTTGTGCCTTACTTTCCATTTATTGTTTAGTTGTAATTTGTGCTTTACTTTGAGTTCATTGTTTAGTTGTGGCTTAATTATTCATAATGTCTTATCATTCCAGTTTAATTCGTACATTGTATCCATCTAATAGTATCTAAACCATAAATGTAGATGTCCGGATTTACCTTCCACTTCGATAATCCTGTCATCCGCGGTAGTCGCTTCCTTATCCGCGCCACCTTGGGAAATCACCCCTACTTTCTTGCCAACTGGGATGGAGCCGTAGCCACCTCAAGAATTGTACCAACTCCTGGTGGCGGCATCGAGCTCATTACGATAAGGGTTAACGGACAAGCCGTCGCTTTTGAGATGGATTCTTTCAATGCTTTAGAATGCTTCGAATTCCTCAATCGTCGACTACCTCCAGCTCTCCGACCCGCCCCGATAAGTCGCGCTGCGGAGATGCAGATATTGTACCTTTCGCGCCACTTCGGTTAAACTCGACAACCGTAGGAGCGCAACTCCCAGCTCTCGACAATCGACTACACTAGCGCCTCTTGTTTTTTTGTGGGTATTTTAAAGGGAATGGGAAGGGGGAAAGGTGGGAATGGAGGGAAGGTGGGGAGGGGAGGGAAGATTGGGGGCAAGGAGAGGAAAATTTGGAATAGGGAGTTATGTAAATAGCGATTTACGAGTGGTTGAGGTTTCCCCACAGGGGTTTCCCTCTTCCGTTAGTAGCGAATGTCGCTCGTACCAATATGAGTTTTTTCAATTAATTTGGTCCTGATGCAATCTGCTTGGTGACTCGTGACATAAAACCTGTGTATAATTAAGGCTTAAAGAGATTTTCGCCAATTAAACCGGGAAGCTTTTAACTGCTTTTGAATTTAGATGTGAGCCTTGGTCACTTAGTCCATGTATTAGTCATCTTTAGCTAGTCTTTGGCAGCATACGCCTTTAAGACTCTGAACACTAAGTTATATGATCCACAGACAGTCTCTGAGTACTGTTGTCAAAATCTGAAGCAATGTACATCATATATACACCGGCGCCATAGGCTACACCCCTATTGTTCATATTGAAAATCTTCCAAATTTAGTTCAGCTTGAAACATACCGACATTCCTATAAACGAAATAGGGCTCTCGATCTGCGCGCAACTATCTACTCGATGAGTAAAAAAACCGCTGCCCGGCTTCCACCTTCTTCGCCTATCCACTGCACAATTATTTCGTCACTCAACCGGTACGAAATGAAGAAATGATAGTCGATCGAAGAAAATATACACACGAAAACTGAAAAGAGTAGCAATGGCAATTGAAACCTTTCCGCCCTTTTAAGGCCGGGGACCCCTCCGTGGGTTTTATTAGAGGACCCGTTGTAACACTCCCGACCGCTAAGCCACATGCGCCGCCATGCTTTACTTTCAATTCGGTATGTCGTGTTTGTCGATGCGATGGTGTTGTTATTTGAGTTTATATTTTACAGCTGCTTTCCATTTTGGACAGGAAATCGGGCACAACACGTGCTAGATAGGACACAGAACATATTGATCGAAGAAGGGTTTCTGTTTTTGAACAAAATGAATTGCGCTATTCGAAACCATTGTTGTTCAAATACATCTTCTTCAAATCGGGCAATCGTACCATGATTGAGCAAACCGCACTGTCTCTCATTCATGGTCGCTAGGCACGAGATTTTCAATCAAAGACACTCCATTGTGTCGGATAATTTGGTGCATTCGGTTCTCGGAAACACACATAACAGCTACACAGTATAAAACACTTCCATCACTGTATGGATTGTCGCGGATAGCCATTTATCCACATCTAAGGATCACGTGAATAATTAAGAATCAAGAGACTGTGGAGAGAGTAGTAATTGCCAGTATAAAATCTTCAAAAGAGACAACACGTAACTAACACGTGCAACACGTACTCATGCTTTTGGGCCTCATTTCATCCCCTTCCACTTGGATGACGACAAGCATAGTGAATCAGCGAAAGATAGAGGTAATAGAATGGTGAAAAATCCATTTATGCAAACGGCAAATAATCAAACTCAGCTGCGGATGGACAAGGGGTTGTTGTCATCCATTGAAGCTACGCTGCAGATGCATACAAATGGAATTCGATACCTAAGTATGGAAAGACACGGCTGGTGTGGGTCCAAAGACTCTGAAAACAATAGCAGAAGGTTAATAGACGTTAAAGTATTGCCGTCTTGACCTGCATAGTATATATCCGTGGAGAATCTGTATGGTAAGGTGGTAGGTATCACATGGGGCGGTGATTTCAGTACAAGATTGAGACTCAGTTGAGATCAAAGAATCATAGATTTGGCCGTAGCTGACGCTGGGGAAGTGGAGCAATATACTATTTGGGCAAGCATAAGATACGATACTTCTACCAAAGTCACTGTATTTCAGACACTTAAAACTAGTAAGCTTCCTTCTCATGTCGTCGTGAGGTAGGACGCTTATTAAGCAAAACGGCCATATCGGCCGCATCGGCCGCACCAGCTCTCAATATCAGTTTAATTAAATCCTCACGAAGTTCACCACAATAATGCTCAACCATGCGACGCGTTGTAGTAACAGGCCTCGGAGCCATAACACCATTGGGCGTAGGGATCCGACCGACATGGAGTCGCCTTCTTGCAGGAAATAGTGGCATAGTTTCTCTTCCCTCGAATTATTTCGAAGCCTCACAGCGAGAAAGTCTACCAAGCACGGTTGCTGGTTTGGTACCGTGTGGCAACGAAGGGAAAGATCCATGGCGACCTTCGGATTGGTTAGAAAAAGGAGAGGACTCACGAATGGCCAAGTTCTCACAGTATGCGATTGCAGCTACAGAAATGGCACTTCAAGATGCTGGGTGGAAACCGCAGAAACAGGAGGATAAAGAATCTACTGGCGTTTGCCTTGGTAGTGGCATTGGGGGTTTGGATGAGCTTTATACGACAAGCAAGAACTATTCCACGATGGTAATACTTCATCTAATTCATTAAAAATATTAATTGAAATCTGTTATAGGGCTACAAATCAGTGTCTCCCTTCTTCGTACCGAAACTTCTCATAAACCTAGCAGCGGGTCACATTTCAATGAAATATGGATTCGAAGGTCCAAATCATGCAGTTACGACCGCTTGCACAACTGGCGCACATTCAATTGGTGATGCATCTCGGTTTATTGCTTTTGGCGACGCAGATGTGATGATAGCTGGTGGTTCTGAGTCTTGCATACATCCGTTAGCTTTCGCCGGCTTTGCAAAAGCTCGTTCACTCGCTCGCCAATACAACGATGATCCCACATCATCCTCTCGCCCTTTCGATCGAGATAGGTGTGGTTTTGTTATTTCAGAAGGAGCTGGGGTCGTTGTTTTGGAGGAGTTAGAACATGCTAAAGCTCGCGGAGCTGAAATATATGCCGAGGTTCGTGGGTATGGTTGCAGTGGTGATGCATATCATATTACCGCTCCTAAAGAAGATGGAGCTGGCGCATTTTTAGCCATGAAAAGGGCTCTCAAGAATGCCGGAATTGCACCACGAGAAGTCGATTACATTAATGCTCATGCTACAAGTACACCTCTCGGTGATGCTGCTGAAAATGCCGCCATCACCAGGTTGATGCTTGGAGAGGAAGGGGTTGACACCCCAGGTAAAATTGCAGTCAGCAGCACCAAGGGTGCTATTGGACATCTGCTAGGTGCTGCTGGTGCCGTAGAAGCTATTTTCTCAATCTTGGCATTGAAAGAGGTACGAAATAATGTTCATATGTAATCTTCTGTTTACTGAATTCCTTTTAGAACATACTTCCACCCACACTAAACCTACACAATCCAGACGAAAACATGAATTGTAACTATGTCCCTTTGTCGGCACAAAGGAAAGAAGTCAAGGTTTCATTGTCTAATAGCTTCGGCTTTGGTGGCACAAATGCCTCGCTCGCGTTTTCGAAATACGGTTGATGTATGAAAGCGTAGTGTGCTTTATTTTCGTGCCCGGCCTCATACTACATGCCCCGAGTCATAAACCTTTCTTTGTATACCCGGCTCAGGGGTCGTTTTCAATTCCAACAGGTACGAATTCGGGGTGCCAGCCAAAGCTTTATATGGGCCTTCGCCATAAGGTCGTAATTATTCAGGAGCCAAATCACCTGCACATTTTATGCTTCGTCGGATTTGGTCAACGCAATAATACGAGAGGATATAAGTACTCAGCACTGCCAACCTCAAAGTTACCAATATGGACAGCCTTTCGTTGTTCTGGCAGGTCGACATGCCTGTCGTGCTTATAATGTACTAGGAAGAGTGCTTTGCGGATCGTTCTGGTGGAGTATTAATTTAGGCTCATGTCAAAAAATAAGGCCATCAACCAAAACAATGTAAGGAGTGCACAATCTCAAGTCTGGTGCTCGTAAGATTTTCAGTCTATATTAGCATCGGGTGTGTGTAAGTTTCATCCTCAGAAGTAGTACCCTCAACTTTCACAGAGCTTTCCTGTCGGGATGCTTTTTCCTCGATGATAACATTATAATGATTTCCAGAATTGATTCACATACTTCACAGTCTGGCGCTCCAACATGCCGAGGTATTGTTAATCTGGCTTTGGGTAATTCTTCTTTGGCTTTTAGCTATAAAAGAGGACCGATAAGGTTACTTTTTCGTCTCGATTTTTGCTATGGCTGGACCTGGACCATTACCAGCTACTTTCATTATCAAGAATCGACTTTTGATTACGCCCTCCGTATTGTAGGAAAAATCTTGCACAGGTCGTCAATTTTGAAACATGGTCGCGGAAACAATGTTGGTCAGCCAAGAGTTATTGTCAACATATCCCATGATCTTTGTTTTGATTTTTTCATGCAGTCCATCCTTGTGTCCAGAGGAGTACGAATGGTTATCAAAGTTCAATATCCTGCACAAGCCTGTTCTTTCGAGGAAATGACAGTGTTTTATCTTTCGTTTCGCACTGGCTAAGATTATCCGCCTGTCTCGCTTAAGATCATATATCACGTGCAGGCGAGGAGTTCATGGTGAAAGTAAACTTTTCAGCCAAAAAGTCATTGTATCACGTCGATTGGACGTTACAGTTTTTAAACCAATGTGGGAGCCATATGTCATACCTACTATTGTTACACAATTCTGTTAAACCACCCGCATAAGGAAGTCATGAAGAAAATGAGATTTTTGTACAGCCATTTGACGCACCAGATCCTTCCCGAATTAAACACATGAGACAGTCAATCCCATTGTGAGACTCGTGTAACTGGTAGAATTTCAGTAGCTACGAGGATAATAAAGTGTCTGTACTGATCATTTTAGGAAGTCTCGTCGATCTCTATCATCGTGCATGCACTTCCGTACTGCACCAATCCCACGTTTTATTTACAACATACATAAAAATCTTATCTTATGATCAATAATGTACCATTTCTTGCCATTTAAGGCGTTCTTCAAGAAACTCCCGAGGTAGACAGGGTTTTATGCCAATGCGATTATCTTTTTAAATATTGTACAAGCCATACTACCATACCAGGACTCTCCTTACTCTAGCACCGAGGAGATTCAGCTCCGCCATCTTTACAAGAAGAAGGAGTAGACTGGGTAAGGGTAAGAAATTTTGGGTTTAACAGTAGCTCGTTTATTTCGTGCAAGGATGCAGGGTAGGCACAGGATGGTATCGGTCCACAAGTGCTTAGGTACCCCGATTAAATGCTATAATTCGGTGCTGTTGTCCGTGAAGTAGAGCTAATTCTAATGTGGTATATCTGCACCACCACCGCATCCAAAAAACAATTTTCACAAAAACAAATACCAGTCACACTTTTCAACATGCTCTCCTATGTCATAGTAGTGCTTCTAGGACTCGCCATTTTTGATGGTGTGGGATGCCTACCCATTTTGGTGAGCTTTTTTCCTCCTTCTAGGTATCTGATTTTGTGCTAAAGGTAGAAATGAGGAGAAGCACTCACTAATAGTGTTTATATCATAGAAATCCATCGAATCAGTAAACCTAAACATAGACACAATCCGCCCCCGAGACGACGCGCCTCTCGATAGATCCTCAGTTCTGGTCAAGTCAGTTATAGGTACCGTGGGTCTCATTGTGAAAGATGGACGTGACGATTTACCTGTCGGCAAGAAGGCACATAAAATCAATGGTCGCGGTAATCCAAGCCCTCCCGCCACTCTCGATGACGATGATGAAGATACAATAATCGAGAAAAAATATACGCCTAGTCTAATAGGGAAAGTCATTATAGAAGCACGCGATAGAACATCTGCATCGCCGCACGTCACGCATTCGGAGAAGAGAGAATCTGCAAGTCACAGTCGAGCCAAAAATATGGTTTCTCCTGCTACTCTAGATGGACAAGGCTCTTAATTTACCGGTGATTTTTCGAGTCTAATAGTAGCTCCACTGCGGGTTATTGATACCACGTGAAGTCCACAAGTGGACGGTCCTTCTGTTTCTTCTGCGGAGGATTCAATTCATGCTGCAATAATAATTACCGAGAATCCAACTGTGACAAATAAAGGGCTGGATGCAAGAGATGAAGACCTTTCGATATTACAGAACATTGCGGTTATAGTTTCAGTGGTTGATGATGTGAAGAATATCTTGTAATTTCATGTTTTGGGAAGAATGTGAGACTGGAAGGGATTGGAACTGGTGATATTTGGTTTATGGAGGGAGAGTGGGAAAAATTTTGGGACAAAAGAATTGGTCCAGAAGCACAGTTATTGAAGGAGAAAGAGCACAGGCTGCACTTGACGATACTTACTCGGAGTAAGAATTGATAGGCATGGGCAAGACACAGTGTTTATTTGATATGCATATATACATGGATAAGATTATCTTGAGATTCTAGGATTGGTCATATACCGCGTGGCTATGAAGCTGACATTTATTGGGATTAGCTCTTCGATTCGCTATTTGCAAGCTTGTACTCATTATATACGGAAATCGGTCGTCAGAACTCTGTAAGCAGAGTATGCAATCCTCTTTCAAATAGTCAAGTTGTCAATCCATTAGTCTGCACCATGAAAAACCAAGAAGACTACCTCACCGTCTTCTCATACCATGCATGAGGTGCGCTAACTAGTGTAGTATTATCACTCATTTGCTGTGATCGTCATCATTGCGCGCGAATGAAAAGGTCAGCGGTCTAATTATAAGACTACTTCAATCACGACTTTTAAAAAGAATTTGAGTTTTATTCTATACAGTTCATGCTATATGCTACGGATTGACAGATTCTCTTACGTGAATCGAAATTGATCTCAAATAATCATTGCATTCTGCTCACCAGTATAAAATTTGGTGATCCTGGGGCTTTAAGACATTTCTCTCGCTTCTTTCCATTTCTCCTCTAGATGATCTCTAATGAAAGAGACATTTCGTACTAGGTTGTTAGCCTAAGTTTGTAGGTCTGTGGATTCTGAGCCTAACATTGTGGATTTTGGTAAATTGTGAGCTTAGGTTGTATAAGTCTTGATACACTGTAGACTTAAATAGGGTTTGAGAGTTAGGCCAAGAGCCTTACTTGTGGGAAAGAAGAAATACTGAAAAATGTTATGGTTTAGAAAGGAAAGTCCTTGAGGGGCTGAGGCGGCTGGTCTTTGGATATTATTAGTGCAGTACTCTTACAATGCTTTCGGCGGACCTTCCACCTCTCTTCAAAATTAAATACCAGTATTGCGGGCGTAGTATAGTCGGAAAATCAAATAAAATGTATGGTAAAGATATTATGATCTCAAAATTAAGTTTTCTCAAAACGTACTAGCACCGTCAAATCAGGTCGCTAACCCTAAGATGAATTCCCAAACTCAAAATCTAGTCGGCCTTAATATGCATGAACTGATTTGCAATGCACGGATACTTGTTAAGATATGAATTTATGGCCAATAATAATCATAGATTATCGCTCTGGATGCCCCGACAATTGCCACCCATTGTGATCACTCTAAGTCAACTCTCTACTACCACGTTTTCAGCATCACTTCCTCCATTCATCATATAAATTCATTATAAATCTAGCTAGGAAAGAGAAGAGTCTCAGGTGCTGGAGCTGTTTTGATTATTGAATCTAAAGTCAGTCTATAAAGCCCTACTCCTTTATAATCCTCTCGGGACAAGGTTGTTCCTAGGAAAGCTCAGATTAATAAATTCCATAGCGCTTACCAGTAATTGAAATAGTCGAGGAAGATTTCACCCCGCGACCTTCTAATCTTAACTATCTCTAAAATCCTCATCAAACCTGTCAAGCACTTTTGTTGCATGTCTACAGTCTTATTTACCATGTGCATCCTAACAATTACTCGTGCACTAATCTAGTAGTATCAAATGGCTTCGATAGCTTCTTCGCTCCGTTAAGCTCTATTGCTCTGATTCTAGATCTTTAGACAGATCTCGAGCTAACCACCAAAGTTCTCGCTAGCATCACTTGTACTCCGAATGAAATCTAAATTCGTTCCTCAAGCCTTTGTGTTGCATATCTACAATGTTAAATTATAACGAGCATCCCAGCAAGTATTCGAAAAGAAAAATTCTAGTAGTATTTGAATAGTTTCGATAGGTCCTTACTCCATGTAACTTCCACAACATTTTTCCGATCTGAGATGATGGAATAAGCCTTAAGCTAACGCTCAGAGCTCTTCTAGTATTCCCATTGTTCCAGATAAAGTTTAATTACAATCCTCAAGCTCTTTTTTTGCGTCCTCTCAGATTCCCCTGTTGCAAGGTTCATCCTGAAAACTGCACAGGTTAGGTCTATAGTAGCATGCCGTGACTTCTCAAAATTCTCACGATTAGGATAAATTAGCCGAGATAAGCCGACACTAACACACAAATTCCCCTTGACGTCACCATCCATCCCAAATCAAATCTAACGACTTCTCTGACAAAGTTTTCTTGCATACCCAAGATAAATTTGCGAATCATAATCACAAATTATAACTATCCCAGCGAAACTTACTATCCAAAACTCCCCACATTTATTGATCACCCCTTATTTTCAAAAGCATTCCAATCACTGTTGCAGAACACATTTAAAACTTTTTGCACATCTAGGCCTCCAAATTGCAAGGATACTCCTAACAAGTTCTAGATGGTCCCTAGGAATCGAATATACTATTTTAGATGCTGTAGCTAATTAGGTGTCCTAACAGCTAGGTGGCAGCTAGGTACCAGTGCGGGAACACTTACCTACAATATACTCCAATCGCAGCCTTTAGAGTTTTATAAACAGCTTTGTTGCACATCTAATTTTCTGACGGGAGGATGCATCCCAGAAATTGTTTGGGAAGCATCGGATAAGAACATGTCCGGTAGAATCCATAGTTGCCAGCACTGAACTAGAGCCAATCAATTCATTATACTTGGACCAATATTAAACTATTATACTGGAATTGAAGGCCTGGAACTGTTTTTCGCACATCTACCTTTTCATATAACAAGGTGCATCCTAACGAGTGTTCAAATAGTATTGGGCAAAATCCATACGTTAGATATTACTAAATCTAACAGCCAATCTAGCAGGGGTACTTAGGCACTTGCTAAAATAATATACTGCAATTGTAGTTAAGAAATTGTTTTGTTGCACATCTACTTTTCAAACAGCAATGTATATCCAAGCAAGTGTTTATACAGTAATAGAAAAGATTTGTACGGTAGAACCTATAACTAAAATTAGTGAGCCAATCTAATGGCTTATTAGGTTAATCCAACACTTGCTTGAATAGGGTACTACAATGACAAATCAGAAATTGCTCTTTTGCATATCTATAATTACTTATAACATGGCTCATCCTAAGAAGTATTCATGTAGTATTCATCCCCCGATAACCACTTCAAAGCTACCGATGAAATACAGTCATTGAAGGATCTACACACCAATCATATTTCCGTTAAAGATTTGTTGCATATCTGCAGTTACCATTTAACAAGAAACACCCTGTCAATCGTGCTCGAAAGCTCAAATACAAAGAAATAGTCTAGGTAATAGCTCTGCCACTACTTTGAATTCGTTGATTGGCGTCCCTTTCTACTTAAGTTTATCCAATAGCCTGTAATAAAGGATGTATTAGCTGATTTGGGCTATATATTCAAGTTTGCATTCATAGAGGAGATAGTTGGATATCCGTTGACATTGGGAAGCCGGACCAGGACTTGATTGTAAGTCTAGTTTTCTAGCGTGAATTATTGAACCGGTTTTTCTTTTCAGATATATCTTTAGCTTTTCAACACTTTTTCATGTGTATATCTTATGATTCGATCATGTAATAATTATACAGTATATTCATTTGTATTCTATGATTAATATAAGTCTAGTACCCCTCTTTTCGGCCACTCTTTTACACCAAAAATCGTGATTTTCAATTATTAATAACTTTACAACTAATGAATATAACCTGATAAAATTTGAACTATAGATTCATCATATAGTTATTGATAGATTGTGAAAATTTTTGAATTTCTTTTACTGATTTCGTTGAGATCTGAAAGGTTAAATTTTTGAATTTTTAATTTATATAGGATATACATACAAATTTGAAAAATTATTAAAACCTTTAATAACTTTTCAACAAAAATAATTAAAAATAAACTTTAAAATTTTTTCAAATATGTATATCATAACCAATCATATATATCAATTTATTCTCAAAAATAATTTACAAAAATGCTTTTAAACAAAATATTATAATTTTTAATCTTTGTAAAATCTAAAAATATCAATAAAAGTTTATAATTTATAATTTAAAATTTAATATTCAAAATTATTCAATTAATTATAATATAAATATTCAAAAAAGATTTATAGTTTATTTTTTATAATTTTTATTGAAAAGTTATTTCAAGTTTTAATGATTTTCAAATTTGTATATAAATCTTATGTAAATTGAAAATCTGTTACGGAAATCACGTACTCTCATATGATTTTACGTGATCTCTAACATCATAGTACTCACTCACTTATGTTTTCCTTATATCTTATCAATATCATATAATCATATCGATCTTACCGTTCTTTACAAAGCTCTATCTATCTAATCTATATCCTTATCAGAATAATCGTCAATTAGATAATAGATTAGATCTTATATATATGTAGCCCTTGATCAATAAGATCAAGGACAAATCTATTCATTTCAATACAATTATATATACTCATGTACTATTCCTATCAAGATTGTTTTATATACTTTGTGATCATATTATTCGTGATAAAATCGTAATTTCTACTTTCAATTTCTTAGTTAATAAAATCATGAAAAATCTGAAAAATTTAGAATCTATTAATAATTGTATAATAAATCTGTAATTAAAGTTTCAATTGATTTCATCTATTTGTTGTTGAAATATTAATAATTGAAAGTGATGATTTTTGATGTAAAAAGGTGGTCGAAAAGAGAGGTTCTAGACTTATCTCATCTAGTTCAAAAGCCTAGATGGTTATCTGAACTTTTGAAATTTAGATTCATTAACTGAAATTTTCATTCAATTTATTTCAAATAGTACTATATAATTCGAAATTTTTTATGAATTAGTTGTTCAAATACCGCCGGAAATTAGATGATAAAACGATTGATTACTAGCTACTTCACCTTTTATCCAAGTCTCCTCAGGAACCTGCCAACCATAAACTTTACATAGTTTTGTTGCACATCTACTTTCCATATTGCAAGGTTCAACCCAACAAATCTTTATACATAGTGTAAAAGTGGTAGGTCGAGATACGTGCGTCCCGATAGCACGCTGTGAGGAGGAATTGGAGAGAAAGCTGAATTAGATTACATTGTAATACGTCACTTATGGGTAAAACGAGGTTCACAATGGTTTTAGGGTTGATGCTATATGGGTTCAAATGTATATATATAGAAGGTTGATTCTTGTGAAAAGAAGAGGCAAAAGGCTCTTCTTTTATATCTAACTATAGAAGGTCATGTGATTGACTAGTTAAAACCTTTATGTATTTGGCCTATAATTCCAACTTTCTCACAATAGTATTCAGCTTTGGTGATCGTTCACATTATGATGCTATACTATTCAAACCTAGACCTCATTAATTTATATCTAATCCAAACTTTCTTCAAGAGTATGTAGTCACACAATCTAAGACTTAATATTGCACATCTATATCTCTATATTACAAGGCTCACCCCAACAAGCCCTCACACACCATCGATCATCGCCCTTTAGCTCTTCCCATGCTTTAATATACAATTCATACCAAATGAAAACTACTTTCTCCCCAAACCCGAATATCTTCAAGTGTACCCAATCAAATCCCTCAAACAATTCTGTTGCACATCTAAAATTTCAAATTATAGTATATCCCAACAAACCTGTATAATCCACCCACTACCCATCCATCCAACCTCTTATCATCTTTAGTTCCATCCCCGGCCAGGGCTTTCAATGACCCCTTTGTTACTATTCATTGCTAGGCTTAATATGGCAAGGAATATTGTAGGTCTATTTAATTAGAAATCGTAGCTCTAATAATTTTAAGACAAGTCTCTTTATACATACAAGAAAAACTCATTCATCGTGCTGCTAGAAAATATGTCACATTTCATTTAAATAAAAACCACTATCCATTCACTCATAGTTTACCATCTTATAATACTATATACTTAAAAACATAATAGAATAAAAAATCTTACTTTCCAACCGCACAAATAAAACAAAATACCTTTAACCCCGCACTTTAAAATCTTCTTTATAATAAGATTAATGAAGTGAAAAATACTCCCAACCAGCCATATCGAATCCCAGCAGAATTTACTCTTAAACCCTTCACTAAAACTAATCTTACTACTAAACCTACCTCGCTTAAAAAGTACATCAGGTGATCCTAACAAGTATCCTTTTCACAGTATAAAATATTCATTCTGATTTCTATTTATACTTCTAATATCATAGTAAGGTTATTTGAGATGTCTTTAAATTAATATACATATTCAAATTTAAAAGTTTTTAAAAACAAATAGTAATTTAATTAAATATATCCCTTTATCCCTCTATCCCTCTATCCCTCTATCCCTCCATCCCTCTATCCCTCTATCCCCTCACAACCTTTCCATCTTCCATCCTCCATCCGCCACCCCCCCAACTTTTCCTCCCCCTCACACCCTCCCCTCCTTTTTTATCTAAAAACCTAATTCTCAAATCTCAACCTCAAACCCCAAACTTCAACTTCAAATAAAACCTCCAACAGACCTTACAATATCCCCTAGCCTCAAACACCCATCCATCCATCCATCCATCCATCCATCCATCCAAAGTTCTCATCATCTTACCCCACTAATCTAAAATCTAAGATCTACTTTAAATTCGAAATTTCATATTTATATTCCGTACCTAATACATACTCTTCTATGATTAACTTATACTCTATACTCCAAGCTCTAAATCCAATAAATACTCATACCAGCCTAATTCCACCCGCTCGCTATAAAGAACCTCATGATGTAAGAGTAAAAAACATAAATCTCACATCTATTATCTTACATCTATCAAACATCAAACATCAAAGCAACCAAAACTTATGCGAAAGAAATAGTTTTATAGTTAAAAAGGTATCGTATACAATAACTAACTCTCTTTCTTTTCTTTCTACTTTCTACTTTCTTCTATCTCTCCCTCTCCCTCTCCCCCCAACCCCAACCTCTCTCTATCTTCCTTCTTCCTTCTTCTCTTTTTCTCACCCAACATCACATCTCAATCGCCTACCCCCATCCATCTACCCAACAAAACCCAGCTTCTAAAACCTCTAAACAAACTTAACTTCCCCAAACAAACCCGCTCTAACTTGCACCAACGCCGCCAACTCCAATAGAAACTCCTGCAACACTATAACATTAGTCAAAATATGACTAACGCTAACTTTCTTATCTTCTTTTTCTTCTGCATCAACATCCTCTGCTTCTGCACTAAGATCCTTTACCTCTCCATCGACATCCTCCTCCTTCTTATCCTCTACTTCCTCTCCATCCAACACCTTTCCCTTCGAATCCTTGCTACCCTCCGTTCCACTACTATCCAACTCAAAGTTCTCTACTAGCGTTTTACTTTCCACTGCTCCATCCGTCGTTTCCGATGCCCCCGTATCTCTTACCCTAGTTTTTAAATTCTTAAGATCCGGAAATGGTATTGGTACCACAATGTCTTTTTTCGAAGGTTTTGGAATTCCTACCATTCGGTTCAAGATCCCCTGATCAATAGCCGAAAATGCCGCTGTCTGAATAGGTAAAAGAATTCTCGACTGTCTATTCATATCCTCATCATGACTTCTCGATTGCGAGGTACCTCTAATTGGTGATTCAACACCCATAGGAAATTGAGGCGGGGGATTCAAAGTATGATTAATTGGTGTTGATAAACCATGACTACCACTCGTGCTTCTTTGTTCACGACCAGAATTTGAAGGACGGCCGCGAGTCTGTGGAGAGTCCGACCGAGAGGGTGTATTGAAGTCACCAGAGAAGATGCGTTGGGCAACTTTATCGAGGGCGGATTGACGAGGAGGTGATCCTCGGTGGGTGGATGATTCGCGTTGACTTCTGGGCCGATGACGGACTGGAGTGGACATGGATGCCGCTTGTTGGAAAGCATCTCGACGTTGTTGGAGGATATCTTCGAAACGAGGAATTTCGTTACGATAACTGTTAACTTGATCGACGAGCATATCGAGTCGGGTGAGTAATTCTGGTTTTGGAGTTTCTGACCATTTGAGACGACGTTGCGTTAGTTTGAGAGCACGGATCTGTGCTTTTTCTAAAATTTCGTCCGGATCTCCTACATTAGCAAGCAGAAGATCATCCATTATTTCATCTGTTCTTCCTTCTTCGGATTCTTCATATACATATTTTGAAGGATCAGGTAAGAGCCATCCATCCACACTCATGAAACCACATGTTGCCAGATCAATAATTGCAGCTGTCAATGAAAGATTTGTTTCGACGGAATTTATGAAAAATGTCGATAAAATGTCGAGTAAAATCAAAAGAACAGGATCTTCAGGTCTCAAAGTATGTGGTCGAATATCTTTCGGAGCACCAGGAATTGTTGCTTGCGAACCTGGGAATTTCGTCGTTCCACCAGCTGATTTAGGCGCAACAAGTGCTATAGAACAATTATGACTCTCCAAAGTGTTCATACTATCTTTGATATGATTTTCATACACTTCATCAAAGCTATCATCGCCACCAAGGTCTTCAGCCATTGTGAGTAAACACTCAATTTCTCTTTCATGAGCTGCGATTGAACGTTGCGGTCCATCACTTAATACCTGACCGGTTCGAAGTAGTGTAGTTACAGCATATCGATGATGTCGTTTCAAAATAACAGACACAAGCTGTAAAGTAACGGTTACAGTCTGTGAACTTTCTGATCGAAGACTTCCTAAAATAAGATCCACCAGATTGTACAATGCAGGTGCGCCCCCTTCTACCTGTAAAGCCACTAATGTTGCAAGATCTAAAGATTTTCGCTTCCTTGCTGCGCTCACTGATGCTTTCGATCCTGAAGGGGCTGGTGTGGTCTCAGGTAAAGCAAGTAGGTAGTGAAGTATAAGATGAATCATATCAGGATGATCCAAAGATTCCAGAATTCGTCTTAAATATGTCAAGACTGCAACCGAAGAACCGCCATCAACATCTGAAGATTCGAGTAATGATGGATAACTATGAACATTAGTCTTAGTAGTTGAAAAATGATTAGGAGCTCATACAGAAGTTGCTGTAGGAATATGACTTGAAAGTGTTCCAGAAGTGTCTGTTTAACCTCCATGGATTTGCAATGATTCAGAACATCCTGCCAGAAGACCAAATGTGAAAGAAAAGTTTCCATATGCGATTGATAATCCTCATCGACTGAGCTCACAATCTCATGGGTTGTTAGAGGATGTCGATAATCCGAAAGTGCTAGAACAGGAGGTAATGCATCCGGGGGATGATCGATAACAAGTTTTCGACTGAGCTGACTGTAAAGCGCACCGAGACCCGTAGCCATAAGAGTAGCCAAATCACTCTCAACTATCCATTGCTCCAACGCCACATCATTCGAAGCAGCTTCGATAATGTAAAGAAGACCCGTCCTTGCGAAATCCCCACACCTCCCTTCCTCATGTATGTAATCGATCAGCAGATAAAACAGTTGAAAATCCTCCTTATGCGTCTTCCCGGCAAACTTCTCATGCGGATCCGCAGTATACGCTTTTGCAGCATCCTCATCCCTTCGCTGTGACGTAAACCAAACCGGCAAGATATCTGGTTCAAGCCTAATCTTCGTTGTGATATTAAATGACAACTCCACCACCTCTACGGCGAGTTCCGAGCCCAGATGGATATTACTTGATCCGGTGATTTTAATCAGCAAGTTCATCAAACTCTTGGCAAACACATCATTCTCGACGAAATTCTCCTCCTCACTATCAAGCAATGCAGCAAAGAGAGATACCGCCTCCCTAATGACCCCCTCATTATAAGACGTTGTAGCTATCTTCCCAATCGAGATGTATATTTGTTTTTCCGCCGCGAAACCTATGCATGGATGTGGTAAAGGGCGACGAGACTCATCGCTCAGCACTCGAGTGATTTCAGAAAGACAGATTCGTATTTGTTCTGCTGCTTCATAATCTCGAGCTAGATTCGTGGCACCGCGCCATAATTGCTATATCATATCCCCGGTTAGCTCTCCCATCACACTATTCCCACCTACCGTTCCCCCAACCATCCGCAGATGAGCACACTTACCAAAAGACGATTATATTCCCTCTTAAACCTGGCTACACGTTTCTCTGGATTGTTTAATGTAACTTTGCTGCTAGCCGGCGCTAGCGAGGTGCCCGCTATCAAACGTTGCCACTATTATGGGAAGAAGTTGTCAGTTAAACATGCTACTTTCTAGAAATCCTGCTTTGTGCATAGACCCAAGATATGAGTGAGATGCACCAAGTACCAAGTTTCCAGCGGAAAGAGTGTGGGCAAACTTACAAAATCCATGACTTTAGAGGAGGCATCATTCATATCACCTTAAAATCCGTCGCATAAATTAAAAAAAAGTCCGAGAGATGGAGCGGACGCGATCGTGAAACGCGCCTGCAACTTCAAATTTGGTGAGTTTACTCTTAGTCAGCACGGACTTAATATCAATATTGAGCTTATCTTTGGTGACAATGATAATTTGGAGGGGTCTAGAAAACTTATGAATCAAGAGAGGATGTGATCAAGTATATCTGCATATCTCATTTACCCCTTTTCAATCTTGTGTAGGTATGCCATGATGACGATTGCAGATCATAATTTTTTGACCCACCTCATATGCAAGATTATCACAACACAACACAATAACTGGATCTATGCAAGCAGGACATACCATCTCTGGTATTTATTCTTGTCAAAACATATTCAAGTATAAATAAATATATGTACAATATTATTACAATATTATTGCCTCTAAGTCTAATTCCCCAATACAAGCTCCCCTACAATATTCCATCTCATCTCATCTACACGCCCCAGACCCCAGCCAATCCTGCCAAAACCACGCTGCCAACGCACAATATCCCAATATCAGCTTTTCTCCCTACAGATCCTCCTGAATTACTCGAATTCCGCGCCACGCCCGGAACCGTAGTATCCGTCAACGCTTGTGCCGTGCCAGTTCCCGTTTGCGTACTCCCTCCCACTCCCCCTGAGGTGCTCGTACTAGCCCAATCCATAACCAACACAATTTTCGGTAAACTTCCTCCTTTTACCATAGCTGTACTCACACTACTGCCCGTTCCTGTCGCAATCACCGATTCATTTTGCGTAATCAATTCGGAATTCACAATTACATAGTCGGAAGTTTGGGAAGGAGTACTCGAGGTTTGAGAAACATAAGAAATTGTCGTAGATGCTGCTGGCGTGATTGTATTTATGAGGGCTGCTTTTACTGTTGCAACTATTGTTTGTACACTCGGAGTCTGGGATGTTCTTGAAATATCGGCCATTTTGGTAATTGTAATGATAGAGGTTCTGGTGGTTGAGCGAGTGGATTGAGAGGTAATAGTTTTGATTGGAGTGGTAGCAGTCGATGTAGATGATGCGATTTGAGTTGATCGATTAGCTGGACTTGAAACGCCGCCGATCCCAAAATTCCCATACATAGTGGAAGTAGTGGTAATAGTAGCTGTGATTTCGTTGTAGGGAACATAGGCGGTAGGTACACCTCGTCCAGCACCCAGTCCACATTTTCCGAGGTTTGTCGGGGTATTTTCTGTGTCGGCTGCGGCATAACTAGCCATCCAATCACGCAATTGTGTAGGTAATGTTGTCGAAAAAGCCCCTGTTGAGTTCCAGCCATAATTAGGGTCATTGTCGGCGAGAAAGAATCCTGATGGGTAAGGGGATATTTCCTTGCCGGATGAGCTCTTGACATCATTCGGATTAGGGCATACATATGCACTCTGCGTCAACTTTGGTAACGCAGTTGCATATATGACATCTGTGTAGATCCAAACAGGTGTCGGCGATTCGTACACTGTTCCGTATGGATCGGTGAAAGCGGTTCCGTGAATGAATGTTGTCTCAGCTTGGTAAACTCCTAGGCCAGTCCCAATAATTGTTGTAGGGAGGCCATTGATGGATGATCGTGTTATGGGTCGTGATGGCACTGTAGAGTTTGTAGATATAGTCAGGGTTTCTGTAATAGCTGTGTTGTCATACTTATACACAACAGTAGAAACTGTTGCTACAATAATATTGATACTTTCAGAATACCACAGAACCTGACCAACTTCGAAAGATGAAAGATAGCAGCATTCCGAACTAACAGCGGAAGATGTTATGGTTGCCCGGTCCGAACTTGTCGATGTTTCATTATATGATATGGAAGCCGCTGCTTGACTTTTAATTATAAACACAGAATAAGTTAATGGTTGACTTACTCCTTTTTGGAAGCTGTTTAAGGCCAAATACTTGTATCGCCCAGAGCGAAATAATGAACAAAGTCCTGCAACTCGGCATTTTTTTATCGATGTAGTACAAGATAGGTCCCAGGCCTGAAGGATGAATGGCAAGAAGGTCATGAGCATGGCTAAAATATGGAGCAAGTTTACGAATTTTAAGAGAGAAGAAAAAGGGCTGAGTTCCAGGCCACCAACATCATCTCCACAGCAGAAACGTCGGGTCGTCCCGCAAATTGGACTGTTGACGCCCGCCTACGTTGCGACAAGATCTATGAACTAGAAAAGATCGCGCGTAGCGCCTCAGCCTCGGAGGAGCATTAGAATAGTAGGAACATATAAACAGTTGGAGAATCTCTGACAAAAATAGCAATTGAGGAAGGCTGATTTCTCCGTTCCTATATCAACTTTGACACAAGAAATCTTCGGTATTCCCAACAGAGCTTCAGGTCCGAATATGCCAGCTGCGAGGACTTTGAACATTTGTATGAACATTTTTTTGTATTAAAAAAGCCAACCATATTCGATGGTTCAAACAAATGGAGAGTAAAAGATGAGTGCAGGAATCGATTTCTATTAGAATGAAATCCAGCTTTTTGGGAATACCGGAAGATCACGAGGAAATATTGAGTCTCCCATCTGTAGAGCGGATGAACTTTCCTTATAACCCTCTCACCTAGACAGACCCGAGATTCTATTAACATCGAATGTTTTCCTAACAAAGCTTTCCAAAGTGTTTTCATCAATTGAACTCCAGTACTTCCGACTAGGAGATAGAGAAATCCAGGCAGTTCAAGCAGCTATTTACCAAGTTTGTGGCTCGAGAAGATATCGATCTGGACCTTTGCCACGCCAGGCAGATTTGCTACTGGGGATAGCAGATATACTTTACCAAAGCTCATTTGATGAGAGTGGGGTGTAGGCATCTATTAATATACTGATGCGTAAAAAATGAAGGTATCGGGGGATTTTAATGCCTGCTTTTCAGATGTAACCTTCCCGAGAAATAGTAGAGTGACTTAGTCCCAAATCAGCTAGCTCTCACTTCTAAACGCCCAAAAATGGGCGAGATGAATCTTGGTACAGATCACCCATTTCCGCCCCCACTATTGTTATCCAAGATACATTACCATGCTGTACCATAATGCTCTGAATCTACTCTTCCCTGAGCTCTCCGTTGTTAGAAGGTTAACGTTGTGTACGAGACAGAAGTTTCCGTTTCTTCATCACTTCATTCCTTACATCATCTTCGTTCGATCCATACTTACCGAAATTGCCTAGTATAGAGTGGGTGGGTTTGGAGGAAAATCTATTTTTCAATCTGATGCATCGGATCACGGCCATCACCCGAGGCTAGATTATGGATACTTCTCAATGTCAGCAAATGCTTGGGGCCTCTGGTTTACTGCAGAGAGAGATATCTGAGCTGTGATGGGCAGATTTCATTTATTATTTTGCTGGAGCAATCCGCCTCATCTTTTTTACCCTTTTTTTCTTCGAGATTTTTGATGGCTCAGGTTCGTTTTTGGTATGCGATGCTCGTGCCCATGATTTTTGTTATGATATTTGTGAGCTTATGATTTTGCACGAGAGAACTGTCGATTTGAATGGCAGTCGTACCTCCCGAATGATGAGTACGGTAACCTTTACGGTACTTATGATGTGGTCTCTATCGATTGTGGACGAGAAGACGTTTGGGAATTTTTGGCCCTGGACCTGGTCACCAAGGTCTAGAATCGCAGCAAAAAGGTATCATCCATCAATGCCGTTTCTAAAATATTTGATCAACCGCGCAGATGAGGCGGTACATCGGCTAGTATTTTTGCAAAGGGCCCTTCTCCTAGACTCATGAATGTTATGAGGAAAAATTGCAGATTGAAAAGGGAACGAGTGTTGCGTTCCGACATTCGATTCATTCGACATCGACGCATCCGATTCCCCGATAATGAAAGTCATGATTCATATGGTCTGGGAGCTGGTTTGGGATATGTGGTCCTTATATGCAAGATGTATAACAGTGGTTGCTGGGAGCTCCACCCTAAATTGGATATTATCTGGAGCCCGAACCATAGTTACGGACTGTTTGCGGATATTCCATACCAAAATGGCTGTTGGATTCTTGACCGCAGGAAGATATTAATATGCCCCTTTGTAGCCGCTACGACAACCAGACGTTCTAATTATTTCCATGAAACATTCAACAGTCCCAGAGCGCAAGATAAAGTTTGTTCGTAAATCTGTGCAGCTGCAGAGTCAACAAATAGCGGGGAATCTCCTTTGTTGTTGTTTGGTTGTCGTGTTGTTGCTGTTGTTATAATATTACTAGTATTGTTTGAAAAATTGAACTCGGTAACCATTGAAAGGTAACCATTGGGGATTTTGCTAATTGAAAGGCAGGGAAGTTCCTAGGCGACAGAGAGCTGTCATTCATCAGCTGAGTTTGGATGAGGGATTGAGGGGTAGATTTTTGGATGAAAATGGAGCTTATTCACGCTTTTCACGCTCTCCACGCTATTCTAGTGTTTATTCATGGATATAGCTTCGGAAAATTATGTACCTAGGTTGCATTTTAATTCTCCAGCTTCCCTTCCCTTCCAACTTTCTTCACTGTTTGTTTTCCTATGGATACGGGAAAAGACGGGAAAGTATATTGAATATCAATAATTGGATATTGCTTGATGCGAACGATATGTAGGTGACATATACGATAGCCAAAACAACCTATAAGAGAGCCGTACGGAGTATGCAAGAAATCTCATACTTGCATCATATTCTTACAGAGTACATATAACATACATACAACATACATGAATGATACCTTAGCTAGCAGCGACAGTGGAGAAGCAGTGCGGAAGGCAAATGCTTACCACGATTCCACGATTCCACCACAATTCCACCACAATTCCACCATACGGTTCCCTTTTGTTTACATGCATTGCATGCACGATAAGTACCTAGGTAGCCAATTGTGAGATGTCGTGAATACCATGTTGCTTATTTCAGACGGTAATTCCGACGGTTCATTGGACAACATCGAGTACTTTTGTATATTTGATGTATTTCATGTATTCCATGTATTTATGTATGTATTCAGTACCTAGTACTTGCACGGTACTTCCACCGTACACAAACAATAAACATACAAATCACATTGTATAATTTGCCTTTTGCCCTTCATAATTGTCAATGAATCATACTCGAATACTCAAGTTTACCCAAAATAGACGAAAAGTCTCAAAAGATCCCAATTTTGGATTTGTTAGGTATCAATTGAAGACCCGATGAACCAATCATCTTTTCATTTCTGGTGATTTCCAAGTGCGGGGCGTGACACTTCACTAGGATTATCATTCATCTACCATAATCCATAATCCATAATCAATCTTACTCCGTACATTAAAGAAAGGGAGCACGGTTGCCAGAGCGACGTGTAATAATCCGCCCAAAAAAGTCGCCCGTTCAGCATAATTCTTCTCTTCTTGTTGTTTATTATTACGGCCGACCAAAAGAAAGTCAGCCAGCCCCCATTCAAAAGTGTCTCTTCTCATTAAATTCTAAAAGTAAAGTGCACCAAGTGTTTGTCAAGTTTGTCAAGTTATTAATCGATTACTCCATCCCAACCATCCAACCATCCAACCATCTATCCATCCATCCATCCATCCATCCATCGGTCGGTACATACAAAACAGCTTTTTGTTGATACATCCATCCCCTTCCAACTCCTCTAAATCTAAAATAAACATCATCCAATTACTTCTCTCTCCTTCTACTCGAGTAGCTCCAGCTGTTGTTTTCGAACTCCTTTGCTCTCTCGCAAATTATCTCTTCCTCAAAAAAATAAAAATAAAAAAAAGACTTACCACTCCCAAGTCATACACGACGACCGATCAATTTCCTCCTTTATTATTGAAAACTCCTTGGGAACTCCTTTTTAATCCACATTACAACAATTAATATTCCGGGGAAGGAGTTTAATAAGGAAAAGGAATCGTTATTCTCTTTTTATTTCAACAACATTCGTTCTTTTCGACTATTTACTTACTACGCGCATTCCTCGCGTCTGATTGTTACAGATTGATTTCTATCAACATTATCATTTGTCCAAAATCCCACATTCCACAAATCTACATCTGGCTACTGCAAGGTGATTATCCTGCTCCACAGGACCGAACTTGGGGATTTTGGGGTGGAAGTTGGTGAAGTCTAAAGGATGTCTTCATCTTCGCAACCGGTAAGCGCACAAATTGACAACTGATTTTTTAATCATACAGCGCGTCGAAAGGATTATTATTATTGCGAGTAAACATGATATCTAATACATGTCATTTAGGTTCCTCCGTTGAGGATTCAAAAAGGTGCCAGTTTTTCTGGTTCACTGCCCAAGAATCACACAACGCGACCCCTTTCCGAACTAGGCCCAACAGCTCAAAGACGAAATTCTCCAAGTTATAATCAGGCCGCAAAGGTAAAGAATTCAATCTGTCTATTTTCGGCACATCTTTCGGAGAGTTAAAAGCTAATCCTGACGACGTAGAAAATGTCTTTCAGTGGGGATTCGTCTCCATTCCAGTCATCCCCGTTCACTTCCGCTGAAGGCTCGTCGCCACATCTCTTCTGGCAGAACCGTGATCCAGGCACGCCAAATCGAATCAGCACGGAAAATCTACGCAAAGATTCTTCAATATCACCGACAAGAAAGTCATCAATCGAACGATTGCAGCGCGCGTCGCGTGTGAAGAACAGCACCATGTACGCAAGGGAGCAGAAACTCGAATACGATCCGATGTCGATACCTGTCATTGAAAAACCATTAATAAAGAATATGCAAGGCAATGCTTTTGGAGGAAAAGGTTTGGAAGGGTTTAGATCGGAGAAAAATCGACCATATGTCCACGGGAAGACAGATAGTAAAACCAGTCTCTCGTTAGCCAGTCCACCGCCGCTGAGCCCTGCTGCTAGAGAACCCCTGAAAACAGCAGCAACAAACGGTTCGAGATCGCCCAGCAAAGATCAAATTTCACCTACAAAATCATCCATGGCGACTAGTCGATTTGCTGGAAAGGCACTTTACGATCCAGAACATAATGCCTTTGGCGAGGAGGATTCAGGTGACGAGCGAAAACTGCCCCCTGGACGGAGTTTGCACAGACATGCCAAGAGTGTTACTTTCGATGTAGCTCCTCCACAAATCAACGAGTACGAATTAGCTACACCGGATATATCATCCATCGGAACAGGCTCTCGGGAAAATAGTTACGATTCCGAGGAGGATGATGAAGAAGACCTTTACTACCATGGCGATGGTCTTGAACAAGATGATAGCTTTGATGCTTCTCTTGAGGACATAGAAAAGACACCAGTAGTCGGACCGGATGACTGGAGACATTCTAGCCCTGGAAATACTTATGGCCAAGGCTCTGGATACTATGATGACCCATTTGATGGTCCAGAGGGTAGCCCTATGCCTGATGCCCGTCCTTCTTCTTCCTCTGGACGTCCTAATGCCACACGCAATGATTCCATAACCTCTAACGGTGAACACAGACCACTGCCACCGTTACCTGGTATGGCTGGTAATGATCGAAGGGGTTCGGCATCATCCGGCATTGAGCGTGCAGCGACAAACTCACCCAGAAATCTCCCTACACCACCTCCTCCAGCCTCTATTAGCAAAGCAGATCTTCAAGGAATGAACGGAAACAAGATGACTTTGGAGGAGAGGTTACATCTGATGATGATCCAGGACGATGATAGGCCGAAGTCCTCTGAAGGCAGACCAAAATCTGCTGAGAGAGACGAGCAACGAGAACGTCGCATGCGTCGGGCAGGGGCACGGAAGAGTCAGACACCCGAACGAGAAGTTCAACCAATCAAGATTCATGAAGATAAGGAAGTTAAAAACGACCATGAAGATCATGAGGACGAAGATGCCATGGATGATCTCCCAGGATTGGACTCGTATCAATTACCACCTCGCATCTCACGGGAGTCAATTTTGAGAAAAGTCAATGGACAAGAACCGTTTACGCGAGAGTCGGATTACAATCTAGATGCGCCTCTCCCTGGCTCAAGTTCAGAACGTCCAAGTACCGCTCAAATGGCCGCAATGGATCCTGACACTCCTATTCCATCCACAGAGGATGCATTTGTTGAATCTGCGGACGAGGAGGATCTGGACGACCAAAACAGCGTTTTGATTAAATCGGAGTCCGAAGATGACTCTGACGATGAAGAGGCTGATATTTATTCTATTCCAGACATGTACCAACGTACTGAATCAGGAATGGAGAGTCATCAAACTGAAAGTGAAGTTGGAACAATAGAGGATGATGAAATGGACAGTCATTATTCGGATGAAACACCTTCTGAAATGCCACTTCATGAAAGCCCACAATTTCAATCGAACAGCGTTCCAGAAGACGATGGTCCGCCAACCCCAAGAAACATTAGTCCTGCGAGCATTTCAATGGACCCTACGAAGGAGAATCGAAGAATATCTCTACCGGAGTTAGCAGGGCTTCTCACTGACAACACAGACTTTGGCCTTAGTTTAAGATCTTATATGACACCGTCTCCTCCACCCCAAGAGGAAAAGGGGGATAGGAAGGTCTCGGTGATGTCCGAAGCACATGAATCTCTCCATGGATCCGAAACGCAAGAGGCGGACGATGAGGTGGTAGATCAAGCACACATCAATGAGCCCGAAGAGAGTGAGGAAGAAACTGAGGAGGAAACTGAGGATGAAACTGAGGAAGATACCCCAGAACCCCAGCAGAAAGCCCCGGAACCTCAAGAGGAAGATGAAGCACCACCACTCAAGAAGATGCTTTCGCGTCCTGAATACGATGGGTCCGAATGGGGACCACAGGAAGATGATGATGACGAGTTGTCTGATTCAGAATCCGTGATACGTCATCCGGTGGATGAACCAATTGATCATCCTTTCAGAGCGTCGTCGATGGATCGACCATTTAGATCATCGATCGATCAACCATTCCAGCACCCATTCATTGACCCTCCCAAGATATCTCCTACGCCACCTCCACCTTCAGATTCTCCTGGCATTCCCGAAACAATGGCTACTATCAAGGCTCGTAGTGGGTCAAAACTCAAGACAAGACCATCTGTGACACCATCCGACCTTGCATCAATGCGTGAAGCTCGACGTCAAGTCAGCGGTGCTGGTCCTGCTGTACCCAATATCCCTCAACGACACCGCACTCGCCCTTCATTAAACGGGGAGCAAGATGACGAGGATGATGATGACGATGATACGGAAAAGGGAACTTTGAAAAGAAATACAAGCTTCAAAAACCGAAGTCTTACGCTCGATATCGGCGGTGATCTTGGACTCAATCTAGAGTCAGATTTCGACCGAGTAATCGAATCCTCAAAGGTAGCATTTGATTTATCTTCTAGACATTCGACTTTTTTTACCGGTAGAGCAGGACAAGCGTCCGAACCGAACAATTCTGCAGGAATGAGTGATCATGCTAACAAAAGTCTGCCACAGCGAGGATATTTGATGAGACAGAACACCAAAGTAGTAGTTGCTAGCAGCGATGAAAGAGAGACTCGAGTTGCCAAATCAGTCGAAAACTCGCCCACAAAAGCAGATAATCGTCCACAATCATGGGTTGTTGAGCCATGGAATGGTTCTCGTAAAAGCAGCGCCCGCCCTTCCAGTCCACGTAAAAAGCCTCCTACTGGTGCGGTTCCTCCGATGCCCGGTCATGAAAGTAATGCCGCCACTGGATTGGGCATATTAACAGAAGGTCAAGTTGCTGAACCTGTTTCGGATGAAAATAGTGAACGTGGAAGATTGTTCGTGAAAGTCATTGGAGTAAAGGACTTGGACTTACCATTACCCAAGAGTATGTTTCCCTCAAACTTCAGTCCTTACTTTGCTAACATCAGAATAGATGAACGTTCATGGTTTAGTCTAACCCTAGATAATGGCGTACATTGCGTTACCACGGCATGGCTGGAATTAGGTAAAAACGCGCCGATCGGACAAGAATTTGAACTTGTTGTACCAAATGAGCTTGAGTTTCAACTGACGTTGAATGCCAAGCTCGAGAAGCCAGCACCGCCGAAGCGTGTACAGACTTCTCCAGCTAAAGCAGCCAAACCATCGAAACCTTCAACTTTTAGTCGAGTGTTCGCCTCACCAAAAAAGAGGAAGGAGCTTGAGATGAGACAAAAGGAAGAGGAACAACGCATTGCACAACAGAAACAACAAGATGCTCAAGCATTGAAGAATTCGTCACAGCCAACTGCATGGGAGCTTCTTTCACCGCTCGCTGCTGCAGATGGTAGCTTTGGTAGATCTTATGTTTGTCTAAAGGATCATGAGAGTCGTTGCTTCGGAAGACCTTATAATGTCGATGTGGCCGCTTTCAATGAATGGGCTACTGAAGAGACAAACCAATCATCGAGTGTTATGAGCAAACGTAGCGTTCCCCCACCAGTTCGAAAGCGCGCTCCTTATACTGTTGGAAAGTTACAATTACAACTTCTTTTTGTACCAAAGCCGAAAGGAGCTAGTGATGAAGACATGCCTAAGAGCATGAATGCTTGCATCCGCGAGATGAAGGAAGCTGAACTTGAGGTTGCGAGACAATTCGAAGGCCATCTAAGTCAACAAGGTGGTGACTGTCCTGTAAGCTATTTCCATACTAATATACTCCATGCGTTACTGACATATTTCTAGTTCTGGCGTCGTCGTTTCTTTAGACTAGCAGGAAGTAAACTCACAGCTTATCACGAGTCGACCCGACAACCACGTGTCACAATTAATCTTGCCAATGCCAATAGGTTGATTGATGATCGCAGAGCACTCACACAGAAAGAAACCACCGCGAAATCCGGTAAACGTCGCAAGTCTGGTTTTGCTGAAGATGAAGAAGGCTACATGTTTGTTGAAGAAGGTTTCCGAATTCGATTCAATAATGGTGAAGTTATTGATTTCTATGCCGACTCACCAGCTGATAAAGAAGCATGGATGTCCGTTCTTGATCCTTGTGTAGGAAAGGAACGTGCGGGTGGTAAAGGTGGTTGGTGTGAGATGGTTCTAAAGCGGGAAGAACATTTGATGAGGAAAGCTTCCGGGACTTCAGGCAAAGGCCGATCACATTCAAGAGTGAAGAGTACCATCTTTTGATCCTTCTACTCATCGAAATTTACATGAATCGGTTTTTACCTCTGATTTGTAACGCCTGAAACGGCCTTTCCTTTCCTTGTATAACTTTCTGCCCGGGTGGCCATTATTATTTCAGCAAAATTGTGTATCTTCTCGCGGGGATTCGGGTTAGAAGTAGATAAAACTTTGTCATTATGACAGACTCAACACTATTTCTGTTTTATAGGTCTTTTTCATTTTGGTATCTTGACAAAGGAAGCGAAAGGGTTTATGGATGGAGCTTTGGGGGAAGTGGGAGCGTAATTATTGATTTTATTTTCCCTGCTTATTTGCTGCTTTTGTAAGATTTTTAGTTTGAGTAGTGCTTCCCTTTTCTTTTGCATGCAAAGGCAACAAACATTTTCTTCTTCTCTGTGTTTCAGATTCTAATTTTCTCTTTACTTTTCTTTTGGTTGGCTCTAAGGTTGGGGTTCTGCTTTATGGATTGGACCGGATACTTTGCCTTTGCCTTTGCGAGCTGCATGGATGGATCGGAATTGAGGGGGAGGGAGGGAGGGAGGGAGAGGAGGGATTGATGGTGGAAAGAGAAATTTGTGCAAAATGGTAGTTAGGTGGTGAGTGATAGGAGACAGGAGATAGGAAAATTTGTTGTTGATTGAGTAATGAATGATTCGTTATGCGATTAAGGAGATGAATGTATTGAAGTATTGAAGTATACGCACACGTATTTGTATGTATGCAGAGAAGAATGAGTTTGTGATTTGTGCTGTGGGAAGTGTGGGTGTGAGGTGGGAGATAGAAGAGTGTGGGAGTTTGTGGGGGTATAGAGGAATCAGGATAGTGGAGAGAACAGCGTAAATAGTAAATGAGAAAATGAAAAAGAGAATGTTAATTTTTATTATTTATATTTATATTCATGTGTTTATTTGATGTGTGATATAATTTAATGTGATGTAATGTAATATAATATAACATCTAAACATAATATCTTAATACCAGATCAGATGTAAGACTTCACATATATTGGCTGCCAAACCCCAGCTGCCAAACCCCAGATGCCAATAATATTTCCATGATTTCTCATACATTCACGCCGCTCGTTATGCCATCGACAGACAATATTATTGAGTTGTGGAGAATACTTCAATAGTGGAGATGAGCTCTACGGAAGAATAGCCACCTGGTAGGTTATTGGGAGTCAATCAGTTGAGGGTTATTGAATGGGATATTCTGGGGACTACACTTCTTGGTGGAAATCAATATGTAGCTATGCAAACCCAACTCTTTGATAAAAGAAGATTTAATTGTGTGATACGCTGAGAGAGAAGTAAGATTACAAAAGTCTGTCTTAGAGCTATAGCTTATAATTCTTTGACGGTACAGTGACGAAATAACTTCCGCTGGGGATAGCAGGTTTCTCTTTATATCACAGCCTTCTACCCTTCGAGAATAGGAATACCCATCAGAGATTCCCCGAGACGAACCAACTGTCGATGTTCTAGACAAGTTCAAATATCAAGCGTCCTCCATTGTCGAATTTCCTCCTAGGCTACCGGGTCTTGAGATATTACCGTGGTAGCTCATGACATCGGTATCACTTAAGCCATGCTGAATCCTCATATGGCGCCTACAAGTACCGAGATTTGAAAACGTCTCGCCACCTTGGCGCGATATACACCCTATTTGCTGACAGTAAAAGGACCGTATACTCCTGTGAGAGGCCTTTAGGTGATGATCTAAGCTGCTGATAGCGCTGAAAGCACTGGCACAATAAGGGCATTGGTGTTGTCTAACGCCGTGAGTTGCATTTTGGTGATGTCGTAAATCGTGGGAACGGTCGAAATTTCGAGCACACCGAGAGCATTTGAACGGTTTGGAGTGGTAGGCAACATGTCTACTATCATGAGAAGGAGAATAAGTTCTTAGCGGATCAATAGTGGGTGTACGAATTCATGAAAAATATGTGAAATTAGAACACTCATTTGTGTTCTTCAAAGCTCAATAGGATGATTCATTACAAATCAAGCAGTGAGACTACAGGCTTGGGGAGAAAACTCTTGGGCTTGCTGAGTAATAAAGGAAACATGAAAAACGTACTCCAGTTGGTCTTTTTCGTCAAAAGTCGTTGGGCAAATCGTACATGAAAAACGGCTGTCTTGCACACCACTAGTAGATGCCGAATATAAGGTTGGTGTCTCGGGAGGCTCATCTTCGTTTAGAAAGTTGCTTAAGGAGGTTCTCCATAGATTATCAACAATTTCGGTATTGGTAGGGGCCAGAGACGGGGTTGGTGTATTGTGGAGCTCATATTCATCTAGCGGATTGTTTGCGGGAGGATTCTTTGGAGTAGTCATCGCCTCGGCATGAGTTGATGAGAATGCTTCTGAGGATTAATCGCTGTGCCAATAACATATACCCTCAATCTCAGTTGGATAAATAAGCATACCGGGTCCAGATATGAATAACTAGAGATGGAAGATAAGACTTGATTTTCCTTTGAGGAAAGGTTTACCTGGAAATCTCGATGTATATATATGGCGCGGGCAATGGTTGTGCTTGCCGAATTCTTTTTCGTAGAATTGAATCGGGAAGTGACGAGACGTAGTATAACATAGCAATCATAATGCTCCCAAAGATTAGAAGTATATCGCGGACGAAACACACGGTAAAGAGAGGCTCGTTGTTAACAATTGCACCGATTGTTTACTGGCGGGATACCTCACGTGAAGGTCGTTGACTCTGGTACGCGATTTTGCCAATCTGAACTTCATCCAAAGGAAAATGCATTGGACTGGGAAAACGTGGATTATGAGATAAAAAAATGTTTCGAAAAGAAGCGTGGCTGAATTCAAGTGTAAAAATAAAGTAGTAGCTTCGAAATGCTAGATATAACCTGTATTTCGTCCACTATTGCTAAAAACATCAGTATCGCCAATGCTTGGTCACTCGATCATTTTTGATACCCAATCTTGCATCTTTTCCTCCCAAGGAACTTTGTTGTAAATGCGCAGTCGGAGGGTGTATCACCGCTTTAGACTTTATCAATCTCTCATTCATCATCTATTCACCTCCTAGCCTTCCCAGCCCCGTGACTAAACAGGACGATCCACCTCACCCCAACACCAACCTTCACCGGACCACCCTTCATCTCCTCTCTTCCATTCTCCCACATCATCAACCTCTTCTTTCCCGACTTTCAAGCCATTGTAGATATGAGGAAAGAACCCCGCCTTTCCCTCCGTATCCCAGCATCCACCTACCTCCTCTGGTTGCTTGCCCACTGCATTCTCCCATTTGATGTATGGAGCTACTTTCTCATACTTGATGCGGAGAATATAGACGTGGGATTCGTGACTGGAAAGTGTTAGTGGACGAAATAAGTGGAGACTATCAGAAAGATGAATAGATAATGCTCGAAAAATGAAAGAAAGCGTACATACGAGAAGAATGCATTTAAAGTCCCTAAGAGTTGTTTCGACGTAGAACAGTGCACAAATCCATCTCTCTTATCAAGGTCAGAGACTGGGAGGGCTTCCGGAAGAGGATTAGATGGCTCCGCATCGGAAGGAAGGATTTTGTAGATGTAGGTTGGATATGTTGAAGTCATTTTTTCTGTTTGTTGCACGTGGTGAAGACGTGAGGGAGACGGATGTTGGTGCGAATTAGAGGCTTTTAGTGGTAGAGAGCGGCGACAAGGAGAAGAGAGTAAGTTAAGTCTTGGAATGGTGGCGTGTGGAGTTTGATCAAAAAAGAAGTGACTGGGTGGGGGAACTTCGATGCAAGACAAAATTCCAGGAAGGCAAGGCTTTTGGATTTGACTTTGTGCTGAACATTTACGTGGGTACTCCACCACTCCCCGGTGAGCTCTCCTGTTCGCTCCCGCTACCGGTGAACATGTAAATCTATCGGCAAAACAAGCGCCGGTGCATGGGCCAATGACAGCGGACCTAAAAAGCTATGAATTTGTACACCGCCTCACTGGCAGAATTCGTCTCGCCCCGAAAAAAAGTTGATGGAAAATATCTCTGTTGTGAAGAAAAGACTTTAAGCTTCAAAAACACAAAACAACCCCAACATCTCGAATACCTCAATCAATATGTCGTCAGACGAAATTGTCTGGCAGGTTATTAATCAACAATTCTGCTCGTTCAAACTCAAGTAAGTTGATTGATTATATACATGATGATTTTCATCTAATGATGATACACAGGACTACGAAGGATCAAACTTTCTGTCGCAATGAATACAACGTTACTGGTCTCTGTAATCGACAATCATGTCCCCTTGCGAATTCTAGATATGCAACCATTCGCGCAAATCCTCAAACTGGTACCCTTTACCTTTACATGAAGACGATCGAAAGAGCACACATGCCATCGAAACTATGGGAACGCATCAAGCTATCTTCCAATTATGCCAACGCATTGGAGCAAATCGACGACAAGTTGAAATACTGGCCCAACTTTCTCATTCACAAGTGCAAACAAAGACTTACAAGATTGACACAAGTTGGTGTTCGTATGAGAAGATTGGCGAAAGAGGAAGAGAGATTAGGTGAAAAACTTGTTCCAAAGTTGGCGCCTAAGGTCAGGAGAAGAGAAGAAACTAGAGAGAGAAAGGCAATGGCGGCTGCGAAGGTAGAGAGGGCAATTGAAAGAGAGTTGATCGAGCGATTGAGGAGTGGTGCATATGGCGATCAACCACTGAATGTCAGCGAATCTATCTGGAAGAAGGTCTTGAAAGGCTTGGAGAGACAAGGAGAAGGAACAAGAGATGAGGACATGGATGAAGGTATTGAAGAAGGTGAATTTGAAGAAGAAGGGGAATACGAAGATGAAGAGGGTGTTGGCGATGTGGAGTATGTTAGTGACTTGGGAGAAGATGAAGAGGACTTGGAGGATATTGAGGACTGGCTTGGAAGTGATGAGGAAGCCACCGGTGAGGAGGATAGTGAAGACAGTGAAAGCGAAAACAGCGAGGATGATAAGACCAAGAAGAATGTTAGCGGCGCAAAGAGGAAGAGAGCACCAGTTTCCAAAGTCAAGCCAAAGAAGAGAATTTCAAAGAGGGAGATCGAATACGAGCAGGAGCTCGAAGGACCACAGCGAGAATTGGCTTTCTAATCTGGGGATGTATGGAATTTCATTATACCTGGGGTTGGGCGTTCTTAGTAGGCGTTGGTGTTGTTGGACCTTCGAAAATAGCTGTTAATTTATAGTATCATAGACAGCTTCTTCAACTACCCAGGTATATCAAAGCTATGTTAAAGACCAGTATCAGGCAAAAAAATCAACTGGTTGAATTTTCTATTTACAGATTTTGTTGTGATAAATTCCTTGTCTATTTTTAAACTCCCAATAAGTTCCATCAGTGGCTCTTTCATACGGTCTCCTTAGTCTCATCATTTTGGTGTAGTGGGGTCAGATCTTTCTTGGAGCGTAACAAGTTTCAACCTTAGTACTAAATCTCCATAAATTCATAACTTCACAACTAATTTGCGACACCGTCCTACAAACCACCATAAATTCAAAGGGCTGGCCATCCCTTGAAAAATAATAATAACAAATCCTCAGATTTGATCGGCGGTGAATCACTGAATATAAACAAACTTTCAATTGCGACGCAAACATTCTCAGCAACCACTGATCCAACTCACACCCTCCACAAACGCCACAATGTACTCCTCCTATTTCAACTCCATTACCTCCAAAGTCACCTCGATCCGACAAAACATATTCCAAGGCGAAGCCGACGGCGACACAGAAGATGACACCTATCTCTGTCGCGTAATGCGCACCTATTATCTACAAGAAAAGAAACAAAACCTGCCAGCCTGGCTTCCCCCCGATCCACGCGGTCCGCATCCTTCTCCTGTCGTCCAACCCGTTTACAGTCAACCTGTCGGTTCTACATATGGTCAAGCATCTTCTCCGGCAGGAGGCTCACAGGGTTTAAATAGTTTATTCGGCGGCGCAACAGGAAGAACAAATGCGCCATCGCCACCTCCAGGGAGTCTGCGCGCCGCAAGAGGAACAGGGGTTCCAGCCAGAAGTCAAAGTCCTTTTGCAACTCAAGGAGCTAGTGCAACAGGAAGTTTATCTGCGAGGGATAGATTGAAGATGGGGAGATCGAAGGGAAGCGCTATTAATACTAATGTGAGTGCAGTGGGAGATGCGAGTTATGATTCGGGATATGAGAATAGTGGGGAGAAACCATTCATGGCGGCCACGAGTCCGTGGGCTTCGAATGCGGCGGATTTTAGTGGTGGTGGGTATGAACCGCCGAGGAGAGGGATGGGTTTACCTAGTGGAGGACCTGCGGCCGGAAGAAGACCGGGTTTACCTAGTGGACCTAGGTCGGGGAGATAGTTTAAAGGGGAAGAAGGGGATATGTACTTAGGGGAGTCGGACTGTGAATATTTGACGCTGGTCGTAGGATTTTGATGCATGGTACGGAGTCTTAGATGGTATGGGATGGGTGTTAGGGATTGGAAATATTTTATTAGGTGGTGATGGTACATGCATGGGCTTAACACTTTAATATAGCATAGTAGGGATGGAGCAATGGTATTCTTCTGAATCTTGAAACTATCTTGTTATCTCTTACCACATTCCCCATACTCTTCATACTGACGATTTGAGTTTGGCACGCGCAATGTTCCATCGCTCCAGCATCAGTTGACTTCATATACGCATCGAACTACGAATTATCCCCCCTCGTACTGATTTCCCAGGACCAAATCAAGCCAACCTGGCGCAAAGCAGGTGCTTGAAGTGCAACCTCGGGAAATTCAAGTGCAAGTGCTCATTCCCAAACTCTCCTCTCCAACCTCACTCTATGCCCATTGCCCATCCCCCAGCCTAGCATCATCATCATAAACATAGTAATCCATATATATTGTAAGATCTTACAATTATCATGTCCTTACCATCCCTCCCACTCTCATATAAAGATTATATATCCTCAAATTGGATGAGATGTATATCTTACCATGATAATATATATATCTCGTAGATCATTTTATATAACTTGATCATTTTATATAACTTTGTTATTTTTCTATTCTTCACTGCTACCACCATGGTAAGTCTTACCTAGCTACTCAACTGGTGGGAATGACTTCCTTTTTGTTTTTTATTCGATACGAGTATATGAGTACCATTCACACACTTATCTTATCTTTTGAGGGAGGACCTTGTATGATATGCTGTTTGAGTTGTGATATTTATTATATATATGTATGCATCTTCTGTATATACCTTAGATACCTCTTGACGCATTTAACTTTCATAGATATACATAGGTATAGGTTAGTATATAAGAGGTGGGATCTAGATAGAATGAACAGGGAAGAATGAGATGAGTTCTTTTTAGAACCTAGGTATTTACTCGTAAGACAGGAATGCGAATCCGCAAGATAAGAAGTTTTGTGGTGTATAAGATAACGTGGTTTTGGTTGTACTTCTTTCTTTCTTTCTTTCTCTCTTTCTCTTTCTTCCATTAAGGATTATAATACTGTTCATCGGCCATCGTGTCAGGATTTGCTTGCTGGGAATGGTTGAGTGTGGTGAGGTGCTCGCTTCTAGTCTTGGAAAGTTTTTGTCTGTATATAGGCGGGATAATATTTTGGGATTTTCTCGCTGAATTTGTGGTGTTAGATGAGTTTGTTGTTGTTGTTATATTTATTACTTCCATTTTTATTATTAATTATTTGTTGTCACTTATCTATCATCTTTATATAATCTATTTATTGTCATTATCTCAAATCTACATATAAGATTAATATTGAATTACTCCCGAAGTGAAACCTCACTTGAACCTAGCGCTAAAATATCAATTAAGAATATTCCACAGCCCTCTCAATACATTTAACTCACCATCTCCTTAAGATTCTCGTTGCCTCCATACGGCGATCAATGTTGCGTCTGTAAATTCAAGGCCAGTTTCCCAAATACATGGCTGGCGTTATATACACCACCGCCTCCTCATTCCCCTTTAGTCTGTATTCTTCAATATACGCAGCTGTATGTGGACGGCTTATGAGCGGAAACCATAGAAGTGTACTATAAATATGTCGTCTTTTTCCCTTAACTGTGCTTCTATGGAACTTGATGATAGATTAAACGCGACACGTTATTAGGAAACATCGATATGCAGTTCAAAAGCTACTTGAATAGGAACCTCGAAGTTAAATCCTGCAGGGTGCCAGCATATCTTAGTAAAGATATATTGAAGGAATACATGTTGAAATTTCTGTATATCCGCTGCTAATCAGCGCTTTTCTCATTCTCGTCCTTGAGTATTGTCGATATTCAGTATTCAATTAATCAACAAAGCAAGAGCTTATTACTCATAAATATCATCTTAGGGACCCTATACTCTCTTCCCTAGATCCTAAATGCATATGGTCTCTACAGTTTTTAATCTCTCTTTCCCTCGAGCAGCAGATCGTGTCCTTGTAAAACCAGATTACCCTTTCGCTGCCAATTCATCTCTATAAAGCTCCCTATGCATCGATATATATATACACATGTAGCTGGTACTACTTCTATATTATCACAGTGACACAATATACAAGCAAAAGAGTCCAGAAGTCTCAACAGCTACCAAAACCTGCAAATCCTTTCCATAACTTTCCTTTTCATATGCGCTTCGTAGGATTGATATTTGCCACGTGCACGGATGGTCGTCGAGAAGATAGTATTTTGCTAAGTAACGTTAACGTAACCAATTGAGTGAGGATCATTGCAAGACTCTGTTGACTTACAGAAGTTATATTTTTGCATCCATCAAAACATTCTCGGAGAGAATAAGGTTATCAATACATATAAATAAACACTATCGTTACTTTTTACATTCTGCCAACACTCACTACCACCCAAATCTAACTTCCTCACATCCATCCTCTCTCTCACCACTATCACAAACTCATACAATCCTTCCTTCCTCCTTCCTTCCTTCGCAGATACCTCCAGAAAAGAAAATCCCAGCATAAACTAAGCTTATCACTTTTGGGAAGAGTTTAATATATGAATATATGAATATATTGAGCATTCTATCCAGACATGCTCAGCGACCTAGAGATCTGGATTGATATATTGATATCTTATTCATGACGAAATGGGAAGGGGTTTAAATATAGGGGAGAGGAGAAAAGGGAATGAGATGAGGTGAGATGGTTGTGCTTGCTTAGGAAGTCATATCACTTGTATCATATCATATTCCATGCCTTCGACATATATCCTCCGATCGCCAGCCCAAACTGCGTCGAAGTTACCAGATTGCTAAGCCGAAACCTCAGACTCTTAGAGGGACAAAATTCGAAAACTTTTCTTATTCGTCGTTATTATGGTTTACGCTATGATTCTTGATTAATAATCATTCAATATTCAGGGACGGACCTGAAGATGTTAAGGTAAAATTCTATACAAGATCTTACAAAAATGTATTCTGTAGATTACCTTTGGCATAATTAAGTCAAATATAAGACACACTATCATCCACGCAAATCTATTCTTCTACCGTCGATATTGGTTAGACCATATTAAAGATCACCATCATCATCACCTCTGATCATCACCTCCCACTTCATCAAATGTACCCTCCCTTTTCCTCTCTCTCCATCTCCTCTTCCTCTTCCCCCCTCTTTCTCCTCCCCTCGTCCCTCAACCCCACCCAACACAAACCTCACACCACCTTCCCATTCTCAAAAGCAACGTCTCCTAATATCAATATCTACTCATTCCCAAAACAAGGGACACGAAACAAGAAACAAGAAATAAATATATACCTCCACTTTAATACATCTGACTATAGCTATTCAATAAGGTTATTTATTTAGCATGTGGAAATAAGGCGGTGAATTATAGAGATTCGTTAGGAATTAGAGGAACTTGGGAGGAGGGGGGAGGGTGAATGTAAGATTTAGAAACTATTAGGATTTTTGGAGAATGGAATGATTTGAAGTACTAGATGAATTCTGATAATTGCAAGACGGATATAAACAATTGGTCGGTTGCATATGGTAATACTTAGGATAGTAAAGAATATGAACGCGATTCATGATATATTTCGTTGAAGTATCTAAAGCAGTCCACACACACACCAGCACCAACAAAATGCTATATTCAACTATAAAAATTCCTATTACAAACAACGCCCCCGGTACCATCTATCCTGTACCAAACCATGAGAATATACCCAACTCCCGTACATTCATGCACCCATTCTTTCATTAATTATACCAACAAAGCCTATCCTATATAAGGCCATACATGCACCCATTCTTTCATTAATTATACCAACAAAGCCTATCCTATATAAGGCCATACATGCAACCAGATCACATGGCGAGGAAGCCCAATTTCCCAAAAAGACTATCCATTGCAACCCATTGCCTTCCACATTTATCCAGATATTTATCTACCACATTTTTCAGCGTGCCGAATCTGACGCGATTATGTTCTGCTAGTGCTGAGACAAGTTCTATGAACATATTAATTTCTGGCACATAAATTTCATATAGAACAAGAATAGAGACCTTACCTTTCTCGGTACCCCTCGCATTACCCTTTGCCTTGTCAACATCGAACAAACTAGCAAAGTACAACAGCTGATTATACATCATTTTCTCCGTGTATTCGTATCGCATCTTCCCTAGACATCCTTGAGCCAAGCCCTTTGGCCCTAAACATCTGCGTCCATAAACGCTCATTTGTCTGGTGCGATTACCGCACGCTTGATCATCGCATACAAGCCAACCTTCATAATATTTACATGTTTCTTGGCGGATTTGATGTTCAAGTTGTGTCATGATTGAAAGAGTGGAGAGAATGTTGCCACAGCGACAGATGATGCCGGAGGGAGAGCAATTCTCTGTACTGTTGAGGAGTCCTTCGAATCCGAAAGTAGCTTTACATGATCGACAGCGGAGAGTGAGACGACTGGAATCTTTGAAGCGTACAGAGTCATCGATTTGACTTTCGAGTGGATGAATCTCTGCTTCGTTGCCTCCTGATGAGTTATTGTTGTTGATACTATATTTCCGTGCATCAAGTCCAAGACAATCAGCCAGACGTACTGTATCTGTACCAGAAATGTTTGCGCACAACCGCTCGACGGGTGGAAAAATCTGTTTGTAGAGATACCATTCAACATCTGGTTTGAGATCCGAGTCACGCTTCATCACGTCTTGAGGTGTGAATGAGCGTTTAGCAGCATTCTCAGATGTTTTCCCTTCTCCTGTCACAATGTACGCTATGACATCGTCCTTTCGAACTTGTTTTCCCTTGGCCATTTCGCGCAAAGCGACCTGAACTTGTGGCATGTTGTCAGCATTGGGATAATCCTTAGGCGCTTTTCCGAGTTTCGTGTAGATTGTATATTTCTGGACTGGAACATTCCCTTCTCTCATTTTTGTCGAAATTTCACGAAGGTAATCGTGAATCCGAGTGATAACAGCCTCTGCATCATCACCGGAAAGAATTTCGTTCAACAGTTGAGAGGAGACCTCCTTTGACAAATTACAGTATTCACGACGCTTCATATCCAGACCTTTGACTTCCATCTTGTCAACGAATTTTCCATCAACCTGTACAAGATTGATTGCGGCATATTTCTTCTTTGCCTGAAGTAAAATGCGTCTAAATACATTGTCGATATCAATCTCCAGTAACTTATAACGATCGTTGACGGATTTTTTGAAGTCGTTCCCAACTGCAAGGGCATCCTGAATGTTATCGACGTTGGCATTAATCATGACGGAATCCGTATCACCATAGATGACTTGTAACGATTTGCTCTCGGCCAGATCTTTGGTACTTCGGAGAATCTCACGACCTTTGTATGTCGTGAGAACCGCAAGTGGTCGAGCATAAAACCTAGACTTGGTGTATCCCAAACAACCATACATAGAGTTCGCAGTAAGCTTCAATGCCAATTGCTTGATATCCCAAGTCGCCAACTGCTCCGAGGTCGCATGTTTGTCTTTCATGAGGCTCTTGACTTGTCGACGTCGACTGACAAGTGTGGCAATAAGCTTAGGCAAGATACCTTGTTCCTGATCTGTTGGGACCTCTGGAACCCGATCCTCATCATCGGACTATACACATTAGTACAATGTTTCCTTCCGCAGGAAGATCAAGGACATACCAAGTTTAACCTATCAACTGTAGTGAAGCAGATGTTGAATTCCTGGATAATACTGGGGTACAAGGAATTGAAATCCATGACAAGGACAAATTTGTCGTATAACCCTTTCTCTGGCTCGAAAACTAGACCTCCCTTATACTTATCCTTCTTCTTTACATCTCCACTTTCTTCATCAGCATTCTCTTCCTCAACCTGCTGCTTACCCTTGAAAACAGCTTTGTCAGGGCAAATGTACTTATTGCGATGAAACTCATGTAACAAAATGTATTCGTTGCGCTCGGCTCGAGTACCGGTAAGTGTTCTTGCCCAAGAGTTTCCAGCCAAGTTAGTAAGAACTTTCGTTAAAGGAAGCATTTGAACCTTCAAGGCGAGAGCTGCGATGAAGTACGTATCTGCTTCACAATGGCTGACATAGTCCATTAACCCGTCTTTGTTAGTAGCCCATGTCTTCAATGCAACATCGTTATCGATTTCTCGACGATTGGCACCTGACAAGTAAAGGCTGCACATCTCGGTGAGCGTCCAAGACGTACATTTAGTCATAGTCGATTTTCCCATATCATTGGCTAAGTCACACATGAGACGGCCTGACATTAGCGTTCGCTCTGCAAAGAAATTGCCCCCCATTTTCCCCATGGATCCCGGCCATTGGGTACGCCTCATACGACCAATGCGTGACCACTGTGGAGTCTTTCTGGCCTGAAATCGACTTAGTAGGATGCTGAAATCTACGCCTTCCAATTGGTGGCCAACGAGAACATCTGGATCAACTAAGTCTAGGCGGGCAAGGAAGAAGCTTAGAATCTCATTCTCCTGCTTAACCAGCTTGACCAGGCCTATCGAACGTTGTTTAACTATCCCCTCGAAACCGATAGGAAAATGCGATCCGTTCGGCCGCACGACAGTAAAAGTTTGACAAGGTAACTTTTCCGGCGGAGTGGTGTCGCTTAGTGAAATATTTTGATATATGCGTGCACTGATTGCGAGAATTTCTTGTTTGTTTTCCTTTACATTGAAGACAGTGCGTAAAGCAATACTCATCAAGGTCAAGGGTGGCGCTTCGAGGTTACCGGACTCACTGATGGGAATAATGAGATTCGGTTTCGAAACCTGTACTTCTAATTTGCAGTGAGAAGCATTTTTAAGAGCTCCAAAGTCTGCATCTTCGATCTTTAACCAACATGGACCCATGATGTTCTTCCAGAGAACAAATTGTTCAAAAAGAGGAGTATTTGATCCAAAGACGTGAGAGAAAGTTGAGCCGCTGTGCTGGTCGGCGTGTAATGCGGATTCTAGAGTTGTCAGCTAAGTAGTTAGGTGTCAGATTTTACACTCACTGGAATAGGGGTATAACAACTTCAGATATTCGCCCTCTTTTGGTATATCGGGTAGCTCGAAGGCGTATTTTCTAGTGCAAGGTTTTATTTTGTGCATTCCAACGTTCATTTTCGTCATCATGTCATCAATTTCTTCGTAAACATCCTTCATCTCCACTTCATCGGTTGCGTCCTGCCCATGGCGCTTACGATATTGCCGTGGAAGGAAAAATAGTTTCCTCAGGATGTTATCAACCTTTACAAAACAACTAACAAAATTACCTGTCTTCTTGTTCTTAACTTTGCCAAAAAGACATAAACTGCCATTAATTTCAGTATAATCAGTCCAGAACATATGAAGACTTCCATCTTCTTCAATTGCGTCGTTATAGTCGAGCTTTCCAAACGACATTGTCTCTGAAGGTTGACTACTATTCATAACGTTCAATTTTTGGGTAACATCGTTCCAAGATGACGCATCAACTTCGTCAGCTGAACCGCGGGGTGGAGATGAGGTTATTGGAGTTGTGCATAACTCCTTTTTCAGCTTGGGTGGGGGCCTAGTTCCGGAAATATTGACGCTGGCCCCTGTGATACCATCCGCTTGAGCAACCTCCATCATGTCTTCATCCTCATCCTCTTCTTCCTTGACACTAATATGAAGTCTTCTCTCGACAGCTTTCGCCACAGGAGATGAGGGTTGCGGCTCATCCATTGGCATATCATCATCGTCAATTCCAGCCATGAAATCATCATCATCACCCAAATAAACAGGGGGGCTTGAAGGTGCATTCGTAATATCAGCGGATCGACTATCCGCTACCTTAGTTCTTTTAGACATATGTCTGGGATCGTTTAATGCTGGAGATAAGGCTCTCGTCCTCCTCTTCTCCTGTGTCCTACTGGCTCTCGAAGGTTGGGGTTTCGGTCGAGGAACGTTCATGTCTACCTGCCCTAAAAGTCCTTCTAAGAAATCTTCATCTGCTTTCGTTTTGACGGGCTGTCACAATTAGCGATATGTAAACAGGTCAGACAAATCGCAATTACCTTTGGTTTTTGTTGAGCCGCTACCGGTCCTTTGGTGAAGTAGTTGCTGATACCTTTGTCCATATTCTCTTTTTTGGCTTTCTCTTCTTCACGTTTCCTCTTTGCTATGGGACTGTCAGGTACGCCTTCGATATCCAAGTCTCGAAGAACCTACCAGCCTTTCCATTCTTGCCCTTAACAGGAAGCTCTTCTTCACTTTCGCTACCGTAGCCTTGTCTATGGTCCCGATCCCAATCCTCGCGGCCATCGTCCGCATAACCTTCCCCGTTGTCGTCGATAACGAAATCATCTTGATTTAAGCGATTCCTTACAACTTTCTTGTAACCTTCTTCGTCGACCTCTTCATATAAATCTTCTTCCTGATGTATTTCATAAGTGTCGAGACGTTTCTTTCCAGACTCTCGAAGAGCACGAAGTTCTGCGAACTTTGCTCGCGCAGAAGCGGCTTTCGACATTTTGAATTAACGAGATGATTTGGATAGTTGTTGAAAAGTAGAATTTTGGTTAACTATAACATTGAAAGAAGGGAAATGTAATATTTTTTGAGAGAAAAGTACAGGAATTAGAACCCCGCCACACGTATGTATGTGTATATGATCGTGGATGGATGTATGTATGTACAGTATAGGTTTTGAAATTGTAATTGTAAAGTGGAGGATTGATACGCGAAATTGGGAAGGGGAAATTCAGACGCGATTTGGTAGGATCGCGTACCCCTGTAAAGCTTATCAACACGAAAAGTTAATTAATTTTTGATGACTAATGTGTCACGGATTATTATTAGGCCGTAGCACAAAAAAAAGTATCATAATGGCGAAAGGTTGGGGATTTCTTGATTCTGGGATTTAGGCTTAAAAGATGTTTACATGTCGAGCTTGTACGAGGAGGTGTCTCCAGGCACTCATCAGAGACTCAGCTATCAATACTACACATTCACAACTCATAATCCCGCAAAGACAACTGTATAGATCATTTGCATCAAATGCGACGGATTCTGATAGTTATACCTACCGACCTGTCTCCCAAGATGAAGGGTCCTTTGAGGAAACGAAGAGTAAAACCGCCAAAAGACAGGAGTGGCTAGATTCGAGGGGACAGAGGCCTGTGGACAAGAAGCCAGCTCCAGTCGATCCGAGAATTGACGATAAGTTTATTTGGAAGCTCAAACAACTACAAGATCCCTTGCAGCTCGCCAACTACGTCCGGAAACTTCTTTCGGAGGATGATTTCGAGAAGGCATTACTTTACGTGCGATCTGCGAGTAAAAATGTTGAATGCGTCGTCAGTTGGAATCATTTGATTGAGTGGCAGCTCAGTAAAGGCCAATTGAGTTCCGCATTTAAGACATATAATGAGGTTTGTTACAACCACAACTGATTTGAATTGTGTTGACCATATGACTGTAGATGAAAAAACGAGCACAATTTCCAGACGCGCAAACCTATACAATCATATTCAAAGGCTGCAGTGAAAGTCCGTATACCAAACAAGCTTTCGAGAAGGGATTAGCATTATACACTTCGATGCTCTCTGCTGATTCTCGGCTCAAACCCAATACTATTCATATGAATGCGGTACTTCGGCTCTGCTCAAGAGCGGGGGAAGAAGAAGCCCTACTAGGAATTGCTGCTCAAATGCCTGCCGAGGGTTTCGGCGCACCCGATAATCTCACCTTCACAACTATATTAAATGCATTTCGCTTGAAAGCTCTTGGTCAACGGGACATGCCTGAAAAGGAGGCGTTAAAATTGAAACGGAAAACGATTGATAGTGCGCATCGAATGTGGGGAGATATTTACACACGTTGGCGCAAAGGTGATATATTGGTCGATGAAGAGCTTGTTTGTGCCATGGGCCGGACTTTATTAATTGGTTCGGAAGAAGACCTTGATGATATCCTATCCCTTGTTGAGCAAACTATGAATGTCCGACGTCAAATGCCTCGGCGAGGTACTAAGTCACGCCAAAAGATTGAGCCATCCCTTCAAGGACAGTCTAGACCTGATAGTAAGGCGTTGACTGAAATACAAGATGGCCATAGTAGCAGTCCAAAAGACCTCGATATATTTTCCAGCTCCGGAACTGCAGTGGCTTTATTGCCCAGATCGCATGTTTATGCTACGCCTGGGCAGAACACATTATCTATGATGCTCAAGGCATTATTGACCCTAACCAAGAAGGAGACTGCAACAAAATACTGGCAAATTTTCACAAAAGAGCTGGGAGTTGTGCCCGATCAAGATAACTACCATAGATATCTAAGAATTCTTCGACTCTTCCGATCGAGTCGCGAGGCCTTGGAACTTTTATCGGAAATGCCCAAAGAATTTTTGAAACCTGAAAACTTCCGCCTCGCCATGAGCACCTGCGAGCGCGACAAGAACAACCCCAACGTCTTTGCTACGGCTGGCAAAATCCTCGACATCATGCAAATGAATCTCGAAGTCCCGGACATCAAAACCTTGGTCACCTACATGGACGTCTCCATTTCCTCTTCCCTCACTCGAAAACCATCTGGCAACAGACCCACCAAATACGAACAAGGGAAACAAATCTCCCGCGCTCTCGAACGCGTAGGTCCATCCTACCTCAACATCCGTGCCCTCGCCATGTATGGCAACCCCGTCGCCACCGACTACGATCGCTTACGCGACGTCGACTTTAAAAACGAAGTCATCTTACTCATACGCCGCATAATAGGCGCCTGCGATATCCTCATGGACAAAAGTCTCGTGCCCCGCGACGCCTATGGAGAAATAATCAGTCGCCGCAATAAACTTGTAGCCTACGAAGCCCGCGTCAAACCAGCCCCCGACGGATCCAAAAAATACTCCAAAGGCTACCGATACAAACTGGAACCCGAGGAAGAAGAACAGGAAGAAGAAAACCACAAACCTATCGATCGTCGCACCGACGAATTCTCCAAATTGCAATTCAGAAAGGCCGTTTCAAGGGGCTTGGCTCCATTCGCTGCTACCCAGGGTTATGTAGGTCGTGTTCAGCCTTTTGCAAATAGGAAGTCGAATGTTGGGGCTCCTGCATCGTTTGCGAACAGAAAGCCAAATGTGGAGACATCTGCGAGTTTTTGATTACTGTCATTATCATGTATATGTTATTGTCTGGCGCTCGGAAATGCCGCTTGCATGTTCATGCCATATTTAATTTAATGAAATCACCCAACCTGTACAATACATAAACTAGGTACTCTATACTGTACACATTCGATACAACAATCGATCGATTCATCTACTTCACAAGCAAAGCCGAGCAAAAAAAATATGAATTTTTACAATTGAATTTCATCTTCATTATGGATTAAGTCTTATAATGACAATTTCTCTGGACTGTCTAATCAATACACGATGTGATCCCATTGGGAAATGAATATTTTCAATATAACAATATTGACAAGTGCCCCGACGGTGACGATAATGAATTTTTCCATTGCACCCCATCCATCTCCCTCTCTACCATTATTCACACCTCCAAACGATTACTCCACTCCACTCAATAACAATAACCACCTCAGCTATAATACCACTCAACCCATATAGCAGACCCATCTCTATCTCTCAAGCCCTCTCATCTAAAGATGAATCCCGACTATCCCTCAAACAATACTTACTAACCTCCATCTTCACCAACTTTTCCCCAAACTCCTCGCTAATATCCGTTTCATCTCCGCTCAGATCCGCGCCAAAGAGATCAGTTAGAGAATTTCCCGGTGTTTGAACCCTCTGAATAGGAGTCGAAGTTTTGTGTTCCTCCTTCGCTGGACTATATACTTGTCCTGATGGTGTTACGATTCTCGGCGATTGAATCGGTTGTTCTCCTCGCTTAGGACTCGTGGTGGGTGGTAGGGGAGAGGAACACCGGTTTAAGAATGGATGAGTTGAGTTCGGGGACATCATTCCTCGTGCGTGGAATATATTCACCAGTGTGGGGACTCGCTTTGAATTAGTTCCTTTGTTTAGCACCGGAAGAAGCTCACGGTCTATATACTCTTGCGTCACTGTTTCTACACGAATATTGGTGTCCTTGATTGTGTTTTCCTTCTCTTCCAGGCAATCCTTTCGTCCATCGTTATTTGTACCAGATAATGGTAGTACTTCGTCCGGCTTGGATATTGGTGCCGACGAGATTTCAGCGCCTGGTTGGCCGTGTACATGTGATGCCATACATGCAGATGCAATGCGTGCGTTTTCAGCCTTTGTACAAGTACCAGCCCAAAGTCCCGGAATAACACTGGCTTGCTCTGCTTCACTTTCGAGATTTGATTTGGTTGAATCCAAGCTACAAAGATAAGTTTCGTTCTTGTGATTCTCCAAAGTATGGGTGTGTTCGGGAACCAAGACTGTCAGATCCGCATCGGCAGAAAACACTGCTATATTTTCATCAATTTCACGAAATCGGGCTGATTTTTGATCCCCGCACCCTGCATTCTCCTCGTATAGATCAAAATTTTCCATAGGAAGAATGTATATACTCTCGTTAGACTTGTCTGATGACACGGCCATGGAAGGGCCTTTCCCGGAAATCGCATTTGAACGCTCTCTCCTATGCGGCATATCCCTGTCAAAGTCGAAGATGATATGCTCACTCGCACTTTCCTTTTTCCAGTCAATACCCTCTCGGTTTCCTGAAAACTCGTCGGAAGTTGAAACTCCACAACCTTTATCGTCGCCAAGCCCGCCAGAAAATTGTGGAAATTTAGGCCCTTGTGCAAAGAAGGAATTTGTAAATTTTCTATCTTCTTCAGAAATTTCAACTCCTTGGGATGTGCTTTCATTGTCAGAGGAGTCATCAAGCCATATGCTACGAGTGGCTTCGTCAAAAAGCTTGTCTACCATATCCTGAACGTCTTGAGGAGTTTGACCGGTCAAATTGGCGTTTTCATTAGCACTTTCAGATTCGGCCCAGGCTTTTGCTGCAGTCCCGCAATTTAACTGAAGGTCATCTTCGGCATGTAACTCCTTGCTGGCGGAGTTTTTGCCATCAATGCTGTCCAGATACTGGAGGATTTGCTTGGAGCCTCTGAAAACTGGCGTGGAGCTATCAGTGTGGTTTCCCATGAACAGCTCAGCAACAAAGTCGTCATTAAGCTTTTGAGGAGTCCCAGCTTCCACGCAGAGGCTCATTTCATTGCTACCAGAATTCTCATCGCCAATTACATCCTCTGCACCCTCCTGTGATTGTATACCAGGGGAAGAGCTTCGAAGTGATTCCGTGGAAACGATTTGGAAATCATTTTCTAAATCGGAAAAGTCAGGAAGATCTTGCTCATTCTCATCCCGATCACCGAGTGGCGATAGTGTCGGCCTCCATGCAGGCTCGCGAGTTCTGTACAACGGCTCAATAACTGCAGGCTGACTATCGACATGTAATATTCGCTCTGGTGAACTGTAAAAATATGTGGAATTCTCGTCACTGTTAAGTAATGAAATGTCAAATTTGGCAAGTTCCTCATTCCCGCGCATTTGTGTCTCGTTCAATCTGTTCTCCGTTTCTGAGTAGCCAACACGAACATTTTCCTCTATCTCTGGTTCGGGACAATTTACACGGTCCCAACTTTTGGCCATACCGATAGCTTCGCCCGAGGCGAAAGGCAAAAAGTCGTGTTCCGAGGCATTGTATCTAGCCTCTGAAACTCCCTCATGGCTTTGATTACACATATCGGCCATTATGAGACCTTTTTTGCTGTAGGTCTGTGTTCGGGCCAATTGAGTCTTCGATTCTGGATGGTCAACGCGAACCATATAGTTCGGTACTTCTACGACATCACTCTGGGCGTAAATATGGAAGCAGCGTTCGGAAGCATCGTATTTGATTTCCGAAAAGTCGCCACGGTTCTCTTGGTTCATGTCAGCCATCGCGAGATCGCCGTTGTCGTAAATTTTTGTTCGAGCCCATCTAGTCTTTGTTTCAGGGTATTTAACACGAACGGTGAGGTTTGTCGGAGGTTTAGGAAGCTTTCCCCATGGATGAACATAGATACATGATTCTTCTGGACAATATGTTATCGTATCCGAATATTCGCCCTTGTTTTGCTTTCGTATGTCCGAAAGGGCAAGACTTCCCGTTGGAAAGTGTTGCGCACGGCGCCACTTTGCCTCTGATTGGGGATACCTGACACATATAGGGCCCATCAAGAACTCCTGATTGTTGAATGAACTTATGTTTTCGCGTATCATCTTACCAGCTGATGCGTGCTCCAGGGCATTGGTGTAAAGATCCTCAACCATATTTGAGAAATTGTCCACTTTCTGATCAGAGCCCATGCCAGGTTTATATTCAAGTGCACTTGGATAACTTTCTTCCTTCAAAGGGTTCTCGTTCCAGTTTTCTGACTTGTCTTCCGAGAAGGATGTAGAATGCAGGTTTTCCGTCATTTTATCTACGGTCTGCTTTATACTGCGAGCAATTCTCTGTTGGTCTGATTCCTCGGCGTTAGAAGGAGCCGCCTCTAAGTTTTGACGGTAACTCTTTTGTTCCTCAATATCAGTTATAGAAACAACGTTGACTTCGTGAACATGTTTTTTAGAAAATTGATAAGGGAGTCTTGCTCTACTGTTCAGCATCGCATCTTCAGATTTCACTACGTCTAGCCACATTGGTGGTGACGGAGCTATTGAATCTTCAAACACCAAGCTGGAATCGGAATCAGATCTCACTTTCCGAATTGTGATTATTGGTTGTTCATGCATCCTCTCTGGCGCTTTGGGCTTTTCGATGTTGAGACCGATTAATGAATTCGTATCCATAGAATGGTTACTGTAGATTGGCGTTAGCTTTAAATCCCAACACAGAAATAGCCCTTACTTTGGACCTGACTGGCATTCAGAGATAAAATCTGGACTCAAATCCTTTAGAAAATCAACTGGCTTGGTTGGCTGTAGCTTTTCAGGGGAGGGTGAAGGGGAAACTGCCGCGCCTTTTTCCTTGGGAACTGTTGATGCACGATTGTAGTCGTCAAAAGACTTGATAATTGAGCAAAGGTATGAGTCTGGTGTCTTTGATCTGTCCACGTCTATTGTCGGCGTTTGGCTGGCCATTTGTTCTGCGAATATTTCATCCTGAAGTGTCTGCGCTTGGCTTGTCCCTGTAGCTGACCTGTCAGACATCAATTGCCAAGGATGTTCATGATAGAAAGGCTCACAACTATTTGCGTCGGTACATTCTCGATCACTGAGGAGATCATCGAGTTGTTGATGTTTAAAACCTTCAAGAATTGTTAGACGTGTCCACCGCGTACCCACAGAATATATTGATGAACTTACTTTCGATTCTGTTATCATGACTGGATTCAAGATCGTATACTCCTCTCAATCTTTTGTTGGGAAATCTTGATTTTCCACTCGATGCTGATGTATGTGTAAGACTTAGGTTATCAGCTTTCAAATCTACCAACTCTTTTGCTAATTTCTCGGCAAATACATCCTCTTCACAACACTCTGGCAGGCTTTCTTCGCCGTGTGTGTTTTCTCTCAAACTCACACCACGTCTAGGGGATACCTTGTTAGAGATTGACCCGAGTATGTTAACAATACTCTTTCGTCTTTTTGGAAGCAGTTCCGAAGCCTCATCTTTGAACACATGGTTAGGGTAAAGTACACGCAGTAAGACCATTATTACATACTAATTTGCACTCCTGATTTGAAGGGAGTTGTGGTGAGAGGCCTTTCATTCTCAGGAGTACCGAATTCACTAGATTTTTTGGAGCGAATGGTTCCAAAGAGGTCCCATGTCGAATTTCTGCGGCGAATGGGACTACCAGCGCCGGGAGACTGGTCGTACCCGTCTTCTACATCACCGCTGGATCTCCCGCGTGTCTTCAAGCTTCTTAAGCTATCAAAAAGTTGACGAGCTTTCTTTTGAGAAGATGTTCGTCCCAAATCCTGGACTTTATGTGAGTTCGGCGTACGAGGAGTTCGAGGAAGAGGTTTGTTCTCATCGTTGGTCTTCTCGGGGGTTTGGAATGATACGGAAATCATGTCTGCTTTTCTCGGTTTCAGGTTTTGCCTATACTTCATTAATTAAAAGAGCACAGCTTCAACAACGCGAGTATATGGATCACGAGGGGCATGAGAAGAATGATGAAGTATGTAGATTGAAAGATGCCTGAAAAAGAGAAATCTCGCGGGACTTACGCATGCTCTGTTAACCAAAAAATCCAAAAAGAAGTGAACTTGTAAGCTTTGTTCTGGTTGTCAATTGGAGAGAATGAAAAGGAAAATGAAATGAGACTCGAGAGAAAAGGAGCCTACCATTGTGAAATAGAAAGAGCAAAGAGCAAAGAAATAAACTTATTTGTGTGTAATTCGTGCCTACCTAACTTGGAATATCACATATAAATAAATATCAGCTGTTTCTGAACTACGTACAGAAATTCCATCTTTTCGTCCGCGCAAAGTGACGACAGGCGTATATATAGTATATACTCCGTATGCATATATATACTGTATGCATATATACACCGTATTCCGGATAATACGTAAAGGGGGGTCAACGTGGGTAGCGGGCTAAAGAAAATCCCCTATATTACGCGGCCGCATCTTCCGCATTGCTTTTATCCGCGTACTGTGACCTTAAACTTTCGCGACCTGACCTGAAGATTGAATTAAGACTACCATCCATCCCCATCCCCATCAGCCTTACTTAATTCCTGTCTTCAACCTCAGAGATATTATAACGAATTCTGAAGATATTCACCCTTTTTTTGAATATTGTTTTACGAGACTTCTGCAAGTTTATTAACCTTTCTTCAAACAAATAATAGGTAGTTGCAGCACAGCACTATGGCACCCAAAACTGACATCCCCGATTTCAATGGATTCATTAACAAAGGTGAGCAATCTCAGTCTGAGTACTTGATAATTTGATATATTGTGAACGACTGACCATCTCACTAGGACGTGAGCGCCGTAAGGATGAGCTTCTAGCCAATAAATTCTTGGGCAAGAATCGTCGGGCGAGTGCGCCAGGAGCAACAAACAATCGCAAGCCGGGCACCGGTCCCTCACTTGCCAGCAGAATGGGCGTTGCAAAGGTATGAAGTCACCGGCAGGTGTCTACAAATCGTGCATCTAACAATGAATAGCGTGGCCCAGCTGTGTCCAAACCTGCACCTAGGCAAAACTCCACACTCGCTGGCGGAAACGTTAATGCGGAATGGACACATGATTTACACTCCTTAAATAATCCAGGCGCTCCTCGAGCCTCCCAAGTCCCTCCCCGTGGCCCAAGAAACATCAATTTGCGAACGCGCAACGATCGACTTGTGAAAGCTTTGAATGGTTCTGCATCAACACCAAACTTGAACGCTCAATATAATATCGTTGGGAAGTCGAAGCCGGCTACTGGAAGCTTGTCTATCAAGGGACTTGCGGGGCCATATATTGTGATGGCAGAGAACTTCGCGCGAGGCACTTCTGTGCAAGATATCGAGACAGCCATGACACCAGTTGGCGGAACTCCATTGAGCTGTCGCATTATTTCTGACTATCCAAGAGTCGTTGCAGAAATCATTTTTGATACAAAGGATGGGGCTGACAATGTTATTGATACATTCAACAATCAAGAGGTATTTGGAGAAAGGATATTAATGTATTTTTGGCATTACTGACGAGGCCATAACAGGCGGACGGTAACTTACTGTACGTTTACAGCAAGACTGGAGCTATTACGCATATACCCAAACTCTCCAACCAACGTGCCGCAGCTCGATTGAGCGTCCCTACTGGCCCAAAGGCTAGCCGTGTCGAACGTGGTTCAGGATCCGACAGTTACGATTCACGATACGACAGTTCGCGAAGTTCCCGGGAGGATATTATTGATGGCTCGTACGGATTTGACGATCGAATGGATACCGATGATCGGGATGGTGGCAGTCGTAATAACAATGGCAGAACCCAAGGTCTCTACAGTGACAATCTTGTAGGAGGACGTACCAACAACAGCAATAATCGCAATGGCAACAACTGGACTACTGGGCGAGGAAATGATAGAAATCGCAACTACAGATGATCATGAGATATGCGGTTTAGAATTAACTTTTCTCGTTTCCGGACTGTTAAAAATCACGGGAATGTTATGAATATCTCATTTTGAGATTTTATGATGTAAGACAGCATTCACAGGATTGCATAATGAGCAGCGATCCGGAAGTTAGATACATAAAGGCATTCGCGATGCCATTGTATCAAGGGTTTTTCATGTCTACATGGAGTTCTGGGGGATAGGACTAAAGCCACAATACCTTGGGTTACCTTGCGGTTAAATACACCCGTGTATAATACCAAATACCAAATAAAGCATGTTTCCTATGATATCCAGCTGTCATCAAGTTGATCATTTGAAGTTCCTGGCTTGACTACATCAGGCAAGACTGACCTTCCTAATCCTTGTTTTTGAGATTTTTGGTCTTCAGTATGTGCAACGTCAGATGGCTGTGACTCTTTCTGTGTAACTTCCAAGTTGGAAATTACGAGATATCACAGGATTCAAGTATTTATGGCTATATCTACAGATTACTTCTTTCTTGAAAGTCCTTGATATTTGATATCTCTACCCGGGCTCATGCATAGTGCCTGTTCCATAACATTTGTATTTCCCCCTTTTCCTCTGCTTAATTATGCTTCACTCCCCACAAATCTTAGTCCTTGCACCTCCTTACTACTCCGCCTAGCCAAAACTGGTGAACCTACGCAAGAAGCACACACGCAGTAGCACTCGTAGAATATTAAACACGAACGCCATTTTTGACATTATTCTGTCCAAAGAAGCTTCCCTTTAATCTGGCAGGCGAGGCATAGTATTAGCTAGCTTTGCAGGCTTTAGATACCCTCAGCATACCTTCATCCGATTTCTTACTTTTATACCCCTCTTCTCGTAGAATTTGATTTTTCATCAGCTAACTACCCCGCCGGCGAATTACCGCCTAACCTAATCTCCCGCAATACGAGCACTTTTCTTTCACATTTTCGAGAATTAATAGATGACCCGACCCGTATCTGGGAATGCCACTTTTTTTCACCATATCTTATATTTTTAGTAACACCACCACTTCCACCTCCACTTCCACCCACACATGAGCTTTTGAATGCCATATTTTTCGTCATGTAAATATGCGGATGGATGGGAAAGGAGTTTTGTTGGCGAATATGTAACCTTAGAGGGTAGAGGATACTACGGCGAAGATGTGGAAGGTTGCATACGCGATTGTAATCATCTTACTAGACTTGGTAGGAGTAAATGTAAATAGCATATCTAAGGTATATCGAAATTATTGTCCAGTCAGGAAGCAACAATCGATCCAACCCCGCTTGGTTTGCTTCGAATTTGAAGTTGACTTGTGTAATCTTATAGCTCTATGTTTCCTGGTGTTTATTAGTTGTTAAGGTTATAGCGCTTGCTGGAATTTTGTGGGCGAGGTTATAGAGTGTTGTTGGAGTTGTCCTTAAGGCCGTAATTTAGATATGGCTCAAGAGCCCGTGGATCCCATGTACTAAAAGCTTTGCGGAAATACCTAGCTAGCTTTCAGTTTTCTTGTGTGTATCCCAAAGATCGCCTCGCATAGTCGACACAGAGAGCAGGGTCTGACTCGCCATTTCAAGTTCCGGATGTCGTCATCACGGGTTCGTAAAGAATCGAGATAGACAGTAGACGTGGATGCATAATCGGTATAGCATTAGATTCGGTATGTTTTGGAACTTTTCAGGCCATCACGAACTTTTCATCACCTTGAATATCTTCACTCAATATCCCGCTAGCTCATTGATTGGAGCAATATGCCACCCGTATACTTCGTGTATGTACGTTGCGCGAGAGTAAATTGCAATACAAATCTTCTTCCCATAATGGTTCGTAAGTTTCCTGAAATTCGGAATTAGTCTATGGGAGTTTTGACGAACGTGTTGAAGAAAAATTATATACCTTAGGAAAACCACTACCATACACCCAAATAATGTTAAGGGAGTTTTCTGGGACTGGACTGAGAGAATTTATAGGAATAAATTGCTTAATAGGAAGCTGGAAGATATCCTCTTCTTGGTGCTTGGTTCCGTTGGGATATTCTCGGATGTGCTGGTCGGGGATAACATGCTCGATTGCTTTGAATGTTGAAGCCATCTCGATTCTCAAAGCTGAACTAATTAAGATATCATCAAGAGCGAGTGTACTAGAAAAAAGCCAACCATAGGAGTTTAGCAGAAAAGGTATGAGATTCAAATACTAGATGCATGCATCATGATGCAAGGCACTTTAGGCACAATGCATCTGGTGCGACGTTGGCGCTGCTTACCTAGCTTCACGAATGAATATTGAGTAATTGTTTTGAACTTGATCTTTGTGAGATTGATCTAATAGTATTGTTTCATCATTGATTTTGATATATTGAGGGGCTGTTTTGTTACCGGTGTCGGTATTGTGGGCCTCGGACTTCAACCAGCAATTGCTTCATCGAGCAATGCCAACAAGCACGTGTAACTAAGCTAGCTTATTTTACCTACTCTGCCAGGAGATCTCAGACTTCTTCCCATCAACACCAAATTACACGCGAAATAAAACAACAAGCCCACATCATGACCAACACGCATTCTCTCCCCATACCAGGTGTTAAACATGGAGAACGCATGGCCCTTTCCATACTGGACGAGAGGGCACAAACGGATCCCCAAAGTCCTTGGGTCTCAGTACCAGTAGATGAAGAAGATATTTCTAAAGGATACAAAGATATCACGTATAGTCAGTTTGCGAATGCAGTCAATCATGCTGCACACTGGTTGGTGCAACATCTTCCAGCATCGCAGGAATCTTTTGAACCTTTCGCTTATGTTGGCCCAAAGGATTTGAGATATCCTATTTTGGCTATGGCTGCTGGAAAGGTGGGCAGAGTGGTATGTTATATTCTCATTAGGCATCGCAAATTTGTTTAAGGCTATACTTATTTTGTCGCGTTCGGGTGATAGATGGTTTTACCTTCGCCGATGATGACACCAGAAGCACAACTTCATATCTTAGATACGAAGAAGTGTAATCTCTATGTGAGACCAGACAGTATGGAAAAAGTTGTTGATAACACTGTTTCTCGCCGTGAAGGTCTTCAGATAATCTCTGCGCCAAAACTCGAAGAGCTGCTTCAAGACAAAGAGGCACAGGGCTTTATTTATGATAAGTCTTGGAAAGAGGGAAAGGACGACCCTTGGTTGGTATTTCATACTTCGGGGACAACAGGTAATATGACTCTCGCTTTAAATGATCATGATCATATTTTGATGTGGCTCATTTAGGATACCCGAAGCCTATCACATATACGCATAGGATGATGGCAACTCCGGATGTGGCTGTGAAGTTGACAGGGGACGATGAGTCGCATATGCATCATTATGCATTCAAGAGATGGTATACTCCTTTACCAATGATTCATGTGCGTTGCCCACGGCATTTTTCAAAGCATTCAGCCATCCATGCTTATAGCTTATATTCGTGAACAGTTTGTTGGAATGTTGATTGTGTTATCTATGACTACCTTTGTTCAGACAGTGGTAGTCCTTGGACCATCAAAGGTTCCACCAACGGAGAAGACACTTAATGATATCTTCAAGTTCGGTCGTGTCGATGGTGCCCTTCTCGTACCAGCTATTATTGATAGGTTATGTCGAGACCCCTCTGGACTAGCCGCATTGAAAAGCCTAGAATACGTCCATTACGCTGGTGCACCGCTAGGTGCGAACAGCGGTAAGAAGCTAGCCCCGTTTGTTAAGCTGGTCCCCTGCATCGGTAGCACTGAAGTAGGTGGATATTTCCACAAAGTTCGAAACGAAACGGAAGATTGGGACTATATTGAGTTCAACACGAGCGCCGGGGCCGAATTTGAGCCACGACCTGGCAACCTTTTTGAACTAGTGTTTGTGCGGAGACCTGAATGTGCAGCCATGCAGCAAATATTTCTCTTATATCCGGACCGAGACCGTTTTGAAACAAACGATCTTTGGACTGAGCATCCGACTCGTAAGGGATTATTCAAGATTGTTGGTCGAACAGATGATTATATTCCTTTGTCCCACGGAGATGGCTTATATGCATCGACTGTGGAACGCGAAATCGAACGCCATGAACTAGTTCAGGCGGCTTTGGTAGGTGGACATGGCCAACCAAAGCCTGTCTTGTTGATCGAGACTATTCCAGAGGCGCGCATCCAAGGATCTCATGCGGAATTCGTGCAGAGCTTACTACCCTATCTGGAGAAATCTAATGCTCTATGCCACGATTCTGTGCGGATTTTGCCCGGATTAGTCTTGCTTGCGAAGCCTGAGAAACCTTTTGTGCGGACTTTGAAAGGGAGTGTGGCAAGAATACCGAGTTTGAGTCTTTACGAGCAGGAGATCGCGGACGCTTATAGCAGTATCCTCTGAGGCCGAGGCATACGAATTTTTATTTTGAAATAAGATTTATGTGGTTTATTATCATGACTCTCCAAACGGCGATAGCTTAGTTTTCTTTTTAAATATCTAGGGACTCGATCTTTTGAAGTCAAGGCCAAGAATACAGAATTTTGACTTTAATAACCTCATGTTAAAAGAAGTTAAAATTTCTAGCAAAACACCGAAACGGTTTTAAAGAATCACATTCTTTTAAGAAATTCTTTTTTTCATACTCAAGATATCCAGTCTCTCCGGACCTGGCGGTCCTAACTGAAAAAGAAGTCCTGTTTCAAGCAACCATACTAAAATATCTATAACCCAAGTAATTGATTTCAATAGTTTCTTTACAGGAAAAGGCGGGGAAAGAGGAAGCGGGGGCCTTTAGTCGTTGTGTTTTGGATGTTGGGATCGTTATACAGGTAGTAATACTAGGTTCATTGTGGTAGTATCAAGTATAGGTAATTAGTTAGTCAGGGATTTTTGCCGAGATGGTTAGTAGTGGGATTGAGGAGGAAGCATCATTAGTCAGGGCAGTTTGAGAATGAATATGAGGTTTCGATAAAACAAAGCCATGTATGATACACGTAAACTCCAAGAACATCGAAAGTGTCAAAAAATATCTAGCGCGGTGGATTTTACATTGGTATTGCCCTAAAGCTAGCGCGACAAATTAACGAGGAGTAGCACTAGTGAGCTAGAAAGCGAAAGCGAAAGCGAAAGCAAAAGCTATAGATGATTAAACATGAATCATCATCCGACAATTCTACAAAATATGTAACCATCAAAGCCACATCAAAATCACAAACCACACATAGCTAAAAGTAACGCGGTCATTCCCTCCTCCATATTGACGTCGCCCAACCAACCAACATGGCCCTGCTTAGACCCATTACTTCCGCTTCCATATTTAGCGAAAATAGCCGGACTCTGCTGTCTCCCACCGCCACAATAAACTCGATCCTCGGGCTTGACATTCTCCAAACTGACTGCTTTCATGCTATAAGACTTCAGTTGACCTTGAAAGTGCGGGGGAAGGTTTGTCTGGCTATTGGGCTTGTAAGTATCTCGAATATAATTGCCAGATTTCCAATTTAGTGGACCCCAGATCTTTCTGAAGTAGCAGTCAAAGGTGTGAGGGTCGGCGAAGCTCGGCATCAGAAAGCCGAATATCAATGTTCCTCCCGAGTTGACATAATGAACTAGATGCTCATTGATGGTGAAATATTGTGGTTCCATGATAGCCGTGTCAGTGACTATAATGACGCTATACTTGTGAATTGATTTTTCAACGTGTTTCACTGCTGATGCGCCTTCCGTCACCTCTTTGACCGCAGCTTTGGAACGAAGCTTGCCAAGAACAGAAGCGTACACTTCGTCGAACCAAGACTCCTTAGCTAAGGATATTAAAAGAATGGAAACAGCTTTTTCACGAATTTCTGGCATATTGAGCCCTTCAAGGACTGCATTTATTCCATCTTTGTCCCATTTGTATTTGGCTGCTCCTCGAAGACCTCCAGGATCTTTATTGAGAGCCGTTTCCTCAAACCAAGTCATTAATTCTTGCTGCTCTATTGTCGGCCTGTCTGCCTCATAGGCTTTTATCAAATCGTTCCATCCACTATGTCCTCCTACATCCTCTGCACATCCGTGACCTTCCCCACCCAGAACTACAAAGTTTGCTGTTGGATCTGCACGTCCACCACAAATTATAACATGCTCCCAGTTATCTCCATAATCATACTGGTAATGTATGGTTTTGCCTTTTGTTGCTTTGCTATCTAAGACTTGGTGAAGCAAAGTGCGACTGCTACATTTGATCGGTTCTGCTGTTGCTTCTTCGGGTAGCATGCCTGGAGCGCTAATCATGAAAAGTATTGATCGCGGACTAAGGATAGAATCGGAACCCATAGTTTCGCTATGATCGAGAACTCTAAAGTGATGGAGATGACAGCTCTTCCAACCAAAGGACACTTGGAGCGCATTATGCAAGTCGGCAAAAGAAGCCGTAGCAGGGCATGAGATAGTTCGTGTGACACGGGGGTTGGTAAGGTATCGAGGAGAAAGATCAACTCTCAGGATGAAATTCTGTCGCATGCATGATGCTTTGTGAGTTGGCCAATCTCGAGTTTGACAGTCATTGCCTGTTGGTAACATGTTAGCACGAACATTCTTAGAATATCTTGCAGTAAGGCTTGACTCTTCCATCTGATTTTGACAGTAAAATAGTCAGATGCCTGTAAATAATTCACCAACGACCTATTGTTTTTTTAAAATGCAAAACACTCGGATTCTTGCTGAGTACAAAGTATTGACAGAGTTTTGACGCAAACCCTAAGACAACAAAATACATACCACAATATTCATGAGAGCGACATTGACTACAAAGACGGACTTCAATACCACAATTGTGACATACAGCACACTCAGTAGCCATGGTTATGTTGATTCAGATCTCGATAATTGTGGCAGATTTGAAGAAGCAGAGCGTCTCTGTTTGCTTAATTTTTGATTTCAACTTGGAGGTTATAAACTGAGAAGGGTGCTAGCGGTACCAAGAAGAGAAGTCACCAAGAAGAGAAATTACCAAGAAGAGAAATTACCAAGAAGAGAAGTTGCCGTATTGATGAAATTGACATTTTCATAATATGGTTGTTCTCGGATAACTTTTTATCCAGTAATTCTATTCTGTAAGATGACGATCTACGTAAATCAGTAACTTCTGATAACTGGCACAAGTCTAACCTGCTGAGTATGGAGGTATTCATGAGGTTAACCACAATCACCATCACCCGTCAACCATAGAAGTAAGTACCCCCGCTGTCAATAATCCTGCAAGCCTTGTACTTATTAACATGGGTTAAAGAGGAGTTATTAATCTGATATTATAATGGAGCCATCTGAATCCAATGTTTCCCCCAAATCTTTATTATCCAAAATGAAACTGATTTGAAAATTTCTTGTTCATTTAACTTGACGATCTTGAAAGCCTGGAGGACATATGAATACGCCCGCATACGCCAATTTTTAATATATTTCAAAGCCACAGATTTATCAGTATATATTGAACAAAAGCTCCTGTTCATATATGACTTCAGGTGCACGCCATTAACGAAGTCCAATAAGTGCATCGGATAATGCACCCAATTGCCTCAGCCTAACACAGGCAGGAAATCGAAAAGGAATGTTGGCATTGTTGATAGGTTTACCGGACGGAGTCGTCTTGGGACGTGTACACGCAATTCGTGTGAGGGTAATATCTTGCACTGTACTGGCACCTCGACCAGTGTTGGGAAGGGTACTTTTGTCTTCGCCTATCCTCGAGAGCCATGTCAAAATACATCGTCGTTTTGGCATATCGATATATCTGGGGAAAGCACTATGTGGAATTTGTATCATAGTCAGCCTAGCAGAGCCTTCTGAACCAGTTGTCTGATCAATAGAAAGACCTAAGGGCTATAAGTCTCTATAGAATATATCACGGCTGTTTCAATCCTCAATGCCCTCTCACAATCAGAACCTGAAGTTCTCTATTGGGTTTTGAGCCATGGTTGATGGTCAAAAGCCGTGTGGTTAAGGCATCATTTAATCAATCTACGGCGTCCGAAAAATTTGGATACTTCTTCGCCACTTCGGCGAGATGGAAAAGGAAGTTGCTCGTTCTATCAGGGTTCCTATCCAATTAGATACCCTTATGTATCATTTACAGGCGGATTGTATGTATTTGATCCTTCCTGACGACGCCATAGAACCCTTGGTACGTTTTGTTCCAGGCCTTCTCGAATATATTGCAATCTGAAATTCAGTGCTTCCTCGGTGAATATCTCCTGCTACCAGATTGAATTATTCCTGAGCAGATTAAATACGAGGTTCATGCGTTCAAAACATCATCCTTGCTAATATCTAGTGATTCTAGTAAGGAGAAACAAACATGAGTCTTTTCCGTGTTACTTTAGAGTCGGGTTACACGGTTAATTATCTCATCTATGTCTGCGGTTCACAATGCATCCAAAGCGGACGCAGTATTCACGTATTCAAGTGATACCACGTTCTCACATACCGGTCCATCAAACGAAAGGGCTAACTGATCCATGACACATAGAGAGTGGATATGCAAGGAGTATTTTGATCATCAGTGGAGCATTGGCCGCCTGGATGGGAAAGAATATACTCACAATGATACAAAGAGCGGAGAGAACCTATGGCATAAAGAATTGAGAAACAATTATTCTGAAAACGAATGATGCTAATAAAGATAACGGATGACATAGATAAAAAAAGACTTCATTGTGGATAAAGAGATTGTAGTTTTCACAACCATCAATGGAAATGGAGTTACGCGAAGGGCGAGTTGATAAACACGCGAAAGCTTGTGATGTTGAAACATCCGTGATGATTGATTGTTCTATTTCATCAATATCAAGATTACCGTAGTATCAATCACCTATTATCAACTTCGACAGAAATCATGTCAGCGCCTCTTCCTACAGAGCGTGAAATGGCGATACGAAGGGTATTCGACCCTCCTTATTTTGTTACCCATATCATTGAATTGATCAACAAGGCTATCCATATGAAAGATATACTAGTGATGGGGCTCCTTTTCCTAGCATATCAAAAGGGCTTCATAGGATACTATGATATAAGGTTGTTTCAAGAACCATTCGAAGAATGTGGCAAAAGAAAAGGATATGGAATCAGTGGGAAGGTAACAATCAGGGCTAATCGCCCACATTGCGACCGAGCTTTTACAGATCCTGATGGGCTGCTGATGGTGTAGCATGGGTATATGTTTATAGGTGATCAGGGCTATCAATTAACACACGATCAATTGACAGCGATACCACGATCACCATACCCCTCCTCCTGCTGCGCCCTCTCCTCCTGCTGCACCACCTCCTCTTCCAGACCTCGATTTACCACCACCCGCGACAGGTGGTGTCCCTGTGGTCCGTCCAGCTCATGAGCAGGCTTTACCACCAACAGTACCACCAGCAGCCGCAGCGGCAGTAGGCGCAACCCCTCAATTTCCACCACGTTTTGAATTTGGAAGAGGTATCATTTTTAGTGGTTGAGTTTTTGGTAATAATTGGTTGACACTTAATTTTGATCGGAGAAATAAAAGGTGGGAAGTAGAGAATCTAGAAGAAGTAAATTCAGAGGGAGGAGGAAATGGAGACGAGGCTGGTAATTTGGATGAGAGTGATGATGAAATTGAAAGTGATGAAGTTGGGAGTGATGCAACTGAGAGTGATGAATTTGGAAGTGATGAAGCTAGGCCTGTTGAAATTGAGAGTGATGAAGCTGGAGTTAGTGAAGCAGGGAATCCGATTGATGGTGGTGGTGATGAAATTGAAAGTGATAAGGCTGGGAATTTTGCTGATGGCGGTGGTGATGAAATTGAGAGCGATGAAAAAATGAGGGATATCGATGATGGGGACATTGGCGCAACCACTCACGGCGACGACGATACCATTGCGGATCGGGCGGGGAAAAACCCGGCCGACGACGGAAGTATTGAAAACGAGTATAAACGCCCTGAAGATGGATACGAAGATGGACAAGAGATTGAAAAAATTTGACAAAAGTAAAGAGCCTAAAAGTACCCAGATAACATTGAGAGAGCAGAAGTTGACTCATAAGCGTTATAGACTTTGTAGATATCCAGAAAAGAGGAGAGCATATAGAGTTTCTTGAATGATAGATACTGATTTTTGTAAGATTACGAGAAAAGTTAGGAGTAATATAGAGTATACTAAGACTTGCAATATTCCATGGTGATAGAAACAAGAAACAAGAAAGTGTGACTGAGACCTTAAATAAAGTAAGGCGAAAATGGTTGGGTATGGGTAATATTAATATGAAATTCCATCAGGATAATACGGGACAGGCCAATAGTAATGCCTCTGTGGTCGCCATCCTATCCCATCGCGATGTCCTCGACTGGAGGAATGTACCCCAGCAACTTAGTTCTAGCAACTTTGCTAATGTGGATGTGGGCACACGAACTGATCCATCATCCCCTCCAGACTAGACTATTGCACCTTTTCATTTTCGGCAGTCGAACAAGACAATTCCGAAGAAAAACGAATGGGCAAATTCGATTATCATTCTTTTGGACAAGAATTTTTCGACCTTTCATACTTTAGGAATCGAGTTGTTTAAGAATCTTAATCCTTTGAACGATTCCAACAATATCGAAACCGATATAGATATCTTTAGGCTCGAAGAGCGGCGATAATGCGATATTGCAAGATTGCGTATCACAATAAGTTAAGTAAGGACAATTTTCTTCCTGTGCTGACTTGAAGGAAGAGTATGTATATTGTCATTCGTCAAATGATAATTATTGAAAAATGGCCACATCTTAATGTATTCTTTGATTCGCTCAGCCCCCATCCTAGATTTTCGACGTTCTATTCTTGGATTTTGCTACAAATTCACATTAGCCCAAAACCAGCATCAATACAAAAGGAAACTCGATAACTCACCTTCCATCTCCTTCCTCTTAGCCTGAAATCTTGCATTGGGTGCCCCGTCAACAAACCTTTCAGCCAATGCATCGATAGAGTTATACACCGCCAACATCCTTGAATCTCTTAATGGCAAATTTTGCAGCCTCTTTGCCTCCATCATACTTTTCCCATCATTAATATTCAACATGGCCTCTAGATATTCCGTGACCTTCTCCTCGAACCCTTCATTTTCAAATATCTGATTAGCAATGCCAAACGATAATATCTCGTCAGCGTTAAGTTTCCTTCCAAACATGAGGAATTCATTAGCACGATGAACACCCATGGATTGGGTTAGTGAGATAGCCGAACCACACTCTGGAACCAAACCCAGCGCTGAAAATGGGATTTCGAGGTAAGTTGACGTAGATGCGATGACTATATCAGCTACTCCAGGGAACCATGCTGCGCCAGCTCCTACTGCCGGACCATTCATGGCGAGAATAAACACTTTGGTGTGATCAATTATCGAACGCATAAGTTCGAGAGCTGGGCTGTTAGGCTTTTAAGGTCGGTCTTGGGGCGGGGAACTGCTTACCAAGGGTAAATCTGGAGAGATATGCAATTTTCTTTTCCGCAGCGTTGGCATAGTTTGTCTCACTAACTGGTCCACCATTCTCTAGGTATCACATGTCAGTACGTTCGTAATATGAGAGTTCGAGTGAAATACACACGTCTCACGTCCGCACCGGCACAAAAGAATCTCCCTTCACCGGTCAAGACGGTGAAGACCGTATCGGGATGCTCATTTAGTTCCCGGAGAGCAGCAATTGTTTCCGGAAGTAGAGTCCCTCCAAAAGAGTTTAGAGCTTGGGGACGATTGAACTAATTGTATATTAGCGAAAATTGATGCCGAAATAGCATAGATATATAACCTTAATAACACCAATCCGGTTTTTGATGGTGACGATGATATCTTTATGGTTGTTCTTAGACATGGTGATTACTGCTAGGTAACTCGGTGCACGTGGTTGGCTACGCTGGAGATCTCAATCAATAAATCGTTTTGGTGCCCTAGGATACACAGATGAGGTATAAATTTCACTATTGGCGAAGATTCACAGTGTTTTGAATGAATGCATATGACCCTCAGCAGGAAGTCGGTTTGAAAATAAAGGAAAGGAGGTTGGACAATACGGAAGAGCTTACTTTCCGGATCTACCAAACCACCAACCCCTGTTCAAACGTGGGGAAAGCTAGCTTCCGAGGTATCTCTCTCATACCGAGAGCCAATAGCCGAGACGTGTATATCATTCGATGCTCAAGATAATCTGTGCTTGCCCGGCCAAATAAATAGGGATCAGTATCGATATGATAATCGAGAGGCATTGGATGTAAACAATATATGAAAAATCTTTGATTAGTTGAAACGCTCGTCTTAGATCCCCGGGTTGTGGCGCAGTGTGGCTGGTGTGCGTACTACATCAGTTACATCACAGGTAGTCACGGTAGTGTACTGAATGACATGAAGACTACCTATGCAGAGAGAAGCTGAGGCGGAAGTCGTAGGATAGTTTGAGCGGATAACTCCTCGTTGAAACGTTTATGGTAAAAAGTCCGAATCGCCCGGGCCCTTGCACGTGATATTCTTGGAACTTTCATTACCTTTAGACGACGACGAGCCAATTGACATTTGAGCTCTCCAATGCAAATGCAAAAAGGATATTCAACATCTGTTCAACGACAAAAAATATTCGAGAAAAGCAATAGTGAAGATTTTATCCTTCATGCACGGGTTCCACCGCTAGTGCAGTCTACAGTTTCTCTAAACTCAAGGCCAGAGTACACGCATCCGAACTCTTAATGCTTCAAAAGCTACGAATCTCCAAGAATAATATGATCATTTGAGCGGATCCATTGTTTCAAATGAATTCAATCTTTCGCGTTGAGAGTTCAAAAGCTCTCATTGTTAGACTGCAGTTCCAACTATTAAGCACCTCTGCTCGCGGGATCGTATCCGAATGAAGTTCAAGTAGTCATGTTGGGGAAACAATGGTATACGCCCAAATGGATCTTAAAGTTGTGACAAGGTCAATGAACTATGACATACGATATACGGCGTATGACGTGAGGCTGAAGACTTCAACAATTTACCATTCCCATGGCAGAAGATTTGGAGCCCCTGGACATAGAGCCATAAAAACGTGCAAGGCACCCCCCCTTCCATTCATCCATCTTCTTAATTTCTCTGTAGCCTGTCTCAAGCAATATTCCTGTCGGTAAAGATTATTTGTCATAGAGGGCTTCAAGTTCTGTCGGAAACCAAGTGGTCTTTTTGTTACGGCTCAAATGTTCCCGGGTATCGATTGCCAGCGGAAGATCTCATTTAATCAGTGCCCGCTCCGAAATTACCAATCCCGGTAGGAAGGATCAAGAATAACAGATCATGGAATTTGACTTTTAATATCACTAACATTCGACCAAGTGTAAGGGCTAATCGTTAGCTACCACACCCAAACTTTTACCGTATAAAAGGATTGATCTTGCTCCAGCTCAATCTATATTTCTCAATCATATTGTGAGAAAGTTGGAATTATAGGCCAAATACATAGAGGTTTTTAACCAGTCAATCATATGACCTCCTGTAATTAGATATAAAAGGAGAGCTTTTGCCTCTTCTTTCTACAATAATCAACTCTTCCAGAGCCAGACTCCGAGTTTTGAAGTAAAATCGAAACACAGAAAGAACTCCCACCTCCCACGTTCCTAGAAGACCTTCTTCTGAACAGCAATGCCTATTTGCCTTTCTCTGGCTACCTCTTAAGCTTTAAGCGTTCTCCTTGCGAATCACAGTTACAATAAATTTCCTAGGTTATGATATAGGATGGTTTTGAGTATAGGCATTTACTATAGCTTGGTTCGGGCATTACAGGAAGCGAGATAAGATACCAAAGAGCTTTAAAAATGCTACGCAACGGGTACCCGCGGGGCGAATTATTGCTTTTATCTATAATAATCTGTAAATGATTCATTTGTGACGCAGCATGAATTATGGAAAATCCGAATAGGTTATTTACAGAACGGATTATTTAAAATATAAATGAATAATTTACGGAGTGGATTACCTATAGATATCTGCAGGTTGCGGATTGTTTCTGCACAGTCTAGAGATGAGTAGGGCGAGAACTTGGGGTAGGATGGAATAAACATAAAGGCAAAGATTCGATATTTGTCCTGTGTATATGTTTATCATTTGATATAGGATAAAGTATAATTGATGCAGTATCTGTATTTCCTGATAAACAAAGATTCATCATCTTTGAAGCACCGGAGATATAATTTAAGAGACTTTTTAGAAGATAAAATTCAAAAGATTTTTAGCAAAATAAATACCAAAATTAAGACACAGATTCATATTTATCGTGTAATCAAATTTGGGCTAGTGAGGAGGAGATATAGTTAGTGGGTGATCTATATAAGACTCTATATTTATAGTGGAATATCTGTATTAAAATTACGATATTTGATGATAAATACTTAGGTAGGTTGAGCTTTATTATCTTTGAAGAACTAGATTTGATTTAGCTTTAAATGCTATTTCCGAGAGGAGATTGATCGATCGATTGATTCGGGGACGGGGGTGGAGGAGTTAATCATCTGAGATGAAAGTCACACAGTCAGAATGGTATATAGGTAGGTCCTTTAATAATTTCTATGATGATCTTGATTATCTAAATTCCTATCAGGCTCTGCCGTTGCAAGTGACATTGAGCTTTCCGTAGTTGATGCATGCTCCTTCCCGTAATGAGTTTGTGACATTCCTTTATAGATTCAGAACTCCACAGCATCAAATTTCAGATAAAGCTTTTAGAATCCAGCCAAATATAGCGCGAGAATCGGGCTGGGTGAAATCCTCATCAAATGAATCTTCTGAAAAAATAAAATCAACGCGAATGGGTATCTAATCTGACATAATAACGATGATTTAAAGAAATATGCTTTTCTGAAAATATGAAAGGTGAGATCGAAATATGAGGCCCTGAGTTTTGAAAGACGGTTGTAGATTTGGTGTGAGAAAGCCGTGGCGGTAGAGAAGCTCAGTTCCAAAATGCTCATTAAGGACCTCGGGAGATTGCGATATGAGGGCACCGCTGTATAAAAGCGTATGGAAGATTAGGTGGAAAATTTTGGAAATGTAGACGCTTATGGATGCGACAATTCCCGTTTGCGATAGACATTGGTGGATGATTCGCGAGACTGAATAATGACCAGGCGAAATTCGAAGTACGGAAAAGCGTCCACATCGCGTGGGAAGATAATGATCATCGATTTAGTCTTTCTCCTTTACTTTCTCATGCTTTGCTTCGTCGTTGACATCTTCCATCTCCTCATCCGAGACTCCCTCATCATCTTCACCCCAGTTCTCTGCGAATCGACTGTTTAAATATGCATCGTAACCACCGGATGCGCGAATTCTTGATGCTTCTATAGCTTGTGCTATCCAGTCTAAATCGAACCTCCCGCAAGTGCCATCTGATTTAAAATCTGCCACTGTAGTTGCAACTTCATTTGCATTCATCTGGTCGAAAGGATATGGTGCACCTTGGTCCACCATAGTTTCCCTTGCCATTGGATGGGTAAGAACCGCCTGGCGAATGTTAGCCAAAACTGGACACTAGTAAATGAAATACCTACCTTAATGTTTGCATCTCCTTTGAAGATGGGTGACTTGGAGTCAGATAGTAATTGGTCAACATCCGCAAATTTGTCAGATTTTGACTTCTTGAAAGAACGGCCAGCTGCACCACCACGACGCCTCTTTATGCCTCCTCCACGGAGGTGAGCCTTTCCGGCTAACCCATCACCATGGAGATGAGGTGCTACCTTCTTGAAGGTTAGCTTCTCTTCTCCTTTGTTGGAAGAAGCTTTTGGGAGATTGGAATCTTGTCTAAGAGCTGTGCGAGGAGTGTTAAATGGCATTGGAACGTATGCTCTGCTCGAACAAGAGGAGTTTATAAATTGAGTGCTAAGTGGTCTCTCAACAGGAAATTGGTCCCTTTCCCTGGTAGGGGACAGGTTCATCTCCTGAAATTAGACGTTAGCTAAGATCCAATCTTCGACACGTGACTATATGAATCAAATATTACTTACTTTTCGTGCTGCCACCTCGTATGAGGCGATCGGCACCCAGATCGCCTCTTTGTAAGCGGTTGAAGAAGCTTCTGACACCGGAATGAGTGTCGCCATTGCCGCGGTCGGGGGATTAATTCCAGAATCCGCGGTCCCCAGAACAGGCGAGCTCGGTGGAGCTGCCGTTATTGGAGCAGTAGGTGCACTATTCACAGTCATCAGAGAGAGGGTAAGAAAGACGACCAGGGTTGGAGAGGCAGGACGAGGTGAGGCGGAAAGGAATATTGGGAGGAGGAAGAGAAAGAAATGATCCAGCAGGTGATATAAGAAAAATCCTCTCTTCAAGAACTAGGGTCACAAAAGTCATAAACGAAGGGGTTTCTTTTCTAGAAAGAAAGTGGATTCTAAAGAAGAAAAAAGTTTTTATGTGAACTGAGGGTTGAGAAAAGCAAACACAAACTCACCAAATGCTCTTTTGAGAACATGAATAACGTTAATTATTAGAGCCTTATTCTTAAATGGTGCGTCATTGGTAGTCTTGTACCATCAGGAGTGAGGTTATCACATCGGTGTTCGGATAAACTTAGTCCCGATCAGGATCATGATAATGCATTTACTGGAAATCAAATGGAACAGCTTTCGAATTCATTTGAAGTGACATACTAGGAGCTAGTAGTTTGAAGTAACCTATTCCTTTTGGACACTTCACAGATTTGTCAATTTTATTTTTCTCCAGAATTATTTCACTCCGGTATTCGCAGCACTGAATAAATACCCCCAGAAGATCTGAGATATATGAATTAATATCATAAAATAACACGGTACAAGTTCGATAAACATACCGCGGAAGAGCTTTAGATACAACTTCGGATACAAACAGATAAGATGATTAGATCCACACAAATTGCCAGGCTGGATGGTATGCTTGTCTATTTATTCTCTGGACTACAACTAATCTCACCATGTAGGCCTTATGTTATGCGCCTCAGTTGATGATGAGCAGGTGCGCAAGTTGTCCCTATGTTGATTGTTGCGAAACTGACTCATGTACCTCCCAGACTGAATCTTCTCTGGCAGAGATCAAGTCGCAAGTCAAGATGGTTCTCCGAAAAATGAATCGAAATTCCGCCGAACAAGCCACTCTCGATAGTGGTCCATATACTATGCAGTACGTTGAAGAAACACAATATCCTTAGGTCGGATGGATGAATCGTATCCTTGGTTGGCTCTATAGCTCTTGCTGTGGGTGCAGCATGGGCTAGAACCATGAGACCTTGCATAGCGGCGCACAAAGTGGAATGGCAAGGAACAATATGCAAGTGCAGATCTGGACTTCTACTGCAATCTGAAAGTGGTATACAACAGTTAATTACCAAATTTTTGCGCTGAATGTATCTCCTGATTTTTCTTCAATAATCAGCAATTGGATTTCAAGCTTGGACATATCGTCCATATCATTCTAACGTATCATAGTTACATGATTGCCAACGACATCGTTTTCCTCTGCATCTGCGAACGCTCATATCCACGGAAGCTTGCATTCACCTATCTCTCAGATCTTTGCACTGAATTCAACACCACATATCCAGCCACTCAAGTACACTCGCCGACTTTACGACCATATGCCTTTATGGATTTCGATACTTTCATTTCGCGGACGAAATCCACATACTCCGACACACGAGCAACTCAGAACCTTGACAAGCTCAATGATGAACTTCGAGATGTTACTAAAGTCATGACCAAGAACATTGAGGACCTGCTTTATAGAGGAGACAACCTGGAGCGTATGGGCGAGGTTAGCAGCAGACTGAGAGAAGATAGCAAGAAATATCGCAAAGCAGCGGTAAGAATTAACTGGGAGCTAATGTTGAAACAATACGGACCGATTGGTGGCCTTGGACTTTTCATGATCATCTTCATCTGGTGGAGGTTCTTTTGATATCTCCGGATGCTCGTGGATACAGTCACATAAAAATGGGGTTTGGAGAGGCGTTGATGATATATATGGAGGGAGTTTCGCAAAATTTGCGGCGGCAGCTTTTGCTTCCATGTATAATGATTCCCAATAAATCGCAATTTTCCCGTTATTAAAATACCCGATCTGTCTTGGTCAGCTAGTTCTGAAGGAGTTTTTTTATGGCTCGGATTCACTCACATGCATATTTTAGCAAAGAAATAAAACCTTGTACGATTGTATCGGTGGCAGCCATGAGCGGCGAATTATCTGCAGGTGCAGCTAAGAACATGCACGTCACTATTTTGGTAAGAATGGTGGAACAAATAGGATTTCCAAAACTCTATCAACATAAAGCACCCATTCCATTCAACACATGACATAGAGCAGCCCGGGTGGAGGTTAAATCCTGCCTTTAACGATGTTTGAAAGATTGTGAGATGAGGACCGAAACAATGGGGGGAACAAATCAACTCTTAAGATGAGCGAACATCGCAACTGCGAAGGACAGTGGTATACCGAGCAGAAATTGAAGATTTTGACAAGGAAGAAGCTTCCGGTGTATTGAAGTGGGACAAGTGTCCACCATCTCAAAACTAAATCGCCCATGGCTTCCAAATAAGGGTACCATTCTCAGAAGCGTCTCGGTTGCCTGTTTCAGTGCATGGTAACGTCACAACTGGCAACGAAAAAGTTAGCACCAATAGTTGAAAGAAATGTGCATGCACTTGGTCATACGAGCTAGAGTCTAGAATTTTGTATCAGACATGACAAGCTAGAGTAGCTACGAAGCCGAGTATCATCATTTTCCCAGCGGGTGAAGTTTCTTAAGACTATGGGGAGTTCTAGTGTAGGGTGCAAAAAGTGTTAGTCGCAGTATGGTTTATCGACATTGAACGTCGACCTGTACAAGGTAATTTTCAAAACAGATGCTTCAGCGAATAGGCTCTTGAAGATCTCTAGACCCAATCCAACGAGAAGGATTCATGGAACTCTGCAACATCATCATCATAGCACTATATAGGGCAGATTGACCGCGAACATCAATCTGTGTTTCCGGGACATATAAAAGCACATACCGTGAATTGCGGTATGGAAGGGAATGTGAATGTGAATGTGAATGTGAATTTCTCTCACCACCAACACTATTCCCAAAATTGTCAAAAGCATGTAAGATTTTACCACCATGTTGATCGCATTGTAGAGAAGTGTTTCTAAAATACCAGCCGAAAGCTAGAGGAACTACAGCTTCTAAATAGGATGAACTGCAACTTGAGCTCATCTCGGGCTTTTTAAGTCCTAGTTCCAGAGCACCCGGAAATGGTGAGATGAAATGGCTCGTGTGCTGGAAGAGAGGCTCGGGGTTCTTGTGCATGAGATGCTGGATTTACAATTATAATTATTCCACAGCTCTAGTCCACATCTCATTAATCCTCAATTTCATATCATGTTATTCTAGCTCGCGCTCCGTAGTCGTCTCATATTTGCGTTTGGCTATTAATTATATAACAATCTTGTAGAGTCCCGCAGAACATCAAATAAGATTCCATACAAAAGACTTAGTATATAATAGTTTGAGATGAGAGGGAAGCTCATCACCATCCTTCATAAAATCTTACAAATAATTTACAAACACTACAAATGTATACACTGATAAATTTCATTTTGGTTCCCCGAGAAGGTCACCTATTCAGGAATACAAATGAGATGGGGTTTTTTTTTTGAGATGTAGTTGGAAGTTCTTCACCTCTGGTGGATATTTTATTTTGTTTATCCCGTTAGCTTAGACGTGAGTGAGATGAGCAATGAGGTAGGTGACCTCTTTGTAGTTTTGATGTTCCTGGCTGGGAAGTATGATTCAAATGTTTTCTTTCATTGGATTTCTCCTCTGAATTTTGATGTCTTTGGGTAGGAAGAGTGATTGTCATGTATCTTTAGTTCTGTTGAACTTTTCTCCTAAATCTTTAGACTTATCCGTTAGCAACTATCTTGACATCATCAAAGGTATCTCCGAGATGTAATCCAGAAACTCTCACATCTCTCACCGATCTCGTTTTGTTCATCTACTCTATCCATCATCATCAAGCCAGGAAGATGAATAAAACGAGATGTACTCTTATTTTTAAACTTTGTTGGGAAGGGGGGGTGATGGACTGGATAAATAATTCTGTTTGAGATGGACTTTTTCCTTTGTTGAATTTATCTGTTGCATTTTAATGGTTGGATTAGTTTATAGTGAGGTAGGTAGGTAAGATTTTAGAAGGATCTTTGTGTTTTGGTTGATGTTGACTTCTTGAAGTGTTAATAATATTTTAATAACTTTCTCTAAGATATAGATTAGAAATCGTTTACATCTGCTGTCCACTCCAGATTGTTCGCTTTTCTGGCTTAATGGGTAAATTTGATGAATAATCTGGAGTAGATTCTTTTGGAATTTTGTTCCACTGGTATGGGGGTAGATTGCAGCAGATATGCTGTGAGGTTGTGTTTCTTGGGTTTTTAATTATGTTTTTTATTTTGATTTTGATTTCGATTTTGGTATTGGTATGAGAATAGGTATTAATACCAGAAGATGTTTCTTTGGGATATAGATATATATCAAGAAGTGTTCAGATCTTTTGATCAGATATGTGAGTCCAATTCGCTTGACGGGTAGGTAGATAATAGGTTTTTTGGAGGGGCATTTTGGTTATCCTAATGTGAGAATATGTGGCCTGGGTATTAAAAGTTTTCTGACTTTAATACAGTTTGAATATGTGGTTATTGGTATTCAAGATACCCCCTACTCATCATTGCAGAGCTACTAAGATCCAAGTTAGATCATCCAACTTTCCAAATTCCCACGCCCACCACCACTTTTAACCCCTCACCACAAATCTCGCCCTAACCTCTGGCTTAACCAAAAATCCATAATGCAACAACCTTTTCTCCAACATCTCCAAACCCCTTAAATCTCTCTTCTCAATCTGTGCCATCTTTTCCTTATTCCCATCCTGTTCGTCTATCCTCACCAAATCAAACATCCACACTACCTGAGCCCCAAACAATTTTTCCTGCATCCAAGTCATTTCTCTTCCCAAACATGCTCGAGGCCCTAAACTAAAGAGCATCTTTATCATATATTGCTCCGTGTAGACGGTGAGCGGATGGAAGCCAGCGCTGGGGACGGGATCTCTTGGGGTTATGAAAATAGCGGGGATTACGAGAGAGGGCGAAAATGCTGGTTTGGATGTGCATCTAAGGAGGAGCGCGAGGATTAGTATTTGGTTTTTGGTTTTTGGTTTTGGGGGTGGGGATGAGTGGGGGTTTGTGTTGATTTATTGAGGGAGGGATGTTAACATCGGGAAATGGAAGAAATATGGGCAAATACTCCTTTTGGTACATAATGTCCATCAACATAGCACCAGGACTTAGCCGAGGTAACCCCGTATTATTTTGTGGAAGCATGCGAAGTGATTCCTCCAGAACAGCATGGAGATACGGGAGCTCATTTGAAGCTTCCAGTGAAATATCCTCGTACTTTTCAAATTTGCCTCTGATTTGCTTCGCTAAGATTCTACAGCATTCAGGCTCTTCGAGTAAGAAGAATAAAGCGCTGTAGAACCCATCTGACATGGGACCAGAGCCTGCAAACATTATTTGTTGTGGCAAGTGAACCTATGTATGTGAGCTCAGATTGAGTTTTGGGAACTGGACTGTCGGCGGGTAGGATGTGATCAAAGTAGTCTGGGTGTTCGGTGTTGTCGGTGAGCGAGATTCGTCGCATTATAGCTTCGCGTGTTGTTTTTACTATGGTCATGTAGACGGGAAGCTTGGTTAGGGGTACAAAGAGGTATTGGAGGGTGCGGAGGAGGGGAAACCGCTTGAAGACCCAGATAACGGTGGCGAATGAATTGAAAGCGAGGATTGCTTTGAGATGTACTGAGTCTTTTACTGTGGGGCGGGACGTTGGTGTCAGAGTCTGGAGTTAACTGAGTATCGGGGTATGCATGCGAAGGGAATATGGGGAGAGACATATAAGTTTTCATTTGATTCATCTTCTCGTTCCATGACAAATCCGTTGATAAATCCATGGCTAGCCAATTAGTCCATTGCACGATCCTTACACCTTCATCACAATCCCCAAATTCCTTCATCCGCTCAACAAAATAGTCCATATGCTCGTGGATCACGGGCTCCATAGCACGAATAGATCGGTTACTCAAGGCTGGAGAAGGTTTCCTTGCAGCTTCGCGATGTTTCACGGGGTCTGCTTCAAATATGAGACCTCCCACATCCTCACCCCTGTTTTGAAGGTCGGTTTTTATGAATACTTCAAGTCTCTTTTCCTGGGGTCGATATATATCTGATATTCTCAGTAATGAATATCCATGAAGTTCTTGAATATTCTTACCATAGAAAGCTTGTGGAGTCAAGAATACAAGCTCATTGGGAGCAATGCGTACAACATCTCCATATTTAAGTAGCGCATCTTCGATGGGCCATGGATATCTTCCTGAAAGCCTGTTCTTAAGATTAAACTGAAGTTTTCTTTCTCCTGGAGCGATAGTTGAGGGGGAGTCCCTTAGTTAGATTGAACTTACCAGTGATACGCATACCACACATTTGAGAAATCTGCAGTAGTCGGACCAGGGAATTCGAAACAATCCGTAAATGCAAAACTAGGTTTCCGTCAGATTCATGCTTTGAGTGGACACTTGATCATCTTTGGACATACTAGGAGACAGACGACTTCTATGAAAGTTACCAGATCATGCATTGTGAACGGGTCCAGTGGGCCGATTTGGATAGTCATTTTTTCTGTGTTGAGGTATATTGCGAGTAAGGGCAACGCTGATAGCTAGCTATACCGTTACCTTTATTCACTAGAACCTCAAGATATCTGCAATGCTGCGCCGCACTCACGGTTGGTATCACATGTATGATGAGGGGTGGTGATCTATTTTATTGAGACTTACCTGATTGGAAAAAAGTACTATTAAATGAAAACTTTATAACTCTCAATCCTAAACTTTTGAATGGAAGAAAGCTTCATGCTATCAACAAAAGAAAACCACGGGTAGCCAGGCAACGCGAATCCACCACATATCACGTCGCCTGGTCTGAGGTCCTTAGTTGCTTGCTCCCTTAGCCACAGCAATAATGGTACCTGCAAAGTCGCTTCCAACTAAATTCTAGTGGACTAACGCTATTGCCTAGGTATCTAACCTCGTCTTCGATATATTTAAAATCGTCAAATACGGCCTGCGCTAGATCCCATATCGCATATCTGTAATTGAAGTGATGTTTCCAATAGCTAGACCTAACATATCAAGGTACAACCAGTCGTTCCATGCTAATTTAGGCTCAGGCTCGACATCCGAATCCATTGAATTCCTTATGACGACTTTGTTGACTCCTAATTGGTAATGCGCAGTAATTATACACCGTCTTTCTTCTACTCCTGTATCTTTCGCTTGAGCCCGAAAGCACATACGATAGGTAGGGCTTGTAATGCATCCTCTCTGTGCACGCGTACAACGATATCTGCCACGACTGCAGGCTCTTATTGTTCTCACAGCGAAGAAACGTCTGGTACGAAAGCTTGCTCTTTTTCTATCATTTGTGAGTTCCCGAATATTAGTTGACCGTTGAGAATGAAACCATACAGCCGGTAAGTTGTCGACACCGCGGAAATCTCCCATGTCATGAATCCTCAGCACGATGGATGTAATCTTATCTTTGTATGATTTCGGAACTTGGGTTTCATCCGAGACAGGTGTGCTGAAGGACAACGTACGTACTGGAAATCTACAATAGAGACAAAGTATAGAATCATAAGACTTCCCTTTGTTACTTCCATGGGATGACCTCTATAAGTGATTCAGCAAAGATATTGTGCCTTAGCATTTTTTCCATGAAAGTTTGAACTTATCTGCTTGTACTGCCGGTTTCTAGGTGGTGTAAATTCCCCATCAAAGCTTTGGAATCCTGTGCATAATCCACGGCAAGTAGCGAAACTATTCTGCTTGATGAATCTAGTGCAAAAGGCTTTTATCATGAGAATGGCGAGTATCATGGTCATTTTAACGTCAAAGAAGTATATTCGTTAGAAGGAGAGGGTATCCATCGACGGTTCGACGCTTCATTCTTTTGCATGGCGCCTACAAAGGCCGAGTCTTTAGACCTACATATCGCATTTTCCTGGGGGCAATCTACGAAGCTTTGGAAGCTGTGGTGTTCCACTGTCGAAACTCTCCATGGATTTGATATAGCAGTGTATTTTGGGCAGTTGCCTGTGAATTATGACTAGATCATATGCGTGGCAGCGATGTCGGTCTTGGCCCATATCACCGGACTAAGATCTGTCACTTTCCTCGAGTGGCACGTCACTTCCATGATTATTGGTGTAGAATGCAGCTCAGTTCTCCCTTCGCTTCGTCAAGCAGTCCAGCAACTACGTATGGGTAATCCTAAATAGCCATCGCTGGAGGCGTAAATCTTATTTCGTATCCCAAGTACTTCATCTTTTTGAGCTCCTTGAACATGCTTTTCTGCAGATGGGCATTCCAGACTGTGGGACGCCAATGCCGAAGATTATGCTCCTGGTTACGCATTGAAGCCATCGTTCTGAAAATACCGAGTTCTGCTCTCGAGGATGAATGTGATATCGAATGTCTCATTCGAGAAACATGAGGAGCCCAAGATAGCTAAACCCAAGGAATCACATCGTAACAACCCAAATTCTAGCCAAACGGTGCGATATGTCGACAAATATTGGCACTCGCAATCCAAATTATGCTACTCAAACACAGCTTATTCCTGATTATTATTCGAGAGCTAGTCTTGGCTTGAGAGTTCCAGCCCACCGCCCCCATTTTTTCGAATTGCAAGGAATTGCAATCCTGGGAAGTGATGTAGACGAACCAGAGGACAGTAGAGAAGCTTTTTTCAGACAATGAAACGAGAGGTTTCCTAGCAAACAAGCAAACAAGCAATCGGCTAGTATCAGGTCTCTTATTAGTCATAGGGAGGAAACAGCTGGGATTTTCGAGACATCTTTGGCCCTACATAACTCTGCAATTTCACCAAATATTCTATTGAACGGTCTCACCCCACGGATCTAGCCACTCATTACCAATTTGCATTTCCCATCAAGGCTTGCATCTCGGCCCTTGAAAAGCCCCTAGCCTAGGGATGGATATTGATAAGTAGGGGAATATATACGAATACCATAAATAATAGTCAACAGCGGGCTGCTAGTTTAAATATGTGTAATACATCAATACTTGGAATTAGTTGCCGTACGATATTAACCTAACGGAATAATTTGCAGCTCAAGTTCCGCAGGTGCAAATAGATCGAGCGAGTAAGTCCTGGTTTCGGTTCTTAGTTCATGCTAGGAATTGGGGTGGTTCCTGAAGATACTTCAATCCGCGAGACGACTTTGCGAATCCTACCGAAAGGTACACAACCAAAAGCAGCGAAAAACGTACATCTAAATGATGTTCTTAAAAAACCACTTTAGACTTTTTCATCTTCTTTTCTTCAATCGTAGCTATTATCGGACGATCTGGAGAGGCAAATTTTTCAGCCGCCATTATGTCCATCTCTGGTCGAGCAGAAAATCGACGGCAAAGAGAACTGGCGGCTTCAGACATTCAAATTGGGGCAATCTATGGTGATGGCCAATCTAGTATGCCATTAAAGGCGCAACTAATAGCACATGATCATAACCGAGACCAGATACATAGCCTTGTTTGAGATGCTTTCGTCTCTGAAAGTTATGAGACATTCCCAAGCCATCATGAAACATAGTCAATTGTACTCTGAGTCTCGCCAAATTGATGAAGAGCAGGAATGCATGAAGCCGTGAGATTTCTTCAAGGCGATCAGAAATAAAACCTGATTGAAGGTTAGACCATGCGGATTATGCTAACGCCCCTGCGAGCTGAAGAGCACTTCTTTGTTGCTAGTCTTCATCCTCTCGTTTGCGGATGGCATGTAGTTCCAAAGCTTACTGAAAGATTTTCTCAGCTTCATAGCTACCCAAGCCTTAGGAAAACCATCGAAATCTATCAGTTTGCAGAATAGTTGGAAAATCAGCACTCGGAAATTACTGCAGGCAAATTCAGGAACAACCTGAAATTCTGGAAAGCGAATTTGCTTCTCCTCCGCCGCCGCTACCATTTCTGACAATATCAAAAGCATTTTTGCGACCGACCCAACAACTTATGAGAATGTAAAAGCTGATATCACAATCGACTTGGAGACAAAGACAAAGGTCTAGGCAGTGTGTCGACAGTATACTGCGTAGAACTACACCCTTCCACTTCTACCTTGTGGTGTTTAGGGCCCCACTTCTATGCTTTGCACCAGTTAGTGATGGCGAAGACATTGGTATTGGTATTGGAGACGGTAACAGATCGGAAGATGAGATGATGGATGCCATTGGTCGCTTCGTAAATCTCCTGCATTTGCGCCTCCGTAGCCCTGCAGCAGCCAGGCTCTCCCGTTCAATGCAAACACGCGTGATAAAAAATTTGCAGCCCCGGCATACTCGCAAATTCCGTTCCAGGTTCTTGTAAACGAAGTCTCCTTCCCTAGGGCATAATGGCCAGCCAAACCATACTAACATGAACTCTTTCACTGCCCATTCGGCCTAACAGTTGACGAAAAGTTCATGCTGTGCAGGAAAGTACAAACAGCTCTCCCCATCGAGGACTCACCGGGAGATGGCTCCAAAAGTCACCATGTAAGATGCAAAAGAGTTCCTAGGTCGAAGCCCGTTAATAAGGCTTGGTACATTATAGTGCTTACCCGTGTTTGTGGGACTATGAGTTAATTTATGCGGTGATGCGGTTTGTGAAAGCAAACCAAGCCCAATTTAATGCCTCCAGTCCGGTAACTGTGATACAAAAGTCATACATAAGATATAAGACATGAGATAAAAGCTTCATGAATGAAGCATCAATGAAGCAATATTGATGGTTGATGATTGATATTAGGTATTAGATAATAAATATTAGATTTTATATCAAACCCCTCATCTCCTCATAAATGTTTCTCTATCAAAATTCCAAGACTTTTTATTGATGTCGGTACCTACTTGGTGCATGCACGAATCGCCGCTAATCAGCCCTAAGCATAGTTAGCAGCGCCCTAGCAAATGGACGTAAAACATACTAAACCTATTCCAGTTACATTCTGCCACCGCCTTCCGAGGGAAAAATATCGAAATAAATAACAAGCAAACACACACACCGCCATGTCTATTATCCCCTTTGAACACAATTCCAACCCAATCCAACTTAATTTTCTTCCTTCCTCTCTCTTGGACCTTTCCCCGGGGGATTATACAGGGAAGTACGGGAAGGAAAGATTAAATTAATCAAAGGCAGGTGCAGAAAGGAGAAAAACCCAAGACCTTACGATGTTGATCCAAAAACCTTTAATTCTCTTTATTGACGCATATGATTCATTCTCGAATAATATCATTTCTTTACTTGAAACTTCCTTCACCGCCTCAGTGCGAACGGTCAAAATCGATGATCCAATCCTATTAGCTTCTGATCAAGCACTGCACGAGGAATTGAGACATTATGTAGCGGTTGTATGCGGCCCGGGCCCTGGAAATCCGGAGACGGACAGTGATATCGGAATTATTAAGAAAATCTGGAGACTTGCCGATGAGGAGATGTTACCAGTGTTGGGAATTTGCTTAGGATTTCAAAGGTTGTGTTTGGAATTTGGGGGCCAAATTAAAAGATTGAAAGGCCCACAACATGGAATGATTAGAAAGGTCGTGCACGCAGGAGAGGTCCATGCTGTCTCCGCCGTTGGAGAAAATGATTCAATATTTTGTGGGGTTGGCGAGATCACCGCTTCCTTGTATCAAAGTTTATGTGTGGACATAGGTCAAGACGAGATTCTAGATGAAGATTGGAACACATTGCGATGGGAGCCAACAGAAAAATCTCCCGACTTGATACCATTGGCTTGGGTTGAGAGTGCAGATCTAGAGGCTGAACATGCGAGAAGTTGCGGTGTGAAAGACAGCAGAGTTTTGGTCGGTGTACGACATGCGACGAAACCCTTTTGGGCAGTACAATATCATCCAGAGTCGGTCTGCACAAATGATACAAGCAAAGAAATCTTTATAAACTGGTTCAATCTGGCACAAGTTTGGAATAAAACTTTCAGAAAGACGAAGATCAATTACGACGGTATCATGCACGGCCAATCTGCTACACGAGTGAGCCTACTCCAACAATTTGAGGCTTTACAAACAATGCCTGTATCGCCGGCTAGCGATGCCTCGATCGACAATATGAAGCCCAAAAATATTTACATTTCCCGAACGATTGATTTACCAAAGAATCTTTCCGTACCTGATATTGTGGAAGCCATACAGGACATGGGACGAGATCACATTCTATTGGAATCTACTAATGCACATGAAACTTCCGCAGGATCTGCAGACGTCAAAGGACGATACAGTATCATTGGCCTGGATATCGATGATTGTTTGAGGTTCGAATATCGTGTCGGGGATGAATACATCACCAAGATTCCGTCTTCATCTGGAGAGTACCTTGATACCAAGGAAGAGATCGACCTGAAGTCCTGTGGTGGAGTTTGGTCCTTCTTGGCACATCGTTTGGAGATTGCGCGTGTTACTGAAGGAAATGAGGAGTCGCCATTCTGGGGAGGGTTTATGGGATATACGACTTACGAACTGGGCCTGGAAACTATCGATGTGAAAGTTGACAGAGCAAGCACTCACGGTTATCGACCCGATCTTTGTTTTGCATGGGTCACTCGAAGTATAGTTGTCGACCATGTGAAGAAGGTTCTTTACCTTCAACAATTGGACAGCCTTGGTGATAGCCAAAGCGATACTGCATGGATGGAAGCCGTTGCTCCGAAGCTTGAGAAGGCATCTCAACCGAAGTCTGTAAAAAGCACTCGTCAAACGCCTCTTCGACCAGGGGACCTCGTTCTATCCTGCGATCGCATAAAGGTATCTCGTCGAGAAAAGCGAGCTTGGTCACCAGTTCGAAGCCCTGCTTCCAAATTTTCCATGGCCATTACTCAACCCACGGCCGATTCATACGAATCAAAAGTTCGTCGATGTCAGGATAAAATCGCCAGTGGCGACTCTTATGAGTTGTGTCTCACTGACCAAACCATCATCACACGTCTCCGCAGCGATCCTCCTCACACATCAACCCACAACACTACCGATTCTATTCTTCTCTACAACAAGGCTCCAAGACCAGCTCCAGCCAAAGGCGCTTGGTCTCTGTACAAAAATCTTCGAACACGTCAGCCCGCCCCTTTCGCTTCTTTCCTTCGTCTCGGCCCTGCGACTTTAGTTTCTAGTTCTCCTGAACAATTCCTCAAGTGGGACAACCGTACCGGAAAATGCTCCCTTCGCCCAATGAAAGGGACGGTTCGTAAGAGCGACCAGGTTTCAACGCTTTCTGATGCCACCATACTTCTTAATGATCCAAAGGAAAGGGCCGAGAACCTCATGATTGTTGATCTTGTTCGTCATGATTTGCACGGTGTTTGCGGGTCCGGCAATGTCTCTGTCCCAAGGCTGATGGTAGTTGAGGAATATGCATCAGTTTTCCAGATGATATCCGTTGTCGAAGGCTCTTACCCAAAATCTGCATCTGATGATTTCTTGACGCACATGTCATCACTCACCATCAAGGACGACAAGAGAACAAAGTACACTGGACTTGACATATTAGCTGCCTCTCTCCCTCCAGGATCCATGACTGGTGCGCCCAAGAAACGTAGCTGTGAACTGTTACAAGATATCGAACACCATAAACCTCGTTCTTTATACTCTGGCGTTGTGGGTTACATGGATGTTGGCGGACGAGGTGACTTCAGCGTTACCATTAGGTCTATGTATCGATGGGATGACGAAGATGGCTTCATTGAAGCTGAAGAAAAAGACACGGAGAAATGGCACATCGGTGCAGGCGGTGCCGTTACAGCTCTCAGTACCCCTATTGGTGAAAGAGAGGAGATGTTGACAAAGCTGAATGGAACACTTGGAGTATTTCGTTAAAAAAGATTTCTTACAGACGACGCGAGTCGGTTTATGCATTTTGAGGGAAATATTACACGGGGTTACTTACACGTGCTAAGAGGTCATGGAGTTTTTCTTGTTCTTTTTTTCTTGGAATAATTTCTTACACAAACTTTTTGGAAAAATTCCCGCTTCGATATCTAGATTACTCAACGTATCTATCACATAGAAACTAGGGCATTATAACGACTTATGACTTTGGGATGGCGCTTTCACAATCGGGTATGGGGTTGGATTGAGAGTTCCGGATATGGAGTACAGAGAATCTCAAACGATGACATAATGTTATTCATAGAAAGAAAAAAGCAAAGGTCCGCAAGGATTCACATACGCGTTTACATAGATACATTTCAACAGACTGGTAATACCACTTTACAATTTTTACATATGCATGGTTTTAAATTCATGGTTCTAGCGATTTGCGAGAATATACCTATGCTAGAGTTTTTATGAAATAAGATGACGGTCCTGTCCATCACCTAATATAACTGAATAATCCTACATTGTACACTTGAGCTCTTTCCTAATTGCCTCCTCATTATCATAGCATCTTCTTCACACTTTTGAGCACGTGCTTATGACATTGCTCCATTCCATTAATCATTCGCTTCTTCTTTCCTCTGACTTAGAAAGGTGCTCAAATGGTTGACATGCTCTCTGGTGTGAATTGAAGTGCCCATCCGCTTTCACCCAACGATCTCCGATGCTTCATCGTCTTCGTCGATGGCACCATTCTGCGCTCTGCCTTTCTTTGGTTCAGGAGTCTCAACCAAGATCTTCCCCATTGCTTGGTCCATCTCTTGCACCTCCTTCCCGCATCCACTTAACATCTTATATCCATACACTCTCCTTCCACAGCACTTCTGCCTCCCCACGCATCTCCCTGGCAATTCAACACCTTCCCCACCCTTCTCCGCCCCTTCCCCTTAAAACTCCGCCTCCTCCTGAAAGAACATCCCAAAACTAATCACCGTTCCGTAAATCAACACACCCCCAATAATACTCATGATCATCGCTGGCACCGTAATAATATGACTATGCGCCAATACCGCCGGTAGAGCCACACCCATCATACAGAGGAAACCCGTTGCGAAACGTCCCAAGTCTAGGATTCCCGATGATGATGAATCGGAGAAGTCATCGGGGGAGGAGCAGCGGGATGCGAGGAAATTGGGGAGCGGTGCCAGGATGAATGTTAGGACTACGAGGAGGGGAAGGTATTGGTGGAAGAGGGCGCAGGAGAGGATTACGAGGAGGAAGCCGAGGGCGAGGACCTGGGAGGGTTAGTTGGGGTTTGGTAAAGGGGATGGAATGAAAATGAGTATGGGGGCGATCTTACAAAGGAGAGGGAAATGATGGTTTTGAGGCCGGCGGCCATATTGGATAAGTAAGGAAGCGGCACGTTGGATAGATTGCGACTGGGGGTTAATGGTTTATCGTGATATAGCTTGATTTATCGATCGCACTGTATCTATTTTGTTGCGCGCACTTCTGCTGTACGATCCCCTCTTGTGATATTATCTCAGTTGATATCTCAATGGAATGGATGGATGAGAGACTTGTCGGTGAATGATAAAGTCGTTTAGCTTGTTGATAATGAGAGATGCGAAGTGCCAATCCAAACCGCCTAAGAGCTGACGTTTCCGAAGCACGCGCTTAATGTGTAGCTCCATAGCCTTGTCCATCTACTTTTTAAAGCAGCGCTTTTCCTCCTCCACCTCTGCAGCAAAATAATCCATAAACTCTTGCCGCTTTTAAAGATACCTAGTAAGCTACACCTCACTCAACCTTACAACAATTCGAGCTTCATCAGCGTGTCTGCCTCGCTTTCAATAAAAGCGTTCATTCATACTACAATACAATACAATTCACAATCCCTACCCACAAACTACGACCTTTGTACCTTGAAGATACCTGATTTTTGTCTCTGCATACGAGCGGCTTCAGCTTGTTTTCTATTCAAGATGTTCAGAAACAATTATGATAACGATTCTGTTACGTTGTAAGTTAGTTTGTGGTGTAGTTACGGGTGCTGCTCTGGGAATGGAAATCGTAATTGAAGCTGATGAGGTTATGATAATAGCTCCCCACAAGGTCGAATCTTTCAGGTTGAATATGCTTCGGAAGCTGTGAAGCAGGGTAGTGTTGTTGTGGGAATAGTTAGCAAGACTCATGCTGTTCTTGTAGCTTTAAAGGTTGGTTATGTTATATTTACTTGCTGTTACAACTATAAAGAGAAGACTACACAATACAGCACTCTTACTTTACCTTTATTTATATCATTGATCAATAAACATAAGCTAACAGATCTTCTTTCAAACAGAGAAATGCAGAAGAACTCTCCTCGTACCAAAAAAAAGTAATCGCCATCGATGAGCACGTTGGTCTCGCCCTCGCCGGTCTCGCCTCAGATGCTCGCGTCCTCTCCAACTTTATGAAAAACCAAACTCTCGCCTCACGCCTAACCTACGACCGAGCAATCCCCATCGAACGACTCGTCGCTTCAATCGGTGACCGCGCCCAAACCAATACTCAACATTACGGCAAACGACCATATGGAGTAGGACTTCTCGTAGCCGGCGTCGACGAAACCGGCCCTCATTTGTTCGAATTCCAGCCATCGGGTATGACACAAGAAATGAACGCATGTGCGATTGGAGCGCGGAGTCAAATGGCGAGAACTTATCTGGAGAGACATTTGGAGGAGTTTCCGGAGTGTGGGAGAGAGGAATTGGTTAAGCATGGGTTAAGGGCGCTTAAAGAGAGTTTGGCTCAGGATAAGGAATTAACGGTTGAGAATACTAGCGTAGGAGTTGTAGGGTTGAAGCCAGAAGGCGCGAAACGTATTGAGGCTTTCAAGCTTTTTGATGGACAGCATGTGAAGCAATGGGTGGATTTGGTGGCTGATGGTGCAGAGAGTACAGAGGGTGCGGAAGCAGAAGCAGAAGCAGAAGCAGCTGATACTATGGAAGTAGATGCATGAATTACCTACTAATAAGGTCGAACAATGAGAATAGTATGGATTTATGACTTAGCTAATAGAAATGAGCTCTGAATGAATGAATATTCATGATAGGTATCTATATGTGATTTTCATGGAAACTTGACTAGGACAAGATGCCTATTTTTGTCTCTTCTGTCCCTGGCTTCTTTCTCGCCATGCACTTCAATTTGAGTGTGTGAATGTTTTGTTTATGGTTGTAGTTGTGGTTGTGGTTATCTGAGGTTAGGATATGAGGATAGGATATGAGAATTAGCATATAGAGCGTAAAATCAAAGATATAATCTTATAATCTTATAATCTTATAATCTTATATACAATAGGAATTGGAAGGATAGGTAGGTATCTGGTCTTTATTTGATAGTTAGTAAACATCTTTCACGCGTATTCCCCCCTCCCCCCACCCCACCTCCTCCCCACTCCCTCCCCATTACACGGATTTATATATACATGTAAGATACAGTGTCACCCGAACCCGAGCAAATTCATCATATTTACTCTTTCTTGCACAATGGTTCTTGCACAACGGTATGTATCGAGAGGAATTGTTCATGAGATAGATATTTTAATCGTCTAATATATGTTGTAATCCATGCTTGCTAGCTATGCACTGCCAGAATCTATAGTGCTAAGGGTATGTATGTATGTGTGTTCTGCGTCCAGTTCATTGTTCGGAATGTTCATCGCGCCGGGGTTCTTCATGAGATAACGCCTTGCCGGACGATCATGATTCCTTGACTTGCTTATTTCTTTCAACGCCTACCCATTTATGAGGTGTGATGGTGATGGAAATGCAAATGCTAGAATGTGCATCCTATACTTCACGCCAATCCTATCCCGTCACTGAATAGATACAACCAGTGCATCTATTCATTACCCCACTCCAACTTAAATCTTCCCTCCGTCAACTTATAATCCCTCAATGCCTGAATTGCTCCCTTGGCCGTGCTACAATCCACCACAATTTTCTTATTCGCTTCTCCTACGAATCCCGCCTCCACAGAATTCTTTATCCACGCCATTAACCCATCCCAATATCCTTCCACATTCAGAAGCACAACACCTCGAGTATGAATACCCAATTGATTCCAAGTCACCACTTCCATCAATTCCTCAAGCGTCCCATAACCACCTGACAACGCAATGAACCCGGACCCAGGACCCCCTGCCATAACTTCCTGCGCCATCCTTGCTTTTCGTGTATGCATATCTTTTACCACGGTAGTTTTCCCATAGATATTATATTCAGGCAAACCATCACCATTTTCCGGTGTCCCAGTTCCATTTTCCCTACTGTGAATACTAGCTGCTTCGCTATCGGGGCCTCGCTCATATTTGACTAATGGAGCGGGTATGATGCCGTGCACGGAAGTGGGACCAGAGAGGGAAACTAGTGTTCGGGCTATTTCTCCCATTAGTCCGACGGTACCGCCACCGTAGACGAGGGATATGTTTTGCGATGCCATTTGTTCGGCTAGGGAACGCGCCATGGCCATGTGCGAAGGGCTGGAGCCAGGTGAGGCACCGCAGAATACGCAGATTTTTGTGGGGGGTGGTGCGGTGCTTGAGGAGTTGGTTGTTTGTGCTAGGGGGGAGGATATTATTGTGTTTGTTGACTCGCGGAGGGAGGGAGCAGGGGAGCCGGATGAGATGGGAGAGACGCCGCCGGATGCCATTTTGTTTAGTGCTTTGAGTTTGAAAGTCTGGGAGTGTGGAAGTACTGATGGGTTTATGATCTTAGAACAAAAAGAAATCTTGAGTCTTGAAAGTCTTGTTGTATAATGTGTTGTATGGTAAATGTTGTATGTTGTATGTGTTGTATATGATGTATACTTGAGCTCTAGTCGACCCCTTAAGTATAGAAACTAGTGGTAAGAGTGGAGTTATCTGCAGGTACCAAATGTTGTCTGATGACGAGGATGTTGAAAGAGAAACGTGTAAGAAACCGAAAGGTGGCTTTGAGAAAGGAGTGTAATTTGCTTCTACTCGGTATGGTAGTACGACGGTGATTAAATCACAATGAATTTATTTGGCGGTATATATATGATTGGGATGAGAAGTCTGGTAGAGCATCTATGTAGTTGTTATTGTATTTGCTAGGTGTGATACATTCACCCCGCAGTTTGTGGGGTTGTTAGCGCTGTGTGATTGGTGTGTGGATGATCATAGGGGTGCAATTGAGTTGAGGTTATGTCATAGTGCTTATGTAAGGGGAACTACTTCACCGCGGTTGCATTTTTGATGAGATGTGAAGGGCTTGCTATTGAGTGCTGCGGAATATTACATTCCGAGTGAACTGCTGGATTCAGGGAACTTTGGTCGTAATCTCGGTGGGAATGCATCTATCAAATGATCCGGGACATCAAAATTTTCATTGTGCCATGATCACGAACGCGCTTGGTACGGTTGAGTCCTCATCATCGTCTCGCGCCCGTCCTTACCACAAGTGTGGTACCATAACGAGATCGACTAATGCAAACCTTTACCTTATTCTTTTGCTCTAGATCGGTTCGCCGTCACACACATCGGTATGGTCAAGTCTCTGTTGAAGCACATCTTCTTGGTTAGGTAGAGACGGCTTTTGCAACTGAATCGTGCATCGTTTTGGAGCTGCATATCTTCTCTTGGTGATATCCATATCCAAAATATTATTTCAGCCTCTTCAGAAGCACAGCTTATGGTGGGTATTCATCTCTATTATTAAATGCTGTCTAAAAGGAAGTGCCCTGACTTAGATGTTTATTATGGTATATGGAGTATTGCGCCGAATCAACACCCAACGCACCCTTGTGTTTGGCTCAACTATTTATTGATCCTTATGTTAGTCAAGCTTCAGATGCCGCATCATCTTGCCTTGCTGTTGAGGAGCTAGCTGCGCATTGAAGTAATTAATATGGGTCAATGGATTTTATTATGAAGGGCAAATCCACGTTTTTTGTACTATACAAAGCGTGTTACGGAAGAGTTTTCATCGGCAGCTAAAGGCTACAAATGGCCAAGGTTGTGTTTGTTCAGGTCAATGTGCTGTTCAGAGGCTTTCTCTTGGAACGCGGGTTGGGCCTATAATCTCCAATGTTGCGGTTTTCAATGAAACTAGTGCGAGGTAGCCCAATGGTCGGTCTGATTCATGCATAGTAAGCATTAAACTACTGTCACCACTATCAGATCCATTTCATCCTATAATCTTTTGTACTGGTGATGATGAATCACTCAGTTTGATTTCCATGTTGAGTAATGTCTGAATCACTTAATCTCTACCGAAGATGACTCCAAATTTGTCTGCCACGACATTCAAGCAGAAACTAACCTGGGCCATGAGTCAATACCTTAACCCAAGACAAATCGAGATGTCTTCTCAGCCGAGGAAGCTGCCGCGATTTCCAATACAAAGATTCGCCGATATTTCGAATCCGGATGCTTTTATCATCAGCAGAATACTTATGGCATGGCTTTGCTACCTTCTCTGGAGGATAATAGATGTATTTCAGAGATTTTATTAGCATAGTCTTAGGCTTGGTGATTATGGGCCCGATAAAGAACAGTTCTTCCGAACAATACACCAAGTTACTACAAGAGAGATATGTATAAGATTAGCACTACCTGTGTTGTGGATTCTCCCTGAAATGCTTGTTATGTCCGCCCACCATAATTTTATATCTGCATTTGCGGTCTTCGCTGGTGGTGCTCAAGCTATACCAGGTTGGAATTTCGCTGTTTATAGGTCACTAGGGGAAGCATATACCATCCGAAGATATTGGGGGTACGTGATTGTATCAAAGTACAATGGAGGTCCCATGCTAATTCTGTACTCATTCCTAGTATCGTTTGGCATCAATTCCTACGTCGCGATCTCATCGGTTGCGCCTCATTTATGTCTTCAAACATATTTCGGATTCCACAGACTTCCAAATATAACAAAATCGCTATGCTGTATTTGGTGTTCTTCAGCTCTGCCTGTATGCATGCTATGATATATCTTCCCGCAAAAATGAGGATTTCAGGCTGTGGAATCAGCCACATATTTCAGTGGTATTCTCTATGTCCATGCGCTATAATCGCCGAAGACACTGCACAGAAGTTGGGGAAAAAAGTATTGAGTCATCACGGATGGAGGACTGACTCGAGGTGGTGTTATTGGTTTGGGTATCTTTGGGTTTGGGCGTTCTTTGCTTGGAGTTTATCTAAGAATGTGTTTCCAAAGGACGACTGCGTGCCTTAAGGAACTTACCTTCGCATTTTGTAAATATTTTATGGATCACTAACGCGGGCATTTTTGGCATTTAAGGGGATAATTACATTCTTGAAGTTTTCATGTGCTCCAAAAGCGGGCTCAGCTTAGCTGTTAAACGATGAGAATTGATGAAATCCTGTGGCCCAACTCTTCATATATCAATATTCCAATGTTGGTTACGATATTCAGAAGGAGGATCTCCGATAATAATAATATGTACAAGATGTCATTCTGGAACGTAGATTCATACGAAGAATGGCTAGGACGACATGTAATTCTAGATGGAGGTCGTTTCATCGGAGATCGGAACCAAGGTTTATTATGTAAGCTTACTGTCCCGCACGCTGCTCCATAATTATTTTCCATGTAGACAACATACCCATTTTGCCGTCACATCTCTACAAAATTCAAAAGAAGGCACACTATCTTCAATATGCCATCCGGAACAGCTCCTCCAGCTGCGGGTGCGCAAGCCCAAGAAGGCGGTATGGGTGTGAGTCTCTCCAAAAGCTAGCTAATAAAATCTACTAACAAAATCATGAACAGCCTGTGGTCAAATCCGCCGTGCAGGGCATTGCCATCTTCGTTGGCATGCAATTCTTGATGAAGCAAATAACTGGGAATAAAGGGCCTGCGACTACTACTACAACCGATGCTTCAGGGGCAGTTATGAATGTGCCAGCAAACAACGGTGAAATCCCACCGTATCATGCACGACCCGATAGATTAAACGAAGGTGCAGTATGGAGTCCTATTCCCCAAAGAATTGCACCTATGTGGCCTACGGATAGCCCTCTTGATATCACCATCGTTGTATCTCCAACTTTTGTTGCTGAGCCAATCGCAAAGATCCCGAGGGAGAGAATCGTACTGGATGAAACGGGATTCATATTTGGAGATTACAACGCACGTCGATCGATTGATACGAGTTTTGATGTACCTTCCGAGGTACAGAACAATGGTACACTTTGGGGTCACTTCTATATCGGAATTTCTGGAAGCAAGTTGGATCCTGCTACTCCCGGATATGATCCTACCAGGGCATTTCACTTCGTGCATCCTTTGACACAATACATTGCGCAAAAAAAAATGAGGAAAACCAAGAACCTTTTGGCAGCAGCCGAAGAGACGGATGAGGTAAGTTCCTTAACATCCAGACGTAAAAAGACTACACTAACGAGTCAACAGCCTGAAGAAGAAATTCCTAGCGGACCAGTAATCAAATCACACTATCATCCTAACTTTACAATGTCATTCATTCCGGATTCTGGCGTCATGGACTTTCCATCTCTACATCCTGCTGTTCGTCAATACGTTCATTTGGAGGCGAGCGGATCCAGAGACGGTACTGGACTTAATGGATGGTACTATCCACTACTTTTTGTCAACACCTTTTGGCAGTTGAAGACTCACATGACAGTTCTAAATTCGACGGTCACAAGACTTCCTATGCACATTGACCTTCAGAACTTCGCTAATTGGAAGTTCACCTTGATGGCAAGTATGGAGGAAGGCGCAAAACAAACTGCCAGAAATGCCGCCCAAGGACAAGCACCACCCGGTGGTGGAGATGGTTCTGAGTTCGAAATGATCAAGGAAGTCTTATTAGACACTAATATTTATCTTTTGGCTACCACGATTATTGTTAGTATTTTCCATATGATCTTCGAGATGATGGCCTTCAAATCCGATATCAGCCATTACCGAAACAAGAAGAACAATGTCGGAATTTCAGTTCGTTCAATCCTCGGCAACGTCTTCATGCAAGGTGTTATTTTCTTGTACTTGATGGATAATAATGAGAATACCAGTAAGTTGAGCTTTTGGCCCATAATTATGAATATGTCACTTACTAGATATCTAGGTTGGATGATTTTATTCACTCAAGGAATGGGAATTGTTCTCGAGTTTTGGAAAATCACCACCGTTGTCAATGTTCGTATTCGCAATGCGCCAAATTCGATCATACCTTATCGCATCGCTTTTGAAGACAAACATGTCCTTTCCGAGACAGAAGAGAAGACCAAGGAGTATGATGCAGTTGCTTTCAAGTATATGTACATGATTGCTGTTCCTCTTCTCATCGCTTACGGAGCATACTCCTTGAAATACGAAAGTCACAAATCCTGGTACTCTTTTGTAATCGCAACTCTTGTCGGATCCGTCTACGCGTATGGTTTCTTGATGATGGTCCCTTCATTATACATCAACTATCGTCTCAAGAGTGTTGCACACATGCCAGGTAGAGCTATGATGTACAAGTTCTTGAATACCTTCATCGATGACCTTTTTGCATTCACGATTAAGATGCCAACCTTACATCGCTTGGCGACACTCAGAGATGACGTTATCTTCTTCGTTTATCTTTATCAGAGCTGGAAGTACAAGGTTGACTACACAAGAGTCAATGAGTTTGGACAAGGCGGTGATGATGAGGAGGTTGAAGAGAAAATCGCCAACAAACCTTTGAAGAGTATTACGGGCGCTGATGCAAGCGCCAAGGTGGGAATTGAAGGTGCTAAGGTAGCTGAAAAGAAGGCGGATGAACTTGTTGGTAAGGCCACGGGAAGCTCTAAGAAAGCTGGAGCAACGAAAAGGAAGTGATAATTATGTCGTGAAAAGAAGTCGTTGATCTGTACAATAAATAAATGGGACATATGCGCAATTGATTACTACCTAATTGTGGGACAGGACATAGCTAGAGAAAATCATGCAGGAGTACATTTCTCCCAAAGGATATCAAATCAGCCTTATGAATCTGGTCATTAGGTCCATCTTTGGGTAAACATCTAGAACACTTCAGACTGATAACCGCCTCCCTGAATATCCCGGTTCAACGCGCCACACGGGTGAAAGCCGTGCGGCTAGTTCTCGCCAAGTGCATGCATGACACGTTGTTGTTGGAATGCTTGGATTTAATGTCTTGCTTCGGGAAATTCAAGTTAGTGTTGCCTGGGAGTTGCCGCCGCATGAAGTTGAAATCATAGGATGTCGAATACTGCGGCGAGTGACTGGTATATCCTCCGTGATATGCTTGCCCACATGATGCCTTATCTTGAGCGTGTCTAGTGACGATGCTATTATATATTTGTGGTGAATGCTAGATTGTGGCTAGGATGCACATCCAACTAAAGATTTGCACCTTATCCGAAATCCAGTTACTAGTGAATGGGATTACGGAGGGATGCCATTTTCGCATTTTCTGGTGTATGATGATTCATGGTTAAACATGTGCGGGGCTCAGATAAACCAACTCATTTTATGTAAGGGAAGAAACGCTTATTTTGTGGCATGAGGGAAGTTTCGTTGTGGCGGAAGTGGTGGGCGCTTCCCCGTCTGCCTCGAAGTAAGGTGGATTCTCTTTCTTGGCATATTACAGCTACAAATCCTTAACGATGACAATTTGTGTCTTAATCTCGTCCGACATTTTGCATGGAAAGTCTCGGGGACGCGATGTTCTTGAAGGTGGTGGGCAAGACTTGGGCACTACGAAGACGAAGTTAGTTGACCAATATTATTGAGCTGTGTTCAACTCACCCATAGTTTTGAAGTTTCGTACGCCTATTCCTATGTGGCCCGATTCTCTGCAGAATGAAATAGGACATCTAGGAGCGGTGAGTCGTGATGGTAGATATAGATAGTAGAAGGTAGTCTATATAAACCACTTGAGAACTGTAGAATATCTACGTAACAACGACATCAGTATCGGCATTAGAATCTTATTCCATATATTAGGAAAACAGCTTCCTGTGAAGCTACTTGGATCGAAATGCGCTGCTCATTCTTCGCCCTTTCTCTTTCACTACTCTTCCACCTCACTCTTTGTGATACTGTCTATTATGAAGGTACGAGCAGCGTGACAAAATCTACTTCAACTCCCATTATATACTACCCGCCAACTACCTTGATCTCTTCTACCCACGCCACCATCACCGAAGCAACCACCACTGACCACTTTACTCCTCCTAGTTATTCCACGTATCCTCCTTATTTAACAAACAAGCCAACGACGATATACTCCACAACCTACATCCTTCCCACCAGCCAGCCATCAACCATAACAAAACTCACAACTTATATACCTCCCACTACAACCTCCTCTTCAACATCAATCACCTGCGTTTCTCCATCTTTCACCTGGTCAGGACCCACCGATATCCCAACCGCCATACCTACTTATGGCGGATACCGGATGCGGAAACGTGCTGACCCTCCCAAACTTACACCGGAACAAAGTAAGCTAGCTCCACATACCATTTCCCACACGTCTAAGTCCGTACAATGGCTCGAAAACTAACAAAACATCACTCGTTTACCAGTTGAATTAATGAGATTACTTGTCCAAATATATGATCAGATAGAGAAAGCAAAGCCGGTCATAGATGAAGCTATTAAGCTCGGCAATACCGGATGTCAGAGTTTTAAAGATCTGGTTGCTATTGTGGGTTTTGTTTTTGCTTTTTTTTTTTTACTGCAAAGTATTGAGAAGGAAGGTTGGTGAGATTTACTAATTTTTATCGTTGTTGGGATTTAGCTGAAGAAGTATGCGCCTGTTTTTGAGGCGTTTCAGGAATGGCTTGATGCGCGAGGTTTGTGATTTATTGGTGTGGAGCAGGAAATGGGAGAATGACTTGAGAATTTGGATGTTGGAGATTATTTTGCTGTTCTTGGAATATTGATATTCGTTTCTTTAAATGCCGATGTCATTACCTACATGTATGCTATTATCAATCATTTACGGATTATCACAATTGCTCTTTATTCTCAACTTACTACTGTTTTTGAATAGATCTGCAAGCTGAAAGGTAGGGCAGCATAAATCTCACTAGCATTCATCGATCTATAAATTGTTGTAAAAATCGGAATATTCGTGTCGACGTCTCTGCCTCCCATTTCCTGAAGTTGTGGTTCGTTAAGGCCACCAGCCCACGAGCTGCGACCTGGGAAAAATGATGATATTCAAAGACAGGGCTTCAGTCCCATCGCTTGGCTAATGGCCAGACTTCGTTTAGATATGAAGGCTGACAAAAATCTAGGTTACATTCTTGGCACAAACACCGTTACGATTCCTATCGAGTTGATATAAAAAGTACATGGTTATCTGGAGGTGTCAAGAGCCAACTCTACTGCGAGCCATGTACACTGAATTTATTCTTTTGGGAATTCTCCCTTTTGTGCCCTGTTCTGGACTCTCTTCGGGACTTGCTTCAGCGGTTACGACTCCGGTTTATTTGACCACTTCCTCTTCACAAGCACAGAGTAGTTCTATTTTAGTAATTCCCACCACTAGAGTCCTAGCCCGCAACTCTTCATCAGTCGTTTTGTCAGTTTTAAGCTCGCACTCAACTGTATTAAATAGTCCGACGACTTCCACTCATACTTCCCGAACTGCATCCACTACTTCGGTAGTATTTACAACACCGATAGTTCCTCAATTTCATCTTCAACTGCGAGTCCGCCTTTAGTTGCAAGGGATAATGGCGACAGCGACGCTGCCCTTCTTGCTGCCAGTAAGTTCCATGATCCATGCCTATTCCTGATTTTCCTCTCTTCTTATTACCATATAGATAAACTGACGCAGCTGCAACACAGTAGATTCCTGGGCATCCGCATTCAATAACACAGACTATCTTCCCCTAGCAGATACAATTAATCAAGCAATAGTATTAGCCAGCATTGCTGATAGTTGCGACTCAAATGGAACTACGACAGACCCTCCTCCAACGGATCCTAATACTTCCCCTACGGTTCCCAATCCTCCGCCTAAGAAAAAACGTAATCCATGGCAAGGATTTGTAAGTTTCATTCAGTTCTATGAATTCACGTGATGAGCAAGAGTGCCACAAATACATTGAATAAATCTAACTTGCAATTATCCAGCTTGACTGGCTCAAACGACAAGGTATACATGTAGAGCCGGATGGAGATAATGGTATACGTATTATCATTGATCGGCCATTATGATAAAAGACTAGGGCTGATATTGAGGCTTCATTGAGTGTCTCAATTGAAGGGAAGTGCAAATGTAGAAGGCGGCAGTAAGGGGTAGTGCAGGACTTGGCATCGCAATAGAATATTGGCACGAAAAGTATAGGAAGTACTCATATCATTGCGTCTTTTCTATTATCTAAAGTTCAAATTTTGGTTCTACTTCAGACAATGTTCAAAATGCATTGCACGCTTTTATGTCTCCTCTTTTTTGCGTTAGTTCCGTATATACTTGCCATTACCACAACCTCCACATCATCAAGTGGATGCCTATCCAGTCGAATTCTTTCCAGCATCTATTCAACCACCACATTCTCATCAGATACAAATATTCCCAGCTCTCTATCCTCCTCCAGCCTCACACCTACTACTACAACTTCAACTTCTTCAACCTGTAGCGCAACCTCAAGCAGTACAGATCCATGTCCACCTCTTAAGCTGACAGGTGGAGACCTCGATCCCGATGAGAAGGATATGCCACTTACCGATCAAAAGCGTATGTTTCCCTCGCCCCGCGTCCTAAGTGCATAAAGTTCTTGCCATACTATATATGCAGGTTTTACACGAGCTTGAATATCATGAGCAGATAATTAAGCCAATTCTATATCTATATCAGTTAAAAAATGCAAAGAATATCAAGCATCGCACCCCCCACCAATTAGCAATTATGGCCCACCTAGATCTCCGGGGTATAACGAGTATGCGAAAATGTGTACGTCTCTCTTCATACTCGACAATCTCCCACTCTTATTATCTACTGGCATTTATCTCACTATTGTATCTTATATTAAAAAAACTGACTAAATCCCAATCCCACAGCTCTTCATTGCGCGCTCCTCAAAGATCTAGCCGAGAATGTCAAGAGAAGAAAAGAATATGTTATTAACACTTCTCTTGCGTGGCGATTTGACTGTGTTCAGAATGCTGTTGCATGGGCACTTTTTTTTAATTCCTACTGTTCATTTATTCTTCCCTTTTTCGTCTAGTTTCGTAATTTTTGTAATCTTAACTTCGAGTGGAAGAATCGAGGATTAGCATTAGCTAATTGCTTCTAGCTTAAACAATGGGCACCTTTTATAAAGGGTCTTAATGAGTGGTTAGAGGAACATAGGGATGATTGGCTTCCGATGTGTTGATGAGGGGAATAGATGTAGATGCTTTGTGGATGTGTAAGCGAAGGTAGTAGGTTGCAGCTGTAGCTATAGACAAACAATCTATAGCCTACCTAGAATTTTGAGATTTGTATTTCTCCTATCCTGCACCTTCTACGTCGTGTAATACATAACAGATATGCATGCATTATTCTCGCTCAGCAATGAGTGCAAGTCATTCAAATACGGATGGGATATTTGACTTAGGTGTTTTGTTCATTTTACCAGCGAGGTTGATGATCTTTTATATATTCAACATTGGTCTGTTTCGAGGAATATGAAGACTCCATATAGGCCATGGTAAAGAGTATTTACTATATTCGGTAAAGCTTACAGAGTTCATCATGATCCAGAGCAAAGGATTAATTCATATCAATTTCAAGCTTTCATTTCATTTCCCTCTTTTCTTTCCGTATAACTTTTACATTTCCCGCCTTCTTTCACTAAATATTAAGATATTTACACCAACTTTATCATCAACTTCTTAAAACTAAACACTAATATTCACCACTTTTTTGTTCAATGCTATCAAGTCTTTTTATTTTATGTTTTCAAACAAATTTGTATTTTATTCATAAACAAAACTCCAAAGAAAATGTGCAGATACTCATCTAATTCGATTTTAGTCTTTTCTTCGCGGGCCAGCGCTCTTTTGCTTTTTAGGAAAGGAATTTCAGGTTTCAGAAACTGCTTGCAGATAAAAGAGTCAATCTAATCAAATTCAAACGCCGCAGAGAATTCAATAAAGAAACAGTACTTTTTGGTTTTTTATGCGATATGGAAGAACTCCAAATCCATTATTCTAATTCAAAAACCAAAACACCATCGGCATCACTGCCCAGAACATCATTCCAAACATGAATCTTACCCACCTGTTTTGCACCCAAACTTTGCGGATGATCCGTACACATCCTCGCAACCGATCTACCAACTTCAGTCTCCATCAACCTCCTAAGAAGAGCAGGATTCACATCAGTGACCGAGAATGTAGTTCGTACACCTCTATCAATTTCTTTAGACGAGAAACCCGTCGCTTCAAGTACATCTCTAATCGTGTCGTGTATACCTTGATCAACTATCGGGCCACGGATGATGTATTTCAGATTACTCACCTGGTAGCCTGCTTCGATTGAGTCGTCTTCATTGCATGTATCGCGCCAGGATTGGTACATGAGCTCGCTAGCGTAGAGACGAGGAATATATCGGCCTACTTCAGCTTCTGGGTTTGAAAGTGTTATTATGATCGTAGCTGCCTTGGCGGATACGATAGTGCTGGCTACTGGACCTACCGCAGCAGGGCCCCTGTTGTTTTGCCTGTTAGCAACGCTTTTGGTATAGAAATTGTAAGAGGTCCAGTTAGAAGTATCATCGATGTTGAGAGCGGGATCCTTTAGGATTCCGGCCATGAAGCCATCATAAAGACATGCGATGTTGGTAACTTCGGTGCTTCCTCCTAGGCTTGCGTATCGGATGGTCCAATCTGGATATTCGATTTCAACGGGAGGTTCTTCGCTAATTGCGAGTATGTCAGTGGCAGTTGCGTTCTCGACTCTTGAGATGTATTCATCTCGTGAAAGAGCTAGTAGGTTAGGTGTACTTGGATGTCGGTCCACCCCAGATCGTCCATCATAAGAGTTATTCATGTTTGCTAAAAGTGGAGTTATTACCTATTTTCTTTAGACTTAATGTTTGTTTACAAAGATCTTTCGTAGATATTACTTTATAGATGCTATGTATGATGAATAATTAATTGTATGATAGGCAACAATCAGCATCATAACTCTTTTTATCCTCGTAGGATTGTATCATTGTTCGATTCTTCGGGTGTTGTTACTACATTGTTTTGCACAATGAAAGAAAAACCCCTATGGAACAAAGGCCACATTGTTGAAGCCCGAGTACTGTAGCAAATTACTGACAGCTAAATTTTTGGAATCCCGTGAGCGGTATAGAGTGTATTCTAACTGATAGCTAACTGATTAACAAGAAAAATTAAGATAGTTTCTGGGGAGGAACTCGGAAATTATTCAGAAGAATTCTATGAGTACAAGGAAAAGAGCAAGTTCTCTCTTTATATATACATAATTAAACGATGAAACAATCCTGAGATAATCTCGTATTTAGTATATTTGGAACTATGAAAATGAAATATAATAATAGATATTAAATAATTTCAATATTCTTAAAGATAATTCTCTGAAAAACATATACACATTATGTTATATATGTACGAACTATCCTCTCATTTTATTATACTCGAGCTCAATATCATCTCCTCTTCAATGAGCACATAGAGATTAAGATGTGGAGTAGATATGAAGGGGGAGAGAAATAGAAAGAGGAAAGGAATATATATATATATAATAAGTATCCTATTCCATCCATATACATAACGCGACTCCATCTCGGAGCTTCCTGTTCAAATGGCCAAATGCTCAAATGCAGAGTAATAAAAAATCACACCACTCAGCAACACATCAAAACATCAATAACATCACCACTCAACACCAGCAAAACGTCCACATACTCCGCCACAGCGACCCAAACTTAGGACAAGAAAGCCTTCTCTTTTAAAGATCCTTAAAGATCCTTAAAGTACTACTTTACTGCAAGTACAGAAGAAGAAGAAAAATGGATAGATATCCTTTAAGTAAAAGCTTACTTAACACACTCCAACTCTCAAATTCTTAAAATTCTAAAATTATGGTAAGATTATATAGTATTATCCCTAAAGTCCATGGATTTGGTCTATGGATTACGGATACCTTTATGTGGTATTTTTATGTATTTTGCACATATTAATCTATTACTCTATCAATAAAACAAAGCAAGACAACTCGAAGCAGCGAGCTGCTAAACAAGTAAAAGTTTACCTAGTATTTATTTATAGATATAGTTCCCCGATTCATGGTGAGGATGATGAGGATGATATGAGGTGGATGGTATAACTTGATAATGAAGAATATTCCAAGATTACAACATCCAAGGAGAAGATGATTAGAATTGGGGATCTGATAGTATTGTATTGTATTATTGACAATGGACTAAGGATATTATAACACCATCCTCCCAAGCTAAGTTAAACACACTGACTGATTCCAGCACCCTCAAGACTCTTACAACAAGACTCCTAACCACTTTCCTCACAACCGCCCAGGATAAAATCCCCATACTAGTACTAACATATCTTCCATCCCTACCAAACGATTCACGAAACAATTCATAAAGATGATGAGTTACGAGTACAAAATATCTTTCTATCACCTAAAACATCAGAGTAACCAACTTCATATAATCTTATCCCAAAGTCCAGACATTTAAAGTACGAATAAGAGAAGGAAGGGAAGGAAGGAAACTCATTATCCATGCGATCATCATAGGTTATGAGCTAATTCCCTTCCCGCGAAAGATACGCTACACACCATCCATCGTATACGCAAAAAGCCGAAACCACCCTGCCAACACGTCACAAAGAAGAGATAAGGAACCCACTTAGAAGCTAATTAGTGAAACTCTATAGGAGGAGGTTATCCGTAATGACTTTGCCACGCAGAAGAGGCTGATGAATGGATTGGATAGAATGGTGGCGTAGCGTGGCTACGAAAATAACTACTTGGATTGGATTTTAGATCTACGCGATGTGACTGTAACTGTAACTGTGACTTGAAAAGGAGAAGATATTCAAGGAGGATGTATGAAAGTAAGGGGTATCGCCACGGAGAGACGTCAGCAACTAGGAGGGTTATGGAAGAAGCGTATTGTTGAAACATGGAAGATGGTGTATTTGTTGAACTAGAGAACTATAGTACGTGTGAAGCCAACTTCAGATTTCATTGAGTGAAATTTCTGTAGTTACTAGTTACTATTTTCAACTTGAGAACAATAAGACGAGGAACTAGAGAATGAGGAATGTGAAGCACTGTTTCAATTCGTTTGATCTCCCAGCACACATAGCACACATAGCACACACGGCACGCACAGCACGCACTGATGTTCCGTCCCTTGTTTCCGCCCCAAAGACTGAAATCCAAATAAACGCCATGATACCGTCTGAAGTATATTGAGATAAAGTTTCCCGCGTGCCTCATTTGGTAGGGGTTGCGAATGTGATGAGCCAACAGTTGTATAGCAAGCTACAAGGATGCGTAAGTAGCATTGATAGTGACAACTGCCGTGAAGAAGATCTTTTGCTAAAAAAAATACATCATGCTCCCCATCGACAATGTGCATCAAGTGCCGAACGTGCAGCTTGGAGGGAACAAGGATGGAGGTATTAGAGCAGAGTTCATGGTGTACAAGGTTAGGAATCGTGTGACTGCCCACTTAGATGCCCCATCTGGCATGGTTAGTCTGTGAAGTAGATTATACGGCAGAGGTTCATACAAGTTCTTGCTCGCTCTTGGTTGTGACCAAGTCGGACGAAGCCAAGACGTTATTTCGATAATTAGGCGAAGAGCATTTCTCCAGGGTGAGAATGTTCATCAATGTAACAGAAGGAATATGAATGGGGAGAGCATATGAAATGCTATAGAATGGGGGTCCGTGGTGAAGGGGAGAAAGAATTGCCGAGGAAGAGAGGGGCATGTTGGGTACCGTGAGCTACTCAGGCGGGTCTTTGTGAACGGTCGTGAAAGCAAAGGCAGACCTTGACTAAGATTGCTATGCTATGGTATTTCGGACATTCGAAGTTAAATTTCCAATAATATTTAAATTAAGATCAATAGAAGTATAGTGACTTTCTAAATGAATCCTTAGCGAGTTCATTTAGTTCTGATTTCCCAACCTTTAAGAATGAATTTATATCGAATTTCAAAGTTGGTGAGCAAGAATTCACCACTCACCAAAAGCCCGCCCGAGTAGATAGTGGAGAATCAGGACCCACCCGCAAAGGCGGAGTGGAGTGAAATGTCTAGGATGAATGGAATAGTCCGAAGTACCCGCTAAACCCTCATTTAGGTTAAAACGTTGGAACTCAATAAATGACAGCGGTTCCGTTAGCGCGCTTTGACGGTCACAAAAGTCCTGGTGGTCTAAAGTTTCGGCTCTTTCCATTTCATTTCTTCGGTCAACGGATATCGGAGGGCGACGACGGGGCAATTCTTGCTTATGTTTTTATACTAATGCTTATAAATCAAAGTCTTTATGATATCCGTGGAAAGAATTCGGTAAAATAGACTAGGATTCTGTTTCCTGCTCAAGGTAAAGTTCTGTGCAATGGACTTTGATTACAACGCAAGCAAGTGGACCCTTCTTACGGAAGATATATTAAAATCCTTCGATGCGATCCGAAAATGGTACGATAACAATGCCGGCTAAGGCTTATTGTCCGGTGCTGGGTGATCAGATTTAATGACTAGACAAAAAACAGAATGGGAGTGGGAGAGATGTGAAGCAAGGTTATCTCCAGTTTTTCAATAATGACTTATAACGTCGGTGATTGCGATTGGATTGAAGAGTGGTAAGATTTAAAACATGGAAGAAAATATACATGATGGATGTGTTCCAACTTCTTTCTCACTTGAGAAGTAACATTTGTCCACTATTGAAGGGTTCTTTTACGAAAAATAGCACAAAGAAGTGAAAGCAATGACTGACCAGCCTAAAACTGCCCCATACATTTTTTATCTCTTCATATAATTTAAGACGTGGGATGGTCTGGAACACCCACCGCGTTTTCCACGATATCCATTCAGTATCATGAGTTATTCCTGGGCGAAAGCCTGAAGCAAAAGCCAGAATACCTCGCCGACGTTAGATACTGTCATGTACTTTGTTCTTTTAGCGCGACCACTATGGCTTACGCGAGTAAGGAAATTCAAGGATTCTCCGGCTCGCAAAGATCATCTCCAGGGCCAAGAGAAATATTCCGCTGCGGACCGTCCTTTGCCTTTTCCCCTTGAAAAAATCGGCAAAATCTAATCGGTTTGTATATCAAACGTAAGGGCCATGTCAAGTTGTCAACAAAGTGTAAGTGACAGACAAGTTGGAATTCAAATAATCTCCAAGATGATACAATGGGATCGTCACCGATCGCGTTCTAGCCACGTTTCTGCAGTGAAATATTTAAGACGAACCTAAAGGGTTGAAGTTTGCGAAATGATGTTGAAATGTCCAAACGCGCAGATTTTGAGAAGTTCTATCAAATTCGAACCTTACTTTAGCTGATGCATGCAGGAGACCTGTCATTTAAATCACAACATGCATCAATACGGAGTAGAAGGTTCATGAAAATAGAAGCGAAAAATAAAATATTGTATGGTAGATCCGGAGCGACCTAGCGCTCAATAACCCCTGTGTTGTCTCTTCCCCAACCCTGAAATTCTTGGATGGAGAGAATCCGCCCTGTCTCATAATCAACCAGTCAGAGATGGAAAGTAAAGACGAACCTATCAGTCCCAACGAAGAGCAACTAAACCAATCTTGGTAGAAGATGATATTGCCCTGTCCTGTCCTTGCCCTGCCCTGTCCTGCCTCATAAACTTATGTTTGACCCGCCTCTGTCTGTACTATAGAACAACTGATTCCTTTTTTGGTGGCAAAAGGTGGCTTGTTGACCAACTTACCTACTTGCACTTGCTTTTTGAACAAACTGGATAACTTCACAGCGGGGATACTGATAATGTAGCAATCGATTTCGCTCGAAGCTCAGATGTTCAAGGAGGCTTGTCATACGATGATATCACTCTCGAGAGACCATATCTGTGAATGTGATGCTCACGTCCTAAGGTTTCGTGTATCACAACAAGAGAGGTTGATTACACAGAGATGGGCATGTGAGATGTTTTGATGGCGATATTTGCATGGATGGCAATCAGAGGCAATCAGATGTTTGGGAACTTGGAAGGGTTTCAATTGGGAGAATTATGCAACCGCACAGACCTTGAGATGTCGACGTAAGAAAACTATTTGATGTTGGATACGATTGTGATGTTGAGAATAATGGGGGGGAAACGTCTGTGCGAAAGCCTCTATGGACTAGGGGGCGTTCAGGTTCTTGATGTACGAAGTAAGGTTACGGACGGAGTAGTAAAAGCTTTAAGCGTGACAAACATATTTTCCTGTTTCTGATTCGGCACGAAATGGAGAATTCGGGAGTCTGTGCAAAAATTTAGGGATGATTTGATACGGGATGAGAGTCATGAAAAGGTTAGAACTACTTCAAAATAGACAAGGGAGCGGGAGGTTTTCTTGCTGGTTATGTACCGATAACGTAGGTTGGCTATGTTAAGGGGTCGGAAAAGAATTAGCAGTACCGAGATCTATGATGGATGGATTTTAGATGGATGGATGTTAGATGGGTATGTGAAGTTGATTTATATTTTGATATTATATTTTGATATTATATTTTGATATTATATTATCATTTTATATAATTGTATATAAATGAATATATAAATATAATAAATAAACACTTATCATCCTCTGTTTAAATAGTGAATATATCAATTGACATCGAATTATACCCCTTATTACCCTTATTAATCCTCGATAATGCAAGTAATTGAGATTGTTGATGCAAATAAGATTTTAATGATTGGGACGAATCAGGTGCGTTCCGAGTTCGTCTACTCTATACAGGAGATGATTAACAGAACTAGTTACGGACAGAGCAGATGAACTAGACGAGGAGAAAGAACTAGGCACATATCCCATTTTCGCACAGACACTTTTATCGGCCTTTACATACTTTGTACTACAGAAGATAAGATAGAGAGAAAGAAGCAGAATTATAGACGCAACTTATTCTACTACTTACTACTCTATCACTCTAGATACCTTACTACTTATGGCCACAACTACTTTAAATACATTCATTTATATTAATACAAACACTAATTTGTCGGCGGGGTATTTACGCGCTTCTAGCCTTTTAATCCCTTCCAACTTCTTACCCCTTCCGCCCCGGTTCCGAACCGGTAAGAAAAAACTCCACAAATTTCCATTTTCCGTATTTCTTAACGAAACTTGTAATTTGACCTTTATTAACCTATATTTAACTATCTAAGTGTTCGGAGGACCTTCTACAATCGGTCTCTCACAATTTGACGTTTGAATTCATTGATCAGCTTCTGGTCGGTTTCAAGATCACCAGACTCGTTCGCTTTCCTTACAAACGAATGAAACGCCCTCCGTGTGTAGCCACCCATTGCAAAGAATCAAAAGGATTGATGGGAACATGCAGCTAGCCGTCCGTGAGCTTGCCAGGGAGGAAAATTTCCACCAGCAAACATGGCAACAGATAAGGTAAGATCTACAAAATCTACAATCCTTTGCTTGATTTCACGCGGCAGCCAGCCATATTCAATGAAGGACGAATACTCAACCTTAGCAAGAATATGTGAAGATCCTACCGTACTCGACGTCTGTCTGGATATTTGGATATCTAATTTAACCATGTATTCATTACTTCATTCATTCGGATCCAAACAGATAGCTATACTTAACATTATGGTGTCAGCACTCGTACTCACTGAAAGCGGATCGGCCCACTCAAATATAAATCCTTTTCATAAAAGCTTCAAATTCCACCCCATAATTCTCGCAAGGTTAGACTTATTGGGTTGAATTCCCAGGTACTGGAGGATTCATCCCAACCCAAAGTACCGGGTCTAATGAGGCATGGGATAAATAAGCACTATGGTTACATAGTTCATTGGATGGGTAACATCGTGAGAACGTCACTTGCACTACATTCGTAGTATGGAACAGATATCGAGCCCCAGCAATAGAGATTGTTGATGAGATCCGCCCAGCATTTCGCAACCAATCTCACGCGAGGTTGGTAAAGTTGGCGTCTCACGAATCTCTCCCTTTCCCCCATATGAGATTCAATATTTGTGTTTGTTACTAATGTCAATGCACACGCACCCAAGACTGGCTGAGGTGCGAATGTGTGAATCAGAATAATAAACCAAACTAAAAGCCTGTGTCTGCATTTATACGATATGTTTTTATACCTTCGCCACAAGTTGTGGCAATCACCAAGTCACGACCATGCGTCGCGATTTTCTCCTGTTTGCAATTCTTCAGCATCATATCTAAACTCGGATAGATTGGGAAAGCTAAATTCGTACTTGTTTGTCACTATTTTGGTCCGGAAGCAGCGTCCTGCGTAGCTTTCACGGTTTAACTCCAACCATTGGAGAGATTTTGCAGGCTTTCAGCCCTCGACAAGGGTTTATGAAATGCAACGCAAGTCAGTAATCTGACACGGCCATATCCGTACAAGAACCATTTCCACGGGATCAAGCCGTCCGCCCCGGGCTTAGCATTGCATATTGTATTGGCTCGTTACCTCTCCCCCCATGGCATATCACAAATCTTTTGCTCTGACCCAGCGCAAGATTTACCGTCTAGATGGGCGTATGTTGTGTTCAGTTTGTTCAACCACACATATAAGGCTGTTTAGATTCGAACAAAATGCCCCTCTTCTTTATGATCATGAAATCAACAATTGTCTCGATCGTTTGCTACTGTTTGCTCCACTATCCCAAATTAAGTCACTTTGCATGCACGGATCCAACTTGGCTTCGCGGCGAGCTTTCCGGGCTCCGCTAATTTATCACACTTTTTATCACAATTTGATATGTCTGTATTTCGCATTTCCGCTAGCTAGAAAAAATCTACTTGCGCCGGAATTAAAAAAGTTGTTATATGCATACCGATCCGATAAATATGAGCCGATCGAACTCTAGGCTGAGCCAGATCTGACCCAGCTAAAGTAATGGGCGTTTCGTCATAGTTCACCCTCAAAATGTGGCCCAAAAAGTTCGGTTCATTAAGCCACTTTAAGCAAGGTCAAGTTCACACCCCCCCCACGAGATCTCCAGGCCTTATCCTTCCCGTCTATACATGGTATAATCCCAGCTCTTGTGTCTTCACTCCCTTGAGATCTGCTCGGTGCCTCGCAAGATCCTTGAACCATGGGGTCTTTGACCTCTTTCGAAAGATACTGGTAGCAGATCCCTTTCATCAGAAGCCTCAGCGCCACATTGCAGTAGGTTCGCAAGGTAGCCAATGCTGCCTCGAATTCTGACGTGCTGGCACCTTCTTGGATGGGTGCCCATATTAGCTTCCGATTGGCTGTCACTACAATGTCTTCCAACTTGTAGCCTTGGGCTGGTTCTGGTACGGACCCTTGCCAGTGCATTCACCCTTTTTGGGATATCTCTCTTCTATGGGGAACATTTCAGCAGTAGACGGCGATGATACTAGTGGATTGCCAGCCTTGTCTGTTTATGTTTCACTATCATTGCCTCCCCGGTCAACGTCACTTTATTGGCAAAGTTCGAAGTGTTGCTATCGCTCTGTACAACCTGAGCCTACCGGCAGTTCTACCAGTAGTGGGGAACAAGTCTATATGAATCAATCTCCCTCCGTTATATTTAAGGTTGAAAAAGACTCATCCAGATCATCATCATAAAACGTATTTATTTCCAAATAACTCAAAGACCTCGCGGCACATACAAGTACTGAACATATTCTCTTCTTGAATACATACCCTTGCTCAACGGCTTCAATCTCTTCGATTGATCTCAGTGCATATTTGCCTTAATAGTTTCACGTTACTCTCCAGCCTTTGAATCAACCAAGCAAAGAATCAACTTCGGTTCCGTCTCTTCACTTTCAGCAACCCGAAATTTTGCAGTACTCAAGACAAACCGGCAAAATGGTAGCACATACACCAGTCACTACCTGGCGCTGGAGTGAGGATTCCCACATTCCATTTTGCTATATGGATGCATCCGGCATGGTTCGATCTCTTGACCCTCAGACAACCAGTTCGGCAGGTTTAGGAAGAACAATCATCGCTCCTCCTATCATGCCAATAAACTCTTTCTCTGGTAGCTCTTTCATCATGAATGGTCATCAACAAGTTCCACAAAATGCATACGGTTTCACATCTTATACCAACGGAAGTTCAACCAATCTCATTCCAACTTACGGAGCCAATTATATTCAGCCACGATCTCTTCCTCCTATGATACAATCCTTTTCTCATTCACCAAAAGAGGTACTTTTTGACGGAAGCAACCGCCAAAGATTCACTGAAAGCACATCGCAAAGCCAAAGTCCTCAGATTAAACCAGAACCTTCATGGAAAACGACTACAAGGCGTCAGCCACAGAAAAATCTGAAAACACCACCGGCCAACGAAACCATAAATCCTCTTCCAGTGACCGGCTCTGATGAGGCACATGTCGGAACCACAGCAGTAGACCGACTTATGAAGATCATTCAAGACAAGACAGGAACATTAAAATTACAATCACCCTCTATCTCTCAAAGTACATCTGTGGTAGGTGCACCCCACACACTCTCTCGTCACGATTTCATGCATCGAAGATGCTCTTCATATGAGGAAGAAAAGCAAATGCTCACATCTGATAAGGTTCACGATGAATCGGGACGCTCTAAGGTACCAAAGAAAAAGTATCGATGCACCTTTGAAGGCTGTCTGTCGCGCTTTCCACAGAAAACACACTTGGATATTCATCTCCGTAAACATACCGGTGCGAAACCATATGTAAGTAATCAAACTCCATCACACTTCCAACGAATTTTTTGGACTAACGGAGTGTATCTAGGTATGTGGATATGCAGAATGTAATCGAAGATTCTCACAACAAGGTAACCTCAAGGTAAGAGCTCTTCATCTTTCATACTCTATCAAATTTTATGCTAATCAAAAATCTTCTCAGACACACATGGACCGTCACAGTGGTGAACGACGCTTCCCTTGTGAGATATGCGGAAAACGTTTCGGACAACGAAGCAATTTAAGTGCGCATAGAATCGTTCATACGGGCATCAAACCCTTTTCATGCAGACTCGATGGATGTGGGAAAAAATTCACACAAAGGGGTAACCTCAAGGTACGTTACCACTTTAACTTTCTTTTTACTTTTCTATCAATTATCCCATTCACATAGAGTAAGAACTAACATTTCCTTTTCAGAATCACCACAACAAATTTCATCACCAAACCCTCGAAACCCTTGAATCCCAACTCATAAACGGTGAAATCGACATCGAAGCCGACAAAGACTATTGGGCATACTTCTTCAACCTCTACAAGAATAGCAATAAGGGAATCAAAGGACGAGGCAAAGATCGAAACATCAGTCCTCGAAGTCGTTCTTCCAGGAATAGTCATGCTAGTACTGGTTCCAATGCCAGTCGTTACGTCTCATCAAATATGCGAAGCTGCCATGGCTTTATGGATGTTGATGGCGCATCATACAATGATGTAACGATGTATGATTCTGATGCCAGTATGAGAAGTCATACGAGTGGAAGCATGAGTGTGAATAGTAGTTTTAGTTCTGTGACTACTGCTTCGACGGCTTCTACTTGTTCGAATTTTTCGGATGATGTTACGGCTGATTATAAGGATCATCATGGTGGGAATGTAAGAGGTGGTTTGGTTTTTGGTGATAGGTTGTATTGACTCATCATCTTGAAGTCGAAAAGAAAGGGGTAAAGGGAAGGAAGGAAAACATACATATAACCTACGTACACAGTCACGAGAGATGTCGAGATGAAAACGAGTACACAAAACGAAAATGCGGAAATGAAAGGACGAACGGCGGTATTACATTCTTTTATTATCACTATCATCACCATCACCATCATTATCACACGACACCGGACACGAATATCCAACTCAGAAAAGCGAGATGTATTTTTATTGGACGCATCGATCTATTCGTCAGTCAGTCATTATCATAAGGCTGATGGATGATCGATGGATTTCTTTTCTCTTGTTTCTCATATTTCTACCCGCACACTCATTCTTTTTTTTTTTGTTTTTGTTTTTCGAATTCGAATTTCTTTTTATATTTATATTTGCCTTTCTTTTTCTTTCCATTTCCATTCATTATCATCAACGGAGGATCCAGTCAACCAAAAATCATTTATCACATCACATCATGTATTTCATAATAACGGCCATGAACCTTGTTCAATCTTTTTTTTTCTTTTTTTGGGAGGAAGCAATATCGATGGTGAAGCGGGAAGGAAGGAAGGAAGAAGGGAGGCAGGTAGTTTTGTTTTTGTTTTTGTTTTTGTGTTTGTTTTTTAAGGGTGTTATTTTGGATATAATTTATGGATAGGGTGAATGGGAAGGATGATTGGGAGGGTAGAATGGGGAGGATGGTTTTGGGGTGGTTCTGTGGGCGGTATGTCTGCTTTGAACGGGAATCAACTACCTAAGGTTACCTAGTAATATTTATTTTGGGGTATTTGTGATGGTTGATCTTTGATCATTGGTAGTTAGTCAATAGGCAATAGATAGTGTGTAGAAATATATTTATATTTATATTTATTTATATTATGAATGTTGATTTATTCATTCTTTTATGCTTACTTGCTTTCTTGCTTGAAATACACTTCAAAAGCCTAGAACAAAGTATTAAACCATTATCAAATAATATGACTTTAAAAGATCCTTTACATCATATCATATCATATCATATCATATCATATTACAATTCTTAAATGTTCGTTCCCTTTAGCTTCTTTCTTTCGACTTTGCTTGTATTGTTGTTGAACTTACCTTGGTGATATTTTGATGGAATTTTTGTATATGTAAAAATTCAGACGCGAGGGAAGGGGTACGATTAATTATAGAAAGAAGAGATGAAGGGAGGAGCAGAAGGTTTTTACAAAGTCAAATATCAAATGTCAAATTCAGAGTCAGAGTCAAACTCACACTCAAATTCTTATCTTTTGTCTTTTGTCTCTCGTCTCCTATAATTATATATTATATATAAATAAATATTCTATAACTTCAAAACTCTACTCCGATATAAACCCATTAATTACACCCGAAATACAATTGCCGAAGTAAGATTTTACTTTACGTAAAGAAAGAAGGGAAGCTTAAACTTAAGCTTAAGTAAGCATGTATTCAAGTACCTCACATACAACTATCCCTTCTCATCCCAGCCAGCAACATCCAACATCTAGTTAGAGCACCAGAACTAAAAGGAAAACAATCTTAACATAACCATAACCATAACCATAACCATAACTATCTTCATCGCCCATCCCCCATCCGTAAGAATTTCCTTTTTCTCTTTATAGAAACAATGATATCATCTCCATTTCCAATCCCCATGCCCATCCATCCATCCATCCATCCATCCATCCCCACAACAAAGTAAAAAAAACAATTAACTAGCATCTCATCTAACCACAATTAACTAACTAACGCAACCCCGCCCGCCCGTGAAAAAGATAGACCAGTCCCAGGTAAATTTTAAGTCTTAAGTTTAAAATTTTAAGTCTTAAGTCTCAAGTCTAGACCCGATCCTTTTACCTGCGGCTTTTGCGGGGGAACTCGAGAGTTCTAGAACTTTAGGGGACCAGAATTAGTGAATTGGGGAACTAGGCAAATAGGATTAGGGAACTAGGGATGAGTGTATGCATGTATGGATGGATGGAAAGGGATAAGAAATACATGTATAGATGGATAGAAAGGGATAAGAAATGCATAGAAGCGTAAGCTTAAGGTTAGATACTCGAGTGCGTACACGCAAGGGAGAATGTATCTAGGGCTTTGTTTCCATTATTGTATATTCTATGCTACGTATGCTGTGATATATTGTATATTTGCGCTGGTGCAGTTACTAAGCTAGAACTAGTAGATATGGAAGATGGATAGGGAGGGTAGGGTGTCAATTATCAGATAGTTAGTAGCTAGGAGTTATCAGTTACTACGTAGGCACTGCTAATGGAGTACGACTAATATGTATGTCATGTATGTACGTAGGTAGTATATTATGTACATGTAGTATCCAACGTAACATTTCAAGCATAAGTGCTGATCATATATTGTACTAATGAACGGATGGTAAATAAAGTGGAGAAGGAAATTCTCTGGGTAATGCGTTAATGTACCTACCTAAATGGTGCATCTATGTAAGTAAGTGATGTTGCATTGCTAGTTAGCCAGTTGCTAGATAGGGATACGTGGTAGCCAAGTAGCGAAATACCTACCTAAGCTAAGCTATTGACTGGAGGAATGTGATGTGATGGAATACGAAATTCCAAACCTACCTAACCGGATCAAGTGCGGGAATAAGTTGACAATCCAAGTAACCTTACAAGTAAGTAACTTGAGTAATTTTCCATATAAAATAAAATAAATCTACCCGCGCTTTCCGAAATCTTTGAAGATACCTACCTACCTATCTACCTACCTAGCTAGGCACCCACTCTACTCTAGTAGATACCTAGAGACTTAAAGAAAAAGCAATGAAGCCAGATCGGGAAAAGGAAAAGGAAAAGGAAAAGGAAAAGGAAAAGGAAAAGGAAAAGGAAAAGGAAAAGATGAGATGAAAGATCGATACTCCAGACGATAAAGTTGCACAGACAGCGTTTGGTTAACTATCTACCTAGGTACTCTAAGCTAACTTATCAACTACAGAGTATAAATGTACGAAGCCGTCCCGTCTGGACGGATAGACGGGAGGTCTAGCTTCCAAGGTTAGGAAGGTTGTCAATGTCTGTCATGTCATGGCAGGTCATGTCAAAATTTATTCCGTGTGGTGGGATTGGGATTATGATTATCTGGGTGTGAAGTGGTGAAGTGGTAAATTGATAAATTGGTAAATTGGTAAATTCGTAATATTAAATTCATGGGGTTGGGTGGTTGTCTGAAGAAGGTTTATGGTATGGATGCAGGTTGTTGTATAGAACATTGGAAATACCGTAATTTGTATGGACAAAACATCCAGATGAATATTGGTAATGATATTATTTTATTGGATTTTACTAGACTTTGATAGATTTTATTATATTCTATGGTCTTATTGGATGAGATAGAAATTCCAATGAAATGAGGCGATTAAGATCGACGTGATGCAGGTGTGAGTGCGTAGTATCCTTGATGCAGATCGGCTGGGGGTATTCCTTGTCACGTGCCATATACTGTTGTATTGCATGTGTCAAGGTAAGTGTCAATTTGGAAGGTAACATTAAGGATTGCTTCCGGAATCTTGGAATTCTTGGAATATCTAATGATTTGCAGTGCATGCGGCCCGATGATCAAACAGAAATGTTCCGAGACAAAAACTCCTCGGATCGAAAAAGTTGATAGAAATCATTAGATAACCAAATCGATATACGGAGGGAGTAGGCTAACCAGGATAAAAATCTCGATGCCTCAATAAAGAAAATAGGGGTCCTTGATCTTCCTTGCAATATGCACGCGTGCACTCTCGCACGTATCCAATAAAACCAATTCCCCAGAAAATATGATATATCATAGCTCCTCCTAACCAAAAGAAAGCCCCAACCCCACAACCCGGTATCCATCAGTTCAGCCCCCGTGAAGAGTCGATACAAATAAGATATTATCATTAGGTTGTAATACGTATGAGGCTTCGCCTTCTAATTCCCAGTCCGCATCATTGATTAATACGAGGATGCCTGGACGCCTGGTGAAATAAATGTGATAGTTAGTTATGGCTGTTTAGCAAACATGTGTACGGGGAAATGAAAATAGTGGCCGGTGCATGTAAGGTACGGTAGGGTTAACGACGAGGAAAAGTTTGAGCCTGCGCATAATGTTGCACGACATGACAGTTTGAAACGGTGAGAGAAGAGAAAGACGGAAGGGTCGCAAAATCAGATCAAAATCAGGGGTATAGCTAGATATAGCATAACTCTATATCATTCGCAATATATTTAGAAACGTGGTGCACACTAATGAACCAGCCAGCATCTCAGAGACATGAGGAAATGAAAAAAACTCGGCGTGGGCTTACACGTGATCATCTAGAATAAACATGTCTTTTCTTGAATCTTGCATAATTTCATCACAAAGATAGTTCACCAACCAGCCCACGGTGACGGGATCGCCCTTGGAATCTGTTTGGGGAACTGTAAGTTTGTGGTTTCGTTGGTCGGCAAATAACATTTCGAGACCGCCACTGTTGGAGTTTGTTAGTGAACTGTTTGGAAGGGATTTTGCTTGGAAAGAATGACTTACGTGAATTCTACCATGATATTAAGGGTTTCTGTCGTCATGTTGAGGAGTTTCGTGGACTGAATTTGGAGTTTGATATTGAAATGATGGTTGGGAGGAAGGTTTGGGATGGTTAGAGAAATGATGCTCATAGCCTCGCTTATTTTTCACATGAACTTTGGACAGTGGCACTTGTTCTTTGTGAGAATCAGTTTAATGATGAAAATAATCGTAGAAGTGCTCAATGTTCTGCAATAAAATATTTTCAAAAATAATCATGAATCCAGTGCTCCATTTCATGTCAATATCGAGGGTTTGCGATGAGAATTGAATTTTCACCAATTTTCAAAGCTCCTTGTGGTGAATGACTCCTACCAAAAGTTCTTGTAAAAACGTGAGGAAACAATTTTCACAACACCAACAAATATTTCAGGATCAGCAATCATTGAAATCACCACCAACTTACGACTTAAATCCTCTAGATCTCGTATCTGGGTATGAACAGATCACGTTTTTGATAAAAATCTTTTCCTTCGTGCGCACTTTGATGAAACGATATGAGTAAAATTACTCCAGAGTATCTTGCGGCAGGTGCCAATAGACATCCTTCTGCTGCTGATTGGGATGAATCAGGACTTCTAGCCTATGGAACTGATAGAAATATCGCATTATGGTATCCTGGAGTAAGTTTTTAATATCTACCATGAAGCTTCGAGCCATGAGAATAGATGACTCTGGTTCTGCAATGGATGACCAGCATGCTGATGGTCGTTTAGAATGAATCTTCCCGAGGCGTTTTTGAACTTCTCAGTGGTCATACCGATACTGTTAATGTCGTCAAATTTATCCCTAAATCACATGGTCTCATACTTAGTGGATCGGTCGATAAGACGGTGAGGATTTGGAAACAGGATGAAGTATCAAAGAGTTATACTTGTATTCAAACTATTGCCGATCATCAGAGCACGATCAATTGTATAGCTGTTACAGAAGGTTCCAAAATCTTTGCTACGGGTTCGGCAGATGCTATCGTCAAGGTTTGGAAGCTCGATGGTGATAATGTTGCAAGTTTGCAGCAGTCTATCACCATTACCCCGCGATTATTTCCATTGGCATTGGCTTTGAGTCCTTTGATTGGCGCATCAGATTCTTTAGTTCTCGCAGTAGCAGGCACAAAAGATATCATTCAGCTTCACGTGCTCGATGCTCAAGCGGGATCAGAATTCAAATATAAGGCTACACTATCCGGACACGAAGGATGGATCAGATCATTAGAATTCACAAAAGAAAGCGATAGTCCAACTAGTGATCTACTCCTCTCATCAGCCAGTCAGGATAAATATATCCGATTATGGAGAATTCATCAAGGCAAAGAATTACCAGCCGCAGCAACGGCAGCTGATCCAACATTCGGAGCATTCATGCCAGGAAAATCTCTTTCCAACAAAGCCCATCGATTTCAAGCCCAAGGATTAGATTTCTCAGCCACATTCGAAGCACTTCTCCTCGGACATGAAGATTGGATCTACAGCACACGATGGCTCAAGCCAGCTCTAACTACCAACCAAAAGCCACAACTTCTCTCCGCCTCAGCAGATAATTCTCTCGCCATCTGGGAACCTGATAGTCACACAGGCGTCTGGGTAACCGTCGCACGACTCGGAGAAATCAGCGCGGAAAAAGGATCTACCACCGCCACCGGTAGCACGGGAGGTTTCTGGACCGGTCTCTGGTCACCCAATGGCTCAACCGTCGTGTGTCTCGGACGAACAGGTAGTTGGCGTCTCTGGAACCATGATGCGTCTTCTGATCGCTGGGCCCAAAGTACGGCTATTACCGGTCATGTGAAACCTGTGATGGGAATCTCGTGGTCGAAGGATGGAAGTTATTTGTTATCGACTAGTACGGATCAAACGACCAGGTTGCACGCGCAGTGGAAGAGAAATGGGAAAATTAGTTGGCATGAGATGGCTAGACCTCAGATCCATGGTTATGATTTGAATTGTATTGATTCGCTTGGCGAAACTCAATTCGTATCTGGCGCTGATGAGAAATTACTTCGAGTATTCAATGAGCCAAGAGCAGTCGCCACACTACTCAACAAACTCTGTGGAATCGGCAGCGAGAATATCGACAACATGCCCGACGCAGCAAATATGCCCGTCCTAGGACTATCCAACAAAGCCATCGAAGCCATAAGCGACGACCAAACTGTCGAGAAAATCAACGACCACGATCGCAACGCCATAGATCCCGCCTCCATCGTCCACAAATCCACACTAGACCTCTCACATCCACCCTTCGAAGACCATCTCTCCCGGCACACACTCTGGCCCGAAACCGAAAAACTCTACGGACACGGCTATGAAATTTCCGCACTGGCCACATCACACGACGGCAGCATCATAGCCACAGCCTGCAAAGCCAGCTCAATCGACCACGCCGTAATCCGACTCTTCGAAACCAAAGAATGGCACGAGATAAAACCACCTCTTACAGCTCATTCCCTCACAGTTGCCCGATTACGTTTTTCAGACGATGATAAGTATTTACTTTCCGTAGGACGAGATCGTCAATGGGTTGTTTTTGAACGGGATGAGCGGGATCCGCTGGTTTATAAATTGGTTGAGAAGAATCCGAAGGGTCATACCAGGATGATTCTTGATGCTGCTTGGGCTCCTGGTTTTTCTTCATCTACATCTACATCTACATCTACATCTACAAATTCCACCTCCACCTCCACCCACTCCCCCATCTTCGCAACAGCAGGAAGAGACAAACAAGTTAAAATCTGGGCTCGCGACAGCACAACCCAAACCCAAACCGACACCAAAACAGAAACTCAACCAGAAACAAAAACAGAAATCAAAGGCTTCACACTCAGAGCCACAATATCCAGCGAAACCCCCATAACCGCTATCGATTTCCTGAACAAGACCATAGACGAAGCTTTATATCTAGCCGTGGGCACCGAACTGGGAAGATTTAGTATCTATCGTCTTGTTGTGGATGGTGGTGATGCTATTACTGTTACTGAGGTTGTGTTGGAGATAGGGTATGTTTTATTTCTTTCTTTTCTTTTGGATTTTATTATTTTGGATTTTGTATTCCATGTTTCTGTTATTTCTTTTGGCTATCTCCATCTTCTCTTCGCAGATACAGATACACTTTATACTTTATACTTTATATGATATGCACATCCTCGAGTAATATATAAATACAAGCTAACTCATCCTCACTCACTATCTAGTAATAACTACTACCCCTCTAAAGCCATCACGCAATTAGCATGGAAACCGCAGAGGTCTAAGAACGATGCATCGGAACACGAAATCACAGATTTGGAATTGGCAATTGCGAGTGAAGATAGTTCTTTGAGGATTTATTCTTTATGTTGAATTATTTCTATGGGGTATCGTATGTTAAAGTACGCCGCCTCGTGTGATGCTTGGTAACGCCTAGCTATCTGTCTGTATATACAGATTTTAGAGGCGTTAAGGCTCTCTAGATAGTATGGATTAAATGAATGAAATGAAATGGGGTGGGAAATCAAAAAGTATGAAAGTATGAGAGTATCCATCGGACCTCTTCTCCCTCTTGTATCATGTTGAGTGTATACCATGTTGTCCCATATATATACGCGTTAAAGCGTTACCACCCACCATATCCACAATCACCTAACCATCTATTCCCTCCCTCTTCCAAACCCGCACCTCCATCCGCACCTCCATCTAAACCCTCTTCTCACTCCCATACCCGCCCACCCCACCAACCAAGTAACTCGTCCCCGCACTCCCGGCCCCATTCCTCGGACCCCTCTCCCTCAAATCCTCCCCCAACCACTTAAGCACCAACTCACCCAATCTCGAATTTCCGCCACCATCCTCCTTCATCTCCTCCTTGAACTTCCCAATGGGCCCCCACTCCTTCACCCTCCCCAAACTCATATGCACCAAATCCGTCGGCCACCCTGCAAGATTATCCAAAATATGCGTCGCATAAACAATCGTACAATGTCTCTTTTCCGTCTCCTCCTTCAAAAAATCCAAGAATCTCTTCCGACTCAACAAATCTAAATCTACTGTAATTTCATCTAGGAGTAAAATGCGCCAAGGTCGTATGAGACCCATGGCGAGTTGAACGCGACGACGTTCACCGTCGGATACTTGGTGCATGCGCCATTCGAGATCGATGTCGAGCACGTGGACCAGCTCGTCGCGTCGAGCGGGATAGTATGTACCGCCTACTGAGGCTAGTAGTTCGCGTACACCGATGTCGGTGCGGACGATGGGGTTGAGAACCCATTCGAGTCCGAGGTAGGTTACCCCTACGAGGGAGTCTTTGAAGGGGTCGAGGCCGGAGATGGAGATTGTGGAGGTGGGGGCGAGACGTTTGCCTGAGAGGAGGCGGAGGAGTGTGGTTTTGCCGGCGCCGTTGGCACCGATTAATCTGGTTGGGTGAGGTGAGGTTAGCTTGTGTGGTGGTGAGGATTGGATGAGTTGAGGGGATTTGTATCTTTCTTTCTTTCCTTCTTTTTGCTTTGGAGAAGATAGGATAGAGTAGAAACCGAAGGGAAGTTCAAAATTCATCTTACAGAGTCCGCGAACTGGGTGGTAAACTTAATGTTATATCTGTAAGACCCAGAGTTGAATCCGGAAACTTATAGGTGAGATTCTTGACTTCGATTGAAGGTGCATCAGTCTGATCATCTACTGAATTTGGCATCTTTGCTTTATGTTTGTTGTTGATTTTTGATTTTTGATTTTTGATTTCGAAGTTCGAGTTTTGCGAGGTTTGAGGATAAAAAGTTTTATAAAACAGAGGGGAAAAGAGAAGAAATAAATCCAATTATAGAAAATCAAAGAAATGAAATAGCTACCGACAAGTATCTATCTAGGATTAATAAAAAAGTCTATAATTTTGAATTGGAATTGGAATTGGAATTGGAATTGTTAGCTGTCTACAACATAGTGTGTTGTGTGTGATAGTGGGGTGATGGCCGGCACATATACGGAAGATTTTCTCAATGAGAATCAATGACGCGCGCGATGGAGGGAGATCTTAGATCTTATCTGTCTGCAACAGGGATAAAAGATAAGTCTCGGGGATAGCTTCAAATTTGAAAACTTGAAAATTTGAGAATTCAAGATATTTACAGCTTTATATTTTTCGGTGTTTGTATTTTTGTAAGGTTTGATGTGGTTGTTTTTGACTCGAGGTGAAATTGATTATATTAGAGAGTATAGATTAATCATTTAATATATAAGATTATATTTATCCGAGCGGAACGTGGTGATAAAAAGGAGAATAAATACAACGACTAAATCAGAGGATAAATTCTAGAAGTTTATCTAAATCTTATTATCGACATGAAATATTGTATCGCTAGACCACCACACATATATCCATAGAGGTCGTTGTAATCTTGTAAAATTCCGAATACATTATAATGCTGTCTTATATTCGAAGAATTGTGCTTGCAAGAGCAGAGCATATACTCTTATAACAATTCTACTGAAGTCAGGAAACGGTTTCAAGGGTATTGACATTGATATTTGTATTATCCAGCTGTGCTAAGATCTTACTTTACCTGAGAAGTTTTCGTTGTGTTGAATTTCATATATCTATATATTTATCTGAGCATAGAAAAGAATAGATCCGATCTCGAATAAATGCCGAGTAGGAATCCACGAAGAAGATCCAAGCACCTGTTTGGAACACCTCAAAATCCTACTTCATCATTTCCTCACCAGATCATCTCCCACTTCCCCTTATTCAGGCACCTCACTACCAATCCTCGCCCAAAAATCACATCTTGCTCCCCTTTCACCTTCCCAATCATAAGCATCCACAATCGCCAAATCAGCTTTTACTCCCGAACCCGTATTTTCCGTTACATTAAATTTAACCCCTCCATCGGCACTGGTCCATAAAACCTTTGTAGCTTCTCCCCCCGTCATATTTAACTTTAGCATCTGATATGCTTCATGTCCACTAGTCTTCCATTGTGGCCATTTCCCCGTGCCAGCTGCAGATATATCATCACCTGTTTGCGTACCATTCCCAAGGGTTATAATTGATGTTATGACGTCTGAAGGTAGTGTAGGATCATCATACACAATAAACCTACCCCAAATTTTCTGTACCGCTGTCCGAAATCCAGGTGATAGAGTTCCATAACCAAGATATGTTCGATTTACGGCATAGTAAGCATCTAGGTCATTTCCGTGCTGGGATGGTGGGACACTATACTCATATTTCCAACTTTGAGGAAAAGCAGAGGCTGACCAGTAGGAAGGGCAGACGAAGGTAGTTTCGGCATAAAGATTGTTGGCACGTTGTTGCTGGCCAATTGCGAAGACGGATTGATTAAGGGCTGTGGGACCTTTGTTACCTGCTGACGCGAAAAGAGGACCGGGTATTGTTGAAGGGATGGAGTACGTTTGATGGAGGCGATCGAGAGTAGAATTGGACATCAAGGGAAAGAGGGATTGTGTGAAGGTATTGAAGGCGGTGGTTGTGTTGATGTGTTGTGGAACAAAGCCAGGGGCCTCATTAGCATTGTTCTGAGGATTATTAGCTGCCTAGCTTCTTCTTGTGGGTTTGCAAAAAATGGGTACGTACGCCAGACAACATTCTCACGCCATTCACTTCACCAGCTAATAATTGCTCAGATGGTCTCTTGACCAGGAACTCCCCATCCGTTACGGGCAAGAAAGCCCATTGACCATAATCACCATTTGCAGAAACATATGCACTAGCATTTTGCAATGCAGTCGTATCCGTACCTACTAAACAATCGAATACGCTCCCATTTCCACTTCTACACCCCACTGCATTCCCAAATTTTTCATAGCTGTCTTCTGGTTTCAATCCATCGTAATCATACTGCATCGGTAGATAAGGACTCGCCACAATTCCGTTATTAAACAAACTCGTACCTAAGCTTCCCCCAAAGGCCATAGTTTGTAACATCACACCACCGCCTCCTGCAGATTCACCAGCAATAGTAACTCGAGAAGGATCACCCCCAAATTTGGAGATGTGAGATTGGACCCACTGAAATGAGAAATTCATATCATAGAGACCTGCGTTTGGGACACCACCTGAACGGACGAGGTCGGATGATGAGAGGAAACCAAAGGCACCCAGGCGGTATTGAATAGCTACTAGAATGAAGGCATTGGAGTTGGTGTTGGCTAATTCCGAAAAATCATTGTTACCAGAGCCAGTGCCATAACCTCCACCGTCTGAAAAGAGTCAACTTATACCACTGGAAGCGTAAGATACAGGCAAATAAACGGAGACGTACGAATCCAGACCATTACTGGGAGGTTTGTTGCATTTGGTGAGGCCCAAACGCTCAAGAACAAACAATCTTCATTTCCAAGACCTGACCTCGTGAAGTTGTAGTTTGCAGGCCTTGGACTGTTAGCATATTATGACATTAAGAACATTGAAAACACTTACATAGGAGCATCTGCACTTTGCGGGCAGTGAGGAGGATACGCCTTTGCCTGTATTGTGGAAGACCTGTTCACTGCTGGAGATTGTGGCTTCTGCCAACGAAGTTTCCCCACTGGAGGTGCTGCATATCGAATTCTAGTTTTGTAAGATTTCTGCTTTTGAGGGCGATTGGGCTTATCTATATTTGTACATACCCTTTGAATATGTTAAATCGTGATGTAGCATTGTAGTATCCTTGATATACACTATATCCGAGATCAACTGTCGGAGAGGAAGTACCGGTACTTTGGCGCTCGTCAAATCGTGATCTTTTGCTTTCCACTGGTGACGATGATACTGTTATTGCCGAAAGTAGCAGAACGAAATGAGAAAGCAGCAGCATTATCACAAACTAACCCTCCACCAAAGATGTTTAAAAAACTAGAATGAGATGGTACAGTTATGTTTGCACAAAATAATTAGATCCATTAAGGCATCTTATATCTGTTTGTTCTTTGGTAGAACCGCAGTTCCGATGTCCGATCCACATCATCACCTTGAAATAGCAAAATTTCAAGATGCATGGGAACCTGAGGATTATCTTGATGATTGCGAATCAAAGACTTCGTATAGTATGGAAGATCACGGAAAATATCTTCTGCTAAATAGAGTTTCGGGTTGGTATGTACCGACGCATGTCAAGAGCTGCAAAGTTACTGCAGGTCTCACGATGATGCGGGGTAGATGAATGCCGGAGATGGATGCACACATGCCTTAGTGAAGTGAAGACTTAAGCCCATCAATAAACCTTAGATATACGAGTATAATAGAAAAAAGTAGTGTCTCAAGTACATCAATGTCTTGCGCATCTCTGTTTTCGATTATTACCATTCTCGGCCAGTTTATGACAGACACACTCCTATAGCTCTTATGTCCTCTGCAAGTGCGAAGCATATCACTAATGGCATAATGACGGCGTCCATTTCATGAAATATCCCTTTAGCCTTTCGATTACTTAAGTTTGCAAGGCTCAAATGAAAATACTCGCGAGACTTCTCCGCAAGTACGGGATTTTGAGTTGGGGTGAGAGAGCTGTAATGATATGAAATATTGATATTGATATTGATAGAAAGGATACCACCAACCGCATCTGTGAAACGACAGCAACTGGAAAGGTTGAACAAGAAGATTAAGTAGAACTTTTTGGGGGGAACAAATTAATGAATAGAAGGATCCCGGCTTGTCAGCAACATCCGCTCAATATATCTATCACGTGATAACACATCGCGCTTCTCCACCCTACGCGCGTCATATCCTCAACCTCTTTACATTTTAGAATAACTTCCACTTAAGTTCCAAAACCTGCTTGAATTTCAAGGCAACTGTGAAATATGGCTGCTGCTGATAGCACATCTCCGAAATCACGTATTGGCAAATATCGAGTTCGAAATAATCGCAAGTCCACAATGTTGGCCGGGCCCAACGGACCTACCTGCAGCGAAATAATTCCCAAGGTTCACTCCCGTCCTTGAACGTGTAAGTAAATTACCATGCAAGACCATTTTGACCAAATCTAGTGACTAAAAGATAAAACAGCGACGATGGGAACACATCGACATTCAGCATTCCAGCTCCATTTTCCACCAGAATACCCCAGATGTATTCCCTGAAAATCACTGGCAAAGCTGGTGTATCCCAGTATCTAGCTTTGAGACCTTTTTCATTTGCCATGGCAATTTGAGTCTTGACTTTTTTCAGTTGTTTGGAACTGAATTTCCAAAGCCATATTTTGCCTAGAGTAGTCATTGGAGTGCTCGCGTAGTACGAATTTGAGCTATCGTATTTAGAGTTTGATATGTCCTCCAAGGGGGCATCATAAAAGACATCGTGGTAGGTCGTGTTTGATATTAAAAGATCAAAAGGCGCCTTTCCTGTGGCGACGACAATTATTGGGCGCCAGCTAATTTCACCAGTGGACTTGCTCCAATGAGTGAGCCAGCCCCTCGAGCGAAGAGCTTCGAGTTCCTGATTCGCGGAATGCCATATGTCAGCCCCGCCAGACTTGAAGTCAAGAAGCAAAGACAAGGTCGTAGTAGGACTCGACTGGAACACGCCGTTGGGATTACTGGATCCTCCTTCTACTGCTGGGGAATCATTGTTTTGATTCTCAAGTATTGTAACAAGGGGCTTGATGTATAAATTCTGAAGCGTGCGATCTTCTTTAAGTGATTTCGAAGAATGACCAACCAACAAATCGGCATTGCCAGCTTTGTTGTTTAACCATATATCCGCTTCTATTCCTGTACAACCAGCTGCGAGAGCTTCGAAAAGAGGAACGTATCGCCAGTAGTCATTATGAGAATGGCATGCCATCGGTATAATATTCTTTGTGAAGTTTGACTTCCAGGGTGAAAGGAGAGTGACTGAATCGCTGGGTTTTCGCCATTGTTCAACTACAGAGTTTATTCCACCGGATGACACACGAGGCTTGTGGCGACGAGGGAGGGTCATTAGAAGTGTAAGCCAAATCCTAAGGTTTTGGTCAGTTCAAGTTTCAATGTGGTTACAAAAAGAAACAAATGGGTTGTAGTACTAACAACGCTGCGATGAAGCCGAGGACAGATAGAAGAAAACCTATCCAGACACTACGTCTCAAAAGGCATCTCTTCTTTCTTGGATATGGAATTCCATTGACCATTTTATAATGGAGAGGTAAACAACGCCTACTCCTATCGATGTTGTCGCTCATATCGTTGAGGCTGTCTTCAGAAGGAGTATAACTGTCCCTGGATACTCTTCTCAATACTTGAAGGGATAAGCTTTTTAGGAGGCTATGTGTATTGTCAATGAGATTATACATAATAGGTATTGAACTTGCTGCTGTTGGGTTTGTATACAACAGAACTGAAAAGCAATTCCTGATGGAAAACCTCGATGTAATAAGACGCGCAACTTATGGAGTAAAGTAGGCTATGTTGAGCTCGATTTGTCCTTCTTATAACCTTCACGGAGGCCTCATGATGAGATAAATGGCCGCCAAAGTTCTTCATTAGACTTCGTATCGTCGTCGTCATGCAGTGCCACCGGTGTGCAGGTCCGCACTCGTATCACGTCTTGGTTCAAGTACGCGATGTTTATGGAAACAGGCTGACATAATAGATCTTCGAGCTCATTCCACAAAAGCGGATGCTTGAAGGTCATCAAATTTGGTACTTTGTGGAGAGCTTTCAAGCGTGATCTCTCGATGGCTCCCCAAACCAGCTTGATAGAGGGTCTCTTATTCACCAAGAATGCACGAAAGTATCATGCTTTGTTTTGCATCACCCACAGTTGGTGGACACCGTCATGCCAGCACTAGATTTTACGAGATATTGACTTAAGATTTACTCAAATTGCGCCGTTATAGAACAAGAGATTTATTACGACAGCCACAGGACTGGCTCTGAAACTTGCTTATCAAACTAACGTTTAGTTCTTTTACTTCAAGAATGCCTGTTTGGAGAAGCTACGCTTTATTCCCGCAGCCGGGAATCATCTGATGGTAGGATTTTGCGGCGTACTTCTAACAGAGCCGGTGCGGCGGGGAGAGTAAATAAGGTACGCTAAGGCATTAGGGGGGAAGGCTTTCTGGTTCCAAAAGTTTGTATTCGTCAAAAGAGACGTAAGCTTTTCACCAGTGGTGGGCACAAACCAGGCACCAAATACAGTTTATAACGATACGATATAACCTTACAGTAAGAAAGAATATCAGAGGTGCAATCCGCTAAGATTTTCTCGTATGAATGAGCATATCAGAGATCCATCGCTTGTTAATGAACATGGTTTCAATACAGGGGATTAGATGGCGTGCATGCTGCAGAACTCAACTTGGCCAGCCATACGCGTTTTAATTTCTGTATCACAGCCTTTTCTATAAATTTACTTAAACTTTATATCAGGGTTATGGACGAAAGTTCGTCAGATCATACTTCATGCAATAATCACATCAGTCCGTTATTAGTCGAGGAAGAGAAAGCAGAAGCTGACAAAGAATAGATGCTTCAAATAAGAAGCTTAAACTTTTGCATGACAGTGTCTACCGATTTCTCAAAAGCGATACGTTATATAGCAGGAGACTGAGTTGTCTACCTATGTTCCCCGTCTCGCGATAAGACATTAGCCCCAAGCGCAAAGCCCCATCCACCCCATGCCTTACCATAAATCTAGTCACATCGGCTTATGAGGTTGACACCTGCCTCTTTGAGTCCTCAGGAACTTTAAAACCCTCACTCACGTCATACGTTTAGTAGAATAACCTTCGAAAAGGTGGAGAGACATGAACGGATTAGGAGCCATTTGCTTTGTGCTAGACGCAAGCTCTGGGATCATATTTGCCAGTTAATCCTTTCATAGAAATCGACGCGGATATCTTGCATTAATACGATATAATGCGGAATGTTTTATTATACCTGGATCTGGGGCCGGGTGGGTCTTTGTTCATACACCCGCAAGCTAAGGAATGTAAATAATTGCCTGAGCCATCTTCGATTCGTAATACCGTAGTTGGTATTAATCGCGCAGATACGTGTTCCATGCTATGTGTCTTCTACTCGAGCAATAACTGCCCCGCTACGTTCGATTTATGGTTGCCTAAATCCAGATTCCGAGGAACTAAGGAAGAAAACAGTTCGGGTCCACACTGAGAAACGGATTAGTAATTGGTTTCTGCAGGCAGCCGTTGTAGAGTGGATCAGATTTGCTAATTCCACACTTCGGCATCATTGCCGGATCGTCCTGAAAGGGAGATGAGCACGCTCCGCTTTGAGCACAGTGAACAGCCCTATTTACCGTACCTTGCTGCCTAGAAAGTATGTTAAGGCTAGCTGAGATGGGATATTCATTACGAAAAAATCTTAAGGTCACACCGGTGACGGTTTTATAGTTAGGATAAACCCACGAATATAAGACCAAAGTTATCCCAGCTATATTGTAGCTCTATACACAACAAACATCTTCGATTCTTCATCACCATTCTCAATATCTTTCGGACATTTAGGGATTCATTGAAACTTCCATATCTCTCCTTCAGGTTTTTGTAGGCTCGATAGTTATGCACTTCATTTATTTTCTCAACTTTTGAAGCCTTCTTCTTCCGGCTGGCCTGTCAACTACTAAATGGAATAACCCTTCAGTCATTCAGAGAGAAGAAATCATCACTCACGACTTTTTATCTTCATCACTGACGATACTAGCAGCGACTAGAAATGTGATACCTACAGGACGCATGACGGTCTGACTATTACCATCACGGGTAGCACTAGTAATGATCAAAAACGCGATGTTGTCAAGCGCAATAGTGGCTACGTATCGCGCTGAGGAAGTAGATAGACCCCTATTGCCGATCATAAGGATATCCATGACACTTTAAATTTGTATGTAGTAATTACAACCACAAGTCTGGTGTTAATACCAAACTGATCATTTACAAGGGCTATACAATCGTAGTGAACGAATTTCGCTTCTCCATCTGCGCCGAAAAGGACAGACACTACTTTCGCAATCGGCCCTGAAAAGCTATCACTCAGTCTACTTACCAATTTGAAGTTAGATCCGATCGTGGAGCAAGAATAGGACTAAAGAATGAAGTAACAGGTCATGTCAAATGTATGATTTCTTCTCAATCCCCATTCTATGAACAAAACGTAACTGGTGCCTCATAGTCTAAATCCATAAAAAGTACTCGGATGCAAATCTTACACAGACTGAATACCTAAAAGGTTTGTTTAATGGAAATGACAGATTCAGGGGTAAAGGAGAGTGAATGTTACAGTTCTCCAAATAAGAATACGGAAGGTGGAACCTGGTATGTTGGAATGATCAAATTTCTTGCTACTATTTCCCCGCGAAGAATTGAGTAGACTTATTTATTAACATATGGACGAGTAAGAGTCTAGTGCTATGTATTCAAAGGTATCTTATAGGGTTGAATTGTAGAGTTTTCTTAGTTTCGTGTTGATTTCTCAGTGGTTTGCTGCTTTTTCTTGCTATCCGGCTGCTGGTTCCTTGGCTTGCTGGCTATATTTTGCATGTATGCTTCGTTACATTTGGTTGTATAAACTTGAAAAATACCACAATGTCTATAGTATTGGTATAACTACAACGATTGAGAACGATGATTCTAAACAATAAGATTCCGACAAAAACCCCCGATTTAAGCGAAAATCAATTGGAATTGCCATTACTAAATCAATGACCCCCAAAATTAGACATAAATTCGCCCCTAATTTAGTAAGATGCATCCCAACACTGCTGTGCCATAATTTTGCTTTATTTCTACCTTCCTACACGTTTTATGCAGGTCAATTTCCTCATTACCTCATTAACCCCTCCCTGATTACATAACGATCCGTGACTTCAATTAGACGTTACACACGATGACATCAACGCATGTAATAATCCTTAGAAACGCACACATAATAATCAAACAAAGCACACCAACACCAACCCTCAAGAAAAAATCCTCGCAGAAAATTCATCATCATCAAAAATGACTGAAAATGTCCTCACATTTTGCACGGCCGAATTACCCCCAGAAGTACATCCATCATCTCATCCTTTCTTCTCAACTTCTCGTTATGCAACTAGTATAGTAATGTAATCACTTCCTAGGTTATCTCCCACTTCATCCATCTTTCTCAACGCACAGAAGAAAGTTCTAAAATCTGGTCAATTGTGCGAACACCCAGTGAAACCCCTATCGGAAAACGCACACGTACACCTATCCGGGCTTTCCAAACTGGGTTTCTCAACGCTCCGCTATCTACTCTCACTACATTCGTGCGAAGCGCGCCACAGAGTAATTCGTACCATTTTAGCCGGAATACGTTCGCGGTGCTGGATAAGCGTAGTAGGGATGATGAGACGGTGGTTTTGTGGACGAGGATTGAGAGGATAGGTGGGGAGTTGATGGAGCGTGGGGATGGGGATGGGGATGGGGATGGGGATGGGGGTGCGGAATGGGAAGGGGATGAGCAGGTGGTGAGTGTGGAGTGGAGGGATTTTAGGGTCGAGTTTTGTAAGGCGTGTTGGGTGGTCGGGCTTTTGCAAATGAGACCTAGGTTGTTTGTTGAGATTGTCGAGAAAGGGCAGGGGGCGCAGGTAGATGGGGAGGGCGTTTTGAGGGTGGATGCTCCTATGAAGAAGGGAGATGTGGAGGAGGGAGATGATGATTTTAGTGATGAGGAGGAGGAATGATGGGGGGTTAGTTTTGCTTTTGGTTTGCTTTGGTTTGCTTTGATGGGAAAAGTTTGAGTCGAATGGTAACCTTGCAGTTAACGTTCTCAGCTACTATTGAAGAGGTCATGACACGTGATTTGTATGCCGTGTTATTGATATTTATTCTCTTCTTCATCTTGCTCATATTGTTCATGTTAATAGTTCCCTTCAGGATGATTTACATTACTCGAATTGAAGCAGAAATAAACATGCACATCATTTTGTGAGATTTCTACCAAGTTATTTTCCAGCGGTTGGCAAGAGGCGTCGACCCTGTTTAGAACTTTATATCAACACATCCATCCAACTCATGTATCACATCCAACGAATTCGAAGGCCGTTGAGTATAAATAAATGATCAAAACTCTTGATTAGATAAAACGATCTAATCTTGACCTCTATATAAGTAATAACTTTACATCCGTTATATACAAAATAGACTCCTGAAAATATATATATTTAATACACTAATTATTAATATTCTATAATTAAATATAAGATCTTACACTACAAATCTATAATCTTAATTTCAATAATCTAAAACCTAAACACCCCGCCCCCTCTCCCAAACTCAATACTCCTCAACTTAATACTTCTCAACTTAACACTCCTCACCTCAATACCTCTTAATTAATCAATAATCCCTATATTTATAATTTATAATTCATAATTCACAATCCATTATCAAGAATTTCTACTTTCATCCACTTCCATTCATTTTCATCCACTTTCATTTATTTTCATCTACTTTTCATTTTATTTATTCACTCTCATCCAATAATCAGAACTCATATTACTCCTACCCTACCCTTACCCCTCTGACCCCCCTTCTTCAAATCTCAAATCTCAAATTATTTAATTATTATTAAATATATTAAATTAATATTTTATATTTTATATTTTCTATTTTATATTTTTCATTTTATGTTTTTCATTGAATATTTTATATTTAATATTTTAAAAAAAGATTAAAAAATTAAAAAATTATAAGTTTTGATATAATTTTACTTAATATACTATAAATAGATTCTAGAACTCTTATATAGACATATATAATCTATCTAAATCATACCCCTCAAAATCATGAATTCATTTCTCTACTCAATCCTCTTCTCTTCATCACTTTTCTCATTTATCATTTTTTTATTTCCCTCCCCCCACCTCACCCAACTAAATCCTAATCAACCCAAACCCTCCGCCTTACAATTCATCCTTCTTAAGAGCCTCCTCATCCTTCTTAGCAGCCTCCTCATCCTTCTTAAGAGCCTCTTCATCCCTCTCAGGAGTCTGTCCCTCCGCCTCAAAAGCACCCTCACTCAAATCCGGCATACTCATAATCTTAACCACCAAACTAGTCCAACCGGTAAAATGTTGAGTTCTCTGTCCCACTCCCGTTTCCGGATTATATTGTTCCCATGCAAAACCTGTTTCTTGAAAACTATCATAGACCGTCTTGACTAAGTTTAATCTGAGTCTCGTGTAGAGGTCTTTAGACTTTTCCTGGTGAGGACCAGGGGCTTCTGCGTATTTCTGTGGGTTGGTTAGAATTGTTGATTAAGGTAAAGGTTAAGGGAAAGAAAAGAAGCGAGAAGAGATCCAAGAAATAGGAAACTTACAAGAAGTTGAGAAACGGCCAAATAATTTATATTCATCCAAATAGGACCTCTCCAATAATTTTCATCAGTTCCATAGAACTCATCTTTCTTACTCAAAGATCTAATTCCAAATTCACTCCACAATTCTTCTTCATCCCCAAGTAAGTTAAGAATGTGACCCAACTTATCACTATCCTTATCAAGAAGACCTGTCAAGAATGGGAATAGTGAAACATATCCCTTGTGACAAACCAATTCATGTTCTTCATAATCATTAATTGTAGCATCGCAATAACATTTATCCTTTTCGCTCCAATGTAAATCGTCGATGTTGCGTAGAATGGCAACTTCAATGGTAGATAATTCGGCAACATCATCGGCCATACCGAGGAGACCAGCGATATTTTTAAGAGATTTTGTCATCATACCCATCCAAGACATCAAATCAACATGAAGTTCTCCTGGATGAGGTGGTTGAGGACGAGGATAATCATCAAGACCACTAGTGAGGATATGCTGTGGTGTTCGGCCTCTCCACCTATAACCTTCCTTGGTACTAAATGCATCACGATCATAGGATTTCAAATCTCCAGATTGAGTTTTACGGAACCATTGGTAATGCTTCTTGAGTTTAGGATAAAGCTCATTGAGGTAATGAAGACCAGCTTCTGGCTTTTGTAAAAAGGCCGAGTAGATTGATGGTTCTTGGGCCAGTTTTTCCTTCGCCAATGGGGATGTACCATTGAGTGCACCAAGCTTGCTAATAAAAGCGTCAACAATGAAGAATAGTGTAGGTGGGTTGGCGTAGTGAGGATATTGTGTTTGAAATTCTGGTGGAACCTTGCTACGAGCTTCAGCACCAAGAATTTGTTCTCTACCAATCCATCCATCTTCATCCATAAGATTGAACCAGCTTCTAACAATTTCGAGCGTAAGATCAATATCCCAATCAGCAATAGGAAGAAGATGGAATCCTTCATCCCAGAGGAATCCTCTTGGGAAAAATGGACGAGATGGAACAGTGGTAAAAAGTTCTGATGGACCTTCAAGTTTTTCTCGTCTTCGTCCTCTTGCCTCTGCAGCTTCTTCCCAAAATCCTTCGTTGTTTTCCTCATATTCCTCAGCATATGAGCGATCAACAACCGAATCACCATGGAAATATCCAAGACCACCAATCAAGTTTGAGAACATATGACTTGAAAATCTTTGAAGACTCTCAATATCAAAAGGAGATTGCAAATCAAATGTAGAGATGAATCTTTCGAAGAAGGATTTATTGTTATCTCCAATCAATTGAGAGATTTCTTGGCTGGAAAGTCCCTTTGGTGCTGATGCGCTGTTGAATATGATGTCGAATTCGAAATCTCCTTCAAACACTTTTTGAACCAAGTGAAAGTTTCCTTCATCTGGTGCATGCTTAACGGTGTAGATCTGATATGGAGGAGGATGATTTTCCTCTCCATATGTTTCAATATATTCATCGATTTGCTCCTTCAACTTGGCAAACAAATGAGGTTTGGCAGCCCACAATAACTTTTCGTCAAGAGAGAGAGAGTGAACAATAGTCCTATCCAAAGGCTTCTCTTTATATGAAGGATGTTCGGAAGCAGGGTGGAAACCTCGGCCAGTTGTTACAGTGACTTTATATTCACCCAATCCGTCAGAATCTCCATTGAAATTTACTTCTCCAGCAAATCCAAGATCATCATCCTCATTTGCAACTGTCAGACTGCCAAGTCCTTCAAGAGAAGCATAGAAAATCATTGTTGTCTTCAAATCTGCTGGCGAGCCATCCCTAACTTTACCCCTCACTCGCGTAGCCCAGTTTCCACCATGTTTACCACCAGGGGATTTGATGAAGAAGGTTGTGATATCAATACCATTGCTCTCATCATGCATAGTTTGCTTTCCACCAATTCGAGCATCAAATTCCTCCCAACCATAACCCCTCATGCCATCACCTTGCTCGCAAGTATGTCTAAAGTCTACAGAGTGTATAATTAGCCATGATCCACCGAATTCAACGTTTGTAATTGTAGTAACATTAGCATAGCTCCCCACCACGATCCTCCCAAATAACCCATAGCTATCCCATAAAAAAGGAGCTTACTATTCTGAACATCCACAAAATTATCAACCTTCGCCCACATCAAACCACCCGTGAAACTCTTCGGTATCCTGGGCCTAACACCAAAATAAAGATTCGGCTTATAAGGACCCCACATCAAAGTACTATTCTGAGCTCTCGCAATTTCTGTCGTAACAATTCCTATATCTTGAGTCTCAGCCGCGTGTGCAGGACTGCCGAATAACGAAAGTGCTGCTACCAGAGCCGCAACGGGCAGATGCAAATGGAGGGGCGTCATATTTCCCCAATCTGTGTAGAAGAAAAGTTGAGCTCCAGAATTTCAATCTGAAAACTTAACATATGGAAAAGGAAAAGGAAAAGGGTTGATGAGGGGAAATTGGTGGAATCTCTTCTCAAAGAACACCGTTGCGGATTTGTGGATAGATTGCGTTGCGATCAGCCTGTAGCGCAAGGCTTCAGGAAAGGCTGCAGGGGAAGCTTCAAGGTTCAACATCATTATTGGTCAAATTTACAGAGCACGGTTAGAAACACGGGCCGAGAGTAACGGATAAATTGAATTATGTTTCCGGCAATCGGGAAAATGTTCCTGGGTATTTATCCTCTTCCTAATGGAGAATGGCTAGAAAATGTTAATAATTAAGGAAGATGACTCTCCGGATATCATTTGGCCATGTAACATATCAACATGACAATCCGCCAATCCAACAACTGGATCCACCACTCTGCCAACTTGTACAGCCTTCCCCTCTTAAACATGCAACCCCTCACCTGCCCTGTCTACCACAACCTATTCTTACACTCCACTCCTCTCAATTAATCCCTACTTGGACTCAAAGGTCTATTGAATCCTCCAACCCGATTCATGTATTGTCGATACTCTGTCTTCTTCTCCTTTCGCACAGCACTAACATTATTTCCCGGCACCTGCTTGTTTTGCGTAGTTCCGAATCCTCCAAATCCCATCATTGCTTGCATAGCAGCCATTCCATCATCCTCAACCACAATATCATCGTCCTCTTCCTCTTCTTCTTCCTCAATCTTCTTCTTGGCTTGTGATTTTCTCTTCTTGTTTCCACCATCAATATCCATCCGATCGTGATCTTGACCTGTAGTTGTGTGACCAGCCCCGATACTGAAGCTTACTGGCTGTGGAGTAATTCGATCATCCGTATATTCGCTCCTCCGTGAAGTCTCATCACTACCTCTATCTTTCCTGTAACCTCGTTCCTCATCGCGCAGCGGACTCCTCGACCTTGCTCGTTCACTTGACTTCTCTCCCGATGACCGCTCATTGTCTTGATGTATATTAGACAAGGTTCTAATTGGAAGTATTGCTGTTCTATCCTGCTCCGAATCTGGTGAAAACATACCTTTTCTACCATTTCTATCCTCATCCTCCTCTCGAGATTGTCGAATATCCTCTTTACGAATGTTAGGTCTGCCTCTCAATGTAAACACCGTCTGCGAAAGCGCATCTGGCATAAACTCACCTCTGGTCCTATCTGGCACATCTGTTCGGGGACCTTCTTTTCTACCTGATCTCTCATTATTCCTCTCTCGATGGTCCCTATTTCTGTCACTGTCGCGCCCATCTCGATCATCTCTCCGGCCACCGCGGTCTCGTTCTCGTTCCCGATCCCGATCCCTATATGAAGGGCGTCTATGATCCCTCGATTCGCGCGGTGATCTACTCCTATCTCTGCGAGTGCGATCATGATTGCGCTTTCTATCATCACGTCGATCACCTCGGTCATTTTTCTCATCTCGATCTCTAGCAGGACCATGCTTTTCGCTTTCCTCCCACATCTTTGTACTATCAGGACGTTGTCTTCTCCTTGGTGGTTCTGCCATATTTATTTGTTCTTGTTATGAGAAATTGAGATTGATGTAATAAATTTGTGAATGTAGGTTGTTTATTTATAACAAAAAATAAAAAGTTTAGGGAGCTCTTCTCGTAGCTATGAACATGCATGTGTGCGACTGTATTAGCACGGAACAATTTCCTACTGGTCAAGAATCACGTGGAACAGTCTTCAGAAGTAATTGTTGCACGTCTGTCAACGTTCCTAATTAACGCCAAAATTTTATCAGTTTCCTGATTCCAAAAGATAAGTTCTCGGGCGATTGGAAAGAGTTGCAAAGCTCGAATGTCCAACAACAGCCCCCAATTGAAGTATTCAACTCAACTCTCCTCTCATCAATCCTAATCAAATCTGACTAGAAAGAACTACTCCTAAATACATCCATCCATAATCTCATAATTCACCACCAAAGATCCCAACAATACAATCTAACCTTACCTACCTAGGTAGATACAGACCTATCACTCCACTCCAATCATTACCACTCACTTCCTCTCTCTCAACTCAACTCAAGTATCACTCAGCCTCAACTTAAGGTTAAGATCTCTCCAATATCCGATTTCAGAGGATGATATACTGACTGTATGTAATACCCATTGCACTGCACAGATACTAGCTGTTTTATTTCCATATTCTTCAAATCTATTTTTAAGTATGATCACTGATTGAGACTATATTTTATGCATCTATAACATAATATGATGTATATATATACCATCGAGAATGAGTGATAAACAAATCTATTATTCTAAATTTTATTCCTGTTTGCTCCACACTCATACCATACCATATCATTGCTATGCTATGCTATGTTATCCAAAAGAGTGTCCTCTTCCGTTTATCTATTCAGGCGCAGCTACACCAATGAAACCATAATAATCTAATTCCACACACATTACAACCTCCCTACTCAAGGCCATCCAAACACACTCCACACACTACTCACATTCCCTCTAGTCCCCAGTAGCACAACCGTCAACCCTACCAGATCCACAACCCCCAGTACCGCACCAGCCATCATGAACTTCGGACTAAAAATGCGATACAACATAAGATGTCTTCTCAACCAGCCAGCCCACATTGTCGTTGCTAACGCCGTAACCGCATAATACAGAATATGCCATGCCAAAGCAGCGGTAACTGCTTTCAAGAGTCCCCTTTTCTTTGGTTGTTGTTTCCAGAAGACAATGAGAGGGACTGCGGTTGCCGCAAGGATTTGAGGGCCAAATGAATTGAGAGCGACGAGGATGGGAGACCAAGGGTAGCGGATTGTGTGTAGAGGGATGAAAGCGGATTCCCATTGGATAGAGGGAAGAGTGGCTTGATGACCAGTTTTGAAAAAGTGGAAGGATCCGAGGACGGCTAGCATGATAGGTCCGATGGGAGAGTTGGTCAAGGAGTTGAGATCTAGGAATTCCACGAGAGAAAGGATTTGGAGAGACATGAGAGAGAGGGCACCGAAGCCCACGGGTTTCTGAACCATGAGAACGGCTAAAAGTACGTTGGTTATGAGGAGGAAGTATCGGGCACCATGAGTATTGCCATAACCAAGGATCATAACGCGTGTACCTTGTTGTTTGGGGGCTCCGGCAGGTGCAAGGTCACCCAGTGAGACCGTGCCAATAGCAATGCACGGTGGTGCAAAATTGAATGCAATAGTTCCAGCACCGATAGCCATAGCAAGAACTGTCTGAGAAATTGGTACTCGCATAGCTTTCAAAGCACCTTCGCTCAAGCTAGGAAACCAATTCCCATCATCGGCGGCTTCTAAAGTCCAAAATGTAGCGATGAGGAAAAGCCCGAACCTGAAAACTCCACCAATCCAGGCCGGTGCAAAACCTTCATAGGAGAGACTGGTTGCGTAGTAAGATTTGATGAATGCAGGCAAGGCAAATGCGAAGAAGAATGGAATGAGTAATTGCCAAGGGGCGGAAGTAGAGGACGTGGCAGAGGCATAGTATGTAGATCTACAATAAGGCATCTGCTCTTCTCTGCACAACTTAGAGTATGAGGCTACCCAGGCAAGACCAATGAATACGATGGAGTGGTATACTCCCAGGGTACGACTGCGTATTTCCGATTGTCTAAGCGAAGAAACAACACCAGCTACTCCAAAAGTTGTGATGAGAAACAACAAGATCGAGTCTTCCCAGATAGTGTAGGAATTAGATGCAAAGCCAATAGATTGACTAACAGTGAAGATGACTGCCAACCAACCCCAAAATGTAGTCGGGAAGGGATTACCAATTTTTATCAATGAAAGTAGAGCTCCAATGAGTCCTCCTATGACAGCACCATTTGCAGTCAATTCCACAATTTGCCCTTCGATTACATCTTCCAAAATAGTGGCTTTCATGGTCCAGAGAGATAGCCCCACAGCTGCACCAACGGCTGAAGCCAAAGAAATCGAAAAGAGCAAATTTGGATTGATTTCCTCGTCTCCAATAGATCTCTCTCCTTTTGCAGCAGCTTCAAGTTCCAGTTTGGCTTGAGCTTCGTCTAGCTCCGCCGATTCGGGTTCATTGCCATCACTAGCATTGCTGTTGGCATAGAGGACCAAAGCTAGTACACTAGCAGCAAGAATGCAAATGCCCAAGATCATACTAGGAACATCAAATCGTGCCCATAGATCTCGACAAATTCGCAAAGTCTCTGTTTGATAGGCAGAGAATGCATGATAAACTTCCATAGACTTTTGAGCTGATTTAGAATTCAGCGTCTGCTCAGCTGTCAACCAAAGAGCAGATGGGGAACCATCAATAGTGCTCTCGTCAATGCCCCTGGCAGCAAAGTATGCAGCTTGGTATCTCTTAATACCAGCAGCGGTCATTCTAGCCACATTTGCCAGGGTTTCCCAGGCGTTACCTTTCTTGCCCGCAAAAGCCTCCTCGATAGGCTTTCCGAGGTTATTGAAAGGAATTGGCAAACCCAAGAGCAGTGCAAGAGTTGGCACTAAGTCAATTTGGTTGACTGGTCGTGTTTTTGCATTTTGTGGAGGCGTCACAAAAGTTGGATCGGTGCGACCGAATATCGCCTTCTTAGAGTACATCCATAATGCAGCTTCCACTTCATCATCGCTCTCTCCCCCATGATCGCCTTTACCATCCATACCATGGTCACCCATGATAACCAACAAGGTATCATCATCAAGCTTGTCCACAAGTCCCCTGATCACAATATCCATCTGCTGTAACTTGCTTGTCATGGCCGGATGATTTGGTCCATATCTATGTCCCGCATGGTCAACACCCAAATAGTGCGCGAACATAACGTCCCAGTCGGCTTTCTTCTCATTTTCAAGCAGTGGCATAATGTGTTCAGTAACACCATTATCTACCGTATGCAAATCCCATACATTAAGGGAATCATATGCTCGACTGATATTCGGTTCAAAATATCCAGGGAATAGTGCAGTCCATGTATCATCACCAAGATGTACAATCTTTTTACCAGCATCTTTCAATTGACCCAAAAGATTGTCCTCTTCAATGGCAGTACCCGCAAAGTTCGACCCCGCATCCACAAATGTAGGGAGTGTTCCAGTTGTCAAACCCTTCAATCTTTGCAATGTAGTTGTAGGCGGATCCGCGATGAAAGGCAATAAGAATGCATTGTGTGGTTCTCTGCGTGCAGTTTCGTACAAGAATGGTAACGCGTTATGAAAAGCCTGCGGATCATCACCGGCGAATGGTACCGCGAAATCGTAGCGCAACGCATCCACAATCACCACCACAGCTCTATCAAATGTCTTTGGATGCCAACATCCCCCCTCCGGTGTACCAGCTCCTTTATAATCGACGGTTCTTGCAATCGGTGGTTCAGCACAAGTCGATGATTCTTCCAACACCAACCGTGTGAGTAGGAATCCTTTTGTAAAGTAATATATCCCCACGGCGTGCATAACCCTATTCATGAAATTGATTAGCACTATGCCCCTCTAAAGCCCTCCGCAGAGAAACTTACGCCAACCAAGCCCACCAACCTCCAACTGCCCACCACTCCCTCCTCCATTTGGCTCTCTTTGCTTCATTTAGCTCATCCTTTTTATCCTTCTTTCTGGGTACTTTGGGTTGAATTATATTCCCGTCCTTATCCAGCTTCTTCCCCTCTCTGATAGCCCGCTCCTGAGCTTCTTTGCGCGCCTTTGCCCTCGCATATTGTGCCGCGAGTGAATCATGTGAACCAGGCGCTGGCTTGGGATCTACAGTTTTCACCATTTTTGTTTGAGCTCTCACTTTTTGACTTTGCTCGTGGGTGACGGTATTATATTAATTGTGAGGGAAAACCCCTCAAAAATATTCAAGGGTTTTCAAATGAATAAGTTAAAAGTAAATGTCTATTAAAAAAATCCTAATCATAAATCCATAAATGTAATGTGTGAACGGAAAAAAGATTGAGGACAAATCACTCAATTGAAATGGAATAATTGTTGAACGCGATGATGTGCATGAAGCTTAAAGATGAGCTATTTTTTTTCCGAAGTGTCCCTCGTCTGCCGATTCGTTGGAGCTACTTCTAGTTCAGAAAATCCCCATACTTTCTAGGGCGGACATATGTGGCACATCTGCATGTAGCTGTTGGTATGGCAGTTATCTTCTTTGGAACTCCAAATTCTATTATTTCGAGAAAAACATTGAGCCTTTCAATGGCATGCGAGCGCCTTGAAGCGGTAATCACAAACTTCACAAGGGGCCAAATTTTGCCATTACCAGTGGATAAAAATTGAACCTTACATCACGAGCAGATCGCACACCCCTTATAATACAAATGATGCCCTAGAAGCATTTGATCGGTCTTATCACACCCTTTCTCTGTCCATTCATTCTTCATCCATATACCATCATGTTCCGCATTCTCTAACCTTTCGATCTCTCCAAACTATGCCAAAATCCTCGGACGGGCTAGACTTACTCAAAGAGCAAGGTTATAGGAGTATTCATCCTCGATATTCTGCGAGATCCAAAGTACCACCGAACTAAATTTTGTTAGTCTTCAAACCCTTATCTTGCCTTTCCATTGTTCAGACCACCCTTTCAACGAGAGTAAAATGAAGAACTCACCTCAACATAACCCCAGCATTTGCTCCTACGTTTGCCAACCCCATTCCCAAAGTAGGCCATTGTGCACCGGGCACCACATACTTCAAGACCAATACCGTAATACCCCCAGCCAATCCTCCAGCCAAACTAGCGAATCCCAAGAACAATACCACTCTTGCTTTCCACGCGACACCGCTTCCGCTATAGGAGAAGGAATCTGCGGATAGTCGGGACTTTTCGATAGAGTTTATGATGAGCATGCCAAGGGAGGAGAAGATGAGGGGAAGCCAGTCGATGAATGTGAGGTGAATTGGGGGGTCAGATCCATTGAGGGCGGATTTAGACCAGAGGGCTGCATCAAGGAGGATGAAGAATGAGAGAGAGAACTGTATGAGAAATGTTAGTAGAAGTAATTGTAAATGATGTAATGTTCAACCGCGAATTGCTGGATGTCCCATCAGGCGGTAATGCCAGGGATGAAACATGAGAGTAAACAATAGGGCCATCATACCAAAGCTCCCGAAGCATAAACACCAGCACTTTTTGTTGTAGCACTATTCATCCATTCCGGCTTTCTGAATTTCCAAAGACGTTCTTCCGACATTGTTACTTGCGAATCCGCTGCCTTACGATACCGATGATCTTCGAGTTGACCGTTTCCTTATCTCAAGTTCCTCTTAGCCTCCCCTAAATATATCCTTCTCCGCGAAATTTCGTACCTTATTCTCGGCAGGCGACACGGCTCGCTTTGTTGCGCAACTGGTTTAAAATCGTAAATAGATATTGTAGTTGATGTTGCGATATGATTTGATAGCTTCTTGATTCCTGGTGAAGCCTTGTCTTGCGCAATGGGTAGCTTCAGCCAAGCCCGCTAAAACCGCGCGCTAATATTGCAGGAGAATCACGATCACGTGCCATGATTGTATGCACTTGGAATGAGTTTGGAACAATTTCTGTATTTGGACATTGTGATGCTTCTATTGAGCTCCCCTGTTTTGTATTGAATACAGGTACTTTTGAATCTCTGATCCTTGGTTTGGTTACAGTCCGGAAAGCGCATCTTGTCTATACTTCTAAATTTAACATCCGTATTCTGTCAGATGTCGAAAGGCAAGAGCTCAACCATCACATTATATACTCTATCTCGAAGAGTATATATGTGTTGCCGATAGTTCACTTCAAATACATATGTAAATATTTGACTTCTATCCAGTTTTTTCTTTCTCCTTCTTCCTCTTTATCCTCCCATCTCTTGCCATTTCGTAGATTTCTCTATCCCTACCCATATTTCCATCTCACTCGCTCTGTCAGTTGCAAATACTCAAGAGGAACCCCTCTTCCGTCATATCATAGGTCTGAAAAGAATATCCCAGGATTTGCAGGAGGAAGTTGAGCTACTAGAATCAGAAACCTGCGAGAGTTATCGTTCAGAAAGAAACGATTTCTCCATCGTCTTGCTGTCCCGGGAAGAGGCTGTATAAACAAATATCGCAGAATACAGATTCTCAGTAACCATTTCCCGAGTATCATGACCTTATGAGCGACAGTATTGGCATGGACATTCTAGCTAGAGTACTAGTTGAGAACGAGATTTATAGCACATCCACAGGTACAATTTCACCCAGGAGTCTAACCTTTTTTCGCAGCCTACCATTCAATTGTTTGTCACGAAATACTTTGTTCATACCAATATAGCACTGGATCGAAAACAACTAAACATCCAAAACCATCGCATGGCCCACCAGCCTCATCAGTTCTTCTAATTTGCGCCTCCAGGCGCCTCTGTTTCCTAGAAACATAGCGTTTATTTCCAACGTCCAATGTCTTTCCCAAGTCAAAGCCAATCATCTCGTGTAACCCCACGGAGGTTCACCTGCCAAGCATTTTAGAGGCAGGAGTTTTGATCGATTGCTGTTAGATCATTGGGTACTGTAAATATCACAACGTGATTGTGCTTGCTCCCGTCGCACGGAACGCTTATGGCGCACTAATGTATAGTTATGAAACTTTGAAACGGAGCGCGAGGTTAGATTCGCAGTTATGTATGTGTGCTAAAGTGTATTGCTGCTACGCCGCCAAATGTTGCTAACATCTTGTACTTGTTCTCACTCAGCCCTGGAGATGTCTTTTGTTTTTTCTGTTTCACGTTGATGTGTGTGCTCCAAATGCCTAGGTTCAAGGTTAATTGATCAACGGTGCTGTGATACCTCAATTCTTGATTTTGATAGACAGTAGATATCTGATCTGTTATACGATTCGTCAAGTATAATTTTGAGTCGTGATGAAGTCACCAAAGATTATTCATGTTGACGTGACCTCTGACCTTTTATATAAATGAAGGTGATCCCAGTTACATAAAATCCCCCCTTTTCGGACATAAAATAAGAGTTGGGTGAAAACTCAAAATTGATACTCAGGAGTTGGGGATTCAGGAGTGGTTCAAGCGAAATTTGATGGAAGCCGGAAGGATATCTAGAATCATTTTCGGAATATAGTAATATCCGTATGTCAAGTTTGGGTTGAAGGATTTCTAGAATACCATACATATATGGACAGTCAGTATAATGCTTCTGAGAATAGTTACATGGACATGTCCTCTGGCGGAGCTTGCATATGAATCAAAAGTCCATTATTCCATCTGATTATTCATGTTGGTCGCTCCTCTTCTTGTCTCTAATGCAGCGATATACAACAAATATAACCCGATTAGGTCAATCTCAGAAGGGTATCAATCTGCGGGCCATCACCATGTCACCAACATATCACATCCATCCAAGCGACAAGTTGAGTTACCCAGATTCTCTGCGTAGCTAGATAGTAGACGAAACAAATAGAAGAAAACATTCTTCGGAGATATCACAATTAAATTGTAGGGAACAAATGCATCCAAATGCACCTCGTTTTGCCTTTATTCCCATCACATATAGCACAACATACAACAGACGGAGTAGAAAGATTTCACCGCTTATGTATATTCCTTGGCTGCTTTGAAACGATGATAAGATTGGGCCATAAACTCGGTCTGATGTCCATCTGAAGTAATGGGTACTCCATAGACAATATAAACCGCCAGTCAAATAGATTGGTTCACTTGAATGAACTAACTGCACTGGTTTTCTACTCAGCTATTTATTATTGTTATTGTTATTTATTACCTACGATGAACGCATAATTATAAGGGGGATATTTTAATAACCATCAATACCTGTCTACTTACCGAGTAAATGCAATACAACAACTTACCTACCTACCCATCCATGCTGTACCTCTTGTGAAATTAGATGAATCCTCTCTCTGCCGTATTCTTCTTCTAGCTCTTCAGTCCTAGTCATTCTAGCCATTCTAAGTTCTGCTAGTCCTTCTCATCCCTCCTGAATACTTCACCTTCTTCTTTTCCTCCCTCTCCTCCGTCTCCTCCTCCTCCTCCTCCGTCTTCTCTCCTTTTCCAACACCTATCGCCGCCCCCTCACTCACTATCGGCATTTTCTCCCGATCCACACGAATATCCGCTAATTCTTCTCTGTTGATCTTCGGATTGGAGGGATTGATAAACTCACGTACCAGGCACAGGCTGGTTCAGGGAAGGAAGTAGTTGCTAGTAAAGTGGCTCGTGGTACGGAGTACAGACACCGAAATCCAGGGCAAAAGATCGCGATTTGATAAAGCTTGCAACCTCTTCACGCCTAATCTTCAATTCCATTCAATTCATTTGTTCTCCTTAAAAACAATTTCTCTAAGAATTATCTTACTCACCTCCAAATCGGCGCATAACCTCAATTACAACCACCAAAACAAAACAAAATTAATTCAAGTACTACCTACCACATATTCTTCCCATTCCATATCTTCTGGGGACACTACATTCGACAACTCTTGGAATTGTAGAGGTTTTATCTCTTAACTTAACAGTATTTGCAATAATAGTTGAATAATTGCCAGCCATGGCAGGAAAGTAAGTTGCATTTCTAAAATCCCCTTTTCCCGTCACAATCCCATCTTTTCAGTCTCAATTTTGGATCACTTCAATCACTTCTGCGAATAATACTAATCATCATCTGTTTAGCCCATTGGGATCTGCCTTCAAATCTTTCTGGCATACTATGACCAGTTATGATCGTCGTATGTTGATACCAAAACCTCCCAAGATTTTCAACAGGATTCTAACCAAAAGTAAAACAGACTCGTCTTACGATTCTCCATATAGAACTGGCGGACACGTTCCTCTCGCACAAAGTCGACATGAACCCTTAACGTCCGTTGCTACAACAGCTTCAGAATCACGCGCAGATTTGAACTCCCCCTATTTTGAAGAGTCAGGTCGACAATCTACATCTGCACTTAATGGCAACGCTTATCCAGGTTCGCCATTCGCCCCTCCAGCAAGTCCAGGTCCGCAATCACCATACTCGCCGGGAATGAGATCATCTACGCTTCAACGTCAATCTACACAAGAAAATTTTGAGAATGTTACACCTGGAGAAATTCAATTGCAAGCTTTCCAAGAAGGTCTTCCCCCACCACCACCAGTCGGACACTCCTGGAAGAGAATCGATAGATGGGCCGAGGAAAATTATGCAGAGCTATGGGATCAACTCTGCGAGGGATGCACAAATAATGATTTAAATGAATTGGAGCATCAACTGGATTGTTCCCTTCCGATGGAGGTTCGAGAGTCAATGCAACTTCATGATGGACAAGAACGTGGTGGTACACCTACCGGAATTATCTTTGGCTCCATGTTACTTGATTGCGAGGAAATTGTGCAAGAATGGGAAAACTGGAAGGTGGTCAATCAGGAATATCTTACAGAATCACCCAGCAACCAAAGACCTGCAGTGCCACCAAAGGCATTAGGTGGTAGTTCATCTTCGTCGAAGCAACCTGCAAACGCGCAAAATCCTTACTGGAGACAAGATTTATTGGCAAAACAGGATTCTCAACCTCCTAATGCTATTCAAAAAGTCTATGCGCATCCCGCCTGGATTCCTCTTGTTCGGGATTGGGGTGGAAATAACTTGGCAGTTGATTTGGCACCGGGACCAGCTGGTAAATGGGGTCAGGTCATTCTATTTGGTCGGGACTATGATTGTAAATATGTTGTCGCACGATCATGGTCTGCTTTCTTGGCTACAGTCGCAGATGATCTCAGCAGTGGTAAATGGTTTGTGGATGAAGAAACCAATGAGCTAAAGTTGAAAGAATTCAAATCAGGAAAAGTCGAGCCTGGTTATTTCGATATCTTGAGATGGAGGATGGATCAGAAGTATGGTCGCAAGAATGTACGAAGAAGATCAGCGCCGCCTGTCAATGGTAATGGAGGATCCCCGGCTGGATCTCCTTACGCAAGCCCGGCTGCTGAGATTGGTGAACCGCGTGGACGTTCTATGCAACGTTTCTCTGGAGCTTCACCCATTCCAAGTCCAAATCGTCCTGGTTTTGGAAAGTCGAGTCCTCTAGCTAAAGTTGCTGAAGAAGGATCAGGAACAAAAGTCAACACGATGGATATTCCCTCCACGAAACTTGTCGATGTTCAAACACCAAGACCAAGCATAGAGAATAAAGCTTCGGAACGACCAGTACTAGAATCTGAATCAACTAATGAGAATAAAGAAAATGAGAAGGCTAGTGAGAAGGTTACGGGGTTAGGATTAGTATCAGGAACTTCTGAGAAGGAAACCTCTGCTGATGATGAATCTGCGATGAAGACGATCGAAATCTAATGCCAATGCCGACACATTTCAATTCGAGTTTGCGTTTCGTTTTTCTTCGCATTGCATGAGGCGTTATGGGGTTTTGCGTGGTACGAAGATTCATTGATTCATAATCAGAAATTTGAGAAGTTATTTTTTTTTCTTCATTGTCATAATGGCATGCTTGCCTACATGGAAAATGTATCCAGCGGTTAGCTTTCTTCATGAATATACAGTTTGAGTAAAATTTGAGGTGGAAGTTGAAGATTCTTTATGTGTGTGTGTTGTGTATGTTTGTGTGTAGCGTTGATGTCTATGCATGGATGGATGGATTACTGATTACTTTTAGCTACTGAGAAGAAAAGGATAGATATGCATAATGTGAGAAAGTTATTTTGAGATTGTGAGATTGGTAGAGAGAAGAGAGTATGCTTTTTGTGAAGTATGATGTGGTGATAAGAGAGATGGGTGTGGTGTGGTGAGTTGTTGGGGGGTTTGGTTGGGTTGGGTAGGGTGCAAGTAAGTACTAAGTAGGAAGGATAGAATGATTTGATTTGATTTGATTTGATTTGATTTGATTTGATGATCTTTTAGTGGTGTAGTGGTGTGTAATGTGAGATGAAGATGGGAGCGAACATGGAAGATGGGGGGATAAGGAGGAAGGAAGAAGGAGGAGAATAAGAAAGGAGGAAATGAAGAAAGAAGAGAAAAGGATGGAAAGAAAGAGAAAGAAAAGAAAGAAAGAGGAAAGAAAGAGAATAGATGAATGAATAAATGGATGAATAGATAATTAAATTGATACTGGATGATGAAATAGATATAGATGTAGATGTAGATATAAAACAAAGAATATAAATTAAGAAGAGAAAAAATTTCAATTATAAATAGATAGTATATATAACCTTATATATTCCTACAATTAAAATATATACATGTATAAGAGAAGATCACAAGGACACCAACGAGTCAGATATCAAAGTCTTATATTATAAAATCTGTTCTCTTCTTAGAAACTAAATGGCCTTATACTCAATCACATTATACTAAATACATTATAAATCTTTAAGGGAAATGTCGGGCATTATGAAGTGATGATGTATCATTTACTATACATATCTTCCATCTCTCCCATCCCATCACATCCCATCACAAACAAATCCACATCACACACCTCCTCGCTCCCCCAAACCCTAATTCCTCAAGCCCCCTATGTGCACCAACCTCACGAAAAACGCTTCTTTTTCCCAAACAAAAAGCTTTTGATTATTCCAATTATAACCTTTTTTATCTTCTTCTCTTTTAAATCCGAAATGAAACATTATTTTCGCAAGTGCAAGATGTACTTCTGCTATTCCGAAGGCTTTGCCGACGCAGTCGCGGGGTCCGATGGAGAAGGGGTTGAAGATTTTCCAGGGGTGGGGTTAGTGCTGGGTTAGGGTTGAGAATTGGGGAGTGGGTGTTGGGATTGGGTGTTTGTATAGGAAAGAAGGAATGGGAGATTTTGGGCGGAGTGTGCTGTGTGCTGTGTGCTGTGGTGGTGGGTTATTGTTATGGTTATAGGGGAAGATGTGAGGGAATGGGAAGGTGGAGAATGGAAGAGGGAGAGAGTGGATTGGGGTTAGAAATAGTAGGATAATTTTAGGATTTGCAAGTGGAGAGCTAAAGAATTGAATATGAATACTCACGGTGTTATGAGGTATAAGTGTTGAATCTGGGAGCCAGCGCTCAGGGATAAAGTCATTTGGACGAGCGAAATTGGGTGGTGAGATGTAAGCGGGGAGTTGTGCGAAATTGACCAATGTCTAGTTGATTATTAGTTGATTCTTTCATTTGGGTTTAGGTTCCATCTAGGTGATAAAAGGGAAATGAAGAAAATGAACAATGGAACGACAGGAAGAACTGAACGAAAGAAAGTCTAGGGGAAGAGAGAAAAGAGTTAAATACTCCAGCTGGTAACCAATATCCACAAACTTCTATTCCAGGTTCATTAACCATTCTCGGAAGAACCATAGGAAGACTAGGACATAACCTCATAGCTTCATTAATAACTGCGTTTAAATATTCCATATTCGTGACTACTTGAATCGTGATATCATTTTCATCCTTAAAAGCTCCTCTAACTTCACTAGTAGGAACTCTATGTGCATCAGTATTTCTCACAAGATGATAGGGAATAGAAGTTAATATTGTAGCAACCGTCTCACTACCCGCAATCATAATACTTCAATTGCGTTTTCCGTTTCGGTAACTGTAAGACCGCGGCCATCAGCACGAGCAAGCGAGAAATATGCCATAACATCCGAATACTTTCGACCACGGTGCGCACCTGAATTGAGTCGTTCGTGAGTAAAGTCGTTGAGGGAGTTATTATAGGCAGCGCGCTTTTGACGGGAAACTTTCGAAACAATGAATTGCCAGAAGAGTTCTAGGCCAAGAACACGAGGAACCACGGCTTGTGTGAAGAGGCCATTACTTTTCTGAGGGCAACGACGAGATGATGATTTTCGTTGAAGGTGATGCAGTGGAATGATTTACTGAAGCTGAGTTCACCAACTATGTCGAAAGCCATGTATTCAAACCATGGAACGATATCCAATGGTATATCTTTAGATGCTTCTTTTTTGAGTTGTGATATCAATATATCTATGATGTAATATCATAGGTTCAAGTTCGCGCATGGATTTCTGTGTGAAAGCTGGGGAGAATGCTCGGCGGAAACGTCCATGAGTGATTCCGCTAGGAGCGGTAAAAATACCGTAAGAGCTATTATTCTGGCGTGGTGCGTACCAGAAAGGGCTTTTAGCGGCATCTTTCCTAGGAGCGTATAGGGAAGTCCATGCTTGTTCATTGGTGAAGGATACTTCATTTTCGGCAGTACGAACGACTGGGCCATATTTTCCGTGGAGTTCTGTAATTCGTGTCACATATCGTCCTCAATATAGAGCCCATACGAATGGGAGACGGGATAGAATCCAATGGGGTGGTCCCGGAATAGGGGCCAAAGAATGGAGCTTCAGTCTGTAGAATGCCCAAGTACAAAAGCTCTGTGAATGTGAGTGAGACATGGAAATTGGTACACGGAAAGAATGAAGGGCGTACCAAAATTGTAATACAAAGGCAACCGCTTAACAAGTGAAGTACACTGGTCTCACGTAGGTAAGCAAGTGTTTCCACTATGAAGTGAAGGAAAATATCGCTGGGGAGACTACCTCTCACCATTATTACCAGAAGAATGTCGAGATATAGATTGTAGTGATTGTATAATGACCAGAGATAGCCAAGACAAGATACAAGCACTACAGGTAGCCTGAACATCATTGGGAACTCGGTTCAACGTACTCTTCCAACAGTTTTGTTGCTATGTTCCGTCACAAGTGTTGTGTCCAAAACAGCGGCATTGATAATATCCTGGTTACTAACAGTTGGTTGGTGATATTCAGTAATCACAAAAGCTGTAGACATGACCAATGCTAAAGGGTGAAGCTCCAGTATTCAAAGAGCCGGCCTATACGAAGATGCTCTATAGAGTTCAGCAGAAGAGTCGAAGGAAATCGCAATACACACTCAACGCACTGAGGATACGATCAAAGCAGTGCCATTGCTTTACCTAGATCAACGTTAAGTCACATCAAACACGTAAGCATCTACTCGAATTAGGCTTACTATACCTTCACTTCAAGGTAGATGGGTTGGTATTTACAATATGTCCACTACAAAATATACACGGGTGAACCGAACTATCGGGTGCGTTGTTGGCGTCAGGCCTTTCTAGCGAGTATAGTTGGTTCAAGTGATTTTATATTGCAGAGTAGATCCGAACGTAGCCATCCGAGTTTAGTACTTAATGCATCGTAAGCCCAAATATCATCCAAATTCTTGTTGGAGCTTGACCTCTAACAAAACCATAGATCCCCACATACGTTGCTGATATATATGGCTCGTTCAATACCGACAGAATTTGAGTGGAATCTTAGCCTTCACATGGATAAGTATTCAAAGTACACCGAGCATGATACTTTTCAGTATATTCGACAATTTTTTTTGCCGGAGCTTTAACCTTGCTTTCTCCGAATCTCGCCGTGGCGGTATCTTCAGATATGGGTGTTTTAGGTGTTCGCTTGGGCATGCTTTTAATACTAATAACTGTAGGTATATTGGTCGGGAATCCGATTGCAGGGGCACTTGAATCTTATGGGTGGAATTTATTAATAGACCTTTACAGCGGCATTGCTGATTGCCTCCTTTGTGGTCATCGCTTTTGTTAGAATTTAATGTATGGCAAGAGCTTGAAGATGAGATGCAGAAAGATTTGATTCGGTTGTGCTGATGTATAATACCTGCAAAGCCCGCTACTCCACTCGCAAGAGAAACTATGATGAAGGCACCAACTAGGATTGTTTCTTCAAAAGCTAGCTTAAAAGTCTTGTATTGAAAGTTGAGAAGTGTATAATATTGAGCGTACGTAAATTTTTCATGGACAGTTCGAAGAGACAGGCTAGCTAATGTGTAATTCAATACTGTGCGCCAGCAAGACTAGCATAGACTTACGCATATTTTTACAATGCACTCTTTTCGAATTTCTGCTAGCTTCACTTTGATTTTTGGTTATGCATAAGCACAACCTCAGGGTTTCCAACTGTTTCTAGACCTGTTTGCGGAGACCATGCCCCTCATCGCAAATCTCGGAACTCAAACAAGACGTAACTTCTAAAGAGTTATTGTCGATTCTGCCGAGGCGCATGCTTGTAGCCCAGCGGCATCTTCCGGCGACGATCGGTGTGCACATTCACTCCAACCGTTCCAAGAAGACCAATGCCATTTGGTCCTATGCATTTCAAGTTCCGTGATGAGTACCTGCAAACCTTTAGCAACAGAGACCTCATCCTTGGCGTAATGCTCCACCGGAAGGTAGACGTTTGTGGGTTACTTTGGAACTACCAGAATGCAATTCGAAGTAGTAGAGGATTCCCAAATAATATGCGCTTCTGTAAGGAAGATGATCGCCTTGATCCTCATCACAATGACTGAGGATTAGATCTCACATCATTCGAAGCTCCTCGAGGCCGTTTGCAATCTTAAACCTGTTCCCAAAAGATGCTCATAATTTCATAACACTTGCCATTTTGATATCTGGGCATCTAGCATATATCTTCATGCGGGACTGCCTGGATGAGATACAATCGAATGCAATCATGAATGAATCAAGTCCTGGTGAATTGTCCTCTAGCTCCAGAGTTTGAACTAAGTCTTGAAGGGATATCCATTCCAGTTCCTAAGGAGGCTGGCTGGAGACCATAACAACGACTGCTAATTTTAATAGAGAACTTCCATCGCTTTTGCAAAAAGCATCACGTAAGTTCTGACAGTTGGCATTCTATCCCTCCATTAAACTGCCATAAATGTGCTCTAGCAAGGCGGCTGTGGATCAAGACGGAATATCTAGTCCTTTGCAGGAAGTCTTCCGAGAGGTGAGATTTTTCAACAGTCGATGGGACCATTGCACGTCGATCGATATTCTATATATCATTCAATACGGTCAACAATAGCCAAGTACGTGCCGAGTGCATATACATGAATGAAAGTTTTCGAGACGGGAGTAAAAATAGGAATAACAAAATCACCGACGCTCGAAAAGTGCTAAAATACCATCTAATCTTCTCAATCTATACGCCCAGTTTTGTACAATCCGATAATGTCAGAGCAAAAGCTTCAAAACTTGATGTGCTATTTGTGCCACCAACAAGTTGACAAAATCAACATCGAAGCGACAACTCTGAAATTGAATGATAACCAACCTGGTGGCAGCGAACATGACAGGGAAAAGGGATTGAGTCCGCGTAAGATACGAAGATACGAGTTCTACTGTGCCGACTGCAACGTTTCCTCAACATTCTCGCTCTCTTTCATTAGGATGTTTGAGATTGGAAGAAGCAACTGCATACCGTGCCACAGCCATAGACACAAGCCCTTGAGCTGTATTCAAAAGCGGAAGAGAGATGATTGAGACGCTCTGTAAGTAGTTTGATATGCTTGAAGGAGACCTCAGGACGTGAGTACAAGCAACATCAAATCCATGGCACATAGGTACTTGCCAATCTTCAATTCTTAAAACATGTGCTTTGCCAGAAAAGAACCTCGATATTCTTCCTTTAAAGAAGTATTTTCATCTATAAACAACACACTTGTATTCTCTTAAACCCTGATGTCCATACACACGATGTATCAGGATTTTACTGATAGTGATGTGTAGGATTTGGACACGCATAGAGTAGTTCGGATCAGCAATGCTGTAGACGGAGAACGATGAATTTATAGATATATTAATTATAACCTTAATGGAAGGTCAATAAAACACTGGAAAGTTCACACTATCGTCCCAAAAGTTCACAGGGAGAAAAGAATGACAACAATTCTCTTGAGGTATGTATACTATATATGCAGCCTTTTTCTCCCGCAAGGCTACGATCACACACAGAAAGTCGGGAGGAAGGCTGAGATTACTAATCACAAATACTGCTCGATGATTGGCTACCTCCATAATCAAAATTCTGCCGCATGCTTCAAAAAGCCTTGACTAGAAGCATCTCGAAGTTGGTAGACTAGAATAGACAAATTTCAAATACCTAGTCATCCATCATCCACCATCTATTCGAAAATAAGGAAAATCTTTTGAGTATATTTTAAGCAAAGTACAATTTTTGAAATTTTTCATCTACTCATCAAATATTCTCTTGAGCATTCACAAAAATATAAAATTCGACGCAAAGCAACTTAACTTCGCCTGCTCGATTCTCAAATTTTCGAGCACAAATATTTATACAGCTTCAGCCTCAAGGAATAATTTAAAAAAAAAATCTACCATTATGGCTATGCCACCAACAATGAATGGACTCCTTAAATGGAGCGTAGAGAACTCCTCTGCAACCGCCGCCGATCCTACCGCACCTCCCCCACAACCCAAAGCCCTCCCAGCCGATGCCATGAATGTGCTCTTCGGTGGTCCTAGTGACGCCGACCTCATGAAAGCCTCCATGTGGGCCATTCAATCTACCGACCCCGAAGTAACTGTCGAAGATAAAGTGATTGCATTCGATAACTTTGAGCAACTCATTGAAAACCTCGATAACGCCAATAATATCGAGGCGCTTTCATTATGGAAACCTTTGTTGGAATTGTTAGCACATGAGGAGAAGGAGATTAGGAAGATGGCAGCTTGGTGCGTGGGAACTGCGGTGCAGAATAATGAGAAGAGTCAGAGGTGTATGCTGAAGGAAGGGGGAGTGCCACATTTGATTAAGGTGTGTTTGAATGAGAACGAGGAGAAGGATGTTAGGAGGAAGGCAGTTTATGCATTGAGTAGTGCTGTGAGGAATTTTCAAGATGGAATGGATGTTGCGACTGAGGAGTTGGGCAAGTTGGGGAGAAGTGGTGAGAAGATTGATGCGGCAGATATGGATGCTTGTGATGTTCTGATTGAGGGATTGAGGGAGGAGGCAGCGAAAGGAAGATGAGGATGGGATGTAGGAAAGGGGAATATTCAGGATTGAATGATTGACATCTATGAATTATAAGATAGCTAATACTTCCTACTTCTCACGAAATGCCCGGGCTGGAGTTTTGGAGTTTTGGTAGATTGTCATTGGGAATGATAGAGGGAGGAGACATTGATATCCTGGTAATCTAGTCAATGAGGCTCTTACAAGGACCCCCTGACTACGACTGCCACCTCACTGAGGATTTTTAGAGAATGCATCCAAGTCACAAGCCACAATTGAACATGTCCAGCATCTTTTTACCATGATTCTTAAAGCTTGTAAACGATACACGTCAAATACCCAATATAAAACAAATTCATGCATAGAAGTAAATGCGAGTGGACGATAACCTTATTCATCCCAAATTTTACCCCACTAAGCCCCTCAATTTTTGCACTATTGTGTCGTCTCACTCACCGTACTGAACAAGTGTTTCCAACCGTCCGTCAGTGGCTCTCGGACCAGCGATGTAATTTCTTGGTTCGACACCAATGGGAAGTTGGCTCTTGCCGTTTTTACTTTAGGGGGTTTGTGTTGTCTCGTAGTCTCGTAGTCTCGTAGTCTCGTAGTCTCGTAGCTTCGGACTTCTGTTCCTTGTATGTAGTGATCTTGCATGCGATTATGAAAGGATGAGTTGGGTTGCTGGATATCGAGAATAGGTAGATGGGTAGATGTGTAGATATGTGCTGCGTAAGATTCTTACTCAGATATATGGAAATATAGCAGACATACGTATATGAAAAGGCTTGATATTTCATGAGTTGCCTGCTTGGCGATTGGATATTGGATGTTAGACTGATGGAATAGTGAGAAATGGAAGCTATCAACCAATTATGGAAGAGATATTACGTCTGACTGAGATTCTAACGCGCGTCTGATGGCGGTACACAAGTATAAAAGGATACCCAGACGTAGCTGTCTTCACATAACCTTATATAATTTCGTCGCCTCAAAAGTTCCAAGAACGGAATTAAAAGATACATTTTCGGAATGTTATCTTTGGTAGAGTCGGTGTGATCTTGGAATGACCCTGCCTGCTAGCATGGGTTGGAGGGGAAAAGGGGAAAGGGGGAAGGGGGAAGAAGCTAACTACTCCGTATGTTTGATTGGAATCTTCCCTTTAGACAACGAACCAGAGACCACCACCACAAATATAGACAAATATAGACAAATATAGGAATAATGATCCGGAATACAGTACACTGAGTACAGTCCCGGAGTACTAGCTATAGGTAATGGGTAGATGGGTGAGCCAAAAGGCGATACCGACACCGACTTCTTGCAAATTCACAGCCACCTGGTTTTTTCATCGGTCTGTACTTGTTACTTGTTACTTGTTACTTGTTACTTCTTACTTGCTGTAGGAGGTAACAAATAATCAGAATAGTTACATGCTGCTTTTAATCTTTGATATAATATAACGTTGCTGTCCCTTGTCTGCGCTGCCGTCAACAGTTTGAAGTCATTGTAATCTTATGATTAGGAGAATACCTAGTATTTGTTTAATTCATCGCTATATCTTTCCTCAACCCAACCTTCACTTGTTACTGTACATACGTACGTCCTGCTTCTATCTACGTGTTCCGAACCCCTCTTTCTCTATTGATACACAAACTAATCTTACTGTCTCTCTGGTTAGTAGTTTTTGAATCATTTTGAAGCCATTATACCAATTTCAGTCGATTCATTTACCAAAATTACCATATCCATATATTCGTCCAAAACTATCTTTATCAACCATACCTACCTACTCGTAATTCACTTCCTATATAAGCACTCAAGCAACTCGGAATATCTTCTTCCCCTCCTACCGCCCCCCGGCCTCCTTTTCTACCTATCAAATCTTTCTTCAACATTCTATCTAAAAGCGGCGAATACCGAATAAGATCGCTTCGCCTCTTGCAGTTGCGGCCCACACTCAAACTTCGTGACATCGTCCTTTCCCATTTACTACGACCACGATCACCAATTCTTTTGACAAAACAACAACACACCTTCTTCTCTTTCAACCATCTTCTTTTTTATCAACCACGAATTATCAACGTCGTGAATCTTACTTTAATACATCCCTTCATCATTCTCGAGATTTTAATTATCACGAGAATTAACTCACCGCCATATTCCACACCTCTTTTATTTGACTAAACGTCTTAATTATCAGCCATGGAAGGTAAGCTTCAACCCGACACCTACATTGGATACACATCCTTTGCGCAGATATCTGCATAATGATGAGCGTCTGCTAATATCATTTATCAATCAACAGAAGAAGTCGCAGCCCTCGTCATTGACAATGGGTAAGCTCTTAGAATCCTAAAATCCAACAAAGTGGTCGTGAGCCTTGAAAGATCGAGGGGTAGCTATTGGAAGGAATTAACAACCGACCGATATCAACCTATATCTCTACAATGGCGAAGATTGCAGGTTTGAGAAGAATGAGGCTGATGGATTTTGTAGTTCTGGAATGTGTAAGGCCGGTTTCGCCGGTGATGACGCTCCAAGAGCTGTTTTCCGTAAGTAGACTATCCTTGCAGGCAACTGCTACATCCTTGATTTCCATCAAGATCGTTCATCGACAATAATCGTAATCAGCTGGAAATATCTCTAACATACCATACAGCTTCCATTGTCGGTCGTCCCCGTCATCATGGGTAAGAAATCCATCCATACCACACCCCGCCATTTCCCCCACAACTCGTGTCACTCGAACAAAAACTGATAAAGGATGTTGTAGTATTATGATCGGTATGGGTCAAAAGGACTCATATGTTGGAGATGAAGCGCAATCCAAGCGTGGTATTCTTACACTCAGATACCCAATCGAGCACGGTGTCGTCACCAACTGGGATGATATGGAGAAGATCTGGCATCACACTTTCTACAACGAACTTCGTGTAGCACCAGAGGAGCACCCAGTTTTACTTACTGAGGCCCCAATCAACCCAAAGTCCAACAGAGAAAAGATGACACAAATTGTTTTTGAGACCTTCAACGCCCCAGCGTTCTACGTTTCTATCCAAGCCGTCCTCTCCCTTTACGCTTCCGGTCGTACCACCGGTATCGTTCTCGATTCCGGTGATGGAGTTACTCACGTCGTCCCAATTTACGAAGGTTTCTCACTTCCTCACGCCATTGCTCGTGTTGACATGGCTGGTCGTGATTTGACTGATTACCTCATGAAGATCTTGGCTGAGCGTGGTTACACTTTCTCCACCACTGCCGAACGTGAAATTGTCCGTGATATTAAGGAGAAGCTCTGTTACGTCGCTCTTGACTTTGAGCAAGAAATTCAAACCGCCAGTCAATCTTCCAGTTTGGAGAAGTCATACGAACTTCCTGATGGACAAGTTATTACCATTGGTAACGAACGTTTCCGTGCTCCAGAAGCTTTGTTCCAACCATCTGTCTTGGGTCTTGAGAGCGGTGGTATCCACGTCACTACCTTCAACTCCATTATGAAGTGTGATGTTGATGTTCGTAAGGATTTGTATGGTAACATTGTTATGGTAAGATTTTCCCATCTGCGAAGGTTTTAGGATAATATGCTAACTATTTATGACAGTCTGGTGGAACCACCATGTACCCAGGTATCTCCGATCGTATGCAAAAGGAAATTACTGCTCTTGCACCATCATCGATGAAGGTCAAGATCATTGCCCCACCCGAGAGAAAATACTCCGTCTGGATTGGTGGTTCTATTTTGGCATCTTTGTCCACTTTCCAACAGATGTGGATCTCAAAGCAAGAGTACGACGAGTCCGGACCCTCCATTGTCCACCGCAAGTGTTTCTAAGGTATGTAATTCTACGTGATTCCTGTTGTGAGGAATGTAGCTAATTTATCGCTATAATAGCGTATCGCAGTCGATTTGTGTTTACATCACGAACCTGGCGAATATGATAAAAAAGAAGATTCGAACAAAACATCAACCCCCAGTGTTTTGTTTCACTGCGAAGTGTTATCCCGAAAAGTTCTGGTAGCGGTTGAGCGACTGGGTGATCTCTTCCGAAGTAGTGGATGGGCTTTGATCTAGCTGATTGTTTGCTCGGAAGGGGGGACTCAAAATGTCGTATCAATCATACAAAGCTTTTTTTCTTACTTTTTAGTGGTGCCAACTTCTTACATGTGTTTTTGAGCTGCACCTTTTTTGTTCTTCATTCATAGCGCGAGAAATTTTCTTCTCTAGAGAATCAAATTAAAAAGTAGTACACTGATTTATAATTGAGTTTATTATAGTATTAAGGGAATGTGATTGTATGTGTGATGTGATATTGTGTATATAATTGTCACTGGATGGTTGGAATGTATGGATAGATCTATTCATTTAATAGTAAATTGAAAGTGGCCATCTACGGAGTACTTATTTCACATAACTTTTCCTCCTCGCTGCGTTACCCAATGCCCTACATGACATGCTACTTTATCTACGAGTACCTAGTAATCCTATATACTTCATGTCCTTCGCTATTGAGGTTTCTAGATATGAAATATTACATAATAGATATTAGATATTAGGTATGGTAACGGCACGGTATGGGGGTGTTGTTCTAAAGTTTGAGATCAGCTTGTGATGGGTTGTAAGTTGGAAGTTGGGAGTTGGGAGTTGGGAGTTTTTTGATGTTATAGGGAGGTTTGGAGCTTTTGGAGGGGTTTGAGGGGGTCTGAGGGGGTTTGTTGGTATTAGTATTGGTATGTTGTTTTGTATGTTGTTTTGTATTGATTAGGGGTGGAGGAGTAGGTGGGGAGAGAATGAGGAGAAGGAGAAGAAGAGAAGGAGGAGGAGAATAGAGGAGAGAAGGAGGGAGAAGAGAAGAGGAGAGAAGGAGGAGAGAAGGATTAGGAGGTTAGTATGGAGGTGGGATGATTGGGATAGGGATAATGATAAGGATGGGAAAGAAGGGGATGGATAGAAGGGGGGAAGGGATGGATGGAGATGGAATAGGATAGGGATAGGATAGGGATGATAATAAGGAGGGGATGGAATAGATGGATATATATAGGGAATATGGATGGTATATATGGAGGAGTGGATGAGATGGTTGGCTTGGCTGGTGTTGGTGATTTGTAATTGGTGGTGGATGGAGGTGGAGGGGAGGGGTGTGTGTTGGGGGACTTTGGGTTGTTTGTTTTGAGGAGAAGGAAATGGGGGGGGAGAAAGGAAGGAGTATGGATTTAGGGATTGTAGGTTTTTGATCTTGGAGAGGAAAGGGAAAAAGGAAGGAGGGAAGGAAAGGAGAATGTAGACTGGACGATGGAGAAAAGAGGGAGGGTTAGGATATCGAGTGGATAATTTTTAGATAAGGAGGGGTTGAGTTAGATATATATATTATCTTATGTTTTGAGAGTATAAAATTATTGAGATGGATATATAATATAAAAGGAAGGTGTTTTTATTATATATAATACGCCTCTAGCAATGCTCTATGCCAAACCCAATTATGCATCTCTATTTCTTTGTAACAACTCTGTAAATATCAATACATTAAGGTCGCCTTGTAACATCATGATATCTTCCGAAGTCATATCCTTCAATCTATTTACAAATCCAACAGCTATTTCAGCATCCATATCCTTTATAATTTGTAATATACTACTACTTCGAGCATAATTCTCAGAAGGTATATTTGTCGATAAAATTAGTAATAATAAAGTGATTTGATTAATATTATTTACCTTTCATTATAGCTTTCAATTTTATTGCAATTGTATATCTAATTGTTTGAGCTTGATATTTATAATTGGTATAAGCTTTATTATAATGTCCTTTAAATACAATACATTCTTTGAAGACTCCTCAAACAAATCCTTTGCAATGCTTATATACTTTTTTCCCAGTTTTTACAACCCCTTGCTTATATACAATAACCGCTTATAATTATTATTTATTTCGAACGAGTTTCTGTAATGATTTATTTGTATGTAATTCAATCATATGATGAACTGGGTATTGTCTAGCTAAGGTTTTCATTACAAAACATGTTGCAATTACTTTATCGATATTTAATAACTCCAATCACTTTTGAATATATTCTATAATACAACAAGTACGGAAATCGACTTGTATAATTTGCTTTGATCGAATATAAGAACAGGAAGAAATATACAATGTAGCAATATTTCCTTTAGGTTTAAATAAAGATTGAGATCGAGTAACATACATCTAAAACTAATGATTGATATATAATTTTGATTAAAATTGGATCCATTTACAAATAGATTTGAGAATGCATTTATAGATCTTATGATTGGAGGTTTTGGAATCTCTAATTCTTCTTCTAGATCTTACAGATACTCATCGAAAAACCTTGATTCTGTATATCAAATAATTCTGGATTATTTTCTAGCTCCGGTGAAGGAATAAGTTCAAATGTATCTTTGCAAATTATGATTAAAATTTGATAGATTTGTTGTTTTTGAATACCCAATATTGTAAAGTTGATTTTAATTACCTCGATAAAAGTTGCGAAATTCAATATTGATCAATATTACCAAATCTTTTTTAAATCTCTAATCAATAATAAGAAAATAACTTACTCTTAGATAATTAAAGCTTGCTCTTAGAGTAAGGATTAAATTAAAACCAGTTGTTATTTTCAAATTTTACAAGTAAAAATGAAATATAATAATAATAATAATAATAATAATAATAATAATAATAATAATAATAATAATAATAATAATAATAATAATAATAATAATAATAATAATAATAATAATAATAATAATAATAATAATAATAATAATAATAATAATAATAATAATAATAATAATAATAATAATAATAATAATAATATTTAATTATCAATTATCAAAAACAAGCTGATATTCTGCCTGCACCTTAATATATATTTAATATTTAAATTTATTATAAACTTTTTAAACTTTAAATTTTTATTAGACTGTCTCGAAAAGCCAGGGGTCCGGGGGGCGCAGGCCCCTGGTATGTTCAAACTTGTTAAAAGTGAGGAGACCTTGAGAATTAATTATTATATAAATTTATATACAAATTAACTTGTTTTTCGATAAGGTCTAAACTTATATAAATAGATTAATTGTTATCTTGTAATAATAATTGATTTTATTTATTTAACTCTTATACAGCTATTATACATTATAAATTTTTTTAATTTTCAATATCAAAAGACAAACTGATATTCTATTTATATTCTAATATATATTTAAGATTCAAATTTATTATAGATTATTTAACGCTTAAATTTTTATTAAACTTTCTCAAAAAGCCAGGGGTCTGGAGGGAGCAGGCCATTGGTAATATTCTTATTTAAAATTTATTTTACTTGATTATAAAATTAATATATAATTACTTTTGTAGCTTATATTATTTATATAAATTTTATAAATTAAATTTTTTATTTATTAAATATAACTTTAAAATTTTTAAAATAAAGATTATTTTTATATATAATAATATATCTTGTAAAACTTTTATTTTAAAATATTAAAACAAAAATACATAATATAACTTATTTTCAATATTTTAATAAAAATTAAAAATTTTTATATTTTAATTTTAATTTAATTTATTTATTTATTTATTTATTTATTTATTTATTTATTTATTTATTTATTTATTTATTTATTTATTTATTTATTTATTTATTTATTTATTTATTTATTTATTTATTTATTTATTTATTTATTTATTTATTTATTTATTTATTTATTTATTTATTAAAACTTTATTAATAAATAAAAATAATAATTATTAATATAATATAAAAAAAAATTTAAAAGAGAAGTAATTAAAAAGTGAGATATTTGATTTTATCAAATCATTTATTATTAGAGGTAGAAAATTATATTTCTTTCAAAAATTTATTGTATCTCCTGGAATTGATATTCACACTCGCTTACTTACTAATGCCACGCAATGTATCGAAGCTACGACCGAGCTTCAACATTGTCCCTATGTCAAAACACAATAAAGCCAGACTCTCACAAATAATAATACATCTACGAATGGTACGAAACGATCAAAAAAGTGATGCGATTTCAATAATATAGGATATGTCAGGAAGAGGATATGGAGGTCTCGGGGGGGACCCTTATATGAATGGCAATTCTACTGGATATGCGAATGGGAATGGGAATGGGAATGGGAATGGATATGGAAGTGGAAATGGTAGGAATGCAAATGCAAATGGATTTCCAGGACAAATCACTGAGGATGGAGATTATGATCCATATAATACAGGAACTGATAGATACGCTACTCCACCTCCTCGACAAGAAGGTCTTCGAACACCATCGCCTTCCATGCCGCGAAGTCCTCGATCCCTAGCTTTTCCACGACTGAGAGAACCGACGGTTAAACCAAAATTAGAAGAAACCAATGCGGAGAAACAAATTGGGGAGGTGTTAGAACATATCAAGAAGGAATGGCCTGCGTTGTGTGAAAATGGATGTGTGCCAGTACAGTTGGCATTACAACTTTTAGACACGAGTTCGGTCGGCAAGGCACATGAATACGCGCAGTTTGAACAATCGATGCAATATCTACAAGAATCTTTAAAAAATATCGTACATGAGCATCATCAAGGATTCAACAGTTCGATTGGTACATTTCATAAAATTCAAACGAGTATTCAGACGTCGCAAAAGAGGGTACGAACATTGAAGGATTCGCTCGCGCAATCGAAAGCTAATCTTTCGACTACGGATCCAGAGTTGAAGAAATTGGGTTCGGCGTCAACGATTTATGATGAATTGTTACATACACTTTCTGAGGTGGAGGAATTACGGCTGGTCCCGGATCAATTGGAAGCACGGATTTCTGAGAAGAGATTCTTGACTGCGGTGGATGTTTTGCAGGATGCTCTACGTAGGATTCGATCCCCGGAGTTGGATGATATTGGGGCTTTGAGTGAACTGAGGACGTACCTTGCAAATCAGGAAACGGCTTTGACGGATATATTGATTGAGGAACTTCATGATCATTTGTATCTCAAATCGCCTTACTGTCAGGAGAGATGGCAGATGTTGGCGAAGACTCAAGGCGGTGTTTCGAAGGAGAAATTCGAGAATCCAAATGGTGTCAGGCCATTTTTTGAAGTACTTGACAGCATGGATTTGGCTGAGCCGATGGTGGAAGATGCGTCGAGGAATCCAGAAGCAGACACGTTCTACTATGTGGAATTGCTGACGGAAGCATTGAATAAGCTCGGTCGTCTGGATATTGCTGTTAATACCATTAAGCAGAGACTTCCAGTTGAGCTTTTTGGCATCGTCAATGAAACTAACAGCGAAGTTGATCAAAAGCACCCAAGCTCTTTACGTGGTGGGTTCGGATCTACACAAGGAAGCCGAACATTCTCTAGTCGTGAGAATACGATCCGTACAGATGTTATCTATGATTTACTTCGGACGTTATACGCAAAATTCGAGGCTATTGCAGAAGGTCATCGTGTTTTCTATGATGTGGTAAAAGCTATTACGAAGAGAGAAGGTATGAGGAATTCGACTGTACTTCTTGGTGGTTTCAGAGAACTCTGGAATCTATATCAGAATGAGATTCGCTCTCTATTACATAATTATGTGACCACAGATGCGGATGTATACCAATTTGATTCTCCTCGACCTGGTGCTTCCAAGTCGTCTAAGTTAGAGAAGCTATTTAAGTTTTCGGATGCGGATGCTAAGTCTGTTCATATGACAACTGAATATGACGAGTTGGAGAACATCATCAGAGCTGCTGTACCCGGTCTCATGTCGAGTTCAAGGAAATCGGGTGCCGATAGTAAGAAAGCTAAGTCTTTCTTAGAGAGTTCGGCTGGAAGAAATGGGGCAAAACGATTGACTGGTACGGCTTTTGATGCTAAAACTGGTGGCATGGGGACGCACAAGTCTTTGGTAGAGCCGAGTGTGTTTAACATGAGCTTGCTGTTACCTCCTACATTGGGCTTCTTACAGAGATTGAAAGCCATTGTTCCTCCTGGTTCGGACTTAGTCACAAGTACTTTGACATCGTTCTTGGATAACTTTCTTGTTAATGTCTTTCTACCTCAGCTTGATGAAACACTGGGTAAGCTTAGTGACTCGGTGTTTGAGGAGACTGATGCATTCCAACAAGATGCACAATGGGCAAGAGTGTCGAGACGACCTGTCTTTAAAGGCACGGCAGCTTTCTTTAATTTGATTACAGCATTTTGTAGAATGCTGGATACAATTCCCCACGATCAAGCATTGAGCCAACTTATCATCACGCAAATGATGAGATACTATGATAGATGTTATGACTGGTTCAAGTCACTCGTTTCTCGAGTTAGTGATTCCGAAGGCTCAACACTTAAGCTATCTGCACTGCTTGCCAGTGAGCCTGGCGAGATACATGATACTATGCAGAAAATCTGGACAAGTGAAGCAGTCGATCGTCAATTATTGGACAAGGAAACTCATCTTTTGATTCTACAGACAAATGAGAATCCTCCTCAAATGGATGATATCATCTCAGATCGTGAAACTATTTCATCTCTTTGTGTTTTATACACTAGTATGAAATGGTTAGCTATCAAGATAGGACAATTAAGACATATCACGAGGAACGATGCAGATTCATCCCGTACACAATCCATGCAGAAACCACCGCATAGACGTTGGACTTTGCTGAATGACCCTAGAGGGCAGGATGAGCAGAACATGGTTTATCTTCCTATGACGCAGGAAACTGTTGTGTAAGTTATTCTCTTTGACAGATTTGGTACATGACTAATGTGATATATTTAGCGCATTCGACTCAATCGTTTCCTCATACCAAGAACTAGCCGCTACTGTCCTATTAACGCTTCACATGGAAACACGGATACAAATTTTACACTCCCTAACGCGTGTTCTCTCAACTTCCTCGGGCTCAAATCCCTACCCGTATATTCTCTCTCAACCAGTCTCGGAGCCAGATCCAACTATCCTATCACTAAACGCGGATTTGGTAGCCTACGATGAAACGGTAGTGAAGTTCCTAAGAGACAAAGAAATCAATTTTGTAAGGAATGGATTAGGTTTGTTAATTGATACTTTCATGGTTGATAATGCGAGCAAGATACAGAGAATTAATAAAGAGGGAGGAAAGAGAATGAGATTGAATGTACTAGTGCTACAGCAAAATTTGAAGGGAGTAGAGGATGGAGTAGGACTTGTGAGGAGTAGCAGGTATTGGGGACTATTTGAAGAGGGACCCGGGGGCATTGTTGCATGGGCGAAGGAGAAGGGCGGTTCAAGTGGAGGTGGAAATGGAAATGAGGTGGCCGCGCCTGCGGAATATGAAGTGAAGTTTAGCTATGATGAGCTGAAGGCGTTGGTGGAGTTGTTTTTTAGTGAACCGTTGGGTAGTAATGAGAGGGGTATTACGACGGTTGCGAAGAGGGGAATGGGTGAGTGTATGTTGCAGTTGAGCGAGCATATGTGGCAGAGTTAAGTGGGAGCATGGAGGATAAAGGCAATGGAGGAGGGGAAAGGTGGAAGTTGTAACGTGGAGGATAAATATACTCGGGTGAAGTAGAATACACTTCCTTGGAAATACAGTAATGAACGGATGAATGGATGGATAGGCGGACACATGGATGGATTAATATGCATTTGGCGTGGAGTTCTGGAGTGATGGGATGGAATCGAATGGAATGAGATGAGAGCGATGAAAAGTCATGGTGAGTAAATAATAAAGTTGTTTGCCATGATATAGCTTCGCCATGCTACAGCTGCCTGTATTGTTATGTAAAGTGATAGTTGGTGATTAGAAGAGGAAATTTTGTGGAAGTGAAACCAAATGATATCATATCTATAGTAAAATACTAGTCTATGTATTTTTTGCTTGGGTATATATGTCAAGGTGTGGAGTTGAGTACGTAGAAGGAAATCTCCCGGTGAGGTATAGAAAGTATCCGCTGAGTGACTTTCTTAATTCTTCGTGGATAGATGGGAGATAGTCTTCTCCATACAATATGACATGTTCCCCATTAAATAAATTCGGATATGATTTGACGAATTCTGTCTGACTACTTAGTTTAATAACGATGGAATGTAGAAGGGGAAAATGAGCTATCACGTGATCTAATCTTCTGCTTTTGGTTTTTGACTGAGATGCCTGTTTTTATTTGAGTGAGAGATGTAAGATTTGAATTTAAATATATATATATATATATATAAATTGTTTTTTTAAAAAAAAGGTATATTTTAATCTCTTGAAACAGCCTGATATTCATCTGATCCTCAAAGTCTAAAATCCCAAAATTAAAAATTACCCCGCGCTCACCAACCCTAAAATGGAAAAACCTTTCCTCCCGCTCCACTAGCGCGCACCTGCTAGCAATTCTAGTTATTCCGCCCCGCCACGCAAGAATCATCGAACCTTTTATCCTATACTATCCTACGAAAACAACAAATAAAAATAAATAAAAACAATGGCGCCCTCACCACTTCAACAAAGAAGAACACATAACACGTTACTTTTTCAAAAATTATTGAATCTGAGAGATGGAGCGAGTCCGTTTACGTTGATATTGGACTCGTTGGAGCAGAGTGGGAGGTTACTTGTTAGGGAGTTTTGGAGGAGGGCTTTGGTGGGTTACTTTTTGATATCTTTCTTTTTGTTTTGGGTTTTGAGGAGCTCGTTGGGGGGGTGGTGAGAATTAGGACTTTTGGTCCAGGAGGATATGCATGCTGGATGGTGCGAGTAGTTCTCGTGCGAAGATGGAAATTTTGTGTTTGTGTATGATCACGTGAACAAGCTCGATGTCGGATACATTGCTTTTGAATGTTGATTTATTGGAATCGGGGTTTCTTGCTGGTTTATTGTTATACTGATTCATATTTATAGATCTCAAAGTCCAAGGTCATCTTTATTTCATTCTCTACTCTTCAGAAACGATTACCCTTTACCCCGGATGTTTTCGTCTCGGCACATGGCAAACCACTTTCACAGCTTCGTCGAGAGATCGTTGCGCATTTACCTTCGCCTACAACTCCTCCATCAGCTTCTCAGCAAAGTATGTTCTTTGTTATCCCCTGGATAGTAGGAAAGTTTATAGCTAACACGACCCAGAAACCCTTCTCATAATCGATAATCTTCATCCCCTTACATCTCACCCAGATCATCTCTCCCCCTTCCTGTCCTCCCTCATAATTCACCCATCTATATCTCTCCTCTGCACTCACCACCTTGACATTCCCTTACCACCCTCCTCCACAAACACTAATCCATACACCCCGAACCCCCTAACAACCCTCCTCTTCCTCGCCACCGCCATCCTCTCACCCTACAACTTCACTCATGAACTCGCTCGCAAACGTGCACGCGATAAGTCCGCCCGAGAACCTGAATTTGGTATCGCAGAAGGAAAAGAAGGTGTAATCAGAGGATTTGGAAATGGTCACACCCCCGATGCCAAAAATGGAGAAATCGTCCTAACGCTCGAAATGCGGCGAAAATCCGGTCGCGGCACTCGCGAAACTTTCATCTATACACCACCTCCACATCATACCTCTTCTCCCACGACTAAAGATCTCGGTACCATTCAACTTCTCGATGAACATCCAGCTTTTGCGGCGCCGGAAATTTGGGATAATTCGACGGCCACAGGAGAGGATGAGGGGATGGAGGCTGATGTTACGTTTAATCTGGGCTTGACGGAGAAACAGAAAAGGGATAGGGAGAATGTTGTTTTGCCGTATTTTGATGCGCAGAAGGAGGGGGGGATTGGAAGTGGGGGGAAGATTCTTTATGAGATGGGGGCGGAGGATAGGGAGGATTTCGATGATGAGGAGGATGAGATTTAGGGGCGTGGTTATGCTGGGATATTATTTATGAGTGAGAGGGTGCTGAGATGTGGGATCTTGATGTTGATTTTAATGATCTGGATTGTGTACTGGTATATGTACGAGTTCTAGATATCTAGATGTATTTGAAGTTCTCGAGAAAGTAAAATTATTAGATTATTATATTTGAATTAGAAATTAAAAAAGTTGTATAATATATTTAATTTTTAAATCTCAATTGATTATTAAAGAATAATATATAATTTTTATCATTTATTATTTACCTTTTAAACTTAATATATTATAATATTAATCTTCTTTTCTTTATTGAAATCTATTATTTTATTATAAAAAGAAGAAGATTTTGTTTTGACTCTTTAATTCCCATGACTTAAAACAATATCGAAACACTAATTAAACGAGATCACATCTAAAGTTGTAATTTTTGATTTTTGAAAAACAACAGTTAAATAATTACTAAACAATACCAAACCCACTCTTATAAAAACTATCTACAATATCATTTTTAATTTATCTCATCATTCTACATTCACATCGAAACAAAACATCTCAAACAATCCTCTACTTGAAACCCATCAATTCTAGGAAAAGTAAGTCTATTACAACAGTAAGTCCACTTTTGCAAAATGGACAGAATTAATCGACAAGCTCGCCTCAGGGCAATAACTGGGCCGAATGGTTTTAACGAAGTTTTAGCACCGGAAAAATACATCGAACGCGGTACCGCAGTGCTCCTCGCCAACCAAAATGCCCTCACCATGAATCCACGCAGAGAAATTAACTATCCTAGCTGGCACGAACGATACGTGAGTGACCCCTTGAAGCACGGAATTAAAGTCCCAGCATGCTGGAGAGAGGACGAAGCGGGCTTTATCTTCTCCGATGCAGAACTGCAGATTGACGGGTCAGGACCACAATGGTCTGAATACAGTTTCTTCACTAAAAAAGTAAATGAGATGGATAATTTAAATATGGTTCTTCCTGGGTATACTGGCTGTGTAGCCGAAGTTCATGCATCTCCGAAAACAGGAACATTGGTCATAAAATTCCAGGATGCAAAGGCCGATTGGGATCCTGATACGAATTATGAGCGTCTGTATAATAGTGAACTCATTTATCAAGCCTGGGGAGACGCATGTACTGTGCACTTGGCTAATAACCCGGGTGATTTCTGTTTTAGAAAGTTGAGGTATGTTATCATTGATAATATCATCAACCAGGGAACTCTTTGGACGATTCAGGATGTACTCATAGCCGAAGGTGTTTCGCCAGTGTCGATTATGGCGGGTAACAAGGAGAGGATTACTTTTGAAAGAGGCGACGACAACACATGTAGTGAATGGTTCAAGATGTTAATTGGAACCGCGAACGGAAGGCCTGTGGCCAGAATGTGTGCGGATCATGCGCAGGCTTTGGGTAAACAGGTAAGGAAGATTTATGCCTGGTATCATTGCCCCCGAGAAATGGTTGGGGCGTTAGTTTTTGAATTGGAGGACGTGGAGCCTGTGGCCATACCAGCCGATCTCGCCCAGAGAAAACAGACCAGGAGGGATAAATTGAAGGCATTCGGTAAGTCAGTTGTAGGTTCAATCAAGAAGCAATTCCGGGATTGAATATTTCGACTGAGTACTTTCCTTTTACTCTTTGAAAGCGCTGGCGCTTGCTAAGTGATTTCAATTTTTCCAATTTTTCCTAGTTCGGAGTTAAATCAGTCTGGGTCTATGAATATATAAATATAAAAATTGAAAACAAAATACAATTTCCTTGATAGTATGATAATATAGTGAATGCGAGTGTGAAGTCAAGACGCCCCAATGTGAGAATTATAATACACTGCCATTGTACTAATATATTACAGCAAAAGATATCAAATCCGTGGAAATCGACATTCAACGGCAGAAAAGTGACCAATGCTGGGAACTTGTTCTAGCAAGCTTTAGTATATTCAGGATGACTATGTATGATAAGGTTCTCCTTGAAGTCTCAATAGAGTTACAACAAATCGTATCACTCACTTCTCTCTAGCGGTTCTCCCATTCACTAGCGAAAGCTACACTTGCGGTCCCTCGCAAGTTAATTAGAATAGAGATATCTAAAATCTCTAGAAGTAAATATACTAGAGAAGTAAAACTCATTTTGCGGTCTATATTCTTTCTTCTGCGCCAGATCAGCCATCAAATTGTTTAATTATGTAGCCTTGATGCAGGTGGCAGCTCATCTGATGCGTATGGAACTGGCGCCGGGAAATATGCCATCTCTTATCTTGGAGAAACAAATTAGAGATGGACAATAATAAATTTCATTTGTGAAAGTTGAAAGAAAATGTTTCAATCATCTACAGATTGACCATCCCGCGTCCCAGTGATTAATCAACTAAACGACTTTGAGCAAAATCGGCCTTGGGGTTTGATGCTAAAGACTAGATATCAATATAAAGCACTTGCTTTCATCACATACCTAGGTAGTGTTTCTTACCCCTCTAAGATCATATCAACATGCTGGATGCATTCAAGATCCAAGACGTATGTGCGGAGTTACTGTATTGGGAGACTTGATGAAAATCAAAGATGGAAGTGCAACAAATTCACTATCAGATGGACCTGAAGATACTAAATTACCAAAATCTTGGAGCATTTAAAAGTTATCACAATTCCGGCTTGCTTCGGCTAATTCATGAATTCGGGAGACTGGAGGTTAACCAAACTTTTATAAAGAACAACGCAAGAACAATCATCCATACCCTCCACAATTTACAACTCCCAAAGTCTCCTTTGAACTGGCTACCATTATAATCATGGGCAGAATAAAATCAAAACCGATTGACACCAGCAAGCTTCAACCCATAAATGGAGCCACCACAACTTCTTCTGGTAATTTCGTGCGTCTTGATGTCGCGGACGATCGTGTGATCAGGTGTACTACACAACCTCCACTCCTCACCTTCAATAATAGCAGTGTTATAAGCAGCATCCACGAAGTTCATAGAAGAGTTGAACATACCGAATGCATCGATTTTAGATCGACATGGGTCTCACAATGTTTGCTTCAAGAGGAAGAAGAATGGATTGCCAGCCAGTATGGGCATGAAGTCGGAAACGGACAACTGATGATGAAACGAACGGCTGGAAAGAATAAAGCTCATGCACAACAGGGCGAAATAATCGGAAAGTACATGGAACCAAGCGACGCGATCAATCCAGACCCCAAGCACGTCACGAATGCGATTGCCAATTTCCCAAAGCAAGTAGAGTCCCCACCAGTTGTTGATACTATAAATCGGCTTGCAGGTCAAATGGAAGGGAAGAGGATTAACGGTCGCATGTCTCTTCCTGATTATTGGAGGGAGGATTCTCATAACGACACTGTGCCAAGAGGCAGATCTGGAAGCCTTTCAACGATCATTGACGTCGATGTGGACGATCTTGAGGTCCGCGAACCATCCTCCTCGGGAGGAAGTGAACATTATATTGCTCCTTCTCACGGACCGCACGTACATGCACCACCACCTCGAGTAACCTTAGCGGTAACAACTACATCGGTCCGCGCTTGCGTCACCTGTTATGAAAGACACGTTGGGTGTGACAGAATTTTGCCCAGATGCTCCGCTTGTGTGACGAGTAATGCAAACTGCGTCTATCCCGATGTAAGTCCCCCGGGTTAAATCATCATGATTTGACAGCTGATATATTCTTTGAAGGTTACTGTTAAAGTATCTCCAAAGAAGCAGAAGAAGTGGTAATAAAACATGTTTGCATCCTGATAGGCATTAAAGTGGCTTTTATGTAAAGGATATCCGCGGATATTAGGGTTGCTTGTAAGATGTATGAATTTTAGATCATGGCGGCGATGTTAAATTGTACACAGTCTGAAGGAAAAGAGTTGATGTCACAAGGGGATAACCGTCATGACATGCAGTGCAACGACTACTTTGTGAGCAAAGGATATAACCAGCAGCATGCACATATGATAGCTAACGTTCAAAGTGACTGTTAGCTTTCATCACACCATTAGGACACTTAGATGTCTCCTGTAATGGAGCCAAAGGAAGACCATGTATTAGCTGTTAAGACCCCAAGGGCAAGAGCTTGCCTATGAACTGGCATGAATCTGAAGCGAGTTGGAACCTAGTAAATGTACCGCTCATACGACCCCCAAGTTTAGATAGTGGTATGAGATGAAGTCCAGCCTGCTGCTCATAAATGTAATTGAACCTGGATAGAGTGACATATCGAAGTGAGATGAGGTGAAGTGAGTGAAGTTAAGAATCTAGCCCGGAAAGTAACCTTACCGCAACTAAGGAGACTTCAACTATTTACCAATAACGCAGAATGGTCAACGTATAACAGGGGACAATCTATCTATCATCGTCTCAAAGTAGAGAGCTCTGGAATAAATTCATTATCGATGATATCTTACTGTTTTATTGTCCTACAAGTTCCGGACATTTAATTTATTATCCCTAACAGTCATGTATCCCGTCTCGAACCGGTAGTGCCATCATCGCATCACGAACTCGAGCTCTACCTAGCTGGGCGCATTGCATCCAAATGTCCTCACAATGCTCGATCAGCTGTCGCCCGTTGCTCCTGCGAGAGTACGAGTTGTGCTGTTACCAATTGGGCAAATCAAACGCGCAAGATTTCTGAGCTTCGTAGAAAGGTTACAACCTCACAATGTTGTACGTTTGGGAGATATTAGTCCAGATGGACGTCCCCATAGAAGTGAGGATTAAGCTCTACCTTGATGAGCCACTGGCAGAGCTGACGATTGGCAGATATGTTCTCCCCATTGGCCTTTCCTTTGGGGATGATTGTTTATGACCTTACGACACATTATCCGCCTCCTACCCACCTCGCATTATCCCCCTTTGAACTTTACAGAGAGCCACTCGTTATTATAGCACTCGCGGATGGTGCGGAACTTGAACATATATCTTACAAAGGCACGTCGAGAAGGAGTGCTAATGGCAGTGGGGTATCACGTTTGGATCAAAATGTGCGAGATTTATATCAAGATTTGGAAGACTTGAGAGACAGATATCCCAAGGCGCTGGTTCACCAAGTATTATTGTTCGACCATTCACATGACAAGTCTTCTACAGCTTTACCAGAAGGCTTAGTCCCAATACCTCCACCGGCTGACTGTGGTATAACGACGATGAAAACCGTTATGTGCGATATATCTGCCTTACTGCTTGCAGAGATGACTACACTCGCAAAGTCACTCCAAGGCTTAAGTACAATAGAGTCGCCAGCTCAGTCAGGGAATAGGCCGTTTAATGGAGGGACTTGGACTGGAGGCTCGCCAGATGGGTCCTCAAGACGGAACTCTCAACTTTCAGTTGCTCAGCAAGATTCTAGATCTCCTTCTCCCGCGGGGGCCATTGACCGTAGCAACTATCGCATGTCAATGCCAGTCCTTCGATCCGCAGCTTCAGATTCTGGCACTTCTTCGCCCCTAGGTCGTTCTGGTAGCCCTGCTAGCGGTCTTCGCTCTGATTCGCCACCAACCTTCGATAATATAATTGGGGAGAATCCTCTCACGCTGAAAAATTTACCATCTCGACTCGGCACTCCGAGTAACACAACGAACAGGGACAGTAGCAGAGATCGAGTTTCAATCGTAGGCTTTGGATCGGGGAGCACTAGTGAAAGATCAAGAAATAAAGGAAAAAGCCGCATTGGCATTGTCATTGGATCAATGTATATGTGTGCGGGACGGTGGAATGATGCATTACGCGAGCTGGTCGAAAGTGCCGCTATCGCAAAAGCAAATCTTGACCATTTGTGGCATGCAAAGGCTCTTGATAATATTCTTGTCAGTATGCTCATGCTTGCCTGGACTGGGCTGGACTTTCAAGTTCCGCCAATTTGTTATGTTTCCACAGAAAAAGCACCGTCCTTAACTACTACTTTGGAGCCAAGAAGTCCCGCAAGCAACCGTTTAGTTTCGTTACAAAACTTGGCAATTCTGCTTCCAGAACTATTGGACAGAATCCTAAATCTCTATACCCGTGCCGCGAATAATAATGGGGAGGCTATGCCGCAATACCCATTTTCCGAAACTGTCATCCGCTATGCAAAACTTTCTTCTGCTATACATACAGGTGGTGGCCACATAACTGATGAAGTTTTACAACTAATCGTGCTCGGAACTCCTTTTCCAAAAGCCCCGAATCTCGCGACGCCTCGTTTGAACATACAGCCTACTCGTGGGGAAATTTTGAAAACCATCCTAAGAGCATTTCCTGTATATTCATCCTCTGAAAATATCGTAGTCGTGGACCGCATAATAATACTCAGTGGCATAGCTTCAGTTCTTGGATCAATGGGATACCATAGAAAAAAGGCTATGGTAATTCGTGAATTGGTTTCAGTATTGGTTCCTGCCCTCGTTCAAGCTCGCCTCAGAGGAGCAGCCGAGATGGGAGTTCATCCAGCTGCAGGATTAGCGGCTCTGAGTGCGAATGGGAACACCAACGGTGCTGGAGCTCTGGAACTTGGTGAAGGTGATATGGAGAATGGCGTAGACTCATTCCTCGCATTATTAGGTCAAACTTATGGAGTGGTAGCTTCTAGAGATATTACAGAAGAGGTATTTGATGATTCGGATGAAGCTACTATACTGAGGATACTTGATAATGCTTCTATCCGCTCTTTCGGAAGTCAAGCCCTGAAAATGGAGATTCTAAGATCATGTATCAATCTTTCTGAAGCATTGCCGGACTTTCAAGGCGTCTTGAAGTTCACTGCGGATTTATTAAGAACTGCTGGCAGTGGTGTAGCTCCGGGACCACGGAGTGAAGATGCATCACCCAATATGAGTCGCGAGGAACAGATTCGACTGATGACTAACATTACTCGGACGCTTGGAGCTGCGAGGAATTTAGGAGTCAATGAGCTTACAGCAGAATATTGGGATGAATTTCTGGTTCGGGGAGTTGAGCTTGAACCTCTACCTCAATCGAGAACTCCAATCCCTCACACCCGTGGAGAACTCCCTGACGGCGTTACTATTGCTACCGCTAGGGAGATAAATCCTTTTATATACAATCCTTTCTTACGCCCACTAAATGCTTCTATTGTTGATCACATCATGGTTGCTGGTGAGGGAGCTGTCTTTAAGGTTACCTTGCAGAATCCATATGAATTCGATGTGGAAATAGAAAGTATCAAGCTCGATTCTGATGGTGCCGGCTTTGAATCTGCCGCGCAAAAGACAGTTATCGGTCCTTATCGAACACAGATTCTCACTATATTAGGGACACCCAAAGACCCGGGGTCCTTGAAAGTTACTGGCTGCATTGTCAAAGTAAGGGGATGCCGAGAACGACGGTTCCCTATATTTCCGGATTCATGGTCACCACAGTGTGAAATCAAAATCAAGTCCATCGGAGTAGCAAAGATATTCGGTCAGAAGACTCGTCCTACAAGCTTTGGCTCAACATCATCAAATGCAGTACCTTGGGGCGTGATACCTCCTCTACCAACCACCGTAGGATTAAATGTCATTGAAAAACAACCTATAGTTGCAATAAAGTCTACCAATCTTTCACAATCTGCGTTGATGGTATTAGAAGGGGAACGCCAAAGGTTCTCTATCACACTTGAGAACCTTTCAAACGAGACACCCGTAGATTTACTTCTTTTCTCCTTTAAAGATTCAACTCAGGCGCCGTTGCAAACAGCCATGAGTAATCGCGAAGCATCACCAGCAGAGTTGTACGAATACGAATTAATTTTGGCACGGAAACAAGCACTTCGATACATTCCGAAGCCTGATGAGAAGCCATATATTGAACCTGGTGGAACAGCTACTTTTGAGATGGAAATATTGGGAAAGCCTGGTCTCACAAGTGCTACTATTATGGTTGACTATGCTCATCTAGGCGTCCCTCAATTAGAGGTAGAAAATGGGTTTCATACTCGTCAAGTAAGTCTACCGCTTACAATCACTGTAAATGCTAGCATAGAGCTAGCTCGAATGGATGTTATGCCATTTACCGGAAGCTTGCCCGTATCTTTGTGGTCCAAAATCGATGGCACTGTCGCAACGAAAGATTTTACACCTCAAGATCATTGTTTACTAATTCTTGATCTTCGAAATGCGTGGCCGAGCAGTATCCATGTCTCGATAGATATTGAGAAAGGGGAGAAAATCGAGGAGGAAGTATTCCCCGGTAATACTTCTCGCATAATGTTTCCTATTCCCAGGATATATCTAGAAAACCCAACAGCTTCCATCCCAGCTCTTGATCCCTTACGACAACGACAATTTGTTGTAAGTGCTGGTCGAATATCGGCAGATTCAGAACGAGCTACTCGAGAATCGTTCTGGTACCGTGAAGAAATTTTGAAGATTCTTCAAGGAACCTGGGAGACGCGCTCTGGTGTCCCTCGTAAAGGCAATATAGAATTACGCGGTCTCCGTCTAAGTCAACGTGTCATTGACGTTATCAGAATTGAGGATATTTCAATTGATATCTCAATCAATGATAAGCCAGGCCCTAAATACGACATCCATACCGATACATTCTCTTCAATCACAGTTCGAATTAGCAATCGATCTTCCAAACCCATTCATCCTCTTCTTCGTCTTCAACCATCCATTCGTAACCATTCACTCACTCAAACTCTCGATCTATCCAAGAAGTTCGTGTGGAATGGTGTGCTGCAACAACCTCTCCCACAAATCCCTGGCAATGAACAAATCGAAGTTAATATCGGCATGACACCACTTTGTAGAGGAGAATTCGAACTCAGTGCTTCGATTGAAGAAGTCAGATTAGTTGAACAGGTGAAAGAGGATGTGTCTATTAAAGAGGGTGCGAGAGTTAGAGCTGATACGAAGAATTTGATGGATACGATGTTGGGAGCTAAGGAGAGGAGGATTTGGCATTCGAGAGAACCTTGTTTGTTGGTTGTGACGGATGCGGATGATGATACTGATGGAGATGAAGATGTTGATAGAGATGGAGATGGAAATGTTGATAAAGCGGAAGATATAACACATGATTAGATATGATATGATATGATATAATATGATATGATTAGAATTGAAAGGTTCGGAATATATGATTTATGATTTTTCATATATTGTATTGTAACCTTAGAAGTTTAAGATCTTATGCTTATATCAATCAATCAATCAATATATAAATATCGATTTGCTATACTCGAGTATTAAAATGTTACATTATCACTTATCAATTTATAACAAAGATGTTGTCGGTTGTGGCGGGGTATAGGGAAGTGAAGCTTCAATATGACCTGAATGGTATTCGTATTGATTTGCTTAAAAAACTAAAACTATGAGAGTGGAGAGCCGTATAGAGATATGATCTCTCTAGTGTCAACGCTAGTGATTCATGCGATCAATATCTCAACAGATGTATTATATAAAAATGAGTTTAATATTATTTGATTGTTTATTTTTTTTTCAATAGATAGATATATATATTATATAAATTGAAATTTAAAATACAAAGACTGATATAATAAATACTTAAGATGAATAAATATTTAAACTTGATAGAAATTATTAAAAAAAAGAGATAAGAATAAGAATAAGAATAAAAGTATATATATAAATAAATAATAAGATTTATAATTTATAATTTATAATTTATTTTAATTTTAATTTTAGTTTTAGTTTTAGTTTTATATTTATATAAGTTTATTTTATAAAGATTTTTAAAAAAAAAAAGATTTAATTAATATAATATAATTTATTATTATATACTCGAATGTGTGATTATATTATAATTCTTATTCTTATTCTTGTTCTTACTCTCGTTCTTTTTAAATAATTATATTACTTACCAGGGGCCTGCGCCCCCCGGACCCCTGGCTTTTCGAGATAGTCTAATGAAAATTTAAGGTTTAAAAAGTTTATAATAAATTAAATATTAAATATATATCAGGGTGTAGACAGAATATCGGCTTGTTTTTAATAATTGAAAATTAAATTATTTTATTTAAAAATAATAATTATAATATGATTTAATATTATTATTTATAATAATAACAATATTTTATTATTATTATTATTATTATTATTATTATTATTATTATTATTATTATTATTATTATTATTATTATTATTATTATTATTATTATATTTTGAATTGAATAAGATGAATTGAATGATTTCAGAGTTGAATAAAATAAATTGAATGATTTCAATTGAGTTAAATTGAAAAAGGCTCTAAGTCAGATTTGTCTAAGGTTATAAGGCTTATGCCGATGTAACGATCTGGTCGAGGCAGCGGCTGCCTCAGGTTTTCGTATGGTTGGTAGTTGTAGGTTAAGGCTAATAATCACTGGTTATCCACTCGAAGGTGAATACGTTACTAGATCAATTGGAATGTAGGTAAACTAATTGATAACTAAGTTGAGCACGAAGCTCTTAAACTATGAAACTATTCTGACTATATACTAATGAATGTAAAGGAGCTCTAGGAGCTTTCGAAGCTCCCAGGGCTCCTTATCACGTGATTAGGATCAGACTATATGTCCGAGCTTGCTAAAGGTGGGGAGACCACATGAGGCGATTACCATACAAATTTGTATACGAATCGTCTTGCTTTTCGATAAGGCCTAAGCTCATATGGACACGTTGACTGCTGCCCCTCAACATATCCTTATCTTAATCGTAAATCGTGACAGCCGAGCTTTTTGTTAGTTTTTTTTACCGGGGTATTTTAAACCAATCAGATTGTCAGGATCGCGACTCATTTCTTGACCAATCATATCGCAACCTTAAGCGAACCTCATTTTCTACGATCTACACCGGGTAAACCTCGTGTACAGCAAGGTTATAGAGTCGGCAAGCCGACAATAATATAAGAAAGTTGAAATTATAGATCAGATACATAAAGGTTTTTAACTAATCACATGGCCTTCTATAATTAGATATAAAAGAAGAGCTTTTACTTCTCCTTTCTACAATAATCAACCTTCTATACATATACATTTAAACCTATATAACTTCAACCCCAAAACCATTGTGAACCCCGTTTTCTTCATAAGTGACGTATTACGATATGTTCTAATCAGCTTTCTCTTCCAGTTCCCCCTCACAACGTGCTATCGGGACACACATATCTCGACTTACTACTTTTACAATAATACAACAATATACTTACAAGTATCTAACTATAAACATGAAGTATCTAGTACTCCAACCCAGAGCTCTACAAAGTCTCTACATCCACAAACCTTTAATCACAACTCTCTAAATAGATTCATGCAGTGTAACACTCCCCTGACTTCTAAGACCTCCTCTCGTCGGTTCCTCCGGTTCTTTAAAGTTTCCCTCAACCACCTTCTTCATCTTCTTTATCATATTCTGATATTTTTCCGCCGGTACATAATCAACCGCAGGAACAAAATCAGCAAAACCAAATCGAAACTCCAACCTTCTCACATTCTTCAACTGTTTGAAAGGTTTGAACATGTTGGCATCCATGAATAATTCCGTAGCTCGAATATTAGCTTCAAGATCTGCTTTGTCTTGTTTAAGATCCATTTCCTCGACTGCCTCTTCATTATCTTCGTCAATAGATTCGGCATCTAGTCTTGTGTCGGCTGTAATTTCGACGAGTAGATTGACGGTGAGTTTATTGATAGCTTGAGATTTTGATATAAGCTTGACAAAGTCTTTGACGAAGGTCAGGCTTCCTAGATAGCTGCGGAGTTTGGCTACATCCTCAGAGTCTAGTTTCCAGGTGTCGACGTCGAGAAAGAACTGAATGCCTTCGGTATGTTCATCTTCCAACGCACAATCAAAGAGAACCTTTTGAAATTTGGCGAATATATGAGGCTCCATCCAACCACCCAAGCCTTGTTGATCGTATTGTATGGTGCCACCGGGTAATCTTTTCGCTGTCGATGTGAGGGGATTGTGTCTCCATGGAGTAAATCCATATATGCTTCCCCACCTCAGACTTTTATTTGATAAAAAGAATAGATCGTTAGAGTTGACGACAACCGTGCCTTCGGTGAATAATACTGAAGAGGCTTCTTCGTGTATTTGTTTGTTAACACGCAAAATTTCGGGGTACATGCGATATTCATCAAAGTCGGTGTGCGTGGAGCCCGTTTCCCACATTTCTTGTTCATTTGCTATTCTTCGAGCTATTCCTCCATCTTCTAAGTCCAAAATTTCAATAGGGTCGGCTGCAGGAGTTGTTTGACTGGCTTCATTAAGAATCGATTCTGCTTCGGGGTTTGAAGGATACTCTGGATCAACATCGATTGATTCATCATCTTCATCTGGTTGCGCCATTGACCACAATATAGATCCCAGTCCGTCCATACTACTAGATCCATCATATTCTATCTCCATATCTGAATTATCGCCATCGAATGAAATTGTATCTTCGTCGGTCCAATCATCTGATGTCCCCTCGTCATCTTGACGCCAATCACCTTTCGGGTGTCCTGGTTCGATGCTAATAAAACCTGAGGGGAGAAGTAGGTATCGATATATCTCTAGTCGAATTTCTATATTTTTATTAGTAGGTGCAGGAAGAATTGATAAGCTGGGATATTACCTTTCGGAATAGATAGAAGTTTGGATGGCATATCTGGTGTGGGAATCGCTGCAGGATGGCCTGCATAAGGATGAGGTTTCGGCAATAGAGCATTTTCCTTTTCCTTTTCCTTTTCGCTTTCACTTTCTTTTCTGAGCTCTTTAATAAGTTTGTCGAATTCATCTAATTGAGCTCTGGAAGCGTCGCCACTTGCCACAACCTTCATTAAATCTTTTAAATGACTATCCGTTTTCGCTTTATCCGCCATAGACTGAGCAGCATCGGGGCTGTAAAGGGACATTTTCGCGTATGAAAAGGGTGTGTTGTACAAACTTTGGATGTTGAAGATGGAAATTATTAAAGATTATTTTATGACCTCAATAAATTTCAAAATTCTAGACTATACTATGGCGGGGTTATCTGAAAACTAACCGAATATGGTAAAGCGTCAACTGAGCTAGCTATTTTAGATAACAAGCTAGAAATGACGGGGAAAGGGATAAGAAGACATTTGGAAACCATGATTCTGTGTACAGAGACACTGTATACATCCAAATATGCTACAAATATGCTACCACGCCGGTAGTTTTGTAACGAATTTCTTGTAAGATTTGCTGGTTAATGGGATTTAGATTTCTAGCATTTCCAGCACATCAGCTCACTAGAATACCGACCCCCAGACCATAGAACTACAAACATTAGGGTATGGAAACTCTCATCCTCCCCGTTGAATTCATAGACCCAACTCTGAGCTCTTATATGCTGTGATCCTGTATATATTCTTGTCATGTCTAACCTTTATAACACAACCACATATTTATCGGGACATAAAGGGAGATGAAAGAAGGTATATTCACATGGATATCCTCCCATCCCATTTCATCCTAATCTGTTTATTGCCTCTTGGCCTTCCAGGGTTTCCATTGAAATCAACCCTGCCTCTCCTTACTTCGAGAATAGGGCGGATGCGAGATCGAAAACTTTGAATGTTGATTTTGACGATACCTCCTGCAGTATGCCGTCGCATTTGTATGATCTACCAAGAAGACAAACCTGTTGAATGTTAGAGATATGTCCCTGAAATATGACATGCAATATGATCTTCGTCCATTCAACGCGACAAGGACTGAGAATATGATCATAAGAAAAAGTATTGAGTATAACCATGAACAGAATATAAACCATAAATCATCCGCGCCATGGCCTCAAAAAATCCCATCTATAATTACCATCAAGATAAAAAGAAACATCGAGTCAAGAACCTAACCTCAATCATCCTCATCATCCTCATCAGCCTCGGTCCAAACACCCCCCTCCACAACCGCAAACTCCTCCCCAGAATCCGCATGCACAATCCTCACCCTCGGACAATCCCAAAACGGATCCTCCCTCCTCATCTCCCTCAACTCCCTCACCATCCCCCTAAAATAATGTCCCCTCGATTGCCACGTCCCAGCATCCTCACCCAAACCCACCAATTCCACCTCTCTCAACCCCCTCATCTTCGCCAACATCCCCAAATTATAATGTCCAAAATACGCCGCATCCTCAACCTGTAAATGTAATCTTCTAATCCCCTTCAATTCTTCCCCAGATAGATACGCCATTACTCCATCAGCCAGTTGGATCGTGTCCCGCTCGAAGTTCACGTAGATGTAGCTTGGGGAGTGCTCGCTGCGGAAATGTGCTCGGTAGTAAGTGAGTGCTTCGGCGCGCGTTTCCTGGCTGCTGTGTAAGAGGGGTGGAATAGGTGTTGTCGTTGTGTAGGTTTCTAAGTACCGTTTTCGACTTATTTTCATGATGGGTCTTTTGCCGTTTATTTTGACGTTGCGCGGTTCATTGAGGAGGATGTGGTATATCTTAAGGCGGAGTTCATAGGGGAGAGAAGGGAAGTGGTGGAATTGAGTTGGGGGAGTTGTCGCCATGTGGAATTGGACTTGGGACAATTCGAATTTAGTGTCAATTAAGTTGTGGTTAAATTCCTCGCTGTCTATTATTGTTGTTATTCAATATTGATGCTTTATATATTAATAGGTTGGAGTATGTCTAAGAGCTCGTTGATACTCCCATGAGTGGACGTTGGCTTGTGGTCGTTGCCTGTAGCACGTTCGGCAAAATAACCACTTTGGAAGTAAGCTTGAGCTAGGTAGGTAAATATAAGCTCCTTGTCCTAATTAATCCTCATGAATATAAATCATTGTAAAATACAAATGACATTCGATGTAACCTCCATGAAAGCCTACATTCACAATTCAAGTTTCCCAGGCGGTAGTGATAGTGAGAGAAGGCCTAAGGTTAAAGTTACCGGGCTTTTTCCGCTACACTTTTACACTTTTGGGACTTCGGGTCCTGAAATGCCCATCATAGGCTCTAACCAACACACTAATAAATCTCATTCCCTCCCTCTAGAATTTCATTATCTTTCTTTATTTTACTCTTATTCATAAAATACATACCATTCTTTCACTTCTATCAAGCTACAGCTCAGAAATGATGTTTATGAAGTCATCATGACATCCATAGCCGAATGCTTGCTCAGGGCCAAGGATTTTCTGGGATCTCGCAAAGATCTTGGATCCTGGATCACGGCGTGCTGCATGCGGGGATTTTTGTCAAGAGCACAGGTTTCATGGGGGATTTCAATATGAAGGAGGCTGTCTTCCAGTATGATTCGAATGTTCTCGCCGGGTATGCATCTCATCCCGCCTGGGTTGTAAGCGTAGAACCACTATTAGGGTAGAAAGCGAGTGTGATAGATCAAAGAACATTGAAGTTAGAGTATACATGTGTAAGGAGCTTTGCTAAGTCGCAGAATGTCCTTGAGGTTCATCATTCAGTCATACAGTTTCAACAATCGACAACGATGTGTGGTAATGAGAAAGGCTTTCATATTTCAATCCAGTTTTTATATGTATCCTAATATCTATCTCGATTTGGAAGCCTGGTAAACATGAAACTTTATGATTACCATAGCAGGGTTTTTGTATCCGCAAAGATCGATATTCCCATGCAAGGCGTTTCGGATTTCGGTCTTGAGCTTCTTATTTATTATCAATGCAGGAAGTAATGACTTTTAAGTAGAGGAGCAAAATGACAGGAATCTTGCGCGGCTTGCACACAAGTGCATGCATAAATTTGGGAAAAATATCCACCAAAACCTTCATCTGGCTTTTGCGCAATACAGTCAAGTTATTATACTTGCTACCAAAAAGCGTAGGAATCGCGGTGCAGCTACGGGCCAATGCTGATATGAAATGACCTTTGGTCAGTGAAAGCGAAGGCAATGGGTACTTGTCTTGAAGAAGTAGGAAAATAGTCTAGGGAAGTCTCAATATGCGGATGAAGCAAGGTGACTGCCTATCTAAGGAAAGACGCAAGCACCGAAACCTAGTAATTTAGTGCATCTTCCGTGCAGACGAATCATAGGACGATAAAAGCCGTAGGACTCCGAGGTTCTCTTGAGAAGATAATAGTGTCTTCGCTGGATTGTGATGGGGTGTATAAGTTGCGTATCGTGCCAATCCTTAGACGCGGTCTCGTTTCTTCCATTTCCACTGCTGTATTTCCTCTAGCTGCTCCAGAATTGTTCACCGTTGCCAAGCTTTTCTAATCGCTGCTTCGTTTCTATGATGGCCTTGAACGAAACGGCGATGCGCTTCATCTGAATCTCCAGGTAAAGCTGAATTCATTACACTGTTGATACCACCAACATGTGAGGGCATAATGGGTTTGAAAACCAGCATAGTGATTTCCATGATACCGGCGGCAGTTCTACCGTGCCTGGAATTGACCTTTGCAGATAGAGGCTTGTGTCTCTCGGCTTTCCCTTGGCAAAGACACTATTAACTGACTCCATCTCACTTAGATCCTCGCGACAATGCCCCGTCCCGTGAAACTCGACATAATCTATGGACAATGGCTCGATGCCGGCACGTTTAATCAACTGGTTAAAGAGATGTGCAGGCGCCTAGTCGCCAGGTGTGTCATGAATACAGCCTAGCCGAATGGTTTGCGCCTGTCGCAAGAACGACAGCCAGAATAGTGTTGTTATCAACTTCAGTGTCTTCGACCCACCTGAGAATGTCAATATTGGGTTTGGGGAAAGGTGTTCGAGGCAGCTAACTGAAGGAGTATCTACTTGAGAAGTCGACGTAAAACTGGCTTGAGGTAAAAGTTTTGGTGGATATTGATGATAACGTGGAAATTATCGCACATTGCTTCAATTGTTCAATATAATCAAATAGCCAAATATGAAATATCTGGCACTTTTTCTTTCGAGCCCCAAGCTTGTTTCCAGACTTTCTGCATCCAAAACTTATGCAAAGAGGGCCAAAATTTGAGAATTAGCTGCGGCTTGAAGATTACGCATCTTATAAATACTCTCTCCAACTTTGGTAAATGCTGGAAAATATTCGGCCGGTCGTGCAACTTCAAATTAAAGATGGGCATATAACCAGGTTTCGACGCTACAAGCGTAATTTCCTTTACTGCGCTCAAGCAACCTGGATTCTTCTCCTCAAATCTCCTCATACTTTGTATATAGCTCTCACTATTCCAAAGATAGACGTTCAACTGAAACTGGTCGTAATTCGGTCTGAAACTCATTTCGTCAAAAGCACCTGGAGTGTGGTTGAATGCCTTATCAACGACCCAAAATCGAAGAGTTTCCTGCCGTGCTTCATGATTGATGTAGAAGGTTACAGCAGGCTTTAAAAGTTCGATTTGTGATGAGTCACGAGTTGAGTAGTGTTGATTGGAAGTAGATATCGTCCGGGGATGTGGGAACATGTGGCGGAAGATTTCGAGGCGAATCTCGATAGGAAAGCAGATAAAATAATGAAATGTAGTAGTAATTGGTTGGGCTCTGGCTTTTCTCTTTTGGTTTTTGATGCTGCTCTGTCTTTGGCGCGCATTTTTAGAGAGAGGGAGGGATTGTTCAACCCCTAACAATTTTGATTTTGATCTCGTAATGGGAGGAGTATAGGAAATAGAGCGGAGGGCTCCACTCTTACTCCCACTTTCAGACAGAAACGTGTCGTTATTGACAATCTGAGATGGGCGCATGACGGCGTGATGATTCTCAGGTTGGTCTGCAACTATGTTAGCACTGATGCGGTCGCCATCTTGAATGAGGTGATACACACTTGACATATCTGAGTGTAATGGTGCGGACAATATAATCTCACCTTGTGGTGGTTTGGGCTCGTGTTCGCTCGCCATGATGTATAAGTAGTGACGATGCAATATTGATCTACAAGTATGTTAACTCTGATGTTGACATCCTTCAAAGGAGGATTGGGGTGTCCAAAACTTCGGAATGCAATCAACAATAAAGAGCTTTGGGATTCTTGAAATCAGTTGGAACATTCAAATCATTTGACAAATTCAAATAATTTAGAATATTGAATCTAATTGAACATCCAAATATTAAAAGCTTATAGCTACTCTGCTAGTCTAGATCACCGAGTCCTCGAGGGAAATACATACTTGATATAATGAGGCTTTATGATGGATATCGGGCAATTTCTTAAGGTGGTAAGATGTACTGTACGGGAAATTGGAAGAGATTGTTTGGGTTAAAGAATTGAAAACCTTGAGACTTTCATACGATGTCTTCCTACATTAGCTTCTATGGTTCGAAGCTACCAACATCCGAAAACCCAGTTTTAGTCTGAGGAGTTTCCTCATCATGATTGGTACAAAGGAGAACGAAAGAATTACCCATAAACGAAAAAACACACCATCATTGTACTAGAAAATATCGATTGATCCAATTGATTGATTTTCCATGACTAGAAAACGGCGCTAACACCTCGTCCTCCTCAAAACACCCAATCAAGTTCATCACTAGATATCACTCAGAGGGTTCACCGGCCAACGTTTTTAAACTGTGCAGTAGTATAAGCTATTCAGCTTACTTAATGATCTTAAGCTTCCAAGGTTTGCAAGCTTGCCTTTCTCAGCGACTATTGAACCTCGATGTAATCGGGTTCGCACTCTTCGACGGTAGAATCGCATTGATCTTTGGCAGTTGAGACTTTATTATACCAATCAGGGCTTCGGTATGGTTAGCTTCACGTTTTCGACGTCTGGCTGATTATTCCTGGGGCATTTTTGGCAGTAAATGGTACTGCTTTGGTGTGATACGTCTCAAAATCTCTTCAATTCTTCTCTGCTGCTTTTGCTTATTTAGCAAAAACCTTGTGCCCCTCCCTCATGGTGAGATTTCCCTCCTTCTAGGTTGCGCTGATCTTCAGCACCACTTACCCGTTTCGCGGCAATTTTGGCTCCAGTGTGGCAAGACACACGTTACTACTTCTTTTTCACACTAGAGGAAGGCCTCCATGTTCAAAATGAGACATTCATTGCACAGCACGTCGTCGTAGGTTATTGTGGTGGCTCAAGCTGTTCTATCGCGATGATGAAAGGAATCATGGTTGTTACTCTCACCTAAGTTTTGCAGGTTTAGACGTTTATCTTCATTTCCGTCTCTTTCACTTTCCATTGCTGGCAGTTGTATCTTCTTCATTACTTCCAACTGAGCTAACAAGGCTTCTCTATTTGTCCTCTATTCATTTTCCGGTCATTTTTTCACAAGAAAGTTTAATTACTGACGGTGGCATTACGATCAAAATGGCAGCCAAATATCATCAAGTTCTTGGTGATGAAAGGTTTAACGATGTCTGTCCTGGTCGAGGATTTACAGACAGCTTTGAATCTTTTTTGTTTGTTTCCTAGTGTCACAATTAGAATTTTACACAGCCGTCCAAGACATAACCTACTTAGCTGTTGTTCTTTACTCCATAGGTTCTCCTTTACTGCAAGCTTCAATGCTCCCCTCACTTCATATTGTGACACAATTGAGCTTCGTCTTTAACTGTTTCACGGTTGTCTCTGAGTTTTCGCACGAAATTGTCAAGTTGTGCTTGAAGGGATGAAGATGGAGGATTTTTCAATGCTCTATAAAAAATGTCTGCCCATTAGTACACCTTTGGAGGCTGACACTGAACAATCATTTTGAGATACGCCGGGAAAATTTTTGAATAAACTTCGGATATTTGTCTTAATCAAAAACTGTTTGGTAATCATGTATTCTGCATCAGAATGTAAAAACAATGCCCACAAATGAGTTCTACTTACGCCACACGAAAGTACATCTCCGATATGAGCAAAGTGTCTATCATACAATCATGGAACTTGCGAAAACTTCTAACCAGTACGAGAAAAACACGGATACTCCCTCAATCGGGCAAGCAGCATTAGGAAACTGCTGGTGAAGTATCCGTCACCGCCGGTAAACTTTGAATGGATCTCGTCAAATGGTTGATAGCACTGAGAATGGCTCGTTTCCTCCTGTTTTATATGCACCCGCTGGATAGTAGTAGCCCTTGTAGAAGGGTCTTCCGCTGTAGTTTCTTTGAAAAGTGCCTGCTTGGCAGGACCAATCTCTTTCAGAAAGCTAACTCTGGCGATGAGCCATCGGTCATGAGGATCAGTTGACACTACCATAGATTTGTAAAGCTGGCTGTAAGATCAACATTATTGTATTACACTGGTAAGGAAGGAATGCTTTTACGTATGAATGGCGTATCGTTACTCTAGGCAGTGCAGTGCCGCCTCATTTTCCACGCCACGTATGGCGAAACTTAAAAGATAGTGATTACCAAGCTCGTGTTTTGGCCCAATGAATGCCCAAAAGCTCGTGGCACTTGAACTATGGTCCTTTAAATGAAAATGATCGAAGCGATCGAAAAGTCCCATCTTACTTCTTTGCACGTCTGAAAGCATTTGGGAGCTTCTGCTAATAGTTTTGTGAAGCCAAGGCACAAATCCAACAGAAGCAGCCAACTTGTTCCATCCAAATATTTAAATTTCTTTCCCAATCACTCCTAGGCGCATGGCGCTCTATCCAAACAAAGCGCATTCTCGGTAGACACAAATATACCTAGATTCGCAAACTTCCATTGATAGAGTCCGCAGTTCGAATACTCGCCAGAAGCTATTAGGAACAGCATGGGGTCACGGCTCCGGCGCCAGTGAACGTCTCATTGCAATTCCACAACTCAGCACAAACTTCTGTGTGAAAACTGGCACGAACGCGCCATTCAATTGACATCCTCAAAGTTCAAATGTTAGCATGCAAGCTGCGTGCTCCGCAATATGTTACTCGATCAATAAATGAAGGAGCGTGAGAACTCTGTCAAAAACTTATCGTCGGAGAAGTGGAAGTATAAAAAATAACCCGTTTTTGTCCCCTTCAAAAACCTTACTTGATTCAGGAGGATCCTGATTCCCATCTATGGCAATCTACATCCTCTCCCAAAGAAGCATCATTTAATGAGACGCACTCCGCTCTAGAAAGATCTTCACTGGCATGTTTTTATCTATTCGCAAATGAGCCTTTCAATAAGTAAAGGGTCGGACTTCCATCACAATGATAAATCTGTTATGCTCACAAATCTCAGATTCTTGCATGACAAGTCTCCCAGTCAATCTGTCACTATCCAAAATCCGTAAATATTCCAAACACGGAGAACACCGACCACAACGGCTGATAGCTGATTGCTGGCCTTTACCACCCTTCGATCGGAAATTCGGTTGGATCCACACACGGCGGACACCCCCATTTTCACAGCCTCGCTTGCAAAACAATTTCTTCATCAGGAACTGAAACTCTATCCCCAATTTCATCACGAAACTGAGGCACCTGCATGATGGCTCCATTTCGCCCTGGTCATAAACAAAGCTAGCCGTGCATACCAACATCAGCTCCACACCCGCGTGAAAAGTTTCAAACAACGTTTCTTGGTACCGAGAGCTGGCCCCATATCTTAATATTGTACCTGGACAAAGTCATAGAGCAGACCCATCTCGAGACTCAATTTGTGTGTGGGGTTACTAGTATGAGCAGAATGTGCAGGAGACTAAGACTGTTTGTAACGAGACATGCAAGAGGCATTCAATTAAGACTTAGCAACACATGCTTTCGCGTATCGAAGCCAAGATGGGGATATCAACAATTCATTTAGGCAAAATTGCAGGTGCAAATAAACGGACCATCAGCTCATCTGGCGGAATTAGCCAGGATCGACGTGACCGAGCATGAGAATTTGGGGATTTATTGATGAGGTGAACCAGAGGGACAATAACTCTATCGACCTATTTAGCAGGTGGATTGCATAAAAAGCTTCTCACGTCCACTGTTTGAAGTGGGGAATTGTGAATATGGGACCCCGTATCTTGGTCTCCCATGGATACAGCATCACAATCTGGGCCCCATTTAACCTTGGCTCTCTAAAACCAACGACGATCGTGTTATCACATTCCTACCCCCGGATGCGACGTGATGATCAGATAGAGGACAGCGACATTATACCGATGACCTGAGACTTGGCTGCTCCATGAGTAATCGTCACAACAATACGCAACACGAAGATAACTGCCGCAAAAGTTGTCCATGATGGTCGGTAGTTGTGTGATAACACAAATCTATGGTTGTCTCAGATGATACGGTACTTTTGGGATGCCGAGCCGCTTCGTATTTTGAGGAATGCGCCCTTGGTGACACTCAATGACTGTATCAATGTATCAATCCAAAGTCCGACGATAGAGTTTCGTCGTGGTTGAGAAATTTCAAAACCCCCATCTTCAGCCTGGTAAGCGCCAATTTGTGAGAACAATTATGATAGAGAGATTGCAGCAAGGGACGTAAGTATGGACATCCAGTCCCTATCCCATGATCGATGTTTTCATAAATTTGGGTTTCTCTTCCAATTTTTTGTCATACCCCAGATTGCGAGACCCCGTTTGATATAAAGTTTTGCTTTTCCCTTGGGCAGGGCGGAGAAAAAGCGGGAGTCTTGTAAATTGAGACATCTCAGCGGTGTTAAATCACTCAGTTCATACCAACCAAGAAGTTAGATGAACAGACAGGGTCGCCATTATCAATGATAACCTACGGGTGCCAAAAGCAAATGAAACCGATCAATACCGTGCGCTTAATGCACGGCACCTGTCATTAATGCACCACCGGCAATTGGAAACTAAAAGCAAAAGAAAGTCAACTTTAGTTTGATTGTCTGTTGTCTCTTGTATAATTTCGTGTTTCTTTCCTGTTTTACCAATTAGATGGTCAGATTATCCAAACTTGCCGACGGGTAACGAATCCCTCCCGCGACGTCAAGGAGGGCGGAGCACCGGAGCTGTCATTACCAAACGGACGGTTCCTGCCCATTGACCCGAATCTTACAGTTTCGTGTTTGTTTGGCCTTTCCAAGTTACACTAACATATAATATCTAACATCTTAAAACCCAGATTCAGCAAATATCCAAAGACAATTATATTTCCCGTGAGTCCATAGGTTATCCAACATTTTACAGTAATGCTCATGATACCAGTACTGCATTTCCGGCGAGACTTTTAGTACAGATAGGTAGGTACACTTTGAAGGCTGGCATGAAAAGACAAAAAATTTACTACACATCTAGGCACCTCGTAGAACGTATCAATCAATATTGCTAGGTAAGATCTTGGAGGAAGGATGTAGGCTGAAAGACCCTACCAAAAAGAGCAAAGAGCTCAAGCCTCCGATATATCATATTGCATGAATGTTATGTATAAAAGGCCCGGATACAGGTATTGGTGGTATCTAGGGCTGAAAATTACATCTTTCGTTGGCATCGTTGCCTCCACAAATTTGTATGTACGTATGTACGTCCTAGCATTCGCAGGAATGGCTTGGGATTCGGGGATTTTGTAAGTCTTACGAGTGTTTACTGTCTGGTGTGTGTGTTTACAAGGTAGTCAGGCAGAAGGTGGCAGGTACATACATACATACATATACGACGCATCCATTGCTCAGACTCAGAGTCAATCATTCATTCATTTTTATGCTTGTAAGATACTGCTGAGAGTATCCGGGCTTGATGGACAAGAGCAGGAAATGTAGTAGGATATAAATATTATTGGCTGTCTATTCCTTGAGAAGCTGAAATGGTGAAACTTACTCTGAGGCGTACATGCGTGTGTATGCAATGGGGAACTTGGTAAGCTATGCACATGATATGTATGTAGGTGCGTGACCACTGGCAGACCCTGTTCCCTTGTGGCGTATCAAGCGCATGTGTGGGAGGGCTGGAGGGGTAGATTGGGAAAGCAGTGGTGGTTTTGGTTTTTCTTGCAGATGGATACTCCGCATGTATTTATCTGATAACTAAGTTACTGCAGTTACATTACTGTATCTATATCTATATCTATCAAACAATCATCAAAAGCCCATGAGAGGGAGCTCAGAGCACCATTCCACTAGCCTGCGCCAAAATCAAGCAAGCTACAATCCTCCGAATCAGTTAAGCCACAGAACCGGGGTTCAACCGTAATCCGGGTGTTACATTATAGCAATACACCGTACATACTTGTAGTGAAAACGGCTGGTTTAGCTTGAGGAACATTAGGATCTCTACTACATATGGAAAGAATGAGAACATTTTGAGTTTTCACGATTCTTAATACGCAATACAGTTTTGCTAGTGATCCATGCTAGTGAGTGGCTTGTTTGTAAGTCAGGGCGTAGGTTACTCCGTAGGCGCGAGATTGAGACTTTGAGCAATAGTGTGCATTGATATCGATAAATAAACTTGGAAGCGAAAGGTATATCTACCGTATATATTGTTGTCCATGCTGGTGTGCCGATTAAAACTTATTCGTCTATTGTGCTGAAAAATCTTCAGACAAGAAGATCCTAGCTTTGCGGGGTGAATGACGAGCGCCGACGGGAAGTTTGGTGGTTTGACTGATGCAGTCGAATTCAAGGTATCATATATATTAGATGCAGAAAGCCGTAAGAATAGAATCATGTGACAGCTTGAGCATGATGATCGATATTAAAAGATGAGAAATCTAGGCAGTTGGGTTGGAGCTCGTGTTGATTCGTTTATGAATGAATCGACACGCCAACCATTAGTTTTAGTTTTCATATTGGTCAAGATCATTTCTAGTTGGCCAAGTGTTCAAATCCAATCCAGAAGATGGACGGAGAAATGCTTGAAGTTTTAGTTAGAAGACCTTGAATTGTCTTTTCTGCTTTGACATGCTTGTTAGTGAGCCCACAGACTCGCATGCCCGTGAATCCATCTACCACTGTCTAGCAGGCAGAGGGCACTGACAGAACCTCATAGGGCAGGAACTAATCAGCGATCCTGATGCAAAGAACGGTCGAATTTTCATAGTCATGAAAAACGCTGGATATAAGGTTAATAGTCGGGGGCTAAATAGTTCCAGCGGGGTTTACAATCACTAATGCATTGATGCACAGATGATGAATACCACCGAGGTAGTACGCTCAAAGTCTAGGTTAGATTGATGTTGACGAAAAACAAGGTGGTGAATCTAGCTATTTGGGTCGACTTCTTTGGATTAGTTTTGTAAGTCGCTTCTTCAGAGCACACGGCTAATATTTACATTGACATCATAAAGATCACAAGTGACTGATCGAGAACCCATAACAGGATTAGGAAGCACATAGATCCCGACGGCGTTCCTGTAGAGGAAGATCAACCATAAAGATTGAGTTAAGATCTTACCATGGCATAACCGGATCGATATGCTTCGTGGCGAAGTATACAACCCAGAATCTGATATGGATTATAGAGTTTAATTAATTGCATTGCGACTGATCTTTGTCCCGCGGTCCTGAAGAAGTTCATGCCATACATAACCTTACCAATGCCAATTCAAGGAACGCCAATCGAACAGAAATATCTCCACAAATGATCATCTATTAATATGTCTATGAGGAGCACTAAAATAACCAGAGACCATGCTTAGCACGCGAGGAACTCGTGGCCTTCGATGTAAACATGCCTGGCGTAACAAATTGAGCATCGTTAAAGGTGTGTGGTCCATTAGGACATGCTTGAAGAGGGTTACTTTTAGGCAAAAGATCGATGTGAAAGCATCATTGAAGTGGTTGCATAATGTTTCAAGGTGAGGTTTGCGAAAGGATTTCTTGTGTGATTGGCAGACTGCTCTAACTTGTCAGGTGCTTTCCTTTTCGGGACGATGAAATACTCAAAGGGTAGCATTGAAGCATATTTTCTGCGCGATGGTGGATTGAAAATTAGTATGATGATGTTTTTGCAGTCAAATCCTGATTCACCTGCTAATTAAAGTTCTTACATGTCAGGTTTTAATACCTAATGATCAACGTCTTATTATGGATGTTCTTTTTATATATATGAGAATACTACTGTGCGAGTCGCAATCATTCGTTACGACGGCGCAGCAATGTGAAGCTGACATCAGATAGAAATATGGGAGTGGTTCGGATAAAATCAAGCCACAATGTCTAACATCGATAGACTCCATGCGGAATAGATGAGATGATACGCGTGGAGTCGCTCGCAAAATGTATATTTCGAGCTTTGTACATGCGGCGTAAGTGAACGAAGATTGCCAGCACATCATTATACGTGCGAAGTACTCATATTCGTATCATCTTGATGTTGTAAGCATACTGTACAATTGTAAAAATACGGGGGTAGCCGACAAAAGTCATAACTGAGAACTTTTAGAACTTGAGAAGGATGGGACTTTTTAGCTGCCGACGTTACTTGCCGTAAGCATATCATATATTTGCGGGTGTACCTGTCTAAATACAGAACGGAGGTACCGCACAAGTATTCCAATCCTGTAAAATCCTCCTTGGAAGCTAGTAGATTGAGATCAGATAGATCGATTGTGTAACGTTCCATCCAAAACCAAACGATACAGTGGAATTCAAGTTATTTTCGGTCGAGGTCTGGGGTAACAAGACAGAATTCTGATAGGCATCAAAATTTGAAAGCTCTGACCATAATACGAAGCTTTCTAGAAGACATCTGAGCAGAATCTCTGCGGAAAACATCGTGAGTCTATTGGTTATGGCTTCTTTAGCAGATTGCCTAGGACTTTTGGTGTACGGCATATACGGCATATACGCCATGCATCCTTAGGCACAGATTATCAAAATATTTTTGTCCTTCCAAATTCCAAAAGTCCACCGAAATAAATGACATCTGTTCCTGATTTTTCTTTTAGTGGCGGCATTCCCGTAGCTTCGACGATCGAAAGTGGATATGGGGGATGAGACATTGATATAAACCGCGTGGGAAACATGATGTATAGAGGAAAGAATAGGAGTTGGGAGGACCCAAAAATTACAATTTTGTCCCTAATTAGATACTCTGGATTAGTTATGCATGTAGCAGAAGTCGATCTGTTTGTGATAGGGCAGATCGTTATATTAACTTATTCTATATGCCGTCTTGTGGGGATGAACTCTTTGGAGCATTTCCATATTGGGGGCTGTTAATAAGAATCTTACCACCGGACCACCGGTTTGAACATGGTCCTGATAAATATTACATTATTACAGATGATAGAATGAAAAAGTACAGAATAGTGCGTAATTATCAATCTATTTCCAATTTTCTGGAACATACTCTCAGCTGCTGGGAAAGCCAAGGACGTAAAAGCTTCCGTATCCGAATCATTTCTTTCACTGTTTAGGTATGGGAAGGAAGAAACTAACAGATTACTTTTTCTTCCTACTAGAACGAAGGGTTTGACAGGATGGGGGTCTTCCAACAATCATTTTCCTGTCAACATAAAACGCGAAGAAAAAGGGCGAGTGTCATATAACCATACTTTTCAGCCATCAAATGCCTGTAAGAAGAAATGGTCGGATTTCTTTCACTAGCTGCTTACAGGCAAGAGTTCTTGTATTGTGCACCCTGTAATCATTCTCAGAAGCATGCATGATGGAAAAGAACTCTAGCGAGCACTTTAGCATAACCAGGAACATCCAAGAGAAACAGGCGGATAACGGGCGCGGTTCAGGAATTATAGTGTCTAGACTATGATGCAAACTTTGATTGGTACGATGCTTTGAATGTGCAATTAAGAACTGCAGAAAGCTGAGATGGAATAGCATTTCTTTTATCGTCATGTATTACCAGAGACTGGGGGTTGGTGGGGCTTGAAGATTGAGGATAGGTCTATGAGGGGCCGAGTAAGATGGTGATTGTAATCAAGAGATTTATGTCCAATACTCTGTAGAACATAACTGTACACCTGCAAGTTTAACCTACTGCGTACTGCAAGAAGTTACCCACACGCGCAGATTGTCCTTTTCTGGTAACTTCGTCTTATAATATGATAATATAGGACTCTTTGGCCTACGGAGTAGATTAGACACGCAGCCATTGGTGTAGCCTAAAGCCGCGTTTCTGTTCTACTTTCCTATGTCTCGGCTTGTGTCAACGAAAGTAGAAATACAACTTGAAAAGTAAGAACCTATCCTGTCAAATTATCAGAGTGTCAAGATGTCTGTGGCGGGTTTCGGCACATTGAATATGAAGCTCAAAGATTTCTAATCTTCAAATTAATGGCGTGTTCTAATTAAATTCAACAACCGTCTAGCCCCTTCATTTTGGTGTGGGACTTATCGGCTGATAATAAGTACTAAGCTAACTATAGTAGAATCTCGCTATACCAGACCTGAGAATTCAATGATCGATTCCAATACAGTGTGGATTCTAGTATATCAAGAATCAAATCGTAAGATATTCACGGAATTTATACAACTAGTTTCAAGTTTAAGTTTTAAAATTTCAGTATTAGTAAATGAAAGTTTATTGATTAGTTTTATGATAGGTTTAGATAAGGATATATAAATATGTTTTTTGTAATTCTGATTTCCAACGTCGTTATCTCCGATGTGACGAGCTCCTACTATGCGGAAACTAGTTAAGTTACCTATTTTATGTTACTACTTGTCGAGTTAATCTCAAAGCTCTCTTTTCTAACTTTCTTGATTTAATGCAAACAGTCGTCGTTCAATTGGTAGATTCAAGTTTTTTCCGGAGACTGAAAAAGCTTGTTAAATATCCGAGGTCTTTCTATATGGAGAGCTATAAGCATATCATGATGAAAGTTATTACCTGAAGTCGTTACTGCCATGAATGATTTCTGTACCTCGCACTAATGGAAAGTAACAACCATGCATTTCCCACTACCAGCCCGTCCACTGCACCAATCCCATTGTGCCCCTGTCGAAGCCAACTCCGAAATCCTAGAAATCACTCGGTCCTGTAGCTATCCTGGACAGTGTTCGTCGTTTACGCACCCATACCCATGCATTCGAGCTGTTGGGGATGGGCAAATGGAGTCTTGGCTTATGTCTAATTTTTTCTTCTATACACAGTTATACTTACTACCTTTACTGCCTGGACATAGTGCTTCTATCACCTAATACTGTAAGTGGACGGCGCACTAGGCTTTTCGAGTCTCACGGTCTGTCGACTTTTTCTCTTTACTCATTACCTGCTGTCATTCAAACCTCCATTATATTCTCACTGGGCTCTCCGAATGAAGTCGACTACCCCATAGTACGCAATCCGCAAATTCATAATTCGCAGATTGGCAGTTCGCCCCTCCTTCTGGTAATTCGCAAGCTCCCAGACGCCTGGTCGAATTACTTAATTTTGCATTGAATACCCTATTGACCTGGCTACTCAGCTCGTCTCTTCATAACTGCAGCCCATTAACCAAACACGGGATCTAAAACTACATCGGATAGTGCCCATCCTACCTAGGATCCTCTTCAATTATTCTGACCTAAGCCGTGAACCATCAGCATACTGGAAGTGGAAAGCGTGCTCACAAAACTCCCACAGCGTCACACCTCTGGATTACTATTAACTCCTCCGATAGTCCTGTCCTTCGCCGGGCTCGCATTCCCATGCCCAAATTTAGAGTCCCTCGAGAAAAGATTGACATTCTTACAGCGCATATTCGCAGCATCGCCACCCCAACTCTTCCTTAGTCCGGACTTACAGGATTTGGTCGAATTTTAACTCTCACAAGCCAGCATTACATGTGCTGGAAGATTACACACTGTTCGTAAATCTCAATTCTACTGGACACTTATTAGCAGCGGAAAATATCAAAAATAAAGCGAGCGGATAAGGTTATAATTGAACAGAGCTTTGAAATAAGACCCTCTGGAACGGTGGTTCATGTCGAAAAGGTTCCTGGGACATCATACCCCTTCCACTTCCGACACTGGTAGGAATCCCACTAGCTTTAGCCGCAAAGAAGAGGAGCAAAAAGACCAGGTTTCAAGGTTGTATGAGCTTGGACTACTCAGCGACTCGGATAAGAGATCAAGGAGGCGAGAGAAAGACAAGGTCAAGGGTCCATTTGGTGGAGCTTGCGTTGCAGGATCCCGTTCCAAAAAGGGTACGCAGTAGCCAACCTCCAAATTGCCATAACTCCACCCCTCCGCTCATACTAATGCACGAAAATTACCTTCACATTGACTGACTTAATATTTGTTCTTCATCAGATAATCGTAAATTTTTAGAATTCTTTCCTGGGAACTCCAATACGTCGTCTTCCTCGGCCTCATTTCTAGCCAGCAAGGCAAATCGTGATCTCAAACAGCGAGCCGGTGGTGGAATGACAGGAATGTTGGACACGGATAGAACTCGCAACAGGAGGGAGAGGACGTTTGTTGGAAGTGAATGTTCTGTATGTGAAGAGCCATTGGAACACACACTCCGGGGAGAACGAATACTACAGTTTTCATGTGGCCATGTTTCACATGAGGCATGTTTTTACGAATACATCAAGGAGAGCGATGCTCAATATTGCCCAACTTGCAATGCGCCATTAGGTCTAGATACGAGTCGAGGAGGCAATGTTCTTGACATTGGTAAGACTTTCAAAAACGGTTCGTCTTCCCTGAATATAAAGCTGATTCCTGCTGTTCCTTCAGAGAAGCTAAGTAGTATTGTGCGATCAGTTTCGGCCAGCGATCAGTCCGCAAGATCCACCCCCACACCCTCGAATTGGGAAGCCCAAACCGTACGGCCGCCCAGCCGTGAATCTAATGCTCGAACTACAAGAACAAGAGCGAATAGCCAGGACACCTATCCTAGGGATAATAGCAGAGATAATGGTAGCAACAGAGATAGTAGGGAAAGTAGAGAGCGTATGGAACGATATCCGCCACCGTCAAGAACCTCACATCAAAGAAATGATAGCGGAAATGCTCCATCATCTGTTGGTTATCCAGAGACCGCGATCAGTGGTCCACCCCGCCGCCATGACTATGACGTGCAAGCAATGGAGTCAAACATTATGAGTCCTCGAGCGAGTGTCACAAGAAATCCCATACCGGCTCCAGTCGTTACCATCCGTTCAGAGTTTCCAACCCTAAATAGGTCGAGACAGCAGCAAACTTTGACTTGTCTTATCACAATCGAAGTACCTGACAATAAGTGGCGACCCGATCCAGATGATATTCGAAGCGCTCCCCCACTACCCAACATCCGCCCCGAAGATACCTACGCCAGGCCCCCCTCTCCCGCCCAAAGTGCACCACGGTTCTATCCTTACGAATCTCCGGAGGTCTTGGACGAAATAACAGAGGGATTGCGAAGCCGTGTTGAGAATTGGCACGGTCTTGATTTCAACAGGTATATTCACAATCTTTACATTCAAAATCCACGAAACACTAATGAGAAGCAGATTCGGAAAATTGCGACTTTACGGAACTATTCGAGTTGGGAAAGACAAGCAATCTTGGCAGGAACTGGAATGTTTCTTGTTTGCGGAAATGCTTATTTGCGTGAAAGAAAAGAAAGTTTCATCGTCACAACCTTGGGATGAGTCTAATGGGGTTCGAAAAAGCACTCGATGCACCCTCAAAGGTTCAATATTAATCAAGAAGCATTTGAATGAAGTGACCGAATCTGGATCTGGTAATTCTCTTGGACAAACAGAAAAGATCACCGCAACTAACTTACGGCCCAATGAAGATAATAATATATTGACCTTGAGCCTTTCCGTGGCGGAGCTCCCATCCTTCCATCTCAAATTCGACAACCGCAATCAACTAAAGTTATGGCAACAAGCCTTATTAGACCTGAACGCAATTGAAGGATCCCCGGCACGAAGTCCAGATTACGATTTCTCCGAACCTGAGGAAGAAGAGTGGAATCGCGATTCCACAGGGCCACAGCGAGTATCGATCAATTCGTCGGGTTATGGAGGTCGATCTGCCACCACTGTGCCGACAGACTACACTGTTGCTCCCAGAGGCCTACGACTACCTGCCCCAATCCACGTTCCAATCGATATTGTTGTTGTAATCCCAATCTCATCTTCAATGCAAGGTGTCAAGATTAGTCTTGTAAGAGATGCACTCAAATTTATGGTTTCTAACCTTGGAGATCGTGATCGCATGGGTTTGGTAACCTTTGGTTCTAGTGGTGGTGCGGCACCACTTGTAGGAATGACTAGTAAGACTTGGAATGGATGGCAACAAATCCTGGCTTCTATTAGACCGGTTGGCCAAAAGAGTCATCGAGTAGATGTTGTCGAGGGTGCGAATGTTGCAATGGATCTTCTCATGCAACGAAGGTCAAATAACCCAATCGCTACAATTCTTCTGATCAGCGACTCCTCTACATCTGATGCAGAGAGCGTAGATTTTGTGGTATCAAGAGCTGAGGCAGCAAAGTAAGTTTTTAAATTTTTTAACCTGGGAAATTACAACTAATCATATTCTCCCTAGAATTGCTGTTCACTCCTTCGGATTAGGCATGACCCATAAACCAGACACGATGATAGAATTGTCAACGCGAACCAAGGCTTCTTACACATACGTCAAAGACTGGATGATGTTGCGAGAATGTCTTGCAGGTTGTCTTGGATCCCTTCAAACAATGTCACATCAAAATGTGAAATTAAAACTTCGACTTCCCGAAGGATCGCCAGCTAAATTTGTCAAGATTAGCGGAGCTTTACAGATCACTAAACGTGCAACAGGTAAAGACGCCGAGGCTTCTTTGGGAGACCTCAGATTTGGTGATAAGAGGGATATTCTAGTACAGCTGGTTATTGCTCCAGATAATGCTTCTCAGGAACAACTAGCGCAAGACCCATGGGACTCTATAGTTTCTGGTCTTGAGGCACTTGGGGGCCCACTTGATCAAGAAGACCAACGAGTTGTATCAGTAGAGGAGGTTCCTTTGATTCAAGCAGATTTAACCTGGGGCGATATCCTCCGAGATGGAACACTTACTCATTTGCCCCGCCCTTGTCTGTTAGCAATAACTATGCTTCCTGCTTCGACAAATCAAAAGAAGCATACTACCTGGAATAGCGCTCCACCCATTCCACCCCATCCAAGCGTCGTCCAACGCCGTATGGAACTTCTTACATCCGATATGCTTACACGAGCTCTCACCTTGGTTTCTCGTGGTCAACATGACCGTGCACAGCATCTTTTGAGCGAGACACGTTCTATCTTGAAAGGTTTAGGAAAAGGCGGTCTACCTCCAATTCCACCACCACCTTCGAAATCACCAAACAACCTCTCATCCCGCACTGGTTCTTCGTCTCCCACAAGCCGCACTCCTGAGCGACGCCGCACTCCTTCACCAACATCTGCTACTACGATTAGCTCAAACCACACCCTTGGTCCTATCCCTCGACACCAGTCAAACGACGCACTTTTGGCAGTCGCTACAGCACCTGGTATTGATCCAAACACTGTTTCAGCTCTCGATGCTGAGTTGGAAGCAAGTTTAGAATGGATCAATCATCCCGCTGTATTTGGCAGGGACAACAGGAAAGCAGTCCTTCAGGCTATTGGTGTTATCAGCAGTCAGCGAGGATATACCTTCCGAACGCCAGTAGAAAGCCTATGGGCAGGTCGAGTCAGCGGTATCAAGAGAATGACCGAGAGAAGTCGGGAATGGAGAGAAGAAGGAGGTGGTGAGGTTGGGATCACAGAAGAGAGCTAACTATTTTTGCGCTTCACCTTCACAACCTCTATACCTTTTATCGAGACGATACTTCACAGCCGATTCATGACTGTATTTTTCGCCATCTCTCTGCCTTATAGATGGGCATTTCATTTTCAATTGTACAATATTTTCAGCGCAGGAGCAGCGCATTTTAGCACGGTGGAATGGTTTCTGGATAATACACACATACCCCTTTTGTTGTCAATGGATATTGTTTTATTTTTATTTTCATTTATTCGCTATTCAAACCCCTATGATTAGCACCCCAGTCGAAATTTTTCACTTAGGGAGGATTTTGTGGTGTTAGGATATGGATGGGGAAATTTTTGGACAGAGGGATTGATCTAGGATCTAGGATCTAGGATTAAAAAGATTATCTTTTATGATGTGACCATGATGGCGGATAGTTGGTTATTTGGCTTGTTCACCGTTATTTACTGTTGTTTATTGTATGGATGACTAGGCTTGAGGTGTCTAGAGCTGTGGAGATTTATCTAAGCAGTGTGTAACGAGTTGGAAGAAGATATATTATGAAGATGAAGAAATGGAGATATACTTTTTTTTGGCCCGTTTTATTTTTTCCATTTTTATTTTTTGGACTATTTTTGATCTTGAACGAGCTAGTAGTGATTTATTCCTTGTGAGTAAGTGAGTGAGTGAGTGAACGAATATTCGAACGATCATCCTTCTGGAATCTGGTAAGATTATATTCTACCCGTTTAGACGAGCCGTGCCGTGTCAACTTTCAAGTGTTCTAGATTAGATTAAGGTTTGGGTTAACGGCTCGGCTATGGTTAGTGAAATGGACCTGAACCTGGACCTGGATATGTGGAAATTGGTTTAGTTACTAGTAAGTCTGTCTGCTGGTTTGTTAGTTTAGTGTTATTGGTTGTGGATTTAGGGTTAAGTTTAAGGGATGAAAGTTGAGAATTGGGGGTTGAGAGTTGAGAGTTGAGAGTTGAGAGTTGAGAGTTGAGAACTGAGAACTGAAGGTACTAGAAAGGGATTAGGGGATTAAGGAAAGAAGGGGGAAGGGGGAAGGGGGAAGGGTTTGAATGGGAAATTTGTGGCTTGATGTTGTATTTGTATGTATGTTATGTATTCTAAGGGTGGTAAATTGATCCTGTTTTGTTGATATTAAGTAGTGATTCATCTATGGTATATTGGGGGGGGGTGATATATGTATAAGCTTGGGTGGATTGGTGAAGGTGGGTTGTTGAGGGTGGTGGAATGGATTGGATTGGAATGGATTGGAATGTATGAAGGATTTGGAGGGATTTGGGGATTTGGGGGTTGATTATATAGTATTGTTGATGTAGTGTGAAGGAGGTGTGATAGAGTGGAGTGGGATGGGATGGAAAGGAGGGTCCTAAATTCGGAAGTTGGGGTGGTTTTGTGGAAGGGATTGGAGGGGATTGGAGTGGAGTGTGTCGTTTGTGGAGTAGAGTGTAGATATCGGTGGGTTATAAGGCCTGTTATGGGTTCGATGCGGTGTGGGGTTTCTGGGGATACTGGTAATGGTTACTTGTGACTGGTAACTGGTGGAAAATGCAGTGGGTTGGGTGGATAAGTGGATGAATTGATATATGGTATTTAGATCGTAGGGCTAGGTTTGGGGATCGTTCCTGGGGGTGGCTTATATTATGTCATTCCGTAACGCGAGGTGCAGAGAACAAAGCAAAGGACGAAGAAAACGTAAAGTGAAGAACGTATAGGACGTGAAATATACAAGACAGATACATGAAATTCAATACTCCTCGATTCCAGATCATGAACAGCGAACTCAATCCATTACTCCTAAAGGCATATTGGCTGCCGTCAATAGACTTCTATTTCATCCGTGGAACGAATACTCGAGTACTCTAAGAATCCAACAGAGTGTATTTCGTAGACATTATTAAAGTCATATTTCCTCACTCTTGCTTGCATCGTATATATCCTTGAGAGCCTTTTGCTCCTTATTTGCAAATCCGTGGATTACAACAGCAAGATTGATTGCATTAAAAGGCGTGTAAGTTTTGGGCTGTGTATACTCTTTCTTGTGAGTAAGAGGATTTGCGGCCTACGAAGAACAATTTCAATGATAATCAGACAGCTAGCATAGCATACTTTGACCGTAATATTTCCCATGATTTTTGGCTCTAGTTCTGTGGTCAAATACTACTGAGCAATGACCTTAGGAATGCTATGTTAACAGATAGCCGAGAAACGGCTTCAGCAGTTATACTTCGAGCGTGGATGGCAACCATCAAATAGACCATTGATTTGCTTCTGCTATTCACTGTAAAGAAGAAATCGAATTACATTTCTCTCTCTTATATGATAGGAAAATAATGAATGAAAGAAAGTGGTATGGATAGGTAAGATTCGGTCAAAGCCCCTTCATCAATGCTCCGATATCTTTTCTCCGTTAATGACAAATTGTTGGCAGATAAAAAGACTATGAATGAATGCTTATGTGATTTTTAAAGAAAAATGGCCAGAGAAAACAAGCCCGACCTCATGGAGTCAAATACCAAATACGGTATAATTTAGTAGATTCGGCTTGGCCGGAAACGTCAATTTAGTGGAGGTTGTTTGCATTATCCCAATCAGACACAGGCATTTACAGGCTTGAAAGCACCAAAATTACCAAACTTCAGGCTTTTCCGGAATAGCCTATTCATTTCAAGTTAGATGTGCAACAAAAGCACGTGAAAAGTCCAAGATGATGGAAGGTTACCGGTAAATCATGTTTTCCGAAGTTTAGACATCCTTTGGCTTAGTTCAAGGTGACAAGTTCGATTTCGTTGTCAAGTCAAGAATGCAACAAGGATTATTCGATCTGTAAAACCTTAATTCTATCTTAATAATCTAATTTAGGCATTCAGCGAAAATGCTCAAGGCTCACTTGGAGGAGATTCCGGGAGTTCTTGTTATGATACCATTTCTTCCCAATTCGACACGACTCTGCTTGTCATCTGTGTTCACATACCCGCTGTCGGAGCTTTACAATGTCGACATCCTCCGAGCATGAGGAACCAGCCTCGTTTGGCAACGATATAGCCGCGCCGCAAACGAATAGGATCGATGCTGCGCCGGGAGGAGTTAAAGAGAAAGGTGTCGAGAAAACAATATCATGTGTATCTTGCAGACGTAGGAAATTGAAATGCGATCGGGTAAAGCCTAAATGTGGAACATGTGGAAGATTGAGACACGAGTGCGAATATCCCGAGAGGAGGAGGAATATAGGAACAAAGAGGAGAAATATGAAGGAGTTGGAAGCTAGATTGGCACAAGTGGAAACCCAACTCGTTGCGGAAACACAACAAATGGCTGCCAACAAGACAGTTGAGACGAACGTAAGCGCGAACACGAATGTGGACCCAGATTGGAGTGCTATGAATATGGATATGGATCTAAATTTTACCGATGCGAGGTTACAAGATTTAGGATTTGATCTTATGAATGGGAATATGGGGGCTGGATCATCGGTGCCGGTTGGCAATTTCTTCTCCCAAGAAATCTTAAGTCTAGGGCTCCAAGAACCTCTGCCCCCCGAGAGTGTGATGGATGACTTGTATGTTTGGATCCTTAGTGAAGGGAATATACATGTACTGATAGAGCAGATACCGAATATACTTCGAGAGATTTCATCCCACTTTACCTATGATGCATAAAGGCCGATTTTACGCCCTTTTGAATATGCCAGCGAACCATAAGCCACCAATTGCCTTGCGATATGCTATGATGATGGTAGGAGCATGTACGGATCAATGTTACCCCTTTTTACAGCATGTAAGCTAAAAAAAAAATCAGCATTGTCGGACAACTATCAGAATTATGCCGAAATATTCTACGAGAGGGCTAGGAGATACGCTGAGATTGCAGAGGTGCAGGTTCGTCATCCAGCGATCGATACTGGTTTCTCTATTTTGATGAAAATTAGGGCCACGGAGGAGCTTTCGTATGCGTACAGTCCGTTCAAACATGGGCCATCATTAGTAGCTACGAGGCTACAAGCGCTTATTTCAGTCGAGCATGGATGAGTACTGGAAGATGGTAAGTTTTCACACTGGAAATCAAAATTTTATACTTACAACATAGTGCGCGATTATGTTTTATGCTTTCGTTGCAAAGAATTGATGCAGAGGCAGGATTTGTAGGGAAAAAAACACTACCTCCGGCCAAAGACTGGATCGAACTGGAGGAGCGACGGAGATCATTCTGGGCAGCTTATTTTGGTGATAGATGGGCTAGCTGTGCTACCGGATGGCCAGTGATGTTTGATGAACAAAAGGTATGAATGGAACTATTCAATGAGGCATAAGACTAACATGTATAGATTCAAACCAATATGCCTTGTTCTGATGATGCGTTCGATCTAGGAATGGAGGAGAAGACATGCTCATTAGCTGAGGCATTGACTCCGGAGGGTGCTTCTACGATATCCACGTTTGCTGGAGTGGTGCTATCGGCATGCTTATTTGGTCAAAACATCGAACACATGTCCAAGAGTGGTCCCGAGGATGGCGCCAATGATATAGCCAACGGTGAATTTTGGAAAAGACATCGAAAACTGGATAATGTCTTGTCTAGTACATTCATGTTTTTACCTGATTCCCTCAGACTGCCTGCCGGACTGAGGGATCCTAACATAGTCTTTTTCCATATGAACATTCATTGTTCAACGATGTAAGTGTAATATGGAATGATGTTTCTTTTTGCTGACATTATATTAGTTGCCTACATCAAGGAGCAGTCTTGACCGCAGAACGTGAAAATATCAGCCAGGCGTTAATACAGCAAAGCGAGGCGAGAAATTTGATGGCGGCGGAAGAAGTCGCCAACCTAATGCGCCTCATCAGCCATATTGATCCATGCAAGGTACGTTTCCACCTTGGATAAATTTACCATGTAGAAATTTTTAACATCATAATAGATGACCTCGTGGGTAGGGCATTGCCTCTATGTCGCTTCAGGGGTATTCCTCCAAGATTCAAGGAAAGACAAACCTAGCCCGCAAAGCTCCAGCAATTTAGAATTCATGATGTCGGCTTTGAAGGCTGTTGGGAAAAAACACCTTATTGCAAGACATTTTGCTGTTCAGCTCGAACTGGAGATCAAAACACGGAGAACAGACCGCGTGAACAATGCAAGCACCTTTTCTAATTCATGTAAGTCTGGATCATTGATAGAAGACGATGGGGATCTTTGCCTTTTCCCTCGCAGCTACAATCGAAAAGCGCCAAAGAACGACTCTTCTCGAAGCTCGATTGATATCGGTCAATCAAGAATTATATCCAGCAACACGCCTCCTCAAACAACACAACAACCACAACTAGAAGCCATCTCACAAGTAACATCTGCTGGTTATGCCGCAACAAACTTTCCCCAACAACTACATCAACAGCCAGATTCGGGAGGCGAAACCATTGACACCGATTTCAGTTGGCCCCTAGCTGGAAACACACCTTCATCAGATTCTTCAACTTCGAATGCGACATATCCTTACCGAAATTCAAAATCTACGAATCTAACCGACTCGAGTGAGAATTGGATTTTTGATTCCGGCGCAACAAGGTTTCCCCTGGATGCTTTGTCGTTAAATATATCGAGTAGGGAGAGAGATATGGAGAATAGTTTGCCGGATAATGAAATATTGAATAGTTTGATAAATAGTACAAACGTAAGTTTATTCTACTCCGAGTCGTCCTTTCCATCATTTACCCCGGAATTCGTCCTGCAATTAGACGCTTGCTAATAATTTGCTGGGTTAGTGGGATTCTACTTTTCAAGTTTCTCGAGATTTAAGACATTCTGGTGGTTAGATTTTGTATAATTAATAAATATCGAGTTTTTTAAATTCATAATGAGAGTTTTAATTATAATATCCCTTGGACTTTTTTTATCTTATTTTATATATTAATATAATAAGTTTATATAAAAGTAATTATTATATATATTTAGATTTTGATAATATAATTAAAAGACTTTATATAATATAAGAGTTATATATAACAAAGAATTAATTTAAATAATAATATTTCATTTGAATAATAATATTTCATTTTTGAATCTAATCAATAAATGAAAATTGTTCTTTTTGATATAAAAAGATAATTTAAATTAAAGATGATCTATAGAAAAGATATTAGATTTATTGAATTGAATATTGATATTTATTTAGAAATCCTTTTTATTGTATTTAATTATTGATAAAAAGTTTATTAGATAATCGTTCTAAATGATATTACAGGTTTCAAAAATTTAAATTGGTGGTGTATTTACTGTTCTTCGAGTGTCTATCTACTCTCGTTGCTGGTATATATTCTAATCAGTATGCAAACTCAACAACCTAATTCTTGGTATCCATCCATCCCCCCCCTCCTCCACCCCTCAATCCCATCTCTCCTCCTCCTACAATCCCAAAACCTCCTTCAAACCCTCTCATCTTCATTTTCACAAACCTTAATAACCCTCGTCTTTCCTCCTAGATTCTCCTTCAAAACCCCATTAATTAACATCCTCTTCCCAATAATCACCTCTCCCTCAACCTTCCCACCCTCCCCTCCCACTAATCCTCCCATCCCTCCCCTCAAAACCCCACCACCAAAACATTCCCCACCTGAAAATTCCCCTCACTCACATCCCTACTCACATAAAAATTCACCATCTCAAAATCCACATCCAAAAATTCATGCTCACTAAACGCATAAAAGGAATTCCATTCCTGTTCTGCATTATTCCGATATTGATATATCCAAAGGGGTTTTGACTGGTCGATTTGTTGCGGGATACTTTCGTATATTAGACGGATTTCCTGCGTGCCGAGATTATGCACTGAGTGGCCTGAGATCAGGGGGAGGGGTTTGGTGGCTCCGTCGCCGCCGAACGCGATGTCTACCATGTATTTTTGGTGGTTGCATTGGGGGAGAGTCACGATGTTTACTATGTGGAACCTGGGGGTGGTTAACGTTGTACTCTGTAATTAGCTAGTTTGATTTGATGGGAGGGGGAAGGGGTTGTGGTAAGCGAGAGGGGCTGAGAAAGTTGTCTTAACCTTACCAGCCTGTGTAATCACCGCGGGGTACACCATCTTCTGTAGATCTTCGACGTATTCTAACGCCAGCGGTATAGACTTGAAATCCCAGCGCCCGTAATATATGATTGAAGAATGTGCTGCCTTCTAAACAATATCCTCCTCTTCCTCGAGCATTAGTTATGATTTTAGTGAAGAGTTTTTGAGGATCGAGAGATACGGAATGATCGGGTGAATAGTGTAAGAGTAGATTTTCGTATGGGATACTGGAGATTTGATGCATGTGTAGACATGTTAAATATTCGAGAGTTAGTGCGGGATTGTTTTTCACGCGGTATTGGGTGGGGAGTGATATGTATTCTTCGTAGATGTCGATTTGTGAGGGGGAATAGGCGGAGGCCATTTTTGAGTGGTGAGGATTTGTTCGGACAGGACAGTACTCCGTATCAAGATTGGAATTGGAATCTGTTACAAGTATGTATCTACTCTGTTAGTTGTGTACACTGTATATATACATTGAACCTCACCGAATGAGTCAAGATATTCTGTTCACATCTATTGGATTGGATTATCTATTCATTTGATTTATTATCATTTTCATATGATTGGCACAAATTAATATGATGAACATGCAGTGAAATCGATTCGATAAGTGGCACCTAAAAGACGTGCTTATCACCAGCCACAGGTGGCGTGAGAGCGATGGAGAAGATTAGTTCTCATCATGAAGCAAATGATGTTGTGCACGATTACTTAACCTTAACTTTCACATCACCCTGGTCAACTTCATCAACGAGAGGGACTTTCAAGATACACACCGTCGCTGTAAATGCAGCTATTCTAGCATGTCTCGTCTCGTTATCATGATTTATGATAAAGGAAGCCTGCAAGGAAGGATGAGGATGAACTAATGTTATCAATCAAGTACCTGGCAAAGTGTTCATACTGTACCTGCCTAGAGACTTGAATCGAATTACCCGGTGTCATAAACCGTCTCTTGTCCAATCCAAGCTGACTGAAAGTTTCATCGAAGCACTCGAACGAAGAATCCTATATAAAGCGTTATATTTGTTCTACATGTTCTGGGGAAATTCGGCTGACGATATTCTGCGGTATGATAACGATTTTGTTTGAGATGCTGTGTTAAAAGCATCTAGCTTGAGATACTGATCCGTCGGACGGCCACCTCAAAGATTACTTCTTATCCCTAGCACCGAGAAGCATTGACTTTATTTTCACCCAGTCGGAAGTCATCACATCCACCAACATAACACGATTCACGATTCTCCTGATATCATTACGCGTACTCATGACATATACATCCGAGTGAAAGAACAATAGAACCACAATGATGCCATGTACGATATTCGTAACACATCGTATATCGATTCCACCAACAAACCAAATCTCTCTTTAAAGACTTTTCCCCAACTTTGCAAAACATCATCTTCATGATTGAGTATGATCGCGGTCAAAAGTAAACCTTTCTCAAAGTAGTAATACTCACGAAAGCTGTGGGGGGATGCGGTGACCCCACTAATAATCGTACAGTAGTAACAGGAGCTATGTATGTAGCAAGATCCTTAGTATCCGAACGTTTTCCCATCCTATCGGAACTAAGGAAGGAATGATTAATTGAATGGGCATTTCCCACATCCGTCCCTGAATACTTATCATTGATGTATGTGTTAACTTTATATCTCTACATCTCATTGTTTGCATATTTTGTTGAATTACACATCATCACACACCACGCTCATACAATCATTCATTCTCAAGATTGAATATGCATTCTCCAGAATATCTTCTTGGACTGGCGAAAATTAACCCAGAATTAGACGAGGTAATACCTATTGTTATATACCGACCTCGTACTCCGTTTATATATATCTGTGCATTAACATCTAACTAACACCAACAAACAGATTCTAAAGAAAACACCAGTAAACCGTAGATTTGACGGCTCAACCAATTTCTCCGAACTTCGAAACCGTCTCAAAGCCGCGAAAAAAGATCAAGTAGCAGCCACCACAGCCTTATTAAAGGAAATATCATTCATAGAAGAAGATCGACAAATCCCCGTTCGAGATGGTTCTTCCATCGATATTCGTATTCATAGACCGAAAACTCCTCCCAGTGGAGGTAGTCCTGTCTTTGTCATTTATCATGGTGGTGGATTTTGTTTAGGTGGTTTGGATAATGAATCGCTTCTCTGTAGACAGTGGACCGATTTGGGTGGTGTGGCGGTAAATGTCGATTATAGACTTGCGCCTGAACATCCCTTTCCTACTGGTGTAAATGATGCGTTTGATGCGTTGAAATGGGTAAGTTTTCTTATTCTTCTCCTCATATGATCGTCGGAATGCATAGCTAATGTAGGCAATACATAAATAGACGGCGTCGAATCTAGATGAGCTTCATATCAATCCAAGCAAAGGTTTCCTAGTTGGAGGTATTTCAGCAGGTGCTAATTTCGCTTCTATCGTCTCGCATTTATATCGAGATGAAAATCTCTCTCCACCTTTGACAGGTGTATACCTCTCTATTCCTCCCATCATTTCCCAAAACATCGTACCGGAAAAATACAAACCTGTATATCTAAGTCAAGAACAAAACAAAAACGCCCCACTACTAAACCGCGAAGTCGCAGACGTATTCGACAGTAAGTCACTCCCCCTCTCTAAAATAAAATCACCATCCCTAACAAAAAAAAACAAGAACACTACGCAGTAAAAGAACCCTCATCCCTAGCAACCCCAATCCTCTTCCCCTCGCATAAAAATCTCCCAAAGACCTATTTCCAAATTTGTGGTTTGGATCCGCTTCGTGATGAAGGTTTTATTTATGAAGATATTCTGAAGGAGAATGGGGTACAAACGTTGGTGCATGTTTATGAGGGATTACCGCATGGCTTTTGGACGTGGTTTCATGAGGCGGAGTTTACGAGGGCGTTTAATGAGGATTGTAAGAAAGGTTTGATATGGTTGTTGGAGACGGTGGAGTGATGTTTTGGTTGTGGATAGTGGAGATTGTATTTGGTTGGGAATAGTAGAAATGGTATTATGTGTATTGAGTATTCGGTATGGGTTTCTTGTCTTATGTGTATGTTTTGAATGCATTGAATGTACTGGACCGCCTCATTTATACATCGACAAATTAAGATTACTTTAATACTATCTAGGTAGGTCGGTATGAAAAGTGAAATAAATCACTCACCCTTATATTCGGATATGGAATAGATATACTGATATATATATATATACTAGATCCAAACTACTACTACTTCAAATGCACATATAGTATTTTTTAAATCTAAATGTATATCCAGATACAGACAGATACAGATCTAGATCTAGATATAGATAAGATAAGATAAGATAAGATAAGATCCAGACCAAAAGCCCTCCTTATCAAAACACCAATTCAAACTTACGCACTCCACTAAAAGCCTCCCAATAAGAAACAAAAATCTACAATCTCTACAACTATTTCTCAAAATCTATTTCATTCAAATCTCTCGGAATATCCTGAACTTCACTTCTCCACTTCTGAGTCTCCCTATAACTATCATCTTTCTTTGTCTCTTATAAGAATCAACGCTTCTTCAGCCCCAGCCCCAGCACCCTGAATCCCTTCTTCCTGATAATTACTCTCGAGCATTCTACACTTCTCGAGTACTTTTTCAGGAGCCTTCATCACTATTTCCGCATGACCCATTGTCTGATCTAAAGACTCAGCGCGAATAAGTCTCGCGTCAGATTTTCGGAGTTCCGAAGCAGGAAGCGGGCATAGAGTATATGTGCAGATGAATTTAAAATATTCCTTAAGTGCGACTACTAGGGCTCTGCGCTCGGTGGATGGTCCACCTATGTCGTAGGATGTGGTGGTTTCTCGCCCGGGTGGATGTCTCGTACGGTGTATACGATGGATTCTTGATGTTTTTCGTTCTAGGAGTGGTGGGTTGTGGGGAGACAGGAATAGTTGATGCGGGAGATGGTTTGGGAAATATTGTTAATAAGGGAGGAGGGTTTGAATGGATAGGTGTTGGATTGGATGATGTTTGTGAGGGGGTATTCTTGACCAGGATAATTATTGTGGAGGGAGAGATAGGCGCGTTGGGATTCCATGGGAGGGCACGCATTAAGCGTGCTAGGTCTTTTTCGGTGGTGGAGGAGTCACTCAACGTCTTGTTTGTGAGGAGGGGTTTCTCGTGGAAGAGGAGTGTTCCTGGAATTATGAAGCGCCTGGCGAGTACACCTTGTCCTTTTCCTGGGATGGCTTTGATTTCCCATAATGGACTTTCGTTATCGTTGGGTGTGGTCTCTCGAGGAGGGCTTTCAAAACTTGCTGCTATGATGCTGATGATTATATGATAAATAGGTACAGTGATTTAAAAAGTTATGTACAAGAAGACTTATGAGAGAGAGGAAGCGAGGGGTAGATAAGATGGGTAAGATGAAGTATGATATTGTAAAAGTGATAGGTCGAGATATATATATCCCGACAGTATACTATAAAAGGGAATTGAAAGAGAAAGCTGATTAGATTATATTATAATATATTATTTATAAAGAAAATAAGTTTTATAATAGTTTTAAGATTGAAGTTATATAAGTGTTACGATAGTAACAATTGACTAATTAGGAGAGCTTGGGCCTTGTGCAAAAGCGATCAGATTTCATCGAATTAATATGTGATCTAGGGCTCCTTATCACGTGATTAGGATCAGACTATATGTCCGAGCTTGCTGAGGGTGGGGAGACCATATGAAGCGATTACTATACAAATCTGTATAATCTCAACCGTGAATCGTGATATCTATACAAGCAAGCAAGTAAGTAAAGTTAACAAGCAAACAATATAGACCGGATTTTTAAAGTTCAAATTCAACGATTCCCATTCCATCCCATTTCATCCCATCCCCTTTTTTCAATTTTTGATTCCAAAACTCCTCAAGCTCTTCAAACTCCTCAAGCTCCTCGAATCATATATATCAATCTAATAACAAAATATAATAACTACTTAATTAAATAATTAAAGAAATAAATACTAATTATATATAATATCTATACAAAGAGAGAAACTTAACAATCTAAAAAAGAAAGAAAAAGATATCGATCATCAATGAATTAATATATCAAGTCAATTAAATGTTTTTATGTATTTCTTATATTAATATAAATTTTTATCTATATTTTGTTTCAATAATTTTACTTGAAAAGAGGAAAGAGAAATCAAATTATATAGATTTAACCGCGGCGGTATGAAAAGGTTTTTTTTTCTTTTTGTTAATTTGATGATTTAATAATTTTTGATATATAATATTAATATATAACTTTTATTTTATATTTTATATTTTATATTAGATATTTTTTGATATTAAAGATTTGTTTATTCTTTTTTTATATCTTATATATATTATAAAAAAGTTAAAATTCTAGATTATATATATATAGGTTTTTAATCAATCAATTATATAATCTTTTATAATTAAATATAAAAATGAAGTTTTTATTTTATTTTTTTATAATAATCAATTTTTATATATATATACTTTTTGAACTTATTGTTACGAGGGATGCGATCTAGATCACGTGGAAGTGGCCTGGATCCTCGAATGGTTTATGACTAGGCGTCAAGCAGGGGCTTTAAAGTAATATCAATGGTTGCAATTCGTAACTAATAGTAGAGTATACTAAATGATTGATCTTGAGCATGAAGCTCTATACAAAGGGAATCCATCTTGGTTATATAGATATTCATGCTCCCTTGGATCCTTTTGGATCCTCAAGCTCCAAAAGCTCCAAGTCACGTGTTTTCTGACAGTGCGTGCACACACGATCTTAAGGTGACCCAGAGCTCCAGGAGCTTTTTGGAGCTCTAGGGCTCCACAAAGCTCCTTTACATTCATTAGTATATAGTCAGAATAGTTTCATAGTTTAGGAGCTTCGTGCTCAACTTAGTTATCAATTAGTTTACCTACATTCCAATTGATCTAGTAACGAATTCACTTTCAAGTGGATAACCAGTGATTAATAGCTTTAACCCACAACTACCAACTATACGAAACCTCAGGCAGCCGCTGCCTCGACCAGATCATTACAAATTCATAAAGTGATTAAAGGTTTTGATTATTATATAAAGTATTATTATAATATCTTTGATTTCAATCAATATTGTTATTATCAAATATTTATCTACATTTTATTTGATCTAGTAATGAATTCATTTTTAAATAAATAATTAATGATTAATAGTCTTAATCTATAATTATCAATTATACAAACCTCAGACAGTCGCTGCCTGTCACGAATCACCTACACCTAAGATTATAGTGGTAATATTATCTATATAATATTAATAATATATATTAATTCTTAATTATTATTAATAATTATTTAATAAAGAGATTTATTTATATTAAAAGAGTAGAGGTTAGGGCCCGCTTGTTGTACGGCCCTTTTCTTGTACGGTAGTCACATGATGTACCGACACTTATAAAAGTTAAACTCCTCCTGTGAGTACGGAGTACAATGAGGTCATATTAAGTCTGTGCTCCGAGGATGAACCATTATAAATTTCATATTGTGAAGTGAGTCTGATGAAGGAGAAGGGTTTTTACTATTACATATGTAATCATATTGGTTAAGTTTTGAAAATATGTGTATTGGTAGATTTTTAAACAGTGGCTACAGTCTATAGTTGTGGAATTTGAAGATCGGGACGCGATTACATTCCTCCGATGTATATTTCATTATTCCTTTGTCGATTTACCTGATTCAGTGTCCATTGACATGATTAGCATTCATGGTTGACATTATGGTGAGTCAATGGTTGGTCATGATTCTCATTTCCCTGCTCCTGGCGCTGGCGGTTTTCAGCTTTTCCTTGATTTGAGAATCTTGTCGTGACTTTTGAGGATAGCCATATTCGACCTCGGGAGGGAGGATTGAGTTTAACGCTCAATGCGATATTCTCTGCCAGCCGTGTGGTAGTAAATACCTTTGGTCTGAGATCATTCGAATAATTTCTGGTGAAATCAGCCAGCATTTGATGAGGTTCTGAGTATCGAGGCAGATTTACTCTCCCAAAGCGATGCTCGTATCCATTACAGGTAATGGCATTGGCATATTCTGAAATTGTTGATCGATTTTATGGAAATTAAACATTCCCATGGATATACTGCCTCAATGTACCTTTCCCATTCGTTCACCTATTTCACTCACAAGCATACGCAGCCCTTTCAGCCTTGCGGATGATGTGCTACTTAAGAATAGAGCTGCAACAGGCCATGCGTGAATGCCACCAATTTGCTCCTGTGCTCGTATCTCAACCTTTCTAGACTTTTTGAGAAGCATAATAAGATCACGAGTCTCTGGCGCAAAGACCTCCTCTGAACCATAAGTAATGAAAAAACCTCTGGTAGGACTGGCCATTCTCCACCAGTCCAAATCTTTACATGCCCCTGGTGAGAGAGAGGGATCTGAGACAGAAGCTCGACTTCCAGCGTATTGATGTGCATAACGACGTAGGCTATTGGTATCTAAGTAGTCACTTGAAGTATTCTTGGCTTCTGGTGAATCGAGTGTAGTCCAAGGAGAAATCAAAACTGCCATCGCAGGGGTTTCGGTATGTGTAGTTTCCATGGTTGGATGTGACTTGATTATATCTGGTCTGGCGATTTGAAGCAGCAAGCTGAGAATCAATGTCGCTCCAGCTGAATCGCCACTGACACAAATTTTGGATGGGTGGTGCGTCACGGATAAGACATATTTGTAGCCGGCAAATGCTTCGTGAAGTTGAGTGGGATATGATTCATCAGGTACTAAGCTGTATTCTAATGCGAAGATGGCGGGGTTTCTAAATTTTCTAGAGTCTTTGAGTAGGCTCAACCATGAAAGAAGAAATTCCAAGTAGAAATAGCTTGATCCCATGGAGAATCCACCACCTAAAGCTCTTTCAGTATTTTCGAGATTAAAGCAAAGAAATGTATTCATACCATGGGCATAATAAATCACAATATCTGGTTCTCTAGTCTTGTCCGCAATGATCCAAATTCCTTTCATGTCGTCCTGGAAACTTTAGTATACTTGAACGCCATTCGGCAATCAAGAGCAGGGGATAATTACCCGATTGACCTCATGCCAATGAATAGGAGATTTTATGAATCCATGACGAAGCATACGAAACCTCAAAAATGGCAACGCAACTGCTTTTGAGAAGAAGACTCGACCAATATTTGCTGGAATATAAGCAAAAGCATAACGGACACAACGAATGACAATATCCTCAAACCAGGAAGCTTGTTGAATAAAAGGCGATTGGTTTTTGTAGCTTGTTAAAAAGCGTTCCTTGATGAATGACAGTGGTAGTTTGATTACTATGTGGTTGTCAGTATGATGTCTGGGACGTACATCTATATGTATCTTACATAAAAATGGTAGTGCCTGTAGACCACAACTGGCGGTTTGGAAAAAGCCAACATGGATGATCAATTGAGGTGTGAGGAAGGAGAGAAAGATGGCGATATCCAGCCACGAAACTTGTCCCAAAAGCATGATGAGGGGTGAATTGATCAATATTACATTATTAGGAAGATTTATGGAAGAGAAAGTAAGGTTAAAGATTAAGAGGAGTTAACGGAAAGTATGATGGCAAAGTCTGAGTAAGTAACTTGACTCAGCGGGCAGCTAAAAGTAGACTTAATTATGAGTGGAATATCACCGCCACAGTTGATCAGCCATAGTTAGTCAGCAGAATTAGCCACAATAACCGTTACTTTTGTCCAACCCATTTAAGTGGGAATCATGGATTATATAATACTATCTATCTAGATAATAATATACTCATACCTAGGTAGCTGTTGAATCTAGCCCCTCTGGTAAACAAGCAATATTCAGCATGATACAGGACAGTACCGTCACCACAATCCTCACAGTATCTCCATTGATATTCATAATCCCTTGATAAATCATTCTGCAATACGCACACAGTAGGTAAGGTGTCCTGCTAGCTTCCTCATCTATTATATGTAAAATTCCCAAAGCACGTGAATGAACAGTCACTAGCTCGGAAGTAAAAAAGTTTATTGCCGACCAAACTTACGCGCAAAGTCGCAAATCAATTTATGGGCAGCAAGCTAAAAACTTGATATCTGCCCCAAACACTCCGTCGCAAATGCAAAACGCGATCCTTTTAAATCTCAATATCTTCATTGAAATTATGTGCCTCTTTGTATGACTTCTTATCATTCATGCAGGTAGAGCGCCGTCCATTCTTTTACTCTTTCTTTCCTACCCCAGTATCAGGCTTAATCCTACAAGCCAGCATTGATCACTACCTATCTTTCCATCTTCGCATTTTGACCTGGGAGGATCAATATGTCTGCGCCTACTGCAGCTCAAGCTGAACTCATCAGGTATGCTTCCCAAAAATTTCACCAAAGATGACAATGGCTCACACAGTTCCAGCTCTCTATCTCAAGATGAAATCCCAATCAAGCTTCGATGCGCCATATGTAGCAGATTAGCTGTCAATGCTTTTCGTTTACCTTGCTGCGACCAGGCCATCTGCGAGACTTGTAAGCTCACTCTTCTGCGCAATATGAATTACATCAGTTATTAACATACATGAGGTCATTCAACTCTTCCTTCTTCCTGTCCAGTGTGCGAACATACACCAGTGGCTTCGGAGGATTGCAAACCTCATAAATCACTACGAACCACAATAAAGGTCTTCTTGAGAACGGAGGAGAAGAAGCGCATTGATGCTCTGGCTAAACAAAGCAAAGAAACGCCGCCAGCTACACCTGTAGATGCCCTTCCAACTCCAATTGAGCTGAGCAGTGGGCCTGTTGATGATACTTCAAAGAAGGCGCTGGAAGATGCTACATCTACCAACGGAGTAAAGACGGACACCGGGGCTGGTAAACCTGCGGAGGAGAATAATGTCTCTGCAGAACCAGGCGCATCTGAGATATCACAGTCAGAGGAGCATGATGTTCCACAGCCCTCCATTGAGGTATGGTTATAGCTATATTCTTGGAGTTTGATAGATACTTACTATAAATTAGGAGATTGCGCCTGGTCAAGAGCCTAGTGAGGATGTGAAACAGGTAGACACCTTAGTCGATGGTGAAAAGGGTGAGAAGAAAGACACCGCAGAGAAGGAAGGGGAAACTGGAGTAGCTCCAACACCAGCTTTTGGGAGTGGATTTGGCTTTGATCAATCTGCCTCTGGTAGCTTTCCTGGGATGGGGTTTTCTGGCGACTTCAATCAAATGCAAATGATGATGGCGATGCAGAACGGCATGGCTCCAGGAGGTTTCGGGAATTTCCCTATGATGGGTATGTTTGACGGCATTTACATCACAGCGAATGAAAAGACTAACTAAATACTATTGCAGGAATGCCAGGGATGAATATGGATCCAATGACAATGCAAAATATGATGATGAATGGTGGCTTTGGGGGAGCAGGCATGGGCATGAACGGCATGAACATGGGTATGGGTATGGGGAACTTCGATGGTGGTATAGGTGCTGGTTTCAATAATGGGTGGAATTCCCAACAATCATGGAATGTCGGACCAGATAATTTCAATCATCCAAATGCTGCTAGCATGGGCCCTGGTGATTATGGAGCAAATAATTCTGGTTTTCCACAAAATGCTGCAGGATTTAACCAAGGTAATTTTGGACGCGCAAATCAGTACAATGACTATCAAAACAGTTATTCACAAGGCTATCAAGGCCGTGGACGAGGTAGAGGCAGAGGTGGCTGGCACCAGAACCGTGGTGGCCATGGACATGGCTTTAATGACCACTCACAACATTTGCAACAGCAAGTTGGCCAAGGTCAGCAATCATCTGAATCATATAATGAAAATGATCCAATGTCTACCGGACCGAAAGGAGAGACTGAATCTGGGTCCGGGGCGAACGTCGATGAGTTTGGCAGAGAACTACGTCAAGATACTCCCAAGAACGAAGCAGAAAATGGTATTGATGGCATTAACATTCAAGATGCCATATCTTCTGCGACTAAGGACGGCAAAGAACAGCAAGTAAACTCAGAAGACGTCTCTCAACATGATACTTCAGGAACTGGGAATGATGATTTTACTCCACGGCCCATACAATCACTGGAGGCAAATGAATCTGCCGCTTTTGCACCGATGCCCATGATTGGAGATGGTTTCAATGCTTTGTCCCCTGTAGATACAAATATGCGCTACCCTAGCCACCCGCGAGGCGGATTCTCACAATCACGTGGTGGCCGTGGAGGGAGTTTCCATACCATGCAACCTCCATTTGTGAAGCCAGTTGACATACCTATCAACGCGCCCACTGGACCGAAAGCTATGCGTGAAGGACCAAAATCAGCCCTTCCTAATATCAGAACTCATGGGTTTTCCATCGCGGGTAAAGCTAGCGCTAGTGCGCGGGGTAGTGTTAGTGGTGTTAGTGTCGCCCCAGAATCTGCCAGCCAAGAAAGAGGAAGAACTAGGTCTCCTTCGCAAGAAAAGGAAAAGGACAGATCGCAATCAAGATCAAAGTCAAAAGATCATAAGAAAGACAGGAGTAGAGAACGACGTCATAGACGCAGGCATAGATCCACTTCCCGATCTCGCTCTGAAGATGAGGAAGAAAGCGAGCGACGACGAGAAAAGCGAAGAGAACGTAGACGTCGTCACGAGGAGGAAGCTGATCTTGAACGTGATTCAAACGAATCTAAGACCGAGAAAAAAGATGATGATAGGAGAAGAGATGACGAGAATAGATCAAGGTCAGCTTCACCACAAGAGTCAAAGAGATCAAGTCATCGAAGTAGTCGTCGTGACCGCGATAAATATCGTGACCGAGAAAGAGATGATGACAAACATAGGTCTTCGTCTCATAAGCATCGTTCTAGTCATCGTTCTCATCGAGATGAACGTTCTAGAAGTCGAGAACGTGAACGTGGCGAACGTGACCGTGAAAGAGAACATCGCCATAGGCAAAGTCGACATGCATCTCGAGATGCGGAAGACAGAGTAAAGGGTAATACTCCAGTTGATACCCCTACCGAGCCGACTTTTTCTTCCAGAAAATCGTCACTCATTTCCAGTGGTTTGAATGGCATTGAAATCAAAGGTGCAAGTTCTCGGAATAAATCCTCTCGAGATATTAGTCTACCATTAAATATCCCGACCGGACCGAAAGGTGGCCAGCGAGATCGTGAACGCGAACGTGAAAAGGATCGCTCAAGTCGTCATAGCGAATCTCATCGCTCGCGCCGAGAATCAGAGAGAAACAACACAAGTTCACGAGACCAAGAAAAGGATCGTCCAGAGAAGAAAAAAGAAGAAGTGGACCCACACACATTAGAACGAGAAGCGCGCAATAGAGAAAGGTTGCTTAAGGAAGCACAACGTATTGCGGGTTTAACAAGCGCACTCAGTGTGGGCAGAAAGAGAAGTCGTGATGAGGTCGATGACGGTAGTGGGAGGAAGGGAAGAAAGAAGGGGAGAAGAGCTGGTGGAGAGGACAACGACGAGGCGAGAATTGCGAGATTGGAGGCAGAGAGGGAGTCCTCAAGATGGGCTTAGTTGCTTATGGGACTTAGACCTCGCCCCAAGTAGGCTTCATGGCTCTCGTCTCGCCACACTTGAACAAGAGATGACTTTGAAGCACTAAAATGCACATCAATATGTCTGATTTTCCGACCTAGATATGAACATTAAGGGCCCATAATGAATGTCCGGCGGGTGAATGGTAACTCATCACCATTTCGAGCAGAAAAAAAGTAATGGCGGTTTAAATCGGATTAGCTGGCATGCGTATTTTGCAGTGCACAGGTACGAGTTGTGTGAGATAGGTAGCTTGAGTTATACTCGACACTCCACTTTGAGCTCGATGAAATGAATATGTTGAGTGAAGTAGATGGACTGGCCATACTCAGCGAATCGAGAAAATCGTGCTTGTCAAGCGATGGAGTAGTTGATGTATAATGAATGATATTAATGACTGCTTTTTTTTCGGTTGGGCTTTGTGATTTTTGTGTGATCTTTGTGATGTTTTTTCCTGCTACGGGCCGGTTTTTACTGGTGGTTTTTAACTCGGTTCTGGGCTTTAGGGGCAGGAGGGATGGTTGGGGTGCTTGGGGTTGCTTGCTTGGGGTGGGATAATGAAATAGTATATGAATATATGAGTAGTAATCTCATAAAAAATTACTCGGTAAGTAGTAAGTAATATCCATCTGAGGTCTTTCTTGTAAGAAATTATAGTAAGTGTATCTTTCGTTTAGGTAGTTATGTTTTATTTTTGTTATGTTTATGAGAGGGAGTCTATTATTTTTTATTTAAAAAATTTGATTTCGAAAGGATTTTTGTTGGGGTTTGATTTCTATTTCTATTTCTATTTCTATTTGTTCTTAAGCTTGTTTGGCTTGTATTCACTTGGGTATTTGGGTATTTGGGTATTTGGGTATTTGGGTATCTGGGTATTTGGGTATTTGGGTATTTGGGTATTTGGGTATTTGGGTATTTGGGTATTTGGGTATTTGGGTATTTGGGCATTTGGGTATTTGAGCATTTGAGCATTTGGCATTTGAGCATTGGCATTTGAGCATTTGGCATTTGAGCATTTTATTTTCTAAAGAGCTACTGGTGGTTTGAGGGGAATTTTCTTTTAGGGAATTTGGGGGGGGTTTTTGAGATTGGGAAATTTTGTTGCAATTGCTTGCTTAATTGTGAATGGTTGCTTAGTTGCAATTGCTTGCTTAGTTGCAGTTGGTTGGTTGTCGTTGATTGTTTGGTGGGTAGAGATGGGGAGAAGAGGAGAGGAGAGGGGTTTGTGCGTATGGATGGATGGATGGATGTATGATGTTGGGTTTTGGATTGGATTGGATGGGTGGGTTGGGTGGATTGGTTAGATGGATTGAGGGAATGGTAGGAGAGAAGTAGGGAAGGAGAAGAGTGGATATGTGGATTGAATGAGTTCGATGGGTTGGTTGTACTGGGTGGATGTAATTGAGGTGATTGGTTGGATGGGCTAGATGGGTTGCATTGGATAGATTCGTCGAATGGGTTCGATGAATTGCAGGTGATCGATCAGATGCATTGAACAGGTTCGATGGATTGCAGATGATCGATTGGATGCATTAAGTGTATTGGGGGTGTTGGTCGTATTTGCTGTATGGGATCGAGATCATCGATGAATTGGGGAAAGTAGGAAGACAAGGGAGAAGGGAGGGGATGTGTCGATTGGCTGGGAGAAAAGGGGTTATGTAGTGGGGGCTTGGATTGGGTATACTGGGTGCGCTGCATTAAGTAAGATTACATTCAATGTATTGGGTGCAGTGGCCGCAATCAGTTGCAGTGGGTACAGTGGGTGCGGTTGGTATAGTGGGTGCATTGAGTACATTAAGTACATTAAGTACGTTGAGTGCACTGAGTGCATTGCATTGATTGCAGTGAGTGCAGTGAGAGGGTTAAGAGGGTTAGGTGCATTGAGTACATTGGGGGGATTGGGAGGGTAAGGTGCATTTGTGGGAGAAGAGGAGCGGATATGTGGATATTGTTTGTGGGTGTATGCATGTTTTGAGCTGGGTTATGGGGTGTTATGGAATGGATAGATAATAGAGTTTGAGTGATTTTGATAGTTGAGCTTGTATATAGAGTTTCGCGTTTTGGATTGGATTGGTTAGAGGTGGGAGAGGGAAGATGGGGGAAGGAAAAGGGAGGTTGGCAGGGAGAGGGATGGGCGCCTAGAGAGCTGGCTGCGACATCTTCAGGAACGTCTCAACTGGCGCTGGATGATACTCTACTGAGGTGGATGTGTGGATTTGTGAAGAGGGTAAAAGTTGGGTGAAAGGGGAACGAGAAGAGGAGAGGGGAGGGGAAAGAGAGAGAGAAAGGAGAAAGGCAAGGGAGGAGGAGAGATAGCATATGAGTGCCAACTCTAGATGGGCGTGTGCGCAGGGGATGGTGGATTGGAGGTATTGGGGAGGCCCGGAGTGGTCGGATAGTTAGATTGAGTTATGGATTAAATCATTTACGGTCGAGTATTTTTTTTGTCTCAAACATTCCAACAATTGTGGGTATTCCATTCATCTGGGATAATTCCGTCTGCTACTCCATCCAAGAGTATAGACTTCATCTCACCAAGCCCAACAATGTCTTTTCTCCTATTTCTGTGTCGTATTTCATTTCATCAAATGATTATGGTGTGACTGGGTATTTGCAATCCTATAACACTAGATTTCGAGGTGTCATTACTCTTGCTGTTAGTATATGAAAACTTTCATTAAGTTCATTACACATTTCATCTCAAGGCTTTGATGTTTGGTTTGTTCCTGCGCTCATTTCACCTCAATTCCTAGGTTTGAGACTGCTGTAGCTAGTTCAAAGGTTGCATTAACTTCACGAGGGGTACGCTCTGTCCTGTCCACTACGCTCAGGTGAAAGTACCGCGGAAGATCCCTCAGCTCATAATATGGAACTCAATATCAGAAGGTTTCCTAAAGAGACTTGACTAGTTGTAAACATCTTGTTCAAGAGGCTTAATATTTACTGAAACACCAAGCAAATAGATTTTTAATAGACCAATCTGGCCACTGATTGATGAGTGATACTCGAAGAATCCTCTTTTGTTGACTACTTGTCTGTGAAGGCTGTGGTCTCCAGAGGAGATTTACCTCAAGAAGATAAAAAACAGCTCACCTGTCTGTTGAAATTACACAAACTCCACTAGCTAAAGATGGATTTGAGTACTTGAAAATGTTACAAATCATAGTGAAACATTGAATGTAGCCTCAAGAGTTGTTAACTGCAATGCTTGAACCCTTTAAGATCTAGTTCACTGATGCAGAGACCCTAGATGCGCGGATGATGAAGTTTGGGAATAAAGTATTATAACTAACTACTTATGCAAAGTCCTGCATATAGTCAGTCATTCACCCATAAAATCTAGAACGGAGATACTAGTCAATAAAAATAAACAGCCGTGATGCGGAGGAAGTTAAAAAAAAAAGGCGCAAAAATGCTTGATATGTGGTGCTGCCACTGCTGATGGCATGACAATACCGTTAATGTTGGTAGGGCTGACTCATGTGAAGGAGAAGTGGACCATGCTATACAGGCGATGCTTGTCCTAAAGTGTTAACCATTTCCTTTTAAACTCTACTCTTGTTGGAAAACCTGGAGATCTAGAACTTAAGTGTCAGATGACTGTGTGCTCATCGACGATCTTCAAGTATCATTGTACAGCACGGACGTCCCACGCAGTTTGACTAAGCCTTTCAATACTTGGATATAAAAAGGATGTAGTTTGGACTGTTATTGTGCATTGGCCTAACCCAAAGTACTCGCTCATCAGACCCTCTGATGTCTGGATGTTTGGCTGTTTAGATGCATTGTTTATGCTATAAAATTGTATTAACTTTGATCATACTGCTCGTGAATGATTCTTTACTTCTACTATGAGAGAAAAGCTTGGGTTTGTCTTACCATATTCAAGTAATTGGCACGCATGAGAAGGCTTTACAGCTTAGCACAGCTCCAAATCCATATGCGGGTTATTAAGCGAGAAGCTGAAGGGGGGAGGGGCTCGAGCGTCTTGATGCTTGTTTATGTATTACGGAGATGAAGTCATTCTACTTCTAAGCTCGTTGCGTCATATTTTTCCAATTATAGATGCTGATGTACGGTGTGTTTTTCAGATTCTGCAAGTTTGACAGCTTCGAAAGTTTTGACAATCATAGATCTGACCGTCTAACGGCGCGCAAACGTTCGAATTTTAAGGTTTCCGATCCGGTGTCGGTACGACCCACTGGGCTTAAATATTTGGATGTAGGTTTCAGCCACGTGTTGATACTGTGGAGAATTCCATTTTTCACAGTTGCCGAAAAGTGTCGCGGGTGGTCCCGAGTCCGGTAATCAAGTAGACCGAAAATCAGAGGTGAACCGAATGCGAAAGTTTCTGGGACCGGTGGATAGAGATGAACCAAGGTATTTCACGAAAATCCTAGGGAGTAATAGCGGTGAGTTTAATATTCCGCGTGTCTTTCCTCAGATCGACGATCGATCGTATACCCACTAGGATGCAGTTGTAAGCTTGATTACCCCTGCATACCAAATAACTGTCGGTGAGGAAGAGCCTGGATTGGTTCAGGTGAAGATTCGCTTTAATTTCTACATTGTTCGATGCAAATATGCGACATTATGTTTGATACAACTTTGAATATTCTTTGGGTCTATCACCTCGCATGTCATGATGTGTGCATGCTTCGCCAATTGGAACTAGGAAATTATTTGTCCTGCACCTTCAAATTAGCATCCACATGTTTTTAGTAATTGTTTATTCATCTGAGTTATTTACCTTCGTGGGATTTCTGCGAACGAAAATTCACAGACCATTGTACGAAAATATGGTACTTTACGGCATTGTAACCTGTGCTGGTGTTTGATTTCTATGCTATGTGGTGCGAGGCCAGTCCTATCACATGGCAGCAATGAGAATAGTAGTTGCAGGGTAATTAGATTGGACGATAGCCGGCATCCCTACATCTTGCACAACCCTATATCTTACACACTATACATTCCCAACTATGATCATTTCAACATTTAATAATAATTCGAATTTAAAAAATATGAAACTAGAACTTTATTTTATAAATAAAAAGATATATTATCATTAAATAAAATTATAAAAACTTTAAATTTGAAATCTTAATAAAATCGTGATTTATTATTAATTTTTCATATATATATTTATCTTTTTTTTTATATTCAAATTATCAATCATTTTTACAATTGAAAGTTTTGTAATTTTTTTTATTTCTTTTTAAAATCTTATACAATTTGATAATCTATTTATTTTTAAATTCTTTTTATATTTTAATAATATTTTTTTTAAACTAGAGGCCTACACCCCTCAAATCTTTAACATTTTGAGAAAGTCTAATGAAAATTTAAATTTTAAAAAGTTTATAATAAATTTAAATATTAAATATATATCAAGATACAAATAGAATATCAGCTTGTTTTTAATAATTGAAAATTAAACTTTTTATTTAAAATTAATAATAATAATAATAATAATTATTATTATTATTATTATTATTATTATTATTATTATTATTATTATTATTATTATTATTATTATTATTATTATAAGTTGAATGAGATGAATTGAATAAATAAAATTGAATTGAATAAATAGAATTGAATTGAATGATTTCAATTGAGTTGAGTTGGAAAAAGCTTCAAGTCAGATTGCCTGAGGTTGTAAAGCTTATGTCAAGCTTTTTGTTAGATTATTTACCGGGTATTTTAGACCAATCAGATTGTCAGGATCGCGACTCACTTAAGCGAGGTTCTCATTTTCTATCATCCACTAGGTAAACCTTACGTAGAGCAAGGTTATGGTGTCGGCAAGCCGACAATAATATTTTGTATAATCATATTAATAATAGTTTAATTTATATAATTGATAATTTTTGAGGTTATAAAATGTATACAAGATGTGGGGTTGTGCAAGATGTAGGGATGTCGGTTAGAGATGCAATAGAAACACATTAAGGTGAATTGTTGTGCATGATCGGAGTGTCATAGCGCTTTTTGTGCACCGAAGAATCTCACCGATATTTTGGCAGTTGTTGTCTCACACGTACGTAGACGTAAATATCACAGCTAACCCGGCATGCTTTGTGGGAAAGAAATTTTTGAGATCCAGTATGAGTATATGGTCATTGATATGATTCAAAAGGAACAATTTGATAGAAACTACCGCCAGGCTTGACCCGTTTCAATGACAAGCCTGAACCCCACCCAGAATTGACTAAACGCCTCATTATACACCCATATCTACACCACGTCTTTCTTTGTAGCTTTCTAAATCTTTATAACACAATTAAACAAATGAACATTCATCATCTGTAATAACGGTTGTGTTCCGGTTGCCCGTATCGACTTGTATCATATTCACCATTGTAAGTCTCATACCCATTCATGATGCCCGCATCGTTGATGTTTTGGAATGTCGACTCTGAATGACAAATGGTTGAAGGATTAAATTGACTCCAAATATTCCCAATCTCTGAAGCTACTGCTGGTAGTGGTTCGAATTCAGGGCGCGGTAGATCGATGACCTGGAAGACGCGTGTATTATAAGGTCGTAGAGGAGTGATATTCGGATCAAAACTGCCATGAAACTGCGGAAAGCTGGCTGAGCCTACTGGAACCATCGTGGGGGCTACGGGCTTCTTGTGTGCATCGATAGGATTGAATCTTGAATCGGAATTGATACTCGGTAGTGGCGAAGTTGGAGAAAAATTTCCAGAAACTTGCCATGATTGATCAGAGTTGTCATCACAGGTTCGGGTTTAACTGAGAAGTGACCTACTTTGAGAGGAATAGCTGATCTCAGAGCTTTGAGAATAATGTGCAACATGAAATTGACTTCCTTGCGTATTGCTGAGATTATCTGGGACGAACAAGTGATCTTCGCAAGCGTCGTAAGCTGATATGCCAATTAGAACTCGTCAATTACGTAGTACATACTATCATGTCCGGGATGTTTCTTTTTCATATGTTTCTCGAAATCATTTCGTCGTTTTCCACCACGGTAATTGCAATCTGGCTCATTACAACAGTACTTTTTATCCCCGTGGACGGTCGTTTCATGACGGCGAGCACCGGTGCGACGTGTAAAGGTCTTGTTGCAACCAAAATATCCACAAGGAAATGGACCACCAGGTTGGGTCCGCGAGCTTCTATTTGACATAGTCTATTTGCAGTGTACCAAGGCTTTGGCTGAAGAAAGTATGGTGGAGGGGGACATGCCCAGAAATATGTATGTTACGGCGGCTCGTCTTGAAGTAGATAACTGGACGTCGGCTGGCTGCCGATGCCTCTCGCCGAATATAGCTGCTTACCAGGTTGTTCGCCTCATATCATCCAACGTCTATTGTTGGATGTCGTGCAATGCTGAAACCAGTAAAGAGAATATTCTACTTGAGAATTAATGATACCTCGGCTTGCCACGTCACGTAACTAAGAAACCATATTCGTGTTACCAGACTCTGAAAGGATCAAGCATTTCCAAAGGCTTCGACATGCTGCAGCAACCCGGGTCACATTCTCTTGGTAACGTAGTTGGCAGGAAGAATACAAACGTCTGCAGTAGTTATGCTCGGCATTCGAAGAAGGAAAACCAATGGTTCTCATGATGGCAAAACAGCTTCTCCCGGTAGAATCGGGGTTCTTTCCGTGTCCTAACCATTAGATACAGTGAGAAGCCTCGAATCCTAGGCGTAAGCCCTGCTACATTTCTTGGAACTCCGCATAGTTAAATCCCTGTTCCAATTCTATACCACTATGCTAATCTTTTAATGATATCTATAACTCAGATATCCGCCAAATCGATTGTTCTAGCACAGACAGGCATGAAATTCCCTAAGTAAATGCTGCGAGAACGCAAACAAGGTAAATTTATATGCGTCAATGATACTCACCGCTTCCAGACATATTCCCATTTCAAGCCTTGTGCTTTGACCCATGTCGTAAACTGATGCTCTATTGTATCAAAACGTTAATCCAAAGGCTGCATGTGGATAGATTCCCGATGCTGCCGGTGCAACCCCAGAGTACGGACGGGTCCGAATTTTCCTCCATGTGCAGCGATGATATTAAAGCAGTTGGTTTTGTTTATTTTGCTGAAGAAATACGTATGAGTCAGCTAATGGTGACCGATCCGTTGGTCCCTCGAATTTGTAACTACATTGCTTCGCCCTATAGTATTAAGTCAGTATGTACAAGAAGCAAGGTTGCCGTAATAACACCCGGCTCTCTTTATTCACTCCGCCATGTGAAAGTCCGTACGGAGTGGCTTGGATGTGGCCGGCGAGGTACCCAAACCTCAAATGATCTTATGAAACCCGTCGACTCGAGTCTGAACCAATAGCGTAAGTTTCCTGAAGTATCACAGGGAGCGAACAATGCTTACCACGGAATTCAAGAGACAATAGTCGCCGAATTAGGTGGCCTGTTTCGTCGAGATAGTTGAAAAGGGTGTCATGCAAGATACTTCCTACAAGGTTCCGAACTTGCAGTCGTCAGAGATCACCGACACAGCACTGTAGTTCTGAGAAGAAAACCTTGTTGAGTCCGCAATTAGGATTCATTTATGGTGGAGTGTCTCGCAAATCAATTTATTTGGGAAAATTATGCACTGAATGAATGATGACCACTGGAATCTTCAAATCGGAGTAATGAACGGTCGGATAAGCATGGCCAACTTTTTGCGACAAGGTCAAGTGTTCATAGAACCCCACAGATATTGATTGTGGCTAATTGCGTTTGTAGCCATACAATTCATAGAGGAAGGAACCGGTATAGTGAGTAAAGGCCGCCGCAAAGTCAACGGTAGACTAAGGAGTTTGGTTGCCGCAAGAAGGTCGGACAAGTTGGCAGGCCTTAAAGAGGTTCCGCAGCACCGCCACCATTCCATCTTAAAACCAACTCGGTATAAGTCATGACAGCCAAACTTCGAAGTTGTGACAGCCTAGAAGCAAAAGATCCATAGAGATCTTGATCAGAGAGCTGCAGCAGTAGTGCAAATCAGTAATACATTGGCGTTCCGCAAAGAGGCAGTTATTGAGTAGATCGGTGAAAGAGCTTTTAAGGCTATCTGTTCATCTGTTCAAGAACGTATCAAAATTTCTTAAGTAGGCCGAATTTTGGCCGATCAAGCTCATGGTTAGTTGCCCAGGGTGACCCAAAAATTATCGCGATGTGGAATCCTTGTTTTGTAATGTCTACAATTTCACCAAATCGTGTGGTATTATGTCGCATCATAAACCGTCCCATAGGTACAACTTTATGAGATCATATTCTATGCTTGCTTTGTCAGATTTTCATGGTAGTAATCCGGTGGGGAAAGCCCTCTCAAGTACAAAACCCCGCAATCAGAATCCCGAATATGTGGACAACGCAAATACGAACGCTGGGTACTATTTTTCACGATAAAGATTATCTGTTGCACAGTCTATTCTAAATCATTTGCTTTCATCAAACTATTCATATGTTGAATAAATACAAGGCGGAAAAGTTGGGAGTTTCTCCGCATTCTACCGGATATTCGATTAGATGCAATTATCATTGGCGAAAGAAACAGTCTGACCAACGGTCGAACTAATGCCTCGATAGAAAGATACTTTTAAAGCATCCTTATAGCGGGGTTATGCTGTAGTTCTCCTACTCAGCCTTGAAATATCTTCACTTTGCATTCTGTCCAACCCCGGGTAGTGTATCCAGCTTTTCCGGTCCCGAAACAGTGGTTCCCAATCAAACCCCTTCATTAGCTTAATAACCGAAATTCAAAACGTCAGCCCAAAGATTTTAATCTTCGAATATTCTGTTCCTATATTAACAAAGCTATATTAATTAGCATCTTCTTGTCGTTTTGAGCCAATGTTGGCAATGATTTTCCGGGCCATATACAATGTTGTGCCCTTGAAGTTGCCTTTTCAAGTTTCTCATGCATCAATGAGCCTGGCACAGTCACACACTACAAAGGAAGTTGTCACAATCACCAAATGCATGGAGTAAAACCCATAAGTTCATGCCGCAACGCAAAATTCAATCAAGCTAGACGAAGTATTTTTAATATTTTTACAAGTACAACGACAGATAACCTTCCTTCGTTTCTAGCCCCCCTCTAGCCTCAGATCCAAAAATCATCTCAAATATGAAAAGAAAAGAAAATAATAAAGATATGAGATGCTGAAAAAAATCCACCCGAAGCACAATCTTTCACTCCTCCATGTACGGACACCACCAAGCATGTATCAACAGGGATATTTTCCACGTCGCATTAGTCTCTTGACACAACTCTGCCGTTTTAAGGTATGCGATCTATACAAAGTACCAGGTGCCCTTGACGCGTCCAGCAGACTCAGGAGCCAGGGCCTTGAATGCGGCAGGGCTCAAATCCAAGTCGTATCGAGCACAACCCATGCATTTATCGACGACTTTCACAGTGACGGACTTTCCCTTATAGTTGATCTTGATTCTCTTTCCGCAGTTGGGGTTGCCGTTGGATTGAGTTCCCATGAGTCCTGCTGACATGGCAACGACTAACTCGGAATCGGAATTGGTCCAGCCACAGGCACCGAGACCTACATCATAGTAGGTCAAGTCACCTGAGTTTGAACGGCGGACGAGCTCTGGCTCATTTGGGGATCCTGGAGCAGGAGCTGCGGAGATGAGGGGAGCGAATGCCATGACGAGGGCGGCGACAGAAGTGATTGTGAACTTCATTTTGGCTGAGAGTGCGGGTATGTTTTTGAAAGTAAGACTTTGAAGGAGAGTATGAATATGAATGCACGGAAGAGGTGCCGTGTGCTGTGAGTCTTTTTGAGGATTATGTACTTGAAAGCTGCTGATGATGTGATGATAGAGGTAGTGTGTATTCGAAGGGCGACGAGTGGTTTATATACACTTTAACGTGAATTATTTCTATTTCCGATGTCAAATTTTTTGCTTTCTCGTTATTAACGATGGCTCAGGAATCAGGCTTCTTCCAGCGAAGGATTATTTTTTCTTTTACTCGTTGTAACTCTGGGAGGATTGTAAGACTTTCGAAACAAGACCATGAAAGTTTACGAAAATATGTCCAGTAAACACTATTCTTCCTACATCTCGATCCTCTGGTGGGCCAGAGTCATACTGGCGCAAGATTTTAAATATCTTCTTAATCTATCTTTCAAGTGCGCCCAGGACATATTCGGCTCCTATTCAATTGGTGCTCATAAGTGCTCAAAGTGCTTATAAGACTTTATTACTAGGATTCATATGTATGGTGGTGAGGTAAGTTGCTTCCAAATGGTAAGTTGCTTCCAAAATGATGTCTTCAGAAATTTTCTACCGCTACTGCTGGTAGCTCATCACTAAGTACACAACTATGATAATGTTCTAATGGATTATAACTATACAAACTTTTTAACCAGATAATTCTAAGCCGTTTTCTCACTCGAGTCTTAGTGTATGCGGGGACTGAAACTAATTTCACTAATACCGATGATATGCATAGGATCTGTGGGGCATGGTGATCTCGGAAAGGCTACTTTGTGTTAGTCTAAATTTAGCCTACCTCGCCTTACTAAGGTGGCACAAATCCTGGTGATGACACCTTGACATTTTTAAGCAGAGATATTTAATTAGCTTTACGTGAGCCTCAGCTAGTTTCCTCATCAATGTTACCGAAACATTAATTGAACTTCGAAAAAGGGAAGTGCGTAATAGTAAACGAAATGATGAAACTACAAGACAGATCCTTCCGCTGCCAATTATATTAGCATTGCTATGGAAAGTTCGAATGTCTTCAAGCTCCGAGAATATCTGACAGGAATAGGATCCCTGGGCTATGTCATTACAGCAAGGACGAAATATCGTGTGAGGTGTCATAGGACGGAACGGAAACAAAATTTGAGATCCTGTCCTGTTACAAAAGAGGAAGCTGACGCCGCCAGGCAAGGACATGTTTGCCCGCTCCCCTGCGCTGAAGACTAAGCGTTGAGTTGGCGGGATTACAAACGGAGCTAAAAGTACTGGGGTCCAACTTGCTACCACTTTCTACGACCATGGCATAAACTCCGTGGACATAAATTACTGAACTACAGAGCAGTCAATCGCAAGCGCAAGAAATTTCCTTTTGAGTTTTATTATTCGCATTGAAAGCTTCGTGGTTATGTCAAAGACTTGCCATCTTACCACCGTCGTATACCCTACTACCGCTCAATATCACTTTTATCGGCTCCGAGATATCCGAGCTATCTAGCGCGCGTCTTCCAGAAACCGTTATTCGTGGTACTTACTCAAATTAGAAGTTATCGTCAAGCCTCTGAATTTCCGTAGTTCTACACATTAGATATGAATGGGCTGAGGAGCGTTGCCAAGAATCGTACCGCAATGTTTCTTGGATCTGGACAATGATCGCTGAAGAACTACATTTCGGTTAAACCCCTCGATAATTAAGAACTTCAAGCACTTCAATAAAACGGCACCATGCATCAAATCATAATATTTATTTCCGAGACGTGCTTTAGAAAACTTGAAATATGCGGATCCTCGAGGTAGTGGATACTGCTCCCTAGTTCGGACATATCGGCGACTGATTGATTTCCATTACGAGAAGAGCATGAGAAACTATCTAAGTTGTTGATCATTACCCAACCGACCATCAATTAATTGGATTCTTAAGGCATAGCATAGAATCCTGCATCAACATGGAATGCATAGCATATTTAGTACTGTTCACTCTCCAACGCCGCAGAAATTTTTGCTACATATTACATCGTCAAGTCGATAGTCTCCACTTGGCAGGATATGACACATAGGATGGACTTTGTCGTAGGTTCATAGTCCATGCAAGAACTCCACGCGTCGGGTCTAAAAATGATTGGATTGCTGACTCCGCCTATGATTAGACCCCCAAATCCCCGCCCCGCAACCTACATCAACTGGCTCAAACTGAGTCTTAACTATCAAGCACAGGGTCTTCCGTGATTTTAAACTAATGGCAAGCTATTGATGGAAGCGGCTCGAATAGTTAACTGATTGGTATAATCATGACAAATGTGGAAGATCCAGAGCTGTAGGCGGCACAGTTGGAGATATGACACTGTCTTTAGTTCAAAGAGCTGCAATTCGCGGCAGGATACGCTGGTGCTTTCGTTAATGGGAATTATCTCCGCTTGGCTTTTGCATTTAGTTTTTGTGGCACAATACCTTTGACACTTTCATAACGACTCTCTATACAATCATTCACATTCACTATTTTGTATCGACTATTAAATTTAGTATCATGGGGAGTAAAAGCAACATTTCGGTACCTCTTTGAGCCAGCCCTATATTCTCCAACTATCGTCCATTGCAGGGTATTCAGCAGTCCATTTTATTAGATCAGACTCAAATACTCAATATTCGAAGAGCTTCCGATATTTGGAAAGCTGTGAATATTTAAAGATAAATTGTTGGTTTGAATGGATCCAGCATTCACAATGAATCTAATGCTTCAGAATATTTCAATCTTTCAAATGATTTCAGGGATACAGAACTTCTCATTGTTGGCCTGCAGCCCGGACTATTAAATACCATGATTCCTTGAACAGTGTCTTCAGTTGTAAATAACCAGCGTGGTGAGCTGTCGGTCCGTTCTATACGCTGGAATCGAAGTATAGACTTCTCTTTGGCAGGCAGTTCGCTTGGTTAATGATAACATGCTTATTTGGACCCAACATGTCCCGAAAAGCCTGTCATTTGGAAACTGCCGAGGGACTTTAGAGGTTTACTGGATTGATGACTAGTATATGATGTAATCTCAGCCACTCGCTTCACAATAATAACTACATAGGTGGAATCGCTCACTCCAGATTATTTAGTTCTGAGGTGGTCTACCCGGTGTGCACATTGGTCCTGGCCGTGAGCCACGAGTCATTTGCCCATTGGGAATTTGGGGTTTGAGTTGTGAAGGTGAGGTGAAGGATGTGACTCCGACGCCAATGCAAATTTTGTTTTTGCAATCAGAAATGATTTTTAAGCTACCTAGAAGACTTTAGACTGCTTTTATTTTGACGACTGGTAGTTGGGTGCATGGAGCTGTGAGTTATCGGTTGTGTGAAGTAAAAGGGGATGAGGAGTTCGGATTGACAAGCAGAAGAAGAGGATGTCTTAAAAGAAGCAGCCCTGCTTCGCCGTTGGTGATGACATCAGATAGAGCCGACAGTTCAGTTGTCATGTTGTTGGGAAACTGCGTTGGTGGGAAAAGTATCGGAATCACCTTGGCCCAAAAGAGTGTTTTGATATTGGTGAAAGTGTATGATGGTAATCTTAACAGAATTCCAAGACAGATGAGCGGATAGCAAAAGAGGTCAGATTTTCACATAAAATCCACGAAAATTAGAGGTATTGATGTAATGGGTGGAGTAGTCAAAGATGGTAAGTAGTTGAATGGTTTATGTTTTCTGGAAATAATGGATGGTCCGGCCTCAAAAGTTAAGAAGAGCCGGTACGGTGATGACTCTAATCGTGTTTGTCCCGCTGAGAGGTACTGAGACGCATCATTCCACATTGAAATATCTGTCTAACTAGCACTATTGATGTGAAATCATCTCGATTTTTCCTGTAGGGGCGATTGACCATGTGTAATGCACTATGATTACTAACGAGATGGGAACATAAAACAAACCACTGTGGATCTTAAAGCTTGCTTTAACATTTCATATAATATTGAAATATGGCCCTTGTTCAATATCGTAGAACTTGGCTCGTATTGTGAAGTTATACTCTTTAGTGTAGTGATGATAGCGACACAAGTTCGGAAAATAACACAGAGCCGTTTCAACATGAGTTATGACCAAAACCGACTGTTACCTATTACGCTCTGACAGAAATGACTCCAAGAGTTATCAAAACTCCTTATCATATGCCTTTACGCATTTTGTTATATACGGGGATCTCCAATGGCTCTAACCTCCTCCAAACGGCAGTTGTCTTCGGTCACTTTCTATTTATCCACGCGAGCTGGTAAAGCTTATGATGGTTTATTGGGCGACCACATCATTTTTTCGTTTGATCTTTGCGCAATAACTGCTGCATGTTCTGTCACATTAATGTGCCACAGGCGGTTAGCTGCATTGCAGCCGCTTCTAACTAGCCAAGCAAAATTTCAACTAAGGGATGTATCCTAGTCTAAGTGCATAGGTTAGATGTAGCATTTTACCTCCTACTTGCGACATTATTCCTGAAAGATATACATGGTGTGATAAAAGAGTCGCTGCATGAGGAATTTGATAGGTAACTGACGATGACTGCCTAATATCCAGCAAGTACCGGCCTTTAGCTCACTCTAGTTTCGGCTACCTAGAGTCTATCTTGGCAAACACACAGAATTGAGAAATTATTGAGACAATGGCTCGTAAAAGAGGAAGCTACTGCGACTATCATGGCTTGATACACTACAGACAGTCTGAGTGCCAAGGAAACAACATAAACGAAGGAAGCCACATCGCTTTGACTGGGAGGTAAGTTTAACACCTTCCCACTTCGCGAGGTTACTTACAAAGCTACGGTAGATGCTTCTTTTCGGCAGAGAGACGGCTGATATAAGTGTAAGCGAACACTTCGTCATTCATCGTGATCATCTTCTTACTATTCACTCTCGATTTCCTTAAGAACCAACTTGCACCAAAGGATGTCGTCTCCAACAACACAACTATTAACCTCCAAAATAGAGTGGTATCTTAATACCAAATGCTTGTGTCCTGGCTTTGAACTGAAATATTATCAAGTCGGCTATACCAATCAAAACCCTCTCTCGGTATTGGCTTTCAGGAGCCGAGTTAGAAATCTCTGCTTTCCAGAATCATATCATGGATAACATTCGATACCTCAAGAAAGATGAGAGAAATATCTCGAGAATTGAATAAGTTTATGAGTCTTTTCCTAGAGATTCACTGGCTCGGAAGTCCATAGTTCATTGCGTGGTGGCTCAAGGCCCATTTATTAGATCCGAGGAACTTAGGAAGTGAGAAACGCGATTGCGTAAGAATCAGGGTCTAGCCCAAGATAACTTAACAGCCTCGCGTGAGGGATGCTACTTTCTCATGGGATGACGAGCACCGAGTAGAATATATGGTGGAAGAAGTAGGGTTACCAGAGCTGTATGATGGATGGATTATGGGTGAGCGGACGAAAGTGGAAATTGGATCAGCGGTGACGAAGGTAGAGGATGTAAAACGCATGCTCGAGTTGAAGCACCTTAATCGCTGTTTGCATCTGACGGTTTGAAGCCTGCGGGAGTTTCGTATTGATCTGGGGGCACAGATAGGGCTTGGCATAGTGTAGCTAAGTTGAAGAGAAAGTGCAAAACGCGCAGTTCCAATAACAATCTCATTGCCCTTCGATGATACTAATACTGCAACTTCTATGCCAATCTCAAGGAATTTTAATCTGAAGTGAACTTACTCGCTAAAACAATAGAGACGTTGTATACAAATGGTTCTTTGCCTTTCTTGGGGGTAAATCTTGCAACCACTAGACACTGCGAGATATATGTACCCAAATCAAAATATTTTCACAATAACAAAATCAGTAACAAATGAATAGTCGAACCTTTGACAAATAAGCTGAGGTTGCCCGCCCAAGCCAGAGAGCAATAATGTAGCCCGTATCATTCGATCGGTAGAAGGAGTCCCATCCTTGCCACACAGTATTGGGTACCTGAGGCTCTGTCTGTGGGAACGATCTAGTATTTACTTGATTCATCCCCTTGAGATCAACGATAGAATATGGCTTTGGCAGGATTTTGAACAGCAAAACAGGAGCAGGTGCTCAACACTATAGCCACAACACAAGATCAGCTGGCAGTCATAAGCTATGCAGTTTGCTCTTTCCAATAGGATGATTGATGACACACTGCTGCTGCAAGATTCCTTTTCCGACACTAACGTTTAAAGAACTAAAAGGCCACCGATGTTGTGGAGAGCTTAGGGATTCAATGGCTGAAACAAGCAGCGGCGATTCGAAAGACAAGTCGCGGAAAGGAGTACTTTCAATGATATGATTGAACACGATCCTCTACATTGGTGCAAGCATGCACAGCTGCTATAAATATTGCAAGCAATTTGAAGGAGCTCGGGAGCGATAACTCAACATGATAACTGCTCCACATAGAAATTTGTAAGTTGAGATTGTGGGAGGGGATCTGCGAATTATGTCAAAGACTTGAGGATGTGCCTGAAACTGATGTGCATATGCAAGGCTGGAGGTGTGAGTAGAGCTCACCGCCTCTGGAAATCAAGCCTTAACTAGGTACTGTAAATTATCCTGTGAGATATAGGAATGATATACTTATTAGTCGACGTCATTCTACCTTAGATATAACCAAGCATATAGAAGGTCGTTGACGACTCCGGAAGTAAAAGTATCTAGATACAAACACTGAACAAAACAAAGACTTATCGTACGCTCTTGAATATTTTAAAAGAAGAGCTTTATTGGTTTTCTAAATGGGTGCATTAATAAATATATATATGATCAGAAGCGCGCATTTAAAGAGACAATAAACTAGATAGCTATCTCTAGCTTTGAAATGAAACTAATCATTTAGAACAATCCTTCGATTAAAGGTGCTCCTTTTGCAAATTTAAATAATTAAAATCTTATTTAGTTTTAGTTTTGGTTTTTTTAATAAATTTTTTAAAAAATAAAATATTTAAATTAGTTGTTTTTTAATAAATACAGTTGAAGTTAGATTAAGTTTAATTATTGACTGAAAATTAAATTCAAGAACAGCTATTCCTAAATAGAGAATTTTAAAGATAACTAGTTGGTTAGTTTATTGTCTCCTTAGATTTTTTCCTGCCGGTATATCGGCTTCTGTGTATGATTGATGCTGCGCACGGACCTATCGATTTGTTCCTGAAAGACTGCCCAATGTTGCATCCTCTCGTGGAAAATAAACGTCATTTTTGAAATATAATTTTAAACTTACAAAGATAATACATCAATTCTTATGCACATATAATTTTTTCTATTTCGAAGACATCGTCTTCAATCTTCTTGTCAATAAAGACAAATTTAATGCATTTCACCTCACCCATGGCTTTTACCAGCGCCACCACCTCAGAGCAGACGCCTCTCCTCGAAGGACAGCCTCTCAGTCCTACAAATACGTCGAAGAAAGCGTCAAGGAATGTTACCTTCAATGACAATCCAACGGTCAGGACGATTGATTCAAACGAGTCTACGCAACCCAAGATTTCCTTCCACTCAATAACCGCGTCACCGACAACCAACATAAGCTCTTCTTTCAATAGCAAACTTCGTCGCCGAAACAGCTATGGCTCTCCTCAGGTGCCAATGCACCCAGCATCAAAGATAGGCCCTCAAAGAGCCAGTAAAGTCACACAGAAGCTGAAGTATCTGCCTGATCTAGAGGTTGGCGCAGATGGACCTGATGAAGAAAGCGGACGAGACGTTTATTCACAATTTACACGAATTAAAGATCCAACAGCGCGAAGAGATGCTGCAAGATTGGGAAAGGCAGATCGTGATCGATTACCGCGAGTTACCGCATTTTGCACCGCCAACAAATACCAATTGGACAATGTGATGCGTTTCCTGAAGGGTCGAGGCAAGACGAAGTTTGGAGCGAACCCAAAATCCTTTGACGAATGTATATATACACCATTTAGATACGGCAAAGACCTTGGAAAAGCGACTTCAGATCAGGACATGGAGGTACATAGTGCGCCGCTGAAGATGACGGAGCGCAGGCACTCGGATAGTGCTATTGAGGTTGAGGATAACAAGAAACAGCGACGAGAAGGCCTAACAGATCTGCACACTGATGGCGGTGATATCACAATCAGCAATGGCGACCACTCTCCAGCTAACAATCTTCTTCCAGAAGTCATTGAGCGACAAATAGAGAATGAGACCCAAGCTCTTATATCGGAAAGCAATCCTGATTTTGATACTCGAATACACACGCCCGAAGTATTTCTATTCGGCTATGGCGTTGTAGTAATATGGGGTATGTCTAGTTTACACGAGCAAAAGTTCCTGAAGGAAATAGCAAAGTTTGAGAGCGGCAAGTTCGCAGCCGATGATGTGGAAATGGAGTCCTTCAATTTCTATTACACCAAAGAATATCAAGCTAGAATCTATAACGATTTTATTACTTTGAGGGAAAAGGGGAATTATATGACCAAGCTGGCAATTTCCCATGGTTTGGCTCAGAGTGTTAAGGTATTCCTTGTTTGAATCTGATTCTTAATAAGATGCTAACTATCCAATTTAGACCTCACTCTTCGAATCTCTTGTAGACAATACCATCGACCAAAACAAAGACATCCCGACTCAAATTGCGCTAACAGGGACTATCGCTCTCCCACGAAAACAAATTAACATGCAAATCGGCGAGCTCTTCATCCTACGCATAAACATTCACCTCAATGGTTCAATTCTAGATACGCCCGAGTTATTTTGGGCAGAACCGCAGTTGGAACCAATATACCAAGCTGTCAGAAGTTACCTGGAAATGGATCAGAGAGTGAAGCTCTTGAATGAGAGACTGGATGTTATTGCGGATTTGTTGGCAGTACTCAAGGACCAGCTTAGTCATCGACATGGAGAGAAGCTGGAATGGGTGGTTATCGTTCTCATCGCTGTGGAGATCTTAGTTGCAGTTCTTAATATTATCGTCGATCTATCAGTCGGCGAGTAATTGACAGATATCCATCCAACTAATCATTAAAGGTAGAAATTGGGGAGTGCTATGGTTATAGTTACCCCTGCGCAAAGCTCTGAAATAAGGGGCTAGAAATTCGTACCCAGATCCGATTAAAAGAAAAGAGCTTCGACCACTCCAGTTCACTCTCAGGTGACACTACCACGGAATAATATCCGGATTGTTTTTGCATCAGACACTCAAGAGCTGAACATACGACAATGGATCACAGGCGTTCTTTTCTTTTTCATCTCATCTGGCTGGACGGAAATCACAAAATTGTACATAATATTACCTTCCACAGTACTTAAAAGACTGCGCTGCGTTGCGGAGTCTTGAGATCTGGATGTGGATCTTCTTTTGTGCTTGGCTTGGACTTGATTAGATAATGGGGGTTTGGATACTTCTTGCGGAGGACGAGTGTTTTAATTTTGTGTGAAGGGGAAGGGGAAGGGGAAGGGGTGAAGTTGATTTGGGAAGTGCTGTGCCTGTGTGTAGGTAGTTATATGTATATGTATATGTACAGAGGACGGAAAGGGCAATGGGAATGGAGAACGTATGGAATAAATTAATATATTTGGATCTGTCTAGTTTGATGGTATGTGATGTGATATGTTATGACATGATATGATATATTGCCATGATTGCTTCCAAACTATCCACTTCCCCGCGGACTTTGTCGAAATAAGATCCTACAATAAATACCTAGTGAGAAATAAGGGAAATCATTGCGGAGATTATAGCTAGCTGATTAAAAGTTTTTTTTTTGCAACCTTTACTAACCTTAGGTACCTAGGTATTTTATTAAAACTTCATCTCTCATCTCAAATAGACTGACTGAGATTGTTAACATATTAACATATATTAACATACTAAATAGATTTATTATTATCGGAAATGAGTTTTATCATATCATATCAAGCCAAACCCATGGTGCTAAACATATTTTCATTTTTCTGAATTGGAGTCTATACTCTATATTTGGTGAGATGAGATGAGATGGGGCGAGATGAAATGAGTGTTTTTTTGTCTTTCACTGCACTGAGGAATTGCAACTCACACATTTTCGGGTATCATAAAGGGGGTTACAGTATTTCCGTAATTAGAATAGTAAAATCATAAAGTTAATTGTTAATATTACATTGAAAGGGAAATAATTGGACTACCAGATACATCGGCAGGAGAGATCTCTGCACGAAAAACCCCATCTCGGGGAAAATGAAAGAAGTAGCTCTAATATTTGCAGGCCGCCTGCTTCATCCTCACGTCCGAAACGCCAAGTTTTGAATATTTTCATCACTCCATTATCTCGTGCCGCATATAGTATTGATCCAGACCCTTTCCTTTCCTTGACTTCCAACCAACTCCATAGATTACATCTAGCCTCTGTTCACAGCCGTGAAGCCACCTGCTCCGTTCGCGCCATTATCATTGGGAGTCTCTTCACGTCCGCTTTCTCCCATTTCTACATCATCGTCTAAAGGGCTTCCATTTTCGGCTTTCTTTGCATTCTGCATCGCTTTGAATAGCTTTTCGTATCGTTCTCTAGTCTCATCGTTTGTGTCTCTCCATCCGCTTGCTAAAAGCCAGTCGATATCAACGGTTCCTTGCTTGATATCATGTCTATGCTGTACTAACATGGGCCCACGGAGTTCCTGACAATAAAAATCGAAGCCTGATTTGGGTGTTTTGGGCGGACCAGAAGGAGGAATAGACGGGGAATTAGAGGCCGAGTGTGGTGTTCGACCGCCCATAGGAGTGGAATTGGAGAGTGCGCGGCGGGGAGATATGGGTTGTGGATGGACAAGGGAGGAATTGAAACTGGCGAATGTTCCTTGTCCCGGGTTGGGGACATCAGGATGTGTATGTGAGAAGGCGGAGGAGGAAGGTGAGATAGCGAGATTGGCATTTAGACTGTTTGGTAGAGGGATGGACGGATCGCCCAGGGTATTAAGGAAAGAAGGTTTGCGATGACCACGTTTTGTGCGCAATGGCTTTTCTTGCGGCTGTCAGGTTTTGCGTCAGACATTTAATTTCGATTCTTATGGAAGAGGGATGCGAGGTTAGGGAGAGAAAAGACCTACAGTTGGAGGTGGGCTTGGCGAACCCTCCGAATCTTCCACATTTGTACTCGTACGCTTTGCCAATTGTTCCAATAAGAATGCTCGCTCGAGCCGCATCTTATTTATCGCTCGCTGCATTCTAGCTAATCTGAGGCGTGCAGCATCATTTGCTTCCTCGACTTCGTTCATTCGAGTCTTGAGTTGAATGCATTTCCGTTTGTATGATTCCTCGACTGATGGGGGAAGCGTGGGTGGATTTTTTGATATCCCGTTGGACGCCATTATGATCGAATCGTGGTCGTCCAACAGATAAAGTTAGGGTTATGCTTGAAGGGGATCAACTGCTATCCTGAGCTTCACAATGGTATGATGCTTAAATTCTCGGATTGATATCGCAGCAAGTGCAAATTTCGTTTTGATAAAAGCTTATTAAAAGACGATATGTTGGTTGGGAAGAGCGAATCTTTGGACGTCGGTGTTGACAACTAAATTCGTTCCACTAGGTTTGGGGGACCTAAATAGCTATAAGCCTAATGAATGGATTAGTACAATATGTTATTGAAACTGATTGATTGTATTTGATTTTACCTTTACTTTTGCGCAAATTCTGTTGATTATTTAGATGAATTTGTATGTTGCAAACGCAAAGTTTTTGTAACATTCTTGTTCGTTGTGTAAATTTATTAAGCTTCAGGTCGCATTTCATTCTTTGGTTCTATGAAGCTATTCGGACGGAAATGGCATGACGTTTATCCGACATGCATAATTAATTTATGCCTTACTCCAAAATAAGGCACAATGCACGCTTCCTCCACCAAAAAAGGCAGATAGTCGCGACTTTTTTCATTGAGCAGTAAGGAAAGGATTACATCGACGAAAGAGACGTTTTTTCTTAACACATTTCAAGATGTCTCTCAATATTCCAAATGCCCCAAACTCTAACCTTTTCAAACAAGGTTATCAAAAGTACGAAAACCTCCCTATATTCTTTCCAAACTGCAGCAGCTAATCCCCCTCTCAAGCTATGATTCCGAAGATGGAGCAGTTATTCGTAACATTGATGCGTGTCGAACTATTGCCTCAACCGTTCAGACTTCCTTAGGACCTTATGGACGAAATAAAATTGTCATCAACCATCTGCAAAAGATGATCCTCACATCAGACGCCGCCACTATCCTCCGAGAACTGGATGTTGTCCACCCCGCTGCGAAGCTCCTTGTCATGGCGAGTCAGCAGCAAGAAGCAGAGATGGGAGATGCTACAAACTTAGTTATTGTTCTTGCCGGAGAGCTTTTAAAGAAGGCCGAGGATCTGTTAAGGATGGGCTTAAAAACCAGTGATGTGGTTATAGGTTACGAGCGGGCACAGAAGTTTGCATTGGAAGAGTTAGAGAACTTGGTGGTAGACAAAGTAGAGGACATGCGATCGCAGGCAGAACTCAGCAAAGCCATTCGAACCGTCATTGCAAGCAAACAAAACGGCAACGAGGAATTCTTAGCAAATATGGTCGCCGAGGCAGTTTTAGCCGTTCTCCCAAAGAACCCAATCAACTTCAACGTTGACAATATTCGAGTTGTTAAGATTATGGGAGGAAGTTTAGAACAAAGTAGGGTGGTTAAGGGTATGGTTTTCGGCCGTGAGCCAGATGGATCGGTCAAGAAGGCTACCAGAGCCAAGGTTGGTGTATTCTCATGCCCAATCGACATCAGTCAAACCGAGACGAAGGGTACCGTTTTATTACATAATGCAAAGGAAATGCTGGATTTCACAAAGGGAGAAGAGAACCAGTTGGAGACTGCTATCAAGGAACTTTACGATTCTGGTCTACGAGTCGTAGTTGCTGGTTCTACCGTAGGTGAACTTGCAATGCATTACCTCAACCGCTTTGGTATCTTGGTAATCCGTATCCTTAGCAAATTCGAACTTAGAAGGTTATGTAGAGTCGTCGGTGCTACTCCACTAGCTAGGCTGGGAGCACCAATGCCTGATGAGATGGGAAGTGTTGATATTGTGGAGACCCTTGAGATTGGTGGAGACAGGGTCACAGTTTTCAGACAAGAGAACGAAACTACCAAAACCGCCACCTTGGTTCTCCGAGGAGCAACAATGAACCATCTTGATGATGTCGAGCGTGCTGTTGATGATGGTGTCAATGTCGTCAAGGCTATTACCAAAGATCCCAGACTTGTACCAGGTGCCGGAGCTACAGAAATCCAGCTGGTTGAGCGGATACAAGCATTTGGTGACAAAACTCCTGGTTTGGCTCAATACTCTATCCGAAAATTTGGTGAGGCTTTCGAAGTTATTCCAAGGACTATAGCAGAAAGTGCTGGTCTGGACGCTACGGAAACTCTCAGCAGGCTTTACACTGCTCATCACAAGCACGATAACTGGAATACCGGTGTTGACATTGAGGTAAGCTCGATTAATACAACATCGCAGAAAGTATACTAACTCATGAGTAGAACGAGGACGATACTGGGACTCTTGACGCAAAGAAGGAAGGTATTTTAGATCTTATGATCGCAAAGAGCTGGGCTATCAAGCTTGCTACCGAGGCGGCGAGAACTGTGCTTTCTGTCGATCAAATTATTGTTGCAAGACAAGCTGGTGGTCCAAAACCTCCAGGACCAAACCCTGTAAGTTCACAAGCTTCCCATGAACGAGTACCCTCCACTAACTGGGAAAGAACTGGGATGAAGATTAGATATAATGCATTAAAAACGCTGGGGAATGTAAAATACCAAGTCGTCATGAATTATGAAAGACAATTTACGATGCCCAACGATTCTTCTAATTTTGTGTGCATGATTCCCTCTGCAAAGTTTTTGAATTTCGTGAAATCTAGGTCAATCATATAAGACTAATCCAATCTTTGATGCTAACCCTAAGTTTTGGGTGCTATTATAAGACATCGCATTACCAATATATCCTTTGGCCGGCCGGCAGATCTGTCATAAGATTCGACGAGCCAATCAATATCCTTAGGGTAGACATCCTAGGAGCTGATTTGACGTGCAGGAGCTGATGCCAGGGTCGCCAAGCTCGTTTCAATGGTCATCTGAAATTGGGGGCGTGTGTCAAGATCTTTCACTGAAGTCAACCAGTACAAATCCCGCCCGTTCTCATTAATGTGAAAATCATCCAAAAATTAAACTTAAAACAAGGATCGGATGAAACACTCTTTTGTCACTTTAATCAGATCAACCAGTGCAGACCCGACAGATCGACCCGAGACCCGGCCCTCTAACCGCCCAATAACATGGCTACACAGAAACGACTTTTGCGACGCGTGGGGTTTCATTCCTTGCATATCTGCTCTATTGGATAAAAGTTTTGCTTGTTTGGGTTGGAGATGAGCTTCGGAGGATTATTTGGTAATATTCTGATCAGACAAGATTTTGCTTTTGGGAAATGCACATGTTGTGACCTTTTACGGTATGTGTTTCGAGGACCACCGTCACTATGGTTACTTAGGTATCTGGGGTTGATATAAAGCTTTCTACTTTCTTGCACAGTATCAGCTTCAACTGCGTTCGTGTTAGGTCTCTACCCTCATTTCTTTTCTGTTACTTTATTCTCTCATTGGATTTTTCTTCCTTTCAACTGCTGGGCAGTCTTTCATTCCTTAAGCAAGTGTCCGAGATACCTTTTGCTCCTTACCATCAATCCTTAACTTTGTTGTTATCAAGCTGTAGACCATGTATCTCTCCTTTTCATTGTTACTCTTCGCAACGCGTGGTTTCTCCTCTCCTACTTTTCGCAAAAGAGTTGTCACTTCTCTTGACCAAGCTGCTTTCGAAGAAGCCCAACAACGGGATGATACTGCAACGAGGGCTTTCTCGTCCGTTCCTATTATAGTATGTTCTACCGTTTTATCCAGGACTCATATACCTTGGTGCTAAATAAATCTAGACATCATCCGGGCAGTGCCTTTTTGTAGATGGACTATCCGGGGACTTCAGAGCAAACCTGACTCCGGTCCAGGTGACTGCCTGTGATGGCAGTACCGGACAGCTTTGGGATGTTCTTACGAGTGGGAAGCACAATGATGTGGCAGGTAGCATGTTGGTTGTCAATACATTGGTGAGCAAAATTTGGCGTTTGTTCGTTCATTTTCACAGACTGATGACTCCCCAAGACTCAGGCTTGTTTGAATTTTGATCCTCGTCGTGCGGCAGGTAATACTGTCATCATGTTTTCGTGCGGTGGTCGGGCCGATGGAGGTATGTATCATCAACTTCAATCAAGGCGTCGTCGCTAATTCCGGTAAGATGGAGTTGTCACAAACTCCCAGCTATTCCCTTTTAATGGAACTTCTGGCCCACTCACTCTTTCCCCCGAAAACGCACCAGGTACCTGTTTATCTGCTACGACCTCCAACGTTCTCGATGAAGCGCCTTGTGATGAAACTGATTCTAGCCAAACATTTACTTTTGGCGCCTCGAACACTTCCATTGGTCCAGCAGCCGCCAGCTCTGTTGCTCCAGCGGTTTCAGCGACTTCAGCGGCTTCAGATGTAGCAGCCATTCCAACTTCAACAGTTTTAGTGACTCCAGCAGTCACCTCTTCGTTATCTTCTCCCAGCTCAGTAGCTGTCACCGCAGCTGCATCGACTGTTCCGACAGGCGACCCAACAGCTCCTCTCCCAGTGTCCCGTGCTGGAGGTGTGCTTGATCCTTCAGCCGCTGCAGAAGCCAATGCACTTGACAATACTGCTGTAAAAGCATTCTCGTCTGTCGCGCTGAAAGATGCATCTGGGCAATGCCTATTCGTTGATCCAACTGCAGGTGACTTTAGACAGAACCTGATTCCAATTACTCTACAAGCATGTGATGGAAGTCAAAATCAAGCATGGGATATTGTTACAAGTGGGAAGCATAACAATGTTGTTAACTCAGTGCTTGTGGTCAGCAGCTTAGTGAGTACTTCTCTCTGAAACGAAAAGTCTTCGGGAAATGCTAATGATTCTAAATAGACTCAAGGATGTCTTAATTTTGACCCCAGAAGACCTGCTGGCGACACAGTTATTATGTTCTCTTGTGGAGGAAGAGCTGATGGCGGTACGTATTTTCGCGACTATTTATATCCTTCAAAAAAGCATGCGCTGAGACTTCGAACAGATGGTCTAGTAACAAACTCACAACTCTTCCCTTTTATCGAAAAAGGCCAAACAAGCATTTTACTTGCCCCTGAAAATGGGAATAATGCTACTTGCCTTGCGGCAAACGCTGCTGGGAAATTAGATTCTACTACTTGTAGCGGTGATAAGGCTAGTCAATCGTTCACTATTGTTACGACAGACTAGGGATTCGAAGAATGGCTATCGGGGTTTGTTTATCAATCATACCGTCAGCAAGTCTTCGTTCTATACGCTTGGCAGAATCCAAGAATGCAATTGTACTCTTAGATTCCTGGATTGTGTTTGTACGAATGCAGACACATTTAGACGGCTCTTTCTTTAGCGAATCTAATAATTTGGTTCATACGCATTGAAGGGAAAACTTATGAATCCCATGATTGGTTGGTCCTCCATGTAAATGTATATGCGATTTGTGAATACTTACAGCATTGAATGCAACTGATGTCTTGTTGTTTTGATGGCAAGTCCATATATCATATGGGGTGTAATTAAATCGTGTTTATTAGCCAGCGGCCACTAGCGTGCTTCGCTTACCCCGACTTACCAGCCACCATAGGATAAATAATGGCTTCCCTTACTCGTCTCGTGTTTCATTACTTTGAACTCAGTTGTCAAATCTGACCAAAATATCTTCCGCTTATGATATCGAATCTTGCAAGTGCTTAGGTCGTTTTAGGCCGTATTTGAAATCCCGTAATTTTGATACTCGGCCACTCCACATTTCCATTCTGATGCACAAATATCTCGGGGAACATTCCGAAAACTTCCCTCGGTGCTGCTGCTTTGTAATTTCAGTTGATGGCTATATAGGCTTCTGGTGTAACGGAATTTGTACCACGAGGAATAGAAAAGAGGGCGATCTCTAAACGCCCCCAGGCCATAAAATTATTCCGACCAATTTTAATTCAGGACCTACCACATTCCAGATCATCAATCATGACCCATGACACAGTGGATGCATCCCTGTGATCTATCAACTATTCCATTAATGTTTCGGCCGAGGAAAGCCGCTGATTCGACTCGTCAGGACAAAGTTTCCATGTTGACAGACAACGGGAAATAATGTTAAATAACACACGAGATACACAACATTCGCGTAAGCAAAGTTTAGGTTTAATCACTTTGGGATTTTAACCGTCTAGACTGTGTGTTAGAAATGAAGGATTCAGGCCATTAAATTCGTTGCATATATACTAAACTCATTCATGTTATCCAATAGTCAGGACTGACAGGTTAGGAGGATGTTTCAAAACTTTGTTAAAGTTTCGAAAGTAGCGGGGATCATACGGTTCACAGGAAAGCCTTGAATGGAGAGCAGAATCCCTGATAATCCTGCATGCATCTTTCTTATACTCGTTACCGCCCCAAGGGATTTTGCCTGGGATACACGTTATTTGTAATTGAGATGCTGCTGGAAGTTTTCTTTACAGCTTCTTTCAATCCATGTAGCGCTGGAAAGATTTGGTACCTTGGCTTGAAGTGAAGGTGGGTCCAAATGGAAAGTTATTACTTCTATGTTCGATTTCAGACTAATTCTGCCATTACAAGATCGTCCTATCGTAAGGGCCCCCTTTCAAACCGCAGGAATTATGCTTACCAAGGGGAGGCTAAAGCTCCTTTAGATGTGGGGATATATTGTTCTATCTTCAAGGCGAGCCAGGATACCAATTTCATGCAGAAGCTCTTGTGAATGCAATGATATAAAGAGTGGATTCGATCCGAGGCGATCACTTTGCACATGATGTAATTCATATCCTGATTTCTGACAATGGGGCACAGATTCTAATCTTTAAACCCACCAAACTAACTGTGCCTCACAATACGTCATTCATAGATTGTGCTGATTCCATGGAAGGAAATACTGTAGGTTGATTCTGTCCTGAATATGCACTTGTGAGGCGTGGATACCACCGGATATCAGAATCGTAGCACTTTGACATGAGATCTGCAAATTCTACGGTTGGTTTCATATTTCAATCTACTGGGTAGTTATTCATGCAGTATCTGCAGTTAGAAACCCTCTATATCTGCATGTTGATATTGAAGTTAGATGTCTGTTGGATTTTGATATGGATTTGGATTCTTTAACCAATGCCATCCTTGGAAATTGCCGATTGGTGATTGGGCCAGCATCGTGCGTACCGGAGTATATGCTACATACCAAGCAGGTTCTCAAGTTTGGTTGTGTACCATGTTTTTCAGGATGCGTTTGGTGCCTATTATTGATGCTGCAGGGATCAAATCTATCCATGCTTGGATTCTGTATTGTTCTTCAAGGGAACCGGGCGTTTTCTCCATGTAGCAGACCAATATCTGAGTGATTCGTGATTTACTGCAGCAGTATTTCTCCTATTCCTGTACAGAATCTGAAAATATCTCCGCAATCCCCAAGGTGCACATATTGAAAACCAAATTTCTGGTTGGTGGAGAAAAGTTGTAGGTACTACTACAGGAAAAAATTGAGAAACCACAGGTGTCACAATTCTCAAAAGAAGAAAATAGAAAGATAATTCAACTCCATAAGTTATCGAAATTCACATGTCAAGCTTGAATCCACCAACACACCCCTTCTGAAATAAGCCTTCGGGATCATATAGCCTGCTAACCTCCCGCATAAACCGTAGATTCTCCTCGCCATAACCTTCAAAAGGTTTCTGCCAGCTAGCACAGTAGTTTAGATATCGCCACTGATGACTGGTTCCATTTTCTGACGCAATTCTCTCAATTTCTTCAATCGAGCGACGGGTAGCAGCATGAAGTTGCTTATCATCTTCGTCTCTCTGCCAATTCACAGTAAAGCTCACAAGGACGAGAGGTTCATTGACATCATGTAAGCCCAGCGGATTTGTGTCTCCTTTATGTAACCAAGCCGGCAGAAGAGGTTGTAACACGAGCGTCCATGACAGACCTTTAACGGACCGGAGTGAAGCAATAGCATTTTGTTACACGGCATGGGTGGAGACTAAAGTTGCGACGTCGTTCTTAATAGTGGTGTTGGCGAGTATTTGACGCCTACCAGGGGGGTTAAGAGCATTCATTTCATCAGTGGCGCTTGTCAAAGTGCGAATTTTACAAGTGCTCCAAAGGCGAAAGAGCGACTTGAAAGAAGATGTATCCCAGCAAGCCGGCCATTTATTCTCCGGCGGCTTTGTGTGGACGAGATTTACCGAAATAGCTTGCAAGCCCAGCGGTTGAATATAAGTAAAACAGGCTATAGGGCCAGCAGCATGCTCATCTGAGTCTATTCGAGCGACAACTTCATGAAAGGCGGCAAGAACTTTGGCAGCTTGTGAACTAGGCATGTAGAGGAATCCGCTCCATATTTTAGCGGAGGGGAAGCTGCGGACTTTGAACCGCGTAACAATGCCGAAATTGTTTGAGCCGCCTTTGAGGGCACGCCAAAGATCGTTATTGTTGGTAGCGGAAGCTGTAGTAATTGATCCCGATGCAAGAACAATATCGTAGCTAATGACGTTGGAGCACACTAAGCCGAACTGGGGGCAGAAAAATGAAAGACCGCCTGTTCGATTGCCTGGTTAGCCTCGGTGCAAGGAAGAATTGGGTATATATACAGTGTTGTCTTCAATATCATTGTAAATGCTGCTATCGGAAGGACAAAAAGAAGGTAAAAGCTCACCTCCCAGAGTCAATCCTCCAACACCTACGGCAGAGTTTCTGCCTCCTACAACAGCAAGGCCTCTTTCATCCAGAACTTTTGAGACATCCATCCATCTGCAGCCAGCTCCAATGACAACACATGATCCATTGTGGTCATTTAAAGGTGTGACTTCATTGAAGGACTTTAGGTCAATGAGGACACCTCCCTTGACAGTTGCGGCGTTAGCAACACAAGAATGGCCACCACTTCGAATAGCAAATAGATGATCACCGTCTGGCTCTCCAGAAGCAGATGCTTTAGTGTTCTCATCGTAGGCGTGTTTGAGTATTTTGACAGCAGTAGAGAGCTCTTGGTCATTGCAAGGGCGAACTACACATGCTGGGGTTACTTCACACTCTTGTTTAGCCCAGTAAGAACCCGTCGACTGACTGAAAGCCGTAGCATGTCGTGGGAGAAAGACACTGTTGGGTAATGCCTCTGAAAGCTTTTTGCTGATCCCTGCAGGCTCTGGCAAGTCAGGCTGTACGAGACTTTTGGGTGAGCTCCGCAGAAAGCGCATAATGAATATTGAAAATGTGATTACAATAAGTGTCACAGCAGGTGCAACGGCTACTTGAAAGGCCATGCTTATGGTTCGGATTATCATTTCCTTGGAACAGCAGCTTTGCACACAACTATCCGCAGCTAGTTCCAAGGAGGCAGGGTTGTGTTTATAGGGAGGTGTGACAGCCATAATCGGCGTAAGCTTGGGTGCTGCAACTGCAGCCCTTCGCCGCAATTTATCAAAACAAGCGGCGCAGCCAGCGCTTACGGAAAGCCACCGGATCTCATTTGATGACATTCAACGGCGGCTTCCTGGCGAAATGCGGAGAATCGGAACTTCAGAGTCATTTTTCCGCTTTGCATTTCTCGTTGAGGAATTTTTTTATTCCATACATGCGGTCCAGAAAAAAATCCTAACATGCAACAAAAAGCTCACCGAGTATCGTCCGTAGTCTAGTCATTTAGTACTCGGGGAAGTCTGCTCGATTTATTTTTAAATTCCAATATAACTAATGAATACAGACACCAACCCATAATTCCCGGTTTTCTTAGACGTCGTGTCTGCATTTTATCCTAGGCTGCTTGTTTTGAATCCCATCTTGTGGTCGTATCAAATTGACCGTCCACGGAACCACCAAATTCAGTAAAAGAAACATTCCAGGGCATCACTCATGCTACGTCCGGTATGGCTGACACTTCCCAGATGTGCAATCGGCCATGGCGCTCGCGCATTTGCTCTCTGGTGACAGTATAAAATGTGTCAGACGAATCTGAGATTCTGGATCTGCAACTCTAGGGTTCTCAGGCTCTACTCGGTCATAGGCGGTCAGGTCCAGTTCATTCATTCTGATACCTTTATGACCCCCAGAATTGCCTACATCATCACCGGGCCAAGCTGTGAATCCGGGCTGGTGATCACCTGAGAGCTTTTCTCGCTTATTCCTGCCGGGCAGATGTATGAGGCTGGACTTGAGTGATGCTTTCCAGGATGCAAGAGAGAAACTCCATCCGCTGAAAAATTGATGGACAGTAGGCATGCTAGAGGCAGCGACACCGGCAAATGTCTCAATATTCCTGTGTGCGGTCAGCCTTTTGATAATTGGATTGAATAATGAACCATACGTCCAGAGCAAGACATAGCCGACTTTCCAAGTCGCGTCACTGGGATCACTTTGAAGTTTGACGCGGTAGTACAGGTTTATCATGGAGGCAATGGCAGCTCTAAACACCAAGTTAGTTTTTTTCTGGGTATTCTGTGCTTAATTCAGCAGAGTATTCACAGGCCTCCGGTCATAAAGATGATCAACACACCAATCTTCTTTGCAGTAGACATTTGCAAAGCTAAGACAAGCCGGAATTGGAAGAAGGAAAAGATACCAGTCCACCAGCATACCGATCACGCCGGTCGGAATAGTGAACTAGGCAAATTTAAAATAATGCTCTGACAGTATGGTCTCAAGCATGGTTTCCCCATGTCAAGGACTACACATTACGAAGGCTGTGATGCTGACAGTGATGTAGAAGAGACCGTAAAGCGTAGCTCCAATCCACACACTAAATTCTGACCCATCGCATGAGACTGAATAGTAAATAATATTGAATGAAGAGGCTGAATTTGATGAGGCCTAAAGCTGGAGTGACCATGACCACGGCGATGTAGCTGTGCTATTATTCATTAGTAGCATGCTCAAAATATAGACATTCTTATATTCCATACGTATAGACTAGCTTTCCCAAGGGCTTGAGATAAGTACATCTCCCATTGGTGTCGGCCTGCTGCCCCGTGCAGGCACCCTTTGTAGCCTTAGCCCCACAGGTTCTTGACTCGGAAATTCACTTACCGTTAACTGCCGCCCCAAAATACGCTAGACTGAACATCTACACATATCACATTAGATGGAGCTCTGACTTCGTTTTCATAAGCGCGGTAGGCATACTTACAAAGCCTAGTGCACAGGTTACTGATGAAGCTAGTCAGTGTCATGTCTGGTTAGAAGTCAGAACACACTCACAATCATCCCACCTCCAAATCTTTTTAAGTGCGATTCTGGTATAGATACGAATTATGAAGCAAACAACACCCAGCACAAAAAATGCTATACTAATGCCCAAAATAACAGGAACCCGCGTGGCTGGATTTGCAAAGTTCGGTACGACTCCTACCGGTGGATATGCAACTGGCAACGTGTCCAACATTGCCTGAGGAATGGCTGCGACGAGTTTGGGATTGACGTATGGCATAGTGTTCACAACTTAATGGTTTTGAATAGTAGAGCAATTTTTTTGCTGTAAAAGGTAACTTCTCGGGTTATTATATCACACTCAAAGGGACTGTCGTTAATTATTGGGCATTTAACTTGAGCACAACTAGTTGAGGATGCAAGGTAGACAATGCAGCAGTATCCAGAGTTGAAGAGGCACAGTGCGTCATGCTGTCGTATTGGCCATTACCTACCAAACCTTTATGTGTGCCATTGCGCTACTGACCAGCTGCAGTTCTCACACATGCAAGCATTTGAAGTAGTGTACAACGCACCCCAAAGCCACTTTTTTTGGTATTGTGGATGAAAAGGTTTGATGGTCAGTAGTTGCACTTTTGTAGCCCCCAATGTACATGATTATCCCCCAATCATATGCAAAGATTAAAAGGCTTTACAGCACCTCATTATCAAAAAACAAATCAACCATGGTGCTTTCATCATTCCTTAGGGGAGCCACCTTCCTATCGAAGCTTTCATGAGAAGTGAGTGTACGGCGCGGACAAAATTGATATAGGTTGCACAATTCTGAGTTCATAAAATAGGCAAGCATCTAGAGTATTACGATAGGCTCAGGGTCGAAGCTTTGGAGTATAGAGATGTATCGGTTGGTTCCATGAATCAGGAAATGCCTTACATGGACAGCTTCATAAAGGAGACTGCACGTACAACTCCAGCCATCATACGTAAATTAATCTTTTATAGTTGTTTAAAGGGGGACTTTGACTGCATTTTCGCTTCCGTTGCTGATATTCACTCGACGCATTATAGTCAGCGCTCCAGGTAGAGTGATGGTCCCTTACACATCTGCTCAAAGTTGGCATTCACCGGCAGGTAATGTTAGTACCACGGAAATTCTACTTTAAACATGCAGAACTACCTCTTAATTGAACTGCAAAATAATCTAATTCTTCGCTGGTGGGTTGCTATTCCACAAATACCTCTCATGCAAGACGAAAAACTTTGGCCATGTGACTCCTCATTCGAAGGGTTTCGCTTCGTCAACGAGGACGGCACCTCCAAGTCTCGCTTCACTCATCCGAGTTACGACTTTCCATTCTGGGGATCGATTCGCCATGCCTGGTAAGTCAGCAATCCTAGTCTAATAACAATGACTTACAGATATCACTCTCTAGTCCAGCGCGATTTTACGTCTCCATGGTGATGAAAATGATTCTTGGCCATTTGATTCTGGAGTACGAGTTCAAACTCCCAGATGCAAATGCCAAACCTTTCCTGGCCTTTGGTAAGATGAGGCTACTTAACCCATTTATGTCTCTTTTGGTGAGGAAGCGAATAGATGTTGGTTCGGGCATTTAGTTTACGGAGGGAGATGCATGTTCATCATAGGATGACGTAGGAATTTTCGGACGAAAGCGAAGTGTAATGGCAGTGATACTCGCGAGACGGGGCAAATTTTGCTGTAGTTGAAAAGGTTAAAGTTAGAAAGGGATAAGTGGATTTGATCATATAAATGGAATCATTTTTTACACATCAAGACTGAAAATAATATCTACCAAACTCTGCCCTCACCATCTCTTTTATGCAACTCGGATGACAGCGAGGATTTCGTCCCAAAGTTCAATCTCGGCTAAAGAATTGCATATTGCAGATATTGTAGCCCACTGCTAAGCCGCAGGCTAGGTGTTAGGTGTTAGATGTTGGGCGTTAAATATTAGATGTTTAAATGCTAAATGCCACATACTTCTAGCCGAGCATTATACATCTCAACACACTAATAGTCGGCTACTAAGAAGGTCAACTACTTCGTAATCGAGGAAAGCGAATATCCCTAAAAAGCGAATCGTCCCTCTTCAATCTTATAATATTGAGTATAAGCTTTGACATTGAAAAGCGGGAGGGACAAGTCGCTTTCCGGGAGCATTCGCCTTCCACAACTACGAAGTAGTCGGTCTTCCAAGTAACCGACTATTAGACATTCATTCTATTGAAGACAATTACTAACTTTTTCTCTCCCAAAATTCATTCCTAATTTAAGCATTTTGATCTCAAATCCCATGCTTCCATTCTTAGTAACAATAGATATATAAACCCCCGGAACATAGCATAACCCCTAGAAGGAGCGAAAACTAGCAAATGCAACGTTCTCCCTGATCACGATCACAACAATGAAATTCTCCGCAACAATATTTGAAAAAGACGTGGTATTCATAGAGACATATTTCAGTCACCTAGTCGTCCAAAATGGGACCATGCTATGGTATAAATAGGATAGTAATACAAAAAATCCAAAAAATCCAAACAAGCAACTACTCAACAATTTTCCTCGGGATAAAATAATCCACAAAATCTAAAAAGTTTCACTAGAAATCAACAAAAGTTTCCAAATGCCAAACAAAACAATCCAACTAGCACATCCTGCGCTTCAAAATGCCAAACAAGTCCAGATATTTCCATGCCTTTTACCATACCATCATTGCCCGGTGGTTCCATCAAAGATACAAGGAAAGGGGTAATTATGAAATATGCGTGTGCCGATAATTGTCTAATAGTCATGTTCATCTACAGAGTTCCAATTTTCATAAGAGAAAAGAATTTACTCGCAGGCAGACCACCAATCATCGGTCCTAACACACTTGGTTCCGGAATCACACTCAGTTGGTCCGGTATATCCTTCGCCACCACATTGGCTCCACTGTGCAACAGTTCCGGAAGAGGAAGTTGAAGTAGCGGATGCGGCGGCGGATTTGACGCTGCTTTGACCATCAGCAGCCCTGGTGGCGGTAGCAGTAGCAACGGCCTTGGCAGAGGTGATGGTAGACTTGACCTTGGTGGTGAAGGTGGATCCAACAGCAGTGCTGGAAGCTTTGGCAGAGGTGACAGAGGCCTTGGATGTAGTTGCAGCGGCGGATCCTGAAGCAGGTGTACCTCCAAGTGCCTTGTTGATGCTAGCAAGGTAACCAGAGTTGCCGATCAAAGTAACCATATCCCAAGCCATGACACCACCGAAGCTCTTGAATGTCTTGGAGTAGTTGATCACATCAGTCATGGTGGCCTGGTCGACGTATCCAACAGTGGCAGCGCTGCTGCTACCTGGGATACCAACGAAAACTTTAACATTCTTGTTTTTGGAGGTGCTTGAAGCCCATTTATCCCAGGTGGCCATGTTGAAAACGCTTTGAGTACTGCTTCCCTTGACAAATTTGTTGAGACCACAGTCGTTGTTGTAGAATTGGACGAAGACAGCGTCAAAGGAGACTGCACCTTGAAGGAAGGACTTATCAGCTTGATCGGGGTAAGGGCACTGCGGGGCGGCAGTCAAATAGTATTTCTTGCTGGTCTCAGCATCAGAGAGAGAGCGGAGCTCTTGAGCAAAGACATCTAAGTTGGTAAGACCTTGGGTTTCGATATCAAAATCGAAACCATCGACGACGGCGTCACCGAATGGTCTAGTGGTAGAGGATGAAGTCTTGGGACCGAAAGCAGCCCAGACATTCTTGGCGGCAGTGGTAGCGGCAGCAGAGCTTCCGAGTTCATTCTCGGTATAGGTGGCTCCTCCAATGGAGAGGAGAATGGTTTTACCCATGCCCTGGCAAGTGACGATATCCTTTCCGACTTGGGTGGGATCAGCGTTTCCAACATTGACGGTCAGCTTGTTGATGGAGATCAAGAACGCAACGGGAATGATGTCAAAATCAGCACCTTTTAAGATTTATTAGTACTTTCTTTACGTTTTTTCAACAGTATAGACTAGGGCAAAATCTTACTTGAGCAGTATGATGCGAGAGTGCCTTGGTTAGGACCCTGACCCCAGTAGATAGCGACGTTGTTCGAAGCAGTTGTGCTGAAACCAGCAAAGGCAGATGGAAGGGATGCAAGCATGCTTGCAAACCCGATGAGACTTTTTGTTGAGTACATGATGAAATGAAGTAGAGAAAAAAGTAACGAACTTAAATTTCAAATGAAGTTACGAAGTTATGAAGGAGAGTAATGGGATAAAAACCCGAAGATGAAAAAATGAATGTGGGTAGGAAATGAACGTGGTTGGGAAATGAACGTGGGTGGGAAATGAATGTGAGTAGTTTTTGCTGATGATGCTTCAGTTTACAAACCAGGAGAGCATACTTATATCTATTTCATCTCGAGACCGGTGAGTTGATTCTACATCTGAATAACATCAAAATGCTCCCGTTTCCAAGCGTTTCATTTGCCATGAATAGATCATGATGAGTTACGCCTTCCTGGAGCAGGCTCTCGTTGCAGTGGGATCAAATATGAGATGAAATTCAAATCCTATGTCAAGCGACCCCAGTCAAGCTTGCAAGCCCAAGATTCCTTCGAAGTAGATATGTCAATCGGATAGTTGATTGTGAAAGTGATGCGGCTTCCTGATGGAACGATTTTCAATCATACTTAGGCTTTGAAGTTGTGATGTTATTGGATAAACAATGTGTTTTGGAATTGGGACAATTCGATGCTCCCGAAGGATTAAACGTTTCGTTTGTCATTTGGGACTCGGTGGAACTTAGGGGCCAAGATATTGTCAGCAGAACTTTGTCAGCCCTGGATTCCGTACAATCTCGAGAAACTTGTAGACCTGGTAATGAGAAAGAAAGGACAGTTCTGCTAGAAAATATTGGTATTGATCGTTATACATTCTTGTGTTTCATTTTTGCTCGTGTAGGACACTTGTCCAGTACGTATATCGAGGCACAACAAATGCTACATCTGATATTTCCCCCCCAAACATTTTAACTACAAATAATTCAGAATTAGACGACGTTTTTCTTTTGATTAACGGGTGAATTACTCTAAGATCATATGGAGGAGGAAAACCCTTGATGGCATATAATCCTAATATGATGCTCTGAAAATGTACAGTGTTTCATTCTATGCAGTGACGACTCTGCAGTATGCTCAATTAGGTATTGATAGCGATATAGAGTCTAGAAATTTCCGTAAGTAGCTGACTGATTACACAGTGAAGAATAGCCGACTTGCAGCATCCTAGCTCGTAAATGTGTGTAGCATTGCGGCACGATCATGGCCATGACCTGTATGAAGAACCAGCAGCCGGGTCGTCTAGATCAAAGCACCAATCATGTACATGTCGTTTTAGTAGCACATGGGGAAGGTAAAATCCTGATTAGGAGTCAGCATCGACAAAGATAGAAGCTTGTTGTAACGTTGCCAGGTACCTGTCCTCGGTTTGAAATTAAGGACTCGGGTAGCGGTGGAGCTCCTAACGTAGACCCCCAGATCGCCTTCCACATGCATCCAGAAAAAGAAATGTGATACAAAGCATCTTGAGGAGCAATGAGCCTCGTTACACAAACGTCGCATTCATGCTTGTGTTTACAATCATCGTAGATCGATGAGATGTTGGAGGAGTGCAGAAGTTTACCCCACGCATAATTCATGATTCAGTTTGGGGGCTTCATGCTTACATAATGACTCAGGTCTCCCTATTCTATTCCTGCCCCTGAAGCTAAACCCTTTTAAACCTGTTGAACTTTCGTACGCGGCGGCTCAGCCGTGAAGGATTGAGATTTTGCTGCTAATTTACCTTTCCACATAAAATGATCATTAGAAAATATTACCTTCTCGAAACATGTCCACGTGAGAATCTTACGCCCAGCAAAGTATGGTCCCCGCACATCAAGGATTCGAGAATCATTTGCTGGCTAGATAGATAGAGGATTCTTCCTTCTTGATTAGTTTTTTAAGCATACAGATTTATAATCCATACTTCCTCCTCATCTATTCTTAATTTTAAGCTTCTGACTACCTTCCCAGTATCGTTGTTTTGTATTTTACCTCCTCCATCTCAATGCACATCAGATGATTAAGGAATCAATGTTCATGATGTTTGAAGTAAGTCTTACTTCATCTAGATAATGGATAATGTCTATTATCGGTGTATTGTGCTTATGTAACTTCCGAGAAGAATGTACCAAAGTAACCATCCGTTTTCTTCCAACTTCATCCCCATCCTTCGTACAACCAGTTACAATCTCAATTACATCTCCCGGCATGAAGTTTACCACATTCACGTTACATCATGTAATCGACATTCTATACTTGTCCATTGGCATTTCCGTGAGAAATCCCTTGAGCAACAGAAGACTTCCTCCAGGTTGCACAAAGATTGTGGCAAAGTAAGTTATCCAATTTTCCTGTGAAAGCGTAGTTCTTGATGAGAGAGAAAGTCTCAATCTGACGGAGCAAATTTCATGATTAGGCTGATAACGCCATTGTTTTATTTTTTATTTGACTTAAAACCTCCGACTCTCATAAGTATCATCTACTTTTAGCTCAGTACTCATGTCTTCCAAGACCGAATTTGCGATAGTTTATGATTCCCTTACTTGATGGGTGCAAGTAAACACCTACGAGATAAGAACTCAGCACTAAAGGTATTTCAAATTTATGAGAACAGTGTTGATCAGTTTTCCTCTCAAAAAACTAAGTACGCCACAAGTCAAGCTCATTATCCATGTCGGAATCCCATGGTGTGCTTCGTCAAATACAAGATCTCTTAACAACTTACTAGCATCTCAATTTCCAGCGTGGTGCGTGGTGAAATCAAGTGACTTGTTTGCGGGTATGTCCACAGCGGCCTAGAAAGTATCTAGAAGCAGTCACGTCTTAATGACTCCTACAATGAGCCTCAAGGAAGTTGTGATTGTCTGTAATTCTTGCAAATTGATGGCATAGCAATATTCTTAAATTAATCCTTCGTAAAATTGAAGGTTGATAAAGAGAACTCAAGAAAAGAGATTATAGCATTTACATGGAAGTAATTTGTTGGTATCAATTCGGTGATACTATTTGCATAGTACTATTATTACAGTATTGCGTTATTCATTCTTGCCTTCTACATTATGTGATATGGGGATCAATTATGTACAATAAGAAGGGGCTAGAACTTGCTAATTCTATGGCTCTTTTTATGAGGTTGGCTCTTTTTATGAGGTTGATCACACATGATATTCTTATAGAACTGTAGTCGAATTAATTATCATTATGGAAGTTAGACAAGATTCTATGAAGCCATACACCCATCGACGGGCTTAATCGAAAACTATCAATAATTTCTAACAACCACACAATAGACTGAATAAACCGCACAGCAGTCCATAGTTCCTTCCAAACTTTGGTTATATAAACCTACGAGGCCACTTGATTGCCAAGTCGGAATTATAACATTGAAAAATGTGATAATATTCGACTAACCTTTTCCAATATGCGTATATGTCTATACGTAATTGCTTCTTTCCATAATATAGAACAGCTCTTTCCCTACATATAATCTATCCGTATGTACTCGTACCTTCCCATGGTTTTGGACTGCCCTTTCTCTACCTGCTTATTTTTCACATTAACCAAGTTGATTTGATATCCGAAGAACTATTGCTCCAGTGTAATTTACAAGTTATTACAACAATCCAACAATTCATTAAGCATGTCTTTGCGGTCCCCAGATAGCGATAGTACTCGGGCTCCAACCCCAGATCTCACCGATAATGATGATAGTGATTTGAGCGATGGGACAGTTGATCGTCAATTATCGGCCAAGTTTCTACCCGCGTATGCAGTGCCATGACTCTTTCTTGCAGAAGCTAATTCGAAACAGGATAACTGAGTTCGATTTCTCTCTCCTTGACATCTTCAGCCGAACTCCTGGAAAGGGTCGCCGAATTGCAATAATCGTTCTCAATGGAGAAGAAGCTGGATTCCTTTTACCTCTTGAGAGAAAATTGCTCGTCCAACGCTACGAATGTCCAGCTATTATTTTATATGCGAGGAGTGATGAGATGATGTCTCAGTACTTTATCGAAAGTTATTGCAAAGATGATGCTACAACAGATTCGGAACCATTCAAGACATCAGATGGTGTTCTTGCACTGAATTATCTTTTGGACAAGGCAGACGCAAAATTCGACGATCGAAAAGCGGGTAGACACACTCGGTCATTTCTAGGCGGTGCCAAAGATTTTGTGGCTATAAATTATCCTCAACAGCATTATGTACAACTAGAAAAGTGTCTCGTAGATGATTGGTTCGAAATAGTGGCATATCGAGCAGGATGCAACACGGCGTCCGATGATAGGACGATGGGATATAGGAGGGTGCATCTTTCAAACTCGACGATAATCGACGCCAATTTCCCGGACGAGTTAAGGAAAGATATTTCCAGGAATCCTGTTTTTGTCCATCAATTCGGAGTTATTGGATTCACTCTCATAAATCTATATTCAATCCACAATTTTAACCACATAAAAGCTGGAATTCCAGACGGTTTGGTAGAGGAAGAACTATATATATCCGTCAATAAGGATAACGAAAAGCGTTTTAAAGGAAACAAAGCTGGTACAATATTCTTCTATCTTTCACCACGATTGAGTGAAGAAAGAACAAACAATGAAAATAACAATGAGCTGCTGTTCGATCTTTATGAAGTACAGGCCAAAATTGTGGCCCCCTTTCCGGATGACCCAAGTATTGGCGCAGCGGCAACCACACTTGCGGCAAACCTTGCATTATACTTATCTGAGCACGACATTCTATATAAAGAAAATCACGAAAGAGAATTGAACATTGGCGATCACAGGATATCAAAATTCTTGATGCGGTTGGATAGTGTCAACAGTACCAAAAATCAAGAATGTCGTGTTGAAGTTGTGGTGGAGACAGAGGTTGATGCTCTGTTGAAGATCAAAATTACTGAACTCAAATTCGGAGCTCCAATCACATTTGTCAAACGCGAAATGATGGAGGTGTCTCGTCGATGTATGAGTGCGGATTTTAACTTCTGGGATGTTGGCTTTAGACGCGCTGGTGAAGTGGATGATTACTTTGGACCTATTAGTGATTTTGGTGGGGATGGAGTGGGGGGTTTGCCATCATTATGTAGGAAAGAAAGACATTACTTAGCTCGTTTGTTTAAGGAAGTGTTGGGACCATAGTCTTACGGTAGAAGAATACTTATACTGAGATGAAGGGAGAGTGTACTTAGTATCGATTATATAATGAAATGCAGTCGGCACTGGCACAATAGACTATTCATCATCGGATTGGTTTTCAGATTGAAGGGCTATATGAGGATTTGACATGTCAATACCTCAAGAGAGTGTTTAATTCCTAAATCCAGATTCAAACATTGAGGAATAACATGAGGTCTTGAAACACGAATGACCATTTAGCTTCCAAGTTCAATCCAGATTCCAATAATGAATCTATGACAGGGCATCTTAACCTCAGTTGATATCAAATTGTGGAAATTGTATATAGATATTAAAGAGTAATGTGAGGTCTCTGAGTATGAAGCAACTTGCTTATCCAATTTTAAATCAATGCAGACCAAAATATGGAGAGGGATGTGAGATTTCATCGAAGCTATACTTCTGAGCTTAAGAAGCCAGTATGCGATGGTCTGAATACGGATCCGGATATTGAAGACTAGGTAGTATACAACCACTACCTGAAATAATTCAAATGTTCAGAACTTATTTCGGACATCGAGAGGTATAAAAGGCATTAAAAGGCACCACCAAAGCTATTGAACTGAGCAGTACTGTAGAAATGGAGTATTCTCCCGAGTAGTAGAAGCATTATTGAACTGAGGAGTAGCTGTAGGATAGAAATGGGATGTCCGTCTCCAGAGCATCCAATAATCCGGACCGTAGCCCAATAACGAGAAAGAAGCTTTGGATTTGTAAGTTCGATTGAAACATACAAATCATAATATAAAATAAAATAAAGAATTATATATTCAATTTATTTGAACTTTTTTATATATTGAATATACTGAAATCAAGGTGAATGATCTAGGCCATCCAAATAAATGAATCATATTCAAATATTTAAAACTTTTTAAATACTAAAAAACGGAAAATTCATACCTAGCTATTCTGCTAGTCTGGAAATGACTACTGAACGCTCTGTATTTCCATCCCCAAATATTCATATAAATCTCTGCGCTTTGAAGATCACCGACCGCAAAGACCACGAAGGGATGTCTTATACATACGTGTGTATATACATTACCTCCCATATCAATCCCCCATATCATATCCAATATCATACCATATAAAACAAAAACATCAATTAGTTCAAAACCACAAACATTTCCTCCCTTCCGGTCTTAAAATCCACTAGGATCCATATAGCTCCAAATCACTCTCTCCTTAAACCAAACCATCCAGATCCATCTACATCTATGTTTTGAATCTATTCGCAGATCTCATATCGAATTATCATCGAGTGGGGAGATTAATACTGCTGACATTGTTTGAGTATTCACGGAGTATTTATGAAGAGATTCGGGTATATATAAAAAGAACAATATAATAAAATGAATTATTTCATTATATGTACAACATACTTGTTATCACAAATGTTCAGAGTATTCTTTTCTTATCTCTGATATTCAAGTGGATCAGTAGAAGTATAATGATATAGAAAATTGTTTTACCTGATGTGAATGATTGAACAATTGATAATTAGAGGCTGGTTGTGAAAACATGATTAATCAGTCGTCATGACATCGTCGTCTCGATCTGAATATAAACAAACTTCTATCTTTCGAGGAAATAGTTGTATATATATATACCATCAATTTTCCAAAAAGTAACAATGAAACCTACCAATCACAACCGCGATCCACTTCTCACTTTCACCACCCAAATCAAAACAAAACCAAAATCCTCAACATCTCCTCAATCAAAAAAAACACCAACCACCCACCCATCCAACCAAACCCCTCAAAAAAATGAAATCACAAAAATAAGTGCAACTGCCGTGAATCGAACACGAACCTCCACCTAAACTTCACCGTTTATAACGGATATGGAAGGGTGGAATCCTAACCATTGGACCACAGAAGCTTTGATTCAGAGATTGATTGATGAAGACCGTCCTCATAATTCAAAAACTATTCTTCAAATGTCTTTGGGTGGGGACCATGTTTGATTGATTTTTGAGGGTGAGGGAAGTGGGGAAGTTGAGTTGGTGGTTAAATGTTATTTATATCTGGATATTAATTATATTAATTTTTTTCTTTTAAAATTAGATATAAAATATTTAAATTATATAAATAAATCAATTTATATTTTTTACATATTTATAATTATACTTTTCTTAAACTTTTACTTTTTATAAAATTATTAATATGACGTACAAGAGCCTTATAAGAGCTGAATAAACAGGGTCAATTATATTCCTTAGAATCTACAACTGAAGAACTATGACTCGTAGGGAGCATCCATATATATATACAAAATACCTATACGGTAGCTGCATGGTTGTGCGCTTCCTTCCTTAAGGTGACCATAATGCCATACTAAAAAGGGTGAATTTGGAAAAATGTGCACAGACTATCAGCTCACCGATAGGAATTGTCGATCAATTGGAATCACGTGATCGTCCTTTATACGAGGTTCGTGACAATTAAAAATTAAAACTAAAAAAATATTAAAAATATTATTTTAAAAAAGTAAATTTATTTATTTTTCAAGATTTGAATTATTAAAATTTAAAACTTTGATAATATTTTTTAACCTCAATCTTTAATAATTTTATAAAAGTAAAAATAAAAATAATAAAATTATTAATCAAAAGTTACTCTTTAAATTATTATATAATTCAAATTTTAATAAATCAAATCTAAAAATTATAAAATTATAAAATTATTAAAGTTTAAAAATAAATTAAAAATAATAATATTTTAACTCAATTTATTACTTTTAATATTTAATATTGAAAAAATATAAAATAAAAATAAAAACTAAATCTCTTTTAAAACTATCAAAAATATATAATTTATTTTTAATATCTTTTATATATATATATATATATATATATATATATATATATTTATTTATCTTTATTAATAAAAAAAATATATTATTATTATTATAAACTCAGCATCTTATCACCTCACTGTCACGATTCACGGTTTTCATTATAATAGTATTATTGACGTCGATGATTTATATACCGACTACAAAAAAGGTGTGATTTAATCATTGCTTTCGGAGGTCTTGATTACCTAAACCTAGGACCCCAGGATTCCTAGGATAAGTATCCTAAATAATTATAATAGAATAGAATAAGTATTTTATTTAATTAATTGTAATAGGATTATCATTTTAAAAGATATTATATCCTAAAACTATAATTCTTAAAAGGAAAGCTTCTAGAATAAGTATTCCAAAAAAGAAAAGGCCTTGGGATATGAGAGATCTTAGGATCAATCACATAATGTACTAGCTCTGTTAGCCCAGCTAGCCAAGCTAGCACCACAGGAATATTAGTCATACTAGTTGTAACGATCTGGTTGAGGCAGCGGCTGCCTCAGGGTTTCGTCTGGTTGGTAATTGTAGGTTAAGGCTAATAATCATTGGTTATCCATTCGAAGATGAATATGTTACTAGATCAATTGGAATGTAAATAAACTAATTAATAACTAAATTGAGTATGAAGCTTCTAAACTATAAAACTATTTTGATTATATACTAATCTCTTTTCCTATACTAACTTTGCTAGCTGGGTTAGCATGGCTAGCATTCCTATGATGCTAGTTCTACTAGCTGGGCTAGCAGAGCTAGTACATCACATGATTGATCCTGAAGCCTTTCATATCCCAAGGCCTTTCCTTTCCTGGAATACTTGTCCCAGGAATTTTCCTTTTAGGAATTATAACTCTAAGATACAATATCCTTTAGGGTGATAATCCTATTACAATTAATTAAGTAAAACATTTGTCCTATTCTACTATAGTTGTTTAGGATATTTATTCTAGGAATCCTGGGGTTCTAGACTTAAATAATCAGGACCCCTGAAAGCAACAGTTAAATCACATCCCCTTTATAATCGGCATCTAAATCACCGACATCAATAATACTACTATAAAGAAAACCGTGAATCGTGACACTAGTCTAGCTAGTATAACTAGCACAGAAAAAGAGATTAGTATATAATCAGAATAATTTCATAGTTTAAAAGCTTCATACTCAATTTAATTATCAATTAGTTATTTATATTTTAATTAATCTAATAATATATTCATTTTTGAATAAATAACTAATGATTATTAATCTTAATCTATAATTACCAATTATACGAAATCCTGAAACAACTATTATCTTCATCAAATTGTTACACTTTGAGTATCGTTATAGTTAAACTATATACAGTACAATAGTTTCCAATCAGCAATTTACTGAATCATTTTTATTCAATTTAGTCGGGGCCCCTGTTTAGATTGTTATTATTATAGAATATAAATGAACGATTTAGATATTTATTCTTGATTTATTCTATAAAGATTATAACAAATATTAAGTTTTTATTATACAAACTGATCTTTATTATACTTTTAATAAACAACTTTTCTTAATTCTTATATAAAGGATTTTGTAATTGATTTTCTTTTTCTGAAGAATTATATTCAATTGAATTGAATCTTTTTTTAATGATTTAATAATCAAGATTATCGATAATTAATTGAATAAGAATATAAAATCTGAGATTCATTATCTTTTTTTTAATTATGAATTATTCAGATAAGGATTCGATAAAGTATTCGGGGAAGTAAATCCTAATTATATAATTGAAAGAGTATTACAACAATTTAGATAAACTAAATCAATTATAATTTATATTATCAAGTTTCAATAATATATTAAGTATATTATATAGAATGATAATTATTTAAAATTATAATTCTATAAAGGATTGAAAGATATTATCAAGAACAAATTAATAAAAGTTCCGAAATCATTTAATCTTTCCAAATTAATCGAAATCTTTATTTTTATTGATAATCGATTTTATAAATAACGAATAGAAAAGAAAGGAATCATTCAGAAAAACAATAAATTTCAAAAACTTTATTATCAGAATAAATATTATAATATTAATGATTTAATAGAATTGAATAATATCAAACGATATTATATAAAAT